AATATATGTATAAATGAATTACACATATATGTGAACTTGATAAAAAAAGAAATGCATATATTATTACAACAAAATAATGTATTAATAAAACAATAATTAAAATATAATTTCTTGAATTTTTTATACTAATTAGTTCTATATATTAAATATGTTTTGCGCACATAAAAAATATATTTCTTTTAATTAATTATAAATTACATGCTAAATTATTTATTTCATATTGAATGTGACAGCAAATATAAATGATTATTTCATTCTAATATATCCTAATAACTTTTATTCAATGGTTAACATGCGCTACTTAATTTCATTAGGAGGTTCGTCTTTTTCTGTTTTTTCTTTTGACTTGTATAGTAGATTAAAAATAAAAATTTACATTATGCTATATTATAATATATTTACATTTATTTATATAGTTTTTATTAAAAAATGCGTATTAATACAACATTTCTACGTTAATATGAATCGATTTAATTCACTCAACAATATATTTACATAAGTTCCTACAATTAAATGTAATGTGGTACAATAACATAATAAGATATATCTTAACCAGTAATGTAGAATTTAATTTTCATGGACATAAGAACTAAACTGTTCAATTTCTAAATAATGTGTGCATTATTTATTATTTTCTTCACCAAATAGTCTATTGACATTTTTTTTTCCCTTAAATACTTTAACTTAATACAAAATGTATGGTATAACATATCTCATGAATTTAGATATGAAGTAAAAAAAAAATTCGTTAATATATTAATATATTACAAATAAAAATTATTAAACATTTCTATTACATATATATTCTTATTTATAATTTACATTTTATATTATATTTTAAAAGAAATAATTAAAACATTCCTAAATATGGAAGTAACACTTAAGCAATTTATTATATATAAGTCAACATATCCTTTTAAAAATACTAAATTTTCAATAGGGTTATATAGTATAGGTGAATAGCATTACTATTTATTCTATTTCTAAATCTTTTTCTGAATTTCTTATTATTGGAATTACTTTTAGTTACACACAGGAAGAGTTCTTGTATGGTTCATGTTTGTTTTCGTTTTAATTATTTCATTTCCTATACGAATTGTTTTTCGTGTGTTTTTTTAAAGTTGCATTAAATTCAGCAAATAAATGTATCATTTGAACTTCTTCAACAAAAGAAAAATACTTGAAAAATATTTTACATTTTATAATATATATTAGACAGAAAATTTCTAATTGTTTTATTTGATATAAGGATTTATAATAACTGTTTTCTATAATTGAAATATTTATAAAATGCATTAAACATAGACTTATAATAAATAAAATAAAACTTACAAACTATATTAGAGCAATATGAATAATAATAAAATTAGACACATTAATCTCCCTGATGAATGACAAATTTTTTTAACTCGCTTTTGAATATGATCAATAACAAAGAATCTTTAGCATATTTCTTTTAGTAAAATGGGGGTTAATTAAAAAAGTATAAATAAATACAATAGATGATAAAATAATGGTGGTATATGTTAGAGCTCCCTTAGAACAGACATGGCTATATTTATTTTTAATGTATTTCCATCACAAACATAATCATACATATAAATTGTTGATTTTATATTTTGAAATATTACTTTGTTTATATAATTAACTTAAGTTTCTTAATAATACAAGTATTCGAATGTTTCATATTTACTTAATACATACACAAAAGCAAATATTACTATAAAACATATTTCAATTTTATCAAGAGCGTCATAATATATCTAATACAAATATATTTAACAATTATATAAATTGATATTACTTTCTGAGATCTTTAAACTTGTTTTACGTCTCATAACATTAGGTCATGGGTTATTAATATTATAATAACTATAATTCGTGTACAATGTATTATTAATTTAGCAATATTACTCACATGAAATAATTTTATTGCAATCAAAATTGCAATTTTCATATTTTTACTTATTTAATTTAGTTATAATCTATTATGACATTATAGAGCAAGTTTGTAAAATAAATATGACACCAAGTATTATATACTCAATTATTTTTTTAAAATAAAAAACATTTTTACGACATTTTACATAAAACGATTGTAATGAATAGTTATTATTCTCGATTTTATTATCATCACAATAATAAATAACACTCTGAGGTAACAAAAATAAATAAATTAGCAAAAAAATATATGGAATTTTTTCTTTTGAAAACAAAGACCAACTAATTCATTGATATAAGCCATTTTTATTATACATAATTCACTAATATAAACACACATTTTAAGAACCATATGTAATATTTATAAATATGTTTATCACTAAAATAGATTAGTCTGTGTATTAATATATATGTCTAAATCTTAATTGTGGTAATATTATATTTCTAAAAAAAATGTAATGAAGCAAAAAATTAAATACAAATATATTATAAAAGTGTATAAATTTATGTTATACTATGATATATAAGAATTAAGTAATTGTATATATTTAATAGCAAAAGAATTATCTAATTCTATTTGGTATGATTATAAATTAACGTATTTTTATAATAATAAATAATTTATTTTTTGAGGTGTCCAATGAAAAAAAGAATTGTAGACATTAAATATAATTATTTTGTATGACTTAATGAGAATTATATAAATTATATAAATTATATACTAATTGATATTTATTTCTTATTTCAGTATATTATAATATTTCTACTGTTGAGCATATCAAGCATTAAGTAAAATGCCAAAATATATATTAATATAATAAATAAGTAATATCCTAAAATATGTGAGTAAAAAATATAAAAAAAATTGTTTTTTATAAACTGAAAAAAATATATATTCAATAATTATGTTATATTTTTTAATGCATTTTTTTTAAATATTCTAATGTTTTTTAATAGGGTAATAGACACCTTCACTTTTATCCATTTTAGAAATTGCAGAATATATAATATTTCGTTCTTAGTTTTTTGCAAATAATATAATTTAAAATTATAAAAAAATATTTTAATTATAATATGTTTAATTGTATAAAATCTGATAAGACTTATTCTAAAATTTTTTTGATATAACAAATTATAAAAAATAAAAGGAAAATCAGTGAATAATAATATATCGATAAACTCTATACAATTAAATGGATAAAAAATTTATGGGTATTAAAGCATTACGTTTGAAAATAAGATAAAAATGATTAAGATGTAGTAATATAATACATTTAGTATATATATGAATTATCTACAGATTCTTTACTTAATTTATTTTTTATTCTTATTCGTTAAAATATTTCATACATACAACATTACAAGAATTCTATAATTATTAACAGATAGAACTAGGAAATACCCTCTTTCTATGTGTTTTTTTAAATATTTAATTCTTTTCCTAAAAAAAAAATAAGAACGTTAAAATTCTTAATATTACATATGTGTTTTTTTGCATAGAATGTATTAAGTTCAATTTATTCGGAGATAATATATTGAAAATAAATATTTTATTTTTTTCCAATGGCTGTTTTATAAGGGTAAATAAAGCTACATATATTTCCGATAATAATTATAAAGGTATATTTAAATAAATTTTGTATATAATGATTTTTTATATTTAAAAAATTTTTTTTTAATATTTTTTTATTTCTATAGCGCTATATATATAATGAAAATTCATAAAGGATACATATATAATGATAACAATTATATTAGTTAAGCTTTACTTATATGCTGTTATGTTTTTTTATTAAATGTTTATAATCATATTATTCATTGAATTAAATAAATTCTCGTTTAATAGTTTTTTAATATGAATGATTTTAAATATTTAAAAAATAAAAAAAAAGTTGAATGAACATCTGCCTTTTTTTTATTTTATAGATTCAAGAAGACAGTACGTATAATATATGTTTCATACATTATATATGCATTATGATATATCAAATATTATATATTTTTTGAAGTGATATTTTTTCATATATATATAATTATTTGGTTATTATACGCTTTAAGTTTTAATTATATTATAAATATCCTGCTTTATTTGATATATATAGTTATATTGAGGTAGTTCATTTATATATTTAGTATTTATATTGTTAAAAAATTAAATAGGTTATATTCTACTTATTTATAATAAAAAAACTGAAAAAAAGAATTTATCATTAGTATTTTGTTAAAAACCTATTTTTTATATATGCACAACAGGTTGTTATCTGTTGTTTTGTTTTTTTTGTCAGAACACTTTTTTTTATATATAATCATATTTTAAATATTATAAAGGTAAATTACATGAAGTAATTTAGTAAAAAAAATTATACAATAAAAGGATTATATATAGTGAATTATAAAATTGCTACATTTTGATTCAAATCACACTTATATTATCTATCCATATTTACATAATATATAAGTTCTTCTTACATACAATAGAAATACGTCTATATGAAAATCTTTATTTCATGGTGATTATATTATATTCCACAAAATAATTCTTATATACAACTTTAGACTGGTTATACATAGAATAAATATTATAATTTTAGTTATATTTTTCCTTTTAGTATAATTCTTCAAATGAAGCATCATTAAAGGGAAAAAAATCTTCCTTGTAAACTATCTATACATTTAATTCTAATATATATATTATATCATAATGGAAATTATTTTCACACATAATGTATATTTTTAGTTTATCGACACGATTATTACGAATAAATTTTGTAATTTTGTAAACCTTATATTTACTGTATAAAAATTATTAATTATAGTAGCTTGCAATGTCCCTTCTAACATATATAGCATAATGATAATAAAATTCATTAAAAATGAAAAATGAAGTATGTTCTAAATATGAATTTATTGTAATTTTTTTTGCTATAATTACAATATTCTTATATTTATCTCATTTATGTATTTTTTTTATTTTATATTTTTCATTCACACTTTAGGATTTCAATGAAGACAATCTTCCTTCAAATAAATATTTGAAAGAATTACTTGAGGATATTAAAATGAGTGAATTGGAATCAAAAATTAAAACTATTATTAAAACATCCACTGATGCAGATGACTGGATAAGAAATTTTAGTCCTAAAGCTAAAGTGAATTATAATGTAATAAAAAAGAAATGTATCGCAGATGGTAATAGCCAAAAATGTTGCAGGCATATGAACTATTACTTAGATTATATAACTGCACTCATTAATTTATCTCATTTAGACAGAGATAGAAAAGACGAAGCTATATATGGCCTTGACGATTTCTGGGATAAACATCTTAGTAGTCTTGATTATACTTGTCACAGAAGTAAGAATACAGAATCAATAATTGAAAGGTATATATTAAAAGAATTACATGATTTTCATGAAGATATAGATTATTTAGTAAGTGTATTAAACCATAAGTTTCGGGATTATTCTGAATACAACATGTACATTAAGAAAAAATGGGAAAAGATTTTTGAATATGCAAAGCATACAGTTGAAAATAAAAACATAGTTATTTCTAATGGTTCCATTAACAAAATTATCCATTTTAAAGAATTGCCTTTGAATTATAATCTTCTAAGTTCTTTAAATTTGAATACTGGAGAAAGTAGAAATATAACTATTACTTTCGAATTATCTAAGAAACCTCATCAGTTAGAAAACTTATCTATAAACAGTGCATCCAGAAGAGAGACATCTCACGTAAATACTGATGTGGAAGATATATCCATAAGAAAAATATATCATGCAACTAATATATTTCCAATTAAAAATTTTCTCATCCTTTTTTTTATAATTTTTTTAATTATTGTGATAAGTATGGTATTATATAAGGTAATAAAAAAGCAATACATTAAAATATTAATAACTTAGCATATGTTTTATTATTAACATCAATAATAAAATAATTACTATTGAATAAGTATAATTAATATATTCATTTTTGATTATATTCTATAAATAGATAACTCCTCTGGGTATATGGATACGAGATAATATAAAAATGATAAAATTTTTACAAAAACAAATAATTAGGAACAGGAAAGAAGCATTATCATCCAAAGCGTATAACGATAGATACAAAATAGAATACAGTTCATATATTAGTGGTTATAACAATGATATTTAAGGATGAGAATAAACATTAGACAGAAAAAATATAACCACTTATATTGCGTATACATATATAATAGTATGAATGAATTAAAAGACATTTATACATAATATAAAGATTGATATAATAAATTTTCTTTACAAAATAATATGTTACTTTAGACATAATTCAGAGGAGGAACTGGGATTTTAAGAAAAATATAAAATGAATTAACTTACATCTAAATCATTAAATTATGATCAAACAATAATTAAAAGAGAACTTAAGTGAAACACAAAGAAATTTGTAGAATCCATTTATTTTAATGCATTTATAAATATAAAAATATCCATATATAAAAAAAGTTAGGCAGATTATATGTTTTTGTATGTAGCAAGGTTTACATAATATACATGTTATATAGTATCTCATATCTATAAATTATCAAAAATTCAAAGTGTCGTTCATAAAAACTTCTTAATTTTAATACATATGTAATTTTCTATTGAATAATATTATAGATATAATTACTTTTCCTACACTTTTTTTTGAAATATTACTATAATTGTGTCCTTTTTAAACAAATACACACGCATTCATTATTATTATATTTTTTTCCATATATTATAATGTCCAATATCCTGTTACTTATGTAGTTTATACTTATGTAGTGATATTATTTATTAATTACATAATGTCTCATCATTAGCTTCTAAAAGTTAAAGCATAGTTCCCTTCAATATTTATTGGAAGGAATATATTATTTTAAAATATTTAAATAAAATCATTTCTATACATTCTTTTATTTATTATTTTTATTATCTTCAATTACATAATTATTAAACAGAATACTTGTTAAATATTTATATGTGTACTGTACAATTATTTGAGATATTTAATATTGCTATTGATAATTTAAAACACATTTTATTATCTTAATAAATAAGCAAACAATTTATTTATACATGGATAAAAATAATGAAATATTCAAAAATGGAATGTATGTATTATAAAAAAAAATGCATATTTTCCTTTCAATTCTTCCCATATATATCTATATATATATATATATATATATCAGTTACAAAAAAGAAAATAAAAAAAATAATATATCGAAAAATAAATGTAAAGTAAAATTAAAGAAATCAAAATGAAAAAACAAATGAATTCATTATATTTTAAAACTATTATTTTACATGTGTGATGTTATTATATTTGTAAAAATATATATATGTTGGATAAAATTCATATAATCATATTATAAATATAATAATTACAAACGTATAATATATAATTTATAAAGGAAGATCTTGTTTTAATTTATATATGTTTTTAAATAATATTAAATATTTTTTCTTTGTTAAAAAATCGTTTATTATAAATAAATATATGTAAAATATATATATTTTTTTTTTTTTAATATTAAATTCCATTATATCTAATAATTAAATTAAAAGTTATAAAATATTAACACTTTCATAGATATTATGCTTTTGAAATAAAAGTAATTCATCTATATTATTAAAATTCTAATTAAACAGTGATAATAATTTTTTATATAATAATCGTAAAATTAAAACAATAGAAAAGCCTTATACACAATACCAGGAAATTTAAAACAAAAATCTTTTCATTTATAATAAGAATCTATAAGTATTATATTATTTTAATAGAGTATAGAAATTTGTTATTAATTTTATTTTGACATAATTGCTTATATAATTAGAAATATTTTTGAATTATTTAAAATATATTTTTATATTAACATTTATTGATATAAGAATATTAAGAAAATATTGTCAGGAAAATTAGGATTGGTGACATTCTTTTATTCACTTACAATGATACACGTATACAAATGCAAAATTTATACAATTATACTGGTCCAATTTTAATGTGTATATTATGTGCCGTTTCTAAATGTTGTTTTTTTTTTATTTTCGTTCTTCCAAAAAAATGTAGCAAATGTATCTCATACTTTATCGGTGTTTTTAATGAAAATCACTATTTGTATTATAATAATAATATTTACTTATATTTCCTTCGTAAATTTTATGATCCTATATGAAAACTTATTTCTTTACATGTTATAGACTATTATATATAGATAAAACAATTTTTTGAAATGAATAGTGTATAAAATAACTCTTGCAAATCTTTAAATAGTTGTTCAGATCAAGAGCAACACTCATATACATCTATGAATAAAAAGAGAATGAAAATTTATGTAATGATTCTGTTGAGAAAATATGAAAAAAAATTAAACTCTAAAAATAGAAATATAGGTTCAAGATATCCGAAACTTATTTTTTTGTGGATCCTTCAAAATTCATAAAACCTAATTGTTAGAAACAGTTTCCTGATTATTATAATTATGAATAAATTTTAAAAAGAAATCAACACAAAATTATAAATAATACTGCTACAGAAAATACACAATTCTAAGTAAAACATCAACCTTGTGAATTACATCATATGCAAACCCATGATTAATTTTTGAAGAATCCTGTGGCACCTGTACCTTTAATGATTATTGTTATTTTTTACAGAATGTTCAAAACTTTTGGAAACTTTACTGTTTCTTTTTTTTATATATAAGTTATTACAGTATAGTATTTATTAATTTAGGACAATTTACATTATTAATATAAATTATCATCTATAAATTAATGCTATAACATCTATAACTCTAAATAATATATTATGAACGCACCTCAATTAATAGTTTATGCCTCCTGCGGTCTTCTGGTAAAAAGTGTATGTATATAAAAAAAACTAAGGATTGTTATAAATGAATATTAATATAGTCAATATTTTAAAATGCCATTTCGCGATGCTAACTCTAATTCGAAAAATAGAAGAAATAATATATATTATCATTTTGTGTGATACTAAATAATAAAACGTAAAAACTAAATAAATTTTCAAGAAAAATGTGAATAAATTAAGGATAAATCACATGAACAATATAGTAATAGAACTAGAATCAAATAAAATTCTTCTGGTATATATCCCACATTTTTACATGTTCTGTTAGATACAAAAATAAGCACCTTTATAAATTTTTTTTTGCACTTAAGAAATAGAAAAAAATTCTAAAATAACATCATTATTATCATACGTATAAGCACTTTCTTATATTATCAAGTATGTAGGGAAAAATGCGGTATGGTAAAAAAGTTATTCATTAAAAACTAAGTTCAATTAGTTATATACGTAGTGATCCTATTACAAATATTTTTTGTTTTAGAATTTACTTATGTATCATGTAATAATATAAAATAATAAATAGTTCATTAATAAAATGTCATAAATAAATAAGCGAAATTACCGTTATATCAATAATATTCTTTTTTTTTTTTCTTTATAACAAATATGTCATTAGTAATACTCATTCAATCATATTGATAATTAATAAGAGGCTCTGTTCATATAACAAATTTTGTTCTGTAATGCTATATATTAAAATTTATATTCATGTATATATTATGCAAAGGAAAATAACGATTTTATTTTGCTTAATACAGAATACAACCCTATAAATTCAAGTAATTGTGAATATAGTCTAAAATATAATTCAGTGCTAAATTAATAATCCCTATATTTAGAAAAAAAATTATTTCATAAGATATAACAAAGGGACAAAAAGTTAATCATGTGAAAGTTTATACAAAAACGCAAAAAAAAAAAAAAAATAGCATAAAGAAAAGAGAGTTATATTATAATAAATAAGTAATGCAATCTATTATCCTAGATTTATAGAAATATAAAGCTATATATTGGGCAACAATGCAATGTGTATATCTATTAATACAACAAAATAAAATAACAAAAATAACAAATGAATCTGAAGTATAATCATTATATTCACTTTAATCAATTCTAAAATGTATAAAGGAAAATGTAATTATTTTCAGCAATTTAATATAATATATTTATGTACATAATCCTTCACTGTATTAAAATAGATAAAAGAATGATAAATGTTGATATAAATGAGTTTTAATTCTTAATTATAATGAAAATGTTATATATATTTAATTTTATGGGTTATACTTTGGTATAGTTGTGTTAGACCTCTTTTGAAACATTTTATAATTTTTTCTTTTTTAGATCATATTTATCTACTATTCTTAAGTAAAATAACTGAAAAAATTTTCTATATATTTTTTATTATTCATTTTTATACATTATAAATTAGTATTAACATTTTTGTTAAATGTAAAAACATTTTACTTCCAAAATAAATAAAAAAAAAATTTACAAAACAAATAATCTCTTTAATGTACATAATAATTTTTATATAATCATAATTCATATAACAATGTAATTTGTACAATGCCTTAAAATAATACAAAATTTGAGTATACCATGGTAGAGAATAATGCAAAGGAAACATAACATTATGCTATAGTGATATTTATTAAAAAATATATTTTTTAATTAGTTCATGTTTAAGTGTATATTTCAACATATTAAATAATTTCAAAGAACAGCAATTTTTAAAAATATAATTTATGATTAAGCAAATCGTATTATTGTTAATTATGTGCTCATCTAGTTCATTTTTAATTTTTGTATTATATCCCTAATTCACATTATAGTATTGTAAATGATGCATACTAATACTTTTGCTCAATATTTAACTACAAAAGGGTGTATCTAGTTTAGCAAAGCAGTAATTATATGTTATTAGATGAAACAATCATAAATTATAAAAGTCATATATATGATGAATATTCTATAAAATACTATTAAAAATTAATTATAATTTCTGTAAAAGCTTAAAATAATACTTGAACAACTACACAAAGCATTTGCAGGCATTGGTAAATTCACATAAGAACAAATATATTATAACATAAATACAATCTAAAAAATAATATATATTTAATGAATAAATTATAATATAAGAAAATTTTAATATAAATAAAGGTCCGTGTAAAAATTATTATCAATACTTATGTTCCTATTTACTACTAACGCATTTAAGAATAATTTATAGTAATATTGAATAATGTTAATAATTGTGAATACATAAAAAATGTAATTCTTTCAATATATGAAATTAAAAATATTATATTTTATAAATATCTTCCTATATTTCACGCACATCATAATTTTATTGTTTTCCTTCCATACTATTTATGTGTATCTTTAAAATAACTTTAAAATTTTTTTTATGTTATTAGAACAGTGATAACATATAAATATGCTTAAATACAGTAATCATTTTATGATATATTAAAAAATGTTATATTGTATAATTTTATTTAAAGGAAAAGTGCGAAATATTGAATAACATTTCTTTTTGGTATAATTGATCCATATAGTTAATTTCCTATAATATGAAAGACGGCTCAATATAATAATAACCTAATAAATATAAGTTAAAAATATCAAAATTTTACATTTCTTTATTATTATATTTTCTGAAGAATGAAACAGGAAAAATATTTAATATATTACAAAATTAAATATGATTAACTTATATTGTAATATTTCATTAAAAATACTAAATTCTACTGTGGTGTATATATATTATGCCATCATTGAGAAAAAGTAAAGGTATGCACTCTTTTTTTTAGTGTTTAGAATAAATTTAGTTTATAGGACTATAAATTATTATTAAAATTATTTATAAAAATTATTGGTAATTTATGCATTTACACATTTAATTATTTGTTTTTTATTATAATACAAAATAAATATATTAAATGAGGCTTTTTTTTAGAATTATAAATGATTTTTTATTCCATGTAAAATAGAAGAAAGATGTAAATTTATCAATATGACTCCAGATAGGATGATATTCAATTAATACAAGAGTAAAATAAAAATTAAAATGGGATAAAAATAAAATATATTTTTCATGGGAAAAATCATTTATACATACAGAAGTTTTATGCATTTATGATTATAGCAACATTTTCCCTTTGTCAATATATATTAATAATTATGTAGTATAGAAGCATTTAAAAACTTTTTCGACCACTCCTAATGTTATTAATTTTATTATAAATAAAAGGATATAATATAGATATAATAAAAATTTTCATCAAAATTAACACATTGTAATTCTCATATTCTAGCACATTTATACATATATATATATAGGATGCTTTTAAATGAAAAATATATTTATATATGGGTGTAAATATAAATTTAAATACATTTTTTGGTATAATATAATCCTTTTATTTTGTATCATGCTAGTTATATTATATAATTCTTACCTAAGGGTATATGTAGGAATATATTTATTCAAATAATATAATTATTTATATGTAATACTAATCTTATATGTAATGAAAATAGCATTTATTTATTAGAAATTTTAGAATATATCATATTAAAATCATAATTATAATTAAATGATAAAGTAATATCATATACACTTTTATTCTGTGCACTGTTTGAATATTTATTATGCTAACATTCATTCTAATATAATATGTTAAAATGTTTATCTATTATTGATTTATCATACATATATATGCACGTATTTTATTATATATTATATCTAAAATGGCTGATACCATAAATCACTATGAATTATATTATCAAGAAGTATATTTAAATATGTCTATTAATATAGTGAACTCTTCGCAAATTATTATAATACGTTGTTTTTATAATACATATAAGAAAACATTACATAATAAACATAAAAAAACATATTATTTAATTTATTCATTTATTTTCAGTTTCGTGATTTAAAAAGTAAGGAATTGTTTAAATTTTATGATAAATTTGATAAGGTATTATCTCATGGTAATTATAAGAACGGTATTTGCAAATTCCAACCTATAAATGAAACCGAGGACGAAACCACTAAAGAAATTTATAAAAATCTCTATTGTAACCTAAAACTTTTGTATGATGATAATGGTCATGATTATTTTAATAATATGAACAATGATCCAACAAAGCGCTGTTTTTACTTAAAGTACTGGTTCCACGACAGCGTAGTTCGTGAATATAATAATAACCAAAAAATTACGAAATTCTTTCAAGAATGGAACAAAATAAAAAATAAATTGAATAATTACGATCAATGTAGCTTAAAGAATATGAGTTCTACAGAATTTGTTTTTCTAAAAAAAATGTACGATTTATTATTATTTTATGGAATTTTTAATGAAAATATAGGTATTAAAGTTGATGAAATATCTAATTCACGATATTGCAAATACATTCTCGATTCATATGTAATTTATATTATTAAAGAACCTTTATGTGATGGAGTAGAAAAAACAAAGGCTTACTGTTCAGATTTAAAAGAACACATAAAAAAATATATTGACACAGATATACTTAGTTCACCAGAATGTGAAAGTGAAGGAATAAAACTAGATAGAGAACAATTTAAACAATATCAAAGTATATTAGAAAAAAATGAAAAACTGACAGCAGAAAATAGGGCTGAATTATTAGATAAATATAGGACAGATGATAATAGTTCTAATTCTCTAAATTCTTCATTTCAATCTTCAATAGCTTTGATAGGTACAACGTTAGGAATATTTTCAATATTTTTCCTTTTTTTTAAGGTAGAGTTATATTCTTTCATAATATATGATTATTTTATGAAAACATTTATGATAACTTTTTATATTAAATTATTATTATAAAGGAGATATATACCCAATTTTTATTTCATTATTTTACTTTAGTTTACGCCCATCGGAAAATTATTATATTTACGAATTAAAGAAAAATATAATATGTGGAATACAATTAAGGATGAAACTAGCAGAACATTTATAAAAAAAGATTTTATGGACAAAATAAATTCGGATTTCACTCTATATAATATATTATATAATAGTCAGTAGTATTTATTACCTAAAAAGTATGTCACGTTATTTATACATAAACATAGAAAAAAAATTATCAAAAATCGTATGGATAAATATAATGAGCACTAAATATAAAAAAAAAAATGAAACATATGATGATGTATTTGAAAAATGTAAAAATGAAATGTTAAAATTGTTAATATTTAAATATAGACAATATACTCACCAAGAATATTTGCAATATAATAAACAACATTCATATAAAAAATATATTCATTATAAAATTAATTACATACGAAATTTTTTTTACATGTAAATAATGAATATTGTACCAAATTTTATGAATATAATAATTCTATAATTCATGTTTTTTTATTTTCCGTATTTTAAATAATAAATAAATATGCAGTTACAAATAAAACAATAAAAAAATGAATATAATCTTCATTTCTATAATGTTAGTAAAAAAAAAAAAATTAAATGAGAAAATTAAAAAGCGTAAATATGCATAATTTCATTTAATAATACCACAACATTTGCATTCTATATATATATATTCATATGTTATTCATTTTTATTAACAAATTCCAGAACCTATATTTGCATATATATAATTTTTATAATTTCTTATTCATTATGTTTTACAAATAATTTAATACGTCATAAAATACTATATATGAACTGCAATTAAGAATTTCTTACATTTAACATCTTTTCTTTTTAATAATTTTTCCATATTTTTACATTTATGTATATATTACTCGTTTAAAACGATTTTTAAAGTTAATTTTATAATATCTACATTTTTTTTTCAAGACATTTATTTCATTTTCACAATATTTATAAAAATGTGAAATCATACTGCTAATAGTATGTTTTTTACAACTCATATTATACTTGACCGAAATTTATTTTCTGTTTTTTCCATGAGACTCATAAGCTATGCTTATACGTTTATTTGACCTATTTTTATTTACCAGGTGTGACTTATGTTTTGATGAATTTTTTCTAAAATCTTCGTGAAATTCACTTTTAATTCTTTTTTTACGCAAAACTCTATTTAACCATGGTCCAAACGGCGTAAACTAGAAAATAAAGGAAAATTTTGAATAAATTATACTGTATGTATTGAATAGTTATAAATTTTTATGAAAAATATATTATACGTATTACTATATATTTCTTATGTTAAAAATTAAAATTTTAACATACTTTGTAATATATGAAGAAAATTACAATTAATCCAATTATTAAAATGAACAGTGTCCCAATACGGTAAGGGTCACAAAATAATGTGTTACATATAATTTCTGGACTCATAGATTCATACGTATCAATTTCTTTAGTTTTGTTTTTTCGTAAGGTCATAAGATTTCTATATATTTTCGCATCAGCATTTTCGCCACCAAATACTTTTTCAAAACCTTCATAATTATTTGTTTTAACTTCATAACATGATGCCACATTCGGAAGATCTTCTTTATTATCATTTTTTTTATAACATCTAAAGTATTTATATCCCGTTTTATTATCAGGAAATGCTGAATTCAAAAAAAGACTTTTTCCGTTATTTATACGAGAGTAAAACTCATTATTTTCGCTTGTAGAACTAGTATTTTCAGAATTATTAATATCTTTTCCTTCCGGACACTTTTTTAATTTATATAATAATTCATCCACCTCATAATCATAGTTACAATTAAAGTAATCACAAAACCAATAGTAACAACAATTTTCTTTATATTTATCATATAATGGTTTAATAGACTTAACGTATTCGGAATAAATAGAACATATGTTTTTGTTATTATTTATTTTACTTTTAATATAATCAACGTTTTTAAAATAATCATACAATGATTTCATATCATCGCACTGTTCGAATGTACAATCTGAATTGTATAAGCAAACCTCGTGTTTGCTGAAATCCTTAATGGAATAAACTCTCTCTGATATTTGTGCTCGTGAACTGTTTGTAATACCATTATTTCCACTTGAAACTCCCCATTTATTTCTAAGTTCTTCTATTATAGTACTATAATTTGTATTAAAATCATTTTTCATTAAATTATTACTAATGTGATACCATTTGTCACGTAATTTTTTAAATTCCTGTTCGATAACACGATTTCCATTCTTGTCTTTTAATATTTTACGCATTTCCCCATGTACCCAATAGTTGAAATATAAGCAACGATCGTTATGACTTTTATTTTTCAATTCATCAATTTCTGAAAGTCTTGTGAGGTTCCCCTCAACCTTTTTACAAAGTTTTATAACATCTTTATTTGTACTTAAATCGTTACAAAAACTATTAGTCTTAATATCAGTGCTACCGTTTTCATCATTAAGTACTTTATATATTTGATATGAAGGTAACATATCCATTATATTTGCCTAAATATTAATGAACAAAATTAAATTATATAATTAGTGAAATGCATTATTCCTGATACAGCTAATAAATTATATAGAGAGAAAAAATTATATAATATTTAGAATTATATTTAATATTATTTAAGCAAAAAAACTAATATTTATCCTTGCTTCATTGATATTGAGTCCCATCATATACTAAAATAAGCTAATTAAATGAAATACACATTATTATTTATATAATACTATACAGTTGTAATATATTTATCCATCTACTCTATCTAATGTAATACACACACATAAATATAAAATTAGTACGAATTATTTTTTTATTCTTAGGAATAAAAAAAAAAAATTCTTAATACGGTAAAGCATAAACAGATATGCTAAGGAATATATGTACGCATGTATATTGTGAGTGAAAATAAAAATTAGAATGAAATGCAATGCGCATATGTAATATTTTTTAAAATTTTATATTTCTGTTATAATGTGCTTGAGTTTTGTTTATTATTATGTTAGAAAACAAATTATCACAATTTTAAGATACTACTATTTTTGTTAAAATTTAGATGTATGAATAACATTTGTTCTAAAAATATATACTATACATTAAAAAAAATTATTAATTGTTTAAAATTTTTATTTTCCTTATAATACACTCTTTTGTCACTGAAGATTTAAACTATCTTGTTTATATTATTAAGCGCTCATTATGACACGTGGGGACGCATAACTTTTAATTAAATAATGAAATGAATATTAATGATAAAAAGGATGAATGTATGGGAAAAAAACATTGTAAATTGCAAAGTATAATATATGGTAAATATATTATATTTCACTATAAGAGAGACGTCTATAGTTTTTTGTATATTGAATTATAATTCGATTACATTTTAAGTTAATAGTTATTTTATAATTTAAAAAATAACTCTTCCCTTAATTTCAGAGCATTTAAACATGTAGAAAAATTAACAGTTTTTTTTAACAAACTTATAATTAGGAATATGCTCACGTAGTTACAAAAGTGCTAAATTTTTACATTTCCAAAAATGAACAAATTCTATAAATTAATGAAGTAACAAAGTAGTACAATAAAAATAATTAATTTTAAGTCCAAATTTTTTAACTTTAAATACAATAAAAATTATGGATAAACCTTTATATGATTCTATAATTATAAATACATTGTTCCACATCTATTTGGGCATAATTTCATATGATATATATAATATTAAAATATTGTCATAAAATTAACTTAATTTTTGTTAATTACATTGTAATATGTGTAGAAATAATATTTTACATTTTTACTTGCTTAATTTTCTATTTATTTTATATCTATATTTTTCATATTTTATTAAAAATAATATAAAATATTTTAATTAAAAAGACGTTTATAATAATATATATAAATAGTCGTTCTTGGATATTTCATTACACACCTTTTAATTGCAATTAGTCTAATTTTTATATTTATTCCTTGACATATTTACATTTTTATATTTTATTCAATATGATAATGTATTAATGTGAATCATATTCATTTTTATATAAATTTATTTTGCTTAAGTTACGTGAAAAATAAATGTATGTTTAAATTTTATTATAATATGATTACATATATTATGAGTTATAATTAATTAGTTTGTAAATGTTTCAGTGTTATAATATAAAAATATTTATTATTTTTTATACTCATATCATTTATTTTGTAATTTATATATAAATTTTCGTTATTGTAAAGTGTTAAATTACAAATATTTATTTTGCCTTTTTTTATAATAATGATTATTCATAATTATTTAATGTTATAATGATTTATTCCTCATTTTTAAAGAATTTTTATATGTATATTTTCAAGAAACACTCCTTTAACACTTCCTCCTGTTATTACAACTCATCTCATTAGTATAATCATAATTACGCACATTTATTATATAATTAATTAGCTATACAAATAATTATTACTTCAGTGATAACACAGAAATATAATGAACTTTTAATTGTTCTTAAATTTTATGCATTTAGTTTTTTTAGAGATGACTTCATCTATTCATAGATTAAATATGATATAATAAAAATTATATATTTGGTAATACATATTTGAATAGGAAATATTCAAATATTTTTATATAACCTCTTTTTTTCTTAACTCTAATCGATAAATTATAAAAAAAATACGTAAATATTTCCCCGTATGCATTAATATATGCAATCTATTCCAGTATAATTCATATTACATTATAAACTGATGTATATTCAATGTTATTTTTAAACACACTCATCATAATATAGATTATATTTTTCCGTTTTTACACCATAACAATATTATATCTAAAGAAAAAACATTGTCATATTTTGAAATTAGTTATAATAAAAACATCTAATTATTTCATCACATTAACTACTACATTCATTTCTCAATATATCTTATTATATATATATATATTAAAGCACAGAATATTTATTAAACAACCTCTATATATATAGTTATATTTGATATTTTGTACGCATAAGTTCGATTATTCACACTAAGCAATAAGTAATTTTACATAATTACGTTATAATATTTATGATATAATAGTAAATAAAAAACATATCTAAACAAAATTTCCACCTATAGGAATTAAGCAATATTCAATGAAATACGCTTTAGTAGAATTTTTCAATAAACTTAAAAAATATATCCTTATTGTAAAATTGCATATATTTTATAAATATTTAAAAAAATATTTAGCATAATTATATTCAAATAACTCTTATAAGTGAGTCTTTATCTATAAAAAATAATATTTTAAAAAATAACAAATATCATTTAAGATAAATAATGATTAATTCGTGGAGTTTTAAAATAGAAACCAAGGAGTGACAAAATGAGCAAACAGAAAAAACATTTAAGAAAATATAGATGTAGATTCTACAACATAAATGTATTTTATCCGTATTATATGGAATAGTATAAATAATGTAATTCATATATCATCTATTAGCACTTTTCTATATTATTTTATGTAATTTGTTTCATTTTTCTAATTATCCTTTAGAAGATATATAATCTATATGAATCTTTCTACCTCTCAAATTCTTCTCTGGAGATTCTGAATGCCTTTTTAGCAATTTATGAGGATATTTTTGATTATAATTATATTTAAATTTTTGTTCATTAATTTCATATGTACACATATTACTAAGGGCGTAAACTATAAGGCAAAAACAAAAAGGTTAAATCGTTATAAAAGAATTTGCGCAATAACTGTAATTATAAAACACAATGTTTTACTCATGATAATATCAATCATTGGTATTTTAAAACACATATTATATTTACTTTATAAAAAACAAAAAATAGGAATAGTATTCCTAAAAATAATAAAAATAGCATCGAAAACAAAGAGAAATAGTCATACATTAATCCAATACATATATTTTTAAGTCCATTAAAACGCTTTAATGAATTTAATCTTGTTAGGATAACGTTTCTATCAAAATGGTACAGATTCCACATCTTCATCTATTTCTTTTTTATTCACATCAATAGGACATTTTAAAATATTCAAGACCATTTTAGGGTTGTATTTATCATCGCATTTAAAATAATGTGAACAATTATTCTAGTAACCACCATAATAAAAGTAAACACAACAGTTTCTTTTATATTTTTTATATAATCCTGTAACATCATTAATGTATTTGCAATTTAATGTGAATTCATTATAATCACATAATTTTGTATTATCAATATTTTCATGAATTTTAAAATAATCCATTAAATCAATAACTTATTTCTATCCCTTTAAATTAATATTAAAATCATAGAAGCAAGGATATTAGCTTGAGGTGTTATTACAAATAACTATTAAATCAAAAAATTTAATAATATATGAATTTCCAAGCATGTAGTCACCAGTATTGCCATATTGTTCTCATATTTTATCTTGTATTCAATGTATAAAGTGCAAACACCAGTCTTCATGAAGTTCTTCTATTACCTATTTTATTTATTCTTTTATATTTTCTTACGGCCTTGGTACAAATGTTTTTTATATTTTTATCTTTTTCTTCAAATGATTTACATTGTGTAAAATTAAGGTCTATATAATTATGCCTATTTAACTGTTCATATAATTTTTTTTTTGAAGGAAATGCATTTAAAATATCTTCATAAAGGTATATCTGAGAAAAAAAAATCACATGGATGAATATTTTCTGTAATTAAATAATTGTTTTGCATCCATTCTAATAAGAAATTTATTATTCACAAAAAAATGTGTTAATAATAATAAAGATATAATTATGCACATTTTTATATTTAATGTAGAAACTTCTGATAAACTAGACATCTCTTCTTCTTTTGGTGCAACATGTTTTCCTCTCGAGACTCTATCATCTTGATTTTCTTCTTATGCTCATATGCCTTTTTTACCTTCATTCAATATTAATCCTAGAGAATTACAAAAACATTTATCTCCAAGAAACTTAGCTAATCAATTTTCATACATATTTCAATAAATATTTTTATTTCTTCTACATGCTGCCCATAATTTATTGAAATGCAACATTTTTCATTTTATCGTACATTTTCAAAATATGAATTTTGTATTTGCACATAATCACCTTCTGCCTTGAGTTATTATCCAATACATCCTCTATCCATTCATAAAAATGTACAAAATCATATAATTCTTTCGTATACATTAAAACATTTTTATCATATGATTTTACATATATTTTATAGAATACATGATTATTGGTTATTTTGTAATTAAAAGTGTTTTTTCTCAAAAAAACTTTTAATTGTCTATAAAATGTCTCAAATTCACTTGAATTAATTTTAATGTCTTTTATTTTACCATATAACCAATATAATAAATTAAGACAACATACATTCGTGTAACTCGTTCCTTTCGATTTAGGAAGTTCTAATAATCATTCCAATATGATATTATAATATCAATGATTTTTTTTCAGAAACCACAATATATTTTTTTTTCACCACAGATATTGCATAAACTAGGATTAAGCACATTATTATATGCACGATCAAATAAATCATACAATAATAATATTTTGCTTTTTAATCTAACTTTGTATTGTAAGTGACAGAAAACAGTAACAAATATAAAAAGTGCAAATTTATATTAAATAATAAATAAATAATGGCTCCTACAACATATTTATTCAGAAATAGCTTGTTTATATATGCTATATATTCAGATATTTTTGTGAACTATGAAAACGTACACTTCCATTTTTCAACATTAAAAATGCCGGGTCCACTTTGTTTTCTTTCATTATTACAAAGTGTTCTAATAAAATTTATAAAGATATAGGTATCTACAACTGAAAATAATAACATTTGATAATTTATTAAAATGGCCATATATATTTATTATTATTTCGCTAATGTATCAGCATGAATATATTGCTAAAAATTTATCTTTAAAATTTTTTTATCATAAATTGTAACACTATTAATAATATCGTATATAAGCGTATTGTTTCCAAAAAAATAAATGGAAATTTAAATTACATTATCCATTAAAAATATTTCCTATTTTATATTTAAAATGTAAATATATAAAATGTCGATATGTGTGTCTACTTGCATAATTTTATTAATACATAGCAAGAATGATAATTATGTTTTTTAATATGGATATTAAGTATATATTACAATTTGTACAAAATATTATATTTTTTAGTTTTTTTATATACATATTACATACGGTTAATTTTTAATATAATTATATTTTCATTGTCAATGATAATTATTTCTAATTAAAGTCTAGAGTAAATGTCCTCGATTATTCAGGGGACATTATTTTTCTTTTTACGTTGCATGTAATATTGTAAATTTTTTTAATCATATGTAAATTCAAGTAATACTCCAAATTTACATTTTATGTTATTCCCATAAATTATTAAAACGAAACAACTGGAATTTATTAAATAAAGAGCATTTTTATTCAAAAGGATATATTCATAATATATACCCTTTTTAATTATAATTAGATAAACCGCTAAATAAATTACCACTTTACGAATTCTAAATTTCTTTCGGTTATTTACCTTGATTTTTATGTACAAAGTTATTTTGATGAAAACCTCTCATTTATATTAACCTATTTAAATTCCTAAATAAGTTCACCAATTGATAAAATGCTTCATATATTTGATGTAAGTGTGTTTAATAAAACAGCTAATTTTTATTATTTTCAAAAGGTAAAAACAAGTTTTATTTAAAATAAATTACACACCTAACGTTAATAAAATATATTTAATTCAAAAAAAAAAGGACTAAAGAGGGAATTCCATTTTTTAACATTAATTATTTAATAACGATTATAGCATGTCTTGTAGTTTAAATATAAGAAAGGAAAATTTTAATGTAACATTTATACAAATAATGTTTTAACCATACTTTATTTGAAATTTATGTTGTAATTCAATTTTTAATAGAGGCTTCTTAAACAATGTCCTTAATTTATAATAAAAAAAGAATGATTCATGAACACTTCCCACAGTATAAAATGTAAAATATCATATAAATTCAACATTTTTACATACACACCTCATTGACACATTTATTTCGATATAAATATATACTTTTTTTGCAAATACATACCTATTGTGAATGGAAATCAAAAGTAAAAACTAATTTACATTACATACATTACACTCAATTTTAACAGCAATGAATACATTTTAATTAAAATAATTTTATTAATAAATGTATAATAAGTTATATTGTATTATGAAACAGGAACACTTTAGAATATTAAGAAGAACAATGAATTTTCCAATATCTACAGTGAAAAACTAATAACTAATTTTCAATGAGTTTTCTTCATTTATTTATAATTAAGTGTTACGAAAAGAGAACCATAAAAAATTGAAGTTATGGGCTATCATAAACACGAATATAATATTATTTGAACAAAATAATAATATAATAAGTCCTAGCATATTCAGGTGCCTTTATTTTTTATTTTCAAATGTTCTGTCATTTATTATTAAATAGATACAAAATTATAATAGTATCATACTTAGCATAAAAGTACATTGTTATTATTTTACATCCAAAGAGAAAAACTACTCTTCTAACATGATGCGATATATTTTACTTTAAAACATACGTAACAAAAAATACATTTATTTTTTATTTTTTCTATAAAATGGTATCATATTATGTTATATAAAAAACAATCCATTGTAATAAACCAGAACAATTTAAATAAGTAGAATTTGCTGAATTTATCCACTTAAAATGAAGCGTTTTTTTTATCAGTATGTTAAAAAATGAATAAATCGAATAAAATAAATTTTATTTATGATAAAATAAGTACAGTATCATCAGGGATTTCCAAATTTTAAATATTTAACTTTGTTTTTGCAAAATATATTTTTAACATATATGTTGCCATTACACATTACGCTTAATGTAATATGAATGATTCAATTTTTGACAAAATAAAATTGTAATTCAATTGCATGTTAAAACTTTGTTAATTATAATTTATATTCTCACTGTACGTTATGATAAACAGTTTTATATTTAATATTTTGGAGTATAATTAATTAATCATATTTAAAATGTAAAATGAATTATTGTACAAAAAAAAATTACCAAACATTTGCTAGAACTCATTTTTTTAAAAATATTTTATTATATATTTCTATTATATTTTTTTGTTATTTATGTTAAAATCATTCTTCATTTAACTTTTTTTTTATAAAATTGTAACACCTAAATTATTTTTTTTGTAATTATATCTAAATAAATAACCCCTTTTTCGTTTATATGCATGCATTTATTTCATGTTATTCTTCCTTTGAAATAACAAAAACATTTACAAAATAAATTTATAATTTGTTCTAATTTTTAATATTTTTCTTATTATAACATCCTGTTTTGTAGAATTATATCTAAAAATATAAATATAAATAAAAATTCTATCTATGTGCACATTTGGCATGTGCAATTGTTATTTGAATTAATATTATTAATAAAAATGCAACTTGTAATACAATATCAAGTAAACGAAATTAGGAAGAGTAAAATTAAATGTATTCATGCATTATTCTTAAATATTTTTTCTTGATATTTTCATGCATATTGCCTTCACATCTCCATAAGTGCAAATATATATAATCGTTTAGTATTAGAGATTTTTTCATGCACTGCCATATTTCTGTTCTGATTTAATTCGTTCATTATTATTCCCTCTTCTCTCTATAACTAGTGTTAGAAATAATTATTGACACATTGCAAATATTATGAAAAAATTTAAAATAGTACTTATTAAAAGACTTTGTTCTACTTTAATTTCTACTGCAGATATAATTCATTACTAATGATGAATCCACAAAATATTTTAAACTATATGCAGGCTCTTGTTTAAATTTTATAAATCTTACTTTATTCATAATTACATAAAAATTTATTTTTTTAGGAACATACATAAATCTACGTAAAAATAAAAACTGCTCATTGTTGTTGAAGTGTAATTTTGTTGTGAGGCAATAAATATTTCTGAAATTTATTCACCTTTTTTTTTTATTTTTTGAATATTGTGAATCTAGATATATATATATGTATATATATAGAGAGAGAGAGTTCGGAAGAAAGAGAATTGCTGTTTGCAGTTGAAGTAATTTTTTTTATATTAGAAATGAATATGAACCAAGTGTTTTAATTTGCATAAAATATTTAATGAAACATTTTTGATTAATATATTTTCTCATAATTTGTGTTGTTAAATAATTTAATTTATTGGGAAGCTATTTTTAAAGCTAATAATACTTTGTGTTTTAAAAAAATACGAAAAAAATAAAGAAAAAATAGATTACACTTCTACTAATAACTATATATTAAATTATAAATAAAATTATAACTGATAGAAATTTTAATACTACATTGTTGTTTCATATACTTGAAATAAATTCACTATGACAGAAAAAACAAATAAATTCGTTTTTTTTTTTAATTTTCTTACATTTATCCTTTTAATATGCATATGGAATAATCCTATTGAAGTAATAAAATAAACAGAAGAGAAATTTAAGAGTTTCATTACGATTTATTTATTTCGCATTTTCATTTTAAAAAGAAAAATTTACTCATATATATGTATGCATTATAATGTTGCATATTTTCCTCATTTTTTAGTACAATTCCTTTTGCAAATCTATTAATAATGAAAGAAACCCAAAGATCTCATTAAACACACGAGCTAACAGATTGCTGAAAACAAATACAGAAGAATATATTCAGCAGAATTATGCATCTCCAAGAGATAACATAAGTAAATTAGAAGATACATATGATGGCGATTTTGAAAAACAATTAATATCATTGTTAGGTGATCACCAATATAGCAGTGTATTTAGTTCATTAATGATAAATGATGATGTACAACTTAATTTAAATGCGTCAGAATCTAATGAAAGTTGCAAAAGTATTCCTAATTCATTAAAATATCAAAATGATTATGGTAGCAATACCGAAGATGATATTAATGATGATGATAAATATTTGAATATCCAAAATGAAAAGATGTCTTATGATGGTGATGACGTCTTTAGCGACTATCATTCAGAAAATAATTACAAAGATGATTATGACAATGAAAGTACGTCTGATACATTAACAAATTCAAACTCATACGTAAATAGTTACCATCCATCAAAGTATGATGACAAGAGTGATATAGAATTATATAAATCAAAAGAACCTTTTGGAAAGTTAAAGTATAAACGTAAAAGAAGTGTATTACTTTCTCCAATTGCTAAATTTGTAAAAAGTCGAAAAGCTTGGTATGAAAGGGTACTACTGAAGTTCACTATATCTGTTTTTAATCCTGATTCATCTTCGAATGAAATTTCACGAGATATGAAATTGTATTTTGCATTTCTTTCTCCAGTTCTGGTATGCGGTATATTTTTACTTGGATTTTTGCTACAAGAAAATTTGATGGGTATTGGAATATCATCCATAATGTATATTATTTCATTGATTTTTATTTTCTTTAAAGCCATAACAATCAGCAAAAAGTATAAAAATTACGGAATAAGGAGTATGAAAAAATAAATTTAGCCTCTATATTGCTCCGTAAAAAATTTATTTATATTAACCATTGAATTATATGCGGAAAATATAATGCGATAAGTAATATATACTATAGGGCATACATATTAAGACTTATATAATAAAAAATTTATGCATGACATATGTGAAAATCTGCTCTTTTTAAATATGTCTTTAAAAAATATTCAATTATTGGTTATATTTTCCCTAATCTAAAAAATTTATGTTTATATAAGATGTTTATTTTATAAATTAATTTTATTCAACTATTTATAATAAAATATAACATCTGCACCATATTATTTATTTTTTATTTCTTTTCTGTTTCATCTAAATTCCCATGAAAGCTCTCTTATTGAATGTATTTTAATACTCACTTTAAAGAAACATTGTAATTAATTATTTTGTTAAATTTATTATTTATTTTATTTATACCCATAATTCCCCCCTAGTGCTTTTTTAAATATGTAAATTCGGAACAAGGTCATTTTACTAATAATTACGATACATGTTCGTATTATATCTAAGTATGCTTAACATAAATATATATAAAGCATTTAGTATAGTAATTTTGTCCAATAGAAACCATAATACTATAGATATTCCAGTTAAATATGAAATTTATTTTATCAATATTTGTTAGCTCATAAATACAATGTAGATCATTATTAAGATTTATATTTTTCAGAATTGTGTTATTTCCCTACTTGTACTAAAAAAAATATGAAAAAATGAAAACCGTTTTTCATTTCACTTAGTAAACGCATAATCTGCAATATGCAATCACCTGATCTTTTCATTATTAGTGCACACACTTGAAAATAGAATGTTATATAATTAGGAAATTATTTAATTTTCTTGTAATACTTTTACATTTTTGAGAGGAAAATATGTGGGGGTAATTTGTATATAAACTTTTTGAATATTATTAAATATTCATCTAAATTTTTAGTTCATTTTTCAATCATAATATGGGATTGACGCTAGAACATCCCATATAGTGCAATGAATATATGTTATCTTCCAATAAATAGTGGTTTCTATATTTTAAAATAAAAATATGTTGTATTGTGAACGATAAAAAAAACATTTATTATGCCTGCGTCCTTTTTTATGATTATAATTTTTCAAATAGTTAGATTATAGTTCTCGAATGTCTTTCCATTGCAAGAAAAAGAAAAATGCACAATTTGTGTAGCATATGTACGGCTACAATCACACACAAAATAATATAAGTCACCTTAAAAATAGTTTTACGTAAAAATGATACAAAAGATTTATATAAGCAAGTTTATGAGTATCAGATATTTTGTAATATCCCCACGAAATTTACCTATTGGCTAAAACATATTTAAAAATACTAAGAAACTTAAGAAGTTGACTAAATCTTTAAATAGACGAACAAGTTGCTTTTTTAGTCTAAAAATAACATAATAAAATCATTATGCTGCATTAAAATAATCATAAAAATGTCTTCTTTTAAATATAAAATTATTAATAATTAATTTTTTTTCACAAGAAAAAGTGCTAATATGTTTTATAGTTTAGTGCTCCTTTTTCAAGTGAAAATAAACATGGTAAATAGCATAATGTGGTGTACGTATTTTTAACACTGTTGTATATATGTATATATATATAAATATATAAACGCCTTTTTTTCAATCATGTACTATGTGTGCGCAAGGAAAAATGGAAAATAATCTAACTGAAAAAAAATTTATAACGCACGAATATTACTTTTGTCATTTGTTAGATTCATTAAATAACATTTATTTTTTTCCATGTGCTAAAAAAGAGTATGCTAAATCTTTATACATCTCAAAAAATAAGAATTAAAATATATACATGGATACATGGCAAAATCCAACAAAACAAAATGTGTCTTCAGACATCTTTTAAAATAATAAAAAAGTTATAAATTGTGTTGCATAAACATAATTTTTTTAATTTTGCATGGTATTTTTTTTACTTTTTTACAATATGCGCAAGGCTCATTACAAGTATAATTTTTTATTACAAAAAAATTGCGATTCTTATTCTACTATCAGTTATACTATTGTTGCTTTGTATTTTGTTTGTCCATACTTATATTAGTGATAGTTGATGCCTTTTATCTTTTTATTTCTTAATATGAAGATTCAGTCATGTTTTTTAAATATGAATATTTTTTGTCTGAATTTTTAGTTTTCATAATTTTTTTCATATATGTTTTTTTCTTTTTATTATGTTACGTTTATTGTTTAATTATTATTTTACGTATAAATCATATCTATGCTAGCGCGTAATATTTTCAGTTTATTTATTAATAAAAAAATTAATGCATCAGAGCATAAAAAAAACAGGAAATTGCCTTAAGCAGAACTTTTCTTTTTATTCGTTTTTATTTAATAATTCTTAATATGTAAAAAAATATATATTTTTCTTTCTATGCAATAATTTTTTTTTCTGCAGTGCATGTATGGATATACAAAAATATAGCATATATATATATTCCGTTTCCCAAAAATATATGAGAGTAGATGTGAATTTTTTACCACTTTTGCTATTTTTTAATTCTATGGAAGAAAAAACGATTTTGTAAAAGATTATGTATTTAAGATATTATTTTAGTCTAATAAAGTGCGTAATATATTTTTTGTTAATGCTAATTATTAGAATTTTTTCAACTAAAAAGAAGTTTCAATTTTAATTTATATAATTAAATGTTATTCTTCTTCATTTACATTTTATTTTTTATTACATAATAACAGGATAGTTGGCCTTGTTTCCTCTCTAAATATTTTCTTATACTAAATGTTACATATATATATATATGTATCTTTTTTGAAATATATTAATTTGCGGCTTTGTTGCTATATGCTGTATCCTATAGCTTTGCATTATTTTTAATAATTCACAAAGTTTGGTTTATCATTTTATTTTAACTTATTCGGATACACCTTTTTTCTAAGAATTTTTAACAAAACATTCACGAATATAATTTTGATTTAATGTATTATTTTAATTCCACCAACTTCAATAAACACTAGATAGAATTATGCCTTAAATTGTAATCAAACGATTTCAAATACTTTAAATTTTTACAGTATGGGAAAATATAGAAATAAAAATTATACATAAAATAATAATAAAAAAAAAAAAAAACCTATAACGTTACGTTGTCTTGGTATATAATGTGGCCCAAATTAGCTAAGATTTTCTTCTATTATAAAAAAGTTTCCAACATTGAAGAAGTCCTCTAAATGAAAAGACGCACATATAAAAATTTCACCCGTAATATAATTTTTATAATTACTCTTTTAATATTGGCATTATGGAATTGTTCTAATAAAGTAAAATAATCTCTTCTATGTATTTGCTATCATTTTACCTATTTTATATTTTTAAATTAACGATGCTATTGTTTACTATCCTTTCTTTTTTTTTTTTTTATAACATTTTAAAAAATAAGAACACTTTTATAAATTTTTAATGTTTTATCATAATTTTTAGGCAACTTCTTCTGGCATATCATATAATGAACAGACAATTCTAAATAATAAATGTAATTTGATATGTAGAAGAATACTATTAGGAGATAATAAACCAAATTCCGAAATAAGGTATGCAGTTTTTAAAGAAAAAATAATAAATTTACTAAGAGAAGATGACGATAATTTTGAAAAAGGAATAAAAGCATATATGCAAGATGATATTTTTAGAAAACGATTTAATATATTTTTGGAAAATGAGGAGTTTAATAAAAATTTTAATGTCCTAGTAAGTGACTTTGATTTAATGAAATTTCCTAATCCAGTAATTAAGAACAGTGACTATATGAAATCACCTAGTTCAATCAAATTTTTTAACCCTTTTAAAAAGGGTTCACATCGCACACAAAATGAGAATCATTCCTACAGTTATGGTTATAAGGAGGTTGAAAAAGGGAAAGAAGTGTGTAGAGAAAGGAAATTAGAAAAAAATATATATGAAGATCAAATTCAGAATAGATCAAAAAATTACAGTTTTAAAGAAAAAAAAACAGTTATTCCATCAGAAGGAGTAAAACAAAAACTGTTGCAAAAGGAAAATGTAACCCCCCAAAAAAAGTTAAAGTTATCGGATTTTTTCTTAATTTTTAAGAATGCAGATGAAATGTATGAAACACAGTTAATAAATATGATAAGAATGAATAAGAAAAAAAAGGGAAAGCTTTTTTGGATAAAGTATAATAAGAATATTGTTAAAGCAATTATACCCATTATTGGAGGTGCAATTGGTTCAGTCTTAATACTATCAATATCGCTCAATCTATATAATATTATTGTAGTATTTACGACTATGGTTTTATCCATGCTATTTGTTTTGTACAAGTATAAGAAGTGTGCTGACTTGGTTAAAAACTCCGAAGAGTATAATAATAATTCCAGTTCTGTAAATCATTTGCCAAAGTAAGTAAAGTGATATTTTTTTAGGAAAATTTTAAATTGGACACTTAATTTTAACATGTAGTAGTGCGTAGTATGTACATGTATATACTACTCACATTTATATGATAATATAATAATTATATTTTTTCCTAATTTTATTATCAGAAACAATGCCTTTAATTTTTTTTTTTTTTGTTTTTGTTTTTATAAGTTCCACCAACAAAATTTGTCATTAATGTTTTAATCTTTCGTGCAAATAATTATTTATGCGCAATTATTGTATAATTCAAGTGAAATGTTTTAAATAATATTTTTTTTTTTTTTTTCCCCCCCCCTCGGCATTTCCGTCAATAGGCTAATAATAATTCTTATTTGTGTTATTTTGCTGTAATAATATTTTGACATTTTACTGTCATCTATTTTTTTTTTTTTTTTATTGTTTTATTTTTTTTAATATAGAGTATTTTTTCAATTTGTTTTTTAAATGTTATTTATATGTATATAAATAAATATGCACACGTATTTTCAATTTGAACCGTATAATATTATTAAATAATACGATGTTACCTTACCCGTGTATGTTAAAAAATTGCGTAATGGATATATATGCGAACATATGTTGTTATATAATAATCAGTAACATTTTCTTCATAGTAACAACCGCCTGGGTACATATATGCGCTTGAATTATGTAGAAAAATGTGTTTACAAATATTTTTTATTTGAAAATTTTGCTGTCCATATGTAACTATATATGTATATATATATTGCACAGAGTTCACGTTTGTAAGGTGATATGTACAGATGATAATGAAGCAAATGTGTATATGCTTACTTGTAAAAATATTTTTATTGTTGTGCTACAAAATATAATATTGTCCTAATTTTTATTTTATACAGTAATGATATGAATCTAACTTGTCTTTCATTGCTTCCCTTCTTATTTAAACTATTTTGGTTATCATGTTTTATTTTATTTAATTTGATAAATTTTCAGCTTAGGAACTTTTATTTACTTTTCGCATATTTATTTATATGCTCTTATATATATACAATAAAGCATCATTGTATAAATACTTTATGCGTTACACTACACATATCATTTGCATACCTGCTTTTTTATTTTATAACATTCTTTACAGTCGTCCAAATTCAATTTCACTTTTACTAATTATAATTTTAGACGTACCACATTCTTGCTTTTTTCTAAACATGTTTATTACCTAGGGATGCATCAACAATTTTAAAGTGACATATTGTATACTCTTTATATTGAAACAAATAAAAGGCAGTTATTTTCAAATGTGCTTGACAATAGAAACTAAACAGTATTTATTCACAAACCTTATATTTAAACCGCTTTTGAATATTTTTTACATAAAATTTATCCAAGCTATGAGCTGTATATAACTATTGAAATTCCTTCTTTCAATTTTATTGGTTTGTGTGAAAAGGAAATTGTTTAAATAAAATTAAAAATATTATATACAAAAATCTCTTCAGAAGGAATGATGTAGTTTTTTTCACAACTTTTTTGTTGCCGCTGCGGGTTAATTTTATGCGTGTATTACTCTAGAGTACTGTGGAAGTTGATGGTCTTAAAAAAACTACATTTTGCGAACATAATTTTAAAAAATGCTAAACTAACATGCAAATTTTTTTTTATATAAAAATAACACCTAAAGGAATTTTCTCCCATTGTACATGTATATTATATGTGGAAGAAATTGATAATTTTGATATAAAATTTTATTTTATTTGAAACAGTATAGCACATAGTAATATTTCTATATAAACTCTACATTGCGTGGAGCTTACAACCATAAAAAAAAGGTACTGTTAATATAATCATCTAAAAATGACATAGAATAAACCAAGACTGTTTTTATTTTTAATTTTCTCCATACATAAATAACAGTGTCATTTTTTTTTTTTTTTTATTTTATGTTTCTTTCTTTCTTTTTTTTTTTTCTTTTATTCGGGAGTGAGTAAAGGAATAATTTTTAAGTACTTATTTTTTTATTTCATTATTTATCAAACAAAAGGCGTTATTTGAATGTACCAACAATAAAGTAAGACTTTCATAATATATAAATAATTACGTACAATAATAAAAACAAATTATTATAAATGTCATTTCTACATCAACATGTGGCCCATTTTTTATATTAAAATGTTTCTAAATTTTAAAAATATTTTTAAATTTTGTTACCAAAAAAAAAAAAAAAAAGGGCAAAATATCCAATAACTCATTATAAATACATATATATTTATTATGATAGAAAAAAAAAGAATACTTTTCAATTTTTTATTTTTAAAAATGTACAAGAATATGCAAAAAGAAGCATTAATTTCTGTATCTGACAATTTATTTTTTTTAAACGGTTTTATTTTATACTTAGAAAAAAAAAAAAAAATGTTTTTCTTTTAGTGCCAAACCTAAAAATTTATATATAAAATGCGCTTTAAATGCTAAAAAAAATGTTGCATTTTACTGGTTTCTGCAAAATAATACGTTAAAATATCTGTTCTTTATATATTTCTAATGTAAGAGGAACTTAAAACAATGTATAGTTATAATAATATTTATGTGTAGATGTAGAGTTTAAGTTTTAACTAAAAAAATGATTATATGAAATTGTTGATTATTTGTGTTTTAGTTTTGTTCTTTTAATTATTAGTACCTAGTGTCCATATTCATATAGCAATGTACATATGTATTGTTATATACTAAAAATAACTGCTTTTTTTTCGTAATTATTATAAAAGTTATAAAAATTTATAAAATCCTTTTTAAATTTTCTTTATATTAAAATATAACTAGTTTTAATTTATGCGACTTTTTTTTTTTTTTTTTTATGACAGGTTTAAAAATGAAACTGATTATTAATATGAATAGTTATTTATTGAGGCTATTAAAAAATTCGTAACAGTTATTTTATTATTTAGATATTACATATATTGACATTTCATGTCTAGAATTACAATACTAAGCTGTTGTTCCTTAATGCCTTTTTAAAATAACCATTAGGACAGTTTTTACGCTGCTCCATTGTATACAAGTGTATGTAATTATGTTATATATATATATTATATGTTTTACTACGTATGTTATTTTAAAAACTAGTAATTCATTGTAAATGTTTTTTTGAATTTTGAAATGAAGCAATTAAGGAAAAATTATTTAGATTACAAGCAACAGTTTCATTTATGGAAACCATTGTAGTGTAATATAATATTTTATTAAAGGGAGTATAAAGCTAAATGGCAACTTTTGTAAAACACCATAAGAAAGGAGTAATAAATGTTTTTCCCTTTTTAGTTAAAATATTTATATTTTTTGTCTTAATTTGGTTACTTAAATGTTCTAATAATGTAAGACAAGCAAAACTAAACACTTCAAAATAAAATTGAAAAACGTTGGCATTACACGTACGCATTCTTCAATATAACTTTTCTTCATTAATATTTAAATATACATATATATTACATAATTTTATGACATTTTATACAATTATTAGAGAGAAAATGCAATACGGGGTAGCGTAGACCAATGTAAATTTAAAAAAGCATTAGACAGAAGGGATATCAGACGATTGTCCGAAGCTAATAACCAGTATGTACCACGTAGTGAACGAGATGCCTTTGAAAATTTGGAGGTTCGATTAAAATTGACAATTATAAATATAATAATATCATCGCTACAATGTCGCAGATAATAATATAATGTAACAACGTAGTAAAAAAGTGAGAAAGTCTTTACCAGTAATGATAATAACCAGAAGAGGACACCTCATTTCTCATATACAAATCACATGCACTTATGCACATGAAATTCTCCATTTCTTTTCTTTAGGATTACTATGCTATATTAGGGGTGAATAGGGATGCCACAAATCTTGAAATAAAAAAAGCATACAAAAAGTTAACCATGAAGTGGCATCCAGATAGACATGTAGATCCAGAAGATAAAAAGATTGCTGAAGAAAATTTTAAGATTGTTCTTGAAGCATATGATGTTTTGTCAGATGAATATAAAAGGGAAATTTATGATTTATATGGTATAGAAGGATTAAAGGGAAACTTTCCAATGTACAACGAAGAAGAAGATGAATCTCTTGGTTTCTCTTTTTCCAAAGCAAAAATAAATACTGCTGAAATGTTCAATAAATTTATAGATCCAGTTAAAAATTTTTCATTTAAATCAGTTTTTAATGATCGTTTTCCCCAAGTTTCAGCTTTTATTAATAATATGAATTCCAAGATTAATTCTTCTTCAACACCAGGAGGTTAGAGTGCATGCTATATATCATGTGTAGGAAGCACTCATGTGTTATGTACGCACATTGTGTGCATATTATATATGTGTATAAATATTTTATGTACATATATAAGAGCTATACTTTTACTTGATAACACGAAAATATCAGAAAAGAAAGAAAACAAAACAAATAGAAAAAAAAAAGAAAAAAAAAGAAAAGTTATTTTGTCTGATGATAATGCTATAATTACAACATTCCGTCCATTTGTTCATAATATAGAGGGTGTAAACCAAATTATATATGTATGTATAATTATTTATATATGTTGCATTACATACACACTTCCGTGTTCATGTTTTTTTCGCCCCCATTGCTCATTTTAGGCTCTAGTTCAGGTGACACACCTAAATCACATGAAGTGCCACTTACGGTGACATTAGAAGATTTGTACTGTGGATGCACAAAAAGATTAAAAGTTACAAGAAAAAGATATAATGGACCTGTTTGTTATGATGATCATAAATTGTTAACGATAGATGTAAAACCAGGGTCAGAGGATGGAACTGAAATTATATTTCCTGGAGAAAGTGATCAAACCTCCCCCTGGGAACAACCAGGAAACATAATTTTCAAAATAAAATCAAAAGAACATAACATGTTCATAAGAGAGGGAAATAATCTAATATTTAGATGTGTGTTAACATTAGATCAAGCATTAAGTGGCTTTCAATTTGGTCTAATAACATTAGATAAAAGAGAGTTACTAGTACGAGTAGATGATGTTGTGGCGCCAAATTCCAGAAGAATAATTCCAAATGAAGGAATGCCACTCGTAAATGACCCATCTAAAAAAGGAGATCTAATAATTGTGTTTGTAATTTTATTCCCTACAAATTTAAGCAGCGAAGAAAAGATGGCATTGAGAGATATTTTAAGTAATAAAAAATGAAAGAATATTAAAATCAAAGAATGATGACGAAATTGTAATCTTGCAAATAGATAGATAGATAGAAATAGAAGTACATATATCTAATAACATTCTTAAAGAGTATATGATCTTCCTAATTTTTACCAAAATTTAATATATTACGCAACAAAAGAATCATATATTTGTGGCATTTCCCTCAAATGTTACAATTGTGAATGCAAAAAAAGTTATAAAATGTTATGCAAGTAAACCAGCATTTAATTAAACGATCTTTTTCTTTTTCAATATTATTTGGTATTTCCATTTTTTGTTTTATTTTTTACGTGTAATATTCATTTCCCTCGTTTCCTTTTGATTATTCGAATTTGTGTATATTTTTGTACATATAGCTTTATGCATTGATATATTTTAATTAAAAAGTTAAATTATGCAAAAATGTCCATATGTGTTCATATGCATAATTTAATTTTACGCAACTGCTTCAACAAAGGAATAAGAGTAGGAAAATGTTTTCATAACATTTTTTTTTTTTTTTTTTACAATAATAATAAAATATACAGCAGATCACAATTTAAATAATAGGACAACACATTTAAACTATCCTAACTGCTTAAAAGTATTTTATTAACTTATATCCTAGGTAGGTTAAAAAGAGCCTGCTGAAAATCATTGAAAATGGTTTAACTATACATGTATTTAATGTTATATATTATTACTACAATAAGTGCCACTATAAGTATGATCAAAATTTTTAATTATATTAAAAATAGTACTTCAGATGTACTGTTTTAGGAAGGTTCTCATTGTGGACGTAATTCTAAATTCAGTTTTTTTTTTTAAATGTGAGTATAATTGGATTTTATTTATACTGTAAAGTAAATTTGTATTTTTTCGAAAATATCTATACCATTTTGGTTCTTATTCTTTTACCCGTTTAGTAATATATAAAAAGTTCAGAATTTTTTTTTTCAATAAATTTTATTATACTATATCGGTTTATTGAGATAGTATATCTTTTTTCATTTTAATACACAACTGAAAGACATATAGTAGATAGTTGTAAAAGCTAAAATATAAAATAATTACGACATCCGCTCGTTTTTACATTTATTAAATACATATAATACTTTTTCATAACATTTAAAGATATCATTTAATTCAAATATGTACAGAACATATTGAGATTTTTATGTATTGCAATCGAAGACATTTTTCTAAAAAACTTTGGTTTTTGTAATTGTTTGCTATTTAAATTATGTATACCAAAAAATATTTCTTTTTTCATCAAATAAATTTTTCTTAAAAAAATGAAAAAGGTTTCCTTTCTTTTCTTATTTTTTTTCATACCTATTATATGAGCAAATAGATACAAACCACAGAAAATAATTCCTCATAATAAAAAGAAATAAGATAAGTATAAAATTTAATATATAACCAATAATAATACCGAATAAAAATCATATATCATTTATACCTATGTCTGCTACATTATGTATATGTGTTGTAACAGATTTCCTATTTATAAGAACCGTTTAGGTGAAAGAAATAAACATAGGAAGAATGAAAATGAATTTTACCCTTAATAAACACAATGTAATAAATACACAGTTGAACATTACTTTTTTTTTTTTTTTTTTACACCCTTTTTCAAAAACTTGGACAAATCTACCTTTTCCAATAGTTCATATTATTATGAAAATTAAAAAACAATTAAACAAAATTTCATGTATTTAACAAAATATATATATTAATTCATTCTCAATCATTTCTTTAACCGATCACTTTTACTCATCTACATTGTTCATAAATATGTAAACATCTTATTAATTTGTTGTCAAACAAGAAAAAAAAAAAAAAATGCAAATAATAATAATTATAATAAAAAAAGAAATAAATAAATAATGTAATAATATTGATAAAAGTAAAAATAAAATATTAAATAAACGCATAATGCTACACGAAATTAAATGAATACAATATATTTTCAAATATTCTTTTATAGCAATTCACTTAACCTCCTCTTTATTTCAAATTGTACATTTACCCATAGAATGACAAGAAAATACTTCCCTATTTTGTTTCTTAAACAATAATATATTCACAAAAGCTTCGTAGAATATGAAAGACAATAATGCTAAGTTAATAGTACATGTAGACATATACATACATGCACATGATAAAAATTAGCAAAATGTATGTATTTTCCTTATACTCACTCATTTTTAACAAGAAAACAATTCATTATATCTGCATTGTTATGAAAATTTTATATGCATCTTCCGATTTTCTTGGTAATAAAAAATAATTAAGGAAAATGTGATACCCTTTTACAAACATGTGGCAACTGCTTTTGGTTAATAATTCTCATTTCTTATGTAACTGAAATAAGGGAAACTTGAATTTTTCATAACAACTACTTTTAAAAAGGCCTCCTTTATTATCCTTTCCATATATATTTAGTGTGAATTAATGATCCTACTAAGGTCTGTAAAGGCCACATAAATAAGGTACACCATATCACCACACATCTATACACGGTACTCATTCTTTTTTAGCGAATTCAAAAATGGCAAATATGCACATTTATGTTGAATACATATTTTGAGGTGCACATTTTCCTAATAAATTTCTCTACAATTTTTCTACAATTTTTATGCTAAATTTTGCTCCAAATTGTGCCCAAAATTTTTAGTAATAAGCCCCCTTCTTCGAGTAAAAGAACGAACAAGCAATAGAACTCTATCAGTTCACACCAAAGTCTAAAGTTCTCTTTTATATATTAATTCAAAATTATTTATTAATTAATAATAATATCAAATCGTCGTTAGTTGAACAAAATAATAAAAATGTTTATGGTTCATTCAAATATAAAGAGTAAAAAAATAGCTTATTTCAATATAAAAATATTAAAATGAATAGCAAAAATTTTAAAAATTAATTAGAACACATATAACCAGCATATGTATATTTTATACAAAGTTTAATGCAAATGTATGGAATTCATCAAAAAGAAAATTTTAAAAAATAACATAAAAACATTGACAATTTATATATTGAATTAACTAATTTTTACAAATATATCATAAATTTTTTTATTGGAAATGTTATTATTTATTTAATAATACAAAAAAAAATTTTTTACAAAATTAGTAAAAAAAAAAGAAAAAACAAACAATTATACACATTTGTAGTAAAGCCATGACTCAAATATATATTTCTATATTATATTAATTTTGTAACTTTGTGAGAGTTCCTTTTTTTTCTACAATATCCTATTTTGCAATATTCTGGGTAATTTTCTTATTCTCTTTTTTTTTTCTTCTTTTAAAAAAATTTCTTTTCTTCATATCAAAATTGGGGAAAAACATCGCTTTTAATAATTTAAATGAGCCATAGTATGAAAAAAGAAGCGCAATTAGCATAACTCCAGCAGCGACTGGATAATTGCCAGCAACGAAACCCCCCATTCCTCCTATTAAAGTCATTACGGATATAGCTAAACAGGCAATTGCTTGGGATGTATTTCCTATCTGTTTAAAACGTTTTTTTATATTACCAATTAGGCCAAACCCTAATGTCGATTTGCTAACTGAATCTATCATATTTTCTTCCATGCTTAAATTTGGATCAGGGACTAACCTACTAGCCATATCCTTAATATTTTTAGGAACAGGAGCATTTTTATAAATTGTTTTTACATTACTCATAATTGTATCTTTTATAGTTTCAGAAGTTTTTTCAATACCACTTGTTATATCTTCTATTTTATCTGTAACGCAGTCTTTTATTGTATTTCCAATTTTGGGTATCACGTCATTTTCAATGTTTATTATTTTTCTATTAATAGTGTCTTTTAAGTCATTAATTTTGGGTTTGACAACTGCAGAATTAATATCATCCAATTTATCTAAAACAGTTAATTTTATATTATCCAACTTTGGTTTTACTTCACATGCAATATTTGTCGTTATTTTTTCAATAACTGCATCTTTAATTTCTTCCATTTTGGGCCCTATTTCTTCTGGATCAAGACTTCCAATTTTTTCTAATAATGTTTCTTTAATTAATTCAATGGGAGGTTTCCAATCACCGTCAGCCCCTTTCAAATTACTTATTATATTTTCTTTTATTGTGTCGATATTTTTAATTACTCCTTTATTTGCAGATATAATATAATCTAATATGTTTTCCTTTATTAATTCTAACGCTGGATTTCTTTCCATTTCAATTTCATGAATGTTACTCATAATTGTGTTTGCGATATCTCCTAAGGTATCATTATTTTCTTCAACATTTTGAACCTTGATTGGATATCCTATGCTATGTGGTACGATATCCATTTTTTCTTCAGTATCTGTGTCACTTTCAACATTGATTGGATGTTTTATTTCTACCTTATTTTCAGATTCTTGTACCACATCACTGTTGTTTTGAAGCGTTGACTCAACAATTGTTAATTTTAAATTAGCATCACTTTCTTGTAAAAACTTTTTGTTATTTGAAAACGTTCTAGAGTTAGATGGTAGTTTTTTTCTAGATTGTACTTGTGGAGGGCGTACCTTTGATAATACATGTGATTTATTTCTATTTGGAAGAATCGCATTTTGGGGTCCACGTGGAGGAGCCCTATTTTGAGGTACCCGAGGAGGAGCCCTATTTTGAGGTCCACGTGGAGGAGCCATATTTTGAGGTCCACGTGGAAGCGGCATATTTTGAGGTCCACGCGGAGGAGCCATATTTTGAGGTCCACGTGGAGGTGGCATATTTAGAGGCCCATTGGGAGGACCACGTTGAGGAATTCTTCTGATTGGAATTTGTGGATGACGTGCAACTGGAGGACCATGTGGAGGAGGTGGTCCTCTTGATGATACAACTACAGAACCTGTCTTTGACAATATTTGTTGAGATGGTCCTTTTGGTGCAATGCTTGGAGGTTGTATCTTTTGTAGCCCTTGTAAAGGTGGTCTGATGGGGGGACCATTTGGTGGAGGTAAATTTGGAGTTCCCTTTTGAGGAACATTATGTAATGGTGCTCCTCGAGGTACATTTGAAACGGTTGTTTGACTATATCCTCTTTTCCAAGGTTTACTATGAGCAGGTTCATACGTTGTCACCCTGATAACGTCAACTTGTGATAAAGATCTATTGTTGTTATTATTATCCCATAAATTTATTGTTTTTTTTTCATCCTTATTATTGCTTTCATCCCAGTTTTTATTAAAATTAGTCTTCTATAAAAAAAAAAAAAAAAAATAATAAGTTAAAAGTAAAACGATGGAATTATAAATTATACATGTGTTATCTAATTATTTAGTGTATAAACGTTATATTATGCTCTATACTTTTATAATTTGCACAGTTGGATCTGCTTAAAAATGCACATGGTACACACACAATATAACATTTAGAGAACAAGAGGCATTAAACAAAAAGGAATGCAAACTGTATATTTTTTAAACGTATGCACAACACATTTCTTGCTTACATTGTTCCAATAATTTAATGTCCATGCTACAAGGATACAAAGGTAAACTTTTGTAAAAAATTGTACTATATTCACTTTTTGTTTGACATTATATTTTATTAATCTTCTCGTTATTGATAAAAAAAAAAATGCCCAGGATTTTGCATCTGTTTCAGCATCATCATTTATATCATTTTTTTGTGTTGCATGACTTCGTTTCTCCATGATATATATTTTTTTAATTTAATAATATGATAATCGTTTTTAAGTAGAATTAGAGTCTTCATTAAATGTATTTTTACTTTAATAATACTATATTTTCCTATCACACATTGTTTTTAAATCACTTGTAATATGTATATACATAGTTCTAAAAAATATGGCTTCACAAAGGGTGATAATAAAAGTTTAAATTATATAATCCCAACTTAACTATCCACATCCTTACATGTAAAGTATAATCGTTCCATGCGTGTATAATGTTATATACATGCATGCAAAAAAACAGTCTTTTATTTCTCCTTAAAAATAATAAATAATATTGTGTACTTTTTTCTTTTTAGGAAATTAAAAAAAAAAAATTGAATACTCAAAAAAAAAAAAATAATAAAATGTTACATCCATACCTATGATATGAATAAAGACGCATAATTAATATCTTACAAATAACACAAAAATGATAATCCTACATTTTTTATGTGCTAATTATTGTGCTACATGCAGACGCTCATTTATATATTAGAAGAAGGGATGTAAAGCAGAACTATATATATATATAGTTCATATATGCATACATATATTACATATTACGTATGTATAAATAACATATCACAAATTCTTCTGTATGACATAAATCAGTGTATAATTCTTCAGGCTAAAAGCAAAATTCAGGACACGTTTTTTTATCGTATAATAAAAAAAAAAAATTATAGACAAATGGGCCCTTTATTTAATTATATAATAATGTATTATATATCATACCCAATTATATATAAGCTAGTGTATTCTTATATATACATATCTAAATATATTATCTATTAGTTTTCAACAGACTTGTAACAACATTAATATAAAGCAAACCGGCTAATTTTTGATGTTGCAAAATTGTAGTTTTCTTTTACAAAGGCGAAAAATATACCTTGTATAACAATATTTATATAATGTAAATATAACATATAAATATATATATATATGCAGGTATAAGAATAAGGGGTGGAAAATAATAAACGAAAAAATAATAATAAAATATATATATAAAACCATAAAATTATAAAATTATGCGTAAAAAAAATGTTAGAAATTGATGTGGAAAATATAGCGTAAAATATAGAGAAAATTGCATGATAAAAAAATTAGGCAAAAAAAAAAAAAAAATAAATAAAATAAGCCAGAAGAAAACCAGAAAATGTTATAATAATATAATGAAAAATTAAAAAAGAGGTAAAAGATAATGTGCATTAAAAATAATGCACTCATACTTAAACATAAAATTAAAAATAGGAAATTAATAGAATTTTAGGATAAATGTAAATTTTAAATAAACGCATGTATTAACCCCAAAGTGGGAAATTGAAAATAAACAAACTTTTGTATAAAATAAATAAGGTAAAAAAAAAAAAAAAACAAAGTTAAAAAAAAAGTGTTCTATATAAAATGAGCATATATTTTAACTTTACATATAATTAAAAAAAAAATTACATAAAAAATAATAAAAAATTTAAAAGGAAAAATTATATATTATAAAAATATTACGCTGACAAAGAAATTTGGGACAAAATATTAAAAGTATACAATAAATACAAATTTGATATATGGAAACAAAATTATAACTTTTTTAATTTTAGAAATAGCTTTTTTTATAGGAAAGAAAAAAATATGATTTCAACTAAATTATATTTCTTTTTTAATTATAATTTAAACAAAATGGAAGAAACATGAGAAAAAAAAAAAAAAAATCATGCGGAATGATCATTTTTATTTATTTTATAAAATTACCTTTTAATCATTGAATTGAACAATTTATTTTAACATTTAATTATTTACTAAGGATAAATTCAATTAAATGTTTTTATGCTTTTAAATATTTTTAAAAAAAATAAAAAAAAAAATTTCATTGTAAATATGAGGTTTTGAAATGTTTTAGAAAAATTTCGGAAAAAGTAATAACACTATTTAGTATTATAAGGTAGCACTGATTTATTGTAAAATGGTGGTACCGGTTGTAGACAATTTTTATATAAAACTTTTGATGGAATACAAATATGAATTTTTTAACCCCATTATGCAAATTAAATATATAAAATAAAGCATAAAATATTGTCTTATCTCACCAAAAAAAAAAAAAAAATAGCAAGAATTAAATTCATCCTTTAATAAAAACAGTGCATATTTGTATAATATTACTGAGCAAAATTTTTCAGTCTAATTAAAAATACTTCTCAATCCACAGTTTTTCACATGAAAAAATTATAAATGATTTCTATTTTATGTCATTATATATTAATAATATTCACACCAGTTTAAGGAATTACTTATTATTTTTTTTTTATTTTTCCTCCCTCCGAGCACTGAATTTCTAATTTTTTGGTAATATATAAATGTAAAATTCCTTTAGAAATATTTTCTATAATTTTTTATATAACACATATTTTCTGTTATACTTAAGAGAATATATTCTTAACAAATCTTATAAAGACACTAATTGAAATAAAAATTTTGAACCTTCAGTTTGTTGTCTATATGAGAACATCACAAAAAATGTAAAATTATTATTGGGAACTCTGAGTAAGAAACAATTCACCATCTTCATAATTTTTTTTTAACTTTGATTTTTTTTTTTTTTTTAAAAATAAAATTTCGATCATACATATTTATAATTATAAAATAAATATGTTCGTGTTTGTATAAATACATGTAATTATTTAACCAATTACTAAATCTTAGAATGTTCTAATATTACATAAATGTGTCATTACTGCGTTTTAGGCATAACTATTAATGCCCCATGTTTAAATTATTATTTTATAATATTTAGTAAAAATGAATATTAAATTTAATTTTTGGAAATTCTTAACTTTTATATTTGTATAGAATACACATATCTCATTATCCTTTAATATTGCTGATTAGGATAAAATTCTGTTGTAGAAAAGCTTAATTCCCCAATCAATATTAAAATTTATTTAATTACTTTAAAGGTTGCAATGCATATTAAGATGTACGTGTAACACCTTCAAAAATATGAAGAGTCTTTTTAATTTTTCTTTGTCATTTTAAACAAGTTTTAATTTAAATAAAATCAAATACCTTTTCATATACAGAATAGATTAGATCAAATATAACCGCCAAAATTGTTGTGTTACTTTTTAATTTTTTATTCTTTTCTTTTAGTACTAATATTAAAAAAAAAAAAAAAAATACAATAAGTGTTAATATTAATTATACTGGTAAAATATTATTGCGTGTATATCATTTTAAGAAAAATAAGACGTTTTGAATTTTCTTTTTTTTTTTGCTCTAATTGGAGGTACATCATTTTTGTTTTTCCAATTCTTCTCATGTTCAAAATTATGCAGAATTAAATATTGCTTTATAGTATGACTAACAACTTTTAATAGTACTTTCCCATATGTCTAATGAATCAGCCTTCGAGTGTCACAACTTCTGCATAACCGTAGAAATTGGTTCATATAAATCATTCCCTCAATTTGTCGACTATTTTATTATTTTATTTGTGTTTTTTGAAAACAGCATAAAATATATTGTTACAAAGTGTTCAAAAATATAGATCTATCTATATCATTCAAAATTATTCTAACAAAATATTTTCATATTATTTTTCATGCATACTTAAAATTGAATGCTTACATTTTTCGATGTTGCTACAACTGGACTTGCACAGAAATGGTGAAATAAAAGAACAAGTTTAATATTTAAACTATTTTTACATAAAATTTAAAAGTGAAAAATATACACAATTTAGTTAACAAGATTAAACGCCTAAACTATTGAAAATTATATATATTCTAACGGGGACTAATCAATTTATCAAATTTTAATGAGGACAGGTAAATGGAAATATACCTTAATCGTTGCACTTGATAATAATGCTATTAACTATTGCTCATAGATATTTTTTCCCAATTATTAAATAAATAGTTTTCTGTAAATAAATTATTTGCATTGTTTATAGAGTTTGTACAAATATATATAAATAGAAAAAAAAAAATTCACATCCGCTTTCTTTTGGGAACTTCTAAGCATGTGTAATTCAGCTCCCCAATGGAATTGACATGCAAACCTATGTGCTAAAATAGTATATATATATTTATATACCGTTCTTTTGTAACTTCTCATGTACGACTTTATAAATCATTAACTAAAGTTGTAGATTTAATTTCGGAAACGTGCAGTTATTATCGTCAAACAATTGTTTAAAGGCACGTTTACAGAATGTTGTAATTTTCAATGAAAATCAATGTATATACATTACAAAATTGAATCTCTTAAAAAAAAAAAAAAAAAAAAAATTATATGCATATATATATTCTCGCCCTACACATGTGCAATGCTACATTAACTAAATAAAAGACATGATAAAAAGGAAAATATCATTCGTAAAATAAATAATAAATAGTAAACTGCAAAGATATATATAATAAAAAGGAGAAATAAATAAATATGTGAATAAAGAAATACAATTACTCATGCTATCTCAATGCTTATAAAAAATAATTGTATATATTACTTATTAAAGATGTTCTAATTGGTTTATGATCTAAAACACATGGTTATTATACAGTTTTGGGGGAAATGTGTTCCCCCCCCATTGCATGCATACATATATATATATATATATATATATATACGCATTAAAATATCTTAACGAAAAATGTTTTTTTCTTTTTCTAAATTTCTTAAAATTTTCTCATATATCTCAATATAGTTGTGTTTTTCCTACTATACATACTATCCTTTTAACTCAAAAAAATAGGTACTTTCATAGGGGTCACGGTAAATATACGTACCATATAAATAATATGGCAAAATCAGCACTTATTTCTATTTTACAGTAGAAATGGTGTAAAAACTTGCATATCTCGAAATGATTAGATCATATACATGTATATACATATAGTTTAACCTTCCAGTTACAAACGTGTACAAATACGTGTAATACACACATATAATACGATCTGCGGATCTAACATTTATATGTTATTCATTTACAATGTTTTTATAATAAATTAAATCCACGTAAAAGTTTTTCACTTACTGAATCGACGGTTTCTTTACAAGCTTTTAAATTTTCCTTAATAGTTTTTTGTACTTCTAACATACGTTCCTTATTACATGGTATACTTTCACGGATTTTTTCAATTCCATCTTTTACTGTTCTTTCAAAAACTGGTACGTATTCATGATCAATGTCATTTAATTTCTCTATAATAGTTTTTTTTAATTCATCAACTGTTGGTTTCATGTCTTTTTCAATATCATTTTTAACTTTACGAGCAAAGTTGGAAATTTTGCGTTTAACTTCAGTTTCAATGTCACCTTTTACTTTTGTAACAACATTCTCAATCTTTTTTTTCAAGTCCTCATCAATTTCAATCTTTAATTTGCTTACAAATTCATCAATTTTGGGCTTTACTTCCTTTTCAAGTTCTCTAAATTTAGTCTTTAAATCTTCAATTTTAGGTTGAACATCTTTTTCGATATCTTTTATTTTATCCGCGAATTTATTCATGTGTGGTAAAAACTCTTTTTCAATATTTGAAATTTTATCAGCAACTTCTTGGATTTTTGGTTTTACTTCTTCTTCAATATCTTTTAATAATTTTTCTTTAATATCGTCAAATTTTGGTTTAATTTCATTTTGGATATCCTTCATGGTGGAAGCTAATTGATCGACTTTTGGTTTCATTTCCATTTCGAGTTCATTCAAATATTTCTGCGTAAGTTCATCAATTTTGGGTTTTACTTCTTTTTGAATATCACTTAATTTACCAATAAATTCATCTCTTAAATCTGCATATTTTTTATGTATGGACCATTCAGAATCATCCAACTGATATAATACATCTTCTGCAACATCATCGACTGTAGGCAAATTCATGCCTTCATTAAAATTTAACTCAATGTCTATTACGTTATTTTCTTGTTCATCTTCTACAGGTGGATCTTCTAATTCCTTTTCAAATTCTTTTAATTTATCTTTTAAACTATCTAATGTTGGTTTTACACCCTTTTCATAATTATCCCTTATTCTTTGCTTAATTCCTTCAATTTTAGGTTTCATATCATTTTCATAATTTTCCATAAAGGTACTTGCTATTTCATCACACTTAGGCTTAACTTCTTTTTCGTATTGTTCATATGCACTTCCTACAATATTGTCTATCATTTCTTGTAAAATACTTTTTTTCAAAGGTTCATCTTCAAGTTCTTCGGCCTCAGCCAACATTCTGTTGAAACCTAAATCGTATGAAGGTGCATTGCGTCCATATATCTCGTTACGCGATTTGTCCAAGGATTCCTAAATAAAAAAAAAAAAAAAAGGATAAAAATATGTTAGGATATAATAAAACACACATGTATATAATATGGTTTCCATGAGAAACGAAATATGTTTGTGTAACAGTCAATATTTAATCATAAATCATTAATCACTCTATGGCATTTGCTATGTTTTTTTCTCTTTGCACTAAACACATTTTTTCTCATCATAAAAAAAAAAAAAAAAAACGTGTAATATATATGCATATATTATATGTATATAATATGGAAACATGGAGGATTAAATTTTCCATGTTTCCATTCTTCCGCATAATCAATCTTATTTGTATTTTTCTTACATTTTCGTAATTTTGAAATGAACAAACTACAATGCTAGCAAAGGTGAAAACTTTAACAACAAAAGGGAAAAAATTCACTTTCCCCTTATTATTATATTTGCTTAGGGTAGCCATTTTTTTCTAAGGTATATTATATATAATTAATATCTAAGGATTATTAATATTTTTTTCTTTATTATTTCTTTTTAAATAGAAATTTTAAATAATTAGAATTTAAAATGTTAATATATTTAGTAAAGATTATTATTAAAATTCTACTATTAACTTAATAAAAAAAAATAATAATAAAATAAATAAAAAATAAATTAAAAAAATTACAATTTTTGCGTTTCAACTATTTTTTATAAATTATTATTTTATTTTTTTTATTTTATTACTTTATTTCATTATTAACCATAAATATATATTATAAATATCTATACATATGCAATACGGAAAAATTTGTTAAGATAAATAAACTTAAATAATAATTAACCTCTGCAATAAAAAAAAAAAATTCGGTTAAAACAATATTATTTTAATCATCATGGTGCTTTACATCCTTTTATAACCTAATATGTTATTATACCCCCCCGGCACTATGAAAAAAAAGAAAAAAAAAAGAAAAAGTACAAACTTAAAAAGTAGTTTCTAATAAGTAGTACAACATATTGCATACATATTAGTTCGTATGAATGAGTATTTTGTAAATAATTTTAAAAGAAAAGTAATGCAGTAAGGTAGATAGATAATAACTGCAAAAGGGAAAAATGATAAATGTTTGTATATATATATTTTTTTTTTATTTCATTTTTTTTAAAAAATTATTTTTAAAAGAATTATTTTAAAAAGAATTATTTTTAAAGAATATTTAAAAAAAAAAAAAATAGTAATAAAAAAAAATTTCATTTTAACATTTACGTAAATGTAACAAATGACTAAACTTTTAGTACATGTAATAATATCACTGCAGTATAATTTTTTATTTTTATGTCATTTTCTAGCATTTAAAAATACGAAGCAACAAAAAAAGGAATACTACAAAATTTCGATTAAATAGCGAAAAAGTACATAATTTAATTTTGGGGTACATGGTCCAATGGGGTATAAGTTGTATAAGGGGACATGATAAAATGAATAGTTTTTCTTTATGAGATATATTAAAATAATATAATTTTTTTTTATATCTGTTTTTAGCTAAAAGGATATGATATGGCCATTCTCATTGTTTTACAAATTCAATGTGGGACAAGTGTTTATATTTTACTTGTTCATTTGTGCATTCATAAACTTGTTTGTATTCCATTTTTAATACATATTATGGCCTAATGAAATAACGAATTCAGTGTTACTCTAAAAAGTACACATATGTATTATCATAAAATCTAGTAAAAAACAGGCATTTTTTTACCCTTTTCTATTATTCCATTACTATTAGAAAAAAAATTCGATATCGTAAAAATTTATTTAAAAAAAAAAAAAAAAAAAAAAAAAAAAAGTACAAATATGTTCTTTTGGATACATGAGAATTTATTCATTATAATAAATGCGGAAAAAGAATATACATAATTAAAATGATATGAAAATAAAAAAATAACCATATAATAAATATAAAATTCTGTATTATGAAACTGCGATCAAGTTCAAATTATTAATGTGGTTCTCTTAACTCACCGAATTTTTAAAAATATCACAAATAATTATCCTTATGGTTTGTATGAAAAAGGAAAAAAAAAAAAAAAAATAATAAAATAAATAGATAGGTAGAAAAAAGTTCTTGCAAAAATGAAACTGAAATAACAAAATTAAAATAACTGCAGTCGTGGTGCTGCAAAGAAAAGATTATCACAATTATATTGTAAATTGTGTGTTAGATAAAACAAATCAGCCTAATGTTTTAACAAATGAAAACATATTATAATTCATTGAAACATGGTGTGTGTCATTTGTCTATTTCCTAATATAAATATCGTCATAAGGTTAGCGCATTATCGTCCTTTTTCTTCTTTGTTCAACACGTGCATTATTCGTAAAAATGATGATTTGGAGAATATTTCTAATCTTTTTGTTTGTTTTAGCTCATAGTTCATTTGTTCTTTATGCATCAACGAATGATAAAACTATATGGGGTCTTCCCATAAGTGAAGAAAAGGTAAACAAAATTTTGTCTATTAATCATATTGAGAATTTTAATGATTATCTGAAATTTATTAAATTTAAGTATGAAATGATTGGAATAGCCAATAATCGTCTTAGAAATATTTCTAATGAGGAAGCACAAATTCTATTAAATTCCAAAGATGCTTTAGTTGAAGTTCTTAAAGGAAATGCAGATAGGAATGAGTTAAAATTGCCGTACGAGGATTTACAAGATGTTGCTCAATATATTCTCAATGAATTAATTAAAAAAAATGAGATGAAAAAAATAGAACAAATAGTGTTTGATGAAAAATGTGATTCATACAGAGATGAATATTATGAATATAGAGATAGACAATTTAAAGAAGCTTTTGAGAATGCTCATAGTAACTGGGCAAATAATGAATTAACAAAAAATTTTGATCCCCAATGGAAAAAAATGAAGTGGAATTTATGGGTAGATTATTTTAATGATATTTTATATACCTTAAAACTTAAGGATTACATGCTTCATAACTCAATTCTTCATTTAAAAACAATTTCTAGCGTATGCAAACAACTTTATGACACCCTAAAAGCTTCATTAATTAAAACATACACAAAACCTTTCGTGTTTGAATATAACAAATTTCTTCACTCATCTATAGAAGAATGGAAACATAACAATCAGAAAAATAGTTCAGAGAAAGCGAAACTAGTGAAAAAGACATAATTTCTAATAATAGAACCATGTTCAAACAACTTCAATACAAAAAAGAACAGACGAAGAATTATACTATTGAGCAGTTATCGTTATGATTCATTTGGAATTACACGTGCGTCTTTGTATGTTATATTTACGTATGTTGTGTACGAACGATGAATATATCGTACCAATCAAGATGATATTATGCAGGTCGGAAGAGAACGAATCTATTTTGCAAAAAAAAAAAAAAATAAAGTTTTCTTGTTTTACCGTCAATTTTGAAGAAGATAAGAAATGTAGGAAGAACATATATTCAAAATTTGCTGTTCTTTTAAGTAAATATATATATCGAAAAATGCTCGCTTTTTCAGGATCAGTAGCACAGAGCACATTTGTTACATTATTAATTCATTATTTAGTATGTTTAAAAAAAGGGGAAAAAAAAAAATACCATAAGAAATACGAATTCTTTTGTTTGTTATATGCATATATACATGTGTACCTCTTCCCTTTTAAACAATTTTAATCCGATGCATTGACAACTAAATATGTGACTTTTTTAATGCATTTTTGATTATTTTTTTCGTAAACCCTTTTTTTAGTAAAATAACAATATATTTTAATTCTACATTTTTTATTAAACATTGTTACGTGTACCGTTTTTTCCTCAGTCATTTATGCTTAAATAAATGTGGATGCCAAATTTGGAAGAAATCATTACATCTTTCCACTTTTTCTCACTTTTTAGTCGCCATTATTTTTGAAATATGAGTAATATCAGATTGAAGCTTTTCCTTTTTTCCTTAAAATGTATATATATAGGCATGTGCGCACACTTAGCCACTGCATGCACTTAACCAACTAGCCATTCTCTCCATTTTGAAGACAAATGTGAACAAAAACAACATATATTTTCGCTGATTTTTATATTTAATAAAAAGTTAAAGGTAGACACAATTAAAGATACGATAAAGGTGAACTGAACTATATACTAAAAAAAAAAAAAAAAAAAAAAAAACATAACTGCGCAAAACAATTGAGAAAAACAACGGCGAAGCAGAACTGAGTAACATAATTATGTAGACTAATACATAAAAAAAAAAAATTATTAAAGAAAATCTGCGTGGATAAATGTTATTTTGTAAATTCTTGTCACCGTTTGAGCACTAAAAAAATATATTTATTTTTCATAAATACATTTTGATGTAACCTCACTGGTGATAACAGTAGTGTTCCCTCTTTTAATAGATATCCATACTTTATAAATCATGGACGGCTTTCAATTAATTTGGCTCTGTATACTTGGTTTTCCATACTTCTTTTTTGAGATTCCTCTATTCTTTTGTAATTCTAAATATATGTACAGTTATAATTTGTTAAATCTAATAATGAATAGAATAAAGTGCCTTCACAACTATGTGCTGGAAAAGTATGTCACAATTTTGTGTCTACATGAAAAGACTATTTGGATTAATGTTCTGTAATCTATGTGCAATGGAAATAAAACCTAACCCTTTACGGATGATGTTCTGAAAATGTGAAAATAGAAAAAATATTTTATTTTCGAAAAAAATGCATACTTATGTTATTTTTATTTTTTGTAAAATGTTGTTATCAGTTAATGATTTATTAAATAAGCAAAAGAGAGGGGAAAATGGTAAATATATATATTCATGTATTCATATGTATTCTAAATTTCGGACGAAACGAAAAACTCAATTCTTACCACTAAAAGGCTATAAAAACAAATTATAAGAACCAGGAATATATAAAATCTTACTTCCATAAAGTTATTAGTTCGCTTTATTTTTTTTGTTTTTTTTTCTACGTGTCTTTTGTGTATATCCGAATCCTTCTCAATGTATATTATGGATGATTCTTTATCCTGATTATTTAAAGCATCATTATTTGTTGAATTTGATGAAGAGAGATCTTCGAATAAGAAATCATTTATAATAACATTTTCATCCTCCTCAAAAAAGTTCAACTCCTCTTTAGTACTACCTTTGGATGTTTTTTTTTCCATTCTGTTCGTAAGTATATATATATATTGTGTTTTTGAGAAAAAGTGTACGAAGCTATATGCCACTTTTTCCCCTGTAACACTTAGAAAGATATATATTTATGTACATAAGTATGTACATATATACACATATCTGTATTTACATAGATAAATACGATTTTGTTGCATTGTCTTGCGAATGCTTTATCACTACACTTTTGTCATAAATGAAAGTAAGAAAATAGTAAATTCTAATATTGATTAATCAATAGAACGCTATTAAAAAGTAATTACTAAATATATAAAAATTAAATAAAATGTAAAATTACGATATCTAATTCACCTTTATACTTATGTTACATTAAAAAGGGCATATTCATGTAACAACAACAACAAAAAAAAAAAAAAAAAAAAAAAAAAAAAAACACGTGTTAACAAAAAAAAAGTACAATCAACTATTCCGAATAGAAAATTGATTAACCAGTAGCCAAACAGAAACTATTCTGGTTCTAAATTTTGTAATTTGAATTTCTTTTTTCTACAATATTTATTAAAAAAAATCTACAAAAAGGATTTCGAAAAATTATAAGTGAGCTAGAACAGACATGTTTTCATTTTCATTTTCAGTAGACTACCAAATTCACAATATACAACTCACATTCATATAAAGGAAAGAAAAAACTATTTTCAAATGATTTAATCTTTTTGTTTGTCAACCGAATTTTTAAGCAGAAAAACGTTGTAATATAATGAAGAATAAAAAAAAAAAAAAAAAAAAGGTTTTCAATCTTTTATCATGAAAAAATATACTACTCCAAAATGGGTAGCAATAAATTCAGTTTTTTTTATAAAACAGTTTTTCATTATTAAAAAATAAAATACGAATAATAAGCTATCCTTATAGAAATTAATTCTTTCTGCTCTCAACATTCGGTTGCAGTTGTTGGATATTAACTTATATTTTATTTTATTTTTTTTTTTTTTTACTTAAAATAAAAATATTTTATATATTGTAAGGAACAGTTTTGTGATAAAAATAGGAGGCAAATTATATATAAAACATTTCATATATATTTTTTCTTTAATAATTTTTTGTTCATCACTGAATCGACATTCGATATACCCTATTTATTAATTTATGATGATTCTAAATATAATTGCTTGCTATAGCAGGATAAATTTAAAAATGTTCGATATAAGTAGCACGTATTTTTTTTTTCCCTAAAACCTTACCTATATGCAACCATATCAAATATTAGTACACCGTACAATAAATATACAAACACATGTATGTACGATATGTATTTATGTACCACTTACATATGTATACATATAGACCACTTTATCATCAGTTTAGTGAAGACCATATTTGATGTTACCATTGACTTTCCGATTTCTTTTTACAATTTATTATCATTCACAAGTGTTTTCACATGCCTGTGCCCTTCTGCATATGTAGTACTTTACAATTACTACTTATATCATCCATTTTTCATGTTAGAAAAGTATTATACACAAGTTGTTACGTAAATATATATGTAGTTATATGAACAAGTATATATATATATATATACCAAAAAAAAACTTGCATTTTTAACAATTCGTGAACCCTAAATGTAACCGACCCGTACTAGTAGTGGAATTAGTCATGTACCATTGGTAATATGTCAATTATAAAAAAAAAGAAAAAACCATAGAATCTCTAAGTAATTAAACTAAACAAATAGATGTCTGCCTTCTGCTGAAGTTTTTTTTATTTTCCCTATATTCATTGCAATGTAGGCTAACCTGATTTATAATTTGTCTAGCATTATGCAAATGTGCTCATTCTTATATATAAACCAGAAATAGGCTATTCATTTAAAAAAAAAACGTATTAAAATAAGTATGTAAAATTAAAAAAAAAAAAAAGAAGTAATGTTCCATGTATATATACATATATGCAACTTCAATGCAAGCTTAATATCAAGAGTCCAGGTAATTTTTTCATATAAATTTTTTTAATACAAAATTCAGGATATGTTTTCTCGAAAAAATAAAACTATAATAACAATAAATTTTTAAAATTTTCATCAATATTTTTCTCAAAGCCAAAAGAGTGAACTTATTTTTCTTTATACGTACAAATTGCAATTATTTTAAGGTAAAAAAAAAAGAAAAAGAATATATGTACACAATAAATAAATTTAAAGAAAGAAAATTCTATTTCCAAGGAACCCATATATTATTAGTTTTAACATACATATTTAAGATAAAAATAAGAATACCCAAAAGTGATAACTTTAAAAAAGAGGTAGAAATATGTATATATATAATTATGCCGTAGTTATTTCAATTTTTTTATCATCCATGGATGCCTGTATTAACCAAGGAAGGGTGGAAATATTTATCTTATTAATTCACACAAATGATTATAATAATAAGATTTAAAAATAATCACTATTGCCACCTTAGCACAGTGGCAGTGCGTTGGTCTTGTAAACCAAAGGTCGGGAGTTCGATCCTCCCAGGTGGCTTTTTTTATGTGTACTTTTAAAAAGTAGAAAAAATTTTTACCCAATAATGCATAAAGAAAAAAAAGTCTCCTTAATTTTTAATATGGTTTATATTTTTTATATTTTTAATTTTTTACACTTGTGTAAGAGTTAAACTTTTTTGTACGCTCATGTTTAACAAATTCAATTCCTTCTATTTCATTTTTATGTCAATTAAGAGGTTAAAATTGTTAATGCTTTACAACCATAACGGAATATTACGAAATTGGATATTCTTTTTTGCACGCACAGAAATAGCAATTACAAATATACTTCATCATAAATCATTTTTTTTTTTTTTTTGTGGCATGTTCTTAAATTTCTCCAATAATATAATGCATTATGACATGCTCAGTGTTTTCATTTTGGCTAATTGTAAAAATGCTTCAAAGAACAAAAAAATAAAAAAAAAGTTTGAATTGATAGACTCTGTGAATAAATATATATGTATATACACATCATTGTGTGTATATAAATGTACGTATATATATTTCTACACCGGTGCACACATATCTCTATCTTAAATACATAAATTCCAAATTAACGGTGTAGCTTAATGAAATTAAAAATCTATCAAGTACAATTCCCCTTTTTGAAGGAGAAAATTAACATGTAAAACTATGTTTTACATACTTTTTTACCTCATGGGTATATATAAAACATATATATAAATGACAAATATGTTTTATTAATGTATACACAAGTTTTCAATTATTTTTGAGGAAGAAACGCATTAACAAAAATAATATATAATGTTAGCAAATTATATGATATACAAGTATGCATAAATTTTCCCTTACTCTTAAGTTATAAAATTGGGAAATATATTTCTTTTAAACTATTCAATAATAATAATTTTCCCCCATTTAAGCTTTAAAGAACAAAAATTTTTCTGCTACGATAAATTAATAAAGCACTTATTTTATAATTGTCATGTTCTACATATAATGTGAAAAAATGGAAAAAACTTTTATAAAATTTTTGGCCCATATTAATTCCATAATAGTATCAATATGCTTAACCGATATCTTATCTTTATAGCCTTTTATAAAAAATAAGTAAAAAAAAAATTACGTTATATATATACATATATAATTCTTAGATTAAAATTACGGGCACCGAGGATCGAACTCGGGATCTCCTGCGTGTAAAGCAGGCGTCATAACCACTAGACCATGCCCGCTTATCAAATTATTTTCTTTCTTCTTTATTATTATGCGTACTTCATACATTCTTATTAATTTTTTTTTTTCTTTTCGTTTTTTGAAATTACATTTTTTTCGCCTGTTTTGTATGAATATATTTATCTAAAAAATATGTACATATTATAGTGCTATAAAAATTAATTTTCCCCATTTTTTTCAATATATGACACTATAAAAAATTCAAATAAAAAAAGAAAAAAAAAAAAAAAAAATCAGAGAAAGAGAACAATAGTAAGCTCTTTTAATAAAACCATTTTCTTTATTTATAATCAACCATAGTGAATCATTCGTACACGTTAAATGAACGTCAATGGGTTTAAATATCTGTATTTTTGATTGCATCCTTGCGCAATTATGTATAGGAAGTTAACAGTTAATAGGCAGAAAAGTAATTTATTATTTTCCATTTGGAAAATTTTCTTTTCTTAATAATATGTATAATAAAGCAAAAAAAAAAAAAAAATACGGGGGGATATATGTGATATTACATCTAATTTGAGCATAATATTTTAAGAAGACTAAAAATGTTTCCTACTTTTAAGAAAAAGGATAAAAATAATATAACAAGGAAAAATATTATATATATACATCATATATATATATAGGAATAGTCAAAAAAATTATTGTGTTCTGTTTTATAAACTATAAAAAAAAAAAGAAAAAAAAATTGCTAATTAAAAGCAATACACCTTCATTTCCTCATTTTTACTATGTTACATATATTTAAAAATACTATATTAATGTGTATAATTAATAGTTTTCCCTTTATTAATATATAACCAAATAATTTCCATCATTACATGGAAATAAGGGAAAATATTTGTGTAGGGAAAATAATGAAGAATTCTTATTTTATAGTGTATATGTAAAAAAAAAGAAAAAAAATCCCTTTTGTGTGTTTATAATATGAAACATTTGTGAATATACATATGCGTAACGAAGCAATAAGCAAATCATTTCAGGAACGTGAGAAGAAAAATTTTAATTTCTCGAAGAACTTTTTCCATAAAAAATTACACGCAAATAAGGTTAATAATATTTACATTTATCAAATGATGCCAAATTATTATTTTTCTTTTTTAAATACACCTAACGCCATAAATGGAAAATGATTCTTAATTTTTCATATTCACCACACAAGCCTGCTTGGAAAAAAAATATAATACCTTGAAAAGAATTGTAATCACGAGACTTTTCTCGAGACTTACAAATTCTTCTGTATTTATAATATGCATGTGTTCACATAAGCCTGTTTCGTATGCATCGGCGCACCCGTATGAACACCTCATTTTGTATTTTTTTTGTTTTTCCTTTTACGTAAAAACATGTAATAAGCAACTTTGAATGTTAACACAATTTATTATGCTCACTTTGTTTCACCATTATAAATTCAGTGCTAATTTGAAAGGATTCACATTTAATTTTTTTGCACAAGTCAGTGTGCATTACAATTTCCTTAAGCATGTGTGCACAATTTACAACTACTCAAAGGTGTATACACTTAAAATATATATATATATAGGTAATGTACAACCATATAATGGTCGCATAAATGTAAAAATAAAGAATTAAAGCGTCGTTTAAATGAATATTCTGCTTATTTTATTTAGTGATGGTTCTTTTTTATTTTTGTATTTTTTTTTTTTTTTTTTGGCATTTTTTCTTTTCTGCATCATTTCTCTTTATTTTTATTTATCCGTTTTGTGTATTTTACACAAATTGTAGTTGCGTAACGAAAAATTCTGAAAAATGTAACGAGTTTGTATAGTAGTACTTATGTGGGACAAAAGAAAAAACACTCATAATATTTGTGCATGATAATATTGCGTATTATGGAAACGTGATCTTTTTTTTTTTCTTTTTTTTTGAGTTAAAAAGAATATAAAAAAAGTAAAAAAAATTACTTCCAGGACGTGTGTGCAAAGCGGGAATGTAAGATGATGAAAATAAGTTAAAAAAAAAAAAAATTTCCATTTTAAGTTTTCAACTTGAATTTTTCATATTTTATTTTAAAAATTTCAACTTTCGATTTTCCAGTTGATCCTTTTCTTTTCCTACTTTTAATTTTTTCCTTTTTAATTTTACTTCACTTAATTTATTTTATTTTACATTTTTTCATTCTGAATGAGATAACCTCTTTTTTAAAACATTTTAAAAAATTGTAAAACAAATCTGTCAAGAAAAATGGGAGGAAAAAATACATGAATTAAAGAAAAAAAAATGCTCAAATGGCTTTATCACTTTTACACCAGTTTTAACTTTTTAATGTAATTTTCCCTTTTTTTTTTTTACCCATAAAATGAAAATATAAAATATAGTACAATAGTATCATCTGAATTTTAAATAAGGAAAATATTTTAATATGAAAGGGATGACTCTGAAAAGGAATTGTAATTTATAAATGTACATAATATATATATATACGTACATATATATGCACGTATTCACAAGTATAAGAGATTTAATTTTTGTTTTTCAGTTTTGTGAATTTTTTATAGGAAATTATTTTTACCAAATTATTCCTTTAATGATGCAAAATAATTAGACGTACTTACAAGCACATACACACATTGTGCGAATTGTTTTATATGTTCATATAAGTATACATGGATATACATATTTATGAACTGTCAAAACTTATCAGAATGCATATGCAAGGAGCAACAGCAAATTTTAAGTATTAACATTTGAAAGACCTCCAGTACATATGTGTTTATATTTCTTTTTTTAATAAATTTTTTTTTTTTTCTTTTCTTTTCTTTTCCTTTTTTTTTTTTACTCTAAAAGTACTCTTTTATTTTTCCAAGTATACATGAAATAATTTCCCTATTTAATCATATATATATAGAACACTTGAATAAAATTATGAATTTTATTATTCATAAGTTTAAAATAGTGAACGCATAAGTACTTGTCTATATATATTTTTTGCAACCAATTACTCTGAATTACACTCCGTTTTCCTAAGAAGAAATACATCATTTTTGTTATTTAAACATATATGCGTTAGAAATTGAAAATTAGATCAAAGATTAAAAATAATCCAATCTGCAACAAAAAAAAAAAAAAAAAAAAAAAAAAAATGGGAAGAGGCATCAAGGAGTCTTACAATTTAAGACATAGATATTTGGATAAAAGGAAAGAAGAAAATTTAAATGTTTTAAAGAGTCCTAGAAACAAAATAATATGTAAGAAGGAAACATCAGTTGCAAACACGTCCACCCTTTCATGGGAAAATAAGGACGAATGCAACAAAAATACAATCACAAACGCAAGAAAAGCAAAGTTACAGAAGGGGGATGATCTAAGAAAAAATCAGGAATCAGTTGAAGAAAATAGTAAACGTAAGGATATGATCAAATATATAAGTAAAGAGAAAAGCACTGATAAATTAGGTAAAAATGATGAAGATGATAAAAATGAAAAGAGCAGTAAAAAATACACAAACAGTGCTTCTGAGGGATCAGACAGCAATAAGAAAGGCTACAAAAATAAAAAGTATCAGTTGAACAAATCTGAAGAAAATGATGATAATGTAGAAGTGTATAGCTATGAATGTACAGAAGAGTATGAACTCGCTGAAAACAGAAATAAAAAAAAAATCCATTCAGATGATAATATTATGGATCGAAATAGCTTAACAATGCATAATCAGAATTATATCAAATTACATAATCACTCAGATTTTACCAAGAATAAGATAAATGTAAATCTCTATAAAGAAGAAAAGGACATTGATGTTAATAGCAATAAAGCAAATAATTATGAAGAGGAAAATGTTTACAATCCTTTAGATAAAACTGGGTGGTTCAATGAACATAATACTACTAATAAATCTGCTAACACAGCATATGGCTGTAGCAGAATAGTTCAAAGTAACTTTATAACAAAGGATGAACGGGAAACGTACAGTCATAATATAAACAACGTTTATTACAGAAGAAGCTGTAATGGCGAACACAATTTTAATGAATCCATAAATAATAATATTATACGTACAAATTTAAATGCACAACTATATGATCATATCAAAGGTGATAACTACTATTATAATAAAAAAAAGGTTTATAATGTTGTAGAAAATAATTTCCACAGTGACAAAAAAATGAATGAGAAGATTCCTAACAATAGATACAACTTACGCTCCAGTGACAATGTATATACAACTAACAGAAAACAAGAAAATAACATAATCAGAAGTGTAACAACCACCAATGAAAATAATTTATCATCGATACAGAATAGCATTTTAATGGATGATTACAATATGATAAATGAAAAAACATATGTGAAGAAAAAACAAAATGTACATAATGTAAATAAAATGTGCTTTCAGAATGAATATCCTGACAATTTGATAAATGAAAAAAAGTTAAACAGGAACTATTATTGCCCAGAATATATTAAAAAGAAGTTAAATGAATTAACAAATGATATTTTACAATTTATGGACATGAACGAAAAAGAAAGTAATGATATACATAGTAAACACGTGAACCATGAGCCACAAATGCATAAAACAGTTCTCAAGAACAATAATCATTATGATCAAATTAATAATAACAGAATGGTAGAAAATATAAACAATTTTGATAGTAACGAAAAAAAAAATAACAATTATAAGAATATACAAACCTGTAAAAGTCATCTAATAAATGATAATCTAAAAAATTTAAATGATGAAGATGTATCTCACACGAACCTGAGAAATTATATTTCGACTAAGAGTTTTGAGAGAAGAGAAAAATATATTTGTACAAGTAGTAGTAACAACCAGAACCGTAGCAACAGCTACCATACCCGAAATGATTCAGATGCCTCAGAAGCTTATAGTAGTAGTCATAACAATAGATACAATGACAATTGCTACAATAATACCTGCAACAACAATAATAATGTTAGAAGTGCTAATATCAGAAGTGGCAATGAAGATGTCGATGATAGCGACGGTGATAAGAATGGTGATGGTGACGACGATGGAAGAAAAGACAGGTGTTATGATGAAAAGAACAACAACGATGATTACGATAACTATTTCAATGCAGAAAATGGCACACGCGTTGATAATTTCAAAAATTTTCAGAAAACGAATGATGTAGATTGTCACGAGCAGCCGATCAAGAAAACCACGTTCTATAGTATGGGTCCTCCGTACGAAGAAGTAGAAAGTTCGCACAAAAAAATGCTGAATAAACACACGATTTTTTCAAGAGATCTACAAAACAAATTTTGTTCACAGAAAAATGAAAAAGAAAATAGTCCAAATAATAAATATACAGAAAAAGGCAGATATGTACGAAATGATGATAATGTTAATGATGATATAATGTTACCCATTAATAAATTTCCAAAAAAAATAAGGGAATCTCATAATTGGGATAAAGAAGATTGTGAAATAATAAACTCGTTGAACGAAATAGTATGTGAAGTAAAAAAGAAAAGCAATATGTTTGTAAGTAGTTATAAGAATAGGGAAATGTCAACAGATAATAACAATAATAGCAACAATAACCATAGCAATAATAACAATAAGAGTAATAACAATAATAATAATAATGACTTGTTAAGGAGCAAAATAGATAGTAACATTTTCAGTGGCATAAACAAGAGTGGCAATGATTTGAAAAACGCGCATCTTCTGAATTGTGAAGATAATTTTTTGAAAAAAAAAACTAATGCAGATTATGCGAATAATTATATACACACACAGAAAATGGTCAGTAATCATGCATCACTTTTGAAACATGCTTCTAATTTGAGATTAAGATATAATTCTTTGCATCGGGACGTAAATATTCCTGATTGTTTTGGATATATAAACTACAAAAATTGTTATATAGATGATATCAAGGATGTGAACGCCAACTTGAGAGAGCATGGTAATGAGAAATCTCTTTTGGGGAAGGATAAATGTCCTACAAATTACGACAAAGTGAACAATTTAAAAATGAACAGGGTCAGATCCGAACAAGAAGACACAGAGGATTCCATTAATTGTGTATCCTTCCACACTGGCAAAAATTTTAAAATCATTCGAAGCAATTCTTTTGCATATAGCAATGACTATATTCGTAAAAATAAAATAAAAGAAAACAACTATTCGAAAAAAATATTGCAAAATCATGTAGAATATAATATAGACAATAATTTTATATCTACTAAGAAAAAAGAAAATATTAATATTCATGAAGATCCCTTTAATGAGCATCCAAAATTAAGAGACCAATATGTGAACGAAAAACATGATGATAAGGATAACCTATCAGGTAGCAACATTTGCAATAAATTTAGAAGAACAGAAAAATCAAAGGAATTTCAGTACATACAAAAAAACAAGACTAACAACCACACTTTTGATAATTCTCTTATTAATTCTTACCTTTATTTAAAAAATGAATTAAAGGACATGGATGATATTCATTCATCCATGTCAAATGGAATAAAAACGAAAGAAAAATTGTTACAAAATAGGAATTTATCAACAAAAAGTATGACTATTCTACAAAATGAAAATCACTACAACAGCAGCAGCTGTAGAGAAAATAATCATTTAATGAATCACTATCACAGAATGATGAAATCAGATAGTAGTAATATAGAAAAAGAGATGAACAAAACAAAGTTATGTAAAAGGAACAAATATAGTTACAAAAATTCTGCTGAATATAACGAATATGCAAATAATGATATAGTTATAGAGGATGATACAATAGAAGATGATGCATATTATGGAAATATTCATGAAAATGAAAAAATGACTTTCAACAGAAACCATGTCATTAAAAAGGCCAATACAGTTTCCACAAAATATTATACTGAAAAAAGAAATAGTTATGAATACACTGAAGATGGAAATTTTACTTATAGTGAAAATAACAATCAATCTGAAAAAAAACCATCTTATTTAATAATAAACAATGCTATCGATAAGAATGATCAAATGAATTACATGTCATTTCATCGTGAGTATGCATTATATAAACGTGGTTTATTAGATGTAAATGGTGCACCTAGAACTTTCATAAGCAGTGACAAGAAAAAGGGCATTTATGGAAAAGCAACAGCAACTGAAGCAGCAGCAGCAGGAGAAACAGAAAATGATAACATTGAACAAGTGATTTCTAGTGATGTAGAGACAACTGATGCTACACCAAATTGGGATGATTACAATGCAGAAAACAGAAAAAACAATTATCATGGAAAGAACAGGAGAAATAATGAGGAAATACTTAACAAATTCAGCACTAGGAAGAAGACGACAATTTTCTCTGAATTTATGAATAATAGCAAAACATTAAGAAATAACTATATCACGAGAAGCAAATCTAATAATGATATTAAGTACAACTATTCAGATCACAGTAGTGATTCTATTTATGACTGGAAAAGAAGAAGCATGTTGTATGAATATGGCTCAGTGGGTAGAAAACAATTGGTAAAACAAGAGAGATCAGAAGAAATAGAACCAACTATAAGGAAAAGACGAAAAATGAAATCATTAAATGGTATTGATATAGATTATCAAGATGAAGACTTAATGGAGAAAGGAAAGAAACCGAAAAAAAAAAGTTTTATGATTACGAATGAAAAAAAAAATTTTAGTAGTTCTAAAAATGGGAATACTGACAGAATAGAAAGTAGAAGTAGGAGCAATAGTAGTGATGACAAAAGTGTCAAAAGTTTTGATTTGTTTGCATATGATCATATAGATGAGGAGGACTCTCTCGACATAAGGAACGATGAATTTCATGATAATGATCTTACCTGTGATAATTTAAATTATGAGAAAGGGAAAATAAAGCAATATAGACAAAGGATTACAATACCTGAATATAATTCAGGTATAAAATCCACTAATATGAAGAGTAATAGATTAGGGTACACGGATTATTATAGAAATTATGACTCTATTCAATGTGTAAAAGGAGATTTATTGAAAAACGAAAATTTTCCATTTATATTTTACGATTCGAATATTAGAAATTTAGTTATATATTACAAAGATAATTATAGCAATGAAATTAAATGCAAATATTTCTCAGCCCAAAGATTTGGACACGCAACAGCCAAAAAAATTGCACTAGATTTTTTAAGATCATTAGGAATTAATCCAGATCATTTAGAAAATAATAGTGTGTTTTCATATGAAAAAGATTCTAAAAGTAAATTAGTTAATATGGCAAGAGGAAGAAAAGCATATATGGATAAAGAAGAAAATTCAAACATTGATATTACATATGATAAAAAAAAAAGAAATGTAATCGTTTCTTGGATTAATAAAGTGAAAGGATATAGCATGAGGAAATTTTCAACACAAAGATTCGGATTTGATGTAGCTTTATCCTTATCCATTGATTTTTATAAAAATTTAGGAGGAGAAAAAAAAGAAGAAGAAATACGAAGATATGTTAATACGGTTAATTCAAATTTTAAAAGTATTCGAATACCAACAAGTAAGAGAAATAAAAGAAAGTTAAAAAATAAAAAGAAAGATGTTACAAGAGAGCATATAAATATATATTCAAATAGCGATGCAAGTACGTATGAAGACAGTTCTTTATCCCATTTCTGCGTTAACAATGTAAAGTATAACGTAGAAAATATGAAAGATCAAAGTACAAGAAACGGAATAGACACCAGTCACAATATGCATAATAATACTAATTTGTTTAACAGAACAGATAAATTTTATCAAGATTTTGAATGCAAATTCAATTTTTTACACATGGAACAAGTAAAATTAGATAGAATTTACCAATATGATTTTTTTTTAAATAAAACCTTTTATTTTTTATATTTAAAATATTTAGAAAATGTCAAATCGGCATTATGCGATGAAAATTTTCATATTTTCACAACAATGAGTGATCATGTTAGTATGCGTAATTATGTAAAGTCAAGGTACAAGAGGAAATTAAAAAGTGTTTATCAGCACCCGAAGGAATCTATAACGAATTACTTTCAAATTGTGGACTTCTATTGTGATATCGGTATGTACAGGAAATGCAAAAATGGGAATATGAATTACTTCATGAGTAAAATGAGTTTCTACAAAGATGAGGATATTTTTATGAAAGGTTATTATACCTCAGATGATACCAAAATGTATGACTTCTTTTTCCTTTCCAATAGTCGTAAACATAGATTAGAACAGACAGAGCAGGAGAAACACGACGATACATCATTGGCAAATCGGAAGGACAGCCATTATTACGAACGTATGTACCGTGAAAAAAACTATCACAATAATTTATTTAAGAAAGAAGAGAATAATGGAGAAATTGACTCGAACAGATTAAGTCAAATGCAAAAGCGGAATGAAAGAATAAAAAGAAATACAAATATAGAAAAAGGAAAAAACCTCAGGAACCCTCATTTTTATAACAATAATTGGAACGATAACTTAAATGATGATAGGAATGACAGATATAACACTAGCGGTAGCAACTGTAGTAATAATGACTCTGGTAACAATAAAAAATATAAGAAACAGAAAAAATCACATAATCACAATGATTATATGAATGAACATGTCATAGAATTTTGTAATGAAAAAGGAAAAGACATTAGAAAAAGAAAGGTATCCAAAAATAGAAAAAATAATAAAACTAAAGGAAGGAGAGGAAAGGTCAACACGTTAGTAAGAAAAAATTCCACTATGTATTGTAAAAAAAGTGAAATTGTTTATGAGCAAGGGAACGAAGATAGGAAGATGAAAAGAGGCGAAAATGGAGAGAAAGTATTACGAAATCTAGCTAGCTGCAAAAAGAATAACATAGAAAAGAATAAAATCAAAAGTAGTTCAACTGGAAGAGGGAAAAATAAAGGAGCTCATAGAGGAACTAACAAGAAGAAGGCTCATAAAGGCACCAATAAACGGATTCATAAAAGGACAATTAAAAATTTGAGAAAAGAAACAAGTAAAGGAATCACAAGAGGAATCCACAAAGGTAATCGTAAAGAACAACATAACATGACATATTTAAAAAACAAAAAATTTTCATCAACAAACAAAAATATAAGCAATTTATTTATGAAAGGAAGAAAATATATTGTATGCTACAATTTTATGGGAAAAATTCAGGTCAAGGTGTTCAGTGCTGATATATATGGTGTCATGACTGCTCAAAGAAAATCAGTTGTATTTTTACAACAAGTTAGGAAAGAATTAAATAGTGAAGGTAAAATTTTATACAGTGAAAATGATAGTAAAACTGCATATGATGTAACAATATCCTTAATGAAATCGGAGGTTTTAAATCCTCCTGAACATGTCATTACTACGATGAATAAGACTACTCCATGTATAGGTCCATCGGTGCAAATTAACAGTGTGCTAGCCAAAAAAGGGAGAGGAAGAAGGAAAAAAGTAGAGGATCTAGTCGAAGTTGTTGGAAATGTACATCTGAAAAAGATGAACCAAGTCCTGGAAAAACATACAAAACAAGAGGAGGCAAAACACGAAATGAATCATCTAGAGAAGAAATATTCCAGGGGAAAAACATACATTGGAAGAAATAAAGAAAACGAAATGATCATCCAAAAAAATGATACAAATGATGTATATATGAAAAATTATGAACAGAATAATTCCAAAGATGATACTTGTGTAAATAGCAAATTGAGAGATTCTGTGGATTATAAAAATTCCCATTACACTTATAGAAATGAAGGTAATAATGAAAACGAATCAATGCGCAGAGCATGTAGTTTTGAATGCAAAATAATGAAAAGTAACAACCAAACTAATATTTCAGAAAATCAAGAAAATTATGAAAGTTTAATGAAAACATATTCATCAAATGAACTACTTCATGGTACATTTAAGACGCAAAATAAAAGACATATATCAAAAACAGATAATCAATATGAAAATGCTTCTTTTATTGAATCCTTTAAGAATGAATCAGACAAAAATCGACTCGAACCGAATGAATACATAAATGATACATGCAGTAATGAACATGAGGACATGGTTTATAATAAGAAGAAAATGAATTATTTGAGCTGTACAACTTCGGATAATTCCTCAAGGAGATATAGTAATGAGACAGAATATGAAATTAGCACCATGTTAAGTAATACAGGTGGGAAAAGGAACAGCAACACAATAAAGAGTGAAAATGAAGATGAGAAGGATCAAGATGTTAAGAATAAAAATGAAAGTGATCAAATCAGTATGAATTTTTCAAATAATTTGGACATAAGAGATAGTAACAGTAAAACAGAGAAGAAAAACATCAATATTATTAGCGATAAAAAGAATCCCATGGGAAATGATGAAAAGGGGGAAGTTAATAATTTAAATTGTTTTAACAAATTAAATTCTGAACAGAAAGTAGTAAAAGGATACTTAACTCTAAGAAAAGAAAAATTTATAACACCAAATGTAAAAAGAGTTTATTCATTATGTGAATTATACAATAAAATTATTAATGAATGTGATTATACCGACTTCTTATCTCAAAATTGTGCACGCAAAGTAGTTCAAAATAGAAAAGGAAATCCAAATGATAACTTCAATGATGATTTCAACGATGATTCCGCTGGTGATACAAATGCTGATACTATGAACGACCATTCCACGTCCAGAAAACAGAAAATAATGAAAAATAGTAAAACACAAGTGGCGAATAAGGATCACATACAAAGAGCGAAACGCAATCAATACAGCATAGTGAATAACGAATTAGCAAATGAATATGAATGCCATGATCCAGAGAATTTTAAAAAAGAGATAGAAGTAGGAACTACAAATGGAAGCCATAGAGACGTTGAGACAACAAAAACTTTAAAAAACATCGAAATAATCAACAGTAATATCACAGGTTCCCCTCGAAATTTGAGAAATGACTGTGATGGGTTAGTCAAATACAAGACATCAAAGGGAATAGTAAAAATACCCAAAATATGTGTACATAAATTGGCTAGAAAAAAAGGGTACACTAAACTGACTTGCATTATTTATAGAGGAAAAGGAGAATTTGTTTCCTATTTCTTAGAACGAGGAAATAAAAAAATTAATAACAGAAATATGTTACAAAATGAAATTAAAGATGATGAAACTTATCATCCCCAATTCCCCCTTATCAATGGAGTAAAAAGTGACAATGCTAAATTAAGTATTGACGAATGCAGCAGTGTTGGAAATTCCACCAAAGAACAAGATACACAGTCGAGCACGAAATACTTTTTAAGAGAAAAATAAAATAGAATAATTTCCCATATCAAAACAATTTTATTTTAAAATACGGACATTTTGCATGTTCAAAAAGATAAGAAAAATATTTTTTCAACATTTTTTTTTTTTTTTTTTTTGCAATGTTAAAATCATAGTTTTTTTACATTTTGAATCCCTATTTAAGAAATAAATACTTCGAATATCTCATTCCTATATCTTTTTTCCATTTCGCACATATATGAAAGCATACGTGTTTTTTCTTATCCCCCACTGTCTACATGTTTTTATGTTTAGTCACTTTTCTGACCGGTTTTTTTTTTTTTTTTTTTTTTTTTTCTTTCTTTTCATGCTTTTTAGTTTATATATAATTGAAAACGAATATAGTTTAAGAGCAAAAGGAAAAACTTATCTAAATTGAAAAATACCGAAACAGTTCAAAGTGCTACATAGGAGGAGTATTAAGAATATAATAAATTATTTATAATGCAGCATGCAATGTTTATACTTACATCTAATTTGTCTTTTATTTTTTTTATATGGCTTTGTTTTATTTTACACATACATGTACTGTATACCTTTTTTCCTAAATATGTTGTGAGTGATGCCATAACATGTCTTAGGTTATCGTCTCATTTTTCATATATATCTTTACTTTGTGTAAACGAATAATCAATAATACACTTGTACGTGCATACATTCCCACGTTTTAAAGAAGGGATGTATGATTAAAGTTAAATCTTTTCAATACACATAACTTTTTAATGTTAATAAAACATGTGCGATTTTATATCCGATACATAATATTTGACACTTTTTTCTTAAATTTATATATTTTATTATATTTTAACATGCTTTTTTAACTAGAATTATAGATTTTATATTTAACAAATATAACTACACACAAAACTATTCTACAAGCATTTTTATTTCAACATTTGAGTTTTTAGCATCCAAATTATATCTACGTTTTAAAAGTCTAAATATTAAAAAAAAAGAAAAAAGAAAATGTCGTAATTGTAATTCCCTTAAAAGCTGTTGTTAACACTTTTGTTCTTGCTTTCTTATCACGTGATAACAATTTTAGACGAAACTCTTTTCTACCATTTTGTATATATGAAAATAAGATGTTAAAAAATCATGACCCCTTATTCTATTCTTAACATTGACCAATTTGGAATAACTACGTGACTATGTATCTTCGCTTTGTGATAAAATATAAATGAGTTAAAAACTAAAACGAAAAAAGTATATTCATTTTTATTATAACCACGTTAGTCCTTGAATTCTGAATAATCATATCACAACTAATCAAAAATGTAGACCCCAAAAAAAAGAGCAAAAAATATGTTATTTTATCACACTTGTAACACCCCGTAAAATTATGTTTTCCATTTTTTTCCCCTCAGTTATCAATCCGCAATGTTTATTAAACTTATACATTATATTTGTTTGTCTACCCTCTATATATACATAATTAATATCGAATAATAATATCGAGAAATTCAATATTCATACAAAATAAATAGCTCCTATATGCGTTAAATTTTTTTTTTTTTTAAGCCAGTTATTTTGACAAATTTTACACAAATGTATATTAAATATTTAAAAAAAAAAAAAAAAAAGAGTTACATATGCAAAAATTCCCTTGTAAGGTTAATTAAAAGCTTTTCTTAAATATAAGTGTAAAAATCATTTGCCAAAAAAAAAAGGAGGGAAAAAAAAAAAAAAAAATGCAATTATTTCTTAGAAGGAAACACTACCGCCCTCTGAATTTCCTCTACTTACGAACATGTCTTTCTTCATTGTTTTGACTTGCAGTGAACTTGAACCTTGTGGTAAAACACTAACAGCATCAACTCCATCTAATTCAAAAGGTACACCAACGCTAAGAGGAACAACCTATTCATGTTATCATAGAGTAAAAAATAAAGGGAAAATAAAATATAATTATATAATACCTATCTGAATACAAAACAGAAAAGCATGATGAATTATGAAAATACATATCATCACAAACAGGAAGAGGAAAAAAAAAAAAAAAAAAAAAAAACATGCGTATATATGAATTTATATGTATGCATACATATAGACATATATATGTATATAAAATTGATTCAACTGGAAAATGATGTATTCCTAAAATAATAATGTAACTCTCTTATTTCAATTCTCAAGTCTTACATTATTTCCTTTTAAAAAATAAAAATTCACTTTAATGGGGAAAGTATTATTAAAATGTGGCAATAAAGTAATAACTCCCTTTATATCTTTGGCTTCTTTGATAAACTGACAAAGGCCTGAATAAAAGAGCTTTTTATCCGACTTAATAGAAAAAAAAAAAAAAAAAAAAATGATCATTTAGAATGAATAAGATACAGAAATTTCCAATAAGACACAAGAAAAAAAAAAAAAAAAAAAAAAAAAGCTTGGAAAAATTGAATTGAAAAAAAATCCTATTTTTTGTTATTTTTTTTATTTTTTCCATATTTATATTATAACTTGTAAATTCCTGATCAGTTCTGACTTCCCGCTATTGCTTGTAAATTTAAACTCGGCTACCGTTTTTGTTGGTTTTATATACATAAGAGCATTTTCTACCTTCTCCTTTCTCCATACAATAAATAACGATCCATTGGATGCATTGTCAAAGGTTAAATATGCTCCTTTCTCATCTGCCATTATGTATAAAATGAAGGAAAATATGTTTCTTACGACGTGCTTGCTATTTTATTTTGTTAATTTTGCTTTTGAAGTAGCAACTATAATGTAATTTATAAAATTGTGTCTTCAAATGTTCTTATAATTATGTGCAAGTGTGTAAACATGTAAAATTCGATTCTCTCTTTCTTTTTTTTTTTTTTCAAATATTTATATAAAATTTGCATTAACAATAGATAAACAAATGTAATTGTTAATGTGTTAAATAGAATGTTCAAATTGTGGTGTAACAGGAAACAATATATTAAATTAAATAGCAAGATACATACATTTTATGGATAAATCGAACTAATCATATAAAAAAAAATATTTACATAAATGGTAAAACGGGTAAGAAGTAAAATTAAAATAGGAATATCTGTATCCCTATTTATATAGCTGATGGAGTAGAAAAATATATGATTAAGTTTAGGAATAAGAAAATAAAGCAACCAAAGAGCTACCAGAATTTGAAGTGTCACCAAAAGAATTACAAATGTCGTAAATTTTCTATTCATATATTTTTTTTTTTCATGAGTTTTTAAATATTTAAGAGTGTACAAAAAAAAAAAAAAAAAAAAAAATTATACATGCACATGTACACTAATTTCATGGAATTTTTTTTTTTAATTACACAAATTAAGTTTCTTACACAGCTTAACGTAATGTAAGAACTTGTTTTTGTTTGCATAACACTCGGACAAATATAACAACAGGTATGCCGATACACGAATGTGTAAAAATGCATGTAACATAGGTGCACACCAATTTAAAGCCTTATGCAAATGTTTTTATTTCTAATTCTCTTTCACTCAAAGGAATAAATACTTGTATAAATGTAAGAATTTGCATTTACTTAATCTTTTTTAATTATTCCTTACACATGCTGTGTAAAGCATTTTTATACCGTTTTTGAAAGAGATGGAATCTGAGATAAATAAAAAAAAAGAAAAAAATTATACTACATATTTAAATGATTTTATGTGCCTTTTATCATTATGGGAATATCAAGCATGTGTATTCATATACATATATAGATGTGTATATATGTGCTTATAAATCTATATTTACACATAGTATATGTGCACGATATGCATATAAGCATTTTCTTTTTTACTTTTTCAATTCTATCAATTTGTACCTCTCACTTGGTTTATCACATTCCTACAGCAGATTGCCATTTTGTTCGTTCAGTAAAGGGAAGATAAAAATGAAAGAAATAGCAATCTTAAATGTGTGTGTATTAATGCACGTACGTACATGTATATATATATATGTACATTTAAAAAGAAAAAAAGAAAATTTCCCAAAAGATATATTCTACGTCCTTTTCCTATCAACTTCCCATATTTTAAAAAAAAAAAAAATAATAATTAAATAAAAATATGAAGTTTTGTTGTCCTGTATGGAATATACACATATACAGTTGTTTTTAATAATGTTAACATAATACACAACACAAAAAAAAAAAAAAAAAAAAAAATGATGAAATGTATAATTCTATTTAAACAGATTATTTCAGTTGTAAAAAAAAAGGCAAAAAAAAAAAAAAAAAAAAAAAAAAAAAAAAAAAAAAAAAAAAAATAAAAAAAAAAATCGGAATTTTGTTTGTTCTATATGAAAAAAACAAAAATACAGTTTTTTTAAAAAATTTAAAATAAAACACAACACAAAAAAAAAAAAAAAAAAAAAAATGATGTAAATGTAAAATTCTATTTAAAAAAAAAATTTAAGTTATAAAAAAAAAAAAAAAAAAATAAAAAGAAATAAAATTTTTTTTTTTTTTTTTTTTTTTTTTTTTTTTCCTTTAACAAAATAGTTAGCTCACAATTAAGCAAAAATTTACGGATTAACCGTCCAGGCAAATAAAGTTACATTTTTGTTCCATCCTACCTTGGTGAAAATATCAATGATTTGGAAAAAAAAAAAAAAAAGGAAGGAAGGAAGCTTGTTAAAGTGCTTTATTGTTCCATAAAAATTTCCTATATATATTAATTTTATTTTTTTTTTTGAACTAGACTTAATAACTTATTCTTTTATCCCCTTGGTTCTATTGAATGCATTGCCTCAATATATTTTTTCAACTTACCTACATATTGATGTGTGTGCAGCAATATATGTATATATATTTAAATTATTATGTAATTGCTTATAGATATAATTGGCTTAATTTATTATAATTCAAGGTTTTCAAAGTCTGATGGAAAAAGGGTAAAAAAAAAAAAAAATATTTTAAAATGAACTCTCACATGTATAGGATTAAAAAAAATGTGTAAAAAACTGTTCTAAAGAATTATCAGTGTTATTAATAATTTTTTAAAAGGTACATTTTTTTATGTATAAGATAAAAAAAAAAAATTAGATAAATTTAAAAATAAAGGATTTTTTTCTCATATATATATATATATATATATATATATATATATGTATATATATGTATAGATATATTCATATAAGTGCTCATGTGTATGTGTGTTCATATATAAAGCTTTTTTCATATTTTAGAAAATTTTATGTTCATGCAAAAATTAAAAAAAATATATTTGACAAGTTCATAAATAGTGTTTTAAAAACAATAAAACGCTTTAAACAATATATATATGCTTTTTTTTGTTTCATATTTTTCATTTGGGGGAGAGTAGAGGTTAAATTTTTTTTTATTTTTTTGCCTTTTTAATTCTTTTGGGTACATTATTAAAAATGTATATATATATATATATATATATATATATGTATAGAGTATATTCATCATTACGGTGGTGCTGATTTTTTAAATTACACACTCTTAAACATTTAAAAAAAATTTCAAACTGTATATTATCTTCCCATTATATATATATGTATATATATACAAGGAGCATAAAATAAAAAAAAAAAAAAAAAAAAAAAAAAACACACCTATGGGCGGTTACGGATGTGTAGTTTTCCCCTCAATCTCCAAATGCGAACAGTTCTATTATGTATGCGCAAAATTTTAGTCAATCTTTTGGCTAGCTGCTCCGGAAAAAAAGGAAGACCATTCTAATGCTTCGATAATAAATAACTGCTTCCTTAAGGATATATTATGCGGAAGTGTGTGGTAAATGATAAATTTGTGGAACAGGGATATGTACGGCTGTAACTGTGATATGTTTTTTACGGAAGTAATGAATTTAAAATGTTTATCAAGTAGAGTATTGTAATTCTCAAACTTTTGAGTATCTATTAATTTTAGTTTAATTTCGGGTAAGGACTTGTGTTTTATATTACTTAAAATCATTTCAATGGCTTCTTGCGTTATTTTTAAATATTGTTCATTTGATATTTTAACATCAGCATTGGTATTACCATTAATAATATTTTCGCTGTTGTTACCTTCTAACGAAAAATCGTTATTATGCTTAACCTTTATTTTTGCTGCGTTATTCTTTGCTTTACCACTTCCTACGTTCTTACCCATGTCTAACTTTTCTAATGCATTTTTATCAATATTAAAAAAGACATCTAATTCTTCTTTTTCTTCATTACTCATTCCTAATCTATCTTTTAGTAAGATCTCATAATCATCCTGTGCATTTATCTTTTCAAAAACTTTCCTACAATAAATGGCTTGATCCCTAGCTTCATAAAAACCTAAATCATCAATAGAGAATTTTTTATGAACAACAAATGTGCTAACCCAACTTTGGGACAATTCATCATAAGCAACACCTTCACATCTTGGTAATTTCGCAACTTTCTTAATATGTGATGTTCCATGCACTTTGATTTGATTCCATCTGTTTCTTGGCTGTATTTCAGGTAAGTTGAAAAGTTTTTCTGCTTGTTTTCTACAATTAATAGCTCTCTCTCTTGCATTTTCAAATCCGTATTGACTGATTGGAAAATAATGCTTGTGATATTTTCCATCAATTTTCCAATGAGCAATCCATCTTTGCCTATTTTTATCAAAACAAACTCCACCAACTCTTGTTATTTGAGAAACTTTATTTAAAACTTCTTTTTTTTCATCCTCTAGGTTTTTATTGCTCTTTTCCATTTTTACTTTATTTCTTTTTTTGTTAATTTTTTTCTGCACACCTGCACCTAAAAGTTTATGATCAACATCTGAGCTGTTCCTTTTAATGGATAAACAGTTTGGTTCATACGCGTCGTTCATTTCATCCTTCACATTCAAACCATCCCTATTATATACCAAATCACTCGTACTATATAAAATTGCCTCCTTCATTCTTGTGCTATCATTTATGTAATTGTATGGTACTTGTTCTTCATTTATGTTGCAAAAATCTCTCTTACAACCATTAATTACATGTACATTATTATTTTGAATATAATTTTCCATGTAGTTGCTAATGTTGTTAAAAACATTATCACTGTTACAAAGTTGATGATCTAAATTGTTTCCATTTTCAATGTTGTCATATAACATTACACCCTCGTCTACACTACTACGTTGATCATTTTGAAGTTGTACACTAATTAATGTTAGCCCATCTTCATTATTCAAATATAAATTGTTATTTTCTTCATAGAATCCATTATTACTATTACTCGCACTAATATTGCAACTGTTTTCAAAATAATTTGTACTTATTTCACTTTTATTCGTATTATTCGTATATTTGCTTGAATTTAAAAGTTCCCCAGTTAAAAATTTTTTGGATTCAATATCCATACAACTATATTTATCAACAAATTTGTAGTTATCAATGCTATTGTTTTCGTTATTACTATTGTATTCTTCATTTTCATTCGTGTCTTCATTTTTCTGGCTGTCCTCATTCTCATTCGAGTCATCATTTTCGTTAGGATCATCATTCTCATTATTATCACTTCCGTTATTGTTATTCCCATTATTGTTACTATCCTCGCCATTACTGCCATTCTCACCATTATTGCTATTTCCACCATTACTGCTGTCTCCACCATTATTGCTATTCCCACCATTGCTGCTACTTCCATCGTTGTAATTGTTACTGTTATAACTTCCATTGTTATCACTATTGCTGTTATAACTTCCATTGTTATCACTATTGCTGCTATAACTTCCATTGTTGTCGCTATTGCTGTTGTACCCGTTACCGCTGCATCCATTAGAGGTATATTCAATGAAGTTGTACTCACTGGAATTGTGTTCATTCTTACGATAACCTATGCAGCCATAAGTATTGTCTTTTTTTTTTTCATTTCTAAAAAATCTCTTCATGCATTTACCCTCCTTCTTTGCATACTCATTATGCATTATGTTCACATCACACAGTTTATTTTCCCTTATGTAAAAAAAATAATTTGTGAAAAAATTTTCCAAAATGTGTTCCCAATTTTTTTCATTTTTCTCACATACAAGCCAACAATTTTTTATTTGGAAATATTTATTAATCCTCTGCATCTGTGCTTTTAAAACTTTCCTTTTCTCCTTTTTTCTTCCAGAATGTTCACATGCACTATCATGGAGGAGAGCAAAAGGTAACCTTCTTTGCAACTCAGAAATGTAATTATGTAAAAGTGTGCAGTCTCCTTTGTAACAGGGAATCCAATGGGGCCTCCAGGAAAATTTCATATCTTCTCTCTGTGACTCGGACATTAAAATGTTAGGCTTAGTATTTTCCCCAATTCTGCTTAATAACAATATAATATATTGTACATCATGTTTTGAAAAGTTATTTCTTGCAAAGTTTGATAGTATAATTTGCCAAGCATGTTTATTTCTCCTTATATCATAATTCTTCTCTTCTTTTTCATTATTTGAATTGTTATTTTTTTTGGTCAAACGAGATGGTGACAATTTGTCTATATCATTTTCGATTTGTTCCACATCAAATTCAGATACGCCTGAGATGATGCTATTGGAAATTTTTATCTTTTCCTTTTCAGTTTGTAACAATGATTCTTCTTCAACACACACTGTTGAGAAATTGTTTATCTTTTTATCTGCACATGCAATATGGGAGTTATTATTCTTTAATCTGCATTTGCATCCTGTTTGAATATCCTCATTGTGCGTAAAACTTCCAGAAGGAGTCACATTTTCTCTTATCAATAATGCCTGGGGAAAGTTAATTATATTCTCATTCCCTATAAATTTATCTAAAACGTTTGGTGAATTATTCCTCGATGGAAATTTTCCTACAGGTGGTTCATCAAAAAAAAATGACTCACATTTGGAATTATCCTCATTCACACTTTTGCACAAATTTGTCAAATTCGTTTGAGCTTTCTTTTGTTGTATAATCTTCCTTATAAAATCTTCATGCTCACTCAATTTAAAAACCAATCTTTTGCATTTATCAAAACCATATTTTTCTACGGAAAATATGCTAATTATCAATTTCTGGCTAGACTCATCAAATATAACAAAAAAGTATGAATTAAATAGGTATACATAATAACAGTCTGAACAATAATCATTTTCTTCTATTTTAAACAAAGACGTGTAGTCGTTATAACAATCTACATTGTGAAAATTGGACGTTATTTTTATTTCTTCATTCCTGTGTTCTTCACGCCTCCTATTCCAATATCCATTATTATTGAGATAATCACAACAATCCTTATCCCTCAAATTAAAAATGTTGTGCACATTTCCTGCTTTCAAAAACTTGCATAAATTTTCGTTTTGATTGTTTTCCCTAAACTTTTCGAGATCCTTTTTGTTAGGCATTTTTTCCGATAACCCTACATGGATATTTGTTGTCTCATTTTTACATGAATGAGATTCATCAGATTCTGAATCCACTTTAACTAAAACAACAAAGTGAGGCATTTCATAACCCACATACGCCTCTCCATCAATTACAAATGAGTATTGTAAATTTCTTCTAGCATTTTTAAAATTAATAGTTGGATAACATTTAAAAAAATTAAAAAAATCTAATGGCATATTTATCTTTATATATTCATCTTTCTTAATATCTAATATATTTACGCTCTGAAAATTTGAATCCAATTTTCCTTCTTCCAATTTTTTTAGCTTTTCCAACTCTGGAGAGCTTTTATATTGGTATAAATTATTCTGACTTAGTAAAATCATGGTTGATGTTTTTTTTTTTTTTCTTCTTTTTTTCTTCCTTGTCCTTGTAATGGGATAGGTATGAGTTCAAGCATGCACAAATATATACAAAATGTACATATGTATGTACATATGGGGTTCGTACACCTGGGGTTTTCGACACTTCTGGCTCAACTAAAGCAATTTACAATAGTATGAAATGCGTAAAAACAATTAGCAATATAATAGAATACTATGATGATCAATTGAAAAACAATTTTAAAATACGTAAATGAATAAATGAGTGAATAAATAAGCGAGTGAATAAAAACAAGATCTAATAAAAACATGATCTAATAAATACGTGATCTAATAAGTGAATCCATAAATAAATGAGTCAATAAATAAATGAGTTAATAAATAAATGAGTCAATAAATAAATGAGTCAATAAATAAATGAGTCAATAAATAAATGAGTCACTAAATGAATAAACCAATAAATGAATAAACCAATAAATGAATAAGCCAATAAAAAAAATGAAATAATAAAAGTATATAAAAAGAAGATGAATTAAATTACATTAATAAGACATTTTCAATTTAAGTAGGGCCAAACATATTCTCTTACTTGTTAATTATTCATTTTTGAGGGAGTATTCAAATTATGGAGTCGTAAATAAATTATAAAAACCACTTTCTGCACCTAATGTGTTAATTTAGCCCCTTCAGAAAGGTGCATCAACAATAACAACAATAGTTACAACCGTTGTCCAGGCACGCATGTGCATAAATAAAACAAGGGTGTGCAATGCTTCTACTGAGCCATTACCAAAATGCACTTGAAAATATTCTTTGAAAATTAAAAACGTATTTAAAATAATAAATAACTCAATTGGAAATATTCTCTCTACGATTATTTTTCCTCATAAAATAAAATAATAACACATGTTCACATAGATCCATACATATATATAAACATATATGTTGCTACATACAACAGCGCAAGGTCAAAACAGCCATGTGTGCTATATGCATCTATGTTGTATAATATATATATAAATTCAGCAGTCTATCTATGTATTTTGTCCTACTGCTTTCATAAATTATCATATAGATATGTTATATGTAAATGGATAGATGTAAACGCAAAAAAAAAAAAAAAAAAAATCACCATATATATGTACACATATATATACATGTGCTTATTTGCATATGCACATAAGCAGATACGTGGATTTATTCCATTCATAAACGGCTACATACGCGTAATATTTATGTGAGATTTCACACGATATTCATGACAATAAAAACTTAAGGGACAAAAAAAAAAAAAAAAAATTAAGATAAACATGAAACATAAATAAAGAAGATGATAAAATGTGAATAAATAAGTAAAGGGATTTAGAATGCTCACTAATTGGGCTACTTATTCTCTAATTTTTCCCTTCTTTCTTGGGGGTTGTACAAAATACTATATAGAGAGAAATATAACATGGATACATTTTCGACTTAGCTTTTTTTTATAAATTTCCATGTATTGCTCCGTATACAACTATTATAAAGGTCATAAAATGATTTTCACATATTTAATTAAAAGATTTCTCATAAATATTGTTGGGAATAAATAACAGAGTAATGCGGTAAAATGGGACTTTAAAAACAGGTTATTATGTATTTAATGTAAACACGTGTACTTCCTAAACATTCAGGTGTAATTAATGAATATGCTGATGTAATTGCATACACATGAATATGTACAATAAGTATATGTGTAAATGAAAATAACAAGTTGGTTATCAGTGTGTAAAGATATGAATAGGTAAAATTATATAAGCGGTTAAAAAAAGTGCACTATTATTTATAACTATTCCTGCTTCTATATGCATTTTTATACTCCTATGAGAAACTTTTTGTTTTTTTGGAGTGTGCTCTAGCATTAATATAACCTCAAAAGTGTAGGGTAAAAAAAACCACATGAATATCTTTAAAAACAATTTAAAAAAAAAAAAAAAAAAAAAATTTGGAAAATTAAAAAATTTTGGCATAAGAGGACAGTGTTCTTTAATTAATAAATGTGAAATATGTAAATATAATACATGAGAGCATGTTAAGAAATTTTAAATACACTAAAAATATGAATAAGTGGATATATTTTAAGTACGTCCATTTTTATATTATAAAAAAAAAAAAAAAAAATCCACGTTAAATGGAAATTACACAAGTGTAATGGTACATATATATAAACACATTCACGTATATTTATACATGTGTATCCATATAAATAAACACTTATATACATGCATAAATGTATGCTTAAAATATTCGCCAATATATACAGAAACACACCTAACTTTCTTACTTAAATTTGCTTAAGCCATGAAAGGCCCCTCTTTTTTCTTTTTTTTTTTTTTTCCTTTTATAGGTGAAATTATATAAATAAATAATGTAATTAATAGCGTGTAAAGGTGAAATGAAATCTAAGTATGTGTTTTAAAATTAGAATGAAAAGCAAAATTTTATTCCCTTACAGAACAATTCAGTTAGTAATGAATAGTGTAATTTACATGCAAATGTAAAAAGTGAATAATTTAAGAATACATAAAAATATAGGAAAGTAATAAAAAACAAATTTTATGTAGGAAAAAAAAATATGTTAACGTATTAATGGCGAATAAAAGTGCCCAAGAAAAGGTATATGTATATATATATAGTTTCAACATACATTTATGTAAAAGGTGGATATATTATTTATAAAATTAGGTATATTAGGAATTTTTTCTTTTTTTTTTGAGGGGAGGGGGAGGGAAACCCCTTTTCTGTTTTTATCAAAATATATGAAAACATTAACTATTCGTGATATATATACAGAAAAAAAATAAAGTATATTTAAAAAAAAGGTTCAAAAAAAAAAAAAAAAAAAAATGTTCAAAAAGGTGTTTAAGCAAAAAAAAAGAAAAAGGGTAAACACAAAATATATGTATTATACAAAAAAGTATGCAAAAATGTATACACAGAAAAATGTTTTTAAAAAATTATTTTTCTACATGTGGGATATATTTTTTGTATGCATTATCCACCCTACTTACAATTTTTTTCTATTTCCTCTCAAGAATGAAATTAGAAAGTTTAATTCCTCATTTCACGTTCTATAATTACTAACACAGCCTATATAATATTATTATTAGGGTAATGATGCATTACACTCAAATGAATACAAAAATGTACAAAGGAGAGAGTGCAAATATTTTTTTATACATACCACATATATGCATGTAACATTTAATCACATAGTGCAAGTGTAACGTGTATAATTACATACTCACTTTTCGCATATCACTTTACATCACATCTTACATAAAATATTACCAAAGTGTTTACCACTTATATAAAAACTTCATAAAAAAACTGAGTCATGTGGGATTGTTATTTTACACGTAAAATATAAGAACATATAGTTCACATAAGTATATTATGGATAATAGGGATGCATAAAATGTATATAGATGCATATATACATAATTTATTACCATGTACATTTACATTAATATTACGCATGTAATAAGAATCAGTGAAATAAAGAAAAGGAAAATGGGGAGAGAGCCTACTTCGGCTATTTTTTCTGCATTCTCAAAATTTTGCGGAAATTTGTAAAAGCTCACAATAAAAATTATAACACCCCTCAAAATGATCACAATATAAATATAGTATATAATATTTTTGCTCTTTTTTTATTTTTACATCAGTAATTATATATTTATATATATGAGCTTTTTTCTATCTTATAATAACTCACATTTAAAATTTGAATGAAAAAAAATTAATTCCTTAATAAAAAATGTAACAAGTTAGTAAATACACAAAAAATGATAAAATAGAATAAACATATATGTTTTCCCTTTTTTTTTTTTCTTAAAGAAAAATAAAATTAAACATTTTTCACATGTAATTGTATATGTTGTAAAATTTTATGTAAGATGAAATTATGTAGCATAAATAAAAACATAAATTTTTTTTTTTTTTTCAAAAAAGTAAAATTATAACAAAAGCCGGATTTATATAACACAGTTACCTTTTTTTTTTTTTTTTTTTTTTTTTTTTTTATTTTTTTTTTTTTGTTTTTTTAAAAACAAATTTTTTAATTATTCGTTATTTTTAATTTTGCTAAAATAAAAAAAAAAAAAAAAAAAAAAAAAAAAAAAAAAAAAAAAAAAAAAGGGAAGAAAACATTTAATGTGCTTGTTCTAACATTTAATAACAGCTTATTTACAAGATCATTTTAAAAAAGAAAAAAAAAAAGTGCAAAAAGGAAGAACAAGAAAATCCCTTTTTTTGTTGTTTAAGTACAACATGCGTAAGTTGTGCTAATGAGAAAAAAAAGAAAAAAAAAAAAAAAAAACCTCAATTCATGTATTGTTTGTTCACACTTTACACCTTTTATCACCACGAAAAAGTTTTTTTTTTTTTTTTTTTTTTAAGGAGAAGAAAAACATTTTGAAAAATTGATAATATACTTTGCCTCACCATAACCTTTTTTTTTTTTTTTTTTCAAAACTCTATGTAGTGTAAATAGCAAAGTGTAAATTACTAGAAAATCTGTGTACATTTTTTCAAATGAATAATAAAACAAAGTGTGTAACCATATTCATGTGTGAAATATACACATAAGTGCATGTGTATACTTTATGTACCCCACATGTACGATTTACATTTATTAATGTTTACATCTAGTATATTAAAACGTGTACATTTATCATTATATTTACACATTAAACCATTTGTAACAATTTCAATTTTCATCGAGCTATATTTCGCTACATTTTTTTACATCCAAAATTTTGTGCATCTGGAATAGATGCAATACTAAATCATTTCTGCAACTCAATTTATATAGAGCAAAAACATTTTACCACAAGTACTTAATTATTTATCATATCTTTTTTTTTTTTTTTTTTTTAACAATCGCGAATGAAAAGAAAAAATAGAAACAGTTAAAAACTAGGAAAAAAAAAAAAGAAAAGAAGTTATTGAAAAAGGAAATAAAAACAAAAATTAAGAACTGTTTTAAAAATATTATACACTAACATATCTCAACCTCTATGAGTCTCTCATCCCTGCACATGTTCATCATTTTTACGTTTTCACTTAACAGAGTGAACGTGTTTTTTGTTACACCATAGAGAATACATTGCATTTGCTTATTTCATTGCTTTTACATTTGTTTCTAATTTTTACACACTTCAACGAACGTATACACACAATTGTACAATTTTACACAGTTCCCACTAACCTTTTACACATTTTCAATTCCATTCACATACAAGTTACACCATTTTTATGAGCAGTCAATGGGCCTTTTAAAATCTTAAAAATATCTGTGACCTCAAATTTCCTCTCCTTTGCATATTACACAATGGTGAAGTTACGAGAACCATTGGAGAACACATTTAAGAATACTGTAAAATTTTTTAAATATTTACAACTTTATATTCATTCAAAATTGCGTGTATACGTTTTTACACATACGTGTAAAAGAAGAATGACAATCATCACAAGTTCTCCACATAATTTTGCATAAAAAAAAAAATTTTTTTTTCTTTTTTTTCTAATATTGAAAATGTTTCCTTAAGGTGAATTGTTGTAAGGGCGTAGTATTTGCACTTTTTTTTGGACCACTTGTGTAAATATTTCATATTCTCAAAAAGTTAATTTTTTTTTTTTACAAAATAAAATTTTAGTAATCAAAACAGGCGTGCGCAGATTTTTCATTTTTGTGCGTTACATAATGTAGTCATTTTTTAAGAGCAAATGAAAAAACAAGGTGTGTAAATTCCTTGTTAGTCAAATTATCATAATCATAAATGTATATTTAAGTATATACATACGCAGCTAATAAATACAAACTAGTTCTTATCAGTGTTATTCCCCAATCTCTTATATGTGTTTATATTTACCAATTTTGTAGTAAGCAAACACACATAAAGATATGATGTAATATATATACAAAGGAGGACAAATACATTCGTCAGTATCCCTGTGTTTTTCTTTATAACTGATATCTATAAGTAAAGCTTAATGGTTAGTTTACATTTCTTCTATCGCTATACAATACGAAATTATTATACATTTACCGCTTTACCCAATTACCCCCATTAATTGTATTTCAAAAAAAAAAAAATTGTTCAGAGGAAACTCAACGTATTAGCACAGCTTCCCATGATAGAGAAAAAAATATGGTCCTTTTTTATAAAATAAAAATTCTAGTTAGTGTTATAACAAGCCACTTTGAAGCAACCATTGGGTTGTAAAAAAAAAAAAAAGAACATACAGAAATGTGTACATATATACAGAGAGGGATTGATGGATGATGAAAAACAGCATCTGCCAATTCTCGCAATTTTTAAATGTTAATTTTTTTTTTTTTTTTTTTTTTTCCTTTCATTATTTGATATTAAAAAGTGCAGTTCTGCGAATTTTTCACCTTCATTGATAATTGTGCATGTAAGAGCCAGCATATTATCAAACACTCTTGGTTCTTTTATGCAAAATTAAAATATGATTCTTGTGCAAATAAATTCTTTTTTTTATTGATAAATCTTCATATAAAAACAAATTTACACCATTTTTATTTATTATATTTTTCTTAGCAAGCCATGCCACTTTCTTATTATTGAGTTCTTTTAAATGGTGTGTATTTCTTATTTATTAAGGCAATTTTTTACAAGTTCCAAAATGAGTAAAATTTATTTCTCCTTATTTGTTCCCCTATCTATATTTGTTCATTCATTTTATCGTAATTTCAAAATCTCAAACAAGCTGATTTCTCAAAAAAATCTAAGCATTTCACCTAACTCATAGACTTTACATAAAAGATGTACTTTATATGTTGTTTACATAATAGAACGTTCGCCATGTTTCGTGAGCAATTAACTTATATTCCTCACTTTGCATCGAATGGAACTTTTAAAGTTTTTAAAAGTAGGAGAATTTTATACCAAATTGATAATAAAAATAATGACACAAAAACATATGCCCCTATGTTAATTTCTTTGATATCTTTTTAATATCTATCATGATTAATGTTATTAAACTGTGTTGCCCATATGCACGTAAAATGTATGCACTCGAGAAAAAAAAAAAAAAAAAAAAAAAAAAAAAAAATTAAGAAATTAAAAAAGTTAATTTTTTTTTTTTTTTTTAAATATATACATTAAAACACGCATGTGTATCCAAATGGAGGGGAAAGCATCTTATCTGTTGATTATCTCAAAACAATGATTGAGGATTAATTCCTTTTTGAAAATCGAATTAAACCTTAATTGTGTTTATCGGCGTTTGTTCATGTTTGCTGACGTTTTTTCACGTTTCTTGACGTGTGTTGATGTTTGCTGTTTATAATATTGTCCCTTTTTTTTTTTTTTTTTTTTTCATATTTTTATACCAAAGATTATATAAATTGTTATTGTATCACATTTTGAACAAAACGTGTAACTTTTTTTCTCAATTTGTTGAAAGCAATTCTAAAAAGTAGAATAACTCCATTATGCAACATATATACACTGCCAAGATGCTACTATGTTACCACGAGGAACTGACTATTATAAAGATGATGCTAAATTATAGATGTTAATCCCTTTAAAGCATAAATACACTCTAATATATACACGCACTTGTGTGTACAGAAAAAAAAAAAAAAATTAAATAAATAAAAGTATATTAAACAAACACATTCGTTTGGTGTTATAATTATATGCAAGGACTATTTCTCGTCTTTTCCTTTTTGTAACTTTCATTGACATGTCTCCTGGCCAAGTAAATAAGAAAAATGCACCAATTCCACAATATTTTGTAGAATGCAAAAAAGTAAAATTTGCATTTTCTAACGTCTTTTCTTTGAGGTTACTTAAAAGCCCTAAGCAGTAGCAGCAGCTGCGAACACATGCATGTGTCATACAATATTCACACAAGCATGATTTGATATATTCATGTTCCTTGAACGCAAAAATATGGATCATGTTTTTATTCTCTTCTTCAGAGCGAAATAAATAAACTAAAAGAGGTTTTAAAAAAACTACCACAAGAAAAAAATGACGAGAAAAAGAGAGAAGTTCTCAAGAAAGTAATAGCATACATGACCCTAGGGGTCGATGTATCCAAGTTATTTCCAGATATTATAATGATGTCAAGTACAAATGATATAATACAAAAAAAAATGATATATCTGTACTTAAATAATTACGCAGGTATATACTTGTTTAGTTTTGTTTAACTAGAAAACGTTTATATGTTTTCACCCTTAGTCTCCACAATATGTGCATTTTTACCTCACTATACGTGTGTTATTTTCCCCTTTTTGCGTATTATAATTCGTTTTTCTCCTATTCAGTATTAACATCACTGAACATTTTCTACACCGCATCGCAGAAACAAACTCAGAATTATCGTTACTCACAATAAATACTTTGCAGAAAGATAGCAAAGATGATGATCCTATTATAAGGGGTTTGGCTTTACGCAGTTTTTGCAATTTAAGAATTAATAATTTATTTGAATATATAGAAGGACCTTTATTTAACGGTTTGGTTGATAAAAATTCCTATGTTCGAAGAATTGCTATCATAAGTTGTGTAAAATTAATTAAAATGAACCCACAGATGGGTATAAAAAATGATGTTATAAAAATTTTGAAAAATAAATTATTAGATAAAGATCCCCAGTGTGCAATAAATGCTGTACATGCGTTGAACGAAATATTAATAGATGAAGGTGGCTTAAAAGTTAATAAAGAAATAATTTTTAATATGTTAAATAAAATATCAACTTTTAACGAATGGGGTAAATGTGTCGTACTAAATATTGTAAGTACGTACACTCCAGATAATGAAGATGAAATGTATGATATTATGAACATTTTAGAAAATCATTTAAGAGATTTTTCATCAGCCGTATTTTTGTCATGCTTAAAATGTTTTCTAAATTTTTCTACCATTGATTCAAATTTACAAATTCAAATTTTTCAAAGAATGAAGGACCCTTTACTTACATTAATCACGACATCTTCTTATGAAATTTCTTACATCGTTTTATTACATACAAATTTATTATTACACGAAGCTAATAAAATAAATTATAGTATATTTGACTACGATTATAAACATTTTTTTTTTCGACACAACGACCTTACATATATAAAGGACATTAAACTTGACATTCTCGTATCCGTTGCATCCAAGGTAAAGAATGCTCTTCATTTTTCTAACTCCACATTGCATTTTAAAATTTTGTTTTTTCTTTTTTTTTGAAGTTTGATGTGCTGTCGCTTTTCCCATGATATTGGGATAAATTTCATAACTGCAATATATGTTTCTATGGTGTTCTTATATCTCATTTTTATACAAAAATGTGTATACATGGTATAGTTACAAAATTAAAAATATGCATATTTATATATCATATACATATATGAATTCATCCCCTCCCATCACACGTACACACAACCTTTGTACGCACAACCTTTCAGAATAACGTGGTCTTGATAATAAACGAATTGAGTGAATATATCCTTGATCCAAACGTTGAAATTTCACAGAAGGCCATTTATTCCATTGGATGTATAGCACTGAAAATCCCAAAGGCAATTTCAAAAATAGTGGAATTGGCCTTGTCGTCCTTTCTTCCAATGAATTATTCATATATATGTAGTGCCACGATAGAAATGCTAGCAAATATATTAAGGAAATACGATGAATACACAAAAATAATTATTGAAGAAATTATAAAATATGATAATAAGATAATGGAAAATAATGGAATTATATCTTACATTTGGATTATTGGTGAATATTGTGAATACATAGAAAATTCACCATATATTTTAGAAGAATATGTACATTTAACCGATTGTTCATATTTATTTATGCTTGAATTATTAACTGCCTCTATAAAAGTCTTTTATAGAAGGCCATCAGAAATGATAACTATTCTTTCAACACTTTTTGACAATATAGTAAAAAATTATAAATACCCAGAACTTACAGACAAAATGTATTTTTATTACAAGTTATTAAGCTATAATTATGAAGAAGCTTTTAATATTATCGTTTGCAAAAAAAAATTAGTAAAAAATTTTTGCGAATCGAACGAAAATATTTTATTGGATAAATTGTACAATGAATTTAACACCTTATCTGTGTTGTATAAACAACCTATATATAAATTTGTCGAATATTCAAAAATACGTTTTGGTGGAATATACGATCCAGAGGAAAATTATGAGAACCACATTGATATTGATAATTCTCATACAGACAGTGTTCATGATAATGTTCTCAATCATAATGATATGGATAGGGAAAATCTTTTAAACACTTCAGAAAATGTTAAACCAGGTGTAAAATATCCTGTATCCGATGGAAATCTCATCAGTGACGCAAATACAAACTATCATACGAGCAGAAGTAGTCTTAACAATATTTCCAAAATAAACGATGAAATACTATTAATTGAGGACGACGTAACTGGTAACTATGATCACGGCACTGAGGAATATAGAACACATCGAGAAACGAGAGGAAAAGGAATGAACAAATCCAATTTTTATGAAGGTACACAACAATCTGTCAACATTAGTAACAACAGCTTAAGCAATGAAGGCATAAAAAAATGGAATAATAGAGATTCCACTAATAACACACCAAATACTTCTAACAATAGTAGTATTCGAAATGGTCAAAAGATAGATAAAAAAAAATCACATGAATTACTGAATACCCTCAATTCTGATAATTTAAAAAAAATGAATGATATTTTAATGGATGCTGAAAATATAACCCCAGAATGTTATCAAGAACAGTGGAATATACTGCCTGAACAGAATAATGAAAAAATATTTTTAAGAAAAAATGATTATAATTTGCAATTAGAAGCAATTGATGAATTCATATCAAAATACAATATTATAACCCTTGCATCGGGAGAAATTGATCAATGTTTGAAGTTCTATATGTATTCGCAGTTTTACACAAAGGATTATGTATTTATTGAACTAATTTTTAACAAGGCGGAGAATTCCATAAACTGGATATTGAAATCCCACTGTAATGATCTCAACACGCTTGAGCGTTTTACTGATTATTTTAGGGATATATTCATGGATTTCATGTGATGGCATGCATCGTCATGTTGGCTTATTTGAGATCTCGCGAATTTTTATACCATATACCACTCTCCTTTTTATAGTTTTTAATTTATCGCTACTTTGTCTTGTTTGATGTAATTTAGTTTTTTTTTTTTTTTTTTTTTTTTTATCACATCCATTCCTCGCTATGTGAATGCTAAAATGTGTAGGTATAAAGCACCACACTCATTCATATGCATATGTATATGTATTGCTTATGCACGTTTTCATATTTTTCAGTGCTACCCACGCTTTCATTTGTGTAATTGGATAAAGCAACCTGGGTATGTCTATATATCCCACGTCTTTTCCCCATATGTGTATTCATATATACAAGTGTTCATATGTACACATGTACACATTACAGGTTGTATTTATCTTTAAGAAGTATAATTTTTTTATTTGTCTAACCCAATTTTTACTTTTATTTTTTTTTTTTTTTTGAACCCTTTTAATTAATATATAATAATCGTATATCTAAAATGTTGTGTGAAAAAGGTTCTTATTACCCCACATATATTCTATAACTGCACTTTTTTTTCTTTTTCACAAAGCTCCCCAGATGATGTGCTTAAAATGTGTTAATACCTTTTTTTTTCATATGGCATGCTACTCCAAGTGAGCGCGTCATGTAAATTATACTAAAATATATATATATATATTATATATTTTTTTTTTTTCCCCTCCTGCCACTGTTAGTTCTTCATTTTTGTGTTTTTCCCCACCTGTAACCCCTCCCGTTTCGTCATTTCAACTTCCTTATCATATTTTTCACAATTTTTAATTAAATTAGGAACTAGGAGTTCATTGTGTTTTCCATATAATTCCCTAACTAGCATAGTAGCATAGGAAGAGGATTTTAAACTAAAACTTAATATTAGTGCATTGAAGTTTTGTTCATACTTTGTGATTTTTTCCCTACTATTATTATGACTACTTGTCTGATTTTGAAAATTTTCAGTATTTTCATTTTCTTCTCCCTTTTCTTTTAAGTAATTATTACACGTGTCTCGTTTGATGCAAGGTATATATTTTTTTAATTTTTTATCACAGTTTGACTCCTCAACTTGTTTATTGCATATGGTTATTTCTTTATGATTGTTTCCAGAATGTGGAACATTTTTCATTTTCTTGATAGTGCATATTTCTTCATCCCTACACAATTTCGTATTTTCATCCTTTTTTGAAATTTTATTTTTTTCCAAATTAGATACGTACAAGTCGGATAGGAATTTTCTCTTTGGTTCCTTATATTGACAAAAACAGAAATACAAATTTGAAGGTCGTGTCACTATGTTTCTAAAAACACAAGTCATTCCATATTCATATTCGAACGAATTTACATAAGTGTCGAATTTTTTTATTGTGTATAAGGTTTCCTTAATTGGAATAATATTATTTAATATATTATCGCTAGCTATCTTTATGGACTCATTAATATGTCCTGTTTCTTTTGTATTTATCAAATGCTTTAGAAAACCATTAATTACCTTATCACCGTGTATTTGAAACAACTGATCTTCATAAAGAGTATGAATTAAGTATAGTAATATTTCTAAGAAAACAAGTCTTACTTTCTGACCTTTGTATTTTCTATATATATTTTTGAAAATATTAAGGTAGGATAATCTATAGGGCATACTTCCGAGGACTGGCAAAACAACATTATAGATGTTTAAACAATTTGGTTGAGTATGATATTTTTCTATCATATGACTCATGTCATATTCGTCATATAAAATCGTTATATAATTATGTTGTGCTTTCAATTCATTCACCTCAGATTGCACATCCTTTGTAAAAACATAGTCCCCCTTTCTAAGTGTTACACCAAAATTTTCTAACCTGTATGAAGTTAGCATATTAAATATTTTGGCGCTATAGGAGTGCATATGGAATCTACGAGTTTCCATACATACTCCCTTAACACATGTCTTTTCATTTTTGTAAAAATATTTTTCTTCTTCGAACTCTTTTCTATTTAATTCTGTCTCAAAATGTACATTACTCTGCTTTTTTGTAGGATCTTTAAACATATTTTGGAACAAATTGGGTAACTTCTCCTTTTCGACATTTTCATTCGTTTTTCTTAAATTATTGCGATAATTATCATTGGAAATATTTCTTCTATTCCTCTCAGTGTTATTATTCTTCTCACACATGTACAAATTTCGAAGCAAGATATAGGCTTCATACTCTGAATTGGTCATATAAGAATAAAGGTATTTGTTAACATTGCCTCCTTTGTATGACTCGTCAGATGGAATTACGTTGCTTCCTTTAAGTAGTTTATTCATTTTATGAGACAAATAACGGAAAGCAATGGTGGCATTTTTATTTTTCTGATATATATCACAAGCATTCTTCAGATAAATGGTCAAATTGTCTTTAATAAAATTTCCATAAAATGTTTTATTATCAAAAATGAATGGATCTAAAACGTGCCTTATATATTCTTTGTAATTTCTACTTATTAATGCTTTACCTTTATTGAACGTGTTTTTATATATTCCAAATCTTTGCATGCCAAAATAATTAATGAATCCATATTTTTTAATATAATTTAATTTGTGTCTTAAATATTTTTCATGATTTTGTACATTTCTCAAAACTATCACAAAGCGATTTCCACTATGTGCTCCTAATTCTATTTTTTTACTTACGTTTTCAACGTTACAAATTTTTATATTCTTCATTTTTTTATCATTTCTAAGGTCATTTTCTATTATGTTATTAATTTTAACCAAGTTCATAACACTAGTAGAAATTATCTGAGTTGACACGCTTCTTTTATCTTTGAAACCTGAGTAATAAAAATCTTTAATTGGAATATTTGAAATTTTACTAATTTCCCTAATGGCTTCTTGTGTATCTTTATTAACTTTATACAAAATAAAATTTATCCATTCCTTTTTTTCATCTCCTGAGTTATTCTCCCTGTCCAATTGTTCAGAAGCATAGAACCTACCACTCTCTCCCCCCTCTTGTGTCGATAATGATTCGTTATCTTTGCTTCTGAGATCATATGCATATTTTCCAATACCCCTTGCATCATTTTGTTTTTCATCATTTTTTTCTCCTTCATCTGGCTTTGTGCGACAAATGTGCGCTTCACACATGGTACTACAATTGCCATTTCTGCTGTTGCTGCTACTACTACTGCTGTCACTTTCCATTTTCCTCTTAACATAAGTCAAATTTAGAACATTCTTATTTCTCTCAATTTCATACACGTGAAAATCCTCACACCTGTATTTAAAGATACACGCAAGGTCATTATTCTTTTTGACATCGAACACATTTTCACCAAAAAAGGTACTCATAAAATGTCTGATTCCAACATCCTCTTCTAACAAATTGATATCCGAAAAATAACGCAAATTATTTATGAAATTGCATTTTCTTGCTATCGACAAAATTACATTTTTCTTATTTCTTGAAAGCAAATTCGTTCTGTTCTTATCCAGAAACATTGTACAATTCGCACCCTATAAGTTGTGTGTACCAACTACATCTTAAAATTACATCTTTATCTTAAGTTACTTCAAGGATCCAGAGGTAAAAACATTACATGTAGTATGGGTGTTGTAATAAAAAAAAAAAAAAAAAAAAAAAAAAAAAGCATATGTGAATGAGTAGTCCAGCATAAGAGTAATATGCTTATCAGTCATACAATATTTATATTAATCCCATGCACTAAGAATTGATCAATTAATAGGCCACTTCATTGAAAAGTAAAAATAAAAAGTGAGGGATATGCTAATAGCACCTATATTTACTATAAGATCTGAACGTTACAGATGTGTAGGCAACAACAACCAGGAATTACACTGTGAGTATAAAATGTCGTAAAAAAAAAAAAAAAAAAAAAAAATTCTACATTCTTTCACTTGTTACATACTATTACGCAAGTGAGCATAAGTGATCATTTTTTTTTTTTTTTTTTTTATTACCCATGTATAAAAATTCCCAAATGGGGGTATTTAAAAAAAAAAAAAAAAAAAAAAAAAAAAAAAACACCTTGGCTATTTGAGCAAAATTACAAAATTTAAACAAGCGATTACTTGAATTTGTTCACCTCACAGTTTTCAAAAATGCATAATTATCTCTAAATTGTGCATCTACAAAAGTGATTTATTTATTTTTTTTTTTTTTTCACATATTCGCCCCCGAGCTTTATTTTCATAACCATCACGTGATACTACCCCTTTTTGAAACATTTCTTAAAACATTTATGACGTAATTCACCCCCTCATATTTGTATAATCGGACTAATCTTCACGTTTCACCCTATGAATAGCATAAAGGACAAAATTGAGAAGGAAGTAAAAAACTTTAAAAGAACAGCGTTTCTTAAGGGTAGCCCAGCGTATAGAATTAGTGTATGGTTCTCTGGTGAGTCTAAAAGAATGCCCATTTTGAACCACATTCATTTATTTTTATTTCATTTCACCGCTCGAAAATGTTTCTAAGATGCAGTTTTGTTTATTGTAAGCGAATGGGAATATTTACACATTTGCGTACACACATTCACATAAAGACATATCTACAACCCACCCGAATATGAATTAAAACTTCTCCCCCTCTACATTATTCTTATGAATGTCTACCCATTCACTTTATCCATCCCTCTTTCTCTTTCGTCTTTTAAGGAATAACCGTTGGACTCGTCTGGATAATCATTAGCGAGTACAACAACCCGAAGAGTAACAACTTGTTTTTCAGAAAAAAAGAAGCAGATGTTTTTACCAAGGAGGAAATAGAAAAATGGAACAAACCATACTATTCAAAAAATGAATACAACAATGTCATTTTAGATTCTAATTTAACGGCCGATGAAAAGAGAAAACATATACTGAAAGAAATACATAAAACAAAATGAATTCCACCGAAAAGAGGAGAGATAAATATATGTATCCAACTGGAAAAGAAATACTGCAAAAAAGAAAATGTTACTTTTGAACAAGTTCATTAAAAATACTTTTCATTTTATATATTCTAATTGGAATAATTGCATTTACACCAAGTGCATGGGTAGGTCTGAATAAAAATTATCAGTAAACTTAAAATTTAGGAAATAGTATTACATAGATGAAGTATCACAAAAAAAAATAAAATAAAATAAAATAAAAATAAATGAAGAAAAGTACGAAGGAGGCCCTAAATTAAAAAAAATATATATTTTTAACTAAGAGCACATTTCAATATGTTTTGGATAAAAATATGGCTACCCCTCTCTGATACCAATTTTGCTCTAAAACACCCTTCGAAACAGGAAATTTCCAAAATCCAATAAATGAATTTCTGGACTTGTCTAAATAAATTGGTAAATCCATAAAATTGAGATTTGGTTTTTCGTATATTTTCTTATTTAAAACTTCCTTCTTCTCCCAGGTTATCGTTACTGGGGGGAGGTCAATGGCTAGTTCATCGCTCAGGATAAGGCACTGCGAAATTTGGGGAAAAAAAAAAAAAATAGAGAAATAACAGGAGAAGAAAATAAGTATTTGTGTAATGAGTATGTATAACGGGTGTATATAACGGATGCGTATGACGGCGAGACGAGTGAATGGTGTGTCCTCATGGATAAAGAAATTTCCAAAGAGTTCTTGCATACGAGCAGCTACAAATATATCCACACAATTGGTATGTGTAGGTAATGGTGGTATTTATGCCTTTTCCATAATGGAATGTGTCTTACCCGTTCCTTGTAACTCCACTGAGCACCTTCAATAGACAAACAAGTTATTGTAAAATGAACAGCATCGTCGAAACCTTCTATGGGAGTAGGATCAATAATTACTGATAAGGCTAAGTCATCTAGGGAGTTCTTAAATTTATAAGCAGACAATTGTCTACTGGCTGTAATAAATGCTCGTGGATAGAATAAACCACCGAGCCATATAAAATTGATTGATAACTTTTTGTCCATTTTAAAATGAGTTGTTATAGTGTCATTATTTTTCTTATGAAAAGATTTTAAATTAAGATCATTACTTTTGCTCCTTTTCATAGTTTTTTGTTTTTGAATATATTGTATATTAGACACGTTAGTATATTTTTTTTCATTCAATTCTGTAGTTATAACTATTATTTGATAAAAACGATTAATTAGTTCACGTAACCAATTTGTTAAATTCAAATTAGTTGTATTTCCATCCATAAGCCAACTTGACGGAACATTGAACGAACTTAAATCTTTAGCCAATGCTCTTAATTTATTCGTATATTTTAATTTTTCCTGTAATACATTTTTTAGCTGATTTAAATTTCCCTTAATTACCTTAAGAAGTTTGTTAAATAGCTGATTTTCCCTCTCGAAACATCTAAAAACTGCGTTACTCATATTCTCTTCACTTTTTTCCAACTCAGGTATGTACTCTGGCAAACTGTCCAAAATTTTATTAATGAATAGTACATTTTCATTCTGCGAATACAAATGTGTAACTTTACTTGCAATGGATGATTCTGATTGTTCGCTTTCGTTAGATGAAATATCATTCCCTCTTTCTACCCCCATTTGTACATCCAATCCTGATTGCGCATTTTTTGCTTCATTATCTGAAGGTCCCGTTGGAGCACTCCTTTTATCCACATTCCTGTATAAATCCATACTCGCGTTCTCTTCGACTAGCGATTTCGTTAGAGGAGAATGAGGCAAGGGTTCATAAACATCAGAACAACTTTTACTATGCAAAATATTCCACTTGCTGATAATACTAAAATTCATTCTGGTTGTTAATAACCCTTCAGCTTGTTTTCCAAAACCGAGCCACGCAGGTAAATCAGTGTTAGTCATGTTACTTGTCCATTTTGTATAATCATCTAAATTTCTAAACAAATCTGGAGATGTTAATAAATCTTTATTATTGGAACTGTTGCAAATGTTTAATTTAAAATCAGCTTCGAACGAATTAGAATTCATCAAGTGATCTATAAAGGTATCTAAAATCTTCGAGTCCACTATATTGTCTAACCTACCACCATATACTACTTCGTTTAGTATTTTTTTTATAGCATCCCAAGGAATATTAGAAGGATCTATATGTTCAATGACATTTTTCCCAATTTTTGTGGATGCTCTATCTAGCCAATTATCTACAACGGATAATGCACAAGACAAATCAGAATCACCAAATTCATACCCCTTTGTCCATCCGATAGGTGTATATCTTCTTCTTTCTAATATTACTGCATGTAGAAAGGAAACAAGAAAATATAATCTCATTCTAGCAATTTTGGGGTCTTCTAAATTCCGATTTTCTAGAAATAAGGAAAGTGTTCGTAGTATAGACGATTTAATACCTACAGGAGGTTCAAACATGAAAGTTAGAGACATACGTAACAAATTTGGAGGTATTTTGGGGTTTCTCTCCATCGTCAAAAACAATCGAAAATTGTTATTTGTTGTAGCTTTATGTATATTCTTTTCTAGCTGATATAACCATTTGGGGGATAAATGAATATTTTTTAACAAAACCCATCCTCCACTTTTTTGAGCTGATGATATGATTTTTTCTGCTGAAATGTAACCTTCTTCTGATCCCATTGCAATTGAAAATAAGGACATTTTACATTTCTCACTCAGTTGCTGTACTTTATTGCTAGGATCAAATCCTGGGGAGCTTATTAGCACGATGGGGGTATTTCCATTTGCATTTTCTTTCACATATTTTTCAAATTCATTTGTTGACAGTTCAGGTATCCATAAAAAATCTTTTCCTAATATAACATTTATAATCTTGTTAAAGCATTTGTCTAACTTATCTGGTCTAAGGGCTTTAATAATTAGTGACTCCTTCAAGCAAGCTATAATTTCATCTTCTTTTTTTAAATCATTCTTAAGGAGCAAATTATTATTATCACAATTGTCATTATTATTTTCAGAAGTATCCAAACTGCTAATATGTGTGACACCCGAATTCTGGTTCAACAATTCTCCGGATTCTCCTTTTTTTCTATTTTTGTCAAAGTTATTGTTTTGCAAGCTCAAATTTGGTGTACCAATGATTGAGCAAATTAATTGTTCCGGCTCTGTGGAATGAATTAAATGTATCCATTTCTCTTTTTCATTTTTTATAGACTTTTTTAAATTCGAAAAAGATTTATGCCTTATTAAATTATTTAATGTGTTAATCTGTTCGTCACTATATTCTGGTAATAATTCCTTTTCAAGCTTTTTATCCTCCTCAACCGTTAGTGCTGTATCTCTTGTATGATTAGGATAATAATCTTTTAGTAAGAAATGCAAATGGTTTGGATCAATGTGTATATTCGGATTTATTATACCTTTTATGTAACATAATTGCAGAGCAAAGACATATCTGTCTTCTTGTAATAACCCACGAGCAACCCGATTGTATGTCAAAAAAAATAGCAAATTTTCTAAAGATTTCAGTCTATCTTCGTAATCATTTTTTTTTTTTGCATTTCCTAATAATCCTTCACTATTCAACATGTCTTTCATTAAATTAAAAAAAAAATTTAAATCATATTGATACAAAAAATTAATACTGCCTAAATGCTGCAAAACGAAATATATCCTAGCAGACCCTTGAGCTAAAAATAAATATTGGTTACTCACAGTTTCAATTTCTACCATTACTTCTTCAGCTATACTTACTTCTCTAGACGCTTCGGCAGCTTGAACTTTTAATTTTTCCATTGTACTTATAACATTATCATCATCTAATATGTTTCCTTTCACGTTTGACAATTCTAGCAGCAACGATTCTTCTAACTCTCTTATCTTTACTTTATATTCCCCTTGTAATTTTAACAAATCACATCTTTTTTTATCTATATCAGGTCTCTCATTTTTTAGAATCATGTTTAAACATTGGTTTTGAAGAGAAGATGGTGTTAACGTAAAATTTACAAAAGTTACTCTGCTACACAAATCAGGAGTAAACTGAAAATGTGCATCTCTTGATGTTAGAAATAAGTTGAACGAAGGAGAATAATCAATTTCAGAATCTCCTATCGTAATTAATAAACGACCCCCTTGTTTGTGTGTTTCTTGATTTAAAACAGAATTTAGAATTGCATCTATTTTTTCGACATCATATACTAATAAGGTTGACCCAAATCGTAAAGCACTTTCCAAGTTTTTTATAAAATTTTTATCAGAGAAAGAAGTTTTCAATATTTTTTTCTCTTTATATTGGTTAAGTAAAAATGTAGTAGCTTGATCTGATGGGTCTATGATCATTGGATACCTTATGTAGTTATTTATAATAATGGCATTTTCTATGGATAACTCATCACTTGGTAATTCATTTGCTATCCATTGTAACCTCTCAGATGGTTTAGATAAAAATTCAATGAATGATAAATCATGTCTATGCTTAATGTTGTACATTTTTATAATCTCTTCCCATGCTTTTTTCAACTTTTGTCTTTCATAATGTTCAAAAAAACCAATGTAAGCACAAAATGCTGCTGCTATGAGACAATCTCCAACAAATGTCTCCGAAGCTGCTTCTAAATTGATAGATGTCTCGGACCATCGTTCCTTTTCTGACTTTAAATTTTCAATTAAGTTAATAGATCTCTTTATTTTATTTTCCACTATTTCCATTTCTTGTTTAATGCTTTGTACTTGACTAATTAATTGTGCGTAATCATTTTTGTATTGCACTAATTTTTTTTCGAGTTCTGAAATAATACCCTTTTGTTCATTATACTGATCTTCTGCAATCCTTGTTTCTTCTTGCAACTTTTCTATTTCGTTTTCCAAAGGTTGTACTGTTTCTAGAATAGTTAAAAAGGTAATAACAGATTCAACCCATTTTGCTAAAGGACCAGCAGCACGAGATGCCTTATTTATTCTTTCGACGTCCCAATCACTATGACTTATTCTTTTTTTAATTTGTGCACTAGTTTGAGGTTTTACCATTTTTTTGTCTAAATAAAGAACTTTATTAATAAAATCTTGACCTTTCATAATTTTTCTAGCATCTTCCCATGTCACACTCTTATCTCCTTCATTCATAATCAATATTGCAACAGCTTCTACTGCATTTCTTACCAAAATAGGAGGATTTGCCATAGCTCTTAATTCGTCGAAATTTTTTTTTGGAATATTTTTAACTGCTTCTTCTGCTTCTCTAAATTTCGGTTCTACTTCGCTTAATTCTTTTCTTACAATTTCTTTTCTTTGTTCAATTATAATAAATTGTTCATCTAACTTTTTCGCCAAAATTTCAGCCTTTTTCTTTTTATCCTCTGTTTCGGCTTGTTGCTCTATCATTAGTTTCATTTTTTCTTCTGCTTCGGTGTCCTTTTCAGCAAGCGTTTTTTTATTTATAGCTAAAGAGTTCCTCATTTCAGCTACCTGAACCTCTGTATCTTTTAATTTATTCAAACCTGAATTTAAATGTTTCTTCTGATCAGAAACTTCTTCCTTCTTTTCCTCAATAATTTTCAAAAAGTGTTTAATAAAATCTAGAAAGTCTCTTGGAGTCATGTAATTATACTTGTTCCCTTTCTTAAGAAGGATGCTATTAGTCCGTACAACTGAATTATGAATTTCAACTATAGCCTTTGATAAATAATAAGACTTCTCATCCTTGTATTGTATCTTTCCTTTTACTAGATCCTCTTGTACATGGTTCATATGGAAATTGTTATCTGGTAAATCTAGGTTATAAATAAATTCGCTTGCAACTTGCAATAAGGCACTGTAAGGCCAATCTCCAAACCAGTCTATTACACATCTATTGAACAATGCTGGAGATGTTGCTTGTCTGTTTGCAAAATCTGGGTTCGCTGGGTTCATGGTAAAAACAATATGTAAATTTTTCTGAACTTGTTTTGTGAACTTTTTAAATATATCTGATTCGTCTAAACCTACATTCGATCCGTAAGCAGATTTACATTCATTTATTAGAGCTGTGTAATTATCTCCTTCAAACAACCCTGGAACTTCTCCACTAGCTAGTAAAGCATTCATTCTTTCTAAAAAGGCAGGACCTAAAACATTAGACTCATCAAATATAAATGTTATTTTTTCTTCTTTTATTCCAGCTCGTTTCATCACACTACGTAAATCAGCCTCAAATGATTCAGTGCAATAATTACGACCAGCTCGAATTTGAAAAACAGATAACCCATTAATCCATGAAACAAATCTTGATAAAATAGTTTTCCCAGCCCCTGATGCTCCAACCAATAACAAATGTCCCAAAGGTAATCTCAAAACTCGATCTATTCTTGTAATATGATCTAACACATCATCAAAAAGAACCAACTGAACATTTATTTCTTCTTCATTAAAAATTTTTAATTTTGCCTTTATCAATTCCTTCAAATCTTTCTTGTCAATTTCTTTATACTCATTTTGCACGTAGCAGCTAAATAAAATTGGTCTCTCCAAATCAGCATCAGTAATTCCAGGAAAACAAAATTTGAATATATCATCAATAATTTTATCTGTTTCTTTTTTTTCCTTTTTATATATAAGTCTATCTTGAAATATTCTTAATCCTTCACAAATGCATAATCGAACTAAGTCTCTTTGTTCTAAATTGTCACAAATTTCCAATGTTTCGTATAAGGCTAATTTCCATCTGGTCAATTCTCTAGGACTATATATATAATGTGGTTGCATATCAATCGTAAATGTTTCAGAAAATTTTGTATAAAAATTAACCATAGCAAGAGTCAAATTGTCAGCTATATGAGATGCTTCTGGGAATTTTCGAAGAATAGCTCTATTGAATGTTCCATATATCTGTTTTAACGATTCATATCCTGGAAAATCTACATATAAAATTGCTGTATGTCTAAGAAATCGATTACTTAAAGGATTTCTTCCTGCATCTGTTGGGGGATTACAAGCACCTGCAAAAGTAATTCTTTCGATTTTTACCCAATTCCATTGATTATTATTAGAATCGTATTTCCAAAAGCCTTGTGATTCGTATATTTGCCTCATGAACATTATAATCCTTTGTGTATCATACTTATCCGGTGTTGGTAAATTTATTTCATCAGCAAATATGATTAACCACTTTCCTGGTTGCACTGGTCTTAAAACTAATTCGCTAGTCGTTTTTACATACTCACAATAATGATCAAATGTTTGCAGTAATAAATTTGGTAAAGATCCTGATGAAAAATTTAATGCAGCAATGTCGAATTCAGATGATTTCTTCAAAACAGATGTTAATGTCATTGTTTTTCCAGATCCAGGAGGTCCACATAAAATAAATGGTTTCTTTAAATTTAACCATCCTTCTAAAACAGTTGCATGTCTTATTGTATCCATAGTTTCAATTACAAGAGTTGCATCTCCTACTTCTGTTCTGTCTACATCTATCATTTCAACTCGTTCCTTCCAGCAATGCCATTCTCCGTCTTCAATGTTAGGTTCATAATCTAACAAAGTTCTCTGTCCATTAGAAGAATCCACGTCATCCACTTGGTTGCTTCTTGACAAATCGGGTGGTAGAGGAATAGAACATATAGACTGAACATATTTCGAAAACTTTTCCCTCGATTCAAGGTTTAAAGATCCCCCTATCCCCCATAGTATACTCATGACCAACCATTTGGAGATATACTTCTCTATATCGTTATCTGTTAAGGTATTATTTGTTTTTCCATTTTTTACAACTAAATTGTCAACTCCTTTTTGCAGTAGTAAGCACGTGCTTTCTATAGCTCTTATATATTCATAATCCATCACATGCTCGAAATTTTTAGCACCCAGAAGACACTGATGCACAAATTCATTCTCCTCAAAGTAGTCGCTAATGAGGTTAATGGATCTAGATGCAATACTTTTTAGTGGACATAAATATAATTCATCTTCATTTTCATCAAAAAATATGCAAGAACTTTTCTTCATATGATCCATCAAACTGTCGTTAATTTTGTTATCTTCATGATTACTACTCAAGGAATATTTTGACATTTGATGTGCAGTTGTAGAATCATTCAGATGTATATTATCCTCTCCTAAAGAACCACTCTCATTATGGTTCATAATAAAAGCCTTAAAACGATCCATTTTACGAGGATAATCATTATTACCATATTTTAACTTGGATAATTTATGTTTAAATAATATCATAGGAGATAGAATATCCCTGGAAAACCATATCATACCACATCTACTAACAGTAGCTAAGGTTGCATGTTTCAATGTATCTACTTCAAATAAAATTCGAACGCTTTCAGGTATAGGTAAACGTTCTCCATTCGGTAAAGTCAGAAGTTTATTATCATCTAAAACACTATTCAGGTTTTCAGCCCATTCAGGATCTACATCCCCATCAAAAATTATCCAATGTCTTTTTGTTGTGTTTCCAGATTGTGCAGAATTGTAAAGAATTTTTCTCAATATAGCTGTAAAAACTCCATCTGTCCATTCTAAGTTTATATTATCTAATTTCCCATAAATTTCTTCTTTATCTAAAGATTTTGCATCAATAATATAACTTACCCCTTTGATGTTATCTAATGCTTCTAACGAATCTAGTAATATTTTCCATGCACTAGTTTTACCTGTACCCACATCTCCAACTAACATAACCCCGTGTTGTAATTTCATTATTTGATATATCTGACATATTTTCGTTATCCATTTCTCTTCAGGTGTATAAAATCTGGACTTACATATGCGATGTATTTCGTTTACTAAAGCTTTTTCCTCAAAGGGTGCTATATTTATATTGGGGAAAACACCTGTTAATAAACTTTTTATTAACAGGATATCACTCGAGACTAGTTTAGGATATACTGTATCACATACTGATTTCAAAAGTAAAGTCTGTTCCATTGCAATTATATTTTCTGATGCTGTTTCATCTTTGGCATTTCCCACATTGTTATCATTTTGAATTTCACTTGTCTTTCTCCTTCTTTGATCTTCTTGATCTCCATTGTTACGACCGCTACTTACCATATCAGCAAGGTCTGTATCACAAACAATATCATCTTTCTTGCTTCCTTGAGGAACCCCTAGAAGGGCCAGTCTTTTTAAGTTTCCTGCAGAATTTAACACACTCTTGAGTGATCTCAATCCAAAATCGTAATGAGGCTGTTTGGACAATTGTTCAGAGAATAAATCAAATAAAGACACAATTTTACTTGAGAGATATTCAGCACTAATAAAACCTTGTGAAAATAAGGTTACTTCAACTATAAGTTGCTTATTCGGTTCGATCATAGCAAAACTTCTAAATAGTTGTTTCAGGTTATCAGGAAGATTTGACCTCCCAGCGTATCCTGGATTCATAGTTACAAATATACCTACATTTTTATTTAGACTTATTTTTTTATTCAAAAGTTCAATTTCATTTTTCCTTTGAACCAAACTTGTTTGAATCGTTAAAATTTGTTCAGAAACAGCGGAAAGAATTCTCTCCTCTAGTCTGTTAAATTCGTCGAAGCATCCCCATGCTCCTACTTGACACAGCCCAACAAATATTCTTCCCATAGCAGTAAAGTCGAATGATTCATCACAATTAAAAACAAGTACATATCTTCCCAATTGGGCTCCCAATGCTTTTACACTTTCAGTTTTACCAGTTCCTGCAGGTCCGAATGGGTTTCCACCTAATTTCATTTTCAATGCTTGGGTCAAAGTTAAGAAACAAGAATCGGTTAATTTGGTTTGAACTAGCTTTTCACACATACCTAAGTATTCGTATCCATAATCAAAAGTCGCATCCGCCATTTTTATAATCAAATTAATATCACTATTTGTTTTATTAGGATCCCAATAAAATCTCATATACTGTAGCCAAGTGAAATTATTAACGCTTTGAATATTTTTTTCTATAAGAGTACGTATTACATCTCTTTGGTGAACTAACTCGGTTATCATTTGAACAATTTTTTGTCTTGTTCTGTGATCCCTTTGTTTGACAACACTTACAGCTAAGAACTTCAAAAGACTAATACAGATTGTTTCACTATTTCTGAAAATATTTTTCCTGTTTTCCTCATTAGCCAAAGAATCCTCCTTTGTTGAACTATTTTGTATATCATTTTCAATATTAGTTGTCCATAAAATCTGTAAACATAGTAAAACAATTTGGTTTGGATATTTCGATGCCCATTCCAGAATTCTATTATTCCCACTAGAGTTGGTACATTCTAGCATCATATCCATTTGTAAAATTTCCTTAGCAGCTTTATCTAAACATTTTTGTAAAGTAACTTTCATATATGTTTCTAAAGTTATAAGCCATTCTTTTAATGTTTTATAAGAACCTACATGAATTGGTTCTTCAAAAAATACTTCTTCCCCTTCTCTAGATGACATTCCAAGTATTACATCACTGGTATTTTCTTTTATGATAAATGAACTAATACCTGCAAACATTTTGTTTACATTTCTTTGTATCACTTTTGCATCTTTAGAGTTACCAATCATTTCTAATAAATCTTCATCTCCAACAAAATAAAATCTTGGGAATTGATTTCTTTGTTTTTCTAGATACTCACCTAATGCCTTTTGTATCTTAGACAACGAGTCAGATAATCGATCGAGTTGTTTCTGAAAACCATCCATTTGAAACAATTCTAGCAATTTAGGTTTTTCAGCTGTTTTTTTCATAATATTTATAAAATCCGTGTCAATTATTTTGAATCTGTTATATTCCTGCGGAAGTAACGATTTGATGTCTGACGATCCTTTCAATACCCCTTCCAAATATACCCATTTTCTTTGCACATTCATCCAGACATCTAGCAAATTTCGCAACCTATTTAATTTTTCATCCCATGTGAAAGTTTCTTCTTCAAATATTTTTACATAAGAAGATATTTTCATAGACTGTAAAGCATTTAGATGATCATCTATAGTAGAAAATATATCATTCCATCCTTTTATCAATTTACACTTATTTTGATATTGAACGAGTTCCAATTCGTATTCATTCCAGGTGTCTTTTAGTCCCCTCAGAAATTCTTCTAATGCCATTTCTCCTTGAGATTGATTTAAAATTTCTCTTAAAACATTTTCATATATACCCAAATTAAGAGACCACAAATTCCCCAAGGTTAATTTATTAATATATATTTTTATTTGCAATTTTTGAAGTATTAATCTCCAGTGCCTTTCCTTCAACGACTCCGATTTCAAATCTAGTAACAAACCATACGTTTTTAAATACTGTTGTATTTCTACTTGCACATTATCAAATATTTCATATTGCCTATATTTGGCTGGAATTCTTTTTATAGAATCCAATAAACTATTTAGAGTATTCCTAATATTTTTGGGTTCTACATTAGACCATAACATTTTTTTCATATCAGATATACTAGAATAGATAACTTTTAATTCATCCCATATGTCTTTTACACAAATTATTTCTTCTTTCAGAATGTTAGGTGATACATGGAATCCTTGTTCTGATTCTTCACTAGTTATTTTCATTAATTTTTTTATCTTTTCAGATATTTCATACTGTCCACTGATAATATCAATTCTACTTTCAAATGTGCTTATAATTTGTAAAGCTTTCGTACTATTCGTGTTCCCATGGGATGGCTTATTTTTATTCCATTCTTCAAATAAGACTTTTGTGCTATTTTGCACTTTAGCATCAAATTCTAAGACTAAGCTTTGTATATATGGAAAATAATCTTTCACTAACTTTATTTGATAACTTGATATCTGTTTAACAGTTTCTAATTTTCCAATTATATTATCTATATATACCCAACTGCTTGGGAACATATACCTCTGCTTTTCCAACAGAACTTCGCTCTGTTTCAATATATCACATTTGCTATCCCACTCTTCTTTTTTCTTATTAATCTGGTTAATTTTTTCTATAAAATTGTATATACTATTGCATATTCTACACAGTACATCCATATCATATGAATTTATTATTGCAATGATATCCTTTGGGACCATAGATAAAATGTGCATAGCTGTAATTTCTGAATCGTTTGTTAATTCTCCCTGAACATTTAAATCATCTAAAGCCTTTTCTATCTCCTCTTTTAACAAGGTTATTTTTTCTGATAATTTTTTAGAAAACTCGGATACTATTTCCTTTTGCCAAATTTCAAATTTTGAACTAACCTTAGATTGAAGTATTCTATAATCTATGACAATTGGTCCAAAGTATTTCTCCGTATCCAATGTATCAAATGTGTACTCAGTTTCTTTAATTTCATTCATGAAACTTTTCCATGTTTGTATGTCTTCCCCAAAACTTGTGATAATATCTCCAATTTCAATTTTCCATAAAGTGTTGTATTGAAGCCACATAGATTCATATTTCTTTGCTTTCTCAACCATATCGTTAATGGATTCTGTTGCATGGTCATATATCTTCTTATCTATAAAATAGATGATGTATCTATACGTATTATCCAATATAACATCATGAATAATGTTATTTTCTGTGTCATTTTTTATTTGAATGGTTTCTTTGGGTTTGTCTTTCTTCTGATATATATTCTTAACTCTAGGAATTCCACAAATGATGCTTATAGCCTCCGATAACCTGGAATACCACATCTGTCTCATACTGTCAATAGATGGATGTAAATAAAATTTCTGATTAATTATCTTAAATTCATGAATGCTTTCTTTTACTATAAATTTTTTACTCTTACTGCTATTGTTGGACCAATTCACAAATTCACATGTCCATGCTTTTATGATCTCTTCAAGTCGAGCTGTTAAAATCTTATTCAAAAGAGTGTTCAGTTCAGCAATCCATATATGAACATTTCTGTAATGCTCAAGATAGAGCTCGTCTGCTTTTTCCTGAATCGATTCTATAAATTTCTTAATTTCATTGCCCTCAATTGTTATTTCGCATGTTCTTATTTTGTCTAGAGTATCCAAAACGAAGGAATTTTTCCGAATAGCTTCATCTACCATGGATTCGAATGTATTAACTATTTCGGATAACTTCCTTACATACGTTTCTAACGCATCTGAATCCCAATGTAAGTTAATTCCTTCCTTAATTTTCGCCTGAACACTGTTATGTATAGAAGCAACCAATTTACTTATAGTAGAATTAAAAGGTATTGCCTTGGCCTCATTTTCCATAAAGAGGCAAATTTTCATATAACTTTTAAACGTTTTCTGTAATGTCAGTGCATATGGGTATATCAATTTCGTTTCATCTGCTTTTACCTTTATCGAGTATGGGACTCTCAAATTGATAGACTGTAAATATCGAACTTCCTTAAACAAGTTAAAAAATTGAAAGTCATAATTTGCTACAATTTCGAACTTTTTTATTCCCAATTGTTTTATTTTAATAATTTTCTCATAAATATCGAATTTATCTGCATTCTTAACACCTCTGAGCCATTTTTCGAACGTTTTATTCTGAGAAAGGAGAGTTTTAAAATTGTCAATACTTTGTCGTAAATTTTTTCCTTCTGAATGTTGTTCCCATCCTCTACCCAATACATTCTCTATCCTTTTTAAAGAGTCTTCTAATTTTCTTTCAATTTGTTTAGCCCAAATGATAGACCCAGCTACTAAAGGAATATCACGTGCGGTTGACACTTTTTCAGAAGGGCTTTTCACATAACCGTTGATATAAATCATTTGTAATTTTCTTAAATCATCCACAACTATTTGTATTAAGCTGTTTTGGTATTCCTGAATAGCACCTCTAATTTTGGGTCTGAAAAATAAAGGATTAAATTTTGAAAAGGCATTAAACATTTCTGTAGATGTTTTGGCTCCACCTAATTGATCCCTCAATTTGAACGTAATTTGTGATTCTACTTTGTTAATTTTGGATTCGTAAGACAGTTTTGATTTTTCCCACAAATCTTCCCCAGTTTTGGATAAATCAAGTGCATCTAGGGATAAGAAAACGCTATACGCTGAATTTATATCCATAAGTAGATTTACACCCACAGTTCTATCATTTCCAAACACTTTTGTAATAACTGCCTTAAACTTTTGATGCTGTTTTCTAAATTTCCTAATTTCATCCAGTCTTTCTTGAAGATTTACATGTTCAAACACCATTTTGGCAGGCGCTCTTTCGTTAAAACTTCTCTTTTTTATTAATTCTCTGACCATATCTTTGAATACTCTCATTTCGTCATTCCATAATCGAAATACTTCCATACATCCTGAAATAAGAATATCAAATTCTTGGTAATCCATACTTAGCAATGCCTGTGATGATATCACTTTTCTCATGGTATTCCCCAAATCTCTAGACAATGCTTCGACAAAATTGTATGATCTAGATAAAGGATATTTCGTAGTATTTTTTAATTTTTTCAAATGAGTGAATATATTTCTTATAGCTTGAATAATTTGCTGAACGCTCTGAGCTCCTAGAAGATCATCTATAGGAAAATCCTTCATTAAAATATTTACATTTAAGACGTATTCTTTAGACTGCTTCAGTTGAATATCACTATCGAAAGACATCGTTGCAAAGTATCTCTTGGCATTTTTCAATATTTGCAATGTTAAAAGAACTTCAGGTGTTATTAACTGATTTTCAAGTTGTGATAAAGCATTTTCGTATCCTATCCAGAAATTAATTTCTTCTAATGCACTTCCACTTTTAAAATCTCCATTCAATCTGGTTAGCTTTTGGATTTCCTCAATCCATTTTGTTACATCTTTTTGTAATTGATTCAGAAACTCTTGAGATTCACACAACGCTTTTAATTTCTCTGGTTTTATTTCATCTATATTTGGGTTTTCCTGTACAATTTCTCTAATCCTTCTATCTACACTTAAATTTATAATAGGAATATTCAAATCGACCTGAGCATTCTTCATAGATATGAGCAGTTCATTTAATTTTTTCGATACATTCGTCATTAAAATGTTAGATATTTTATTTTCTCCTTCATGTCCTGTATATTTATTAATGCCTATACTAGAGTTGTTGTTAGCAAACGTACTTGCTAAAGCGGTTCCATTTTCAGGGTCCTTTCTTGAATACCCATTTTGAAAAAAATCATTATGAGCAGAACATGAAGCGGCATCAAATATTGTGTTAAAACCTTGAGATAAATATAAATATACTAAATCTAAGGGTGTATTACAATCATTTTGTCCACATACAAACATCAATAATTCGTTGGATAAATTTATTTTATTCCCTTTATCTAGTTGATCATGTAAGGTTAAAAAGTTTTCTTTATTTCTTTTCATAAAAGCTATTGCTACACTTTTAGTTACACATTTGTAGTTTATGTTCAATTCAACAAATAAGTTATAACTCGATTCTTTCTCCAATTGTACACTCCTTTCTATTTCTACTTCACCTTGCGGTTGTCCTATATTTCCTACTTGGCCATTTTTATCTGATCCTGTGTTGTCTACTTCTTCTTTTTTTTCTTTCCCAATAACTATCAAATTTACATTCTTATCAGCCATAAATCTTCTTATTTTTTCTTCTTCCTTTTTTGCTAATACAGATTGCAACTCCTTCCGTGAACAATCCAAAGCGGTTGGGCATATTTCTAGGAAGTAATTTATCAAGTGTGTTTTTTCCAGCTCCATTTTTTAGTATTTTTTTTTATTTTACTCTTTTTTTTAAATTTTTTTTTTTTTCCTTTTAATATAAATTTGTCTGCTTTGTTCAGTTATTCGTTCAATGGATTTGTGAGTTCTTTGCAAACAAATTGTTACACAAAACTCATAAAGGTGTGCCTACATTCGCACACGTTCACCGTCACTGTGCATTTAATGTGGTGAAGTTATAAAAGGGTGAAATAACTTAATCCGCTTAATCACAAAAAAAAAAAAAAAATTAAAATAAATAAATAAACAAAATAAACATCCAAAATGATAAATACCTAGATATATAGGTAAAACTTAAAATTGAGTAAAAAAAAATAATTAGCAAAATAAGTAAATGTATATACACATACACAAGACCTTTAAAAGGCTTGGGTGAACAACATGGTAAAAAAAAAAAATACCCCTTATAAGAACATTTCTCTTCATAACAATGAAGGCACAAAAAAAAAAAGAAAAAAAAAAATGATGTGAAAAATTAACAGCAAATTAAGAACAAATAAAATTTGTTCTTGTATTTTCATTTCATTTTTTCCATGTTCTCATAACAGAATGTAAATTTATAAAGTACGTTAGATCAAAAAAAAAAAAAAAAAATGCTTGTCCACAATCATATAACAGTTAACGTAGAAATAATTTCATTGAATTGCGAAATATTTTATCATAAAAACTTTTTTTAATTTTTCCTTAATATTTTTTCACTACAAGAGGGTGTACACATATATATGCAACCTTTTCCTTTTTGATAGAATAAAAACAAGATACTTGAGAAATAAAAATGTGTCCTACGTTTGTATTAGAAAATATTTTATGCAAAAATAAAAGTCTTTTTTTTTTTTTTTTTTTTTTTTTTTTTTTCCTATTACATCCATTACATAAGTTTTTTTTATAGAGCATATATCTTTGCACACGCAAAAAAAAAAAATATTTTTATTTCTTTTTAAAATTGGATAAGACCTTAATTTTTTATTGGGTAAATACCAGATTAGATCTTCAATTAAACATGCATTTGTTCTAATTAACAATGAAAATGTAGAAAGCCTATAATTGATCTCACGTTCCTTAAAATATAGCACACATTTTATATACATGCAAATACATTCCTTTTTTGGAAAATGTTAGAAGAAGCAATGTTTCCTTAAATGGTGACAACTTTCATGCATAAACCGTGTAGCGTATAACTCATTTATGAAGGACTTTTTTGAAAAATATCCACAACCATTTTGTGTTAAAATTTTTTTCATCATTAAAACTTCGTACGCAAAAAAAGAATTTATTTGTTTTTCACATTTTATTTGTCGTGATTGTTCTTTTTGTTAAGTCTATATAGAAAAGTTAAAAAAAAAAAAAAAAAAAGTCGAACGTAAATGTTTTCATCCTATTCACACCACAAAAAGGAAATATTCATTGTTTTCTTGACAAATGGAATTATAAGTGCAAAAAAGTTTTTTTTTTTTTTTTTTTTTTTTTTCTAATTTATTCTCCTCATTACGTGAGGAAGTCTCCTTAACAAAAATTTTCCTTGGTTGTTGTATTTATGAATTAAAATTTGTGTGCAAGTGAAATAAGCTTATTGGGGATATATAGGCACGTATGCAGCATACATGCATGTGTGCGCTTATGTATGTACACACATACGCGCCATGACTTTCATCGATGCGGAGTATATATTCCTGTTTATAAACAATGTCAATCTAAAAATAACATTACCTGGAAAATAAAAAAAAAAAAAAAAAAAAATTTCACTTCCGGCAAAGTTACGAAAAAATATACACTTTGGATCACACTATTTAAAGATAGCCCAAATTAATTGTGTAAAACATTTTAAGGACGCTCCTATTCATGTATATGTACAAAAGTATATACACATAAACAGACAAGTAAATGCTTGTGTGCAACATGTAATTTCTTACTCGTGTAATTACGTTTCCGTTCAATTAGCCATGTTTGAAAATAAGAAACTCCACACGATCTAACTTAAAATGTAAAGCATTGTGCACTTCATGGGTGCAAAAAAACCCAAACTTATGTCCTATAATGATATGCCACCCTTTTTCACTAAAATCGAAAAGTTCTTTTATTTTGTCTCGCAGAGCTATTGTTGCACATTTCCAGGAATTTATTTTATTATTATTTATGTTGTGATATATTTCCTTTGCTACGTTTATTAGTTTTATTTTCTTTTCGTGGTTCATGTGTTCATACAGAATATCACATTTTGGTTCTTCCATGGTTCCTCAGAATGTGCAAGCAGGATTAAACTTACACTTTCGCTTATACACACTATCGAGATTTTTTACGACAGTGATTTGCTCTTACTCTTAGTTACCCGTGCATGCACATGCTTCTATTTATGCATATGCACACTTTTATCATTTCCGAAGAAAAAGAACTCCAAATATAAGTAATTTAAAAGAGAATAAAAAAAATGATTATATAAATAAAAAATTGAACTATGCAATGAAAAGTATTTCACCTCTCGTGTGTGCCTTTTTTTTTTTTTTTTTTTTACAAAAAATTAATGCGCCTGGATTTACAAGACAAATTTTCACCCAATAGTACGCACGCGCGTAATAAAATGAAGACAATCTCATTTTAAATTTTAATGAACACATTTCACCCATTTTATAATGAAAAGGTAAGAAAAAAGTTTACTAAAGTGTGTAGAAAAAATATTGGTAAATATTTTTGCATGTGTGGTGAAAAAAATAAATAAACAAAGCGGGGCTCTCTATTTCTTCTAAATGAGACACTTTTTCCTGATTCTAAATGGAACAGGAAAAAAAAAAAAGAAAAGGGGAATTTACGAAATTTGTTTGGAACACTAATCAATTTTGGATTTTCTATAACGAACAAAGTATCAAACACATTTTGAGCTGTTTGAACTTGTCTATTTTTTCAGCAAGTCACACACGTGCACCCTATTCGTCACATCCAACCGCTCCAACAGTTCTCATTCTTTTTTACGTTTCCCCAAAGTAGTTCAAAACTGAGAACTGTTTCTTTAACACCAAAGAACAAAATAGAAACATCCATGAGATGATATAACGTATAATAGTCATTTTCACAAAATTCAACTGTATGGTATATTATATATATATTTTGTTGGGGGATGGGTATGCTACTAATATGTAACAGTGCTCACAAGGCCTAGAGTTTCCTATTTTTTCAAAAGCGAATGCTTGGTGATGCTTCCTTATCGTCAATTAACACTTATACACCGATTTGTAATCGAAAAAAAACATTTTTCATTAGACGAAAATACATCTATTCTATTTTCACAAGAAAATTAAATAACACATAAAATACGGAACAACAAAAAAAAAAAAAAAAAAAAAAAGAAAATTTTAGATGTGTCAATCCTTTGAATTAATATATTTGGAAAAACATACTTTTAATTCTATATAAATGTTATACTTTAAAAATTAAAGCACACTTATTTCATATATTGTAGCATTACTATAAAATGTTTGAAGAGTATATATTTTATGGATCTGCAAGTCCCTATTTCTAATTATATCTTTGGAATTTTTTCTACTAGACAAGTGTCAAAAAAACACAATGTTGTTCCGTTTTTATATTTTATTTTTATAGTACTACACTTGAAACGTTATTCACATTTTTTTTCCCCCTTTTGTAAAAATTATTTATTTTTTTTTTTTTTTTTTTTTACTTCTTACTCTCTTTTTTCCTCAACTGTAAAAGTTATAGATAGAAAAATAAATAAGTAAAAAAAAAAAAAAAAAAAAAAGTCACAAGATGGGAAAAATAACTTTTGTCACTTTACAAATGTAATATGTATGTGTTGAAAATGGCACTATTCACATGTGCATGTATACGTTAGTGTATGCACACATTTGTATACCCATCTGTTTTTTGGATATTCTGTCCAAATTATAATGGTTATGTTTTTTCCGCTTTCAGTGCGTGCATGTTAGTGTTATTATTCTGTCTGATTAAAAACGCAAAAAAGTAAGAATTTTTTATTTCCACTGTTTACATGTTTTTCCATTTTTTTGTTCACTTTTACTCTTTTCCACACGGCATTGTGATAAAGAAAAACACAGAAAAAAAAAAAAAAAAAAAAGTGCACCTCACCTTTTCATATCTCAACATAAATGCTAAAATACTAATTTTTCCTTACAAAATGAGAGAACAAATTTTCGTTCATGTGTAACTGAAAATTTTGTGATGCAGAAAAATTAAAGTTAAAATTATGACTCCTACGCGACATAACGTAAATGATACCAAAACAGTTTTGAATTCCAAAGAAGAAGACCTGTTTTACTTGTTCAAAAATCCCAAAACATCAGAAGGTTATAGAAAAAGGGTAGAAATTGAATCCGTGGATGCACTAATTCGAAAATTTTTGAGTGGAGAAGATGTTTTTTTGAATTACATCCCTTGTGAATTGGATTGTAAGAATGAGGAAAATCAAGAGGAAGGGACTAAGGGGGAAAACAATGCAGACAATCCAAAAGGGGAAAACCAAGGGGACAATCCAAATGGGGAAAACCAAGCGGACAATCCAAAAGGGGAAAACCAAGGGGACAATCCAAATGGGGAAAATCAAGCGGACAATCCAAATGGAGAAAATCAAGCGGACAAAAAGAAAGAAAACATCGGTTCTCCAAAGGAGGAAGGACCATACCCCATCCGCATAAACGAGAAATACAACGACATTCTATTTTTGTCAAGGAAAGAAACAAGCAAAGATCGTTTTCATTTGAAAAAAATTCAAAAGGTATGTAATAAAGTGTACAATAGCTTAAAATTTTACAAGGTAGAAAATCATGACATGTATAAATTTAGACCAAGGGATGTAGATACGGATATTATAAAAATAAAACATGATTTAGAAGTTCTTGAGTACAAAGATTACACAATTTGTAAAGACAAAGATGTCGAAAAAACAGCCTTACGAATGGTTCAAGAAAAATGTAAACGAATTGTCCAAGGATTAAATTTTAACTGCGATTCAGTAAATATAGGAGAAATTATTGATATTTTGAACGTTATTACTACACCAGAATTTGATGAAAGGCTAGATAAATCCAAGTATTTGAAATTATTTATAAATAAATATCATTATGTGTATCCATATGAAGACATTGGTAAGTTGAGAAAAATTCGAAAATATATTAGAACCAAGTATATGCAAAAAGGGGATTTCTACATTGATGAAAATGACATTTCTCAAATGTATTTAAAAACAAATTTGGACAAAATTGTCAAAAATGAGGATTTTATAAATAATATGCTAAATCTGCACATTGACAATGGAAAGTTTTGGGTTCAACTCGTTCATAATATATGGATTCCTCTCGCTATAGAAATATTCAACACCACTCACAAATCGTTTTATTCATATTTAATGAATTATAATAATGACACTTCGGTGCTTGATCAGTACGTCTATTCACGTTCTAACGGAAAGTTCTATAAATTTTCTCACTATATTTTTACAGGTAAAAGATGGATATAATTATATATATATGTGTAATTTCCTCATGTTAAAAAGTGAGATGCTATGTTTTCTTTCTCATTTTTCCGTACTTATTTTTTATTCCAGAAAAATGGCTACTCTCAATCTGCTCATTCTATACCTTTTCACCATCACAGGTGCTATGTTTAGCGGAGTTCCAAGTATCTACAGACTCCTTATGAGATTGCATGCATACAAATACAGTGAAGTGAGAATCAATATGACTCTGGAAAAAAACGCCGATAATATTTACAACGACGTAGTTATATCGAGCTTAAATTACCACATTGATGTTATTAGATACTTGTTTCCCTTTTTTAAGGAGTATAAAAATATAGACATGGAAAAAATGGTAGAGAATTTTTTTGAATCCAATTTTTTTAACCTAATTATGAATTCGTTAAAAAAGAAAAATATTGAAAAAATTACGGTGAATCAAAAGTACTTAACTTTTATCAACTCCTTTTTCCTAATGATAACAGAATTTTTATATGGAATATCAAATAAAAATTGTCTTGAAAAAATAAACAGAAATGAAATAAAATTGTTAGACATATTAAATGGAATATTTTATAAGGATATGAATATACTCATAGGTCGAGATGTTTTGTTATTCGTAGCTGATTTGTTGTGTTTATACAAATTAAGTTCTATATATATAAAAAAAATATATTGTGAACATATTTTAAATATGACAAATATTATTAAAAATTCTTATTACAATAAAAGTTCATTAACAAATGAAAATACGTGGAGACAGGTATACGTGATAGCTGTTAAAATTCATCATTTTGTTAAATGTGCCTTACAAAGAAAACAAACAGTAAGTGATAACATCATGCTGCAAGAGTTAACACTAGTAAATAGATATTATTTTAATGGTTTGAAACAAGAGAATTCTATAGGAGAGTTTTACTTTCTGAAAAATATAAACTATGGAATTTATTGTTGGAATCCAGTATGTAATAAATACACCAATGTTCATCATTTTGAGTATAATAAAAATAGTTTTGAATATTGTCAGGGTTGTTATATTGCTACCTACTGTTCAGAACGCTGTAAGTTGATTCATTTGATTTCTTCTCATCATAATGTTTGTGTTTATTTTAAGACCATTCCATCATTTCTTAAATATAACGATCTTAATGAAGATTTCGCTTGCAAAAAAATGAAATACTTAAATATATTTCAGCATATTGACACATTTGATAGGGAAAATGAGAAATACAATGTTATCTATTAGGCTTCTCAAAGTCTACTACATTAGAAATATTTTTAAAGATTTCGTCGAAACGTTTTCGACCGGGGTGAACCATGTGGTTGCTCCAAAGGGGATACAATTTCTTGTAAATTCATTTTAGTATGCTTTGCACCTCTTTCTATAAACAAGTTTGACGTAGTTGTGACATATACTTTTTTTTTTTTTTTTTTATCTTATATTTTTCCCCACATTTTTGTAAAAATAGTGAGCACAGATATAATGAGATAACTTCAAAAACACACGCGTATGATATTAACTTGAGTTAGCCATAAAGAAATATATACAAAAAAAAAAAAAAAAAAAAAAAAAAAAATGCATATCCCTTCGAGGTCAAAATATATTCAATGTGGCCTTTCTGGGATCCATCCTTTTTCCATGTCCCTATAAAATGAAAAAAGAATGATGCTTTGAATAACTGGAAAAGTTGGTCATTTCGATTTATTTGGATGATCATGATATAAAAAAATGTAGACATACACGTGCACATGTGCATGTATTTATATCTCCCATCTTTTGATACGCAAATTTTCGAATTACGTATAAACAAATCTATTGTATCTGGCCCTTTCGTCCGATCTCTGTAAGCTTGTTCCGTTTTTCTTCCTTTCCTCCAAAATTTGCTTTTCCCTGAACTTCACATACTTGAGGGGAGGGGTGAGGGCATGCAAGTGCAATTATGTATGTGTATGGATGCATATCTAGTTATGTATAAGTACGGATGCATGTGTACATGCTTGTATTTATAATGTGTATCATCCACTGCCACCCCTTACGTGTGCGAGTTTATAATGGATGTTCTACGTCATGCAGTTTTTTTCGATTTTTCATTTCTCCCTTTACGTACTTCAAAATTTTCATATTTCTTCAAGCATCTTCTCATTTCAATCATCAAGTCTTTGCATTTTAATATTGTCCATAACCTTCCAACCGAGCATTCCACGTATTCGTCAATTTCGGCCCTGCCATGAAAGAAGTCAAGTAAAATATGGATACATGATGCATAAGTACAACGTTTGTATAAATATACACAAAAGAGGGGTCATATTCTCGTTGGGATTTTTTAGCCTATCATGTATGTATCCATTTTTACCTGCATTTATCTCGTAACTCCCGAGCTAATATTTTTTGAGCTTCTTTCTTTTCCTTTTGTTCAATCACTACAAGATTAGAAGAAGTGCACACAAATATAATGAGATGTTTTGATGACACTTATGGGAGAGGAATAGGTTTATGTACAATGTCTAACCCCATAATAGAATTAATTCTATAACTCCAGGTAAGAAGGCAATTCATTCGAGTACATAACATAACCCCCGTGGGTGTACGAATTTAACAATGCAAAGTTATCTTACGTGTGGCTTCCTTTATTTCAAAATATGGGATTCTGTTGTTCCTGTTATTTTCTATAAAATCTTCTGGTAATGATTTTTCAAAATTTTCTTTTATTTCTTCATCATAGTTGTTCTTTATTTCCTTTTGATCTTCTGATCTTCTTATGGGGGTCCATATTTTTCTCATTTTATTATTACATAATGATTCAAGCTATTAATTGTATATTTTTTTTTTAATGCCTATTCCCACGTCGTGTAGGCATAAATATGTAGTGGTATCTTACCAGTGCATGCAACACATGAATAGAATTTTTTTTTTTTGAAATTCCTAAATGAGGTGCTATTTGTATGTATTCTCAGCTCGTATTTTTTTTTTTTTTTTTTTTTTTTTTTTTTTTTTTTTTTTTTTTTTTTTTTTTTTTTTTTTGGGCTTTACACAGTGTACACTGAAACTTAATTGGATACTTCCTAGGAAATAAAATCCTAAATTTATTCATACGAAAATGTTTCGCACAAAGTTACGCGTTTTATGCATAACATTATGTGAATTGCAATTTGTTTGATATTGTTATGCGTATGTCCGTTCTTACATATGCCTTCTTTATCTCTATAACAGTACGTTCATTCGCACAAGGGGATGAAGAATCCGATCAAATAAGCTTTTGCATTCTTAAGGATGCTCTTAGAATATTCAAAAAGTAAGGAAGCAATTAAATTATTATTTCAATTTTAATTAAAAAACTTTGAACGTTGTTAGAGAGTAAAACATAAAAAAAAAAAAAAAAAAAAAAAGAAAGGAAGGAAGCCTTATTATGTTGTACTGTATTATATTTTATTATGTTATATTATGTTACATTATTTTATTTTATTTTTTTAAATTCATTTTTAGTGGGATTTTGCTCCATTATGTATATTTTCATACGCACATTATCGTAGCTAGGTTTTGTCAGACTCACTTATTCATTAGGATTTTAAAAATTAGGAATTTTAAAATAAAAAAAAATGCTAACAAGGGTTTATTTTCAAAAAGATAAAAATTATGCATACACATTTGAACATAAATAAACATTCATATAGTTTTGCAAATATGGATAATTTTCTTTACAAAAAAAAATAAAATAAAATAATAAAGTGATAACAACAAATTTAATAATAATCATTAAAATGGCAGGACAATGAGATAATTCGATGGTTTACAAAAATTGTTTATACAAAAAAAATAAAGTAAAATGTATATTTATATGTATATATATATAAATATATATACGTATATGTCGACATAGTCACGTTAAAAAACTCGAACTTTTTCTTGATAACGTCCAAATGTGGACATAAAAAAGAACAAAACAAAACAACGTTTTTTAATTCAAAGTAATTTCGTTTTCCACTTTCCAGTGTATTATTCCTTTTATAATCCCCCCGAGGTTAACATTTTCGTAATTTATTCCTAGTGGGAGTCTCAAACATTTCCCAGTTCCAAATATTTTCAAGTTTGTTTTAACAACCCAATTTGGACATTCCTTGACATTGAATCATATATCTTCTTCTCCTCACATGTCTTTCATGAAATGACCCTTAATCTTCACACTTACCCATCGCACAAAGGCATATTAAACTGCGGAGCAATTTTGTTATACCTTTCTTTTATTTGAGGGTGATGCAAAACTACACCATTCAGCTGATTCCCTAGGGTTATCCAGTTGCTTCTAATATTATGGGGTCGTCCAAAAAGTTCTATTTTTAAATTTTGCGGACATAATCTCTCTATTAAGGTGTATATTTCATCTGGCTTTCTCGAAGTTTCTCTAACCTCAGACACGATAACATTACAATCGATATTTCTGTTGACTATTGGATTTCCTTTAACGCCAACTAAACAATGTTCCTTAGAATGATTCAACCAATGACCAGTTCTACCTGTTCTTATAATTCTCTGTAAATGATTTGTTTTAACCCACAATATTTCTTCTACCCTTTTATAGCCCCATATTTGTAAACATTCTCTTGCCAATTCCATAGCTCTTCCTGTGACCCATAGAAATATCATACCTTCATCTTGTATTAACTGTACAGGTAACAGTTTCATTTCATTATCTGTCATTGTGCCATATGGCAAATCCATATGAATATCCCATGGAGGATCTGCCATTACTACACTAACGTATTGATTAAATATGCTCAGATCAAAATTTCGTAAATCACATCGTATCCATTGAGGCCCGTATGTATTATCCTTTATACTAAAAATGCTAACATTATTTTCGGTTACATTTTCTTGATTACTAACTATTTTATCATCTTTATCAACCGCATAATGAACAAATTTACAGGTTTCTATATGTCTGCATGTATCTAAATAGGAACAATCTCCCAGTGACACATCTGTGTGTTCAGATATAATTTTCTTAAAGTGCACTTTATTACATTCTTTATTATGTTTCTGACAAACTTTTTTTGTCAAATACGGACATATAATTTTTACCGAATCATTTTTTTTTTGAAATTTTTTTATTCGCATTTCTTCTATCACAGTTGGTGCTTCGATAATGGAAAGGATATTTGTCTTTTCCTGTTTTATTTTTTTTTCCTTTGCTGTTGGTTCGTTCAGTAAATTTTCTAAATAGTTTATTTTCTTACGACCATTATTATTGTTGTTGTTATTAATATGGTCATTGTTACCGCTTTTGTCTCCACTTGGATTACATTCTCCATATTTGGATTCATGTTCCATTGTATAATTTTGATTATGTAATTCTTTTTTTTTCTTCTTATCATTTTCTTGTATCAATGAGCTGTACATGTTCCTGCTCACTCCATCTGCCGTTTCCACACTCCTGTGTTCATAAGGAATTTGTTTACCTATCATTTGTGAATCTACAATTTTTTGACTTGTTATGTGCATACTCGTGCTCTTTTTATGCTCGTCCCTCCCCATATAATTCAGTTTTGCATCGTTACTTGTTTTCATCCCATCAGCCACATGTCTGCTATTATTACCCTGTTGATATAAATATTTCGTCAGTAAATTCTTTATGTTTCTTATATAAATAACTTTTATTATAATACTTATTCCCACAATTTCTATATCTATACAACTATCCTCTAATTTTATTTCTTTATGTTTCTCTAATGATTTGTCTAATTTTTCCTGCGTTAATTCATTATGATTTATGTCATCTTGATTTCCCCCTCTGCAATTATTTGACATATATGTAAGTACATTATTTAGAGTATTTATTTTCAACAATTTTATGCTTTTTCGATTTCTGTTTTTTATTTCTCGAAGAATTTCAACAGACGTTATGGACGTATTCATCATGAATTGATTTTCATTTGCTTTCCCACATATATGTAATAACAACTTACATATATATATTAACAAAACTGAACTATCGTTTATTTCTATGTTATTTAGATCAGTTAATAATTCGTACGAAATATTACTCATAACCGCGTTTACATTTTTTTCTCTTTTCATGTTATAATCTACATCTTCTTTATACATATGTTCATTCGATGAATGGAAACTTTGTGAAATTTTACTTGTATTGGAGAAGTCTCTTCTGGAGTTTTCCTTCAGGGTGTTCATCCGTTGTAAGTCATCTTGGTTATTCCTTTCATTGAATGCATGGTCATTTTTATTCCTCATGCGATATTTTTTACTTTCGTGTGTATCATATAATGGTTCTTTCATTTCCTTTTTTACATGTTCACTGTGCTCATCACATTTTGTGTAATTTTCTCGGTGCCATCGATCGTTCTTCTTATAATTTAACTTATTATAGTTACTTATGCTACTATTATCACGGGGACCTCCTCTCTTTGCCTGTTTATTCCGTTCTTCATCTTCATGGTGATTTTCATCCCTTCTAAATCCATACTCGTTTTTGTGCAAGAAAAATTTATTCTCCTTATCGCTTTTGCGTTTATAACTGTTTTCTTCATTTTCTGCTTCCCTTTTTCGTTCTCCAAAATTTTGTTCCTTTTTTTCCGCCAAATTGCTGTCATTTATATTTATGTTTCCAAGTAGTTCTCTTTTTCTTTTCAAATACCTTTCCCTTGCCAACGACATTTTATTGTTTTTTTCTTTTCCGTATAAAACCTTCCCACTTTTCTCTCCCTATGTTCCTTAAGCGTGTTCCACACATGAATTATGTGCAAGTATGCATAAATATATGTACATACATAAAAACATATACTCATGCATATATGCATGCATATTCATAAACGTGTGCATATGTATTATACATATGTACAAAGTGCATTCATACATATGTAACATACATATGAAACATACATGCACACATAACCTGCCGGTAGTGTTACATGTATTTGTTACGCATATTTCTCAAGTTCGAAAATAGAAATTTAAATTATGACTTTCTTTCTTTTTTCTACCTTAATTTTGCCTTCTCATTCCTCCAGCATTTTTTCGCCTTTTATATTTTGCACGCACGTTATGTACATATGCAGTATATGTGCGCATGTATGTACGCATGTATGTATGCATATATGTATGTATGCATATATGTATGCATGTATGTTGCATATATGTTGCATGTATGTTGCAAGTAAGTCGCATGTATGTCCTATGTATTACACATGTATGTCGCATGTAGTTGCATGTATGTCGTATGTAGTCGCATGTATGTCGTATGTAGTCGCATGTATGTCGCATTTATGTCGCATATATATATAAAATATATATAAAATATATATACCTATGAGTTTTCATTTTTTTTATTTTTTTCGCAGCCCCCTTTGCATAATATAAAAGCATATACATGCATCATATATATAAATATTTATATTTTGCAGAAAAAAATTAGCACATCTTAAGTGATGTTTTGATATCTTTTTTTTTTTTTTTTGTTTTTTTTACATGAACTATATGTAAAAAGGCATAACTTGTTTCATTCAAAAGGAAGTAAAAAAAAGGAAGCGAGAAAAATGTAATTTGTTGTGCCTTCGAAGAAGACTTCTTGAAAGAGTTCACATATAGAAAGGTAAAAAAACATTATATATGGTACAAAAAAGTAAAATTTTATCCTTTTTTCTTTTCTCTTTTTTTCCTTTTTCTTTTTTTCCTTTTTCTTTTTTTCCTTTTTCTTTCTTTTTTTTTTTTTTTTTTCTTTTTTTTTCTCTCTATATTTTGTCACCATTACTATTCATTTATACCCATAAATCATGTGATAGAAAAAAGAAAAAAATTCATATTATAATAACATCTTTATAATTACCCACGTACTTTCCTTGTGTTTTGTAGGATTATAAGTAAACATATTTAAGTTTTCCATTTTTTTTAATCTACAAATGCTTCATGCAATTTTGTGCGATTGTAAGTTTTTACAAGTTTATTTATTCCTTTGAAGGAATACGCATAAAACACTTACAAAGTTATATGGGCACATTAAAATATATCTGTGGTGCTTTATTAGACCACCACATTTACGTGTTCTTTTCATGAAAAAAATTTTTAAAAAATGGAAAAAGAACTATACGCACGTATACACGGAATATGTGATGCATGGATGTCGCCTACTCTTTAACGAAAAAAAAAAAAAAAAATATATATATATATATATATATATACATAAATATATATATATATTCATAAATTCACAATTCACAGTTTGCACAGAAAGTCCTATTCAGGCTAGAACAAAATGAAACGGACATACCTCCTCGTAAAGGGGTCATGCTCACACAATCCCTTAAAAATCAATGTCGGTCTTAATCGGAATTCTGATATCCTTCAACCTATTAAACATTTTCTTTTTTTTCTTTAAATTCTTCATTTTTTTACTCGCATTTTTTTTCATGCGCACTTGCTGCGGGGTAACATAGTTCTTGTATTTTACATTTTCATAAAGAACTCTTCCTTTAAAACATTCTTCAAATATTTTAATAATGTGCAGTGTGAACTTGGGTCCAATCTCTACTAACTTTTGCTTATTAACATTATTAGAATCTGCTAAGGTTATGGGCATTATTTGATAGTGTCTAAAGTATATTAAATTATTCACGTGCACAAAACTATAACAGTGGTCGTAAAAAGGCTTGCTTAATGGATGATAGTTGGGAGTTCCGAACACTTGAATAAAAACTTCTTTGATTAATTTCAAATGTTCTAATTGGTCAAAGGGTTTACTAAAAATTAAAAGGGGTCTTGAATATAATAAACAATTACCTGAAAATATTAAGCTGTGTAGTGGAATGTAATCTAATATCTCGAAATATAATGATGGTCCCGTTATATTTTTACATATCCATAAACAATACCGTCTTTTTTTTATATCAAAAAATATTATGTTATTACAATTTCTGCTGTAACTTATGTCACATAAGTCGCTTTTTCTGGCCTTTTTATTCCATTTGCTTTCCTTCTTATGATGTGGCAGCAACAACTTTAAATTTTCAATGAACGATCTGCAATTCTTTTTTTTTAGAGGAGACCTAACAATTAGGACTCTCTGTCTGTTTTTCCACAGTTGATTTTTTTGGATGTACGTTGCATCTTTGAGAAGGTATGGGTCTTTGTCTTCCTGACTTCCTTCTTCATCCTCACCCTCTTTTTCTTTATCCTCATTTTCTTCCTCATCTTCTTCTTCATCCTCGTCCTCATCTTCATCTTCTTCAACCTCATCTTCTTCTTCATCCTCATCTTCTTCAACCTCATCTTCTTCTTCATCCTCATCTTCTTCAACCTCATCTTCTTCTTCATCCTCATCTTCTTCATCCTCATCTTCTTCTTCATCCTCATCTTCTTCAACCTCATCTTCTTCTTCATCCTCATCTTCTTCTTCATCCTCATCTTCTTCTTCATCCTCATCTTCTTCTTCATCCTCATCTTCTTCATCCTCATCATCTTCTTCCTCTTCTTCCTCATTTGCTTCCTCTTTATCCTCACCTTTACCCTGCTTTTCACATTCCTCTTTCTCCTGTTCGTCGCGCAAACAATCCGTTTGCACCTCAACAATCTCATCTACATGTACATGAACATCTACACCACTGTCCTCCTGAAATAAGGCTCGTCTCTTCATCACAACCTGTTCATTATTATCCTCTACACTTTCTTTCCTTTTTTTATTATCATTCGTATCACAAATTGGTGATGTAAGTAATATGTTCTCGTCATGTTTCATTTCAATATTCTGGGATACTTTTATTCCTTCTTCTTTCAGTTCACTCATTTTTTTTTTTTTTTTGGGGGTGAAGGAAAGGGGGGTTGTCACAAATGAATAAAAATTTGTAATTCTACAAAATTATATCTTTTAAAAATAATTGCTCCCTTTTATATATTTTCTAATAAAAGGGTTTTATATATATATATATATATATATACCTCTACAGGAAAAATGAATTACCCGTTTTATTTTATTTTATTTTTATTTTTTTCCCCATATGTAGAAATATACAACATAGGCATACTAACGAATATAACAAAATCGTTTTTTCGATTCGTTAAAAAATGTAATTGCCAAATATCATGATTAAAACATTTTTAATATATTTCTCTCTTCAACTTTTTACCATTCAAGTATGCTAAAATAGGTTCTTCTTTTTTTTTTTTTTTTTTCCTTAAATTAATCCCACAAAAATAAGCTTTTCAGACTTGGCAAAAAATGCTGCACGAAAATAGCCTGAATGAATATGCAAATTTTCTCCTCTAAAATGATATGTGCTATTTAGATTTAAAGTTTAGTGTATTTTATATGCAACACTATAAATAAGTTTTGCATGCATACATATATACAACTTATAATAAAGTTAAAAAAATTTGTGGATCACATTATTATCCCCACATTGAGTAACATTAGCGTTAAAAATGTAAAATGTTTCCAAACCGTTGCATATGAGTAAGAAATAATAAAACGTGTAGCGAAAAAGCAAGGTCTTAAAATGCATAAGGTGTTATGTACATGAATGAATGTTTTGTACAGTTATAATTTTGGCACTTGAGGAGTTAGAGAATCTGTTGGTACATGCTATATATTATGCCGCCGCCCCCACACTCTCCATTTTGTGCACGATATTTTAGAAGAATTTTACTGATACGATAATTGGGAAATAAGAGCATCGACAAAAACACTGACATGAACATCAAACATTAGCATAAAAGGGAGTGCCTTTCCATGTGTATGCATACATATTACATGTATGCATATGTATTACGTCCTTATGCTTACATACCATCGTAAGGAAAAAAATAAAGTAGCACAAACAATCATTTTAATTGTTAAAAAAGAAGAGGCAAAACAAAAAGATCAAAAAGAAATGACATAATATATACCCCATTAAGATACTAACTTAAAGTGGGGTGCTTCAAACTAATTTTTTTTTTCTTTTTTTCAATTCCTCAGTTATACTATTATATCTTTGGATTTAAAAAAACATATAAAAACAAAATACAGCGTACTGCTGATCCCCAGGAATTGATAACTTGTTGAAAAAAAAAAAAAAAAAAAACAGGATAAACGTAAAATGGGAATAAATAAGTAGCTACAACTGGTAAATGATAAAAATAAGCAAATAAATAAGCAAATAAATAAGCAAATAAATAAGCAAATTAATAAGCAAATAAATAAGCAAATTAATAAGCAAATTAATAAGCAAATAAATAAACAAATAAATAGATAAATATATGTATAAATGATTACAAGTGTAAAAATAGTAGGAGGGGAAAAAAATAAAGATGCTTGAAAAAAACGACAGCTTTTTGAAATATTTATACAAGTAAATGATACTATAAAAATTAAAGGAAAGGTGAGAAAAAACCGATTGACTACGTAGAATATAAAACCCTGGGAAATGCTTTCCGTCCTTATCAATGAAACTAAACCAAATTACATTTATGGAATGAAGGATATTCTATGCTGAAATAAATATATTTTAGTCCATTTCGCAGCTTGTTTCTTTTTTTTCTTTTTTTTTTTTCTCGCCTCACTTTTTTAATAAGCATTACCCATGTACATAGATTTCAAAAAAGAAACATAAAATGAGTAATTTAAAAGAAGAACAAACATATCAGAGTTGTGAAAATGACATTACAAACGAAAAATCAACTTTGTCCAATGAGAAAAACTCAAAAGAAACAATACTGAAGAAGAAAATCACAAAAAAAGTGAGTTTCCACCTTGATGAGGACGAGACAAATGAAAAAAAGGAAGACATGCAAATTAATGATTCATATTTCAAAGGATATCAAATTGGCGAAATTTCCCATGCGAGCAGTGACAATGGGGGGCAGCATTATTGTAGGGAGAATGATTACATTCAGAATGCCACAAAAGTGGTAGACGAAAATTTGGACAGTTTCATGAAAAACAGTTCAGCGAAATGCACAGGTGATAGAATAAGTGAATATAACTGTTGGATGAAAGAAAATGTCCCAAATGGAAATTCAGGAATCTCCAACGAGCACATGATTCCCTACAACCAAGATATTGAGGATAAACTTTTCACCAACCAAGATAATCTACATAAACTCCCTTCGCCCCAGAACAACCTGAACGAATACAAAAACAAAGAGAAAGAACCAATTTACACTAAATATGATAAACGTGAATATTTGGGGAATGAAAAAAATGGTATGCTCTTAAAGGATGAGCTAACAGAAGACGAAGGAGATCAAACGATTTCCCATAAAAAGAATGGCAAAAAAGAAAAAAAAATAGAAATTAAAACAGAAGACACAAACTTCGAAAAATCGTACAACGAGAGTTTAAATAATTACAATTCTTCTTCCTTCGTTGATATACTAAACTCAATTCAAGGAAATTTAAATGGTACACCGAATGGAAACATAAATGGTATACTGAATGGAAACATAAATGGTATACTGAATGGAAACATAAATGGTATACGGAATGGAAACGTAAATGGTACACGGAGTGGAAGTGCACAAAATGAATATACCCCCAATGGTTTCCACATTAATGGAGAGAACAAAATGAAGAGTATAAATTACGAAAATGTAGATTTTACAGAAAATGTGGAATGCAATAACTTGCAATTGATTGCATGTATCCATTGTGGAGATAGCATAAAGGCTAATGCATCAAAAATGTGCAGTAATTGTATTTTACAAAATGTTGAAAGTAGTAGTATAAACATAAATAAGGACACGTATTTAATATACTACTGTCGTGAGTGTAAGAGATATCTACACAATAGATGGGTTTATTGTGAATTAGAAAGTAAAGAATTACTAGCTTTATGTTTAAAAAAAGTGAATAAATTAAAAAAATTAAAAATATTAGATGCTAAATTTTTATATACGGAACCACATAGTAAGAGAATCAAAATTCATTTGAGTGTTCAGGAAGAATTAATAAATAATTTTATCAGTGAAATGGAATTAATTTTACATTATGTAATCAAATATACACAGTGTGATGATTGTAAGAAAAAATATACACCTTACACATACAATACATGTGTATCAGTAAGGCAAAAAGTTGAACATAAAAAAACGTTACTATTTTTAGAAAGCTTATTATTAAAATGTAATATGAACGAAAATATTATTAACATTGTATCAAATCCTGATGGGTTAGATTTTCACTTTTTATCCAGAACAGATGCTTTAAAATTTTGTGATTTTATATTAAGCAAAACTATGTCAAAATGTAAAAATTCGAAGCATTTAATAAATCATGACGCAAATAATAATACCTATAATTATTTATACTCTTTTTCGATTGATATATGTCCTATATGCAAATATGATTTAATTTTTTTCCCCAAAGATTTATCCATTAAGTATGGAATCAAAAGTACTTTCTACCTATGTATACATGTATCTATATTCATTATACTAATTAACCCTTTCTGTTCTTCAAACAATGTGCATATATCTCAAGAACGATACAATAAACACCCCTTTCTGCCACTACTCAGTAAAGCAGATTCTAGAGTCTTCTTAATACTGAACGTGGAATACATTGACAATGATTCATACTCAAAAAATGAATGCAAAAATGGTGTTGTCAATGGAAAACTCCGTGGCAACAGCAATGGAAATGCACATCATGATGGAAATATAAAAGTTAATGGAAATATGAGAGGTGCACAAAAAGGAAGGGGAGAAATAAAAGAAATGGAAGAATGGGACTCAAATCTACCGAATGATAAAAACAATAACCTAAAAAGAAAAACAAAAAGCTCTACAAATACTAATAATATAGTATATGATTCCTCCGATGATGATTACCAATTGAATGATTACAACAATTCCCAAGCAGATACAAAAAGCTGCAAATCGTCCACAAGAAAAGTAAAGTTGGACAAACTGGTTTATGCATACGTTGAATTGTATGATGAATCTGAAGGAAATACAATTCTGACAAAAACATGTAATGCAAAACATTTGAAACCAGGAGATTACGTGAACGCATATGATTTAAGAAAACACACTTTTGATAATGATATAAGTTTATATCTGGAAAAAGATGATAATTACAGTATAATTATTATTGATAAAGTAAAATCAAAGGAAAGACAAAAAATAGAAAATGAATTACAAGTTCAAAATAACAATATTGAAACTATGAAAAATATTAATGATGAAGATATTTTCAAAAGGATCCTTTTGAATAATTGTAGAGATATGGAAAACATAACAATTCATTGAACAGTAAAATGAATATGTCTTGTACTTTAATTGTGTAATCTTACCGTTTATTCATTGTTCGCACTTTGGTATGTTTGTTATGTGTATATACCCATGTGTGGGAGTGAAAAAGGGGTATGCTGGGAACTTATGCTTTGATAAGTGTATAAATATTTATACTTTTTTTTTTTGCTATTTTATCGGCATAAAATAATATCCTCCTTCCCCTTGAAAGACAATGTTTTAGTTATTCATACAAAAATGTGCTTAAAAAATATGCATGTGCATATTCCCCGTCTTTCCATATGCACATGTGTGATAAATGTGTGGAAAATTCAGGAGTATGTACTTACATGCACATATACAACGTATTTGTGTTGTTATTGTGCGTACAACACTTCTGAATATGAATAATAGATTATTTTTTTTTTTTCAAAACTGTTTAAATAAACACTCATTTTTGTTTCCAAAATGAATTAAAGGAAATTAACTATGTACAAATGACATTACATGAACACAATTATATCATGAAAGTGTTGCATCTACGTATTCGTTCTAATTTACCAAATGATACTAGAATATGGGGTTCGTATTAAAGCCCAAATTTTATTTAACAGGTGAGAAAAAGCATATTTGTTGGTATTTATGTCAAGTGAAAAAAAAAAAAAAAAAAAATTACACGAATTTAGACGAATACACTAAAAAGGGTAGGAAAGTACATTTTCAAAAATGAAAAAAATGACTGCATTAAATGATCAAGTTCATTTTCATGTACTAGACAGAAAAAAAAAAAAAAAAAGTTTCAAAAAAAGTGATAATAAAAGTGATATAAAAAGTTTCAAAAAATAGTGATAATAAAAGTGATATAAAAAGTTTCAAAAAATAGTGATAATAAAAGTGGATGCAATTCATGCCACACGACACATACGTGCAAATATATGAACCGCTTTATTCAGGAAAACTTCTAAACATTTTTAACTTGTAGAAAGAGACATCAGAGCTGATTTTGGCTTAAGAATTTCTTAACAGTAGCAACTGATGAAACATTGTACGGATCTGATTGCATATTATGCTGCTTGTCTTCTTCTTGAAACATTTTTATTAATATGTTATTTTCAATTATAGCAACAAACCTCCAAGGCCGCATGCCCATAAAAAAGTTAGACTTGTCTACAAGCATATTCATACTTTCAGTAAATGAACTATTTCCATCACTAACATATTTTATCTTTTTTATATTCATATCTTTAAACCAACTTTTTAATACAAATATGTCATTGTTAGTAATACAGTATATATCATCAAATTTATTTTCCTTAATGAAATAATCATATTCACTTTCATATTGTGGTATCATTTTGGACGTGCATGTAGGGGTAAAGGCTCCTGGTAAACTTATCAACAATATTTTCTTATTCTTGAATAGTTCATGGGTGTCAATGGATTTAAAGTCGTTGTCTGTTCCTTCTTGGGGCGTACCGCTTAAATTTTTCACGTCAACCTGGAGAGATATAAGGGGAATAATAATAAAACGGACGGTAATAAAAATGGAGGTAATAATTAACAGAGTAATAAGTAGAAGAGTAATAATTAACAGAGTAATAATTAGCAGAGTAATAATAAATAGAGTAATAAGTAGAAGAGTAATAATTAACAGAGTAATAATTAGCAGAGTAATAATAAATAGAGTAATAAGTAGAAGAGTAATAATTAACAGAGTAATAATTAGCAGAGTAATAATAAATAGAGTAATAAGTAGAAGAGTAATATGTAACTCGATATAATGATAAATAATAAAGTGCAAAAGCAAACACATGCCAATTTAAACGTGTCCCACGGGCAGCAACGTCCCGCGCTGCAGCAGTTTTTCATATACCATAACTTTGACATTCGGTATTAAGTCATTTTCCTTAATGTCATTTGCCAAATCTATGCTCTTGGATTCAAACAATTTTTGCGAAGATCTACAATTTGAGTTCCCCCTTTTGGATACAATATTTAGTGCCTGGTGAGGTGTTAACTTTTTAAAACCAAAACAGAGATTTATTAAAATGAGGTAAATTATCACGACAACACTTTTCATCTTTTTATTCATCTATTTTTCTGGTAAAATGTGGGTTTGGTAAATGCCAACTAATCGTGAGATGAATCGGGAATCTTTTTCTTCTCCTTTGTTACGCTTTTTCTATTGTTGTGATTCCCTTTCCTTCACAGTGTTTTCGAACAGTGTATATTGCCACAAGAGTGCATATCCATACATAAGCATATATGTATAAATATACATATATATATGTACATGTATTATTGAAAAGGGGACTTGTGTGCCTATGGAGGCAAATGTAGAAACGGGGAATTAATATGCATGAAAGGGGTTAAAATTAACAATTCATCCCAAAATTCTGCATATCCTCTGCAGTTATATTCAGAGGAATTCTAACTCTTTTTTTTTTTTTTTTTTTTTTTTTTTTTTTTGAGAGCGTGGGGATGTAGGAGATGTGGGCATAAACTATATGTGACTTAACGGGTTTTCCCACGAATAGCGGCTAACGTTTATTCTCCTCTATGCAGCAAAACTATCGCTTCCTTTTTTCAGCTTTTATTGTCAAATTCTTGGGCTATTTTGCAGGTCATTTTTGTATTTGTCGTTGCCCTATTTTTTTTACAACTGTCACTTATGGAATAGGTATTTTTCGCAGCATGTACGTAGAAAAAAAAAAAAAAAAAATTAGGCTTGTTTTTTGTGCCTAGGCAAATATTTTACCGTAGAAAATATCCACGATTTAACAGTTTTACTTTGTTATGCACAATAGTGTATATGTATTTATGTTATGTACCATCTTAGCCGTTGAAACAACCCTGTAAGGCACAGTATTTTCCTCAGATTTATGCAGGGACATATGCTTGAACTGACAAATTCATATTCAGACTTCATTATTTTTGAAAAAACGTTTTCCAGTTCAATAAATTGCCATTGAGCAGCAAAAAGTGGATCATAAAAAGTGAAACAAAATGGAAATATATATAAATAGGTAAATACATCAGATGTGGCAAAATAAGGTAGGGATTTAAAAAAAAAAAAAAAAAAAAAAAAAATTAAAGTTGTGACAAAATACACGAAAAAACTACATATGAAGATGAAAAAAAAAAAAAAAAAAAAAAAAAAAAGGCGCATATGAGCTTTAAAATGAGGTGTAAACGCAAAGTATAATAAAAAAAAAGAAAAAATGTTATACAAGCTTGTAGAATCCTTTTAAATTCTAACATGTTTTGTATATAGGCAACATTTCTATGAAGACATGGGATATGGTTTAAAATACAAAAAGGGGCATACCAAAAAAAAAGTCATATTTACAAATTCACAAAACTGTTTTAAATGGGTGCATATTGAGCCTATTAATTTTAAAACATGTTATAAATCCTTGCACACAAAATGTTATATACACAAGGTAATATATTAGATATAGATAGTTAAGATAAGTATTTAAGAGATTGGTAAAAATTGCGAAACAAAGAGGAGGCACAATCATTTTTTTTTTTTTTTTTATTTATTTTTATTTTATTTTATTTTTTTTTTTTTTCTTCTTTTTTCTTGTTTTCACATAAGAGCGCATATAAAAAAGAGAACGGGTGCTACCTCATAAATTTGCATTTTCTCGTTCCTCAATAGGCCCGCTTTAACTTATTTTGTTCTACTTCCAAGTGATGTTCTTTAGACTTCTGCTCTTCTCATCATTACGTCTCGACAACGACTCCATATGCTTTTATAGTGTTTATGCCACCATCAGGGTATATATTCAAACGGAGGTGTGAAGATATGATGTCATTCAAAGGAACTCCATCTGAGTTGTTATTATTTACGGTAAAAAAGTTTATGTGATTGCCCTTAATATATGACAAAGGTAATAACTGCTTCCACTGAATGTTATGTATATTTTCATTGAAGAATTGAATTTGATTTGATTTTTCTTCTGAATGCACTTGCTTCAAATAACAATAATCAATAGAAACACATATAGGAAAATTATACTCATAAAATATGGTATTTATTTCTATATATTTAATATTCGTAAGAAAACTTAGTTTAATTATGCAATAATTGTTATTAAAGAATATGGATGAAATATTATTCAATGACAGATTTTCAACATAACGTAAGGGTCTATTTATTAATCTTCTTGTTTGCCATCCCATTACATAGTTGGAATTCTGATCGATCAATATGTTTTCCGATTTTCCATAAAATTCATCAGTTGTATAAACAACATTTGACCCATCTAAAATATTACATACATTAATTGTTTTCTTATAATTTTGTTTTCTCATTTTTTCGCTTATTTTTATTTCTCCATAAACTCGTAATTTGTTTATCCCACCATCTGGTAGTAAGCAAACGATCAAATGTGTAAATATTTTGTTACATGTATTTATGTTAAAACAATTATGATTATAATTTTTAAAACCTGGATTCATTCTTTCATCTTCTAAAATGGATACCCATTGATATTGCTTATGCAAATCGTTGTATATTTTCTTTTCTACTGAATAATCGTTATCTAAAAATAGCATGTTTGAATTGTAAGAGTTCATGAGAAATGGATATTCCTCTTCTTCATATTCTCCACTTCTTTCTTGCTTCTCTTCTTCTTTTGCTTCGTTTTTTCCATTTCTTTCTTGCTTCTCCGGTTCCTCTTCTTCTCCCTGCTCAGTGTCGTAATGCAGAATGTGTGTTTTGCTGTGAATGTCACTTCCATTTATGACATTCCCTTTTGTAACATTCCTTTTTACATCGCTCCTGTTTAATGCACTAGCTTTTCCATTGTACGAATGATCGAGGAAGAGATTGCCATACTTTTCACCACTCTGATAATTTTTCACGTTACTGTTATTACTCCTATTTCTATCCTTTCCATTTGGGGGCGAGGAACTCCTTAACAAGCATCCCTTCTGAATCCCAGGGTATCTACTAGCTATTTCTTTGGTAACATCAACAAGTGTGTATAACTTGTTATCAATATAACGATATTCATTTCCGTTAGCCACAAATGATGCAGGTTTATGATTATTCCTCAATTTTTTAAACTTATCATTATATCTTAAAATTTCTAAGTAATTTTCGTATTCCTGATCAGATTTGTCAGTAAGGTCTATTAAAATAGGTTCATAAAAATATTTATTCCTTTTGAAGTATGTTTTTCCATCTATCACTAGTTCTACCTCTTCCCTATTGTTAAGCAGGTTATCACCCAGCCGCTTACTATCATTGCTACAGAAACGATTTTCCTCTATATTGCTTGTGCTCCTTTCGAAGATGTTTTTCCTCAATTCATTATTGCTACTTTGTTTATGTCTACATTCGTCATTTCTGTCATTCACGCCATTTCTATCTGTCAGGCCATTTGGATTCCGTTCAGCTTGTTCGATATGAGAACAGCTTTCATTACTGCCCTTGCCTTGACAAGACTGATAGGGGAAAAAATCCTTCTCAAACATGAATCCTTTATTTTTCTTATTCTCATATTTAACCTGATCCACATATTTCGAAAAGGATTCTTTACTCATTAAAATATCGTCTTCGATATATGCACCTTCAATAGAAACATATGGTGCATAATTACCCAGAAAATTATTTGTGTCGATATCTATCCCTTTAATTAAGGTAGGTTTGCATAATTTAACTATACAAAAATCAAAATATTTTTTTATTCTCCTTTTGGTGAGCCAACCTGGACATTCCTTAAAATTTTTTATCTCTTTGGGAGATACGGAATATTCATTTCGTTTTTCATTTTTTTCTACATTAAAATAATTTTGTTGTTCACTAAGCACAGTAGGTATATTTTTTTTTTCAGGCATATCCAAATATTTCTTATAATGTGCTATTCCGGAGATTAAATTATTATTCATTACATTATAGAGATCATTAGAACAGTCCTCATAATACCCTCTTTCTACGTTTGCAGTGTAGAAGGGTTTGTCTTTTAAAATATTTTCACATTTACCATACGTTTCATCAGTTACATATATAATTTCAGATCCTAATACTATCGAACAGCAGTTGACAAAATTAAAAAACATGGGGACATCATCATAAAAAGATGAAGCATTTGAGTTCTTCAAAATATATTTACTCCTTTTCGACACGATTGTGTGGCTACTATTAGTTGTTTCATTTATACTATTATATAATGCGGCTGCCTTAGAGCATTCACTATTATCATATGATATATTGCTACTATTTATATTATCCATTTTTTTCATTTTCATTTTCTTTTTCATTTCGTCAAGGTATTCATTGTTATTATGTGGTAAATCAAAATTTGTTTCATCTTTACTTTCATTTGTGATACTGTCATTTTCGAATATATTTTTCCTTTTTCTTTTCTTTCCTGTAAACTCACTTTCGTTGCTAATGTTTTTCAATTTGTTGAAATTGTTTGCATCGTTTTCTTCTTCGTCTTCAAATTTATTGCTATTTTTTCTTCTATTCTTAATATAATCCAAATAGTAATCATCACTTATTCTACTCTTCAAATTATTGCTACTATGGTCACTCTCTTTATGTTCATTCATCTCTATTCTACCTTTAATATTTTCATACAAATTTATCTCAGTGTTTTTCCTACCATTTTTTCCTTTCCTAATGTAATTGTAATTATCACTCATCGAATCAAATAAAAATTCCCTTTCCTTACTTCTCCAAACTTTGTTATCATAATGTGTATCTAATAATTCATTATTTAAAAGGGACTTGCTTTTATTTCTTTCACTTTGCTTTTCTCCACATAAATTGTCTTTATATATTAAGAATTCCTTATCCATGTATTTTGTAAGGACATTTTTTTTTGTATCATGTATTTCGCCATTTCTACGAGAAAACAAATTTGAACTATTCACGTCTTCCTCACATATTTCTGCTTGTGTTTTTGTCCATGCCCTTTTCTTCGATTGTATTTGTTTTGCAACCGCATGATTTTTATCTCCTTCCATTTGCTCTCTTTCCATTTGCTCTCTTTCCATTTGCTCTCTTTCCATTTGCTCTCTTTCCATTCGTTCTCTTTCCGTTCGTTCTCTTTCCATTCGTTCTCTTTCCGTTCGTTCTCTTTCCGTTCGTTCTCTTTCCATTCGTTCTCTTTCCGTTCGTTCTCTTTCCGTTCGTTCTCTTTCCGTTCGTTCTCCTTTTATATAATCCTTAAAATTACGATACTGTCCATCTCTATTGTCTTTCCTTACCTGATATTTCCTCATTTCTTCATCTATTTCTTTTTTTTTCTTCTCATCCATATGTTTCAGAGCAATTCCATAGTCCTGTTCATCTTCATCAACAAAATTGTTAGCGGATGGAACTTCTTCATAGGAGTGTTGATTGGTCTGTCGTTTTCTCACAAAGTGTTCATTTATTAATTCTCCTTTCTTTTTATTTAGCACTATTTTACCGTTAACTGTTTTAAGGGGTGTTATATCCTCGATATGCCATTCTTCATTAGCCACATCCTCCTTTCTAGCTTCTTCGTCATTTACATCTGCTCCTACTTCTGCTTCTTCTACTTTTGCTCCTACTTCTTCACCTGCTTCTATTCCTACTTCCTCTTCTCCATCATTCGCTGTGCTGTTTCTCCCAGGCACATCTCCACCACTTACGTAATGCTTTTTCCATTTAGAATTTCTAATATCATGCGTATGCTTCTCTATACCTTCATCTTTTTCTCGTACCAACTGATCGGACTCCGCTTCTGATGTATATTCCCCTTCCTTATATTCACTCGAAACTTCATTATTGCTTTGTGTCTTCTTCTCTGTATAATCTGAGGTATTATCTAAATCTAGCAATTCTCCCTTTTCTAAAAAATTTTCTTCATTGTATTTTCTCATGTCGTGATTATTCCTGTTAGTACCATCATTGGTCATGTGCTTAAAATTTATCGATTCGTTTTTGACTTGTCCCATCCGCACACTTATGTTATAGCTACTTTCACTAGTTTTATCATTAAATAAAGGCTTGGACAAAATAAGAGGTGATGAATTCTCTTCATACCTCTTAAGTAATGAATCTTCATCGTTAGCTAATTCACTTCCAAATGTGTCCTTTTCCACACTGTTGCCTTTATCAAACTGTGAATGAAATTCATCATTCACATCTCTTGTGGTGGGTTTATTACTTACAAAACGGTTGTTCTTATCATCACTCAGGATTGCAATATTTCCGTTGGATGTCATTTTCTCTATCTTGTCCTTATGTGTGTAATTTTTCATTTCCTCTTCTTCTTTTTCCACTGCTTCGTCCTCTTCTTTTTCTACTGCTTCATACTCTTCTTTTTCCACTGATTCATGTTCTTCTTTTTCCACTGATTCATGCTCTTCTTTTTCCACTGATTCATGCTCTTCTTTTTCCACTGCTTCATACTCTTCTTTTTCCACTGCTTCATACTCTTCTTTTTGCACTGATTCATCCTCTTCTATTCCCATCATATTAGTAGACTCGTTGAGATTGTTCTTCAAGCTGGATTCATAGTTAGAGCCGAAAATCTCCTTCAATATCATATTTTTATTTATAAGTTTATTATTCTTTGTATTCTTCCCTTCAAGGGATAATTTACTATTGTACGTCTTCAATGCATCAATGTGATATATGTCATTGGAACTACAAAGGAATTTTTGTTTATCTCCCTCTTCTTCCTTTGGCATGTCTTCATGATGTTGTATGACTTCTTCTGCAACCTTTTTTTGATTTTTCGACGTAAAAGAGTCCTTATGTAGCTTATTAAAATTTCCTGAATCGTTATACTCATTTTTCTGAGCATCTTTTCCATGTATTGTTAAAAAGGTGTCATTAGCTATCTTATTACTTGGAGGAGAAGGAGAAGGAAAACAGAAATCTTCCTTTTCTACAGAGTTTTCATTTATTATGTTATCAAAATATCCTTTATTATACTCTTTCACGTGTTTCTTTTCGTCATTCATTGGTTCTTTAATGCTTGGTTGAATTTTCTCCTCATCGTTATACTCATCACTGTGTGATTTGTCACCGTTAGCCTCATCCTTGTATTGTTCATCTTCATTTTTATCACCAATGTGTGGTTTCTCATTTTCCCATTCTTCTTCTTCCTCCAGCTCATCATTTGTCGATACCTTCTCCGTCACAGACTTATAATCCTCATCATCACTCTGAGCTTTATCAACATTTTCCTCGGGATCATTTGCCTCTTCAGTAGAATAATTTTTGCAAAGGGGAGAAAAGTTACTTCCAGAAAGACTGTGGTTTGCTTTCCTAGAGCTTGAAAATTCATAATCATAAGAATTTGAAAAATTTTTATTAAGTATTTCTCCATTTAAAGGATTTCTTTCCTCGATCAAATTTTCCAAACTGTTTTCATGTCTCAGCATATGGGCATTGTGAACTGATGCTGGGTCAGATAAACTTTTATCAGAGCATATAGTATCACCTTTTTTAATATATTCATTACACACACTATCATCTATCTTTTTCATTTCATGTATGTTTTCCCTATTTACATATTCCTTGTTGTTATATGATTCTCTAATTATCATTTCTCTTTCATGTTCGTCCCTTATTTTGTCATAATGTGTGTTAATATGATGTTTATATTTATTTTCATTCGTTAACTTTTCTCTTTCTCTTTTAACTTTGTTGTAAATATTTCCATCAAAATGGAAATTTTCTTCTTCTTTGTTTGATGTCTGGTCACTTCTTTGGAGTTCCTCAATAGGTTTTACCATTTCTTCACTTTTGCATTCTCCAGATTTGACTGAAGGATCCTTCTGCAGAAATTTACCCCCAAGGACTGGGTACTCATTTGTAGAATTTGCATTATTCGAAATGAGACATTCACTCCTCTCATTTATAGTTTCATTAGAATTGTAAGGACATTCCATATCCTCCTGTAAGTCACGGGCTTCATTTGATGTAGCACTTTTTCTTTTTAAGTTCGCAAATTTTTTGGAAAGCAACTCACCGAATGCTCGAATGTTATTATTAATATTTTCATAAACTTCTTTTAAATTTTTATTATCTGAATATTTTTTTTCATTTGTTTTATTCTCAGATGAATCCAAATGCTCATTGGAAGTAGACAGTATTTTAACTGTTTCGTTATGAATCACATCAGATGTATAATCAGAACTCCTAAGTTTGTTACTTATTCCGTTTTCTAATTTTATTTTATCATTAAAAGTTTCATATTCTTTCTTATTTTTCACATTGTAATTTATTAAAGTATTGATAGATGAATTATCATTTAGACTTATAGATTTTTCTAAACAATTTCTTTTTCCATCACCATCGTCATTATTGCTGTAAAGCTCTGATTGGTTCATACTTTTCTCTTCTTGTAAATCCTGCCCTTTTTCAATTTTCTGCGTTTCTTCCACTTCTTTATTTTCTACTTCCTTTACTCTGTTACTATCATTTATATCATCCACTACAATCGCTTCACACAATTCAGCTTTTCCATAAAAATCACCATCTCTATTATTTTCATCCCCGTGTAAATCTTGTTCCCTTCTTGGTGCATCTTCATGCCTTTGTTTTTCTACCCCATGTCCACTGTAATAGTAAGTATATGGAGATTTACTTTTCCTATACATATTTTCCCTTTCATCTGTCTGCATAAGTTCACGAGGATAGTTTTTATAATTTATATCTACAGATTTGTTCATCTTATCATGCGTTGGTTTTTCTGTTTCAATATAACCACTTTTTTGACTTTCGAATGTATTTTCTTGCTTTATTTTCTTATTTATTACATGATTACTTAATTTGTTTTTTAATTCATATTCCTGATAAGATGATATTAAGTTTGAACTTTCTTTTAATGTTTTTTCTTTTATTTTTTTCTTCTTCTCTTCTTCATCTAACAGATTTTCTTCCTTATCTTGTTGATATTGCACAAATGGGGCATTAAAATACTGATTCTTATTTTTTTCTTCTTCTTTGCTAGTGTTCCTATTTTTCATATCAACCCATTCATTTTTTTTTATTATTGAATTTCTCATCTGAACATTTTGTTTCAAACGAGCTTCGCCTTTATTATGATCTGTGTCTTTGTTTCTTGTTCCTTGGCCAGGTACGTTTTCCCTGAGATTTTTACTTACCGTATTTTCACTGTGGACAGATTTTTGTTTTCTCAAAAGTGCATTACTGTGGTTGTGCGTGCTGGTTCCTTGGGTGGATGCTTTTTGTGTGACGATTCCTTGCTTCATGCTTCCTTGAGAGAAAATTCCTTGTGTGTTATTTACATGGTTATTAATTTTAGCACTGTTGTATGCCTCACCACCTCCAGTATCGTAATGCTTTTCCATAGTTTTTGATCTTTCAAAATTGGTGGAGATATGTTGTTTATTCTCTTTTTCAACTATTCCTTGGAATTTTCTGGCATTTCCTAAAGGGTTTGGCACATTATTATTATTAATGTTCGTGGAAAACGCCTTTTTTCTCGTCAAATCGTGCTCTGTGTTTTTATTTTTTGCATTAAAGAGTGTAGTTTTATGCCTTACATAATTTGTTGGAATTTTATTTAAGGCATGATTACTATTATTATTAATGTTACTATTGATAACGCTATTATTAGCATCACTGTGTCCTGTAGTACCACTTATAGTCCTACTTTTTAGCAGACTGCCACTCATAATGCTAGTGGTCCTTTCCTTTATGTCTCCCTTTGCATCCTTATGTAAATCATAACCGACGGCATGACTTCTGTTACATGTCTTTTTTGTCTTTATAAACGTATAATTTTTCTTACTTAAACTAGATATCTTTTCAATGTTTCTTTCTATAAAATTTTTCGCTTTACTATATTTTTTATTTCCATTATTTGCATATTTTTGTGCATTTCCTTGTTTAGAGGTATGGTCTACTTTTTCTAATTCATCATTAGCAGGATTTTTATGGATCGAAAACTGACTACCTAAACTTGCACTTTTTCTTATTTTTTCTATTTTTTTAATATTCAAATTTTTATATGGAAACTCTGGATTGTTAATATATGCGCCCTTTGGAACTTTATCTTCTGACATTTTATTTATTTATTTTTTTTTTTTTTTATGCTGCTTAGATCTTTAGCTCCTTTTCCTTTATTTCTTTTTCACTTTTTCCCTTATTTGTACTGCGCTTTAGTATGGCTACTCATTAAATAATATCTCTCGAGTTTTATTTTTCAGCCTCTTGACAAAATTCTCCTTCGTTATGCTATGTCATTCGGTTGTTTAGCTTTATTCAATTCCGTTCTATTTTTACACACATACGGAAAAAAAAAAAAAAAAAAAAAAAAAAAGTCGTCAACTTTTTCGTTCTTCTCCTTTCTATAACATTTAGCCCTTCCCCTTTTTAATAGTTAACTCGTTTGTGTATTTTATTTTTTTATTATAACTCCACTTTCTATACCGTTGGACACACCTCTATTCTTTTTTGCTTACGAAACAGTGCTAAAAGAATAATTGGGAAGGTAATTATTATGGAATATAAATATATATTTGTGTAAACATGGGAACCTTGTGGGGTGTGATACTTCTACTAATCAAAGTGTGTGCAAACATAAAACTTGAATATTCCTGAAAATTTGGACGCTTACGTGTGTGCACTTAAAAAGAGTAGGTTAAATGGAGCACACATATATATATATACATATACATATAATATCTTCTTTTTAGAAAAACATGTTAATCACACATAAGCCAAATTTGTGAAGGGATATGGTGTTTTAAGAAGGGACATGATTTGGGTTTGCCTTATTTCTCCCTATACACTTTTCACATAATAAATAATTTGTGAAATTAAAAAAAATAAAATAAAATAGTATAATATAAGAAAAAGTGTAAAAAATATTAAACAGAGACTTTTCTGTAGGAAAAATCTTTTTCTTCTTTTCCTTTCTCCCTTCCCTTTTTTTTTTTTTTCTTTTCTTTTTTCCCGTGCCAATTGTTACATCTCACATATTCACAATTGTACGTTTGTGCACAAATCGATATATTCACGTTGTGTACTCTAAGGATACGTTCAGCATATATATACTTATTTTAACTTTGTTATATTGGAACATTTTACCAGTCACGCTTTCAGGTATATTTTTACACTTTTCCGAATAAACAAGATGCTATTTCATTTTTTCAGTTTTGTTTTTTTAGCCGTCCTTAATTTTCATCTAATAATTTACATGTCATATATACATAAGTATATTTGCGTATACCATGTGCTGTCACTGTGAAAAATAAAAAGGAGCACACAAACCAATATTTTAAGTGTTAACCAATGAAAGTGTATGGAAATAAAAAAAAAAAATTATAATAATATTTAGGCTATTACATTTTTTTTACATAAAAGTTTTGACATTAATTAGTTTATAAGTAAAAAAAAAAAAAAAAAAAAACAAAAATGAAAAAAAAAAAAAAAAAAAAAAAAAAAAAAAAAAACATAAAAAAAAAAAATAAAAAAAAAAAAAAAAAAAAAAAACAAAAAAAAAAAATTTTTAATAAAAAAAAAAAAAAAAAAAAAAAAAAAAAAAAAAAAAAAAAAAAAAAAAATAAAAAAAAATTTAAGAAATTAAATTTTTTTTAAAAAAAAATTTTGAAATTAATTAGTTTATAAGAAAAAAAAAAAAAAAAAAAAGAGGCGAAAATGGAAAAATGAAAGAAAAAAAAAAAAAAAAAAAACATCCTTGTACATTATACTCTTAGAGAAATGTATGTTCAAATTATCCTCATGCTCATATTTTCCATTACACACAAAAAAAAAAAAAAAAAAAAAAAAAAAAAAAAAAAAAAAAAAAAAAAAAAAAAAAAAAAAAAAAAAAAAAAAAAAAAAAAAAAAAAATAAAAAAAAAAAAATAAAAAAAAAGTTAAGCTAATAAAATTGATATAAAAAAAAATTTAGACAATAAATAATTTAAAAAAAAAAAAAAAAAAAAAAAAGAGGAAAAATGGAAAAATAAAAAAAAAAAAAAAAAAAAAAAAACATCCTTGTACATTATACTCTTAGAGAAATGTATGTTCAAATTATCCTCATGCTCATATTTTCCATTACACACAAAAAAAAAAAAAAAAAAAAAAATACACATAAGATATAACACATAAGATATAATACATAAGATATAACATATAAGATATAACATATAAGATATAGCCTGTAAGATATAACATATAACGTATAAAATATGACACATATAACATGTACACATGTGCCTTGTCATACACGTGTAATGGGGATAATGAGAAAATATATTATAAACGCTCAATATTTACACATGAACCTTAGGACATACATTAAAAGTGTTTCAAGTCCTATACAAGAACAGAAAATTTAATTCCAAACGAGGCATCCCAATTATTTCGCCAAATGTACTTGAAAAAGAATGGAATATTATTCCTAATTCAACGTTTAACCATAATTCATATTTTAGTCTTTTTTTTTTTTCTCTAAGTTCCTTTTTTCACCTTAGGGTCATTGGGCGTTTTATCTACACTTCCTGTAGAACGAGGATAAAAGAAAGTGGACAAGCATAATGATCTCTGTGTAAAAAAGTGTAACATGATGGAAAATATTTGAGGAAATGTTTGCGAAGATGTGTATTGCATGTATGTATATATATATATACATACATACATGCACATGTGCAAATGCGTTAACACGTTAATATGCAGGAACAGGTTATATTTATTCATACTGCTAATTTTAAGCGGGAAGGATTCATTGACATTTTCGTTGGATCCCCATAACAAAAAAAGAGAATTTAATTCCTCTACCTTCTTTAAGTTATCATTCTTACTTAATCTATACATTATACTCTGCAAATAATTCAGAATTGTTGTTGGTCCGTATATATACAGTGTATGGTAACAGTTAAGCACAACTACGTGTTCATAAATGCATGCAAAACTCATGAACATGCAGATAACCATGTGTACGAACTTGTAATTTTAAACACATAAAGAGCAACGGACCCCTATCGGTGATCTCAAAACAACCTTACATTGTTATTATCGGTAACTTTCAAAATAATCCTCTCCGTTGGCCTATGCAATTTTATAACGTATCTTGTCTAAATAGGAAAGAAATTAACATTTTAATTAGTATGTCTATTGTAACTTCTTATTTTGTTTTTTATTTATTATTATTTTGTTTTTTATTTATTATTATTTTGCTTATTATTTATTATTATTTTGCTTATTATTTATTTAGTAATATTATTATTTTTTTTTTTTTTTGCATTTGCTTAATGCGCCTCTCTCTTTTCGCATTTTTGCTACAAGCTGACGTACCCTATCCGGAGACTTGGAAATGATGTCCCTTGAGGCCTGCATAAAATCTGCCCACGATATCGCATAAACCACTGCAGTGGAAAAAAAAAAAAAAAAAAAAAGAGTTCATAACATATATAGAGTCAGTATAAATCTTGAACATATTTGCACTGTGTACAGCAATGTAAAATGTGTTGTCAACGTTTAAGGGGCGGAGAGGATTCTTTTACTCAAAAACAGCATGAGCATGTATATAGTATGTATCGACATAATATGGTATTTGCATTTTCAAATTCCTCTTACAAGCAACATGTTACACTGTCAATGTAAGTTTATGCATAAGGCATACATATTCTTATGCTTTTATTTTCCACGCAAGCATTACTTTTTCTTTTTTTTTCCCCCAAAGTTCTTAACGTTAAAATGTTATATCTTCTATTCTGTGAATAAATTCCTCATCAATTTGAAACTTGTTAGAAAATGTCCCCTATTAAAAGTATTACGTTTTTACGCATGCTTCTTATTCATATGTAGCCCTAATTAAGCAAATCATAAAAAGGTATAATCTGATCTGATATGTATGTGTATACCAAAAAAAAAAAAAAAAGTGTAAACTCTATCTCGTACTGTGCTGTGATGTACTATTCTTCCATAAAAATGAGAACCTTTCTTTTCTTTTTTGAGAATTCATAGATTTTTCAAAAAAAAAAAAAAATTAATAAATAAATCTTCTATTATTATGAAAGAAAATTTACCCCCAAGCAAAATCGTGCCAAAGGAGCCCACATGTCAAAATAAAAAAAAAAAATAAATAAGATAAAATAAAGTGAACTAAAATGAACTAAAGTAAAATGTAAATACAAAAATGTACAAACATAAAAACAAATAAGCAAATACACGACAATAATAAAACTTTCAGGAGACTTTCAGCTGAGAGAAAAATGAAAAAAAAAAAAAATAAAATAAATAAAAACCACACTTACCCTCCCAACAGGACCTTCACAGATGAAATAATATTCTATTAAAAAAAAAAAAAAAAAAATTTAACTACGATTAGAAAAATGTGTTTCTAACAAACTATACAAAACGGAGGGTAAAAAAAAAAAAAAAAAAAGAATAAATAAAATAAAATAAAAAATAATATGGAACAGGAAGAATCAAAGGAAACTCATTTCTTAAACAAGAACCCAGAAGAAGGTAACAATAATAGTGATAACAATAATGAAAGCAAAAATGAAAACAACATACCAAATTTTGAACAAACTCAGGAAAACATTTTCTTACCCAATGAGGGCGAAGGAAATGACTCAGAGCGAGAGAAAACAAATAAAAGGAATAAATTGACAGACAAAGGTAATGATACAAACAATGAAAAGTTTAAAAGTGATATCCAAAATGAACAACAGAACGATGAATGGTTAATTTATGTAAGTAACAATTCATATGGACCTTATAATTTAGATCAAATGAAGAAACTATGGAATGAAAAAAGATTAAATATGATGTCTCTAATTTTTAAAAAAGGGGAACAAAATTGGAAATATATCTACAATGATGATATTTTAAAAAGGTGCCTACATTTTAATACTCCAAATTATGATGATAAGACAAGGATTGTATCAAAAAATTCTAATAGTGAAGAATGTGTAGGTGCGTATAACTCTAATAACACCTCCGAATATTGTGATAATGTGTACTTCATAACTGGAAACACGGATAAGGGCGAAGAAAAAGTTACAAACATATGTCCAGATGATAGCAATGAATGGAAAAATCAAACGAGGAATGATAATTATATCCAAGCTGATAAGTGGACATATCAAACCGACAAAATGACTGAGGAAAACCCATTAGATATAGAAAAAATGAAAAAAAGAGAAAAAAAAAAAAAGTATCTAGAGAGGAAAAAAAAAAAAATGGAAGAAGGTCTATGCGATAAAAAAATGAAAAATAGCTCCATATATGTATCAGGTTTACCCAATGATATAACAAAGGAAGAAATATATAACGTATTCAAAAAAGCAGGTATTATTAAAATAGATGCAGAAACGACAGAACCTAAAATTAAAATATACTATGATGAAAATAATAAAGTGAAAGGAGACGCATTGGTTACATATGTGTACGTACAGAGTGTCGACATTGCCATTAAATATTTTGATAATTTTTACATAAGACAAGATTGTATGATTCATGTAGAAAAGGCACAATTCAACAAAAAAAAAGAAGTCCTCAAAGTTTCCAAGGAAGATATTTTAATAAAAAAAAAAAAAATTAAGGCAGCAAAATATGAACAACTTAGGTTACAGAAATGGGGTGATGGTCACACAGGAACAAAAAAGAAAATTGTTATTTTTAGAAATGTATTTTCGTACGAAGATGCTGTGGTAAGATAAGAGAGGAATCACATACATATCTGTGCTCCTAAGGGGAAAACCCATCACTGGTTCTACTTGTGCATGTATAAAGAAAGTGCACAAGTTCGAGAAACTTACAAGTTGGAATGATATTGAGATGAATTATTTTGTTTACCACATGTGCTGCTTCCACACTTATTGGAAGACATTTTTGTATACCCATCTAGAAATAACCCCTAAAATGTGTACAACCGTTCTCATCTCCAACACCCTCTTATTTAATTTCACACATGAACAATCATTACATCATATATTTAATTCCGTACCCCTTTCTTAAATGTAGAAGTACGATGAGGGAGACCCTTTCTATGATTTTATAAAAGACTTGGTCGAAATGGTAAATTCGAAATATTTAGAAATGCATCTCGAAAAGGATTTATAATGAACATAGTGGCAATCATATATAATAGTAATATTTTTTTTTTTTTTTTTTTTTTTTCATCCTTGTCCATCGCATTTCATTTACTTATTTTTTAAATTCAAACGTAGGAAGTAAAGAAATACGTGCCTGTGTACAAGGTTTACCCGATACCAGTAATCTAAAAGGAAATTGAGAAAAAAAAAAAAAAATTTTGTGGATAGCAAAATAATTTATCCTTTTACAACCTTTGCCTGGCGTATCACGGGTACACATGCATGTGTACATATACCCTACTTATTTTCCCACTTTAAGAAACATCCCAACGGAATTGTATGTGTCAAATTCAAAGGAGTGGAAGAAGCTGAAGTAATAGTATCGGTATAATTTTCTTCAATCCAAGTGAAATAACCAAATGTGCATTTAACTAATCGAAAATTAGTAAATCGAAAGGAAACATTGCGCATTGAATATATATATATATATATATATATATATATATATATATATATATTACACATTGGTGTGCCATGAATATGTAGTAACAGAAATGATTATTCCTACTTTTTTGCAGTGCTTCAAGGATATCGAGTTAAATGATAAAAAATTGGAAGTATATTTTTACGATGGGAAACAGGATCTAAAGGCTCAATGTCTACCTGCACAGGTATCACGAACAATAGTTCAACTTAGTTGTATTCTTAGACATACACTTGTGTTGGTAATATATTACATCATATGTTTTTTTTTTTTTTTTTCTCTTTCTCTCCCTCTTCAGAGTTCCGTAAAGGAGTGCTCAGAAAATATGCCCGAAAATGATGAAACAAATAAGGACACCGGTAATTGCAACATTGGAAATTAATACACATACAGGGGTGTAGTAGCACTTATGTATTTACAAGTGTACATAATGTAACATCCATTTATTTTGTTATTTTATTTTTATTTTATTGTATTATTTATTTTTATTATTATTATTTTTTTTTTTGCAGATAATAATGAACCATCCTTTTTGTTAAACAACAATTTGCAATCATTTCATGTAAGTAAAAAAATGCTTAACAAAGAAAAACAAGTATTTTTGATAAGTATTCACATGTTGTATGCACATGCATATGCATATACCTACGTAGTTATCAGATCAAGGCGTAGACAAAAAAATAAAATAAAAAAAAAAGAAATAAAAAAAAAAATAAATAAAATAAAACGACGTTTTTATGACCCGTCTAAAAATATTGACCACATAATTCATATTTTTTTGTAGGATTGGATTGATAATTATAGTGAAGATGAAGAACATGAAATCATGGTCGAATAAATGAAAATTAATTTTTTTTTAACTACATTTCTGAATGATGTTGGAGTTATTTTACACCTGCATATGTCAATTTTTTGCTTTATTTTTATCTTATTATTATTTTTTTTTTGTGTGTGTTTTTTGTTCTTCTATTCATTTGTTATGATTTAAAAAGGACCGTTAATGGACTTTTCCTCCAGCTGCAAAGTAGTGTAAGTAGGGGTAATTATGTGTAGGTAACATATGTGAGACATACACATGTAAGTTATGTCTGTCTATAGGTATATCTGTAGAGAGACACGAATGTGCATCTAATTAGTGCCGTTTTTCCGAAGGTGCATAAAATGTGTGAATGTAACAAAACAGTTTATATGCGGGTATCGATTTAGTAACAAAAAAAAAAAAAAAAAAAAAAAAAAACTGAAACAAGGTATGATACATTTTTTACATTCAGTTAGAAACACAATAGACCACTCTTCTCACCCAACCCCCCTCCCTGGGGGGCATGGCTAAGTGCAACATATTCCATGTAACAAATTATATATACATGCATACATATGTTGATGCACCAACTACTCTCCTTTACATGAATCGTTTTCATTTGTCATTTGTCATTTTTCTTTTTTTTTTTTTTTTTTTTTTTTTTTTTCTAATCATGGAACTCTTTAAATTACATTTTTCATAATTAAGGAGAGAACATCTGTGGGAGGCTTTTCAAAATAAGAATTAAAAATTTCCGTCATATGTACAAACCCGTTTTTATTGTAATTTGTATTAACCGTGTCAAAGTCCATTATATTATAAAAAAGGCTTTCATCTTTTCCTGTTAAAAAGTGGTTTATGTTAAACATATTTTTTCCTTCTCCTACAATTTTATAAGCTGTTGAAACACCTAAGAATTTCCACTTTTTTAGTGCTAAAAATGAATCAATTTTTTTTTTATCCGTCCTAAACCCTGGTATTTTTTTTTCCAAAATTGTTAAAATGTCTTTAACTTCTTTTCCATTTTTATCGTATACTTTCATATTTCTTGGGATTAATGAAACATCCGCTGCATTATCATTATTCGCTAAAAATAAATTTCCATATATTTGACAGGGCATTAGCCGAATATTCTTGTCATTTAAAGCATTTATTTTCGAGATGAATAAATACCCTTGTAAGATAATCATATATTTACTATTCATTTTGTTAATAAATTTAACTGTACATTCGAAAATGTTATTTCTCAGAAATTTATTAGACCAGTAAGCGTAGGTTGAAGTGGATCCAGAAACGATCTTTTCACAGTTATATACAAACATGGATAGAGGATACATTCTTTCCCCTCTAAGTAGGTTTAGATTTGTGTCATCTGATTCTTCTTCACTAGTAGACTTCACATTCGGGCTGTCCCTTTGGTTGCTCTCAAGGCTACCCGTTCTGAAATCATCCGAAGTGTCCGCTTCATCCAAATCATCCAAATCGTTGGGGCTGTCCAAGGGTGCCGCTCTACCCAGCTTTTCAATCTCACCAGACTCACCTTTCGCCGCTTCAAATTCTGTATCCATTATAAACAAAGGGAAGTAAAACTTCCAAACGCCCTGTATGTCCTTAGAAATGTTTTTTACCTGATCCTCTAATTTCACATCCGTTTCATATTTTTTCCTTGGGATTATATCATTGTAATGGGAAACGTGCAATTTGTTATGTTCAGATTTCACCTTTTCATTTTCACAATTTTGGCGTGTAATTTTGTTTCTGTATGCAGAATTAGAGGAAATATTAAGCCTTCGAAAACAGTTGCTTGACTTTTTTGAAATTAAATTGAAACAATTTATTTTTTTGTAATCCCATAAAATTGCGTCACCTAACAAAGTAAGGACTAATGGTATCAACCGCATCGTATGTTTTTTTTTTTTTTTTTTTTTTTTTTTTAAAGATACATTTTCATAGGCCCAGATGATATATATATAAAGGAAATTCAAAAGTTTGAAAAATCTATCTCTCCATGTGTTTCTATTTATCTGTATCATGTTTTTTAATTTCATCTTACATTATTTACCACTTTTTTTTCCTTTTTTTAAATCCCTTCGCTTATAATTTTACAACCATTCTTAATTTTTTTAAAAATTGTTTTCTCATCGGGACATTTTGTGCCCCCCTTTAGGATAAAAAAAGAGAAAAATGTATGTGCATGTGCACAAAACTTTATATGCTGAAAAACCTTTAAATGTACATTCTTGCAATTTTTTTCTTTTTTTTTAAAAAGAACTTCTCAAACCTGATCGTCAGTACATTGGAAGCATAAGACTGGACTGTTTGGATGTATAAAATTGTGATTCTAAATACTCTTGAATTTACATCAACCTAACCCTATAATATCTTAGAATACAAAGAAAGGAACATATCATTCATTTTAACAAGTTTACACATTTTTAATGTTCCTAATTTTTTGTCCATTTATGCAAGTGGAATAGCAAATATTTGTTCCACACTTTTCCATTCCATCTAATTAGTCAATTTTTAAGCAAACCTCTTTTGAATAATATGGACGTATTACAACAATGCGAATAATCCCACAATGGTGTGATCTTTTTTTTAAAAGAGAGGGGACTTTTTTTTTTTTTTTTTTTTAATCTCACAACTGAAGTGATAACATGTCTAATATTTTTTCTGTGCACAATAAATTGGGAATATTTAACATGTTCATTTGGCTAATTAGCAAAATGGGGAATTTGATATTTAGTCATATATGACGTTTTTTTTTTTTTTTTTTTTTTTTGTTTTTCATTCACTTCCACGTATTTTCATTTAAAAAAGTGAATGAAACGATATTTTGTAAGTGTGAAAAAAATGTATTCGTAGTTAGTAATAGAAACACATTTATCCATTTACACTATGCTTTCTTGTCATTTGCTTTTATTCACCACATTTATTTTTATCTTTACCCTGCAGATCAAATAGTAATTTATTCACCTCAAGCTAACATGAAGGATTGAGAAAATCGTACTCACCATATGTGTGGTGACTATGTTAATGGGTAGGAAAGGCATATACAAAATGTACCTCTGTATGTGTTATGTGGCACCATCACATTTTCTCATGTTCACATATGTACAATTTTATTGATCTATGGTTCTTCTGTAACACATTTTCAGATTTTTCTTCACCATATTTTCATAACACATTCCTCAAGAGGAGTAAAAAAAGTGCAAAGTTGTCAAATAATGTTTATCGAAAACGATCTAAGCACAGTAGAAACAAAATATATTTATCAAAATAGGAACAAATGAAAAGTCAATTATTATATTTCCTTTTTATTTTATTTTGTTTTATTTTATTTTTTTTTTTTTTGACTGAAACGTTTTTATGTCTTAAGGTGGGGAACAGCGACCTTTTTTCACTTTATCTGAATTCAAAGGAGGGGGGGGAAAAAACATCTGATCACACTCACACACATAAAAGAACCAAAAAAAAAAAAAAAAAGAAAAAACATAAAAAGGAAAGAAAAGTATAGAATATTTTCTCTTAACATTCGCGATGAAACATTTTCACTTGAGTAGCAAAAATGTCTGCCTCTTCGAGGGGGAAATTGCCAAATTGGGTGGCAAAACAAAAAAAAAAAAAAAAAAAAAAAAAAAAAAAAAAAGACGGAAAAGGTGTTTCATATTCATATAAAGTACGCATGTGCATGAGTGCATATACTCAAGTGTGCATATGTTTGTGTATAAATATACACCGCACATGCAGGGTAAAACTTTTATTGAAACAGAACAAGCGCGAAGAATTAAAAAGAAAATAGTAAAAAATAAAACATGTGCACCTGTGTTTTTTCTGAACGATTATGCGTTTGAACATGTGTTCATGTAGTGAGCAAAATAACAATTGTTTTTTCACCTTTTCCCAATTCCCCATTCTGCCATCAGCATTTTTTTTTTTTTTTTTTTTTTATCCTCCCCTATCTTCCCATTTATCACATATATTTTTTTTTTTAAAAAATATATATTCATTAATGCAAGAATGCATATGATTATTTCTCCCCCCTTCTGAATTATAACAAAAATAAGGAAAGGAAGACCATGGGAAATTCCTTATCGAACACAGCGTTGTTTCGTCCCACGGAGCCAAGTGTCAGTAAAAAAGGAAAAAAAAAAGTACATACATACGTTCACGCATATATATCTGTATGTATACTCGTGTGCATCATTCACATGAACATTGCGTGCTTGTGACAACGGCCTTACATCATACACATTAACACAACAAACACAAAAGACATACAATCAACAGTGCGCAAAGAAATGAGAAATTCTGAAAAAAAGAAAAATATCCCTGTGTGTGCCGCTTCACCCTTATTATCACTGTGAATGATATCAAGTCATTGAATAGTGGTAGAATGGATGCACATATTTCCATCACAGATACGCATGATACTGTGCTTTCAACCAACACACTTGTCTATACTTATAACTTAAAAAAGGCAGAGACTATCCTATAATATTAGAAGAAAATAGCACTGCCAAACATATGATACGTATTTGTTTGTTTTTACTAACAAATAATTCTTAATGCATGAACATATACATATATATATATATACCGCCCCCCTGCAACGACCTGAATGCAGTACAAAGATGATCTGAAAAATCTAGTGTTCATTCCCGAGTTAATGGATATAGACGTAGACAAATTTTTGGAAGATAAAAGATTCGAAATATTTAATAAAGAAGAAAATATAAAAGAGTTAAGTAAAAAAAAATTTCCAGCCATCTTTCTATACTCAAAAAAGCTAAAAACGAAACATACCATAATGTATTTTCATAGTAACTCTTGTGATTTAGGACAAATATATGATGAAATGTGTAATTTATATGATTATTTGCATGTGAATATTCTGGCCATAGAATATGTAGGGTTTGGTTTATGTTATTTGGAAGGTTCCCCAAATCAGTATAATATTAATAGAAGAGCCCTAGCTGCATATAATTTTTTAAGGTCTTTAAATTTAAAAAGTGAACAAATTTTATTATTTGGAAGATCTATAGGCACAGGAGTAGCTACCAAATTAGGATATAATTTAAAATTATTGGGAGACAATGTTGGAGGAATTATATTACATTCCCCATATATATCGATTGAAAAATTAGTGGAAGAATATGTTACTTATTCTTCATACATTATTGAAAATATTTACGACAATTTTAAAAACTTGTCTCTTCTTAGTAATAATGATGATTCAGATACGCCACTTTTGCTTATACACGGGAAAGAAGATGAAGTTATTGGTGTTTCTCATTCTGAATTTCTTATGAAAAATTTAAATAACAAATTTAAAACGGCTTTCTACCCTAGTGACTCATATCATAATTATTACTATGTCATTGATGTAAGTTGTTAAAGGGAGCCAAAAATAATCACAGAATTTGATTTCTCTCTTTTCTGTCATTTTTTGTGTGTATGCACTAGGATATGAATACTCCAACGACCGCGCAGGAGCATTTATATATATATATATATATCGAACGCATGTTCGTGTATATACCACTGTTATGCAGTTCGAATAAAAACCCATTATAATTCACACTTCGTATTTCTTCAAAGGATCTCGCGGTGCCAACTAAGACCTTCCTAGATAAGCAAAGCAAATCACGCCATGAAAAATCTGTGGACATAGTCGTACCAAAGTCTTTTTTCAAAATAGAGTACTGGAAAAAATAAATAAATAGAAATAAATGTGTTAACACTTGTGATAATGCAAGTGGTAATGCAAATGATAATGCAAGTGATAATGCAAATGATAATGCACGTGATAACACATGTGACGATGACAATTGCAATGACCATGCGCACATGTTGGTTTTCCGGGTGGTGGTCTTCTCTCAACACAGTGGAGCGTGAGTGTTTTCCCATTCACTTGCTGACACATCGTACAGCACAGTCTAGTATCTTCTTCAATGTAGTAAAATGTGCATGGAAACAAATGCAAACAGGAACACAGAAACGCAGAAACACATTTGACGTACGATATATGTTCCATGCCTACCTACATCTATTCCACACCTTTATATATCCTCTTTTTAGGACTGAGACACACAAAATAACGCACAGAGAAGCAAACGCCAGGGGTTCTATGTCAGAAAAAGAAGGAAGGAAATCCGAAGACACCTTATCAGCATATGATATGGGGGAAAAAAAAAAAGAAAACAGTATGAAAGATATTGAAAAGAAAAAGAATGGTGCTATATCTTCACAAATTAAGAATACCATTGGAGAAGATTCAGAGAAAAGGGAAAAACAATATAAAGAAAATTGTACAACAAAATCAGGATATAAAACAAACAAGTTGTTCCAGGAAAAAAGAGATGCATCTTCTGAAATAAGTTCCTCTTCTCGTAATGATAAGGAAGTACTAACTGATATTAATGTAGAAGAAAAAATAAAAATATATAATAAATATATATCAAATGCTAGACCACCAAGCGGAAAAGACATAACAAGGAATGATGTACAAATCAATTCCAATAATAGCGAAAAAAAGGATAATTCTAATAAAGATGCAAAAAAAAATAATAATAAAATTAATGTAATAATATCTTCAATAAACGATGCAGGATTAAAGAATTTGAAAAACAAAGACGAAAAGAAACACGAAGTAGTAGGTATTAAGGCGACATTTGGAAATGATTTAGAACATCGAAGTAGAAATAATCATAGTGGTTCTGCATCTGATAGTGCAATTGATCAGAAAAAGAAAACGAAAATAATAAGTGATTCAGAAAATAAATATAAAAATTGTTATACGCTCAAAAAAAGGGAACTTAAACAGGAAATGGAGGAAAGGAAGATGCCTCATCATAAAGGGGATAATAATTCCTCTAAGGGAACTGACAGAAAAATAATGGAAATTAAAAAATATGAAAATAAAGTCGATTTGGATAAATTTATCAAAAAAAATGATGCTACATCTAATAAAAACATACCAAGTTGTCTGAACAAATGTAAAGACGAAACTATCGATCTGGAACAAAAAACAAAAGAACTGCATAAGGACGAAACGGAAAAAAGGGAAGAAGTTGCATGAACAAATGATGAAGATAAGAAAAGGGAGAGTACTTCTTGGCAAAAGTGTTAACTGCATTACAGTAACATTGTGTCTGGTTATGTTATGAAGATCTATAAATACCATTTCAACAATGGATGTATCAGACACGTGTGTATAAAACACGAGAAGAGTTGGTGAAAATATTTACTAGACTTTAAGTCCCAAATAATTAACAATTTTAGGCAAAAAAAAGCAGTTTTTATGTTTATATATAAAACTATAAATATATAGACATTTTTGTGTGTGTTTATGTAAAGGAATGTGCATTCATTTTTACACACATGCAAGAATTACAACTGCGACGCATATATGCATGCATATATACCTCTTTTTAATTGCTACAGTTTAGTTGTAATGCATTTAGTTTTTCTTAATTTTTGTTACTATAATTAAACTAAAAAAAGGTGTGAAGTGGGTAAGGCGGATGAAATGGGTAAAATGGGTAAAATGGGTAAAATGGGTGAAACGGGTAAAATGGGTAAAATGGGTGAAACGGGTAAAATGGGTAAAATGGGTGAAACGGGTAAAATGGGTAAAATGGGTAAAACGGGTAAAATGGGTAAAATGGGTGAAACGGGTAAAATGGGTAAAATGAGTAAAAGGACAAAAAAAAAAAAAAAAAAAAACTGAATTTGTTTTGTCCTTATACATTTCTAAAAATAATTTGAATATATTTTTTGGAATGCGAAAAATTCCTATATGTTGTATTTTCCTTGGTAATAACTTCATATGCTTTATCGAAAAACATGAACTTATGGACTACGGAGTTTAACACCAATTTATTCTTATCAGGTGGGATAAAAAATTTGGTGACAAATAATTAGTTAAAGTATAGAGGAATAATCTGAAAGGGAGTAGAGGTAGTAATGAAGGTAATGTTAACGTGGTTCGCACACACAAGCACATACACATATATATATACATACATATGTGTACACAATTTTGCTTATATGAAGCCGCATGAATGGAACAAAATTTAAGCAACACTTGGAAAAAGACATCTCTCTCATAGTACCTCTATTAAGTGCAGGTACTGAGGACACATCGGGCATTTGAATTGTCTAGATCTTTGAGCGTGAATTTTGTCTACGCAATTCCTGTAGTTGGGAAGGCGGAGAAAAATTGAAAACATATAAGTAAAGAAGGATTCATAAATTTGTGTGAAGGAATTCCAAATATAAACAAATGGGTGTACACTCAAGTATTAGACGGAAGAGAAAATTTTGTTGTATTTATTATTTACTTGCAAATCACATGCCCGCATCTAAGAACATAGGGCGGATTGTCTTTGGATGATTTATCTCTACTAATAGGACAAGTAAAAGAGGAGTGGAAAAAAAAGCATGCACTCAAATCAACTTCTACCGCTAAAGAATTCGATAAAAACGCTCCATTTTCCTTGTTATTCTTATTTTTATTCTTTCCCAATTTATTAAAACATTTATTTGAGTGCCTTGCATTCTCAGAATTCAGTGATGTCATGCCTTTCGCGTCTTGTAGTCTTTTGTTATTTTCCTTCATAATGGCCTGGGCTTCTATAAGCTTTTTCGAGCTTATCAATCCGCCACACACAAGAATGGACAGGGGGCTAAAATGGAAGGGGGGGGGGGAAATAATGTATGAACGTAAATGTGTACATAAACATATATACATATATATATGTATGCGTATGTGTGCTCAATTTAATTACTCCCTTCAGGCGAAATCATTTCATGAGAGGCGCACGAAACATACAAATGAGAGGCTAAAAATAAACTCAGCAACAACAACGGGACATACCATAGTAATTCGTTCGCAAAATGCACAAAATAGCACAATCGTACAATCGTACAATCACACGATCACGCAATCACGTGCTAAGAGTGCACTATGAGTACATCTTATCTTTTTCTTTTTCTCTTTTGTTTGTTCACTTGTTTGTTTGCTTTCTACTTTCTACTTTTTAATTTTTAATTTTTACTTTTTTTTTTTTTTTTTTTTTCGTACCTCTCCAAGTGAATGAAAATCTTTTTCTCCATGAAACTTTTTTCCTTTTCCATTTTGGTTTTTTCTTCTTTACAATTTACATTTTTCTTCTCTATCACAAAATCATTGCCATCTTGTGATTCACCTTTTTGTTCGTCCTTCTTTTTATCTTTATTTTTGTCTTTATCTTTGTCTTTATCTTTGTCTTTATTTTTATCTTTATTTTTATCTTTATTTTTGTCTTTCTCCTTATCTTTATTTTTGTCTTTCTCCTTATCTTTATTTTTGTCTTTCTCCTTATCTTTATTTTTGGCTTTATCCTTATCCTTATTTTTGTCTTTATTTTTTATTTTATCTTTTTTGCCTGTACCTTTTTTTTTTTTATCTTCATCTCTACTGTCGCTGTCTCGGCCACTCTTGTGGCATCCTTTTTTTCCTTCGTGGGGGAAATAAAGGAACATGTTAAATTTTTTACTCATTGTGTAAGCGCATGTGCACAAATGCACAAGTATGTATATTAATATAAGCAAATATTTCCACATTTCCAAATACATGAACATATAAAAACAAAAGAGGCAATGTGAATGGAAGAAATATGCTCAATCCAAGTATAATTTCCTTTTTAATAAGGAAAAAAATTTGCAATACAAAATTAGGTAAGAACACATCTTAGATGAGTACAGTATGTGTATTCTTCATGTATCCAAACATATTTTTTTTTTTTTTGTGTTCATGTACATAGCGGTATACATGCCCCTTTGCTGCAGGGATGTACAGAATTTCTCAAATTTTATGTTTTCTACCTCTTGTGCACTTTACGACCTTGGACAAGGTGCAACCTTCTTTTTTGTTTTTGTTTGACTTGTTTTCGCTTCCTTCATTTTTATTTCTCTTCATCTGGATTTCCATTTTTTCTCCATTAGAAATATTGGGATCATATCTTCTTTTTTTTAAATTTTTTTTATAGGATCCCCAAAAAACTCCTTTCTTTTCCTTCCTGAGATTTGCTTCCACATTTTCCTTTTGTTTTCCTTTTTCTTCCTTTACGTCTCCTTCTTCTCCTCTGTGTGTTTTGTTTTTTTCTAGTAAATTTTTTTTTTTTTTTTTTTCTTCTTCTTCTTCTTCTTCTTCTTCTTCTTCTTTTTGATCCCTCTGGAATGTTTCGTTTTTAGGGGTTACAATTGTAATATTTTCTTCTTTAGATGATATATCTCTCTTTTTGTCTATTATATCTGCCACTTCTTCATCAGCTTTTGCATCTGCAACGTGCGCCCCTCCTTCCTTGTTTTCCTTCGTTTCGACTAATACTTCTGCTACCTTAGCACCCATTCTTTCATTACTATCGTTCCTGTACACTTCAGCATTCTCATTTTGACCCTTCTGACAATTTTCTTTATCACTTTTCGTGAAAGCATATTCATTCTTATTTTCGACATCATTTTGATTGGTCCTATCCTGGACAGTGCTACCTGTATGAATAGTTTTTCCCTCTTCCCTTAAAAAACCAGATGCTTCGTTTACGTTATCTAAAGATTCATTATTGTTCTTCTGCTCTCTGTTTACTTCTCCAATACTGGTTTTATTTTCTCCTTCACATTTTTCCAATAAAACAATTTCACTTGTTTCTATTTTTTTCCCCCTCTCTTCGCCATTTTCAACGGAATTATCAATTCTTTTCGATTGGATAAGCAAAATTTTGATATCACCCCTACCCCCTTCGGATGAACAATTTATGGAATTCGTATTCATATTCGATAGAACTGTTATGTTTTTCTCCATATTTTTGTCAATGTCTTGTAATTTTTCTTCTACATTACCAAGTTTTTGTTGACTCACTTGTGCGTGTTCTTCACAACGTTCTTCCATTTTTTCCCTTCCTTCCACTTTTTCTTCCACATTTTCCACAGGTCGAGAAATCTTATGGGGATATAAATTTTCGCCCTGTTTCTTCCCTACTTTCTTCCCGTGATTTTTTTTATCAATTTCCTTATTTCCACTACCTTTTTTTTTTTTTCTTTTTTTTTTTCCTCTCTTCTGTTGGTCATCATTGCTATCGCTATATTTGCCTTTACTGCTGAATCTTCCCTTCCGCTTCTCCTTTTTTTTTCTCTTCCACTTGAGACAAAGTCGTCTAAATTCAGCATTATTCTTATAATTGGACAATGAATTACGTAAGGCGTGTATTTCTCTATTTGTTAAAGCATGGGTGAGTACGATTCTGCTAACATCCCCTGTAGTTTTGTTTGCCCTTGTATTTTTTGCAGCTAATGTAGCTCTATTATATGCTTGCATATTACTCGTATTTAACAAAGCTATAGCTGTATTTTTTTTTATAAAATTTTCCTTTATTAAATCTACTTCTTCTTTTACTTTATCAAAGTCCCTCTTTGCAAATTCATCCGAACTGGCAGAAGTGGAAAAATGGAAATCGTCTTCACTTGGGTACATAACAGGTCTATCAGAACTTGAAGCTCTATTGCTATGGGCGCTACTAATCCATTGCTCATTGTAACCTCTAGGATGTTCTTCCTTAAATCGTTCAGATTGTTCTTCAAAATTTTTAATTTTTGTTGATGCACCAAAACTACTAGTTTTAATTGGATCACCTACATCATCTCGTTCATTTTTTTCTTTCATCTGTGTATTTTTATTTTCTTTTGTTTCTCCACAAAAGGATGTGTTAGTGTCGTCTGTCTTCTTATCTTCTGCTTCTTCACTTTTTTTTTTTTTTTTTTTTTTTCTTCTTTTTCCTTCTTCTTCATCTTCCGTTAATAATACCTTTCTTGTGGATGAATCATCAATACATGAATCCACTCCAACATCATTAGATGATGAAGAAATGTCTATTTGATTATCTTTTTTTTCACTCATTTTTTCATTTTTGCAATGACGGGTTAAAAATTTGCACTTGGGAAATTTTCTTTTTATAATATTTGATTTTCTTATAAAACACGAATTTGTTAATACTCGAAATGAATGTGCAACTGATATGTTAGTTGGGGAGACAGTTTGTTGTTTAATAATACTATTGCATTCATCATTTCTATTCTGAATGGGACATAAATTACAAACTTTTTCATAGTAAGAATTGTTACTACAATATGCATTACTAATATTTATAAAATTGGTATAACCACTATTTAAATTTTTATTTGTCTTTTTTAAAATTTTTGTATCAGTATGATCATAAAAATGTGCAGCTTTGTTTAATGTTTTATAAGCCGTATAAGAATTGTCAGTTGAATATATTGTAGAAAATTCGTTTTCACTCAATTCATACAAATAAACAGACTCTGGTTCTTTTTTTTCACTTTCATTAGTATGATGATAATAGTGACGATTCAAATTTTGCTCTTCTACTTTCGTTTTATTTCTTGAAAAATGTGTTTCATTTTCTGCTGAATGAACTTCTACAAAAACATCTTTGGTGCACTTGAAAACGTGATTATACCACCCTTTTTTCAGTTTTTCTTCCGTTTCATTCTCTATTGCAACTTTTTCTTTTATTCCATCATTATCTTGTCTACTTTTCCCATGATTGTTAAATTTCATCTCGGGCAAAATCAAGTTAACGTTATTTACATAATGCTCATTTGATTCGTCATAAAAGAAAGGGTTAACTATTCTCTTTTCATTTCTTATAAACTGTTCTATTCTATCTTCTAAATACATCTCACATAACGGAGGGGAATTATTTTCTTCCTCCACCGCATAGCTATACTCATCATCTGAAACACAGCTGATGTATTTCTCCTTATATATATTGTTATGTATTAATGGTATCCTATTACTCGTTTTTGTACTAAAATCGTACCCCTGTTGGTGTGCTATACATGTAAAAAGTATATTTTTTTTTTTTTTTTTTTTTTTCTTTTTCTTGAACTCTTTCCCTTTCTCATTATCCTTGTTTTTCTCTATTTTTCTCTTTAAAATGTTTTCATTTGTTTTCATTCTTTTTATTCTTTTCATTCTTTTCACTCTTTTCATACTTTTCATTTTTTTCATACTTTTCATTCTCTTCATTCTTTTCATTTTTTCATTTCTCTTTTGCACCAACTTGGATAATTTTGTTTCTCTCCTTCGTGACATAAATGGGATCAATCGCCTGCCTATGCTTCTTCCTTCATCGTCATAATCATCATAGTCATCATCATCTCCCTCATCATCGTCATCTTCCTCCTCCTCGTCATCATCTTCTTCATCATCGTGATGGTTACCATTGTCACCTTGCCCATCTTCACCTCTCTGTTGTGTTATATCATTTCTCTTTTTTCCAAATATCGTCGATATCTGCCCATCCAAAGGAGTGCTTTCCTTGTTACTATGTCCCTGTGAGGATTCATTGAGTTTAACCCTGTTATGTAACAATACATCTCCTTCACTTGACCTTTTGGGTTTGTCCTTTCGGGACATACGAATGATTATCCCTTCTTCATTAAAAGCTCGTTTAAAAAAATTAAAAACTTTTGAATGAACACTGGAAAACATATTTTTGAAGAAAAAATTATCAACACCAATGCATATGAATGTACTTAACCTAGATATGTGAGATATATTTTCACTATAGTTCATCATAAGGTCCCTTAGACAACTAAGTGCCTTTTCTTTATTCTCCTTTGAATATATTAAATAATTAACACAATGTAATAAATATATTAACTTAACATATTTTTTCCTTGTTGATTCACTACAGTTATTGTACCATTCAATACATGTATCCACTTGGAATTTTTTTAGATTGTACAAAATTGTATGTAATTTTGTGTATCCTTCGAATATTTCTTCCTCAATTAATGCATGTTCGAATTCTATTTTTTCTGTATTATGTTCAAAAGTTATTTTGCTTATGTATTCTTCTTTTAATTGAGAAAAAATATCATTTTTCAAATACACAGATTTGTGATTTTTTATATTATTAAGCAGAATTGAATTATGATGTCCTACATACTTTCTTCTTTCTATACTTTGGTAATTCCTCACTGTTGCCTCAATAGTGTGCAAGTAATTATGACTATCTTCTTTGGAAATACCTTGATATATATCTTGGGATTTTCCCCCCTTCAAATGTTCATCTCGAAGTGAACTTTCATTATTTGATGTGTTTTCTGTTCCTAGCGAGTTAGTTTGATGCACATGAATCGCATGATTAGCTTGTCCTGCTTGTCTATCTGGATCCTGTTTTTCATTTCTTTCATCCTTTGAAGAAACAGAGAATGCGTCTATCCGTGTGCCTCCGATTTCTCCAGATCCCCTGCTTATCATATGTACATATTTAGTATCTTCATTTTGCGCAATGCTATTACCTGCAAACAAAGGTTCAGGAACTTCTTTCACTTCATTACACAGTTGTGTCTTTTCATTTATAGCACAATGTTTGCTTAATTTATTCATCATATATGTATCCTTTTCGATTTTTTTTTTTTTTTTTTTGTTCATAATTTCTTTATTCAATACATAGTACATGAAAAAATCCCCCTTTTGTAAGAAATGCAGTAGAATTAATCTAAGGATAACGTTTTTTTTTATGTTAATATTTTTGAAAATCTCAGGAGTTTCTTGTTTTATTAGCGATATTATACCTCTATAAGATGACAATAAAATGTTGTAAAATTTTTTATTTTCTTCACTAACCTTTTCTAAAATTTTGAGCTCTTTGACATCCTTTATTAGTTCCTTAATATCAAAATTACTTTTTATTTCATTTCTGTCCATATCATTGTCCTTTGTCTGGGCATTGTTATCGTTCAAACTTGTATTTTCACTTCGTTTATCACTTTCGCTTTTAACATTATCTTTTTTTTTCTTTATTTTTTCTTCTACATTTTTTTTTGCCTTTTGAACCTTTTCCATTAAATTATCTATGCTGTTTAGATAAAACGTGAATGTTTCATTTTGCTTAATTTTAAATTCTTCTATTTCCTTTTGAACTTCTTTAAAATCTAAATTTTTTCCTCTACTACTGCTTCTGATACAGCCATCTTCTGCATAATTTTCATCTCCCATTTTTTCCTATTTTTTTTCTTAGCACATATTGTGAAGATTTACATAAACATGCATAAACGTATGCAGGGGAAAATAATGAAAATAACTATGCAATCAGTTTTTCAACAGGTGTGATAAATTATCCAAATCTTAAAAACAAAATGAACAAAATATATCGTGCGAATGGAAAGTGTATAAGCTTGTATGAGGGAAATAGAATTTAAAAAAAAAAAAAAAAAAAAAAAAAAAAATCAGTACTGAAATAGTTGGATGGAAAAAAATATATGCATATATGTATATGTATATATACACAAATTTACGAGCTCGTGTATGCATAAACATATGCACACGTACACAATAACAATAAAATAATTGTATGTGTGTGACACATTTTTTCCTTCACACACACTAAAAGCCGACCATGCACATATGCAAATGTACAAATACATTACAGCCCTCACTTTCGTCACTTCACTTTTAAACTTTTGTTAGCAACCATCATTGCAGCTACCAGGACAATGTCTACTTGATGGGAAGAAGTTCCCTTCTCTCTAATAAATTGCACTTCCCAGTGTATATCCTTGAGAGATAACTTTATTTTAATTTATTTTTCCCCACTTTTTTCTATTTTTTTTATTTCTGGAATGCACGAAAATAAACGAGAATGAATATGCGTGTGTAGGTCCAAATATGTAAGCATGTAATAATTCTTTAATCATGAGGGCCCGTAAATGAGAGAACACGTAAAAGGTTAAGAACGTAAGAATATAAAACGAAAAAACATTTAAACATTTACTACATTTTTCATGTAAATACCTGGGGATGTTTTTTTCCCAGTAGCAAAAATTGAAAAAATCATAAAATAGAGATCAGATGTGAGGAAACAAAAAAAAAAAAAAAAAAAATGATAAAAATACAATATAACAGTAATTTATGTGTTAATGCATATTTTTGTCTACTACCAAATAAATGTAATTGTACATAATGTTAAAAGTAAACTCTTAAAAAAAAAAAAAAAAAATCTGTAGCCTTTCTTAATAAAAATTTTATAAAGACATGATATCTTACATAAAGAACATAAAAAAAAAAAAATTGTACAAAATAAGGCAAACATGAACAAAATGCATAAACGGGAACTCATTAGAAAGGCTAAAAAAAAAAAAAAAAACAAAAAAACAACAAAACAGTAAAACAATACGCAATAAAATATGTAAAATATGAAAAATACATCTTTTCTCGTTTAACTATTGTATTCAGTTTATGTACAACACAAAAGGGAAAATAACCTTGCGAAGGTGTTATATACATAAATATATAGAAAGGATTTTAAAATGATAGGGTAGACTAATTTGGTGAGGAGGGAAATATTTCCACATGTATTAGCAATACATATATATTTTAACACTTAAATGAATTTCCTCTTTTTTTTTTTTTTTTTTTCTTTCTTTTTTTTCCTTTAGCACCTTTTTCAATTAATTACTAATAAATGACAATACTAAAAAAAAAGGGATTTAAAAAAAAAAAAAAAAAAATGCAGGTAACTCAATTCATAATTATTGCAATGTTATACACATATTCACAATGTGCACATAAATAAAAACAAAAAAAATAAAATAAAACCCTAAAAATTTTTGGCAGGAAAGGATACAAGGGAAAAATAGGATAACAATTTTGTGGGAAAACTAACTTTAACTGAATTTTTAGGAAAAGAAAAATAAGAAAAAAATAAAAAAAAAGCCTGAATTTTAAATTTTATCTTAGAAATAACACATATTAAAGGTTAATGTGTTTTCATGCATACGTACACAGGAGCATCATGCATTCATATGTACACACGAGTCGTGTGTAGGCATATATACTTTATTACTTGTAAAAATGTACATAGCATGCATGCATATGTGCATACATGTAATCATTTTGTGTATTCGTACATGTATCGAACCCTTGTACGTCTTACTTGATTCTGAATTAATTATTTATTTACTCAGGACTACAGGTTGGTAGAGAAGCTTACTTACACATATATGAGGATGAATATCCCATATGGAAAAAAATAAAATATAAATATAAACGAGTAAAAAGTAAAATACAAAAAATTAAAAAAAAGCTGTAAAATAACAGCCTTCTAAATTCTTAGTTCACACAACATGGACGAAACTCAAGTAATGTTTCCATTTATCATTTAAAAAAAAGAAAAAAAAAAAAATTGGACCCATTTTGAAATGGAAATTGAAGAAAAATAAGGAAATAAAACAAAATGGGATATTCTTTGCAAAATAAGAGCGACTACAAGCTTATATATGTATATATATTAACTTCGCACTAAATTGGAATTTTTCACACCTATGCATGCACATATATTATAATGGTGCTTTTATTCGGTCTGATTATACATGACGTTAACCTCGCTGTTCAGAATTCAAGAATTGTAGATCTTTTTAATTTAAAGAAAAGGGATAAAGATTATGTTGATAAGCAAGATCTAATAGTAATACTAAAATCTCTCGGGTACTATATGAAAATATAATTTTACCATAATACATTCGAGCAGTCTAAGTCATATGTAATTCTGCACATGTTATGCAGGCACATATATATATATATATATATATATATATATATATATATATATATAACTGCTTTTCGTCTTCACCCAAAATATTTGCTTTTTTTTAAATTGTACAACATATATTTTCGAGGGACGCCATTTAGTCTTAACTAATATTTGGGAGTAGTTCACCTGTTACACTATCCTATGGTGCACTGAACCTATAAAATATGGTTACACATTAGAAGTAACATGCTATTCTCATTGTGCGTTCCGTGTATTGTTGTTCTTACATTCTATCACTCCTAAACGTCCCACCAACTACTCCACAGGTTTAAAATATGCTATGAAATATTCGAAGACAATAAAAACTGCTACAGTTTTGATGAATTAAAAGATTACGTGCTGAAATTTGAGAATAAGCATTACGCAAAGGAGAAAGTCGAAAAGTGTATTAGCTTTTTGAACCCACATAGTACGTACACCTGAATAGTGGAACATGTACGCATACATGCATACACATATACACGCATACTTATCTATGCACACTCACATGTGGAATAACTTCTTTTCTGTTTGAACTGAATTTTTTTGTTATGCCCGTTTCTCCCTATTTCCTCTCCTTGTAAATAGACGAAACTATAAACAGAAATTTGTTAAAGACACTTCTATGTGAACATGGAAATAAATTCACTGAAAGTGAATTTAAAAAGTTTCTAGTTGACATTCCAGTAATGCTCATATTGCCTTTAATCATTTTTACAAAAAAAATAAAATAAAATATTAAAGTGGATTCCAATTTTTTGTTTTAATTTATTTATTATTTTTTTTTTCTTCTAATTGTGTAAAAACAATGTAGATAGACACGCAGGGAAATATAAACCATTTTGAATTGGTTCAAATGTAAAATAAAGACAAAAAAAAAAAAAGGATGAAAAAAGACGAGAAAGGATATAAAAGAAATAATAACTAAACAGGCAGGTATATCTTAGTACCTGTGTAACCACTCACATAAAACATTTATCCTGTACAATTCTGTTAAACCGATTTTTCAGTTTATCTAACTACGTTGATTACTGATTAAATTTCTAAAGGAGGAACAAAACTAATAGATCGGGAAATAAAAAAATGACAAGGTAAAATTTTTTTCCAAAGATTATGTTATTTCCCTAGCTCCCATTTTCATCACGAATTAACAACTTTTTCGTTATTATTTAAAATATCAATTAATAAATTGAAGGTATCATTTATTTCCTTTTTATCTAAATTTTTCAAATATCCCGATAACTTTTCAACATTACGGTTTTCTTTGTTCGAGTAAAAATAAAAAAGTTTCAATAAATTAGTTGTATCTACATCCATCAAATTATACAACACTTTTGCTTTTTCATTGTCCATTTTATTTATGTTCTTATTTAAGTAGTTGTTTATTAAAGTATCAAGCTCGAGCATGCCAACCTATGGAGAAAAAGGGGGGAAATTAAGTCCATATATACACGTGTACATTAACTATATTGTTATAAAGATATTCCACATTCTTTGCAGATCATCGTTCAAGGGGAAAACGATATATACTATATTAAGACTATTTGTTTATGTGTGATAGTTGTGGTGAGGTGGAAATTATTCTACATTTTTGCTTCATTTCTCCTACGTGTTGCATGTACTGTTATGAACGTATGTGAATTGTGTGTACAATGTGTTATAGTGATGAACAAAAATAAAAAATATGCATATAATTGTTTCCTTTTTTTTCACACCAAATAGCCTTTTTTTTTTTTTTTTTTTTTTTTTTTTTTTGATGTCACTTTATGTAACTATTGCTAATCTAACACTTTTAAATTTACATCTTAGTTTTTTCTTCAAAATTGTAATATCCTCTGTGCTCATGTTCTTGTCAATGGAGGTAAAATTCCTCAAAAGCCTCATCAGATTCATGTTGCTGAATTAAGTTCTATTGCTCTTTATCCACTTGTTTTTTATTGTTCCTGTTCGAACGTGATAAATGGTTCAATGTTTTTCTTATTTGACATTTATTTTTCTGAGTCCAAAGAAAAGTCCTCTACATATGCATATTTTGCAAAAGGGAAATCAAACTAGTATGTTTCCTCCTCACATGTATGTCACAAGTATTGTTGCAAATTATTTTAATCGCTATGTAATAGGTCACTTTTTAAGTGTGCACACCAAAATAGGTGTCCCCACCCCCCAAAAAAAAAAAAAAAAAAAAATTATATATATATATATATATATATGTATTTAATTAGTTTTTATTACATCTCTCAAAAAATAAAGTAGGAACTAATTTATTCATGTAACAAATCATATTTGTAGAGGGATGGGGTAAAAAAAAAAAAAAAAAAGTGCTGAACTTTTGAGAAAAACTCAAATGAACTCACATAACAGTTTCAAACTATATTATAATAATTCGTATGATTAAAAATAAGTGCCAATGAAATAAGTGAGGATAGTTACTATCCAGTGCAAATACATAGCAAGAGAGGAAATGTAGAAAGAGTGTGGAAAGTGTTGATATCTGATTTCAAATAAAGATAACTGCACCACCACCTCCCCCAATACACGTCTTTGTATGTAACCACACAAGTGTATATCATTGTACCTTTCAATACATGCATTATCGTGTATGACATCCAACGTACCATACAGTATATCACTTTTCGCAAAATTTCATTCGAACTTATCAATTCATAGCTTATGGGATAACACGATTTGCTACTAACCTTATAACATGGGGAAAGGTGCTGTACACCCAAATGGATCAAATTTCTGCAGATCGTTAAAATATAATGTTGTGGATAAAATGAGGACACTAGTGGAAACTAACCTGTATGATAGACCTCGGTGGCTAGAATGGGCAGAAAGAGCACCTCCCATGGAAATACACAATATTAGCTTAAAGTCAAGATACAATAATAATAAATATATTGATTTAGTGAAATTTCTTTTAAAAAAGTATCCACATCTAAGATTTCAAGATTGTTATGTTGAAGGTAATAACAATCAAAAAGGTTATGACTTTTTCAGGAATGATCATATAATTACACAAATGGCTACACATCAGTTATATTACATGAATAGGGGATATGGGAAAAAAGACGCCTTAGAAAAAGTAGAAAAGGAATTCTATAACAGAAGAATGGAACTAGAAAAGAGACAAAAAATAAATATGTGTTTGGCTATTGATAATAAAATTAAACCTCTTTATACTAATGGATACTCCTACTTATACGAAAAAATTGCAGACAATGAGAAGGCCCACTTAAATATTATACTCAAGAAGTTACGAAATATGAGAGAAAAAATGGAAAAGGAAAGAGAGAAAAAAAGCTGACGCTACTCCAAATACCAGGGGTGATAACAGAAATGCACAAGTCTCGCAATCTGGTAAAAAGTCTTGATTTTTCAAATATTCATAACACATTCCTAAAAATGTATTTTTTTTTTTTTTTTAATAAATATGCATACTTATGCAGTATCACCACCAACCATGCAAAATTAGAAGCACCCCATTGATATCGTAACGCAGGTGATTCATCTATAAAACAAACAAAAAGAAAGCGGCCCATCCATCCATCCATTCATTCATTTTTTTAAATCGATTTAAAAAGGACAGTTTATATACAAAAACACAAGCTAATGCACATCTGCGTGCGTTTCTCTTTAGTCAAATAAAAATTTACCATCTTAAGTGTGATATTTAAATGAATTCGTTCGTTAATGTGTTTTATCCAGTTCTCATGGCAATGTGGCTCAGCGGGGAGATACACTTGCGTACAAAAGTATACACACGTATTAGTATACACAATGGTACACGATAAAGAAGCAATTCGACAGGGCATGGTTCATGGCGACTATACATGCACCTCGTCATCGGGACCAGCGGAACAAATCGACAATATGGACAATTTCTCTCTTTATTTGCATTTGATTTTAATTAATTTAACTGGGTGTTAATTTTTTCTTTTCTCCAAGCATGTGAATCAAAGCATAAAGATAACACTTGGAAAAACCTGCATCATAACTCCACCATCACAGCATCATCGCTTAAAGGTCAAGTAAACGTCTTCATTCAAATGGTTATAGAGGACGTTGTTATGAATATGCTCTTCTGTGTAATCAGGTAGGTTTTCCAAATTCGAACAGATGGAAGCACCTATAAATTGGCGCAAGTTTGGTGCAATTTTTGGAAAAATAAAATTTACCTTATTTTCAAAATCTTTCTTAAATGCATTTTTTTTCACACTTAATGCTTGGAAAAATGACTCGGCAATTTTTGAAAGAATACCCTTAATATTACTACATCCGCCAACCAATAATATATTGTGAAAAACGGAATAATTCATTATATTTAATTTGTGTAGTATGGATGAAAATAATGAGTTTATGTTCTGTTCATAATCTTTAGTGAACAATATTTCGCAAGCTTTCCATCTAGTATGGGGTTCAATAATAATTTCATAATTTCGGAATTCATACAAGACAAATTTATTACTATGCAATTTAGTTTTCTCATTTTTTAAATAAAAATATTTTATTTTCATATATTCTATATCATTATCTGGTATGTTATCAATAACCATTAATATTTCATTTAGTGGATATAAATTATAATAATAATTTAATAAATTTTCTGGTATATTTGTTTCTTTTTTTTCTCCCTCCTCTAATTTTTCTATACGGGTATACGTCATATGATTATCCTCCCTCTTGTGTTCATTGATAAAAACAGCATCATCCTTCATACATGCATCTGCACTACATGAGGCTTCTCCTTTGCATACACTTCTTCTGACATATTGTTCTTTCAATAATTTTTTAATTTCCTTATTTATATAAAATCCCCCATTATTTATATACGTATAATGATGATATAAGGGTAGGCCATTTATTATTGGCAATAATCGACAGTTTAAATAGCCCAAGTCTATTACTACACATGTGTTACAGTTACATAAAAAAAGGGGAGATATTAAATCATTCACATAAGAAATTGAAGCATATTCATGATTTTCTATCAAACTTTTACAAAGGGCATATTTAATTATTGTTGGTATGAACATGTTCAAAACAACGATAACTTTTTTTGCTTTATTATTTGTTTTTGCCAAATTATCAAATATGTGAAATATAAACTCTTCGAAGAATTTATTCCACAAATTCACATCTTGGTTAAATTTATATTCATAGTGGTATATCAGGTTTGTTTCATTTTTGTTACATTTCGTGTTGCTGTTATTTCCCCGATTTCCTAGACTAGAGAAATTATCGCTTTGTTCCATGTTACCTTCGTTATCTTTTCTGTTTCTTATACTTGAATCCTCTGGTAGATTCATCTCCCTTTTGGATCCTCCAGCATATCCTTCTGCACAGTCTCGCAGAGAAGAAATTTCGCCATTTGATACATCTTGCACTTTCTCCTTTTTCGAAACACTTTTTATTATGTCATAAATTTTCTTATCATCGTCAATAGAATTGTGGAAATTTTCGTTGTAAAGAAAAAAATTTGGTGTCGTAAAAACACATGTGGGTTTATGTAACCCTGAAAATCCTACATAGGTATATTTTCTCCCTATAAAAAGATGATAGGTTAAATTTTTTACATAAAAATTACACCTATAATTATGTTCATTTCATTTGTGTGAAGATTTCATATAGGGAATGCATAAATTGAGGGATGTTCTTATGAGTGTGTGCATGACGGGAATATTTTCATAGGAATTTAAACAGATGACATATGCACAACGTTTTGAGCATGAAAAAAGGTTTAAAAAAAAGGAAGATTGGGGAATAAAGCACAATTGTATGTGCTTCAATTTTTTTTTTTTTTTTTTTTTGTTTACCTATTTGCAGTATATAATACTTGTAGTTATTTTCGCTGTCATTTTTTTTAAGCCTTTTTTCCATATTTCTAATATATACACTCTTGTGTTGGAAGAGACCTAAACAATTGTTTTAAGTTCAGTGCGATGGTTTTTTTTTTTTTCTTTTTTGTTTTCCTCCCTCGTTTTTTCCTTTTTTACCCCTTTAACTGTTCCCGTTTTGTTATTCAGTTAATCATGACGTGGAACAAATCGAAAGACTACTTTGTGTTTCCCCAATGAATTGTGTTCAAAAATGGCATAAATGAGAACAAACAAGAGAAAGCCCCTTTACAAATTTGTTGTGCCCTATTATATATGACTACTCTTGTAAATCTAAGAACGTAACAACATAATGTGTGCATATCTGCATGCTTATTCAGTACTAATTTTTCCACATTCATATTTATGTTCCGATTTATTTTCACATTTATATTCCTATTTATGTTCTTATTTGTTTTCATATTTATATCATATTTTTTTTTTTTTTTTTTTTGTTATGCACTTGTTCAAGTGTATAAAAGTGTTAAAACGCGCTTGGTCTATTTTCATACAAAGCCAATTATAGTTAGGCACTCATATTCATATCCAAGCTCTAATTTGTAAATTTCCTAAAAATGTGCAACCAAAAAATGTAGTTAAAAAAAAAAGAAAAAAAAAAAAAAAAGACTAATTGTTTCTTGCACGAGACCCGGTATATTATTTTTAATTCGTGTCCTCCTGAAATATCTTTTTTTTTTTTTTTTTTTTTTTTTCCTTTTTAACAGAGAAAAAAAAAAGATTTTGTTTTTCTTTTCTTAAGAATTATGAAGAGGTGTAAATATTTTCAGTTATCATTTCTAATGTGTTAAAAGCATAGAAATCAGATATTGTGCAAAAATTTTCACTTAAGATATTGCATTATTTTTTACGTAATTTTTTTATTTATTTTCTTTCTTAACCTTTTGGCGCATAAATTTTCACTTAACCTTTTAACAGAGTAATTTCCCATCATATTCTCCTTTTAATTTTCCGTACATATTTTTTTTACTTTCATTATTTACATATTTTCTCATTAATTTTTAAAATGCACAAACTGGCTTCCTCCCTTTCATTTTTCAATTCACTGTCAATTGTTTTACTGCTTATTTTTATTTTTTTTTTCTCTTTTAAAGTTGAAAATTTTTTTTTTTTTTTTTTTTTTTTTTTTTTTTTTGTCAAGACAGTATTATTAATGGAAATATGTATGTATACTTATTATACACAAACACGAATGCATAATGCAAACACGTATGGTCACTTGACTCTTTTTTTAAAATAGTCAAGGTGCTCTGCCCTTTAATTTGGTAATAGCAATTTATATACATATGTTCACCTTATAAACAGTACACACTTTTGTGAGCACAAAATCTTTTCCATTATGAAGGGAATTATTTGAACCACGAAAAAAAAATCTGTATCAGGAGCGATATCCATACGCATGTACACTGCACACGCATACACAGTACACACATACATGTTCACATATGCCGATGGATGCCCTAGAGCACTCGAGCAAACCTGTGAGCGTGTCCCCTATGTAACTGTGCAGAAAGCGAAAGTTTCAAAAAAATGCAATAAGGAGGAAGGGCACGTATACATACATCTATATATATATCTATATATATAGATAGATGCATGTACAGGTGCATACGCATGTAGATACATATACGAGTATCCAACCAGACACGCTCTGAGGTACGAACGTACATATATAGAAAGTCAAAAAAAAAGGTGAGCGTGTAACATATCTCCTCCAACATACCCGAGAAAAAAAGAAAAAAAGGGAGTATGAAAATTTGCCCCTAAAATGGTGTATGCTATCATTATAAAATGTGGAGAATCGAAGAAGAAATCTCAAACAAGTAAAACATCCACTCTTGTAAACGCAAAGGGGTGCAAACAGAAATGCGAGAAAAAATGTAAAAATAAATTCGAAAAGAAGTGCGAAAAGAAAGGCACAAATTACGACATAAAAAAGGAGGTACAATCCAGTTATTGCTTTAAGAACAATCAGCATTCCATATTGAATTACTTCGATCTAAAAAAGAAGGAAAAAAAAAAAGACGAAGATACCAAAGATGCTAATGAACCAAACGAAAATGTTGACGATTGTGTAGACAATTTTCATAGCATCGAAGAATGCAAAAATGAATCGAAACAGAAGAATGAACACATTTTTACATACATAAAATGGATATATGAAGAGAAAAAAAAAGAGAAAGAAAATATTAAGGAACACATTTTAAAATTATTAATACTCTTGAAAAAAGAAGATATATATTTGAAAAAATATTTCCCAAAAGTATACTATTCTGAACTAAATAAAAAAAAAAATGAAAATATTGAGAACAAGTTAAATTACAAAGAAAAAATATATATTAATAATATATACAATAAGAATGTCAAAAGTATCAAGTTTTACTCCAATATAATAAATAATTCCATTTATGAATACAAATTGACCTTCTCCAAGGAGAATAGTTTAATAACGTTTCACTACTATGATGGGTTTAAAAAATCCTTTAAAATTTCTAATAGCACCTTTTTTTATCTCATATCTGATGCCAAAAACGTGTTTCGATCTAGTTCTCAAAATGAATGGCACCAAGATGAGGAATCAACTTGCCTTACAGATAAGAATAGATATATATACACATTCAAAAGGAATTGCAATAACAAAATAAACGTCGAAATAATAGATGTACTTAGCAAAACAAATAAGATAGAGTTTTCTGTCTCCTATACCCCCCTTCGAGTATTCTATCAAAATAATCATTTGTTTTTTGTAAATATCATAAATTGTCGAAAAAAATCAAGGTATTTTACATACTCTATATATAAAAACAATGTTATAGAAAAAATTAGAGTCATATATTTGTCAACAGTTCATCCATTCTATCAAAACACAATTGTCTGTGGGAATACTTTTCCCTTTTTTTGTAAGTGTAAATATTTTTATCATAAAGAGAAAATTTTTATGTGGTCTGATCCGTTGTTAAATGACTCTTCATGTCCTTACACTTCACATTCCTCAACACCAAGTGATGAGGAGGAGGAAGACGACGATGAAGAGACAAAGCTGAATAAAATTCCAAGTATGAACATTATACACATAAACTCGAATGTAAATATATGCATAGCATTTGAAGAAAGTACCGAGACATACTTCTTTTTTCACATTCTGTATGAGATAATAAAATATAATAAGAAATATTTAAAAGATTATTTTAAAGGAGAAAAGATTGACAAATTTCTCCCATTTCAACATTTTTTGAGTATAGAAAAAAATCAATTTTTTTATAAAAACAAAACATTTAGTAATATTAATTTTAACACAGAAATCTACAAACCTCAACTCGTGTTAACCAGTGGGGGAAATAAAAGTATCAGTAATAGAATTAAATTATGTGTTTATGATAATGTCAACAATTTATTATTTCTAATCCCTATATATCATAAATACGTGAGGGATAAAATCAAGATTGTACCCAATGTGTTAAATTTCACAGCAATTAATATGACAAGAGAATTTTCCACTTTTAATTATTACCCATATAACATATGTGCTTTTATGAACAACAAAATTAATACTACTCACTTGGAATGTAAGAAAAGAAAGTTGAATTTGGAACACACTGCTATTAATGTATCTACAGGAAGGAAAAGGGGTCATTACTTCCAAAAATTATTAAAAACAAAAATGAACATATTAAAATCTGGAGAAGGCCAAGGTTCATATAATGTGACAAAAGAAGTTACACAGTCGAATATACAGATTCTTGATATGAACAGAATAAACAATTTTATTATCATCTTAAACAAAGATGGCATGCTTTACTTGTTGTCTGATGATATATACGTGTCCAGTATATACTTATACAACAACAAGGAACAGATATATAACATATACAATTCTGATTTTTGTCATGTCACAGTTGATACGATTGATTATGATAAGAAGAAAATTTGCTTGAATTCTTACAGAGTATATATTGATATATTACCCAAAAATCCAACTCTAAAATTTGTCTTATCATTTTTTTACAACTACATATGTAAAAAAATTGCAACTCAATTTTTTACCCTATGTATTTATGAGTGCAGAAAGACAGAAGATAATAAGAGCATTTTTCACTTTCTAAATATTGATATATATTTTTTGGACTATTACAATTTTGAATATTCTCATGAGAGAGGCATGAGTGCTACGGGTTTCAACAAGGTTGATGATGAACGCTTGAAATTTGCTGCCAACAGAAATGACCTGGAGGGGAACAGTAAGGTGGCAAATACGTGGTCACAAAATTTGGGAGCTCAAAATTTGAATGTGCAATATTCGAAATTGCAGAATTGCACGTCTAATGAGCAAACAAATCACCAGTGGTACAAGAACGATGACTCCCAAATAGACAACCCTCTAAGGTACCGGACTAATCAGTGTACGGGCAGTAAAAGCATGGCCCAAAGCACAGATGAAACATGGATAAAGAAACACACAGAGAAGTATAAAATGTTCAATAAAAACTTTTTCGAAATAGAAAATTTGCTTCACATTGAATTTAGTCGATTTGTTTACTTGTTCATGCTAGTGTGTGTAGAAGATTTAAAAATGTATCGAAAAATGGAAAAATATTTATACCTTAAAAAAGTGAATAATCCTGCACAAACAGATGAATACGGTGATTTGAAATTTAATTGTTTTAAACTGGGGGAAGGAATAGATGAAACGTCAAACACGGAGGAGGAGCGTAATAGCACATATTCTAGTTCGTGCAATTCAGACAATAAAATAGAATCCCCTTTTAATAAAATCCACATTTGTGGTGACCAAAAAAACAATATTACCTGTAAAACTTTTAACAGTTACTACAGGATGATTGAAAATTTTATTAACTATTTGCACAATAAGTATAAACATATTTACCATAACAAATATCTGATATTAGCTTATTTACACTCCTATTTTGATGAAATTAGCATCAATGAGCTAGTGGAGCAAAAAATTAAAGACGATCTCATATTCATAATTCTCATTCTGTCATACAGTTCAAACGTGTACAATTTTATGTTCCACTACATGAACAAGCTAAGTCCATGCAGAAAACAAATGTTACAATCCTTTTATAAACACATATGTAGAAAATATTACAAAGAGGAGTTGTTAAAATGGTGTAGATATAAACCAACGAATGAAAACCCTTCCAAAACTGAAAAAAATTGCATCCTCATGATAAGTCAAACGAATAGATGCTCCGACAAAACGGTGCAAAGAGGTTATTCCAGTTTCGGGAAAATGCATTTCAGACATTTTACACATAATAAAGAAAGTTTGACAAAAATTCCACAAAAGTATCATTTTGAAGAGCATAGTTTTGAAAAGCATAATTTTGAAAAGTATAATTTTTTAAATAATTATCTAAAGAATAAGTACAAAAAAATGGTTAATATCCCGAACACAGTGGAAATTATCAACCAAATAGCAAATTGCAAAGACACGGAAAAGGACCATAATAAGTTAAACCATTTTTTGAGTATCATCTTTTTGTTACACCATAATGATAAATGCACGAAGAAATTGAAGCTCAAACATGAATGTTACACAAGGGAAGTAGAAGAACTTTTTAGCATCATGATGAAGGAGGAGGTTAGGAAAAATTTTAAAAAAGGAAAGAATAGCGAAAACAGAAATGATAGAACAAGCACAAATTTAAGCAAAAATATGGATCACATAAAAAACTTGTATAAAACATTCCAGACCTTCAAATCTTCTATTCTTATTGATGACAGAATAAAATTTCTATATTACTTCTACCCCCTGTATTTTCCATTAAAAAACTTGCTAATTATCTCCTATTTGAGTCTGTTTTACGCTCCAAATTTGAAAAATAAAATAATGAAAGATATCTTTTTAAGAAATGTAATTAAAAATGAGTTAGATGTGATTTATTTTCCTTCCTTCGACTTAGATTTCATGAAAAGTGATGAAGAATTCATGTTTCAAAAACAGAATGGAACATTTCTAAAGAATTATGCCCTCATTGACGTTAATAAAGAGGGAAAAAATTGTAACGAAAAATTTAGGAACAAAAAAGAATATAAGAACAACAAAAGTATAGTTAGGGTATCCAAAATGGAAAAAATATTACCCAAAAATGTAGATGTCTTCAAAACTACTGAGAGAAGCAGCTCCACGTCAAGAGAAATGCATATGCAGTATGTAAAGAAGGCAGATCAACAATGCAATGAAATATCCTTTTATCAAAAACGAGTTCAACTTCATACATACAACATAAAACATTTCGATTCTTTAAACATAGATGATATGAACATTGTTAACATATTACTAAAGTGTGTATTTTATGAAAACCTATATTTGCTTAACATGTATTCATATTTTGTATATATCCACTGGTACAATGATAATCATATATTTCGACGAAATGGAAATACAAAATACATACTCACAGATGCAATGCACTTGAAATGGAAAAAGGGAAATTATTCCACTCATTGTAAGGCGCATGTGAAGGAAAATTTCCCTTATGATGATAATGTACAAATGGTGATTGAAAAGAAAAAAAAAAAAAAAAAAAAAAATCCTGAGACATGTAAATGTCTTAAAAACTCGCATATATTAATAGAAAAAATAAAAGGAAATAAGGAAAAACACCAAAAAGAAGAACAAACAAATTGTTGTAACAATACACTTTTTTGGAATAGAGATGGTGCATGCGTTGAAATGGTAAAATTCTTCGATTGTTACGAAATGTTCGATTTTAAAAACCTCAATTTTTACGTCAGCATAAATAGGGAGGATCTGTACTTGAACAAATGCTTTGACTTGTCCAATGTGAATATGAAAAAAAAATTTTATAAAATTTTAGATATTTTAAAAAGGAGTTATCATAATGATACTTTTGATAGTGCTCATAGGTACCGCTATGGTAGTGACATTTACGACAAAGAAAATAATAATAAGTGTAACATGTACAATATTGAAAAACTAAAAATGGACGAAAGGGAGAATCACAAGAATAATAACTTCGATAAAAAAGGACAGTTAGTGCAAAAGAGCTATCTAAGTGAGTACAAAATATTAAAAGACTGTTGCTTTTTTTTCGATACGTTTAAAATGGATCGAAATATTACTTCATGTTATTTCCCACATAACAAAGACACCGTTCTTGTGTACCTGAACAATTTTCATAACTATTACTTTTCGAAATATTATAAAAATAGAAAAATACAGTTATTAAAAGGTAACGATGAAGAGGAGAGAGAAATAGGACAAGAAGTTGGAGAAGCAGGACAAGTAATGGGAGGAGACACGATACAAGAAGAGGAACAAGATAAGGCACAAAATAAAGACCTTATAGATTTAATAGATCTAGAAAAGTCATCAGACAGCTTGGAGAGTGCGTATATACATAAACACAAATACAACAAAAAGAATGTAAACAAATATTTGAAAAAAATTATCAAATTGGCTAATTTAGATAAGTTAGAAGAAAAGAAAATACTTATCGACACGAAAAATAATGGAAATATATACAAAGTTTTAGATTTAATGCACCTATATTATACCTTAGAAAAATTTTATAAAATGAAATATGTATGCATGCTTAACATAAGCGAAATTAATTTTTCTAATATTATTAATTCGTTACATTACAAGCCTGACATAAATTTTAACATAAAATATTATTTGTATGTATATTTATTTGAGTACAAACAAAACCAAAATTGCTTTAGCAACATTTCTATACCTCCAAACGATAGTTTTTCACTTAATATGTTATCTAGGGCATATAGCAGAGAGTATGGAGAAGGTTCTAACCATCGTCCAAGTACTAACTTTTATAATTATTCAAATTCGTTAAATGAAAATGTATTCCCCATGAATCGTGCACCCAGTAATGGAATGAATCATAATGAAACGAATGAAAATGATAGAATAGATCTTATTGCATTCAATGGTCCTTCTAACACAGCTATAGAATCTACAAGGAACAGTAACACAGGAATTGGATATCTGAATGCTTTTCCTACTATTGACATTACGAGCAGGAATAGTAATATAAGAAGTAGAGAAAACTTTGAAAATGACAATCAAAATGGAGAATTTCGAAATGATGTATCTCATCATTTTCCCAGATTTGATATTAATCAAAACAACATTAACAGAAATCAAAGCAGTAATGTACGATTCAATAGTGATGCATTCAATGAACCATCCGAAGTTACCATGCTTAACAGGAGGATAAGAGAATTCAATAGCTATTGGCACATACGTACAAATGATGTAAGATCAAATAACATTTTAAGCTATCGAAGTATGCTTAATAGTTCCAGAAACATACAGCGACAAGGTAGTAACTCTGGGAATCGATTCAGTTATAATCATAATAGGACACCAGACAGGAATTCAGGCAATGTGGTTTCTCGAAATTATGGAAATCGTTTAAATGTACTACCACTAAATAGTAGAGTTAATAATTATCAAGACTTGAGTAGAGCGAATTCTCACAACCTGAACAGACATGTTCCTACCAATCTGGGCGAAAGTCCAAATATCAATCAGTTGGAGAATAGCCCTGTGAATAGCTACAGAATGGGTAGCAACAATAACGGTTATAGAGGAGCAGGTAATGGTGGTGAGAATAGCGACAGGAATAGCGGTAGAAATAGCGGTAGAAATAGTGGCAGGAATAGCAACATGAATCCCAGAATCCAGAGGAATGATAACAACAACTCTATACAGCTCACCAGGGAACGTTCCAATATAACGTTCAGCACAGCACAAAACAGTCCGAACCAGCGAGATCAGCTACACAAATTGAAATACTCCTTGAAAAAAAAAAAAAAAAAAAAATTGAACAATATAAAACTAAAAATTAATGCCTTGTTAAATTCTTTAAATGTTCAAATGAAGACAGATAAAATAGAGAAAATCTTTATCCTAAATAAACATTTAAAAAAATTACAAATTTCTAAAAATGTTTTGCGAAATTTTAACACCATGTCTATGTCAGAGCTAGCCAATAAAATTGGATTTACTACATCTTCTCATACAGGAGACCTTTTTGATAATTTCCAGTTCAATAATAGTACTTCACAAAATGTACTATTACATAGAGAATCGATCAGAAATGACGAAGTAGATAATAACGAGGATGCTGTTCAAAATGAAATGCAAGATTCTACTAGCTCTTCCTCATACCAGGAAAGCGAATATAATAATGACGATTTTAGGAAAATGAGAGATGAATCCGAATGCATCGATTCGCCTCAAAATTTCATCGATGTTGAGGATAGTGCAGTAAATGATAATTTGGAGGAATCTCACCAAGGAGCAATAGAACTATATCAACATGACGATAGCATCCATTCATTCAGTAATAATCAAAATAGGCATGTACAGACAAACATGAACATGCATTATAATACTGGTTATGCATTTAACGAGAGAGATTCCTCTAACGACGAATATTACTCTAGTAATTTTTTATATACCCCAAACAAAGCTTTCACTGATTTGAAGAGCCAAGAGAACATTAACGACATTTCTTTTGATAACATAAATCGTATATATAGCTATAATAGATCTATTAATGGCACAGAACCAAGGAGAGATAGTCAAGTATCACTTCTCTACAATGATAGAAGAAACAGTTTCCTCTTGAACATTCACTCGAGAATGGAAAGCAATGGATCGCTACAAATCATCAATAGGACTGAATCGAATTTAAATGAGGAAGAGAGAAGAAATAACAGTGAATTGTCTCGAAATATTCAAATACAGTTCAACAACAGCAGTAATGGTGTAGTCCATAATGGAAGAGATAACAATGATGGTCTGAATCATAACAACAATGTTGATCGAATGGTACAAAATTTTCCATCTAGGAACTCCAGCAGAAGCATCAGAAATAATGCAATATCAAGCATAAATCAAAGAGAACGAAGGAATAACTTCAATGATGGGATGTCTAGCTATAATAATACCCCTATGAAAAAATATATGAATCTTTATGATGCAAATGGTTTTAAGAATAAGAAAGGGTTATGTAAAATAATTGATTACTATGATTTTACATTTGATAATGTGAAATGTATTAAATATAACAATTTTGTTGATGGGAAAGTAAGAAACGCGTTCAAATTGCAGTGTTCTTTATGTCAAACTATTATGTACAAAAAATATGATGATGTGGATAAGAAGAAAAATAGTGCTTTATTAAATATACTAAGTAACGAAAATTATTTATATAAATTTTTAAATAAAAATTATAAATATTGTGGTATGTATTTCCTGGCAGGGTTAATATATGGATTAGGTCTATTACAATTTTTTAAAAATATAAAAGTTTCTTTATTTTTACAATATATTTTGAAATATAAAAATAGATGTCTCTACATATGTTCTATTTTGGGAATAGCATTATCATTAATATCTTCAAAAAATAGAGAATTAACATCCATCTGTTTAAGTGCATTATTCAAAGAATTATATACCAATGAAAAAAAAAAAATAAACTTTGATAATTTACTTTTTCAATGTTTAAATGAAGACTTGGAGAGGGTGCAAAGGGTGGAAAACGATAATTATAACTTCGTTTTTTATAAAAAAAAAAAAATTAGCAAGACACAAAAATTGAAGACACAAATAAAACAACTAAAAAATGAATCCCCCAAATCGGTAGCAGAATTTAGAAACACTCATGAAATAGATAACTCACAATATTTTAACATGTTGTATGCACACGATAATGAATTATTCGATGAAGACACTACAACTATACATATGTCAAGTGACGACACCTCATCCATCTCGAACAATACACCTGATAGGAATGTAACAAGTGGAATAGGGAACCATGTGGTTCAATCAACCACCTATCAGCAGTACCGTGAATGGAACTCAGAGGACGGGAATTACAACGATGCACAAGGAAATACCCATATGAATTACCTTCGAAATGGTTGTTCTAACGAGGAATCAGAAATGTTAGTTAGTACAAATACTCCACAAAACGGTGATATGGAGGGTAAACAAGAACATGGATGGTTGTATAAACCTGAGTGTGGCAAGACAGACGATCTTTTCAATAGAAAGGATTTTCCCATTAATCAGTTTAACGGCAAGGAGGAGAAAACACCACATTATGAACAATGTCTAGACAAAAGTGTGGACATATATCCACATAATGATAAGTTCTGCAATGACTTGAAGGAAAAAGGTGAATACCAGAATGAGTACATGTATGACTATATGAATGAAGGCGATGAAGGGTGCAAAAATGATGATACACATAATTGCAGACATAATTGCACACAGAACTACGCACAGGATTTTATAGAGCAAAACGAGAAAAGCTCTGGGAGGGATGAAAACAGGGGCGACCATCCCGAGTGCTACTCTCAAAATGACATTGAAAACGTGGATGAAGTTTACTCCCTTTTGAACTCTTCGATGTATGATTCAATCTGTTCTGAAAATGGTGAAGAGACAGAAAGAGAAAAGGGAAAAAAAAAGAAGAAAAAAAAAAGGATAGAAATTAAAAGAGAGGATTATAAATGGAAGAAAATGAAAAATAATAGTGGAAAGAATAAAAAATGTTTAGACAATTTGGTCCTCAGTAGTAACTTTCTGTGTCTAGGTTATATTCACATGAATAGCAACAATAAATGTTTGATAAAATACATTTTTAAAATATTACAAAAGAGTAACTTAAGCAAGCTAAATTTATTATGTATATTCTGGTCTATAGGTTGTATAAATTTTAAAAATGGTAGCATATTTCATAACATAATTAGTTCCTTGTTATATTTTATAAATGCAAATGTACCATATAAGTTGCATAAAAATGATTTTATAAAAAATTTCTCATTGAAATATTTAAATTGTGATGAGATATCATATGATATAATGCACATTATCATATCGTCTGCCATAGCAGTTTCCCTGAGCTTTTTCAAAACGAATAATATTCACGCATTTAATATGATTTTTATGCCCACGATAATTGATCATATATATTATTTTAACAATTATGAAATGATGGTAAAATCATTTGCTCGAAATATGATAATTTTCGATTTTGTTCATTTATCGCATGAATATATATTATCCAACATTCCTCCTTTTTTAAGAATATTACCAAATGATTTATGTAGAAAAGGGAAAAATCAACTACCTTATATGTATCTAATTAACAGAAATGGAATGTTCAAAGATAAAGAGATGGAGAAAAAATTCATACTACTAAATGGACATTTAAATTTAAACCATGATTTTGTGAGGAATGAAATGAATAAGGTTTACGAAGATGGCTATTATTTTTGCTTCAACAGGAAAAACTTCGTTAATTGTTACAATGATAAATTGTCCCCAAAAGGGGCCCATTTGAAGTATTACTTTCATAGAAGCAGAACAGAAAGAGAAAGGAGGGATGGGAAAAACGGGAGAAATGGATGCAGTGACGGAAGAAGCCAATGCAGTGATGGAAGAAGCCAATGTAGTGACGAAAGAATTAATGGAGACAACGATTGCGATCCCTTTCATGGCAAGAAGAACAATCCCAGTTGGTGCATGCAAAGCGACAACAAGAATAATGAAGATTACTCAAGTGAAGATGATATGGATGCAAATAATGATGATCAAAATAACGCACAGAAAAGGAATCATAACCAGAATTTATTAAGAGATTACACCTTTGTTTATAATTGTGAAATGCTGAGATACTATATTATTATGGGGGTATTACAAGTCCTAAGTTTAAAATACCTTTCCACACATCATGAAAAATTTAAGAAAATTTGTTTTGAATATATTTCCTATTTTGAAAATATTAATAAAGAAATTTATGCCAAAAAAAAACTGGAAAAGTTGTACAAGAAAACAAATTATCTGGTTAAAAAAATTAAGGACAAGGTTACGAAACAGAAACATGCTCAAGACCTTTTCCCAGATACGTGTACAATTTTGCATGAATCCAACAAAAACAGTTTTCAGGAAACTTCATGTGAAAATGGGACGATTAGACCTGTGGACACAAGCTTAATCGATAGAGGAAATGAAGATAACTTGAGTAAGTGTTTAAATGAACAGATGGTCGTCGAGAAAGAGATGTGGAATACAGAGAACAACTTGATCAGGAATGTGACAGACGAGAGGGGAAAAGCGAGCAAAGAAAAAAGAGGGAAAAAAAATAATGATGATTATAATGATGGAGATGATGGAGATAATGGAGATGGTTTAGACAGTGGAGAAGATAGCGATGGTTTAGACAGTGGAGACGATGGCGATGGTTTAGACAGTGGAGACGATGGCGATGGGAAATGTCAACAGGGCGAAGTGTTGACGTACCGAGTAGAACTAAACGACCAAATTAGCAACACCTTTTATAACCTCATTGCTAATTTAGAATACGACGATTTCTCCAGTGATTCTGAAAACACAGGGAAGAAAAACACAAAAATAAAGAAGAGCACATCTATTCTTAATGGAAGAAACGAAGTGAATGAAGGATTGCAAAAAAAAAAAATCGAAAGAAAAAATGGAGACACAATAACACACATGGGGTCCAATGAAGATCACAAAAGCAGCATGGCACAAGCACATTTATACAAATTAATTTTAAAATATGTTAAAAAAATTAAAAAAATTAAGAAATTTTTACATAATTTGTATTCACCTATAGAAGATGAAAATTACATAATACATCGACCGTTAAGGCATAAGTGGAAAAAAGAACAGGAGCATTTATACAAAATAAAAGAGGAAGATATGAATGACATTGTAAATTTAATTTATCAGTGCTTATCACTCGTTTTTGTTGGAAGCTGTGATAAAACTTTGAATAAAAGAATAAAAAACAAAATAAACAACTTGGTTAATATTAGAGATAAAAACACAAATAATTTGTATTATTACTACTTGGGGTACATTAATTTAGGATGTGGAAAATATGTGCTAAAAAAACATACAGATGTGTCAACATGTACACTCACATTAATATTGTTTAGTTTCTTTCACATTTATGATTTGTCTTCTCACTTTATTATTCATTTAATAGAATTTTTATATGTTCTCTTGATTGATAAGCGTTTTTTGAAAATTTACGACGTTTCATCAAATAAATTTGTAAATTTACCGATACAATTAATTTACACAGAAAAGATAAGCACTTATCACTTGAGAGAAAAATGGGAAAATAGAAATGAACTCACCAATTCGATGTGCAGAAATGAGCGAAATAAAAATACATGTTTACATAAAACAAATTACACAACTTTTAACAAAAAGGTGCTTATCACTCCCAGTGCTTTACCACACCTGGACATAGTAAACATTTCTATCATTAACAGTGATTACTACCATTTGAGCTTTTCCTTTTTCGAAGATAAGAGAAAAAAGAAGAACCTCAAGAATATCATTCAGGGAAATTATATATCAAATGATGAACACATAGAGGAAAGATATGGATCATGTAAAAAACTTAACAACAAAAACAATATAATAAAAAGAATAATAAAAAGGGGTATCCTCTTCGTTAAGAAACTTGAATATAGAAGCATTCCACTGGAATATAATCACATTCTCGTGAAGTATATGTTTCTAGATCGTCCTTGTATATTTGACAAAATGGATAGAAAAATTTCCTTTGAAAAGTTTACTCGGTACAATTGTGCTTTAAGCAAAACTTCCAATAGAGACAACAATTTTTCAATCTTACACAAATGTAAAGATTCATATGAAGAAAGAAATTGTAACTGTGCATCACAATTCGAAGTATATAATGATATGAAAAAGGAGAATCCACTTGAAAGTGAGGAAAAATCGAGCCTCATTATTAACACTATTGAAAAGAAGAATATTCTTAGAAACACGCTCATGCGATATAAGGATAGTCAAAGTAGCATATCTAAATTTTTACTAGAATTATTAAAATATTATGAAAAAACTCCACTCGTATATTCAGATGATGCAATGTTATTATTTCAAACAAAGAGAAGTTATATACATAAAAATACCAATGAAATATTCATGTTAAAATATTACTTAAAAATGGACGTAGACAGCACTAATTCGGGGGAGACATATAACGATGATCAGTTGAACACAGACAAAAAATTTTCAAAAATGTTTGTACAAATCAATGAAGAATTTGAGAAACAATTTATAGAAATAGATAATTTTAATAAACAAAATGAATGTAAAAAGGTGCACTCTCTACATCTAATATATGTCTCAATTGTAAACTACTACAAAACAAAATGGAATAATAACTTTCCTTCAACACATTTCGAGGAATATAAAAAAATAATGCATAGCTTAAGCGGATATATGAATAACCAAAAAAGTATAACAGAAAAGAGAGAGGAAAATAAAAATAAGCCAACTATCACATGTGGTGCTTCTTCTGTACCTATTATAATAAGCAACATTTGTAGTAACCAATATGTAAAAAATAATATATATACCCTTTATTACAAAAATAGAGAGAAAAAGGAAAATATACTGACAAATGATTTGACTCATTTAAATAAATTCAACGAGTTCTTAGTAGAATATGCCATTATGAAAATTAAACCATTTGTTAAATATCAGCTAACTGATCAAATACACAATAACTTCTATTACTTTCTCCTAATACAAAATTTGCATATCGATAAATGTGTGAATTATTTACATGTACTATCAGATATTTATAACTCCTTCTACCCATTTTATCACTTCTTTTATAAATATTGGGAAGATCATTATTTTGCTTCTCTATTATCACAACAAGAGGGGAAAATGTTAAGTAGTACTACAAGAATAAAAAAAAAGGACAGGAAAAAAGAAATTTGCGATTTAGAATTCTTTGATTATATTACCAATTATGACAGAAAAAAAAAAAATATAACAGAATATGAAGAAACAGACAAGAGGAATAACTTGTATGTATACACTTTCCCAGAAAAATCAAACAGTTGCTATTTTTTATTTCCCCCAAAAAGCAATAAAAAAAAACAAAATGACACAAAAGTGTTTTTTAAAATGATAGAAGGGAAGAATATTATTCACAATCCAAAGGTTACAGGTAGAGAAATGGCCAAGATTTCTTCTTCCTCTTCTACTTTCCCTTTAAAGAAGAAAAACAAGAAAGATAGAATAACATTTCAAAATTGTATATTTGAAAAAATGAAGGATTTACTTAGCCACAATTTTGACTACCTCAAAATAATGCAAGGGATTTATAAAAAGTCCATCTCACGGTGGAGTTTGATGACGTATCTACCCTTTTTCAATAATGATCAACATTTTGTGTACTTTTTTGAAAATAACATAAAATTATTAAAAAGAATTTTTCTACAATATTATCACAAAGGGTATCCAAACAAGTGCAAAATTTTTAATCAGATCAAAATTAACATGAATCACGCGAATAATTTAATATATTTATTAACAAACTATTGTAATTTCCCGAATTATTACACCTTTTGGAATTTCATATTACTTGACAGGCAGGAAAACATTCTACTTATACCTCAATTTAGACGCATCTATGATTATAAATATAACAAGTATATCCGTTCCGTTCTTTTCAAAGCAGATGAAGTTTTAACGAAAATGAATTTATTGCAGCACGAAGAAAGGGAGAGAAATTTAAGGTGCACTTGTGCAAAAAGAAAAATTGCAAATACTTCCAAGTGCCACAATTATGTTAATATTCGTCGGAATTTCTCTTCAGTGTCATATCATTCTGTAGGAAATAGAAAATTGTCGAACGGGCGACATAACGGAGGGAAGCGAAACAGAAAGAAATACACAAATGGAAAAAGTACCATTCGTGATAAAAACCGATATATAAAAATTAGACTCAAGTTGATTAACAAACATAGCTTGTTATCATTTCTACGAGGCAGAAAAGAAGACAAATATTACCCCTTTGTAGTCCTGCAAAAAATAGCACATATGGTTGAGAAAAATGTTAAAAATAAAGTATATCCAATTAGAATGCAACTGTTGAAAAATTCCCTCTTGGGTAAATCACCCAGTGCATACAATTTCTTTAAGGACTGGATGAATAAATGTGAATATATATCTAGCAGATTAGTTAGCACATGTGCCATTTCGTTAAATTCTGAGTACATTATACCTTTTTTCACGGACATATTACTTTGCTTTTTTATTGGAAATTTATAATTTAATTCCATTTTATAAAATAGGAGGGGGATCCATTCATTTCTTCGCCCATGGCGCCCTTGCTCTGTTTGCAAGGTGTCCATTTCGTGAAAATTATTTTGCCCCTCCCCTTGGCTGTGTTTTTTAGTCACGTGTGTATGTGTTTATGCAAGCATGTATGTATGTATATATATATATATATATATATCTTATATATGTGTGTTTTTTTTTTTTTTTTTTTGTGCTTACAAAGCAACCTCCCTTTTTCTGGCTCTACACATTTTTGTCTCACATATATAAAAAAAAATACTTTCCCCCCTTGCGTACATTTACTTGTGTTCCTTATTAAGTTATTTTCCATCCCCAATTCAGCCCACTTGAATGGAAAGCAAGTGGACATAGAAAAAAAACGATGTTTTTCGTGGCGCAATTTTTACACCCGTGAAACAAGCACTTTTTGGTGTCTTCACTTTAATATAAAATTTTTTGTACACATGGCGGTTTACACTTTTTTTTTTTTTTTTTTTTTTTAATAAATCCTCTTATTTTTTATTTGTCAGCACTTTTTAATGGTGTTCTTTCGTACCCACCTATTGCACATATATATTTGCGAACTTGTACATGCATTACCTGTGTGTATAACCGTTTGTTCATATTTACATATTCTTCGCAACAGTCGAAACTAATATGACATTCCTAAAATCAGTGTTCAGCTTAATATTTTTTCTTTTCTTGCGGAATACACATATATATCTGAGGAAGAGAGGTTTCTTCTGATAATTGTTTTTAATATAACGTTTTGCAAATTACTTTAAAATGCCTTTACAAAGTATGTGGAAAATATGGCACCATGTGCCTCCCCAATAAAGAGAACTGTGAAGAAGTGCCATGTGGTATGTATATACATACAGAGATTTGAATACTCACAAAGTTGCACGTGAAGGGGGTGGGGGTGGTAACTTACATGTAAAATATGCGCATATTATTATTATGTATGTGCACCTCAGTGTTTGGTAATATACATACGTATATATTTTTTTTTTTATTGAAGACCGTTCCTACTTGAAGGCACTTTCAATAGGCTTGCATATGTACGTGAGAAGAAACCCATATTGAGCACTAATCCCAAAATTGTGAATTTTTCCTTTTAAAAGATAAAGCCCTCAATTGTACCTTACTATTTTATTAATAACGTTTCTTCAGTAATTAAGGGTGGCTGAATGATTTCACTTTAAAAAACATCACACGTGTAAAGGCAAAATTTAGCAAAATATTTTCACAGAAGTGTGACGGCTAAAAATAAGTGGAAAAAAAAGAACAAATTGAAAATTACAATTTTATCATCTGCAAATGTATATTATATACATATATATATATATATATATATATGCAAATATGCATTCTTTAGCTTTTTTTATTTTAATTTTCTTTTTTCTCCATTGTTCTCACAACTTTTTAAGAATTTCAGAAAATAAATAAATGCCAAAAAAAATCAAAAAAAAAAAATGAATAAATAATTTTTACGTCCTGTTCAACTTCAATTTCTTTTCATTTAATTTAAAGCTATTCTCCTACCCCTATTATAGTGATACAAGTTATAAATAATCTTTTATCAAGATTAAAATAATGACCCAAAACAGATTGGGGAATCATTATATATATATGGTATATACAATATATATATGGAAGGTTCACAAAATTAACTAGTAAAAAAAAAAAATAGGCCTTATTTATTTTTCACCTATCCCCCCACCTTTCCCCTATCTCTTTTTTTTTTTTTTTTTTTTTTTCCCATCCATTTGAGAAAAAAATTTGAACGTGTTAATCTCCATCGTGTGTTAAACCATTCAGAACAATAGGAGTGATATCACATTTACGCATTATTTTAGGGATTGTTTTTTTTGTGTTCATCTTTTTCCTCCAAAATTGCTTCCCATCACCTATTGAGGATTGCATTTCCATATACTGCAGAGCAAAGATGGGTGACCTTCAGAGGAGCAAAGCCGATTTAGGCGATTGTCGTTTTTATGAGAAGAAATTTCCAGAAGTAGATGACTTGATCATGGTCAAGGTTAATAGGATTGAAGATATGGGGGCATATGTTTCCATACTGGAATATAATGACATGGAAGGTACGAAAAAGAAAACAAAAAAAAAAAACAAAAAAAACAAAACAGAAAAAAGAAATAAAATAAATATAACATAAGGATTACAGAAGGGTGATGAATCATATTCGTGTACACGTAGCTACATAACCATGTACTTGAACATGTGCATAGATATGTAACTATGCATGACCCCCCTGGTAACCCAAAATGTACCAAAACAAATGATTGGAAAAACTGCAAAGCGTTTTATATACTATAAATGGAGCATATATTTTTACGCACATGCATTTTTTCTTTTTCAACGTACATACATGTCAGATTATTATCATTCTTCACAAATGCACATATTAATGTATAATGTTTAATGACCATAGGGGTTGATCCACAATGATGGCAAACGATTTCTATTTGTTCGTATTTATCATATACATATAACACATATTTTACCTATTATAGGAATGATTTTAATGTCTGAACTGTCTAAAAGAAGATTTCGAAGTGTAAACAAATTAATTCGAGTTGGAAGGCATGAAGTAGTCTTGGTTTTAAGAGTAGATAGCCAAAAAGGATACATTGATTTGTCAAAAAGAAGAGTATCACCAAAAGATATAATGAAGTGTGAAGAACATTTTTCAAAATCAAAGAAAGTACATCAAACAGTTAGACATGTTGCACAGAAACATAATATGACTGTTGAGGAACTAAATAGAATAGCTATTTGGCCATTGTATAAAAGATATGGACATGCATTAGATGCATTAAAAGAAGCAACTGTTAATCCAGAAGCTGTTTTTAAAGGAATAGATCTAAAAGAAGAAGTAAAAAATTCCCTTCTTGCTGATACTCAACTTAGACTATCCGCACAAGCTCTAAAATTAAGAGGAAGAATTGATGTATGGTGTTTTAGTTATGAAGGAATTGATGCTGTTAAAGAAGCTTTGAAAAAAGGGAAAGAAGTTTCAAATGATGAAGTATCAATTAATATTAAATTAATTGCCCCTCCACAATATGTTATTGTTACTTCCTGTCAAGATAAAGATCTTGGTATGTCCAAAATTCAAGAAGCTATGAAACTTATTAGTGATAAAATTAAAGAATATAAAGGAGGAGATTTTAAACAACAAGGAGAAATTTTGGTTATGGGTGGTGATGATGAGAAACGTTTAGAAGAATTGCTAGATAAACAGGATGATCTTTCTAGTGATAATGAATACAATAGTAGTGATGATGACGATGAGAACTCCAGTGATGATGAAGATAATTCAAGTGAAATAGAAGAGGAAGAAGATTAAGTACAATAATTACAAGAAAAAAAAAAAAAAAAAAAAACAGTAAAAATAAAAACACACTGTTGATGTGTAGTTACTGATTTGGACGGAGAAGTACATTTTTTTTTTTTTTTTTTTTTTTTTACCTCGTAGCATCATGAATAGTATGAAGTTACAATAATTAGTAAACTTATTTTATGTGTTTGAGGTTAAACTTTTACGTTCCTGTTTAGCCTTTTTTTGCATCTAATTATGTATATAATATTTACTATACTTTTTGCCATGAGTATGTGTTTTTAAAAACGCACACCTAATACTTTACAATATTTGGGTTAATTTTTGTTATTTGTTAGTACACAAGTAAATATTGCTGTTTTGCCCTTTTTGCTCCTTGAAAATATTATCCACAGTTCCCATCGTTTCATGTTTAAAAAAAAAATAATAATAATAACAATAATAATAAATATAAATGAGTACAATTTTAAGTTTTTTTTTTTTTTTTTCATTTTTCCTGATTAATGTGATCATATTCATATGTATATTGTACACATGGGTATTAAAAAACGATTACACTTGTATTTACATTTCTTTTCTTTCACTTCGCCTTTACAGTAAAAATTTAATTTTTACGTATAACTTTATATGTTTTATAAAGTCAGAATATAAAGGAAAGTTTTTTTTTTTTTTTTTTCTTTTTAACAAAAATTAAATATAAAATTAGGAAAAAAAAAAAAAAAAAAAAAAAAAAACTTTTTTTAAAAACAAATTTTTAAAAACTGTAGTCACGTAAAAAGAGCTTAAATCTATTAATAAATGCATGTGTTGTTAGATACAAATATTCATATAAACACGTGCACATATTTATGTGTCGTTCAAATGATGGGAGATAAATCCACTTGAAAGATGTATATTTTACCCTAATAAAAATTAATATTTAAAAAAAAAATTTCGACATAAAAAAATGAACAACGTTGTGTGAATTAGGGCAATGAACAAATATAGCATATACGCTCCTGTTTGGTGGCCAATCAGTGCATTTTTTTGCATATGCAAACTGGCCTTTTGCATGCTTGTATATGAACATGTTCACAATGTTTGTGCATCGCGAATTCAAAATGTAAGTTCACGCGAATATATTGCACACTAATGTGTTACACACATATCAGATTTTCTATGTTAGACTTCCACATGATAGACTTCCACATGTTAGCCTTTCATATATCACAGAAGCACATATTAAACATATGATACCCTTCATAGGGTGCACTCGATGTTAAAAGGCAGTTTGGTCTGAATTAAACTAAAAAAGTTCTTCAGGATAAGAACATCCAGTATGGCGTACTCAACACTACTGGAAGAAAGAGGTCTAAAATTCCAGTTAATTATTTGACATTCTTTATTAACTTCCTTTTCGGGAAATAGAGCTTTACCGAAAATTTTTACAGAATAGTTCACATTTTTTCGAAGGTCAGGAAAATATGCTTTTAGTTGTTCATAATATTTTAAGTATATATTTTCCAAGTCATAGTACTTGTGTATACAACTATATATACCAACTTTATTACATATTTTACATTTTGTGTTCAAATGTTTATCAATTAGTGACACATTTTTTCTATATTTTAAAAAATAGTTAACAGGAAATATATTTTTAAAACTTATATCATCACTCAGGTTATAATTTTCTTTTCCACATTTTTTTCTCTCTCCATTATTTGAAAAATGGGGGTTATTTTTTCTAAAATGATGTCTTTGCTTATTTTTGTTCACGTGGTTCCCTTCGCCACTTACACTTCTTCCACTTGTTCCTCCATTTGCATTTTCCACAGGAGCAGCTAACTCCTCACTAATCCCTTCATCACTATGCAAACTTTTCATAACTTTTTGTAACAGTACATCCCAACTGCTCGTAGTGTTACATTTCAGTTGTGGCTTTTCAGATATTTGTTCAATGGAGGGAAAAAAATTGTTCTCTTTTTGGTTTTCATCTGATCCCTGGTTTGCAGGATCTACCAATATATTGTGATATTTTTCAAGTTTCAACATGGTAAAAATGTCGTAATACTTTCTAAAATGTAACATATCATTAGTTAAAAATGCCACTCCTATTTTTATAATATTTTGATCTCTGAAAATGTCTGAAATGTAATAATTAACTTCATAATTTTCAACAGATATTTTTTTCAAATCAATTATGTAGGATAATGGATTATCTTTCAAGGCAATTTGAAAAATTGATATAATTGGATTTTCTCTAAATACAGAGCATTTCCATTCCGCATCTATAAATATAACTTTCTCCTTTTTTTTTATGTGTTCATACAATATAAGAAAATCCTCAAATGATTCAATAATTCTAACCACTTTTAAAGAAGCACCTAGATCATTTATGCAAATAAATTTTTTTTGACATGAACATTTTCCGTCCCTCTTAATCAAATAGTTGAACGAATTTTTAATAATTTCTGAGTTCAATTTTTTAAACTTTTCAAAAATACCAAAATATTTGCACAAGTCTGATAATTTATATATTTTCCTTGTCACGCTGTCAAATGGCATAATTTCTTCGTTTTTGAAAGCAAAGTGAAGATCGTTTATTATTACACATTCGTTTTTCACAAAAGAGTAAATGGCATTGTAGTTCCACTTCCGATTTATACTTTCGAAAGTAAATGAATTTGCGTCCATGTCGATGCCCACCCCATCCTCTGTGGTTCCTCCCTTTGCAAAAGAACCACAACTGGTGGCTCTTCCCTTTTTTTTCCCGATTTTATTATTCTTCTGCCCACCCTTATTCTCATTTTCGTCTTTCCATAAATGCGGGTCATTAAGTACAATGTTACTATTGTGATTCTTTTTTTGTGTTTTTTTTGGATTAAAAAATAAAAAGTAAAACATTCTAAAATGTAAGTCTTCCGATGATATATACAAAGGGTATAAGAAATATAGAGCCATTAAACAGGCATCCATGCTTTTCTTCTTTAATAATGCACTAAAATATATTTTCAAATACTTTGGATTGTCATACAAGTAGTAAATAATATATTTTTTATCAAATGTACTTAAAAGGTAATTATAAGATTTATAATTTAGATAAAAGAATAAATTCGGAAATTGTAACAATTCATAATTGAACAACTTTAATAACCTAATGGCATATTTCACATTACCATTTTTTAGTTGTTGTTTGATCAGTTCTAATTCTAGAGTTGTATTCCCTTTACAATTATCAACAACATGTGCAATTCTTGCGTCACTTTTTAAAATATCATTTAGGTATAAATTATATACAACATTTAACTTAATTGGATACATATTATGATTAAAAAAATTTATATTGCTAATCTGTGTAATGTTTAGAACTATACTGTTAGGAGTGCCACTGTGCGTTCTTCCTTTTCTTCTAGTGTTCACGCTATCACAACTGCTTTTGTTGCATTTATTTACTAGGTTATTCATATCATTCGTAAGTACATTAATATTCTTAAATTCCGAATTTGACTTTTGTCTATGCTTTTCCATCTCTTTTTCTCCTTCATCATAATATTTTTTTTTCATTTTATTACTTAGGTCTTTCTTCTTCGATATATTATTTGTACCAATGCTATCAATGTATTTTGTCCTTTCATGATTATTAGACGCAGGATCAACATAATATTTACTACAATTTAATTGAGTATAATTTGGAGAATATTCGGATTCTTCATTTTTTTTCTTTTCCATTTTATCATCAGAATTAGCGACCATTCCATTGCTCTTTCTTTCATCAACATTAATAACATTTATGTCTGGATGACTGCAACTATTTTGACTAACAATCCTGTTTGTCTTTATTTTTGCTGTTGATTCGAAATTAATATTCATAGCACTAGATTGTATTTCTTCATTCAAATGGGTAATTATAGAACTGCTATTTGTTATTATTATACCATTCCCCAGTTGACTGTTTTCCACATTAATATCTTTAATATCTATCTTCCCATGTTTCAAATTATCATTATCATATGTATTCTTTTTTCCTTCACTTGGCAACATTATCTGATTTTCTGTTATCAGATCATTTCTTTTAACATCATTCATATAGTTCCTTCTAGACATGGAAGAGTAGTAAATATGTTGACTATCGTAACCATTGTTTGTTTTTTTTTTCTCAAATAATTTTTTTTCTTCTTTGCTCTTCTGTGTGGTAATAATTCCATTGTTGCTACAGCTGTTGCTGTCCCCACGGGTTTGCAGACTAATTCCTTCAGCCATACTCTCACTGATGCTAGCATTATCATCCACATTATTGTCATCCATGTTGTCACCTTCATTCCTACCTAAATTATCACTTGAATTTCTACCTTTGTTACCACTCTCATTTCTACCCCCATCGCCACAGTCATGGCTCCGCCCTCTGTTCTTTAAGTTGTGGCGAACCCCTTGCAATTCTGGAATTGCTAAGAGATTACTATTCCCGATACATGTGTTGGAATAGGGGATATGACTAGCTGCACTTCTTTTATTGCCTCCAGAACCTGTCATGTGCTGATGTGATACAATATCTTCCAAAAATTTTAAGTACAAATCGTTATTTTTACGTGTCTTCTCAGTGTACTCAATATTTTGGTATATAAGATAATTCTCTTTTAAATCTCTATTATTAACACAATTAGAAAATATAGAATGATGAATATTATGTTTTCTTATAAAATACAAAATATTCGAATTCATCTTATTCATTTGACATATGTATATGTAACTGCTAAGATCTAAGTACCCACTGGATATGCTTATATTATACTTGTCTATTAGGAAAATAGCTAATTTTGTTACATTTAAGCAAACGTAACAAATAAACATATATATATATTCGTTCACAAATTCACTTATCGCGATGGTCGCATCACTATAGCTATTTGTAAAATTAGATGCATTCTTATCTATATTTTTTTTTTTTTTTTTTGCATTTTCATTCTTTTTACATCTGTCATGAATTGTTCTGTTATCATTTTGATTTATTTTTTCACATAGTTGTGTTTCTTCTCGCACTTTTGCATTAACCTGGTTATAATTAAATTTTTCATCTTGAATAAAATTGTTCACTAAGCTTCCGGTTCTCTTCTTACAACCGGGTACTTTTTTTAAAAATTCTCTTTCTCTTCCACATATTCCGCTTGAAACATAAAATATATTATGATATTCATATTGATCAGTATCACTTTTATTTTTCCTTTCATCCGTTTCAGTTTCTTCCACGCATGATATATTATTAGTATTAAACAATTCATTATCAATACATTTCTTTAAGGAATCCAAAACATATTTCCTTTCAAAAGAATTTTTTCCATCAATGAATTCAACTAGACCTCCTATATAAAAAGTAATGCAACTTTTTTTCTTTATGTCATTATTGTAATTTTTGTTTCCATTTGAAAAATAGCTATTGGCATTATTTGTTGAAATGGAACTTTTTTCAATCTTTTTGCTAGATTCATACATGTCTTCATCAAAACACAAATTAAAATTTAATATTCTCCATAGTTTCCTTTTTATATTAAATTGATAAAAATCGAATATATAATTTGCATATAGACAGAGAGGTATGTACACTTTTGATGTTTTTACATTCTTCATCTCGTTATACAAGTATTCAAAATGAGATTTTATACTGTCATAATTTTTTACATTTGCCCTTCCTCTACTTGTATAACTGTCAACCATTTTCACACTATTTCTGATCGAATCATATCCTGTTACATCGACGTTATCCCCTTCAGATTCATCCACATTAGGTACAACTACTTTGTTCTTGTTATCTCGTATTCTATTTGGAGGCCCGTCTCTAACCATGTTTCCATCTCTATCGAAATGAATATTTTGATAATCTCCTTTTTTATTTTTTTCAATTTTTCGTTCCATCATTTTTGCATCACTTCCTAAATGTTCAATTGAAAATACTTCGCCAGGATTGCCTTCACAATAATTTTGTGCCTCATTGGAATGTGCAAAAAAAATACTTTCTATATTTTTTCTCTTAATTAACATAAAATTAAAAAATTCTTCGTCAATAAATTCGTTTTCCACTTGAAATATATTATTGAACACGTTGAAAGAATTTTCTTCTGAATCTTTTTTTTTTACACATTTATTTATATTGTTGCTTCCAAATTCCACCCTTTCCATCGCATATGCTTTTTTATTGCTTTCACTGTCGAAATTATTTTCATTGGCATTCGAAAAGTGAGTCGTTTCGTTCGATGAAAAGTCTTGATTCTGTGTTTCCTCCAATTGATTGGCATCGCTCATGTCATTTTTTCCGCTTTTATTCATTTCACCAATTTTCATATTCCTCAAAAGGCGCGATTTAAAGTTGTAAATCCAGTTAAAAAAATTAAATAAACATTTATCATTTTTTAAAATTTTAATATTTTTTATCTTAAAGAATGCATGAAACTCATATAAATAGCATATAATACTAAAGGCATAAATAACATCACATATTTGTTCATAAGTCGAGTGAAGGATCAGAAGTCCGTCATCTAGCTCCTTACATGGTATATTCTCTTTCATAATGTATTCAGTTACCTTTCTGGACATTTCTTCCTTTGTCTCATTTCCTTTAGTCGCAGTTAAGTGTATATTTATGTTCTCTATAAATTTCGATTCATGGTCATTCTGTTTGCATTTATTCTTTTCATTCATTGTATGTCCACATGAGTTCCTCTCATTATCGCCACTTTTGTAAGAACCATGTTTTTCAAATTGTTCATCCTGCCCATGGTGCACATCTCGACTTGCGTCTCTGTGGAAAGAGAACAAAGGATCATACACCACATACTTTACAATAATATGGTAAAATGCACAAAGAAAAATTTGTTCATAAAACTTGTTATTCTTGACACACCTAATATGACGAGATAAAAGTGACGGAATATTTTTATTTAAATATTTGAGAATAAATTTGCTAATTAATTCTTTTTTTGCAATGATTTTTTTTTGTGTTTTTTTTCTCTTTATATAATCACTGAACTTCCGTATTAAAAACTCCACTGATAACGTATATTCATAGATAAGTTCTAATTCCTTTTCTATTGGTAGTTCTTTCATTTTTTTATTATTCGATAATTGAACTCCTCCTAATCATTTTTATGATTCCTTTTTATGTGTAACGATTAGCAAAACGTTATTTTCACATATATGTCTTTCAGTAGACACAGGGGATTTCTGTTCTGTGTGCACGCACACTCACAAATGTGCCTTTCTGTGTGTTATGTGCTTTCCGATTTTATCTATATATCTGTCCATCTATCCGCATATCTATTTGTCTATCTAAAAGCATATCTATTTGTCTCTCTGTCTGTCTATATATTTGTGTGTGTGTTTATGTATACCCTTTGTTCTTTTCGTTTATTTAGAATCCAATTTAACCCTTCTCACTTTTGCACAATTCTCTGAGTGTTAGGTATATATCTGCCTTCTGAAATAATTTTACACTTGTTATATCCGTTTAACGGTTGAATGTTTGTATTTGTGTTTGGTAACCAAAATTATATTAGATTGTATTATTTTTTCTTATTTTGTCCTATTTTTTCTTATTTTTTCTTATTTTTTCTTATTTTTTCTTATTTTTTTTTATTTTGTTTTTTGTTTGACAAGCTAATTCTGCTAACGCCATACGTTTATATTCCTCAAACGACTTTTTTGAAATATTTCATTATAGTTATAAACGCATATCATATTATATATGTTCATAACTTTGGTCATATTTTTCTGATAAACTAGACTAATGGTTTTCCATTGAATATTTTTTTTCTTTTAATACCTTTATTTTTTTACACCTTTTTCAAATAGGAAAAACGAAAAAGTGTTTACGCTACTTCACTATTTGGTTATCCACGTGGCCTATTTTACACTTTACAACTTTTTTCTTTTTATTTTTTTTTTTTGTTGTATGTAAACAAATGACAAATATAAAGGGGAAATTTTGTAAAATTTTCATTACCCTCTATTTCTTCAAACATATTCCTGTGGTTATGAAATCATTATGTGTTCACGTTCCCTATTTTATTGAACACATTGAATAAAAAGAGAAAAAAAAAAAAAAAAAAGTGACAGTAAGAAAAATATGCCAAATATGAAAGCGTTGTTAGTAACTGTTTCTACAAAAGTAACAGTACAAACCTTTGCACCGAAAAAGAATGTAAGAAGTCTTTTATATATACGTTAATGTATGTATGTGAAATATGTATTATATATATATACACGCACACATATATATATAATTGTGTATGCACCAAAAAAAGGAAAAATTCTTTAAACGAATAAGCGGCTGACAATAAGTAACATGTGGTAAGAGGTAATATAAGTGCTTAAAAATAGCAATTGTTGTTCCTCAAGTTGATGCACAACTTTATTTTTGGCAACCTTTTTATGTTAAAATTTTGAGAAAATAAAAAGGGTAGAGGGTGTAAAAAAAAAAAAAAAAAAGAAAAAAAAGTGTTAACGGAAAACATGCCCAATGGGAAAATAGAACCAGGAAAATTAACAGTAGAAGCCGATAAATTGAAAATGAAAAGTGCAAATCAAAACGTTCAAATCAAAACGTGCAAATCAAAACGTGCAAATCAAAACGTGCAAATCAAAAAGTGCAAGTCAAAACATGCAAATCAAAAAATGAAAATAAAAAAAAAGGGAAATATAGGGAAAAAAATTAAAAAGCAGCAGGTAAACAAAAAGGTGGTAAAATGAAGAAGGAAAATGGACCCAAAAGGATATTTTGGGGAAAAAGGCTGAAAAATGGGTTAAAACGCAAGTAGAAAAGTTCCGAACAAAAATTAACAAATTTTTACTTTCTCATGTAAACTCATAAAATATCAATTAAATGTTTTGTTACAATTACCTAAACTTTCAGATAACCAAAAATAATTCTTCGTTTCAGCCATTTTAGATGGTTTTATGCACTACAGCAAATGGGAAAAAAAAAAAAAAAAAAATTAAAAGTAATATTTCTTCATCATTTTTCACATATTATTTACCAAAGAATTTTATTTTTATTTTTTTTCCCTTTTTTTAGTAAAATTGCGTTTCCCCCATATATAAAAGAATTTCCTTTTTTCTAAAAAAAAGAAATAATTATATAAAACTTCGTTGTTATCCTTCTAACCCTCTTCATATACACACCCATTTTTCCAACTATCCTATTTGTATTATTTTGATGCATGTTTTCCCGTATAACAATTTACGAAACGATGATAAACTTCTTATCCCCACATGTGTACGTTTGTAAAGTTCATTTTATTGTGGCATATACCTTTTTTTCTTTTTTTCTTTTTTTTTTTTTTTTTGGAGTCATCAAAAAAAATGTGGGTAAATGGTTCATACTTGAAAAAAAAAAAAAAAAAATCAAATAACCACGACGCTGTGCTTTTTTTATACTAATAGTATCCCAGATGAGTTATAATTTTGAAGTGAACATTTTTTCTTGGGAAAATGTCTAAAGAAAGAACGCCTTTCTAATATTTGCACCTACGTCGAATGTTCGTTCTACAATTTTAACTTTCATTAAGGGTTCAAGTCAAACATTTGTTGTGTATACATATAGTTGTCTTGGGGTGTGTAAAAACAAGTATACGTAAATGCGTTCGAATGAACAAAATAGCAATTTAAAAAAAAAGAAAAGTGTACTTATTAAAAAGAGGAAAACATATTACGTACCATTCACATCAATCTCCCCCTTTATCTCTCTCCTTGCTGAGGAAGCGAATTTATATCTTACACAAACGTTGATGGCACTTATTTGGACAGTGTCAACAACATTGTGTGAAATTTAATCCTCCTCTAAAATAACAGAATATTGACACTTATTTAGTAGTGTCTCTACACAATGTTTTCTGCTTTATCAAGGTTGAATCAGTTACAAAATTAAAAATGTTTTCAGATAGATTCATCATTTATGGGGTTCTCAACCTTATTGTTTCTTTCATATTAATTCACTGTTATCCATTCCGACGTATTATTTATGCAAAGAGTTTAGTAAGTTTTAACAATTCATGAAATCACTTTTTTTTTTTTTTTTTCCCTTATTTATAATATTGGCATCTCTCGATCTGCACAAAGGATAGATGGAACCCTGAAGTATGCTTCAAAACATATGTCAATAGTGTGTGGTAAAAAAATGGTTATACAACGATTAATTATAATGGTTACATCGATTGGTAACAAGCTCAAAAATAAATGTTCTGCAAAATGCATAGCAAATTGTCTATCCATGTAGATCAGCAAACATTTGAAAATTCAAACAATGCAAACAGCAGCGGTTTGGGAATGTTGTTTGAGAATTAAAAAAAAAAAAAAAAAAAAAAAAAGAAAAAAAAAAAAAGAAAAAAAATAAAAAGAATATGTGTCTACACAATTTTCCATGTTGGTTCACTTCCCTATGTGCGCTAACTTATGAACACACCAATGTAAATAAACGAGGTACATTATAAATTTAATTTAAACTTTTCAAATGCATAAAACCTTATGTATCTGATTGTGTTACAAATGAGATATGGTGCAACAATGTCCAAAATCATTAAAAACAAAAAGAGAAATTGTAAATTGGTATTTGGAAAGGAGACAAGTGAGAAGAAATGGTTTAGATCGGGTATTATATTCATAACGAGAGCAAAAAGGAAGATAAAATTTGCAATAAATATGTACACGATTTCTTTATTTTTATGAATGGGTGTCATAAATGGTAACCCTTCATAATTACATGAAAAAATGGATAAATTGATACAATAAATTAGGTAGTAAATACAAGTGTTAACTAAATTAGGTGAGAAATCTCCTTTCAAATCTGGGACGTAATCAGGTTGTCTGTAAGAACAAGCTAATTTCCATCCATATATTAAAATAGAAAAATGAATAAAAACTTGAGATATTAAAGAACTCATAACACTAATATTAAATAACGAATTTGGCGGGGAATAATTTGATATACTTTTTAAAGGAGTTGTTTTGGATATTAAAACAATGAGAGAAGTGTACAGTAAAGATATAACTGTCGTCTGTGCATCACTTAATTTTACTCCATCTAAGGTCAAAATGGATACGGAAAAAGCTGTTATCAGAGAATTTATAATCATCAATTTATACATCATTATAACTTTTGATAATGCGCATCTTCCACAACAAATAATTTCCTTAATACATTTAATATCGTTCCCTTTGTATGTAAATGGAGATGCTATACTCGCTTCTCCTAATTTTATTAGAGGTAAAGAATCATCCATAGATTGCATCATATTTTCTAACTGTTTTTTTCTTTCATTGTATAATTTCATTTGTTCATAATATCTGGCACTTGCCAAATTATTACCACCATTTGCAGAAGCTGCATTATATTGAGCATTTAAATTATCGTACACACTTCTCAGCCGTTGTTCATAGTTTTGAATAGCTCCATTGTTACCATTGTTATAATTAGTAGTATTCGGATTTATATTTCCTCGATTCAATTGATTAGTAATATTGATATTACTATTATCTGACCTCGTATTTTTATACGTTATTTTTATACTTAATAATGATACTCCTACATGCGCAGCCTTCAATGCTGCCATGTCATTTGTCCCATCTCCACACATAATTGTTATGTTTCCCAATTTATTCAAAGTTTTTATAATAATTTCTTTATTCTTTGGAGATACTCTACAAAATATAAGAACTCGTTTTATAAGTTCATCAAATATGGTTAAATCGTTTTGATAATTGTTTAGAAAATATTCAATTATATCTCCAGTAATGCAGAGCGTGAAAAGTTCTTCACATAATTTTATGTATTCCTCACAATCAATGAAGGGTAGCATTTTTTTATTTTCTCTATTAATAAAATATACCATTTTGTTCACGTTTTTTTTTTTTTCCTTCATAATTTTGATTAATTTATTAATTGCATTATTTTGGGTTTTATTATGCACAGGGATATTTTTTATTAGTTCTATTGCCTTCTCCTTTTCGTTATTGCTAAATATGTCTTCTTGGTCTGCTAAATCTGAGGGGCTTTTTTCCCCACTGAATTTTTTCTCCTCATTTTGTAACATTTCATGGGATGGGTCAAAAGAAGTACCTGAGCGTAGTTTTTTCTTCCCATGTGATGTGGTGTTATAATCTTCTCTAAGCTTCAAAATCAAAATATCTTTGCTCTTTATAGAAGGGACGATATTTACATCTTGTGAAACTTGACAAGCGGTTAATGCATTATCTCCTGTTATCATCACATTTTTAAGTCCTGCCTGTTTTATATCAAGAATATAACTTGGTGTTGATGCTTTTATTGGGCATATGAAGGTCAAAAAACCACAGAAATGTAAATTTTTTTCTACATCTTCTCTTTTAACATTTTTTGAAATTATCTTACTATCCAATACATTTGCAGCTAGACATATGACACGATAACCTTTAATCGATAAGCTGTTTAAAACTTGATCATAATTTTGTGGAATTTTTTTTAAAAATTTTTTCATCATTTCGGGGGATCCTTTACTAACAGCAAGGTATTGCTTAATTGTTTCACCTTTGCTGCTATCATTTTTTTTTTTTTTTTTTTTTAAATTTTCCAAAATTGCTAAGTTTTCACTATTTGGCGTTTTTTCTTCCATGTCGCTTCTGTTTGTACATGTGCTGGATTCTGTAACCTCTTCGAACTCTTCCCCATACCAATCTCCTTCATGCCCTTCATGCAAAATAATACATGTCATTCTTTGTAATTCTGATGAGAAGAAGAATCTTTTATAAATTTGAAAGTTTTCAACACATGTTTTTTTCTTTTTTTCATTAAGAGACGGATTAGGTGCCTTCTTACCAAACATACCAATTATTTTGCTACCTCTGTCCCCACTGCTTTGGTGAGTAATAGAACCATCGATGTGGTTATTGTTTGTATAAACATAAGTGTTGTCTAGATTCCTCATCATGCATTTTAATTTCTGAAATGAATTTTTTTCTAACGGATCTCCCAACAGTTTATTGTTAACAGTGCATATCGAATGACATCCAGCAATTACAGCTACTGAAAGGAAAGGGACTTTTTGCTTATTAATAATAGATTCATTTATTTCATTTATCTTTTCTGTATTGTTATCAAATCCGAATAATCCTAAAACGATCATATTATCCTCAGTTAAGGTTCCTGTTTTGTCAAATGCACATATGTTTGATTTCCCAGAAAATGGTAATCTAAACGGTTCTGTACAATAAATTTTTAAGTTGTACAAATATATAATCGAAATGGTAACACCTAAGGATAATGTTATTGGGAATTCTGGAGGAATAACAGCTGTGATAATATGTGAAACTGAGAGAAGAAGTTTGTATAAATTCCTTTCATGGGCTGATTGTGACACAGTATAAATTACGTAGGCACATGAGGACAGGGAAAATAATAAAAGTATAAATAAAAAAATAATGGAATCTGTACTAGATGAATTGACTTTTTCTGATGTGTTAATTATTGTTCTAACTAATTTTCCTTGATATGTCGTAAATCCATTTTTTAATACAACCCCTATACATCCATTAATGGGTAATTTCATATTATTAAATTCGTTATTTTCATTTTTTGTTAATAAAATATTCGACCCAGCATAAACTACATGCTTTTTATGCTTATTCTTTATGTCAATTTTGTTTGCAAAAATGGAAATTCCATCCATTTGATTTTCAGATGGTTCTTCCATTTCATCAAAGTTATTATTTATACTGTCATAATCATCCATAAAATCTTCTTCGGTTTTATCAATAGCTGCTTTAATCAAAGGTATAGATTCACCTGTTAGGATGGACTCATCTGTGATGCATACTCCATCCAGTAATAAAGTTTCACACGTACACAAATTGTCTCCACCATTCGTCTCATTAGATAATATGTATATATCTCCTGGGAGTAGCATGCTAGACTTTATAATTTTCCACTGCAAATTTCGATACACATATAAATTCTGGGCAGGTACTTTCATACTATTTATGAGATTAAATTCTCTTATTCTTTTATTAATTAATTGTGCTTCTAAAACTACTAATATGAAAATGGAAAAAATGCCAAAGTACCAATAGCTATCAAGCATCCATAAGAGGATGCTAAAGAATTGAAAAATAAAAAATGGTGACAGCATAGCTTCATATAATAATTTTTTAAAACATGGAGATGGAATATCATAGATATTTTCTCCATATTTATCTATATTGTTATGTACGAATATATCATGTGGAATCTCAAAACTGCTTTTTTTTTTATAATAATTAAAAAAAGAGTCTGTATCTTTCTCATGTTGCATATTTTTCGATTCATCAATATGTACTTTATTTCTCTTCTTTAAAACACCATTATGATATGACAATTGGGACATGTTTCTCTCCTCAATTGTTTGTAATAATTTTGGCATTTTTTCATTCCCCTTTTTCGTGTACTCATAAATGTTTTCTATCTCTTCTTCTGGTTTATTACCTGCCCCTTTGTTGTTATTGTGTACTAATTTGGACATTTCACTTATTATACCTTTGCTTAAATATAAACCATCTAATTGAAGGAAAAGGATATTCAAATTTCCACTCCTCCTTTGGTGATTTTTTACATTTTCTTCTATTTCTCGTAACGTTTTGCACATGTTTACATCGTCTTGGAGATTCTCCTGTTTACATTCAATTAATCCTTTCCATTTTTGATAAAAAGATAAATTAAAAGTATCAAAATGTTTAACGGATTCGAAATCTAACGTTTCATAATTGAAAATGTACTTTTTTTGTTTATAAAAAAAATATATATAATTTCCCCCCTTTTTCAATGGAACTAACTCGGATTTTGGTTTATATAAATTGTAATCTGTGTTAAATCTTTCCTTACTATTTATTCCTGATTTATCACTTCTCCTAATTAGTGGCTTTATATACACATGTGTACATAAATTTTGCAAGTTGTAAACATATTTATTTTTGTCATTATTATTTAATCGATTAAATGAGACAAATAAATTAACGTTTAAATTCCACTGTGATAAGAGAAATGTTAATAAATGAAAAAGAATAAATAAAAGTAAACTAAAAAATTCGATGCTGTAAAAAATGTATATTATGTTATATTTTCCTACTATTATTGGTTTGAAGGAATTTTCTTTTCCTTTTTTCTTTGATTCTTTTTCTTCTTCTTTACTATTTCTATTTTTTTCATTTTCCTCAACAATTGTTGTCTTTTTATTTAACCATTCATTTTTATCTTTCCTTTCCTTTGTTTCTACATTGATGTATCCCAAATCTTGCTGTTCCTTTTCATCCTTATTTTTTTTATACACATATGAGTCGGGTGAGTATGGAGGTTTGAAGGCCTCGTTCAAGTTGTAAATGTTTGTCTCTTCTATCTCATTCTGTAAGTTCGCTAAATATTCATAATCAGATGGTTGTGCTTCAAATTTTTCATTTTGTAAAATTAGATGAATAAAAACAGTATAGAAGAAGAATAGTAGCACATCGAGTCTTAGATGTGTTTTCTTCTTTCTATAAATCAGTACATTGTATTTGTGTTTCATTTTTTGTGTTCGCAAATTTCCGTGCACACATATGTACGTATCAACCTACATATATAAATGCACACATGTGCTTGTATAGCAGATGTTCGCACGTCTGCTTTGTTATATTGTGGGTGGTGGTAGATATAACAGGTTGTTCCTTTCAATTCGCTTCGTTTCACTCCGTTTTGCTTCGTTTTTTTTTTTTTTTTTTAAAATAACGCAAGTTGGGGACGCACAAGAATAGCGTCACAGGACGTGAACAAAATTTACACAAAAAGTGACAAAAAAAAAAATTGGGGAAAAAAGTTCGTCAATTCCCCCCCACAAATCCTAGTTATCTACTTGTGTATTCTGCTCGTATAAGTTATTTTATACATAAATTACAATTGTTTAATAAAATAGGAATATTTATAAATGAATAACAAAAAAGGCTTGTGTATACTTTTTGTTGTGAACATTGTGACGCTTAATCTGTCGAATTCAACTTTGCATGTGTGATGTTACAATTTCTCAAAATTATAATAAAGGCCCTTTTGACATTTTCTGTTTTTTTTAAAAAAAAATTTTCACCTAATTTAGTTACAATGAAAAAAAAAAAAAAAATGCCTTATTTTGAAGGAAATGAAAAAATGAACGTATAACACTTGTTTTAGCATACTCTTGCATAGTACACTTTGTTTTTCACCCTTATATGCCTTTTCTTATGTGAAGAAATTTATGCTACGTATATGGTATGTATGTATGTATATATATATATATGTACTATGTATATACATTTTTTTTTTTTTTTTTTTTTTTTCTGGAACAGCTTACCAACCCTGTGGCTTCCTACCAGTTTTTACATTTCTTCAGGCACTTCTTTTATATATGACCAGGAGACTGCTTAAGGTTATTAACCATTGTTTACATATGCACCAAGGACCATAAATCTTAAGGATCACTCCTATTAAATATTATGATCACACTTGCAAGTTTTGCAGCTTGCGGTCCTTGAGCTCAAAAATGGAGCTTTTTACTCCCGTGCACACCTGTATCACCTTTTTATGGACTAATTTGAATTTTTTTACAAAAAAACAATTATTTTTGCTTTTTCCCTTATTCTCGACATTTCAAATATGCACCTTTTTTTTCTTCTACAGTGTGGATCCATGGCATTACTTGAAAGGAAACACACGTAGGGCGTTGTACAAATGAGTAGATACATGTATATACAAATGTTCTATATATATATACATATATAAGTACTTTTTTTTTTTTTTCCCGCACATTTTAGCAAAGCTTCTCATGCTTTTACATTTCCAAACTGTTGATGCAATTTTTGTTTTCATATTAATTTCAAATGGTTAAAAGTTGTCAATTTCATAATACTTTTTTTTTTTTTTTTCAAAAATTTTAACGTTTTTTTGCTAATTTGTATGCACCTCACAACAAACGTTCTATAATAAACAAAAGAAGTAAACACGTTAAGTGTCCACATCCCTTATTGCCATATTTTCCATTTTGCCATAATATATATATATATATATATATATTTTTATCAATTTATGTACAAGTAATACTTAACCCTAGACCCAGAAAAAGGGGTAAAAGAAAAAAAAAAAAACAAAATTGTGAAAAAGAATTTTTGTATAGGAGACAATGGGGAATGAGGAAATGTGTAGCTCAAGAGTTAAAATGCAAACTTAAAGTAAAATGAAATTAGCAAAATATTATATATAAAAATATTTATTTCCCTATGACTGTTATAATATTCGCCAACTTTTTCTCTTCTGCATAAATCATTTTCAAGAATATTTTTCAATTATATCGAATGTGTTTACTTCTATGTACACATTATTTTGTATGCACTCATTCCGACATTAACACTCTTTTGAATAGTTGTCTTTTATAGCATACACCCCTTAACAAAACGTGGCCCAACAGTGAACGAGTAATTAAATAATTTATTTATTGCGGCCACTAGGAGTAAGACGCTAATCACCATTGTATCTCCACACGAATTAAACTCACACATTCCTTTCATTGTTGAATGAAACAAGGTGTCGACCGATTTCTACATTTTCCCTACATGTTTTATCATTATTTTTTTTTCTAAGAATAGCAAGAAGAGCAAATTACATATTTGAGCATTCTTGTGGAACACTTGTTTATTTGTTTATCACTTCTTTAGTTGTGTAATTGGTTGTCATTTATATGCTTCTTATTTGTTTGCTTTTTTTGATTTCCTATTTGTTTATTGTGTTTTCTTTCGCTCCAATTTTTTCGTGGCCAACCTTTCCATAGTGACAGAACAGCACCCAACCTTCATTGAACAGTGTTTAGAAAAAAAAAAAAAAAAAAAAAAAAAAAAAGAGCATGCAGGAAATGAAATGTAAAGAACAAATAGCATATGAAAAGTTAGTGGAAGAATTAAAAAATGAATTCCCATTTTTTCAGAAATATCCGGATGATTTTTTTTATAGGAAAAAAAATGAAGTATCAGATAATATAAGAAGAGAAAAGTGTTTAGATTTTTCTTTTAAAGATGAAAAACTGGAAAATGAGACAAAAAAATTCTCCAATTCATTGGTGAAGGAAATGGAGATATCATTCAGTTTAATGGAGAAAAAAAATTCCATAAATCAGTTATGTAAATTATTTTTAAAAAATTACACTCCTGCTACAAACGACTACTATGATTACATTAATAGCAGTTATGTGAGTTCTTCCCACATACAGCAGTTGATAGAAAGATATACCTTTGTTGATGCATCTGGTAGTGAATATTCAGATGTAGAGAGGCACAAAAATGTTCTGAGTACTCCGAGGAAAGGGAACCATAAAAGGGAAAGCGTTGGAAACATGGACAATGAGAATGATAGGGATAGTGGTAGTGTCTATAATAAATCACATAATAATGAGGATGGAATTCCAAGTGAAATGAAGAAGCAAGTCAACAAAAGAAGCAGAAGATATGAAGAGACCTGTGTAAAAAGAATTAGTAAATGTTTCCACAAGACAAAGGATGCTGATAATGGCCATGCTGTGAAACGGGCAAAGGTGTGGAAGAGTAAGGTGAAAAGGAGTAAAAGAGGAGATCCCAACACAAGTAGTACTATGAGCGACGATAGCTGTAGGAGCGGAAGGATCGATGGAAGTTATAAAAATTATAGATCTGGTAGCGATTGTGAAAATCATTGCAACTATATAAATCGACGTAGAAACGATTGCATCTTGATGAAAAAACGAAAAAATAGTTTCGAAGACGAAATGGACAATAAAGAATATCTAGGATTTAGTGATATTTCATATATTCCTTTTATTGACAAACACTTTCACATAAATTACGGTTGTGTGGAGAACACACGAGGGGTCGAAAATGCAAGAAATGTGTTTATGATACTAGATAAGGTATGGGAAAATGAAAAAAACGAATTTCCAAAATGTAAGAGGAGAGTTACCTTCGGAATGGAGGGAAAAAAGGAATATCTGGAGAATATAAAAACCAATTCAATTGTCCAAGGGTGGATTTACAAATCTGATTCGAAACATAAATGCTTCCATGTTAAACTTTTCTCTGTCATGAACGAATCATATGAGGAAGAACAGTATATATGCGATTTGACAGAAAATTCAGAAACTGAAAGATGTAACAATGTTGACTTAACCATCGATAAGGAAAGGAACAATCCACACTATCACAAAAAAATATGTGGAAATAATGTAAGCAGTAGAAATAGGAACGGGAGATATATAAGATATAGGGAAAATGACGATAGTAACGTATATGCATGTTTGCCCTTTGAATTTATAAACAAATTTGAATTTGTAAATAATCTGAGTATGCAAGGACTTCGTATGGAAGATAATTTAGAAAGGTATACAGGAATGAATATACGTGCAGAAGTATTTGATGATCAAGGATATATACATTCTCATTTTAAAGACATATTGCACAAGTATAAGTTTCACGTTTTCATAACGTTTAAATCGAAAATGTATGATGATTATATGACTAATGACAGGTTAGGATTTCTTTCTAGCGAATTAAATGGAAACATATCAATAGATAAAAAAGAGGGAAGACAAAATAGATTTAGTCAGATAGATTCCATGTTATTAAACAATTTTGATGTTCTACTATTTTCATGCAAAAAGTTTGTAAATAAAGAGAATGTAAAATATAAAGAAAAATATTTATGCTTAAATCTTTCGCAATTACCATCCCTAGTTGAGTTTAATTTTAGAAATAATTCTTTTCAAACACGTATTGGAAATGTTATTACTCGGAAGCAAAATTTAATATGGTCAAATCAGAAGTTTATGGAAGCTTTGGAAATTTATAAAAACAATAGCAAGTATTATGATTTTTTAAAAAATTATATCATTTTCGATTTTGAATCAAGTAGTTGTAATTACATCTATCTGATTGATCAAGACGAATTCGAGGTTTCAAATTTGTACTCCAGTGTAGCGAAAATGGGGACTAACAAAAGTATAGAAAATGTACCAACTGATGAAGACCAAAAAAAAAGCCGAGATGAACATTTGAAAGAAGTAAAAAAAAAAGAAGACAAAATAGACTCATTAGTAAATTATGATACCTCTAAAATAAATAATACACAATATGCTAAAAATTACGAAGAATATTGGCCCTTATTAAACGATAAAGAAAAATATATAGTTGAACATATCTCCTTTTTAAATTCAAGTGTGTATAAATCCAAGTGGATTTATGATTTTTTTAATTGCATTAAATTAACTATCAATCTAAATAATCAACACCTTTTCGGTAATTTTTTACTCAGTTTAGTACTACTAGAATTGAGCTGTTATACTGAATCTTTTATATTTCTTTTTAGAATTTTTAAAATAAAAAAAATGTTTTTGGAAAGTTACAAATTAAAAAGAATTATTTGTACACTATTCATAAAACAATTAAAAAAATATATAACAAAAGAACATTTATGGAATACCATCATTAACTTTAAGGAATATGATTTGTTCAGTATGCGGGAGGATAACTGTGAGGTATATTGTAAGAACATATTTGAGCGAAATTTAAATTTAGTGCGTACTTTGGAAAAAATGTAGCATCATTAAAGTCCTTTTTCCTTTATTGGATTCCCTATATTTTTTACACCCGAAAATGGTTTGTGTAAATGTGTCACAGTACACAAGTATGAGTCTTGTAAATACATATTGTGTATAGTTCATTTTGCATGAGTTTTTTTTTTTTTTTTTTTTAAAATTTACACATGTGTGGTATATATTATATATACAAGGGAGTGTTTGTAGCATCTTATACTTCTTATGTGAAACAAATCAAGACAGGTAAAAATGCAAACCGGTTTTGCTTGTTCTTGCATGTGCACAGATTATGAATTCATTCCTATGGTTTGTCCCCTACTCCTGAATTGAAAAAAAGAAAAATCCAAATGGTATAGAAGTCCCCCCAATTTTTTTTAGCATTTTTTTTTAATATTTTTTAATACTCTTCAATATTTTTCACTACTTTTTTTTTTTTTTTAACATGTTTTTTTTTTTTTTAATGTCCTTTTTTTACTGCCCTTTTTTTACGGCCTTTTTTTTACTGCCCTTTTTTTACTGCCCTTTTTTTACGGCCTTTTTTTTGGCCCCTTTTTTGATGATGCATTTACTTTAAGTTGCTATGTTACCTGGCCTCGTCCATCACGCACTTGTTCATTAGACCCATGTCGATATAAATATAGTTCACTAATTCAACGTCTTCATCTGACAGTGTCTTTATCCCGTCCATGTTTATCTGTTAGCGCAAAAGGGGTGGAAATTGTTCAGGCAATTATGTGAAGATGCCTAAGTGTGGATAACATATGATGAGCGTGAGGTGCTATGGCTCATACATGACCCTGATAGATGCACACACACAGGCAGAGACACACACAGAGATGCGTGCATATGCTCGTGTCACTGTTTAGAAGAGCTCTTACCATGTTCGTTACACAGGAAAGAAGCGAAACGAAATTGTATGCTTTGCAAATTCGAATCGAGTCCAACAAAAGGATCAAATCTTTGACATATATTTTTCCTTTCATAAACGCATGATCCACTTCATTAAAAAAGGGACCTTCATCTGTGCTGCAATAAACATCTGGTATACTATCATCACTTGGATATGTACTGTTCATTTGAAGTGAATGGCTATTTGAATGTTCCTCCGAAGTGTTCTTTCTTCTCCTGGTTCCAGATTCCTCCAATTTATCATTTTTCTGGGATGATAAGTTCTTTTCTTCATTTTGTACATATTTCTTGTAAGATAAATTTATATACGCTTCTATACTTGTAAAAATAAAATCTGTCAATTTTTTATGCACATCCATTTCGAGAGGTAAACTTCCAATATAGTGAAGCATATATACAAAGGAATTAAAGTTACTTTTTTTGTATGTTAGAATCATGAAATTATTTGCATACATTAGATTTGAAATATTTACTATAAATTCTTTATTATGTATATCTATTTGATCGAATATGAAAAGAATAATAGCTATTTTGTCTATATCACACAGATAAGTTTGCAATTGTGATGTATTAGGGTTGTCATAACCATATTTTATATAATTAAAAAATCCGTTCTGATTATTTTTTGCTAATTTGTACAATTTACACAACCCATAGTCCATTTTTTCTAAAAAATGCAATGCTATTGTCTTCATGTAACTACTCGAAATTCCATAAATCTTAGTGACTAGCTGAAATATCAAATGAATAGAAGAGATCATATGAACAGAAGAATTCATAATTAGATGAAATAACTTCTGCTTAATATCAGTACTTAATTTTATATCAAAACTAGAAAATAACTCCAAATAGAGAAGAATTTGATCTTTATTTAGCTCGTAATTTAAGTTAGTTATTTCATTAAAAATATACAAAATAGCTGATCTACAACTAACAGGCTCTTCTACGGATCCTTTTTCGAGAATATTTATCTCATATTCACATTTCTCCAACATGTCTATATACTTATTTTCAATTTTAAAATTACACAATTTATTTTTCTTTTTGTCAAAATATATTCTAAAATTGTTTTTCCTATTCTTCCTGTTCTGATAAAATATCATCTGATTCTGTCTAAAACCTGACAAAACGAATAGTAAATTGTCTATATATATTTTTTCTTTAAGCCACTTTATCAATTTAGCGCACTGCATTACAAAATAAGAAGCAATGTGTATATTCGAGAAATAATTGTGTATAATCAAGGTGTAACAGCACATGAGAAGTCTCCTGGGTTTATCAAAATTCATTTTGTTTTTTATTAAAATGTGGACAAGTTTGCCAAATAAAAGATTATCAACATTCTCGCGTCTACCACTGCTATCTATTACATCATTTAAGATATCCCTTTTTGACAAAAAATAAAAATGAAATATGCTGCTTATCGATTTTTCCGAAATACACTCTAGATCCATGTTGACTAATCTGTGAATAATTTTGCTTTCCAGTTCGTTTATCAGAGCCATATTTTGTCTTCTAAGCTGCAGGGCGAAGGAATTTATTTTTATGTCATAAGCTCTGTCCATTTTTTCTTCAAAAACCGTATTATTGTCACTCTCGAGGGTTCTTCTACTAATGGTTTCTTTACCAGAAGAGGATGAATTTTTAACAAACCTCACGCTTTCAAATAACTCCTTCCTTTTCATAATCCAATAATGCTTGAAATATCCGAGACAGTGAAGTACCATAGAACAGTGCAAATGAGAACATTGATTTATGTTTTTCAAAAAAATTTCTGCGTAATCATAAAATAGCATGTTATATAAGTGCAACTTAGATAAGCATGTGAAACCTAACGCGGATAATTTCAAATCATTTGTCAAAACATTTAAATATATATTTTGCACTAAACCTTGAATAATATGATAAGCATTCATATTTTTGTAATTTAATTTGAGATATATATTTAGTAAGTGTACTACATGTTTGTAATTATTTTTTTTATCTTTTTCTTTCTCTTTCTTATGTATATACTGTTCTCCTAGCATTTTCAAAATGGATATATCTTTCATTTGACTAAAATGATAAATAAATGCAAAGAGATCATTATAGGAAAGGTAATCTTTGAGTGATATAATTCTGTTTTTAAGGGATTGAAAAAAAAAGTCATTTGGCATGTATCCAATTAGTGAATATTCGTTTGGTGAATATTCGTTTGGTGAATGTTCAATTGGTGAATGCTCAATTGGTGAATGCTCAATTGGTGAATGTTCAACTGGTGAATGTTCAACTGGTGAATGTTCAACTGGTGAATGTTCAACTGGTGAATGTTCAACTGGTGAATGTTCAACTGGTGAATATTCAATTACTGTATTTTTCTCTTTATTATCGTTTTGTTCCCTTTCTTTTTTGTTAACTTTGTAATTGAAGACACAGTTCTCGTCATTTTCATGATCCATGTGGTGGTCTACTTCAAAAATTTGCAAACTATCCATACTGTACTCCTCTGTATCGTTGTAATTTTCCGATAAATAAATGATTATCTGATCATACTCTTCATTGTTGTATTTGTAACAATTCACTCTGCTACATGGTGACATTTTCACATTTTTAAAAATCGAATCCTTTTTCATTTGGTGATGTTTTGTCAGCGGTTCCATCACCTCATGGTTACTATGGTTATTTTTACATTTGGACTTATGGTCGAATAATTCATAATTAGAATATGTTCTATTCCCTACAATGGAACTCCTGACATTAATTCCATTTTTTACTGCTCCCTGTGAGATGTTTTTGCCATCATATGGTGCATCAAAACAATGTTCAGCAATTTCTTTATCCTTTAATAATACTCCCTTATAATTTTCCAAAAATTTTGTTCTATTGAACGAGATAGCATTACTTAGCAAAATAATCAACTCCTTTGTGCTTCTAAGATATAAGTAGTCCACAAGAAACATTGGCATATCTATAATTTTGTCATTTTGTACATGTAATTTATAAATCAACTTTTTATTTAGTTTACTTGCATACCTAAGCATTTTTATTACTACTTAATGTTGTATTTTTACGTACATGTAGGTTTCCTGTATATGTGTAATTATATGTGTTGCTCAAGGGGCGTAGAACCTTCTCTCTCCCCTTAGTATTTTGCTTTTGCCACATTTTCATTACTGTGCAGTGGTGTTTTATCTCATCCTGTTTCGTTCACGAGATGTGGCCTTTTTAATGTTCCCACTTGGGTATCCCTAATTTTATTTCATTAATATATATATATATATATTTTTCCATTCAGAAAAATGTACAAAACTCTTCAGCTTCGCCAAAGTTGTGACTTTCTAAGGTAATCCAACTTAATTTATTTTTTGTAAATTTGTTTTATATCTCAAGGGGGGAGGGGAGATACACAAAAGTTAGCAAAGCTGAAAAGTTCACTTCCTCTACATCGTTTATTACGCCTTGCCTTCTCTTGCTGATCATGTAATATTGACATGTGCATAAAGGACACACAATATTATATATAAAATATATACACAAAAGGTATAACAACAGCTTTGAATTTTTTTTTTTTTTTTTTTTTTTTTTTTTAACAGATCTCGGCCAATTTCATCGAATCTGTTAAGTTGTCAAGCCCATTACATTTTTTGCAAGAATTTATGTGCTACCTAAAGAACAGCTAAATTGATGGAAACTATTTTGCCCCTTTTCATTTCCAATCCCTGGGATAGCATCATAAAATACTTCTTTTGATACACTTGTACATATTTTAATTACGAACATTACAAGGATAAGATGTTTGTATATTTGACTAATATAGGTTCACTTTACGCCCCCCGCCCCCTTACGTGGATACATTTGCCCAGCTTTTTTCCTTTTTTTATAACATATATATATGTAGCACTTTTTCCAGCGTTTCTTCTAAATAGCAACAATATATGACTCCTATGTGTGTTTTCTTTTTTTTTTTCCTTTTTTCTTTTTTTTTGTATCTTTAAAAATTTAGGGATTCGCCGATTTGATATGTTTTCACTATACATGTATATATTTATATACATTTTTCTACCCTTGTAATATTTTTAATTGGGGGATTATCTACCACTTAGACTCCCGTTTTACAATAGAGTGCTAGAATGCATGGATTTTTTTCTTACTTTTTTGTGTGTGTACCTTTTTTTTTGTAAAATCATGTAACGAATAATTTGTTCATTATGTGTTTCTCCTCATATGTTTAGGCATTCCATGCCTTGCAACCGTGAGATACAATCCAATGTAATATTTCTTTTTTTTTTTTTTTTTTTTTTCCACTTTTTTGTAAGTGTACCAAATCGTTAAAGAGGGGAGCAGCTTTTCACCTTCCCGAACTAGCAAGAAGTCGTATCTCCAAAAAAAAGAAATGAATAAATATATTTTTTTCGTATTAGTAATTACAAAATTTAACACATTTATATGTTACGTTAGAAGTGTAAAAGTTATTCATGGTAGTATCATGAGAAAGGACAAAGGCATAATTAGAAGCAAAAATGGTGAACCATTTTTTAAATCACCAGAGATTTTGAGAAATGTGGGAATGATAAAAGGTTCCTATAGAGGAAGACATAAGGGAGTGCTGTTTTATTTGATAGCTCCATCGAGAGTTTCGTTAGAAGATTCATGTTCGTCCGAACTTACTACACCCAGTAGGGTATTTCTCCATTTAAGAGGTCCAAATGGATGGAGAAAATCGCATTTATTTGTGAAAACATTGAAATATATTGAAAATTTGAGAAAGGTAAAAAATATTGACAACACTTTAATAGGTAACGAACTTCAAGGTAAGGAAGATGAAATAATCGATGGAATTCCAGATCGTTTTTTGAATGCATTTAAGTGGGCATTACAATTTCGATTAAAAAATTTTAACTGTAAATTTATGAGGATATGTAAATTGGCAAAAAAAAATAATGAAGAACTTAAAAGCCTTGAGAATTATGCCATAGGATATAAGGAAAAATTACTAGCCATGTTACAAAATGATAAAGATTTTTTTATGAACATTGTAAAAAAGCTGAAAGCAAAAGATTATTTTAATTTTGATATTTATTCCATTTTTAAATTTATCAATCTAGACATCCGTTTTTTATTTAACCCAGAATGTCATGATGAATCAGCTATTTTTTTCCTAATCTTTGGAAATTTAGAAAAATCAATTAATTATTTTATACAGAACAAAGACACAGTTGATTTTATGCAAATGCCTAAATATAAAAATATGATGAATAATGGTGAGGGGGAAAAAAATCACCTCAGCATACAGCAGAGGAAACGTTTGAACAAAGCACTGAGGAAGAGGAAAAGGGAGGAGCGTCAGAAGGCCTACATGACAATGACAGCTAGGGAGAGTTCAGTTGAGGCACCATCTTCTTCGATCGAATCAGATGTGGATTTATCAGATGAACTTACCCCTGGAGTGGCATCATCTCCCTCTAATGAAATCTCTTCAGGTGAGGTGGATAGCAGTTCTTCTGATAATTCTTTATTGTGTGACGTAACAGGAGGAGGCACATCAGTAAAAGGGCTGACCGAAGCAGAGGGATGTAACACTGAAAAGAGGAATGTAAAACTGGACATTTCTATAAATAACATTCAGGAGTCATCGAGTCTGGAGGAAAAATTTCAGTATTTCTTAGAAAATTACGATGATATTGAATATTTTTTTCAGAATCATTTTGAAACGGTAGAAGAAATAAAATCATTTTTTGAAAAATGTCATGAGGAAGAAAATAAAGTAAAAAAGGAAGAAATAACATTTAACGCAAAAGGAAATGAAATAATAACAACAAATGTAGTTGTGAAAAAAGGATTAAATTTAGAAATGATAAAAAAAATTATAAAAGTGTCCCCAAGATTATCTTTAATAAATAAAAATACCATACTTAAAAGAATAACTCATTATAAAAATGAGTTAAGTTATACCCATGATGAATTAGTGCATATTTTATATAATCTACCACAATTTTATGCATTTGGAAATTTAAAAAGGAAATATAAAGAATTGTTATATCTACATGAAACAATTGAAGAAGAAGACTTAAAAAAATTTATTAAAAAATATCCAAGGATATTTACATATAATGTGTATAGAACCATAAGACCTAAGATGTTATATCTCATTAGACATTTAAATAAAAATTTTAGGGACATTTTATCTTTCCCACAATATTTTAGCTACAGTTTTCGATTAAGAATAATACCCAGACATGTTGCTTACATGAACTTATATTATGATAATTACATTGAATATTACAAAGAGTTAGTAAGAAAACATAATTATGCGGATTTCAATAAAAAGTTTAATGAATTAGTATATAAACCCAATATTCCACCTATTAATCTTAAAATGCTATTGCAAACGTCAAATAAAGACTTTATGGAACATTATAAAATTTCTTATTATAATTTTGTGAAATCTACACAACTAGCTAAATATATTCACAATCCCTTCATACTAGAATGATGATCGAAGCTACAAAATTGAGAAAAAGAAAACATCTTCTCTCTTTTTACTCATGCTTGTAAATCTCTTGTCCATTGTACATGAATTTGACAGGTTCTCCCCTTATACACCCATGTATTACACACACATGAGAGTGTATACCTCGACCCCTTTCTTATTTTCCATAGAATGTTTAATTTTTTTTTTTTTTTTTTCTCGTATTTGCAATGAACTTACTTCATAATCCAGGTACCTTTCTTCTCCTCAAAGAAGACAAAAAAAAAAAAAAAATAAAATAAGAATAGCAATATAGTAAAAATACAACAATAAATAAAGTAGAAATAATTAAAAAGGAGCCTGCTTCCTGCCATTGTATATGCTTCATCCTGCGCCATACAATGCGCTGGAATTTTAAATTGTGCATTTTTGAAAAAAAATTAAAAATAATATAAGGTTGAGAAAATGGGAATGTTAAGTATGTTCTTGTGGGAGTACAGAATGGGAACATTTTTCATAAAAAAAAAAAAAAAGAAAAAAAAAAAAACAATATAATATAATATAATAAAACATAATGTAGTAACAAAATAGTGAAAAAATGGACTAAAATGCTGGCATATTTACTGAATTAACAAGAACTTTAACGATGTTCACACCACCATCACCCTCTCTTTACCCTGCAGGGTATAAATGCTTAGGCAGAATGCCTACCCTTGTATTGCTGTTCTTTTCCTTTTCATTCCTTTATGTCTGTGATACGTTTTCTTGGTTCATAATTTTGTCTTGGTACATTTTTTTTTTTTTTTTTTTATTGTCACGCTTTGTCGCCTTTCCGCTTTACTACCTCACAGATTTACTACCTCACAGATTTACTACTTCAAAGATTTACTACCTCACAGATTTACTACCTCACCGATTTACCACTTCACCGATTTGCCTTCCTTAGGCCGTCATATCAATCGTGGGATAAATAGGAGAAGGGAGCACATCAATAATTCTGGATATGTCATCCGTTTTATACTTGTAAAATGTTTTGTCATCCTTCTTAATTGCAGCAATTTCTACATTGGATGATGACAGTTTATCTTCCATCACTTGCCTCAAAACAGTAAGTGCCAATATCTCAGCCTCTGCAAAAGTCATGTTTTTATTGTAATTTTCTTGTAATAATAATTCTGCTCCTTCTTGGGCCGATCCTATAGATGCAGCTAAAAATCTAGTGTTCGTACCAGAGGGTTCTGTGTACCATAGACAGGGACCACTCTTATCAACACCTCCAATTAATAAAGCAACACCGAATGGTCTACTCATAATTTTCTTTCTCTTATTATCAGACAAGTTAGAAAAATCTAATGCTAATTCTGATATTAATTCTACACATGATTTTATATTTATATTTTCATTATATATGAATTTATAGTGATTGCATTCAACTCTTGCATAATCGATTAGTGTTCTTGCATCTGCAATAAGACCACTCATGGCACATCCTATATGATCATCTATTGCCAAAAGTTTCTCAATTGAATCTTTTTCTATTAATGGCGATGCAATTCTTCTTTCGGAGGCTAAAATCACTCCTTCGTTGACGCAGATGCCTACTGCCGTGCTTCCCAGCTGGTTTTGGTAATGCACGGATGGGGAATAAAAATGGAAAACATATTTTAAGGTTGATAAAATTGGAAAAAAATATCAACAGTAACAGCTACAGTAGTAGAAACAACGTATGGGCACATAAAACGGGGTCTTAGAAACTGATTTTAACAATCAAACCGGGATATAGTGTGTGTCTCATCATTTTGTCATATTTTGTATATATATTTTTAAAAATGATAAACGTTTGAGACATATTCTTGGTAATAACTCTCTCATGTCCCTTTTCTCTCCCTCTCTCTCTCTCTCCCTTTTGTTGTGTGTACCTTTATAGCCCCCAAAGCATATTCCACTTGAAAAAGTCTACCTTCTGGAGAAAATGTGTTTACTCCTCTATCGTACTCACTCCTAATTGTTTTTAAAAAAAAATGTGAAATGATAAAACATGAAAGCTTATAATACATGGAAAAAAAAAAAAAAAAAAAAAATGCATGTGTTTATATAAGCGTGTAAGCAACACACCATTTAAGCTAATCGTCAAAAAAATATGAAGCCTGAGGGTGAGAATGCCTTACATATATACATCTACGTAAGCATGTGTTTACATATGTTCACACGCGTACATGTATGAATGTACACAATCATATATGTATGTTTATAGTTCTCGTCCTTTCTTCGCTTCTCCCATCGTGTGTTACCTTGTTGAAAACATTTTTGCGCTTAGATGGGTTGCGTATCCAGAGTACTATGTATAGCGTGGTGTGGAAAACACTGAGGTTATTTTGGCTGTATGTGCAAAAGTGTATGCTACTGTTTATTTGTATATACGTATGTTTGTGTTAACTTTATGCATAAAGCCTCTTTTTTTTCCTAATGAACATCTGTGAGAAACTGTTTCATGAGCATGTCAGCAGGGGGTCATATGTGCATCCCTCATTAAGTTATGTGAAAAAAAAAAATAAATATAATAACAAAAAGGGAGAAACATGGGGAATGAAAAAAGGTGGATTTATGGTTATATATATATATATATATAAATACATATCTTCTATTGAGTTTTTTTTTTTTTTTTTTTTTTTTTTTTCTTACCTAAATTTTTGTATACAAGCTCGTGCTTGGGGGTTATTGCTTCTCTAGGTATAGTGGTTATGGTTGTGCACGTGACATGAGGTGTTGGAATTTTTTGCACTGCTTCATATATCACACCTTTCACATGGATGACAGTACATTTTATTTTTCTTTTGGAGCGGCAAGAGAGAAATAATTTTGTTCGTTGCTAGTGTCACATAGGGGGAGGGGAAATAATCATGTGAAAATGGGAGAAAAATGTGAATACAAACATAAACATGAATGAAATCATAAATGTGAATGCGGTTATAAATAAAAATGAAAAAAATAAAAAAGGGAGAAGAAAGAGCAAATAAAATTGACATAAAATTAGGCCAACTGTGTACCTTATAATATTGCATATACGGATTAAATATAAATTCATAGATAAAGGGAAAAAAGGTAGAAACATGGGTATACGTGGATATCAATGAAAGTTAGAAATAATTGGAAACGTGATTATATGCTGAATCTTAGCCAATAATTTGCTGATCGACTTTGGCAATCATGTCAAACCGTGATAATCACCTCAAACACATTGCTTCTTCAGAATCATTTCGATGATATTCCCACTCATTAGTAACTCATTAGAAAGAGTTACAATATATCTTTTTACAAAAACCTTCATGTGTTCGTTCTGCACCTATAAGAGTATAAAAGTATAAGAGTATAAGAGGAATATATCCATGCCATCATACACATCTTGAAGTGTAATTTTTTTTTTTATCACACCCTCTCCCTACTTGGTCTCAATGGGAAGATACAGTTTCAAAATTTTTTTGGACTCTATAATGTTAAGCTATGACTATTTTGAAGGATCTGTATTTTAAACACATGGAAAGGAAATACATAATGCCTGTTTCGAAATGCATTTTTTTCCACACCGTGCCCAATATTATTACGAGCGTGTTTTCTATTTTTAAACAAAACATAGTAAACATATTGAACTTATGCAAAATTTACAAAAACGAAATATTGTGTGTTCATGAACAGAGTTTAATTTATGTTAAAAAAAAAAAAAATCCTAACACTATCTAGCTCTTTACACATGTTAACTATCACCTAACGTATAAAGTAGTTCTATGGAAAATGTAAAAGTGTTAGATCTTTATAGTGGTATAGGAGGTTTACACTACAGTTTGTTACAAGCCTTAACGAATTGCATTCACGAGAAGGTGGAGAAAGGTATTATGAAAAAGGAAATTGCAAAAATTAATATTACCAATTGTGAAAATTTTTTCAATGATACATTTCAATTTGTGTCGATAGACTTAAATTGCTTGTCGAATCAAACGCATTACCACAATTTTAAAGAAAATACTATCTACCTAACAGACAAAAAATATATAGACAGATTTTTTAAAAAATGTCAAAATGGTAGAGTTAATGAGCTTGGGAGTACTCCTCAAAAATGTGAGTATAACTCACAAAAGAATAAGTTGAAAAAGATCCACTTTGATATGAATAAAAATTACATTATTCAAACGGATATAAACAATCTAAATGAGCAATTTTTTGATTATCACAAGTTTTTTATTTTGCTAATATCTAACCCTTGTCAACCATATACCAGACAAAACAAAAAATTTAAGGAGGTTAATGTTAATGATCTCTACAGCATGTACAGTTATTCCATAACAGAGAAATGCCCCATCGAAGAAAAAAAAAAACAAAAAGATTCTTCCACCCTCGAAAAATCTGGTCATTCTACTAATATGCACACTTCAAATTGTAGAGTGCAAACATGCAGTGATACAAGTGATACGACCCGCTTAGATAATCAAAAATGTAACACTAAGAAAGCTATTCCCTCGAAATATGTTAATGAAGAAAATGGTCACGATAATATAGAGGAGCATTATGAAGGTACACCTTTGGAAAAACCTATAACATATGACACACAAAAATATCATGTAGACAATTTAAACCTAGAGAAAGCCATGAATTCTTTAGAAATTGAAAAGGACGAAAGAACGAGGAGTTTTATTCACATCTGTAATTTGTTAAAAAGTGTAAAAGTAGAGAATTTACCAGAGTATATATTTATTGAAAATGTCAAAAATTTTGAATTATCGTGCTCGTTTTTATGCTTTATAAATTCAATTAAAGAAAATTATAATTTTCAAACATACCTCCTATCCCCATTGCAATTTGGAATACCCAATGAACGTCTTCGTTTCTATTGTATATGCAAGAAGAAACATAACAAAGATAAATCCATGATGTGTGTAAATTTACAAAATCATACGTTATTGTCATTGTATAGTAATTTGCTTACACCAACCAAATGTATTACCATCCCCTCCTTTCAAAATAATGACAATTTTAGAAAGAATGAAAATTCTGTTTTTTACACACCAAGCTTGGTAACCTTTTTAGATCATAATGACAAGTACCCAATAACTTGCAACAAAAATGATCATATAAACATGTATAACAAAAATTTACAGGAATATAAAATTGCAGAAAATAAGCTTACAAAACGTGCAGCATACTGTTTTGATATTATCGACATTAACAGAAATGGCAATATTTGCTGTTTCCGCTCGGATCTTTATCATACTAAAAAGAATGAAGCCATAAATGATCTTATGAACAACAGCAACTTGAAGGATGAGATAAATTCCAAAAAACTACATGCCATGTGTTTTACGTCTAATTATAGCAGGTACATTAACGGATCTGGATCGATATTGTACTTCTCAAAGGATAGAAGAAAGACCCCCTTAAATTTTTCCGAAGAAGAACATGGACATGTAAAAAATATCAACATGGGAAATACAGAAACAAAATACCCCATTTGTGTAGATACCAAAAGTTATCATCTCCCGAGAGATAGCTCCTCCAGCGAAGTGTCTAGTCCAAAAGAACATTGTCACGATGAAATATTTAAACAAATGATAAAATATAAAAACAGAGTGCGTTACTTTACCCCTATAGAAATATGCAGACTAATGGGATATAAGATGCGAACCAACAAGAATAAAATAGAGGGTAATAAAAACAAAAAAAATAGATACGGAAATATCTACTGGAATATGGATCACATGTATCATAAGTGTGCCTACACTCGTAATGTCCATTACTGTGCTTCAGATAATAGCGACATTTGTATGTTAAATTCGGAGCTGGATTTACCAGATAACCATTTGAAAAAATGGCAAAATTATGAAAATGTTCAAAAATTTGTGGATGACACTAATACAAAGAGGAAAGAAGCTCATCGAACTGAAGATCAATATGAACAATCACAGGGAAAAGGGATAATACCTTGTTTGTGTCACGAATTTGAATTTCCAGAATTTTTGACAAGCAGACAAAAACATAAATTAATTGGTAATTCAGTTAATGTCACCGTAATAGCTTTAATTTTTCAAGCTCATGATATTTTGGGGGATATTTTAAAATGGAAAAATATACCCAGCTAAACTGTTTATCCCCATATAATATGAACAGTTTTTTGTATGATTTAAATTGTATGTGAGAAGAGAGAAAGACATTTTATTTCATTACCCACAAGAAATGCATAATACATATTTTAACATGACTAATTTGTAAACTTTTATTTGAAGGAAAAAAAAAGAAGAAAAAAAAAGAGTCATCCTGTTTGATGTTTCTACGTGTGTTAACATATACATTTGCAAATCAAGACTTGTGTTCACCCGTTACACATTGTTTTTTCTTAAAATTGGCAACATTTATTTTTTGGATGAAAATTTGTATGTTTTTTAATTCGTTTGTGACTGAATTGTGTGTGGTAACCTTTTTTTCGTTCCGTTTTTCGTTCCGTTTTTCGTTCCGTTTTTCGTTCCGTTTTTTGTTCCGTTTTTTGTTCCGTTTTTTGTTCCTTTTTTTGTTCCGTTTTTTGTTCCGTTTTTTGTTCCGTTTTTTGTTCCGTTTTTTGTTCCTTTTTTCTTTCCTTTTTTTCTTTCCTTATTTTGTTTCTTCTTTTTTTTTTTTCTGTTTTTTCCCCTCTATATAACACCTTAGTGGAAACAGTTTCCTTCCGTAAAGTGCGTATTTTGAAACACCATCCACACACATAAAATATGTACATAAATATGTTCATGTTTTGCGGTCAATAAAATGTCCTTTTTTTTAAGTCTAAACAATATCATCCATCATCGATTTTGCAAATTCGTGAACACTTGCATCTTTAACCAAAATATATAACATTACATTTTTAAAGTTCTACAAGGCTTACAATAGTTCCACAAAAAAAAAAAAAAAAAAAAAAAAAAAATATCCTCAACCATTCTGAAAAAACGGGGAATGATGAAAAAAAATTACAGGAAAAAAAAAAAAAAAAAATTCTCCTTTGGGAACATTCCATTTTTTTTTCTTCACTTTTTTTGTTGATCCATAATTAATTCCCGAATTGTGAATAAGTTGTAATTAAAAGTAATAAAATGAGTTTATTATTTTTTTTAATTCCCTCCCTCCTTTTGCTACCATGCTGAAGTTCATATTTTTTTCTTTTTCCCCCATCTTAATTATGTTATTCAAATATTCATAAACATTTTCAGCGCATGTCATTGCTCATTCGGCGTAGAAATATGTGTATGTGCTAACGTAAGCTAGAGTATGAATAAACGTGAGATTACTACTCTTAATGAAAAGTGACCTATATTAACACTTACATGTTCAAACTCTACACTCTCAAACGCGACATTTTTTTTTATATATACATCTTCCCAAATTTTCACGATTTTTTTCTCTCCATATTTCAACTCCACCCCCCCCCTCCCGAAGCCTCTGCTTTGCGCCAATACATAAAACAATTTTTAAGTAGATATGAGAAATCATTTTTATTATTTTTTTTATTTTTTTGTATCATTAACGTTTTCCTCTTTTTAACAAAAATATTAATCAGCATTCAATCTTGTAGGATATACAAACCTTTACATCCTTTCTACAAGGTTTGAGGGGTACATTTATTACATTTTTAATATACATATAAAAATAAAAAAAAAAATTTTCTTGTAAAATAAGCCTAAATTTTGAATTTACTTTAAAGGTTTATTTCACAAAATTGTATAACCAAGAGCTCCATGGAATTGCATTCTGTGTTGTAATTTTTTTTTTAATTTTTTTTTTTTTTTTTTTTTTTTTTTTTTTTTTTCTTTCCCTTCTGTTGCCCCATTCTACACCTGTGCGCAGATGAAGTTTTTTCATTGTGTAAAGAATTTGAATATTCCAAGAGGAAATACTTTTAAAAAATTGTGTAAATATGACAAGACAAGAGGAGAGATTAAAGTACTGATAAATAATTCATTCATTTCGAGAAATACTGCAAATGAACATAGCTTGTGCGAGAGTGGAGGAGGGTGTAAGAACAGGAGGTTCCACACCACGAGGGAAGATAATAAATTAGGAGATGATTTGTTGGATAAAAATGACATGACAGATGGAAAAGTAGGATATAGAAATAGCCAACCTGTGGATGATGTGGCAAACGAATATGAGAAAAAAAAAATTAGCAGGTTTTACTTAGATAGTCAGGCAACCACCATGATAGATCCCAGAGTATTAGACAAAATGCTACCTTACATGACATACATATATGGAAATGCACACTCGCGGAACCATTTCTTCGGATGGGAATCTGAGAAAGCAGTTGAAGATGCAAGAAAACATATCCTTAATTTAATAAATGGAAAAAATAATAAAGAAATTATATTCACATCCGGTGCAACGGAAAGTAATAATTTAGCACTTATAGGAATTTGTACATACTATAACAAACGAGATAATAAAAAAAATCATATAATTACATCCCAAATTGAACATAAGTGCATATTGCAAACATGCCGATATTTACAAACGAAAGGATTTGAAGTAACTTATTTAAAACCTGAACAAAATGGAATTATAAAATTAGAAGACATTAAGAATAGTATAAAAGATAGTACTATAATGGCTTCTTTTATTTATGTGAATAACGAAATCGGAGTGATACAAGACATTGAAAATATTGGTCTTTTGTGTAAAGAAAAAAATATTTTCTTCCATACTGACGCGTCTCAAGCAGTTGGTAAAATCCCCATTGATGTTCAAAAAATGAATATTGATTTGTTATCCATATCAGGTCATAAATTATACGGCCCCAAAGGAATCGGGGCATTATATATTAAAAGAAAAAAACCCAATATTAGATTAAATGCATTAATACATGGAGGTGGACAAGAACGAGGCTTACGATCTGGAACTTTACCAACTCATTTAATTGTAGGCTTAGGGGAAGCAGCAAATTTAGGTTCAATCGAAATGAATCGAGATAATAAAAAAATGCGTTTTTTTTTTGATTATGTAAAAGATTATTTGTTGAAAAATTTAGATTATATTGTATTTAATGGATGTCAAGTAAATAGATATTTTGGGAATATGAATATTTCTTTTTTATTTGTTGAGGGCGAAAGTTTGTTAATGTCTTTACATGAAATTGCTTTAAGTTCGGGTTCTGCATGCACATCCAGTACACTAGAACCCAGTTATGTGTTACGATCTATTGGAATATCAGAAGACATAGCACATACGTCCATAAGAATTGGATTTAACAGATTCACAACATTTTTTGAAGTGCACCAGTTGTGTGACAATTTGGTTAAGTCTGTTAAGAGATTACGAAGTATCTCACCTTTGTACGAAATGGAAATGGAAAAAAATTCCCCCAATGACACTCCTCAATTTGTGTGGACATAGAAATGGATGTCACAGAGGAGGAGAAAGGAGCAACACACATAAAAAAACGTTGATTGTTTATTTCCACAATGCACAAATTAGCTTCTTAACCATTTTTGAAATTATGTTAATGCTTTTTTTTTTTTTTTTTTTTTTTTTTCTCTCCTTTTTTATGGTTATCATGTTACGATCCCTTAAATTTGAAAATATAAGACAATTTAATTTTTCCTTTTTTGCACATTTGTATTATTTGAGATGTATTTTTTCTGTTATTACGTGAAACTAATACTGTCTAACTTTTAATTAGAAAATCACGTTTTTTAAAAGAAAGTTTGTTTGTTTTTTTTTTTTTTTTTTTTTTTTTTTTTTTTTTTCTCCCTAATTAGGTTTATTTGGTGTTCACTGATTTAGCTATTTTTCGTCGAGCTTGTTGTGTTTCATTTTTTATTTTATATTATTTTATTTTTTTTTTTTTTTTGTGCATTTCTCTGTTCTGTATACAAATTTGCACCAAATTTGAGGATGCCAAGAAACAATTCCTTCTCCACCTTTGAAGGAAAACAAAATCGTTTTCAAATCTGACTCCACACAATAAAACCTCTTTTATATTATGTGAATTGCTTCATTAAAAAGGATCTTTTTTACATGCATCTCTTATAACTTATGAAAATTAATTCATTGAGAAGGAGTTTTCCATTTCACATTTTTAAATATATTCATTTGCTTCATTAACAAATTTTTTATATTTCATATGAAATGTGAAACGTTCTCAAAACCTTCAACGAAAGGAGTGGGAGTGTGTGTGGATGATGGGAATTACACAAAAGGAAAACCATTTACAAAGTTGTTGCTCGTGGAGCGCACATGTCGACGTTTCTTCCAAATGAATGGATCTGTGCATTTCTAGAGTGTTTTTGTATTGCATTCCATTGCTTCCTGTCGTTTTACTTCCCTTGGTTTTGGTTCATACGTTTGGACTTTCTTCGCCCCTTTTTGTTTTATTTTTTCCCCTCGCAGCCCTACTTTTTTCAAATTTTACAAATACTTGTTTTTTCTTAAATGAGAAAAGGCGTGTAAATGAATCTATCATCCCCGTTTTTTTTTTTTTTTTTTTTTTTTTAGTTATGGGTACGTCTTTCGCTACCATGAGAAGATGCCATTACATGGGTATATATATAAATAGAATAACAAATGCAACAAAAAAAAAAGTGGCAAAAATAGGAAACGTAGCAAAAATGGTAAAAATGGCAAAAATAGAAAACTATTTTTTTTTGATGCCCTTTTAAGGGGAAACCGAATTAATCCCAACATACAAATTCACAATTTTATTAAAGAGCAATTTATTTGTTGAAATCTCGTTAGCTGTTTATTTCCTCCAATTGGTAATTTCTTCCATATTTTTTTTCTTTCTTTTTTTTTGCATGTTCTTAGAAAAAAAGGCTTGCTTAAATATCGTTTTATTTCTTTCTCTCAACCCCTAGTCGCCCCTAAACCACTTTTTCCAAAATAGATCTTATAAAAAAGGTGTAATACATATGTGTATATATTCATATTTCCTATGAATGTTTGACTATATATCTGGACATGGACTTTTCACCTAATTTGAAATCCGTTTGAAAAATACTGCTTTTGTGATAGCTCAGTTACACTTTTTTTTTTTTTTTTTTTTATAATTAAAATGAGGGATTGTTTGAAAGAACCTACTTTTTAATATAAAGTTGGGAGATAAATACAAGTTGCTTTTTTTTTTTTTTTTTTTTTTTTTTGAGGTATAAAATAGGCATACATATTGTATAAATATGTATGAACGGGACTAAAAATTATGGAGTTATCATTTCATCAAAATTACACGATTGTATTTATTTCTATCATGAACACTTAACCTTTTTTCTCGAATTGGAAGAAAAACATTTCTTAAGCTATGTTAACCAAAATGAGGAAATTAGCACCGTTTCTTTACCATACTATAATATTGTCTGCTTGTATATATATCTATCCCATATGAATACAAATAGGAACGTGTGTACGTTCACACCTGTATTATATAAGTACTAATTACAATCTCATGAGGTGAGTGACATAGATAAATGTAGGTGAAGGTATATACATATGTATGTGCATATACATCGATGTGCTTGTATGAATGCGTCCCAAGAGAAAAATGAAAAAGACATTTCTGTTCCTTGTCATTTTATCAACGATAAATTTAAGACGATATATAAATTACAATATAAGAATCAGGTTAAAAAACTTTTCAAACAAAATATACATGTCCAGTAGAGTCCAATTAAAATCGACAAAACTACAACATAGAAAGAGACCAAGAAAAAGGAAGAAATCTGAAATTTACAGAACCCCAGTTTTATATCACCCGAATCAGAGGGATTATTTTAACCTACAGAGTGAGTATACATGCTTACCCGATGAAAAAGTGCTAAATCTGCTGTCAAAGAATAAATTAAATTTGCTAATAAAAGCGATTAGAAGTAAGAATAACGAGGAGATTGATAAAATTTTGTATAAAGATGTTAATAATATATATCTGGATACGAGGTACATATATTATGATGAAGGGAGAATAGAAGAAGAAGGAGAAGTAGATGAAGAAGTAGATGAAGACGAAGAAGATGAAGAAGATGAAGAAGACGAAGAAGATGCCGAGGGAAGCTCACGACTACACGACCAAAGGGGTGGCTTTGCTGAGGAAATGAATCCTAATAGTGATCATGAGGAATTCTCAAGTGGGGATGATAAACTAGAGAAGGATAATAAAGGAAGGGTCAAAAAAAGAAGAAAAGATTGTGTGTTCAGCAATAATTCAAGTGATGTGAAAAATTTCAGGGTACCTGAAAATGAAGAGACAAACGAAAAAGTTAGAAAAAAAGAATTTGTGGATTTGAATAATATATATTTTTATTTTAAAAAGGTTAACATGACAAATATAAATAAAGACAACATAAATGATGATATATATAAAGAGTTAGTTGAATTAAAAAAGGTGTCAACAGAAAAAGGAGATTCAATAGGTTACAACATATATAAATATTTTCTTAACATAATTACAAATGTAGATAGAATGAAATATATTGATGATTTTTTTTTAGTGAATTATATAAACAATATTTGGATAACTAAAAATGTGCATAAATATTTTTATTTTTTAAATTCTCTATTTCATAGAATGAAAAAAATTTCTTATAAATTATTTCATTTGAATTATAAAATTGATATAATTGGACATGTGGAGGAAAAAAATAAAATGAAGTATTTCGAAAGACATGAATTATTTGATAAAGTTATAAAAAAAACAAAGTACATTCCTAACTATGTGCTTAAGCACAATTACATTTATTCTACTAGTATTTTAAATCTATACCAATATGATATCAACACAAATTCGTATGTCAATAAATTTGATGACACATACAAGGAAGTTTCTGTGAACGACTTTGTTGATTATGGGAGGAAAAAGAATTTAAACATTTATCACGACTCTACCCGTTTCCACCCATTTTACAATTATGCCAAGAGATATGACAAGGACAATGAGATGAAGAAAATTATGAGTCTCACATATGGGGATGTTTGCAGCAGTAGCGACATGACAAGTAGTGGCACTCGAGATGATGAAACTAACACCCGGAAGAATTTGAATAAAGGGAAAAAAAAAGACACTACCAAGGGATCAAGCAAGAACATAGATCCTATAGTAACTGATGAACATATCCTCGAAAATGGAGACGAGAAAAACCATAATGATGAAAATGTGTCCAGGAACGAAGGAGAAAAAAACTCACCAAAAAGTGAAAGTAGTGAAAGTAGAGAAAGTAGTGAAAGTAGCGAAAGTAGAGAAAGTAGTGAAAGTAGCGAAAGTAGTGAAAGTAGCGAAAGTAGTGAAAGTAGCGAAAGTAGTGAAAGCAGTGAAGGTAGTGAAAATAATTGGCTAGAAAGGATAAAAAAGGATCCACTTTTAAAATATGAAATTTTAGAAAAGATAAGCGAAAAGATGTGTAGCGAATTCGCAGAAATTGGGGTTTTAGATAGTGAAAGTAAGAAAATTGACCTGAATAGAATTGAAGATATTAAAAATGATAAGGACAATATTTTATACAAGAAGGTTTATGCTATGCGGGATTACTTTTACAGTATTATGTATGATAATTATAAGCCAAATTTGGACATTTACGAATTAGAAACTTTTATAGATGCAGAATATAGGGCCTATACTTACAAAAAAGACTTAAATATTTTATTTAAAAATTGGGTTGTCAATGAAAACAAGCAATTACCTACAGTGCACTTTGCGAAAAAGGATGTGGAGCTAGCTAAGTTAAGATACATGTCCAAGAGAAAAAGAAAAATGCTTGAATTTAATCAGCAATTTCTGGAACGTCACGGGCGCGACAAGAAGAGCCACTACCCCATGAAGGATCACAGAGGGGTAGGAAGTGGTGAAAATGGTGAAAATGGTGAAAATGGTGGAAATGGTGAAAATGGTGAAAATGGTGAAAATGGTGAAAATGGTGAAAATGGTGGAAATGGTGAAAATGGTGAAAATGGTGGAAATGGTGAAAATGGTGAAAATGGTGAAAATGGAGAAAATGGAGAAAATAGTGAACACGGGGGATCACAAAAAGGTACGCCAGAAGGTGCAGTAAATTGTGAACCACAGGAGAGGGGGAATTCTGAGAGAAAGGAGCCAAACGGTAAAAAGGATACAGACCCGAGTAAAGGAATAAACCAATCAATCAGCTGTCTCATCAAGTGGAATACACGAAGCGAAAATGATTCAGGGAAAACAAGTAATGATCAGGACGATATACATTTGAGTGATGAAGATGACATCGATGAGGATGCGGACAACGACAGAGAAGAAAAGTTCTTTATTGATAAATACAATATGAACAATGATGAAATTGAATCATACGGATTTTGCGATGAAAATGTAAACGAAAATGATAATGAAGAACAGTCTTTTCATGATATGAAATTTGCAAAGCTAGTTATTTATGATGATAACTATGATAAAGAAGAGTTTGTAGAAATTATCATGAATCTTATAACAACATGTGATTATAAAAGGGCATATTGCATTTACAACACACTCAAAACAAAGGGGAAGGTTGATACTTTATATTTTAAAAGTTACGACATTGCTGAGAATATTGCCTTTTTGATGCGCCAATCGAAGCAGAGAATTCTTGCTGATGTGGAATACTTGTAAGTGGTGTGAGAGCGGTTTCTGGGAATGTGAACATAGCCAAAAATTTCACTTTCGTGAATTCATTTTTAAAATTTAGAAATGAAAATAACTGAGTGTGTACTCAGACGAAAATCCTCTTTTGTTTCATTTTTTTTTCTTTTATTTTTTTTTCTTTTCGCGGGTTTTTACCCATGTATTAGTTACACAAACTTGGCAAGGTGTTTTTTCCTCCTTCACTTCTCTTCACGTCTCTTCACGTCTCTTCTCTTCCCTTTTTTTTGTATTTTAAAATGAAAAACAAGGTTAATATTTTTTTTCAAAAGAGGAACATACAAAATGGGTTCCCTGTTGGGGGTAATATTATGGCAATTTGCAAAATGGATTTTTTACCCTATCCTCTGTCCCCACTTTTTTGTGCCCTCCTCTTTTAATTTACTTTTTATTTTTTTATTTTTTTACTTTTTTGGTTTTTTATTTTTTATTATTTTATTATTTTATTATTTTATTATTTTATTATTTTATTATTTTATTTTTTTTTTTTTTTTTTGGTAATAACTAAAAGTACACACCTTTTTAAAACGCCGTAATTTAAACAACCATTTTTAAAAATTTCCCCAATGTGCAATGGATATTTACACGAAAAAACGTTTAGCAGAAGAAAGGGAAAAAAGTTCGTGTACACATTTGTATAAGTATCTCACTTTTGCAACATCCTGTTCGAAGAAAAAAAAAAAAAAAAAAAAAAAGTGCATACTCTTGTGACCTGTGCAATATTAACGGTATGTTGATATATTACAATTTAACATTACTTTTCTCATTTTGGTGAAAAAGTATGAACAGTTGAAAAGCTTTATTTTCATAAATATTGTGGCTCAAAAAGATCGATTTTAACGTGGACTTCGCTTTCTCAACATTTTCATTGAAAAAAGGTGCCACATGGTTGGAGGGGGAGAAAAAAAAAAAAAAAATAATAAAATAAAGCTGAAATGAAAATGAAATAAAATCGCGTAAATCCAGCAAATAAAACAATTACAATACAGGTACCTTTTTGGAAGGGGTCCCAAACTAACCCAGTAGAGGAGAGAGGGAGGGTCACCGTTAACCAAATTGTGAAATATCTTCCCAAAATAAGCTACCCAAATAGAAACATGCAAACTAATTTTGTGTTAAATGTGTGAATAATATTTCACTTTGGCCATGTAACACTTGTTTGAAAAACCTTTCGTCTTCAACGGTTTTGCATTTAATCATTCAGTGCACTCAGGAGTTAGGTGTAAAGAGAAGTTTTTCCATAACTTCCAACGGTGGAGTGTTTCAAGCTTACCAAGTGTAGTAAACACAACTTGTGCAATTCAGTGTTTCACCACGTGGACACTTCGACACTTGGCCTCTTAGCCACGGCTCCTCCTAGTCACGTCACCACTTCACTAAGAGGCTAGCTGGGTCGAAGAGGAAAGGGCGGGGCACGATGTTTGGGGATGACGAATTTGTGAAGGAATATATAAATGGAAATATCTCTAAAATCGAGGATGTGGAAATTCACGTGGAAAAAATGAACAAGGAAATAATGGAATTGGACAAGATTATCAGCGAAAAGATAGAAAATCAAGTCCTAAGGGAAGTAGAATATGAAGATAAATTAAAAAGCATAAAAGAGAAAATGAAATTAATAAATAACAAAATGGAACAAGTAGATAAAAAAACAGAAGAAAGTGAACACATTTTAGTAAGGTTATGTAAAGATATTAAAAAATTAGATATAGGAAAAAAAAATGTCACAGAAACTATTATAATAATGAAAAGGATTGTTATGGTTATAACTGCCATAAGCAACTTGAAAAAAAAAGCATTGAAAAGGGATTACAGCAGTTGCATTCCTCTGGTTTCCCTTATCAAGGAAATGCTTATACACATCTCCGATTTGAAGACAAATTCAAAACTAAGTGCATTATACAAAGATGCAAGTGTCATTTTTGACGATTTAAAGCACCAAATAAAGGAAGACATCGATTTAATATACGACCCCGATGTTCACATTGAGAAAAACCTAATCGTGGTTAACGAAATGAGTTGCAGCGAAATAAGTCACCATGAGGTGAAGCACGATCCAATGTATCGCGGCCAAATGAATAGCAACCCAGACAATCACAACCCAGAGGATCACAACCCAATGAGCTCCAACCCAATGAGCTCCAACCCAATGAACCGAGACAAAAGTGATCAGCTATGCATTAACCTGTTCGATGCATGCAAATGCTTATATGAGTTGGATCACGAATTTGTGTCGGACGTTGCTAAGAAATTTACAAATTTTTTTCTAGAAAAATACATTGTCATTTTTGAGAATCAAGGAAACAATTTAGAAGGGATTGATAGACGCATGGCGTGGTTAAAACGATCCTTAAATAGCTATGAAAATAACTATGCTTCTATTTTTCCTCCAGTTTATAATATACCTTATCATATCGTTAGCAAATTCTGCTCAATCACGAAAAAACATGTTGTAAAAATTATGTCTTCTTCTGTTGAAGAAATTAATCCAGTTTCGCTTATACAGACCGTTATTAAAGTTATTAATTTTGAAAATTTTTTAACAAAGAATGTTACATATTATGCTGAAAAATGTACCATTTCTTCTTATTCTTACTCATCTATGGAATTTCCATTTCCAGAATTGATTATGCAAAAGGATTTAACATCAACACTCGGTGAGATACTTCCAGAAGAGAATTTCCCTCATAATGGTCACGTAAAAGACGACGAATTCTCGTCCTCCATTACAAATGAAGTGCAAGGAGGAACTCAATACAAAGATCATTATAAAATTTCACTTGACGATCGAAATGACAAAATTAAAAGCAGTAATATGAATCAGTCATATTTGCGAAATGTTTTTAATATCACTTCCACAGAACAAGGCAGTAGTATTATTCCCCTTGATAAGGATAGTACCGAATTGGGGAATAATAAAAATCAAATGAAATCTTTCAAGCACACAGATGAAGCACATAAGGAAGCACAAAAGGAAGAAAAGCGTTACTTGGAGGAAGAATATTCTTCCATAATATCACAGAGTGAAGGAAAAAAAAAAGAAAAGAGACAAAATTTCAAGGGCGTAATTTCTTGTGTATTCGATAGCTATCTGTGCAGCTGGTTAAAATATGAAGAGAAAAAGATTGTAGTAAAATTTGAAAATATAATAAATGATGAAAATAAAGAAGATAGCATAATAAGCAGTGGAAGAAAAAATGAAACAAAAGTGCCAAACATGATTGCAAAGGAAACATTTGCTGATGTTAATAATATTTTGAAAAAGAATGAAGAACATGCTCCCGAAATTTATTTTGAAATTACGGAAGAAAAACATTCAGTGTATAAATCAGCTTATAAATTATTCTATATATACAAAAGTTATGTTAATATGATATTATTGTTTAGCAATTGTCAAACTTTATATGATTTTGTGATTTTCTTTAAAACATTATTATTAAAATATAGTGAAGAATTGAATAAGAGAATAGTAAAAAATGTAAAAGAAGAAAATAAAATTAAACATTTCAAATTGTTGTCTATTATAATTAATACAAGTTCTTACGTAGAACAGACGCTTAATGAAGCACAAGAAAATATTGTGAAAGATATTGATTCAATTTATAAAGAAAAAATATCTTTTAAAGAGGAGGAAAAGCTATTTTTACAAATAAAAACAAAATGTATTAAAGGAATTATCACATTTATGGAAAATAAAATAAATACCATCATTTCGAATAATAATATTGTAAACATATTTGACATAAATAATATTCAAGAAAAGTCATTTTATATAATCAATATGGAATCATTTATACGTGAATACTTTTCTTTTTTTAAAAAAATATTTAACGAAACCTACTTTACATATTTGCTGGAAAAAACTAGTACCTTAATAATTCAGCAATTTTATCATACCATTCTTTCATTTCAGTTTATGACAAATATAACGGCGCAGCAGTTACTTATAGACTCTCATGAGATTGAACAAATTTTACTTCATATTCCTACTTTGTTGAACCAGAAAAAGGGTGAAACGCATGAGGAATGGCGAAGAACAGCAAAAAAGGAAGACCAACAAATCTTCACACCTGAATTGAACGCATTGCACAAAACGGAAAGTGGACTAGCTACCACTGCTTCGGCAGAGGCAGACGCAGATACAGATGCAGATACAGAAGAGGAGAGATACGTTATCCCACAAACATATTTCAGCTATGTAAAAAATCAAATGAAAAAAATTAAATTTTTAATTAAAATATTTATCTCAAATATTTATGACATGAACTCTTTTAATTTACTTCTCACGGAAAATAACAACATATGTACCATCCAGGAAATTGAAAAAATATTGTCTCTAAAAGATGACTGTAATGAGGAAAAGTCCCCAAACGATTCTATTCTGAACAAGAATTATGTGAATGACATTAAGGAGAGAGGAATAAAAGCTGCTGAGGAGGTCAAGTTTTTTTTCAACAAAATTACCAACATGTAGCTTTTTGGACGCTTTATATATTTCTAATCTAAGAAAGAATATTGAAACGTCATCTTTTAAACATTTTTTTTTTTTTTTTTTTCTTTTTTTGCGATAAAAGTGGAACGCATTCATATTGGAGTCCTCAATTTTTCTAAAATGGAACGAATAAAGAGGTGGAGTAAGAAAGTTAAAGATATCGCTATGCTTTAACGTTCTCTCTTCATTGACTGGTAAAATGAGAAAATCAAGTTGTTTTGTTTATTTTTTTTTTTCATTCATTTATTTTTATTTTTTTCATTCATTTATTTTTATTTTTTTCATTCATTTATTTTTATTTTATTTTGTTTATTTTTTCATTTTTTTATTTTATTTTCCTCCCCACCCCCTCTGCACGTATCACTATTTAATTTTTATTAAATATGTAGATACATCATTATATGCACATTTTTATACAATTTTTTTATTTCATTGTCCCGCGTGGGAAAAAAAGTGTTAACTTTGAATTTTAAAAAACGCAAATTGGTAGGGCACACACATAAGCACGAAACATTTTCTGTCAAAAGGTGGATTAAAAAAAAAAAGAAAAATTGTGAAGGGGAAAAAATTGGATATAGATTAATCGAGATTGAGTAAAGACAGATGTGGTTTACAAAAATTCCGAAGCATCCATATAAACAAACATATATAACTTTGTGTACACACTTTTACCAACTTTTTTCAAGCGTCACGGAGAGGCCAACGAAAAGGAGAAAAATATATATATATATATATATATATATATATATATATATATACATGTATATACATTAACCATTTAAAGTGTTACAAATTTGAGATAGCGTCTGTCCAATCCACGGAGAAATGAACAGTGTGCATGTGAAACGGATGTTGCTGCCTCGAATAAATGTTGAATCACAGTAGTCACGAATTGAAGGAAATTCCGTTGGGTGTTTTTTTACTATCAAGGTGGAAAATTTTTCCAAAACTTCTAATCCTTTGTGATTTTTGCTCAGTGTCGCTCTTGAGTTGCATGTACCTCTTTCCAATGTTGTAATCTCCGCCACCATATTTTTTCAAGAAGTGAGAGATATCATAGGTGCTAATGGCAAAAGATTTCAATAAATCAATTAAACAAAAAATTTCTTTATCATTTACATCACCATTAAATTCTTTGATGAGAATTCCATTTTCTGGTTGAAGCATAAAAGCATGAGCATCATGATCAATTATAACTACTCGATCCAGATTTCTACCTAATCTGTTTAAATCTTTTACATAATGTCTTTTTTTTTTGGAACATTGATCTCTGTGTAAACAGCCAATAGCTGGAATACCCCACTTGGAAATAACTTCTTGTGCAACTGGGAAATTATCATCAGACCAAATAACAATTTCATAAAAACTTGATAATTCTTTAAAAAACATATCAGCATAAGGTCTCTTGAGCACTCTCCATCCGGTTTTTCTATCATATTCTAATTTTGCAATTACATAATTTAAATCAATTACTAATGTTGGTAAATTTTCTGGATAATTTAAATCTTTAAAGTCTGGTAATAACGGTTCATTGCTTAGTGGAAAATATTTATCAATAAATTCGTTTAATAAATCATTATATTTATTTTCTAACACTTCTGCTTTTTCTTTTAACATTTTTAATAATTCTTCCATACTTATATCATTTTCAATACAGTACATGTAAACTTGTCCAAATGGCATTAAAAGAAGGCTTAAAAGTAAATACATTTTTATCATTTTTTCTCTTTCTTTTTTGTGCAGATATATTTGTCTTAATGTTTTCTTGCTCTTGTTGCTATTTAATGTTTCATCACTTTTGCAACTGTTAAACGTTTTACTAGTTTGTGCAACGGAAGAATGGTTAGTGCATTCATTTTCACCACCATTTGAGGATTCATTGACCTCCCCTCTATTGTTTACTTCATGCACTTTGTTCATTTTTATCTTTACTTCCTCCTTGAAATTTCCACAATTTGCACTTTTTGATGTTACAAATGTTCTCTTCATGTAGCAACAACTTCTACTATCCATGTAGAAGAGCTTACTGAATTGTGGGATACTACAATCCCTGTTAAATTGTATAATTGGTGATTTTATTGTACTATTTATATTCACACTTTTTTTTTTTTTTTTTTTCTCTTCCAATTTGTCCTCTCCCTTTAGATAGTTCCTGCTTACGAAGATGGGGGACATAATATTACTCATTAATTTGAAATAATCATTTTTACATACTTTTCTTCCATTTTCATTTTTATCCAAAAGTGAAGAGATACTTGTAAATTTTTTCTTTTGATAGGTTATGCGTCCATTGTTATTGTACTTTATTTCTGTATGTTTACTAAATTTTGTGACTTTTTCAGCATTTTTTTTTTTCTTATGAGCTGCTAAGTTAATCCCTGCATTACTGTTGGAACATCTTATTGACAAATAATGAAATAATTTCTTTTCATTATTTTTTAAATTGGATAAACATAATGAGGCAATCATTTTATAGCACTTCCTTTAAGCATTATCTTGCTGAGGAAGTTTTTAAACATGGTATGAAGAATAAATTGAGATGGAAAAAAAAAAAAAAAAAAAAAAAATGATATTATCTTGGATAACTGGTTTTATGTTTACATGTGGAAAAGACCAAAAAAAAAAAGGCATAGAAAAAAAAAAAAAAATACATCCCTAAGCGTGGAAATATAAAATGTGCATTTTCCCCATATCTTTCAATCTACTTAGATATGCTCCCTTTTATTTTCACTAATAAATCTGAGAAATAAAAAATAATATCATTTGTGCAAATATTTCTCTCTTTTTTTTTTCATGTGAAGATCGCCCCATACTCTGTTATATGATCTCATTGTCAAACTGTTGCACCTATATATATTTTTTTTTTTTTTTTGGGGTAGGACACGGAGTGCCCACATATATATGTATATATATACTAATTCTGTTTATACAACAGATTAAGCAAAAGTTATCTTTTTTTTTTTTTTTTTTTAACTAGATAGGTAAGCACAACACATTACAAAATTTCTTAGGTGCACATAAATCTGTGGAGAATATAAACATTCACGCTTAAGTATCATATATATGGACTTGCGATAGGTGGAGAGAGGGCAGGTTCAGAATGAGAAGAACATTCTTAGGGTTCCTACTTTATTCCAGTACTCCAAGAGAAAAGTCAAAAAAAATGAAAAAATATGAAAAAATATGAAAACAAAATAAAAAAAATTCCAACATGTACGTTGTAGAAGTGGATAATGATACAAAAAAAAAAAAAAAAAAAAAAATGACACAATGCAAAATTGTACAAAATGGTACAAATTTTTTGACGTAAAAAATAATAAAAAAAAAAAAAAAAGTGGGTCAGAAAGCACTGGTAAGCAATTCCAACTGTAAGAAAAATATTCTTAATTCACACTTGTTAAAATTGTTAATTAAAAGAAATATGTATCACGAGTGGAGCGTATCATAATATATTCATGGCTTAATATATGTATGACGTGTACGTGGGTTAGTACATTGTGAAAGGGAACGGTCCTTTTTAAAGATATAAAGTTCTGCCTCCGCTAATGTGGTGTACACAAGAAAGTATGTATTTATGTTTGTACTTGTGTATATATATATATATATATATATATATATATATATATATATAAATATATATATATGCATGTACGTATGTATGCACGTATTTATACATTCATAAATACGTGGCTGTGATTGTGGAAAGCATTTGATTATTTTCAAAAAGATGGCCTAAATTTTTCTCGCAAACATTTTTTCTCATCTTGCAACCGGTGCAGAAGGGAATATACATACCAAAACATGTAAGAAAAGGAGAAAACTACAGTAAATTCTTTCCACTAAGGGAAATGTATTTACTTGATAAAATTTCAAGTCCTTAAATAATTCCTGTAAGATAGCCTCTTTTTTTTTTTTTTTTTTTTTTTTTTCAGAGCATCCATCGTGGATTAGCTTAACTTTTATGTTTGCAACTTTTTTTTTAAAAAAAATAAAGTTTCACTTTTGAGGCCTCATTAGGATATGTACATATGTGTACACATTAATACATATAAATATAACATTATGGCATTTTGCCGTTACAACTCTTAAGATGAACTTTAAGTGCACGGGAGAAAATGAAAAGAATACTATGTGCTGCTTACGAGAGGTACAAATGCACACCAAGAGAAATTAAGATAATAGATATTTACCTCCTTTTCACTCTTTCCTCATTAATTGTTTTGTCGTTCTATGCTTATCTTTTTTCATTTTTCGGAGAAAAAATTTCAGTTGCTGCGATTTTCACATCCATCGGAAACATAACTTTTTTAGTAGCCCTCAGGGAGCAGGTAAGAGGCAAAGTGGTGAAAAAGTGGAGAAAAAGTGGAGAAAAAGTGGTGAAAAAGTGGAGAAAAAGTGGTGAAAAAGTGGAGAAAAAGTGGTGAAAAAGTGGAGAAAAAGTGGTGAAAAAGTGGTGAAAAAGTGGTGAAAAAGTGGTGAAAAAGTGGACTACTGACTGGCTCGTCATTTCCACTAAGTGAAAATAGATCCCCATTTGACACACCCCAGTTCGTATCTTTTTAATTCACTGGCGTCTGCATTTTATCACCTTTTTTTTTTTTTTTTTTTTTTTTTAAGATTACGAATAAAAACTTATTTAATCTCAAAAGAGAAAAAATCATATTCGATTTCGTCCTGTGTTCCTTGGTAATGTACATTTGTAAGTGGAATTTTTTTTTTTTTTTTACCCCCCTCTTGACTCCGTTTGACGATTTTTACTGCTAGACATTTTTTAACCTATTTTTTCTTCTCTGTAAAATCCACTGCTTCAAACATTCAATTTCCCTGAACTCTACAGGTGTATTCAGCTACATGCACTTAAATTAAGAAGCAGAGTCATAGTTTCATTTTGCCTCGTCCAGACATATATACATACATGTCTCTCCAGGTATACAATTATTTTCCATAAAATTGGGATGAATAAAGTAAAAAACATACTAATAAATGACGTGATAAGAATCGGAAGTTGTTACTTATGCACAGGGATGATTTGATGTTAAGGTAATATTGAAGAATAAAAACTACTGAATGAGGAATTATTTACTAGGTTTCATCATTCTGCTGTTTATTTTCGAATGTGAGAGTTACGTCATAAAATGGAGAAAAAATTTAAACGTAAATGTTCCTATTCGATGTAGACAGAATAAAAACAAAACCAACACCCCAAGTGCATTTCGAAGTTACATGAAAAGGTTAAGAAATGCAACAGTTGAAATTGATATTGAAAATAGAAAAGATTTAACGAAACTTGAAATTATAAAAATGTTTTTAAAAGGTGTAAAGGAGTGTAAAAATGTGGAATATTTAAAAGAAAAGGCAAAGGGATATGTACCCCCGACAACTAAAAGAAAATTGATGAAGCAAAAAAGAATGGCAAACTTAAGAGCACATGTAAAAAATTGTAGAATACGTAAACAAGAAGAAGTACCACCAGAAAAAAATATTCTAAATTTTCCAAAAAATCAGATCAAAAATATAAATGCTGCTGTCTTATATTTTCAGCATTATTTTGAAAAGTATGAGCAAAATACAAATTAAAATTTGTTGTCTTGTGGCATTATTCAAAAGTTTGCCAACTGCACTTTTTTTTTTTTTATGTGTACAATTTTTATGTACGTACATGTGTATATCTCTATTTTTTTTTTTTTTTTTTTTTTTTTTTGTGCCCATTTTAAACGAAACAGTAAAGAAACAAATAAAAAACAGAAGAACAACAATGAAAAAAAATAAAAAAAAAATAATAAAAAAATTAAAATAAAAAATAAAATAAAAAAAAAAAAAAAAGAAATTTAAAAAATAAAAAAAAAAAAAAAAAAAAAAAAAAAAAAAATATAAAAAAAAAAACACAAAAAAAAAAAAAAAAAAAAAAAAAAAAAAAAAAAAAAAAAAAAAAAAAAAAAAAAAAAAAAAAAAAAAAAAAAAAAAAAAAATACATTATAATATCCAATAGGTCTTAACCTAACCAACCATTCAAGTAATATTTTTTATAACTCACATTAATGCTGTTAATGACATCACCAGTTTCCTTTTTGATTTGGGTGTAGATTCTATATTCCTTCTCGACTGGGTATATATCCCTATATGTTTTAACACACCTATTATTTTTTTGAACGAATTTCTTTTGATAATCAAATAGTATGTTTTTATAATACCTTTTTTTTAACAATAAACTTTTTAGTTTTACCAAATCTTTGTATATATAGTTGTACTCTTTTTCTAAGTGACTTATGTCTTTATTTTCGTCTACATCCAGTAATATTTTCTTAATATTCTGATCATTTATTAAATTGGAGAAACTTCCTAAATTTTTGTATTCTGAATTATTAGCCATCGTGGTGTCGAAGCTTTTAATCTCATCAAGTGAGTTGTAATTGGCTTAGGCAAAAAAGAGACAAGGGGTGATCACGTGATTTGGGAGAGAAGCCAATATGTGATACGGTGTGGGGTAGGAGAAGAGAGGCAAAAGTGCAATGCGATAAAATATATATATACAAGTCCATATGTGCACATTAATGACATGTATTAAAATTATGGATAATAGACATAAATGCATACAACAGAACATGCATATTATTCATGCTCAAAACAATGAGACGTGTATACTCTCGCAAGGCATATCACTCCAGCTCGTTGCACATCCGATGTGTATCCCCCACCCCCCTCTTTCTCTTTCTCTCTCTCTCTCTCTCTCTCTCATTCTCTACGTATTCGTTTTTCTTTTCTTATTACATCTTTCAATTTCATGGTCCTTGCTTAATGAGGAGTTTTTTTTCGATTTCCCATCCAAGGATAGGTTTGATGAGGCTGCACCCCCCACAAGGGTACATTTCAAGTTCTGGTAATATGAATATATAGGTCTCAGCGTTTCTTTGTAGAATTTATTTGGAATAAATTTAAAATGGCTATAAAACAATTTATCATAAAGTTTTAAAATTTCTTTAACTTTTTTTTTTTCATTTAATAGTTCCTCTTTTGGTAGTGTTCTAGGAGTTAAGAAATAATCAATATCTTTTTTCAAAACTTTCATACATATGGATAAATAGATATTTCCGTATGAATCCATAGTGATGTTGTTTTCTTTCGCTTCTTCATTCTTTATTTCTTGAATAATCAAATTTATGCTCTTACTGGAGTAGTGTGTCTCCTGAGCTGGTTCCATGTTCGCCCTGTTATCGCTAGTTTTGGTATTTGAAATGTTTGAAACGTTTGAAAAGGTTGAAAAGGTTGAAAAGGTTGAAAAGGTTGAAATTTTTGATATGCCTGAAACGTTTGATACGTTTGATATTTCATCACTTTTAACATTCTCCTTATATTTATGGGGTGTTACATCTTCCTCTTTTGTATTGTTCTTGCATTGGGGATGCGCTTTTTTTTCTTCTTCTCCTTGCTGTTGTTGCTCTTCCACTTCAAGTTTATTACCCTGGGGTATGTTTATAGTGCTTATTTTGTGGCTATCACAATTACTTTGCTTGTTTCTACACCCATCAACTTTGCTTGTTCCTTCTGTCGATAATCTGAATTTTCCTACTTCCTCGTATTTTTCTTTTTTTTTTCCTTCTTCATCTTCTCGACTTTGTAGAAACACAGGGTGCTGCTTTAGCTTGTGTTCTTTTTTCTCGTTCATTTGGTTTTCCGATTTTTTTAAAAAATATTTTTTTTCTTCTTCGCCATTTTTATTCCTTGTCTTTTGAAATGACAAAATTGATACTTCTCCTTCTTTTTGTTTATCTTCCATAGACCATTTCTTCATGCACAACTTGTTGTCACCACCGCTAATACTGTGTTCATTATTTTCTTCTGTTATGCAATCATAGAAGAAGATATTTCCTTCTTGCGCTTCTCTATTATGAGTAGTATCTTCTTCACTGTTTTCATTTGTTTGGACTTTTGATTTTGTCTTAAATGTTTTGTTAAATGACATATCACCATCCAGATACCCCTGTTTGTTTTCTACACGACTCATTTCGTTGTCTCCATTGCTCAGAAGATTCATATATAAACTATTGCTATTGCAAAATATGTCTTCATCATCACTTTCATCATTCAAGCTAGATATACTTCTGTCCATTTTACATAATTTCTTTAAAGGGAAATTAGGTGAATTAACCCCCTTGTAGAACTTTTTCAATTTTCGTATTTCTTCATTTAAAGTATATTCTTTTATTTCCTTTGTTTTATTTATGCAATCGTCATGTTCTTTTAAAAAAGGGAACCATTCTTGTACACATTGTTCCAAAATCATATTTATCATTTCATTTTGTGAATTCACATTGGTATAACTATAATTATTACTGTTTAAAATTTGCGGACTTGTGCTTAGAACAGGTGGCTTAGTTGCATTATTAAAAATGCTACCTGAGTAGTTATACGTGTCATAAGAGTTATTCATACTGCCTGAACGTGTTAATTTCGTTCGAATGTGCTATCTATTTTTCGCATGCATAAGGGGTGATTATAAGTGATAATCTTTTTTTTTTTTTTTTTAGCATTTACACTTTCATATGATGTTTGTGTCTATAGTGAGTTTTTCCTTGATGCGTGACTATTAGATGTTTTTTTCCTCTTATAACATTTTGTGTGTTTTTTTTGTGTTTTTTTGTGTGTTTTTTTGTGTGTTTTTTTTGTGTTTTTTTGTGTGTTTTTTTTGTGTATTTTTTTTTTTTTTTTTTTTTTTTTCTTTAAATATTTGGACACTTTTGTAGAATTATTTCCCCTTTTGAAAAACTTAACGTTGTACAATCTTTGGACAAAGTAAATATTCTTTCACATACATGCACAAGGAAAAGTAGTTAGATAACAAGAATGAGATCGATCAAAGGGAGACAACACTGCTTTATCAAAAATAGCACTTTTGGATGAGCTAATAATGATAAACAAACAGTTTGTCAACACTTTATTTTTACAGTGACTGTTATAACTGTGTGGATTTTTTTTTTTTTTTTTTTTTTTTTTCACAGGTAAGGCAAATTTTATCATTTTATTGAACCTCGATCATTACACTTTCTCTCTTTTATTACTGCGTTTTAGGGCATTTCTATACACGAGTACTGTGAGCACGATTGCAAAGAGAAGGGTGAAACATGGTTCATAAACTTTCAAAAAGGCAAGTATGGATACCTTCATACACACCTTTGCACGATGAAAAAATATGTGCGTGTATTTCCACACACACATATATATATATATATATATATATGTATATATGTATATATATGTATATATGTATATATATGTATATATATGTATACAACATATATAGCTACCCCTGAGCATGAAGCACCGTTTGCACATAAATTTGCACCCCTTCCACGGCTTTCAAAACAAGCACAAATTTTCACAAACTAAAATACATATAGCTTAAGTAAAATAACATCCTTGTATGCATTGCGCTCCATGCACGAGTTTGTAGGAGAAAATTGAGACTTTTTTTTTAAAGAAAAACTTGATCAAATGAAAAATAAACAAACAAATAAAAAAATAAATAAACAAATGAATAAACAAATAAATAAAAATATATATATATATATATATAAATATATAAACAAATATATAAAATAAATTCAAGGAGTGTTACGAGATAAACTTTTCACAAAAGTGTTCATAAAAATATCCAAACTCCCCTGCCTTTACCCATGACCTGAAATTTTCCTTTCATGTGAATTTCTACATGTCCCAAGCTTATTAACACATGTAACTTTCATCAACACTTGCAAAAAATTAACAATAAGTTTGTAGTATAAAAGGGATGAACCTTTAGGGACCTTTTAGAGAAAAATATCCCATTCAAAAATTTCACTTCTTTTGTTTTCCCTTTTTTTTTTTTTTTTTTTTTTTTTTTTCACGTTTTCTTTTCCATTTTCATTTCCATTGAACTTTCATATTTTTCGGGCAAGACTCATAGGGGATTTCACGTGTGATAGTAAGGTGACCTTGTAAATGCACAAATTAGGTTTCCTGTAGATTGCTTGGAGAATTTTGTCTAATTTTTAATTTTTTTTTTTTTTTTTTTTTTTTTTTTTTTACTGCTCCATTTTATTTAGCAATTTCTTTCTTCTTTTCATCATCCCATTAATGTAGTTTTGTGAAATATACAAAAAGGCATATCTCACCTCAAAAACATTTATTCATAAATATATATAGGATTTACTGTAAAATTTTGTTCTTTAAATTTCATTGAAGTTATACTTAATTGAGCAAAAATTAAATATCGGTTTTGCATTATCTGTATCCATATCATGGTGATCGAAGACACGCATATATAATTTTTTTTTTTTTTTTTTTTTCTTTTATGAATCATTTAAAAGGAAAGAATAGCTGATTTGGATTTTTTTTTTTTTTATCTTAACTACTCTGTAAGGGTAACAATTTTTAAAGGCTCTTATAAAACAGTGTTAATTATTATAGCTATTCTGAAAAACAAGGAAAATACATAATTTCTCTTTAATTTTACTTCTAATTTACTTCTAATTTTAGCTGTAAATTTAGTTGCCAACAGTTTTATACCGAAATACGTTAACATGCTAATTCACCATTGCAAGATGTGTTAATTGGGTGTGTGTATGTGGGTGGTGGTGGTACAATGTTCAAAAAAAAAAAAAAAAAAAAAAAAAAAAGTGTTCATACATAACTGATATTTTGTATTAATATACAGCGGAATGGTAGAAATTCTCTAGATTGCATTTCTATCACCACATTTTTGGAGCAATTTACGCATTTTAAGTAAAAAAAATTTGTCATTGGGAATATATGATTGTTGGTACCTGCGCAGAATTTCTGAAAGTGTACTACGTCATTTTGGGAATTAAAAGAACTTGAGACACGACGATTACATATTCGGGGAGTTAAACATTTTTACTCATGAACTTGAGTTAAGAATAAACTAAAATTGAAATGGCAACCAAAAAGTAGAACTTCCCTTGTTTAAGCCTGATAAATTTTATGGCTAAATTTTAGCCATACTTATTTTTTCAATGCATTTACTACGGAATTGTTTAAGGTGTGTCACAGCGCGGCACATAATGATTTTTTCGTTTTGTTTGCATTTTCGTTTTCTCTTCTTTCTCTTTTTCCAATTTGTACTACCTCAAACTTCACATCGCAATAGTTCTCAGTGTAGTTTTAGCCTCACCATGGCGAATATTTTGGACGCCTTTTTTACACACCCTTGAAGGTGTACCTCTTGCCCCATGTGACCTTTTGGTAATTCTGCCAGTGGGGAAGCACGTAAATGTGAACATATGAAAAAAATGGAAAATGTGAATAAGGGCAAATTTGAAAAAAATTGTGAAAAAAAGGGAATAGAAATAAGGGAAAATATATGCACAGGTGAATAGGGATGTCTCATTTTTTCGATTTTCAAATTTCCTCATTTTAGTTGCTTCTTTCCTTTCTCACAAAATCTTTTTTGTGTTGGCCGTTTATGCATATCCTTCAGATAGGCAACTTTTTCCCCACAAAAAAAGGAGTAAATATATTTATGAATTAAGAACAGTATGCACACATGTCATGATTATATGAACAGAAGTTATTTAAACAGGTGTGACATGGAGGGAATATACATTATCTTAGATCTATATTTACACAATTGTGATATTGCAAAAAAAAAAAAAAAAAAAAAAAAAAAAAAAAACGTGGTTAAACTACTTGTTATTTGGGTTTGTTCTTTACTGATCCTTTTTTTTTTTTTTTTTTTTTTTTTTTTTGCAACGCAGAGGTTTTTTTTTTTTTTTTTTTTTTTTTTTTTTTTTTTTTTTTATTTTTTTTTTTTTTTTTTTTTTTTTTTTTTTTTTTTTTTTTTTTTTTTTTTTTTTTTTTGCAACGCAGAGGTGTTTTTTTTTTTTTTTTTGCGTTTTTTTTTTTTCACCTTACACTTTACGCTTTACACTTTTTTCAGTGTTATTCTTTTTTAATTTTTAATTTTTTTTTTTTCCTTTTTTTTACTCTTATGACATGTAAATTTCCTTAACCATAATTCGAGTACACAGATTGAGGTAGATGGAGGTGAGTGTAAAAACATAAGTGGGGTGCTGTCCACCTGCTCCTCCTCCTCGTTGTGGCCTATGTGCGCACATGTGGATATTTCTTTCCTATTTGCACATGCACACGGAGATTATAAATATATGCATATATATACATATACTACATATACATGTGTATATATTTAAGTATATGAACAACCTGCTTATTCATCTTCACGAATTATTCGCCATGATGTTAGCCTCAAAATGTGCATACAGTTGGCAGAAAAAAAAAAAAAATATAACGATGCATTATTTACATAAAAAATAAATAAATAAAAAATTTGTCGATGGAACTTTTTTTTTTTTTTTTATATTCAGGGTTATTATATTACGTTGCTTTAACTTGACCTCCTCTGAAGGACTTGTTTTTTTTTTTTTTTTTTTTTTTTTTTTCCCCTTGTTTTTTACCTAGAACGCACTTAAGTAATTCTCCTTCCCGCTTTACCATCTCTTATTCAGTTTGAATGTCCCCTTTGTTTTTTTTACCTAAGCCGTTCCTGAATTTTTCGCAATTTTTTCTTAAATTTTCACACCAACTTAACGACAATATATAGTATGACCCATCCTTTGGACGAAAAGTATACCGAAACTTCTTCCTCATTACTCTTCACTCTTTTTTTTTTTTTTTTTTTTTCCTCTATTTTTCTCCTTCTTTCTTCTTTCTCTTTTTACTTTTCCTTTTTTTATTTTTCATTTGAGTATTTTTTTCAGTACAGTTCATAATTTTGATCTTCCCAACACGCGCTTAGCATAAGAGAACAATTGGGCAAATTTTTCCAAAAGTGGAACGATGCAGATATAAAAGAATGCCAAGTTTTTAATGTAAAAAAAAAAAAAAAAAAAAGAAAAAAAGAAAAGCGAAGGTTTGCTTAAAGTACACTGCAAATATGTACACATGTTATATATTCCGTGTTTTTTTACGCTTGTATGTGAGCATGTGTTTATAGTGGGGTTGGGGAACATGCAATATGTACACAAATATATATGCATGTATATATATCCATAAAAATCTACACTAAACATACCTTAATCGTATGATATATATAACATGCTTTTTTAATTTTGCATAAAATATATATTAAGTACATACATCTATACATATACATGTATACACGTGATACATTTTTATTTCCCTATTTTTACTTCCACCTTTGCTTCCTTTTTATTTCTTCCTTTTTTTTTCCTCCTTTTTATTTCCTCTTTTTTTTTTTTTTTTTTTTATTATTAATTGCGTTAATATGAGATTCGAAAATTCACTAAATTTTTACGTAATGAAACACATTAAGCATATAAACAACACGTTAATATATTCTTAGGGATCTAATTACACGCCCAATATATGTATATATGTACATAAGAACATATATACATGCATAAATATATAAAATATGTTTCAATATATATATAATTCCTCACGTTTGTAATGTATACCATTTTTCATTTTTTTTTTTTTTTTTTTTTTAATTATTTCACATTTCTGTTTTTTTTTTTTTTTTTTTCTTATAATTTTCTGGTTTCAGTTTTAAAGAGTAGCAGGACTGGTTAAGAGATGAAACACTCATTTTCCAAGTCCACCTTAGGAATAATAAAAAAAAAAAAAATTAAATAAAAAAATACAAAGGTGTTTACTGTACTATGAGACCAGTTTACATGATTTTGTACCTTCATGGATATGCTTAAGTGTACATAGATTGTATTCCTATATGCACACATAAGTATATACTCCAAGTGTACAAAGTACCAAAGGAGAAAGCTACACCTCAACATAATCTAATAAGTTGTAGCATTTGTTCTGAGGAATTATTAATATATACTCAATAACATAAAACATTAGAAGGATAGTCATATACGAAGATATAACAGGAAATCATCCTTTATACTCTCTACGCAAAATATAATTCTTCATTTTTGAGCTACACATGCTCATTTGAGGAATTTTTTATTTAAAAAAAAAAAAAAAAAAAAAAAAAAGAGAGTTGCAAGCGTTTGTATTCCCCGGGGAAAATTTTGCATTAGCGCATGAATATATTTATATGACTTCGCTCATATGAATATATTTATATGACACTATTCGTATGAACAGATTTATATGACTCTATTCATATGAACAGATTTATACGCACTTATTTACACATTTGCACTTTCTCGTACTCAAAGGGTTTCTATGCAATCACAGCATGGAAATAAAATGTAATTAAAAAAAAAAAATTGAAATTGTACGATATATTTTTGAAGAGGAGTGAGAACATATATATACATATATAGCACCAGTCTGTTCCATAGACAAATAGATCACTTGGAATTTACCACGTTGTAAAGGAATTTCCAATTTTTTTTTTTTTTTTTTTTTTTTTTCTTTTTCATTAACAAACGATGATAATTACGCACGTTTGTAAATGCATTATTACATGTATTAATGATGAGTCCTGATACACTACTCATACAGAAGTGCCATTTTAAAAAGCATTTCTTTTTTTTTTCTTAAATAATAGAAAAAAAAGTACATACATATATATACATATATATGCCAATGCATGTACACATATATGATAACAAACTCTCCTCATGTCATGAGCTAGTATACTCGAACGTTGTATATGCATCCCGAATTGCGTGTATTTACATAGAGTAAACGCAAGAAGCATCATTACCACTAGTTGAGCTATCAGTGGGATTGCGTTGAGAGATGCAAGAAGACATATGCGTGTTTAGAAATTCGCTTATGATTTGTCTGTGTCGAGAAATTCGTTTATGATTTGACTGTGCTTAGAAATTCGTTTATGATTTATCTGTGTCGAGAAATTCGTTTATGATTCACCCGTGCGTGCACAAATACATGCAAAAATTTATCCAAACTAGAGAGAGAAAATGTATAATAGCAATGAAGATGAGGAGGAGAATTATCCAAGAAACAGGAGAAGCAATTCTTCGGACAGCGCGAATGGAAACCTAAACGAGTCTATGAATAATTACAATCATTACAATAACTTCAACAGATTTCATGAACAGAACATGCAATCATGTAAAATGGATGAAATATATGTAGATGATAGTTATGATGAAAATAACAATTATAGCCAAAAGGGAGAAAAATTAGAGGAGAATAACAATTTCGAAATTAATAAGAATATAAAATTCGACGGACCATACAGCCATAAAAATTTAAGAGGGGTAACTGAAAATGAAGTAGAATTAGTCGTAGATAATTTTTTTGATAAAATTAGAAACAATGAAGATGTATATTCAGATTGGAAAGTATGTCCAAATTTTATTTTTAGAATTCTATTTATAGCAAAATCAAGGTCTAATAATTATATGTACCCAATTGCATCGTCCTTTATTGAAGCTATGGCAAAAGATGACTGGGTTCCTGATTGGGGGTTCAGTAGTGTACAGTATTATATTATTTTAATAAATTTAGCTGATTATAGAAAATCTTATTACAAAATTGATAACTTTAGTTTTTCTCATTTAAATGCCGATAGGGGATGGCATAACTTTGTTCCTTTTGAAAAATTGAGAGAACCAGGTTTTATAAATGAAAATGGACAAATTGTTTTAAGAGCAGGAGTTTTTCCATTTGGTTCTGAATCATTTAAAAATAGTAGAGATGTAAATTATGATAGTAAAACAAGAACAGGATTTGTTGGTCTCAAAAATCATGGTGCAACATGTTACATGAATGCATTGTTACAACTGCTTTATCACATTAACATTTTTCGTAAAGCTGTCTGTATGATGATTTTTAATATTGAAGACATTATTGGTAAGAATACGTTAGAATTTTTTAAGAAAAAATTTGAAAAAAAAAAGCGTGCAAATAAAATGTCTTTAAAAAGGGAAAAGAGCAGCACTATCCAAATGATCGATTCTCTGGATATGAACGATAAAAAGGATAAGAATAGAAAGAATAAAAAAAAAAAATTGGATGAATTTGGAGGTCCCGATTCGGAGCACTTCAAAGCTTCTTCCCCTATGAGAGTTGTGTCTGATACACATAATAATAACAAACAGGAAGATTGTCATTATGATAATATTTTCCATGTCGAAAATGGAACTTCTAACGATTCGAAGATCATTTTTGAAAAGATAGAACAACATCAAGTGGATAGAGGAAGTGCAAATATGCCAATAAAGAACGACAACAGAAGCGAGAACTTTCTAATAAATCCTCCAAATAAGACAGATGAGAGCGGAAAGGATAACAGCTCAAATGGTCAATTAAAAAAGTTGAATGAAAATTTAGCAGGAGTGCAAAATAACGAACGAGATAACTCTCCTATCAGTGGATCCCCACAAAAGGAACGTAGATTTGACAGCATTTATAAGCAGCAAGAGGATAATAACATGGAAAATATAAAGGAGGAAAAAAATATTTGTGAACATGGGCACAGGTTCGTCACGAATGAAACAGAGGGAAATAAGGAAATGGTTGGAGATGTAGTAGAAGGAGGGGAATACCATCATAGCAATGATCTCTCAAACGTGGTTGACATGGTCGACGTGAGTGGCGTGGAAAACATAGGAATAGTGAGGAATAACAACATTCCCAATGTCGCTGTAAATAATAAGAAACATTCATATACAAACGTGGCTCTATCCGATCCATTAGTAGAAACAGCAGAAGGACACAACAACGTGAATAATAGTAATAATAATAATAATAATGGAGAATTGTATTATGACAATTCGCTACATAAAAGCGAAGGATATAACAACGAAATGATGATGAATCATAAAAAGAGTAAAAAAAAAGGTATGGTTTATGAATCAAAACCAAGTTTAAAAAAAAAAAAAAAAATTTTTAAATGCTCAAATGAGGGAAAATTTAACGATATGGAAAGTAAGGATAATGCATTATCACCTTTTACTTCATCTGACAATTTGTCCAACATTTCAACCGTATCGAAAGATCAGAATGAATGTAATAAAAACACAGTAATCAATAACAATGTGAATGATATAGTACCTGGTACTAATGTGAACATGGAGAATTGCAATTCATTAAATAATATCATGTCAAAATTTCAAAGAAATGACGAGGGAGAAGATCCTGTTTTAAGAAATTTAAATTCGCAAAGAAATAGCTGCCTTGAAGAGGGAGACGTGAATGTTGCAAATGAATCGAGCAGAAAAATAGGGACTAATATTACAAAAGGGAGCAGCGGCTGTAATGTAGATGGGGAACATGAGGATGAACTTTTAAATTGTGATGATGATGATGATGATGATGGAACATATTCGGACAGCGAAATATCTGTGCTTTCCATCACTTCGTCTGGTTCGTCTTCCTTTGTATCATGCTCATCGGCCTCTTCGTCTTATTACTACAAGAACAAAAGAAAAAGCAAATGTGAGAAATCGAAGGAAATAGACTATAAAAATATTTTGCTGGAAGAAGAGAACGAAAAGAAAAATGTTTTGCCAACATCATTGGCACTGCAGAATTTATTTTATAAATTACATTGTATGAATGAAGCTGTGTCGTGTAAAGAATTAATAAGATCCTTTGGTTGGGATGCCAGTGATGTATTCACACAACAAGATACACATGAATTGCTTAAGCTATTGCTAGATAAGGTGGAGGAACAAATGAAAGGAACGGTAGTAGAAGGATCAGTTAAGAAAATGTTCGAGGGGGAAGTTGAAACTTATATTGAATGTTTAGATATAGATTATAAAAGTGTACGAAAAGAAACATATGAAGATATTCAGCTAGATGTGCAAGGATGTAACAATATATATGAATCATTAGATAAAGCTATAGAAGCAGAGATTTTAGAAGGAGATAATATATACGAAACAGATGGCTATGGAAAGCAGAAAGCAAAAAAAGGTATGAGGTTTTTAAGTTTTCCAAATATATGTATATTTCTGTTAAAAAGATTTACATTCGATTTGCAAAGAATGGAAACTGTGAAATTAAACAATCGATTTGAATTCTATAAAGAATTAGATTTATCAAAATATTGCAAAAATGGAGGAGAATATATCTTACAAGCTGTATCAGTTCATCAAGGAAACATGAACAGTGGACATTACTACTCCTTTAGTTATAAGCATAATGAAAATTTCTGGTTAAAATGTGATGATGACAAAATATTTAGAGTAAGTGAATATTCAGTTATTAATGACAATTTTGGAGGGTATGATATAAATATAGACACAGATTTGTACGACTTTGATATAACAGATAAGATAAAACAAAGGATGAAGCATTATAGTGCTTATATGCTTGTGTATGTGAAAAAATCACTTATTCCAAAATTAATCAAAGAATGTGACCCTGCTGTAGTTAATCCACAAGTGGTTAAGAGATGCAAGATGGAAGAAATTATTAACAGAAGAAGGCTTAAATTGAAACAAGAAATATTACAGTATGTTAAAATTAGAGTTTTTGATAAATATTCTTATCTTTATAAATCATTCAATGATTTACCACCTGTTGGTATCCCATCCCTTTTTAATATAAAATTTGATAGAGACAAAACAGTTTTGAATGCTTTTTGTAAAATTTTGAAAATAATTAAAAAGATTTACATTTGCAAGAAGAAGAAACGAATGTCTTACCTCATGGCCAAGTCCAAGAAAATTTCAAGGACAATTCCTTCCATTGGAGATTATGCATCTTCGTCAAAAATGAAATCCAAAATGACAGAAGGAGAAGTGGATAAGTATAGCAACATGCATGTGGACGAAAATTTCAGTCATCTGAAATATTCACAGAAGGGTGAAAGTTACACAATGGAAGAAGCATTTAACAAGAACCAAATGGAATGTAACAGCAGCAGTGCAAGTCATAGTGGTAGAGGAAGTCATAGCGATAGAAGAAGAGAGGAAGAAGGATATCCATACAGACATGCAGTGAAAGATGGCAAATTGACACAAGAAAAAAAAAAAAAAAAAAATCATCATCATCAGGAGGAGGAGGAGGAAGAAGAAGAAGCAACATCAAGAAATAATCCATCCTCGAGGGAATGGAATAAACAGAACCAAGAAGAGAGGATAAGCAGAAAGAACTTATCAGAAATAGGATTGAGAACAGGATACAAATTCTCTAAAGAAGGGAATAATAGCTCGTCTGAAGATTCCATATCAACAGTTTCTTCAGTACCATCATGTTGTAGTATCAAATCTATAGATAAATATATTAAATATTTATCAAAAAGGAAGTTTGAAAAACAGAGAAAAAGATCATCACATATGAATAATTCAAGAATGAGAAATTTTTCATCATCCAATAATTCGTCCTATTACTCTTCTTCATATTCATCTAACACAGATGATGATGATGAAGAAGAAGAGTCTTATTCATCCGCTTCCTCATCATCCTCTTCCAATACTTGTATGAAGGAGAAAAAATGTTTCTATGTATTACTGCCAACAAATGATGTTTATCGATATTTTCCATTGGATATGAAAATAAATAGTCAATTATACTTATACGAATTGTTAAAAAAAACGAATAAAGAATCTAATGACTTATTCCCAACCATTGACATTTTATATTTGCCTTATAATAAAAATACTTCTATATGTAGAAGAAATGGAAGTTTAAAAAGTAAACATGTTTTATTTTTCTTTAAATATTTTGATATTTATGGAGAAGAAGAAATTGGTGATAATTCCTTGATCTGTCTAGACATAATATACTGTGATGTACTTTTAAAACCAAAAGAGTTAGAAAGTAGAATTATTCAACGAATTTTGAAAGCAATGAAAAAAGGATATATAACAAAATATAATTATGATTTATGGACAAATTATATAAATGATGATGCAGATTATTATTACCAAGATGATCCTTTAAATTTTAAAATTTTTATTGAATATAAAAATAAATGCAATTCGGTAAAGTCTAAAAAGATTATTGCGCATAATAAGATGATTCCAGGTGATATTCTCATTTTTAATTTTTTAAGTAACACAGATTTGGAAAAGAAAAAAAATTTTATTCTCCACCTTGGAACAAGACAAGAAGATCTTTATCTTACAGAAGAAAATCAAATTACGTATGATCTTTTTTTTAATGCGGATATAGTTAGCAAAATTTTGTATAAAAAAAAAAAGTTAATTGAAAAAATGTACAATTGTTGTTATATTATTAATAATAGGACTGGGGTTTATTACAAAGTTTTCGCATGTGCTTCAGATCCGGGTATTAGTAAAAGTTTCAACTCGGATCCACAGGCATATTACATTAGGCGCGAAAGAAATAGTAAAAATGGAGAAATCTCTGCCGGAGAGGAAAGTCATCCCAATTTAAGAAAACAGGAAGAAGCTATTGCAAATACAAGTGGACATACGATTGATAATCAGTTAAGTGTGAACAATTTGTTAAATGATGGCTATTTTGCAAATTGTGATACTTCGAATCAAAGAAAAAAGAAAACAAAAAAAGAATCATTTTCTCCTTTAGATGTAAACTTTGCCAATTATGGCACTCTCAATCGTATAGACCAAGAAAATTATTTCAATTACGAATATGATAAAACTGGAAATGATACTAACAATGTTAATCAGAATGGAACCAACATCTGTGAAGAAGCAAAAGAGAATTCTCCTTTGATCAAAGTGAATCATGAAAAAGCCAAAACAGATGTGCTTTTTGACAAGAACGAATTAGAATGTATTACCACTGCACGTGAATATACTAAACTTGAGGGTCATAATAGCAATAGTTTGAATTCATATCCCATAGTAAATCCTGATGGGACACTACAGGAGGTTATTCAAACATGCTATAATGAACGGAATGCAGAATACCATGATTCACATACAACATCGGTTAATGTTGGGGAAAAGATCGATAAGGTTTGTTTTTCAGATAAAAACATAATTGATGAAAATACATGTTTTAGTGCATCAAATTTGAATAAAGAAAATTTAAACAATGAAGAAGTAATGAATCTGTACCTTTACCTGAAAAAACACAGTTCTGAATTCGAGAAAAGAGGAATAAACTATGAATACAGCTTGTTAAACAAGAACATGTTAAAAGATGTGAAAGAATATGCTGTTAACAATAAAAAGTTCATTTTTAGAAAGAAAAAAAAACACCCGCTTAATATATATAACAATGAATGTATAAACATATGCAGAGATTATCAGTACCCATTTTATTCTCCAGCTACATCTGATCTATCAACAGATGATGAAAAGTTAGTATCGAAAAAAGGAATCAAAAAAAAAAAAAAAATTAACAACATGTTTGGAAATAATGATACAAATAAAAATTTGAATCATACGAATGCACGACATCGTGAAAATGAACAAAACCAAATGATTATCGATGGGTATAAGAACAGCGAAGATAAAATGAAGGGATTCACTTCCAATTGTGAGACTAGTAACACAAATATGTTAAGAGAAAAAGGGGAGGAGAAAATCAAAAATATTCCCATCAGCAGTAACAGTAATAACAATCTAAAAGTTCCAAGTGTCAATTTAAATTCATCTAACGAAAACAACATTTCAAGTGATTTAATTGCTGGATATGATTCTGAGATATCATTCTGCTCTTCAGCAAACTCAGATCTGACATACACATCAGAGAGTTCATCTTATTATTTGTCTAACGCAGAACAGTCATTAGAATCTGTTTATAACAACGAAATATATGATCATAAAAAGAAAAGAAAAAAAAAGAGGAAAAAGAAAAAAGTGAACAAAATAAAAGAGATTAAGGAGATAAGAGAAACTAGTGCCACCTTGCTGGATGGAAGGAAGGGAAATGAAATGATGAACCCATCTGTTTTATCTCAACAGGATATTGAATTTCAAAAGAACATTTTTAATTTAAATTCGGATGATGAAAAAATAGAAGCATATGTTGACTTTGATCGTCTGAGGGGCACAACAAATAAAGCTAGTAGTTATCTAGGTTCCTCAGATGACAGAATACATCAAAATAAGAAGAATTCTAAATCCAAGACAGATGAAACCGAACATCGCCATGGATATGATAATGTTGATAATAGGATCGATCACACTGATAATTGTTTTCAGAAAGGACAGACTGTGCAAATTAATCCAAGTGAGGAGAAAAATCCCGATTATCTAATATTCCCTGAACCGAGTTCTATGTATACAAATTATGCAAAACATGAAAAGGACGATTCAAGGAGTTGTAACGCATTATACTTACATGAAGAAAAGAATGATGTAACAAATGTTATCAACACATGTAACACATCTGTGTTGAAAAATAACATTAGTAATAAAATTTTATATGCAAGAGAATCAACTGAGAAGGAAGTTCCTAGAAGCACCAACTCCACTAATGGAGATTGCAAATTGTCGGATAACATGATTTGCACTAACAAAGAAAATAATACAAATGAGAGTACATACTTATATGACAAGAACAAAGAAGATAATGATTCCCATAATAGAAACCTTGAAGTCATTTCAGAATATGTGCATCATAATTATACTGATCGTGGCATAATAAATCAGATTTGTGATAATGCATCAAAAGGAAACAATAACATTATTGATGTTCATAACAATGTTGAAAATGATGCAATTGTAGATGAACAGATGAACGATAGAAGTAGAGCTCTGTTGCAAGAAAATATGAACAGCATAAACAGTATGAATGTAATGGGTTCTAACACACGAATTATTGCTTCCCCAAGGAACGCTCTTATTAATGGCAGCAACAATGGCAACAACAATAGGAGAAACGAAGTTGATAAGAAAAGAAGAAAGAAACCATTATCAAAAATTATTAAAAAATGTGGAGGATTGAGAGATAAGGAAGAACCTATTTTGCCATTTTATGTTATTTGCGATTACCTAGATTTTGTCGAAAGAAAAATATATGTTAGCAAATTTCGATTCAAATTATATGATCCGATTTACCAACTAGGGAAATATCGAAATTGTGCAGGTGTTGTTTTAAAAAAAGATTTGAAAAAAAGTTGTTTAAATTATATAGATTCTTATTTCCTATTTTTAAAAAAAGAATTATGTAAAATTGATCTCGACATTGATATAAGATGTCCAACAAAACAAATATTTAAACACATATGTTACAGAATGAACGTAGATCCTACACACGTATTGATATTTCCATATCCTCCTTTAAATACACCTGTTAATTTTACCCCATATAATATAGATTCTTTTACATATAACTCAGATTCGGATGGGGAATTTTATGAAAAAAATGACAACACGACATCATACGGTCCAACGCCATTTGAATCATTAATAAAACAACATGCCATAGCCCTGGAACATAATTCCCTGACAGAACAGAAAACTTTTTGTTTATCACTTTTGCCATTTCATTATAAATATTTCTCTAGACTATATCCAGAAGAATCACCCCAATACTTCCATTATGTAGTGCATTTGTTCAACTCCAATGTTCAATCTGTTGCTGCTTTCACAGGACATATTAAATTAAAAAAAAACGTACATAATAATTGTAATAATATAAAAGATAATAATTATTATAATCATCGAGATGAAGAGTCCAATAGTGATTTTGAAGAATCATCAAATTCAGATCGTTCAAGTAGTACAATGGCCAATCGTGAATATATATCGAATCATTATACTACTGTACAGGATTTAATTGATAAAATTAAATTAGAAATTAATCCATATTTGAAAAAGAGGGGAATAGATGTTAAGCAAAAATTTAGACTACTATTTACTTTTGGTCCAAAAATTAAGTACCTAAGTAATGATGAACAATTAATACGAATGGATTTTGTAAAAACGAATCACATCAAAAATGTCTATGTTACCCCCTTAAGAATGGAACCTGATTTTACAGATGAGCAGAAGCGCTTGATAGAAATGGGTCAACTAAAGGTAATCCTTTTTCGTCTGAGTCAGATGTGTAGATATATTCGTAAACAAATATCAAAATTGTCATCTTTCTAATTTTTATGAGTACTTTTCATATAATTTTATTTAGAATTAACGAGGGTGATGAGGAAAGTACCAAAATGCATGGATGGAGAAAAAAAAAATAAAATATAAAATAAAAAAAACACTTTCGTGCTACTTTTATTTTTCGTTTTTTTTTTCGCTTTAAGAATTGTTCATTTTTTTTTTTTTTTTCTCTTCCCCTTCCCCTTCCCCACTTTATAGATAATTCACGTTTTCAATCAAACACCATCCAAGGAAATTTTCGGTTACAGCTTTGACGTTCTTGTAGATGTAAGGAAATGAACATAATGCATTCAACGAGTACATGCATAGATACATAAATACATATATACATGAGAATCGTCGTGTTCGAAGAGACTTGTATTCTTCTTTAAAGCCCCATTTCGTGTGTAGCATAGGCAAAGAGAAGATGCAAAACATGTACACATAAACATATCCACTCTCCCCACATCAACATTTTGTATATTTTATCTGATGCAGCCCAAGGACAACATGCTTGACATTAAAAATAGAATAAGGAAAAGGACACTCCTTCCCAAGTATATATTTGACAAAATAACATTTTTCGAATTTGAAAATGGACAAAGAATATGGAGATCGAATGATGACACGATTAATTGGAAAAACAAGCAGTTTTCCATCATTATAGGTGAGTCTTTTTTTTTTTTTTTTTTTTTTATTTTACTTTTTTTTCTGCTCCTTCCTACTGTTATGTGCAAAGGATATGAGAAAAAAATATGTTTTTGCAGCCATACACAATAATTGTACCATTGTACCATTGTTCAATTTTTTTGTGTGTATGATATTATCACATTTGTTTCCTTCAACATGTTTAAACTTCTTTCACTTTTTGATTCCTTTTTTTTTTTTTTTTTTTTTTATTATCTTTCAGGTGAACATCATGCCCCGTCCCAATCAAAACCACAAATGGGAATGAAAATAGCATAGAGAACATTTTACCTTTTACGCCAATCTTTTCGTTATTCTCTTTTCTTAATTTTTAATGTTTGTGTATTAAAATGGAGGTTTAACTATTTGATATTATTTCTGCTATTAATATTATTTCTATTAATTCAAATTAAGTTTTTTTTTTTTTTTTTTTTTTTTTATTCTATGGCTGGTAGTAGCTGCAAGAGGGTTAGTGTGACATGTCACGAGCATTTGTGTATATAAAATATGCATATTATACCACGTGTTACATTGTACCTTTTTTTTTTTATATATCATTGTGTGTAGATATTTTACAAAAATTTACACATGTTACTCTGCTTCTCTAGCCCCATCATCATCTTTTAAATTGTAGCAATGCTAAAATTAATTTATTCATTGAATTAAAGAAAACAAGTAATCTCTATGAATTTATTTTAGTCGCCCCTTCACCATACCCCTATACCTATATATATAGGAGTACACGTGTATGAAAACTTACTCCATGTATGGCAAAATTAAAGTTTTTTTTTAATTTCCCCTAATTTTATTATACGTTTTCATTATAGTACACTTTATTAGCACACCATTCTCTCTAGTCTTATTTTATTTTTTGCATTACTCATCACTTTTGTTTTCATCACCTTTGTTTTCATCACCTTTGTTTTCATCCCTTTTGTTTTCACATCCCAGTTTTAATGCGGAATGATTTTAGACCCTCCTATTTTTATATCCCAAACTCACAACAAACTATAAAAGTTCTTTCATGTATTATTGGTCCACAAAAAAAAAAAAAAAAAAAAAAAAAAAGACGAAAGAAAATTCTGTGAAAAGTAAAAGCTCCATTTTATGCCATACACATATTCAGAAATGAACCAGGGCAGAACAATTCGCGTATTTTTTAATTTTTTTATTTTTATAAAATGTCTAGCTAGCTAGGTCAGGTTATATCTACTTTTTTCTTTTTTTTTTTTTTTTTTTTTTTTTTTTTTTTTTTAATCACCTTTTTATAAGAATTGTCACTTTTTGCAATGTTACAAATTTAAGTATCACAAAATGGAAGGAGAAAAAAAATAAACACATAAAATTTGTTTTCAGTGTTGGATTTATTTTACTTGTTCCTTAATTCCCCTTAAGGACAAAATTTATACCTATCCATCAAACAAAAGAAAAAAAAAAAAAAAAAAAAAAAAAAAAATATATATTTAATTGGGTTTAAGACTTGTTCATACTAAATTTACTCTTTGTAATTATGAACGCAGACATGTAGAAAAAAAAAAAAAAAAAAAAAAAAATGTGTGCCTGAAGAAAAAAACGAAATATTAGTATAACAAAAAATGGAGAGGAAATTAATTTAAAATGAATACAACTAGTTTTTTTTTTTTTTTTCTTTTTTTCCTTTTATTTAAATACTTATTTCCCTTTGTTTGCACAAAGTGTACACAAAGAAACATGAATGTGAACGAATGCTTATTGACGAAATAAAAATTATGAAGGTTTTTTGATGGCTTTTTTTTTTTTTTTTTTTTTTTGTTTTTATTCCATTTTGTGTAATGTTTATTTGTACTAATGCCCTTTATTGTTTTATTTATTTATTTATTATTATGATTATTATTCTTTTTTAGTATTTCACGATGAATGTTACATGCATATATATATGTACATTTAAGCATGCAAACTGGTTTGCAAACACTTGCCATAACACAATCTTTTGTGTATGTATTTAGTTATATACATACATATACACAACGTGCATGTCAAGAGTGAAACTCGCTTAACCCATTTTCCTACGAGCCAAGCTCTCATCTCCAAGTATACATAAAAAAGTTATGCAATTTTGAAGATATACATAAATGAAGATGCATATGTATATCTATATATATAGGTACGAAGATAGATATATATACACAAGAAAGAAAAAGAAAGAGAACAATTTTCTGGTTCCATATTTGCATCGGACAAAATTTTTCCATTTTCCTTTTTAAATAATGTTGCAATTAAAGGAATTTTTTAAAAAATAAAACATCATCTTATTTGACAATTGGAGAAAAAACTTAATTTATGAAGATACGTCCCCCAAAAAAAAAAATATATATTCTGAACACATATAAAAATGATGAAAATTAACAAATTGCTGGAAATTAATGTTAACGAACTCACGAACGATTTGAATATTTTTAATAAGAATAGTAAAGCCATTCAAAATATAAGAAAAATCGAAACAACCAGAAACAAGTGTTATTCTAATAGAAGAGCAGTGTCCAAATGTGAAAATGCAGTTACCATTTCTCTAGAAAAGTACATATTCATTTGTGTCAGGAGAAAAAATACCTGGAGGATTTTCCGATACAACTGTAATGAGCACAATATTATGAAAAAAAAATAAAAAAATATTATAATGACAGAAAAGACTAAGGGAACGATCTTCGCTAGAGCATACATAGTTGTATTTTCTTTACATTATTCCCTTTGAAGTTATTTTCCTCATATTCCTGTTTTCTAGTTTATGTGTTTGTTCGCCTCTTTCCTGTGTAACCTTCTTCCTGCGTAACATCTTTGCGTGTATGCACACGTAAATGTGAAAAAATGAATACATAAAAATAACAGCAGAGAACAAATTAAAGAGAACGTAACCACGACATCTGCAGAAATCCATTATTCCAATTTTACATTTGTTGATGCAGACAATCATGTGGATGCGTTTGTACACATATTTTATCATTCATTCGTACATGCGTATCTTAATTGCTAGGACACATGTGAGGTTTTACTTTTACATCACCCATCATTCCCCTTTCCAGATTTTCACAAAATTGACAAATGCATATGCATTGATCACTTGGACATTCTAATATTGCAAAGGAACAATAGCATTTTTGTGCAAAAATTCGAAAAAGTGGATAAAAACAAAACGATAAATGATATAAGATTATTAAGAAGACAAGATGTTTGCTCGAACGCTCTTTTTTTTTGTGTATACAAAGACTGTATTTATATTGTCGATCGAAATGGAATCTTATGGGTAAGACGTTAACATCTAAGATGTACTTTGTTTTGATGAGTGCTTTTAAGAAGTTCTTCATGATATGAATAATGTGGAATGTTCATTAAACCACATCACGCTGGTGTTATATATTTAAATGTCACGAAGTTTAAAAAAAAAAGATCATGTTCGACTCAGCCAAATTTAACTAGATTGAGTAACCTTTTCACTTTTACGATATTTGCGCGTCTCTCTAGCTATTTAATCTACACTATTTTTTTCTTTCTCTCTCTCTATTTTTTTCTTCCAACTTACAAGGAAATAGATGTTAAGAGTTGTCTAAACCCAAACGAGTCTCTAAAACAAGTGGACATTCTAGATTTCAAAAAAAATAGTGAAGTATATTTTAAAATTAAAAACCAGAATATGCTAATTATATCCTATTGTAATGATGAAAAAGGGAAGGAAGTTCACGTTGTTATATACAATATACAAAGGAAGAAATCTGAACATTTTCAATTGATTGTATCTACCGATATGGAACTCGAAGAGAATAAAAAATATATTGATTGTGTAGATTTTAATAAAAATTACATAGGTGTATTATTTAGCTCAAATGAACTGACATTTTATGAAAAGAAGAAAGAAAGCAACAAATACGAATTTTTTAAATATCTTGATAAAAATAAATCAAGTATATTGAAATATTTTAACAATAGGAGTTTAAAAGATATAGAAGAATATTCATCAGATCATATAGGAAAAATTAATAAAATTTCTTCCTTTCAAATAAATGAAGACAATAGTTTACTCCTAATATATAGTGAATTTTTCCTACCAAATATGAATGTTAGTGGAAACAGTTATAATTATACATCTTTTATAAGAAACACGATGAATACAATAAATTTGTATTACAATCAAATAGAAAAAATACTTTTCTCAAGGGTTTTTCCTCAAGATAAATTTAATAATAACTCCCTGCTGTATGACATCAATGAGCAGCTGGTCAAAAGTGTTAACTTACACATGTGTTCTGTATACTTATCAGATGTTCGTACGAGTACTGCAAGAATAAATTTCGATGATGACATTTTTGCCTTATATGCAGAAACCATTCAAGTATTGAACGAACGTTTGGATAGAATAGAAAATGCTGGAAATGTGGGAAACGAGGAAATCCACAAATATGTGGAACTGAGCGAACATGTGGAACAAAGGAGGAATGAAATTTTAAACCTACGAGCATATTTAGACATACATGACATAAATCAAAACAAAATGAAAATGTTTACTAACAAATTAAATGAGGAATCATCAGAAAAGGGGTTTTTAAATATGGATTTTTTGAAAGACATAACAAAAAACAAAGGAAGATCAGACGAGCTATATGCCAGCAGTAATTTATACTTGTGTAGCATTGATAATTATTATTTAATTTTGGAAAATGCAAATGATGATTATAATTTAATTTTATATCAAATAAAATTTTTGAATGAATCAGAATTTTTAATACATTTATTTTTTTACAACTATTACAGTGCTATCCTAGAAGCTGAACGAACTCATTTTTATTCCATACACCAACTCTTTGTATACTCTATTTATGACCATTCAGGAAGATACTTCGGGGCCCCATTGAGCGATTATCAGGTGAGTTATTCATATGCTATGATGTTATAATAATAGTGTGATCATACAATGACATGCTAACATTCACCCCTTGTGATAAATTAGAAAAAAAAAAAAAAAAAAAAAAAAAAAAAAAAAAAAAAAAAAAAAAAAAAAGAAAAAAAAAAAGAAGAAAAAAAAAAAACATTCTGATAAGCACATCTATAATGATAATTGAGTACACAATATATTTTTCGTGTCCTCTCATAAGCAGAATTTTTTTTGTGACTGTGTACACACTCCGCCATTCCGTTCCCAGATCCTCTATAAACTATGTTGCATGTGTATATATTCAGCATATGCTTATATGTTTATATTTTTTATATTACTGTTTTAGTACTTCACTTCTTCACTATATCGCTTAAAAGTTCGTACTCTTTTGTGTACATATCAAATTGTTCTAACATCACTTGCTCATTTGCCCTTTTTCAGTGCTTGTTCAAGATAAGAAATTTATTTGATTTCTTAGAGAGGGCCGTGACATATGATCCATTTCTGTTTAGAGAGGAAGATGATGAAAACATAATTGAATTACTAAATTTAAAAAATAACGGAATCGATAAATATAGACATATTCCTACAAATATGAATAAAAATGAAGAAAATAATAATTTTCATGATATGTTTTACATTTTGAATGAATCAGGTGATAATGCTACATCCAAATATGTAAATAATTATTACAAAATAAAAAAAATAAACACCAAAAATATGATTCAACACATTGATATAGATATACAGTTGCTCAAATTAAAAAGTGTTCTCTCTGCCTCCCTACGAGCTATTAATTATCTCTTGAATGATGGCAAGTCAATTAGTGATAAGGATCGGATGAGTGATGAGAACCTGATGAGTGATGAGAACCTGATGAGTGGTGAGAACCTGATGAGTGGTGAGAACCTGATGAGTGGTGAGAACCTGATGCGTGGTGAGAACCGGATAAATGATGAGGATCTGTTTCGCTCTGCAGGAATAACATCGGATGAATACAAAGATGAAGAATACAAATTTATGATCATGTTAATAAAAGATAAAACAATGAAAATTAAAAGGGAAAGTACCAAATGGAAGAATAAAAATGGATATTTTTTTAGGGTCTCATGTGACCACGAAGATGAAGTATCGAATGAGAGTAAACATAGAAAGGATTCTCAATCGGATGAAGAAAATCGAGTGAACGAGATATGGGGATTCTCAATAGATCAAGAAGAACTCAACATAATGGAGAGTGTAGACAGAAGTTCTTCCTCCAGTCTGTCACACGATGGACAAAATGGAGAAGTAAAGAATGGAATGAACAAAAATTCATTCCTCTATGATGTAGATTTTTATTCTTTTAGAGAAAGTTATACATCTGTAAGGGAAAAAGAAATTATAAAAAAGAAATTACTCGTATATAGAAAGGAAATAATACGACAAGTGTATAAATACAAATTGTACATGTACTTAATGAAACTTCTAGATATGGAAAGACGGAGGAAAAAAAACTATTCTATTGGCACACCACTTGAAGGAGAAGGATATCAAAATTTAAATTCTGAAAAATGGAACAGTAACAGTGTTAATAAAAATAAATTTTCAGACATTTTTAGCATTTTCAAGAAAAATATAAACGATTCGACAAGTATAGGTGAAGAAGATAATTTCAATAGAACTGCGAGTGCTGATGGATTTATTTTAAAAAATTATGAAATGGATGCAACTAATATATACATAGTTAGTTGGACAAAATTTAAGTATTATTACACACCATTTGATATTGCAAAATATTTTCTAATTAACCAGAATTATATTTTAATTAAAATTTTTTATAAATATTTTCAATATTTTATTAATCACAATTGGAAAAAAATATTTTATTATATTCCTTTAAATACCAAAATTGAAGATTACTTTTTTTTGCTGCCATTGGTTAGGATGTCAGTGGACACTCCAAGCAACACTTCATTGAAGGGCAAACTTTTTTCCGTGAACAGCATTTCTAATGATAAAGTGTGTTGGCCAATCGACAATCTAACTGCGAATAAAACACTGCATTGTGCAAATATTGGTTCCTATAATTGTGCTGAGGGAAAAAACAATTTTTTTGCATCAAAATTTTTAAATGTTAACCCAAGCGATGAGGAGGAGGAGCAGGTGCAACAGAAGGAGCAACAGCAGGAAGAGGAGGAAGAAGAATACATCAAGTGGATGCGAGAAAACAAAACTTCTTACCCTCATCATGCTAACAGTTACGACATATATTGTGATGAGAATGAATTTTTCGAATTTTTTTTCAGTAGAAGTATTGGCATAATAAAAAGAACACATTTGATAAAAAGTCGTCTCTTGGCCTTTATCTACATTTGTCTGAAGCAAATAAATCAAGATAATATTTATGAAAATTTTAAAATTGATACAGTTTTGAAGAGGTACATATTTGATGGATCATATTTTTTTTTTGAACCATCTTATGGAAGAATTCCTGCAAAAGAGAAAGATGATAAAAACTCTGGGATTGGAGTTCTCGATGAAAGTGGCATTGGAAGAGAAGCACTAACAAGACATGAGAAAGGGAATGTACTGATCGAGCGAAATTTGAAGGCTGATCTTACTGCAGATCTTACTGCAGATCTAACTGTAGAGCCCATATTTGATGATCCCCTTTTCATAAAGAAACACTTGAATGTAAAGATAAAAAAATCGAAAATTCCAAACCAAAATGTTATGCTTCTCTACAGTTTCTTCACGCTCATTAAATTGTACGTGATTTGCAAGGAAAATCATAAAAATGTGAAATTTGAGGAATTTTTACACATGGATATATACAACCGCTTATGTTTAATCCTCGAGTTTGACATAAAGTACATGACTCTAGAGTATGATCAGGAGTGTTATATAAAAATATTTTACGAGAAATTAGAAGAAATTTTAAACGAGTATAACTTTATCGATGAACATATTGCTTACACACATGGAACGAATTACAATATTTTTGAAAAAGAAATTGTAAATTTGCAATATGGAAGACAAAACAATATGTTAGAATGCATATATTTCAACTTGTTATATACGTCTCAACAAATTTTTATAATACTCTGTTTGAAGAGTTTAGAAATGCTACAGGGCAGAAATGACACCAACGAAGAACAAGCAGAGAAGAGACTTAAGAAAATGGATTATTATACTAGACCCAATCATTTGATTCTAAATGCAGATTTTGATCAAGCACAAGGGAAAAGAGGAAAAATAATATCTAAATATAGTAGACAGGAAAAGCTAAATTCCCAATCAAAGCGAAAAGATGAATTGGATAAAATTTATATTTTTCTAAAATATATTTATTACGCATATAAACATAAAGTTATTTTGAGGAATGATTATGAATTTTCCTTTTTGTTTTTAATAATTTTCTACAAATATATGCACATTAATTTACTGCATTTTACATCCATATTTGGAGATTTCTACAGCCTGCTTCCAAGACAGATAGTGTTGTCATGCGAATCAGAAATGTGGACAGAAGTGGAATCACGACATAAATTGAGCATCTCCCAATGTGAGAACTTTGATCTGAGAGAACTTTTCCAAAGAAGGAATGAAAACAAAAAGGTAATATTTTATGATGAACATTTGAATCGCATTGTCTCCTATTACTATGAAGGAACGAAGGAATGTATGACAAGAGAGAAACACGCACTGGATGAGTTGAAAGATGATAACATGAAGGGAGGGGAAGCTAAGGTAGTAGAAACACTTTTGGATATATTCGAAAAAGATTTGAATTCTCTAGAGCTATTAAAATATCTAAAAAAATATATTCCTGAAGAAAAAGAAGAAGACGAATTAAAAATAGACATAGATCTTATTATCAGTTCAAGAAGTAATAAAAGAAAGTGTATAGTCAACATATTTAAATTATTTAAAAAAATAATGACATGTACAAATTATAAGGATATGAACTTTACGAAAAATTGTTTTCAGTTATATCATAATTTATTTTACTTAGTAGACGTACACTTGTTTTTCTACATCCTGTTTTACATTATCCTTTTCTATTCAAACGATTTGGAATATTTAAATAATTTTTTAAAATATTTCCAGAAGGAGTATATTAGTGGTGACAGTGGCAGAAGTGGTAGTAACAGTGGCCGTGATCACGATCCTCTGCTGAATAAGACCAAGTCAGATGTAATAATAAATTACCTACTTCTAAATAGAGTTAAAATAATAACAATCGATGAAAACTTTATGGATATGTACACATTTTTAAAAAATATATATTCTGAAAAGAAAGGCAGATTTTTATCCCATTTGAGAGAGAAGAATCGAGAAATTTTAACGAATTTAAAAATTTTACGCTATATTCAAATTTTTGTAAATGAGGAGAAAAAAAAAATACAAAACATAAAAAAAAAATATGTCAGCATGACATCTGTGAGTCATTATTTACCAACAAAGTATATACAGAAAAGTGTATCAAACGAAGATATACATACATCCTTTTCAAAACTTATTTCTAATTCGTATGAAAAGTGTATTAACAAGGATACCAAAAGTAGACTTGGGGAGCAAAATAATTACATGGCATTTTTTTACAAAAATATTTTATTCGATTCCTATGTTAAGATAACTATTGAAAAAAATAAATTTCAAATTTTTAGAAATATCATGGAAAATGATCTCACAATTTGTTACAACAGAAGGAAGACAATAAAGTTGATTAAATTATTGCATTTAAAAAAGGACCAACTTATAGATTCTCTCCTTTTTGTTATTGACATCCTACAATCACATAGAAAAATTAAAATGCTTTCTTTTTATTTGATTCTTTTCCTCATTCTTTTTCAAAAGGATGAATTAGAAAAAGACAAAAAAAGAATTCTTCAAAATGTTATTCAATATTATGTAAAATACTCAACCCAACCAGTTAACTATGTCTATAATTTTGCTATGTCTCTTTTTTCCTATTTGTCATTAAATCAACCTGATTATATCAGTCATTTATACAAATTAATTATAAAAAAAAGGGATTATTCATTCAACACTATAATGATTAGTAAAGGGATGAGTTACAACACCAGATGGAATTATAACTCATTCGAAACAATGTATAACTTCTTACAAGATGATAATTTTGGTTCTTCTAAGATGAATGAAGGGGATAACTTACATAGATTCTCACATCTACATAATCACACATGGGGTGATCATTTTAAGGAAGTGCCAGATAAAAATAGAGGTAACATTATTAACAGCATTGAAATTGGAGAAACATCAAAGGTGGATAATAAAAAAAATTTAGAATCCTTCGACAAATGTATGCTGATGAAGACAGAGGTGTTGTCCAACAAATCGGACATGATACGAATGGATTTGTCTAATAATCTCAGTACAGATCAAATGGAAAATGATAATCCATCGCAAGTCATGCTGAAGTTAAAGGAAGGATGTCTCAATGAAATGGACAAGCAACATCCATTGGAAGGAAGTGCTAGAATTGGTGCAAGTACTCTCATTGACCTTAGTATCGAAGGGAGGGTGAAGAAACAAAATGGTCGCATCGTAGATGATACAAACGAATGTCGAGGGGGCCAAGTAGAAATGAAAGCAAAAGACGAAGCAAAATTTTTTGAGCTCCTTAATTCCAATGAAAATTATATTGATGATTGTGCTGAGGTATGGAGAGAGGACTTAGGATCCAGCATCCTACATAACAACGAAGGTGAGAAAAGTGATCAGGGGTCAATTAAACTGGAGAATATATTCACTGATACAAAGTTGGAAGTGGAGAGTGTAACATGTTCTGGTGATGCATTGAGTGGAAGGGATGATTACGCCGATGGAAACGGGTCGAAAAAAAGTGACTCGAAGGGAGGGGAAGTGGAAGAGTTGGAAGTGGAAGAGTTGGAAGTGGATGAAATGGAAGAAGTGGACGAAATGGAAGAAGTGGACGAAATGGAAGAAGTGGACGAAATGGAAGAAGTGGACGAAATGGAAGAAGTGGAGGAAACGGAAGGAGTGGACGAAATGGAAGAAGTGGAGGAAATGGGGAATGATAAAGAGTTTTTGTCAAGTGTAGGCCACTCAAAATGTTATGAACAGGGAGGAGGAAGTAGAGGTCATACAGCTTGTGAATACAATTTGGAAGAGAAAAATCCCCAACACAAGGAGATTATAAGAATCATAGAACACGAAAAAAATGAGAATAAAGGTGCTAACTCTCCTACTTACAACGAAACAAAGTGGTCAAATGGAGGGTTCCTTCTTGGATACTCGCACAGCAAGGAAAACGGAAAAGAGGAAGAAAATATATTACTCAACAATTCGTTGTTGTATGCAAATCGAAAAGATGAAAAAATATACAATAAGAATGCCCTTATTTATGTACTACAAAAGGCAAGTAGAAGAATAAATAAACATAATGTAGCAAAATGGAACATTGATTATATCAGCAAAATGGTCGGTTTAGTGAAAAGTGTTCTTAAGAGGAAAGAAAACAAATTGAAAGGAATGGAGAATACATTACATATTCTTCACCCCTTTACTACCAAAGAGAGTAATTTGGAAAAAGAATCCATGAGCAATAGAAGGAAATTATACTATTCGTTGCTTTGCAATGATGTGTATTTTGCATTTTTACATTTGTTAGATGTTGAAGATTACGGATTTATTTTCTACTTTATAAAGAAAATAATTTTAAATAATTCCATTCTCATAAAAAGGAAAATTGATATTTTTGAAAAGATACTTGCATGTATGCACAACTTTTACATGCAGAATGGTAATAAGAAAAGGGGAGGGGAAGATCCTCCATTTACTTGCATTCAAGACATGCACCCATTTTTGAAAAAAATATTTTGCCTTTTGACCATCGTAAAATATTTGCTTAGCCATTTCCATTTTAACAAATTAAAAGAAATAAATTTGAAAAAACTTCTTATCCAAAACAGTTATAAAAAGAATCTAGTTGAAAATATGGACAAAAAAACGTGTGATGAAATTTTACAAATTTTAATAAAAATTGGGGATATTGCAAAAATACCATTACTCGACTTGAATATTCAACTATTACAAAACAAGAATTACCTTGTGTATAATTTGTCGCTATCGGATCATAATAAAGAAATAATAAAAAAATTGCCAAAAAGTAGCAGTAATAACAACATCCTTATTGGTGAAGAAGATACAAACGAGTTTAAACGATTTCAGTTTTTGTTCGAAATTGAAGTGGAAAAACAGATTCTGTATCATTTCCAGAGGAATGATAAAAATTGTCTACTTATATATATTACAACAAATTTTAATTACTTAAATTATAACATCCATTTTGTAAGAAAAATTGTATATTATATGTATGAAACATTGCTGTATTTCATTTGTCCAGTTGTGTGCTTTTTGAGAATTTCCTTTTACAACTTCGACATGGGAAATCTTTTCCTTTCTCTGTCGCGAGTGCTGAAGAAGTTAAATAGAAACCAACTGTTGAAAAAGCTACTGGAGCTTAGGTATCTTTGGTTGCATCTGACATCTGGGACAGATGCCAAAGCGGGGAATATGAACCTGAGCAGAGGTGGAAAAGCCACAGATGGAGAGGCAGCAGATGGAGAGGCAGCAGATGGAGAGGCAGCAGATGGAGAGGACAGTGCTTATACGAAAGGAAACAAGGAAGAGAGTGATCTTCTCACATGTCGCACTGCCAATATAGGAAGGGAAAAGAATTGTGATAGAATCAGAACACCGGAGAGTAGAAGAGAAAGGAAATTGGAAACACAGCAGGGGAAAGATAAGGTGATAAGTATGTTATATGAGTCTAAAATATTGAACTGTTTTAACTTTCACATTAAACAATTACAAGAGAATAATTCGATATTTTGGAAAAATGTAACCGATTCTGTTATGGTTAATAAGAGAGAAGTGGAAACATACAATCTTGGGAAGAAGAGTAAATACATTTTTGTTACTCATTTGATGAATAGGTTTAATATAATGCCATATCTATACGATATATGTTTCTTATTGAAACATTTAAATATTCAATTAGATCTGTTTTACTATGCAAGTGAAGACATTTATGAAACTGTGAAGGAATTCTTCGATGCAAGAGAGGATGATTATGTGAAATATCATTCTCTATTCACGTTATTAAAGTGTGATTTTATTTATATATTTAGAATTAAAAATGTGGAAAATAATATATCAAAATTTTTCTATTTTAATGAAAAATATCACAAGTGTTTTTTAGATTTTTACATCTATCACTATATTTCATTAAAATTAGAATCTGTAAATAATTCGTCGAAAAATTTGCTTGAACACATTTTGAACATACCTCTAACACAGTTTTGCAGAAATGTAGAATACAACTTTTCCAGATGGATTCTCTTAAGCAAAAGACAAATGCATCAATTTTTACATTTTTACAATATGGTTGATAAACTTAATATATATTATTCAGATCTTGTTCTAGAGTTAGTCGTAGACAATTTGCATCAAATAGATTCTCTTGTATCTCTTCTTTTCATTTATTGCGACAGGAACAAGAGTTCAAGCCATCGAATCACAAAGATGGAAAGACATATACTTCTCAAAGTACTGATGATATTATTTTTTTCCTCTATAAAATTTCGAAATGCTAATTTTTCTCTCAATGATTTCTTTCGCTTTTACTTGTCTGCATACCGAGATGGAACAGACAATATTCCCACGTTGACTCAGCACCATGGATATGGAACTAATGAGAGAAATTTTTGTAACGATGAAGATGCTGAATTCACTTGTGAACCTATAGCTTGTAGCACGAATTCGTTAGAAATAGATGAACAACTGTACATTGACAAAATGATGGATATGAAGTATGAGGACGAGGAATACATACAGGATCAGATATCGCATGATGAAAATTTTGAACATAGCACGAACACGAAGGGTGAAATGGGCAATGTTAAAATGGATGATACCAAAGTTGGTAGTATCAAAATGGACAGTATCGAAAGGGATGGAGCTGAAAGGGATGGCAACATGAGGAACAGCTGTATGAATACCATAGTAGAAAGCTCCTCAACCGAGGGAAAGAACATGTACACAGATGAAGAGCAATTCCTCATTAATGAAATAAATAAAACTTTTCAAAAAGAATATGAAATTAGTAGCATAGATTGTGAGGATGTACCATGTGGGAGAGGAAAAAAACCAAGTGGCATATATCTCGATTTGGATGATAGCAAAATTAGTGACATTGAAAAGTTGCATAAGTTTGAACATACGAGTCGCGATCCAATGTGTGAACGAATCGGTGTAATGGAAGAAGTCATTATTAATTTTTGTCGTGAGCGCTTAAGCATCCGAAATGTTATAAAAAAAGTTTTAAGAAATGAATTGAAGACAATTTTATTTTTAAATTTTTCAGACAGTGAAAGTGTGTTCAATATATATAAGAAATCAAAGCAAATTTATCACGTTTTGCACAATTTAAAAGGGGAAAATGTTTTCTATACGCTTGAGATGATGGTTTCATTGCTCTTGAAAAATAAGAGAAGGAGACATAGAAATCGGTTTATTTTTCATTTTTTTATAATTCTGCACATTTTGCATTATGTGAAGAGAGAAGCGCACACAATGTGGAAGCAGGGAAGTGGTGACAGAAGTGGTGATATACTGAAACCAACTGTGAAAGATGAAAAAAAGAATAAGGCAAATTGGCTTTCATCAGATGGTGTCCCAGACTGTGAAGATAATTTTGCCCGTTCTCCAGAGTACAATATCCCCAATGAAGACGACAAAATGGTGAATAAAGAAACCATTCTGAAGTGCTTAACATTGCTTCTTTTCACAAATTTAGTAAATATATATTTACCATCGATTAACAAATTACAAGTTGTGAAAGAAAAATGGTACATATCATTTGACAATTCTAAAAGAGAGATAAGGATGGAAGAAGACGTGGGAAATTTTGTACATTTAATATTGAATGAAGTGAACGAGACATATGTTGGAGGATATGAATTTGTGTATATAAGTCTCCTATTGTTGATGGAGTATTGTATAGAAATTATATGTGATGAGAATTTCTTACCATCCCTTAGAATATCATATATTTTTCTGTGTAAAAAAATGGAAAAATTTTTAAAGGAATATAAGAAAGAATACAATTGTGTAAAAGATGATAATGATGATAAGAGGAAAGAAGTATTTTTCAATTTTATAAATAAAGAAACGTTTGAAAGTGTTAGAAATATACTAAGTCAGATATATTTAAAAATTTTATTAAATTGTGACAAGTCTATTTTATTGGTTTGCAAAATCGTAATAGGGAATAGAATAAAAGTGGAAGATGAAATGAAATTCTTTAAAAAGATAAAAAGTGATATTCTTTACTTTTTCACATGTAATTATTCTTTAATTAAATCAAATAAACAAAATATACTACTTGAGAACGACTTGAAAAATAAGAAAAAAAAAGAAAATAATGATTTATATCAATCCAAAATTTCTTCATTCATTAAGGTACTTTTAGTAATAATTACATACAATATTGATTCATTTAAAAATTGGGAATATTATGAAACCATTAAACAGATAATTACTGATGGGGAATGGTTCAAAATTTTTGATGCCAATTATTCTAGAGAATTAATTGAGATGAATTTTCTTTGCAAGAAACACAAGAGGAAAAGGCTTCATCGAAATGAAGACCTGAATGCAATTATGAATACTCAAAATATGGGTGAAAATCTTGGCAATCATGGCAATCACGGCAATCATGGCAATCATTCCAATCATGACAATCATTCCAATCATTGCAAGAATAACAACATGAATAGTAAAAATGGTGCTATTCCCATTTTACCATCTCATCACAATGCCGAGACACAACCTTTTGATGAAGAAGAAGATGCCAATATGGAAGAGTCACATGATTCTCACTCCTCCAATTCTAGCCATGACGAGCTAAATAAGGCACTACGATTTTACTTTGGATGCAAGGAAAAATGGGATCAAAATGGCATTCAGAAGAATTCAGTAGATGCTAGAAACAGGTACAATGATTCTACCCACATGTCAACTGTTGAAGTTTCAAAAGATGTGATACAGGACGAAAATGAATTCGTTAAGAAGAGGGAGAAATATGAGAAGGGAGAGGAAGCGTGTGAAGCTTCTTACATTGTGGGTATAAATGGTACAGACTTGAGAAGCAATGATTTGAATGAACACCAGACAAATGACACCAATCGAAAATTAGAAAGTGTGAAGTGCAAACAGGAGAAGAAACCATTCGAGAAACAAAATCAAGGAGAACAAAAAAGGGAAAAAAGTTACATGACTATAGGGGAGGGGGATGGTCAACTCGTAGTTGAAAAGTTATCAAGTCAGAGAAAAAAAGTGGAAGAGGAAGAATGGGAAGCGAACAGAGTAAAAGAAGGATGGAAAAAGAATGAACAGGAAGACAGAGACAACGAGGAGGAGGAGGATGAGGACGATGACGAGGACGAGTTTGAGCTGAACACTTCCAAGGTGCGAGAATCGATCCTAAATGATTATGGAAAAGGGTTTTTCTCAGAGTACATAAATAAGTTAAATGTAACAGAAACATGTGATAAACGTTTTAAACAAGTGTATAAAGAATCGAAGATGATGGATTTAGTAAAATATGCTGCATACATTTTGCGATACTGGAATATCGAAATAGAAGATTTAGAAAAAGGAGAAAAAGAAGAAGGATTTCAAATTTTGATTTTTTTTGCAAATTATTTTCATTTTTTTGGACATTTTATTAAATATAAAATTATTTTAAAGTTATATATGAATAATGAATTAAACTTAGCAGATGAACTGTTGGGACAGAAAAATAAAATGTGGTCGTGGTATCGAAATGACATTAAGATAAAAAATTCAATTGAAGATTATCTCATGAAAGATATTTCCTGTTCTAATTTTTTCAGTGCAAATAATAATGAAATTTTTTTAAGAAATTTCAGAAAGCTTTTTAAAAGAGCTGATTCGACAAGAGGAAAGGGATTTAATTCAGAAATAAAAAATAATAGCTACATGACTAGGGCAACCCCACTTTTCTATTTGACCAACTACCACAACAATAAGTATAATAGAATATATTTTAAAAGTATATATATGCAATATTATTCCTTTTTGAAATGTTGCAAACGTGAAACGGTGGGGGAGGAAGAGGAGGAGGTTAATTATTCAAATGATGAAAATTTTCCGAAAAAAATGGACAATGTAGAAATAAACATGCAAAATTGTTCAAGTGACAAAGACATTTCCTCTCATGATGCACAAAATTATATTCCTGTCAATGAATCACAGACTGGATATTGTAATATCCTCCCACTATTTTATCTTTCCTTTATGGACTTGTATGCACGTACCACAGATGTGTATGATTTTTATTATCAATCAGTTATTTTCAAGTTAATGAAAGAAAATGAGCTAAATATTACCAAAGTACAACAGTACCATCAAGACTTACAAATGTATTTTCAGAACATGCTGAACAATTATGATTTGTATTTAATGCTTTTTTATTATCAGTTCTTTACCTTTCAGTCTCTTTGTACTTCTAACAAGAATAAAAATTATCTTAGCTTGGGAGAACATAAATTGATTCTTTATCTCTGGATTCGACTAACTCAATCTTTGATGAAGAAGTATCGGTAGGTTTTCTTTATAACACACGTCCATTCCCCAAAGCATGATGATGAAATGTATATATATATTGCACCCGATTCGTGAGTAAAAGCGTTACAGGAAGGAGTTGTAAGGTGCACTTTTTCACTTGTCTTTGTGCATGCTGGAAAACTAGCCATGATGCATGAGGCATAACTCATTTGGTACATGTGCTATAATGGTTCATCCATAATTACATATGCACGAGTCTTGCAACACGTAACTGGGTGACACCAGAGACCAAGCTGAGGAAAAACAAATAAACAAAGCAAAGCAAAACAAAGCAAAACAAAACAAAATAAGATTAAGTAAAAAATTAAATGCTCCCCCATGTCTACGTCTCTCTTTTTTTCCTATTTTCCTCTTCCTTTTAACTATTTTTCACCGTACATTTTTTCCTCACACATTTATCAGATCCAACATTAGGCCAGCCAACGTATTTCTCTAGGGAGCACATATCAAGTTACAAAAATGAGCAGAAGAAGAAGAAGAAAAAGAAAAAAAAAAAAAAGAGATTCTTTATAAATAGGAAAATTGGGAATCATTAAAAGTTTTTGCAGAGTGAAGCAAATCATCTTAACACAAACATAATTATACGTATGTTTAGAAGTAATAAATTAAAACATTTTCAAAAAAAGAAAAAAAAAAAAAAATTCTATCCAGATGGGAGAAGTGGTATCTATAGATTTACACTTTAGAAAATGTAACCCTGACTGTCCATCTGCACATGATTGGACTCGGAAGTGGTTACGACAGAGAAATGTGCACATTTTTTTTTTTTTTTTTTTTTTTTTTTTTTTTTTTCTTTTGTATGAACAAAAAGAAAACAGAAAAGAACTTAGAAAAAGTGTAAAAATAATGATTTCAAACTACATGAAATAGCCACAAAACAAACCACGTGTGGTCAACTAAATTATTGAAATTTTAAGAGAGGGCCAAGTAGAGGCTTGGAAGACATAATTAAAAAGAATACATGATTATGAAAGAGATATTTATATGCATCGTAATTTTTTGTCAAAATTAAATTTGTAATTTCGTCGTACAATTTTATGTAGTAATTTTTGAAGCAAATTTTTATATCCATGTCATTTATAATATATTTTATGGTTGGCCTCCCATGGGGACAATTCCATGGATTTTTCAGTACACTTAACTTTTTTTTAATCTTAATCATTTCTGCTACATTCAGAGTTTTCCCAACCATAATTGCGTTTCTGCAGGCTCTGCGTGGTGATAGTGGTGGTGTGAAATGGAGAAATTGAAAAAATGGATGAAATAAAGAAACGCAAGTGTGACATGACAGGGTATGCTTCATATTTCCATGTCAGATGTTTTCACACATGGGGTGCATAAATGTATGAAGGTCTTTTTTCCCTCTCTCTGTCTCTCTCTTTCGCTCGCTCGCGTTCACACACGAGCAGCCGCTACGAAAAAGATACTCACTTGGAAGCCAAGATCCTCCAAACCTTCTGAGGGCGAGGGAAGTTATAATTAAACCACGTGTCAGTCGTCCTATTTGTTTGTCCCTTATTTTTTATGAACATCTGAAAACTTTCCTTGTCGTATGTAATGGGGTGCTCCGTCAAGTGATGAAGCAGAGACATAAAATCTTCGACCTCCAACATTTTTCCATTGAATACGGGGAGGGACAATAAGTAAACTTTTACTTGCATTAGAGTATCATCGCCATCTTCTCCTTTTTCTCCTACGCTTCCTACTACTCCTTTTTCTCCTACGCTCCCTACTGCTCCTTTTTCTCCTACGTCCCCTACTGCTCCCTTTTCTCCTACTTCTCCTTCTTGAATCGCATAATTCGTGTCCATTTCGAAACTTTGAGAAATCTTCCTCCTTTTCAAAACGGGTTCTTCTACAATTTCTATATCGAATCCATTTTGCAAAAAAATTTCGAAATTTTTTTCGATGACATAAATTTGTGCAGGACTTAACTCCAAATCAATTTTGCTAATTAACTTTTGCGATTTCATTGTAAATATTTTGTTGTACTTTTCAAAATTGGATTTTTCATCTGCTGCATGTTGGTCTATAATGAATAGAGCGTAGTTATTCTCCTGCTTATTCTCGTTACTGATTTCATCGGGTCCTACTGTACCTGCTCTTGGGCCCACAGTAATACTACCTACATCAGCAGTATTCTCACATTTTTTATCTGTACACTCGTTTCGAAAGTATAACAAATCTATTTTAGAAATGACAAATCCTTTGTTGAATTGGCCACATATTTTAAGTTTCTCAAACAAGTTGGAGTTAAAATATAAATCCTTCTGCTTCTCGTCTATGTTACTGAAGTTGATATCTTCATCATTTCCAGTTCCAGTTCGGGTTCCAGTTCCGGTTATGACATCACCGCCTGTGCTGTTTCCCTCCTTTATGTTTAAACTGCTATTAAACAAACCTGAGTATTCATTCACCTGTTGTTCATCAGTTAAGCATAGATAATTGTTTACCTTCTCTTGTTCTTTCTTCTTTTGAAAAATTATGTTCTTAATTTTTTCGCTATTAGTTAAATTTATTACATGTATTTGATCATAATCAAATCCATTCTTCATTTGTTCTCTGTTTATGTACATGTTGATATCTATGGGGATGCTTTTAATGCAGCTGTTTTTTATGTTTTCTTTTAAATCTTCAAAAGAGTATTCAGATGAATTTGCATTCTCTCTGTTACTTATTCTTCCATGTTCTTTTTCTGGTTGTGCATCTAACGTGACCAAGTCTCTACTATTTCCGTAGGCTGCATCACAGTGGTGGTTATTATCTCCCTTTATTTCTTCATGTTTGTGTAGATCAGAATTAGAGCTGTTATCCATTTTGTACTCATAAGCATGTGCATAAGAATTCGTCTCTTCCTCCATTTTGTATTCATAAACCTGTGCATAAGAATTCGCATCTTCCTCCATTTTGTACTCATAAGCATGTGCATAAGAATTCGCATCTTCCTCCATTTTGTATTCATAAACCTGTGCATAAGAATTCGCATCTTCCTCCATTTTGTACTCATAAACCTGTGCATAAGAATTTGCCTCTTCCTCCATTTGATACTCATTAACATTCGCATCGTCATCATTACAAGATATTCCAGTACTCACATATGGACATATGTCTTCCTCCTGAACAGTCCCATTTTTCCACAACCCTTCTTGGATCTGATTTCCCTGTTGTGTACGTCTATTAGAATGATGGATACTTGAAACTTCCATCTCATTAACGACAAAAGTATTACTATTATGCTTATTCTCATAAAATGGTGCATTGGGGGTTCCTCCCTTATTATATTCTTTCTTTACATGACCATTAACAGAGCTGTGTAAATATTTTGGGCACTTTTCTTTCTCCTCTTGCTTCATATTCTCGGATTTTTGAGAAGGAAAATCCTCTTCGTTTCGATATGCAATTTTGTCACTTTCATTTTGGGAATTCCACATGATCATCGACTCTCTACTGGCATGATCCATGTTCCTATTACTATCTTTATTAATTTCACCACTACTATTATTATTATTGTTAGAATTATCCTTATCACTGTTTCTTTGATGTTTTGTGCCCATTTCTCTTGTCGGATCAACCTGCGTATGTGCATTTTCCTCATTTTTTATCACGACCTCGCTTGTTTCTCCTGGGGAATAGATATCATGGTATGTATCTCTTGTGGGGCGTGCAAGGAGTATGTCCTTTTCGGTGCAACCAAAACATGTGTCATGCCGCGCGGTGCCACATGTGTGGGAAGCAATTTCACCTGAACACTCAGCCGTTTCGTACGTGTGATTGGCGGTTTCACCTGAACGGTCAGCTGTTTCATATGTATGACCCTGGCAGTTAGCTAGCTCATCTTTGACCCGTAATTTCTGCGGTTGTATATTGTTCGCTTTTAAAAAATAATCACCAATGTGCGTATCAATCAAGGCACTAGTTTGGGGAGTGAGTAACCTAACTAGGGATGTCTTAATGTGTTCGCATAATTCATTTTCGAAAATAAAAAAAACCTCTCTTTTATCAGGAGTTACGTTAATATCAAAATTTTTGATATCAGACAAAATGTTACAAATAACTATAGGATACATTCTACTATTAAACTCTCTGTAAATAGAATTAATAATTTTATTAACACTTTTTAATACATGTATGGGTCTACTATTTATGTAATAAAACTGAATATCTTTATCTCTACGTCCACTATTATTATCACTTATGTACGCCCTAACCTTCCATTCTTCATTGTCAATGTTAAATTCAATAAGATTTCCGATATTTCGTTTCCCATATATGGTGTATATACTCTTTTTGACACTTTCATTACCACCATTTGTTATTAACATGTTCATATTTTTTACAGTACCTTTTATTGTCACAATGTTGTGTATTATAAATTTAATGTGGCAATAAATAATTGCATACTGTTGCATTAGTAGTAATAAATCAGATAGTTGAGATTTTATATTTTTTATAAAATCCTTTTTTCTAATTGGAATATTTTTAAAGATATTTTCACAACTAACAGTCGTTCCTCTTAATCTTGCAATTGGTTCTTCTTGGTTCAGTCTCCCAAGTTTATCAAATTTTAGTAAATACCCATGGGTGCTCTCATCATGTTTTGTTACAATATGTAAATCACTTAGCATACACAAAGAATTTAATGCTTCTCCTCTGAATCCTAAAGTATTTAAAGTACTATGGATGTCTTCGAATTCACTTATTTTTGATGTTGCATGTCTTGCACACACATTTTCGAAGTTGGCTTTCCTAATCCCTGCTCCATTATCATTCACTTCTATTAATTTTATTCCATTTTCAACTAGCTTTATTTTTATTTCACTCGCTTCTGCATCTATGCTGTTTTCTACTAGCTCTTTTACTACACTACTAAGTGTGAATATAACTTGGCTGCTGCATATGTTATGAATAGATTCTTCTCCGATGCTCTGGATATTCATTTATGCCTTCACGTACGTTCTTAATCTCTGGGTTTTTTGTTAACTCAGATGTGATGTTAGGTGCAACATGTGTGTACAATTCTTATTGTCTGCCTTATGGACTCAATAAGGGAAAAAATTATTTAAAATTGCAAATCGTTAAAGGTGATAAAAATCAGGACTCTTACTAGATCAATTTGGTTATGCTTAAAGGTTGTGTGTGTGTTTATCAAAAGCCTCCTTCTCTAAGAGACTATATGCAAAAAGGTCAATAAGGAAAAAAAAAAAAAAAAAAAGTTACCAAATGCGGAATGTATATATATATATATATATATATATATATATATATATATATACATACATGTGTGTAAACTACACAAGCAAAAGGGAGAAAACCAAAGGGGAGCATAAAAATTTTGTGCAATTTCGTGAAGCTTGAAATAATTTGCACTGATTATAAAAATCTCCAAATCGTTTTGAAACCCCGGGTGACAATTTTATGCACAAACCAAAAGTTAAAAGCGAAGGTATGTATATAACATATATACATCCCTTTTTTTGTTAAGCTCGTATATAACTTTTGCGAATACCATGTGCCTTTTAAATTATTTCCAAGAGAGCTCTCTATTTTCTGAAAAAAAAAAAAAAAAAAAAAAAAAGGGGTAGGGGGGATGAGGAGAAAAATTACGCTACATACCATGAAAGCGATGGGAAAAAAGAGATAACGAAAATAATATCAAAAATTATATCGAGAAGAAAAAGCAGAATGCTAAAAATGCACAAATTTAGAATTCTTATTAAGTTAAAACACTAATTCATCTTTTATTTAAACTTACTCTACTTGCTTAGTCATTATTTTCACGCACCTCTCTCTCTTCTCCACAACTCTTCTACCGAATTGCATATTGTGAAGGAGAAAAAAAATGTATGAAGTGAAGAGGGGGGTAGACATAATATTTATATGCCATTTACAGCAAACCAAAGAGAGGAGAAAGTCATTTTTCTTTTTTATATTCATTGGAAGTTCTTCCAAATTAAGCTCTTTTTTTTTTTTTTTTTTTTTTTTTTTTTTTTTTTGCTTTGCACACAGAGAGGGGGAAATATAAGGCAGTGACAAAATGATGACAAGACACTGGGTCATGCCCCAATGGACATTATGTATATATCAGCAGAAAGAATGGGAATAAATTTTGCTTATTCCTTGGACTTGGACTTGTAACGAATTTGTTTTAAAAGATAATATTTAATTTCTTCCCCAAGTGATGAGAATTACAAAGATAAGAATTCATATACATATGATAAAGTTTTTGTTAAAATAGGGACGTATTTTTATGTAGTTAAATGTTTGTGTTCATTCATTTGGAACGGTACATTTTTACGATGTAAAGTTCTTTGAAAAATGATAAAGAAGTTACATCGTTCATGCAAAATGGTTAAAAAAAAAAAAAAAAAAAAAAAATTTTCTTTTTTTTTTTTTTTTTTCTTTTTTTCATGTTTTCCTAATTTAGCCATACCACTCTGTCATATCGTTATTTCCATTCTTCACAAATTAAATCATTCTATCTATTTTCTTCTTTTTGTTCTTACAAACATATTCCATGTATCGGAATGGAGAGACTTAATTGTGTCTGGGACATCAACTAAGGTGCACATATGCTTTCCTCTATATCTCTCCACTTTTCACATAATCGTGCATATATCACCATGATGTTGCACATATTTATCACATAGCACAATGGTTTCGTCTCATTCATTCCTTCGTCATTTCTGAGCACTTTAACAACTTATCATATATTGGTAGAGTGCCCAAAAAGCAAAGGTGAGAGTATTTAAAAAAATGAACAAGGAACTCAGCACAAAAACAAACACATAAAAAAATAGAAAAGGATAGTTATACATGTAGTAGTAAACAAAATTGACGTAGACAAGGATGACTATATATGCTTCATATATTTGTATAGGTGGATATATATGTATGTTAATTTTTCCAAAATGTGATGCATATTTGTAATCGTCTACTAGGTGTATTTCTGTTGTTTTTCGATTGAAAATGTTGAACAAGTAGAATGGAGTGTTAAAAAATAAATACAATTTGTTTATAAAATCGTAATTTTTATTATTAAAGTGCAACTTTTCATTTCTCAAAAGGGCATGATCACTTTTGTCAAAAATTTCTGTTTGTAATTGAATGAAATTAAATTTATCGTTGTAGTCATTATTCATATAAGAAAAGTTGAGAAATATGTCTACTTTATATCCTTTTTTTATTTTAAGCTCACCACTTTCTTGATTTTTCAAAAAGGGAATGAAAAAATGGAAAACACTGTGATTATTATTATATGATTTTTTTTTATCTGAACATTTTTGAAAATTTACCTGACCTGTTAATACATTATTTTGCAAAAATATGTGCTCCATTCCTTTGTCAAAATTGTGTAATTTTTCATAATTTATGTAATTTTCTTTTATATTCTGAAAGGGATAATGCCCCTTTAACATCATGTTATTCCAGTTCCCCGAGCAACAGCATGTATCCTTTTTTTCTATACTGCTTAAAATTTCTTTTTTAAATGATTTTAAATGATTTAAAAAGATTTCTTCTGATTTATTAACGTTGCTATGCATGGTATTCCCCGAGGAACCTGTCATATATTCGTAAGGTTTTTTCTTTAAATAATCTTCTATGGGACTTTGAGCTAAGGTAAATTCTACTGGATATACATATTTATTCTGTGGGATAAAATAAATATATAAAAAAAAGTACACAAATACGGAAAAAATAAACAGTGCTACGTTTATTAACAAATATATTATGAAAACGTACAGGCAACGTTTAACATTTAAATTTGGGAAGGCGCTTTTGAATTGTGATTTCATTTTAGTATATGTTTTGTTCACACGTTTAATCATGTGTCTTATCGACTTTGAAATGGAATTCAAAACGCGATCGAATCGTTTTCTTCTTTTCCGCTTCCTCCTTTTGTACTTATATGACATGTAATCCTCCTGTTTAAGGTATACATATTTCTTGTTCATTTTGCAAAACAGCTTAATGTTTCTGTTACATCTGGAGGTTCGCGGCCTTTCCAATTCGTTTGCCTCGTCTGCTTCGTTTGCTTCGTCTGCTTCGTCTGCTTCGTCTGCTTCGTCTGCCTCGTCTGCTTCTTCTACTTGGTTTGCTTCATTTTCTTCACCCACTTCTTCTACTTCAACTTCTCCCGCTTCCTCCCCTTCGACCTTTTCGTTTCCCCGGGGCTGGACATTGCTCACATCCAAATTGGCAAGATCCTTGTCATTTCGAGGTATCATATTTCAAAGGTATATAAAAAGGAAATATACATGGGCACGTTTGCCTATGTATCTATATTCGTATTATATGCTCGATGCATTAGCCACAAATGTAAGAAAAATGGGAATAATATATATAAGTTGAAAAAAATTTTCTCCTCCTTTTTTACTTTTTCAGCCTTGGAACGTTTCACAAAAAAAAAAATAAAAAAAAAATAAAAAAAAAATTTGTTAATAATGTGCAGTTCCCTCTTGAAGTGAAAAATTGAATTTATCATAGAAATGCATACAGACATATGAGGGAATAGAAGGGGAAAAACAAAATTAGGCATAAAATGGAGTACCAAAGGGAGATTGTGAAAATATATTTCAACAATGAAAAAACAAAAAAAAAAAAAGAGTGTTACAAAAAATGGGAACTATGTAGGAATTTGAAAAAGGCTACAATGATAATTTAAAAAGGAGGCCCCTATTATTTGGGGAAGCTCTATTTCTCCTCTTTTTTCACTTGGTTTATTTAGTTAATTTCCTTCATTTTGCTAATTTTTTTTTTTTTTTTTTTTTTTTTTTTTTTTTTTTTTGTGTGTGTGCTGTAGCAAGTATGGAGTCAAACACACAGAGGACGTTATTTTATGAGGTGGCTAAAAGGATTGTGACTAGAGAGAAAAAATATTCCACCTGCCTTTTTCGCAAAAAATGGGAATATAATTTGGATTCTCATGTGACTTGCATTTTAAATATATGAAGTGTACACATATATATATGAACATATATGTATGTATAACACCCCGAAGATGTTTTTCTTCATACTAACTGATATATACCCTCTACTCCAACAACTTTCCCGCACCCTTCTCTTCTTTCCCCTTAGCAAAAATAAACACATAGGATGGGGAATGTCTTCTGTTATTTATTGCACTCAGCACAAGGAAAAAATACCATACGTTCAGAAATTTTGTGTGGGGAGCAATGATCAGTTTTTTCAAAGTGAAGGGAATATTCGAAGGTTTGTTTTATAACAAAGAAAAAAAAAAAAAAAAAAAAAAAAAACGATTCATCGATTCAACGACTCAACGATTTAACACCTTAACAGCTTAACGACTTTACAATTTAACGAATTTCACTCCCGAATTGTTGCACATTGTTCTAGTGGTTTGAAAACATCGACGCTGGAAAAGAAAAAACAACAAGTGCCTGCAGGACCACCATATGGGAACTTATATGCAGACATTTGGTTTAATAAATGGATAGGTTCAGTAAATGAACGATTCAAAAGAACTAATGGGGAAAGAGAAAATCCCCCATTTTGTGAGAAAAATGTAGCATGCATGGACGTATGACAATGTCAGGGATGTTAATGATAATGATAATGTGGAAGTTTCATTCCTTTGGAACACGTGCGCTATATATTATATGTATTTATATATGTATTTATATATGGATACATGAACAGTTGCTCAGGCAGAGGAGCACTTGGTGCGAAAATATTTCATGGTATTAGCCTCTTTGGATCTCGTGGAAAAAGAGATGTCTTGCGGATGTTGTTGAGGCCTAAAAAAAGCATAAGGACACGTTCAAGGCCAATTCCACAACCCGAGTGCGGGTAAGAGGAATATGCAAAGGAATCGATATAAAAATTGAGTTTTGTAGCATCCAAATTGAAGCGTTTGATATTATCTAACAACAAATTAACATCATTGATTCTCTGGGATCCAGATAATATTTCTTCTCCTCTCATAAAAAAATCATAAGAATTTGAAATCCTTGGATCGTCTTCTTTATACATGGTATAAAATGGTCTCAGAGCAGATGGGAAATGAATAATTATATAATAATCTGTATGATGAGAAGCTTTAACAATTTTTCCCAACTCTTTTTCCATATCGGTTGACATGTCATACATTAGAATTTCTTCTTCCTTTAAATTCAATTTGTCATGTTTGATTAACAATTTGATTGCCTCTTCATATGTAAAAATTGGAGTAACATTTAACCACTGGAAATCCTCAGATGGATATTGATTTTTTATAGTTTTAATAAAAAGTTCATTTTTTTTACATTTTGTTAATTCGTTAAATATATGCTTAAACATAGAATCGTAGAAAAAAACATTTTCCATATAATCATACTTATATGTCATTTCTACATCTAGGGATATATACTCACAAAGGTGTCTATATGTATTGCTATTTTCAGCTCTGAAAACAGGAGAAATTTCAAAGACTCTATCAAATCCAGAGTTTATGCACATCTGCTTGTACAACTGAGGAGATTGTGCTAAGAATCCTTTCTGATTAAAATAATTTATTTGAAATGCATTCGCTCCTCCTTCACTACTTTCACCCAACAATTTTGGGGTATGTATTTCTATAAAATTATTTTGTAGTAGAAAATTTTTAAAAATAGTACATATTTGAGATTGAAGATAGAAAATACTATAATTTGCATACGTTCTCAAGTCAATACATCTATTATTTAATCTATTATCTTGATTCACTTTAATAGTTCCTTCTTCATTTGTTTCTTTCATATTTGCATCTTTTAATAAAAATGGTAATTCCTTTACCGTTTTGCTTATACAATATATTTTATTTATATGTATTTCATATTTGATATTCGTACTATCAATTTGTATTTCTGGTTTAATCAATTTTCCATTAATGTCTACAATACATTCCAACGATAGGTTACTTACCCATTTCATCATGTTCTTGTTATTGTCATTGTTTTTTATATCTAATATACATTGCATGGAATATAATTTGTGTCTCAAAATGATGAAGGCCAATGAGCCTTTACTTCTAATATCATGGATTCTTCCTCTAACCCAAATGTCCTTTTGTAGCAAATGTTCTGCATCTAACTCGGGTCCTACTACAGTGTTGCTCGTTGTGTCTTCTCGTTTCTGATTTGTCCCCTCCAAGCTATCCACCTTCATCAATGCATTGTAAACCTCTTCCAAATTATACAATTTGATCTTATCGTTATTTTTTTTTATTATACTAACTTTGATGTATCCAAAGTTATCTTTGTTTATGTCTTCACACACGTGTTCTAAAATTTTCTGGGCTTCATTTTTTAAATTCTCCCTTTCTGCTTTTTTGGCTAGCTTTTTTTCTTTTTCCGCTAGCTTCTTCGCTTTCTTTTCCTTTTTCTTTTCATTCATCTCTTCAGCATTGTTGCTGATGTTACTACCTTCCTGCTTTGCCTTTTCTGCTTCGTTTTCCATTTTGCTCCTAAAAAGTTTTAACCTATTCTGACTAGGAATAAAAATTATTTTTGCAAAAACGGGATAAAATCCTTGTTTTATTGAAATGTACTTTTGCACTTTATTAAATTTGTTCAATATGGTGAAACAGTACATTTGCATGCTCCTCCTAAGGTTCCATGCATTACGAAACACATTGCAAAAAAAAAAAAAAAAAAAAAAAAAAAAAAACAGGGTTCAATGATTATCTATTATGTTTTTGGAGAACCTATCTCCCGCTTTCCCCTTTTTATTCTCGTATTTTGTATTTGCCCTCGGAAAAACTAACACTTGGAAAGCACGTCGCTGTGTTAGAATGAAGCAGGAATTTTTTTTTTTTTTTAAAACTGGTTGTGCACGAGCATATATATTTTACACTACACTATGATGACATACGTTATTTTGAGATATACACTATTTTTTGCGTTTTTCCTGTATCTGGATGGGTTGAAACAGCAGAGAAATGGCTAAAGCATGGAAAGCATATTTTTTTCTACCTCAGCCCTGGAGTGTTATTGGCCTATCTCAACACTTGGCAATGTAAGAAGTTTTAAAAAAAAAAGAAAAAGAAGGAAAAATGTATGTAAATTTAAAACCGTAATGGCAACGTATCCGTGATTTTTTTTTTTTTTATTTATTTTTTTTTTTATTATCATGTTAGAAAAAATTGAAAATAAAAATAATTTCTCTTTTCTTTCTTGTTTAAGTGCTATAATTTGTATGGTGCTATAAAATTGCTTCGTCCATTTTGATTTTCCAAAGGGTTTTGATACCACCCTTTTTTTTTTTTTTTTTTTTTTTTTTCTCTCTTTCTCTTTTTTTTAATAGTATATATATAAATCGTTGTCATGTCACACATTAGATAAACCTATGTCCTGTGGTGCTTAAAAAGTACACACTTTCGTTCGTAGTGTTTTTTTTTTTTTTTTTTTTTTTTTTTTTTTTTTTTTTTTTTTTTTTTTTTTTTTTTTTTTTTTTTTTTTTCTTTAAATGATATTTCGAACCTATCATCTTGTATCTTGTGAGTACAAAATTAATCTCCTTTTTTTTTTTAAAAAATAAACATGAAAACGAATTTAATCCAGATTGAGAAGTCCCTCTGCTTAACAAATTCGTAGTAAAAAAAAAAAAAAAAAAAAAAAAAGAAAAAAAAAAAAAGAGGTACATTTTATATACGTACCAAAATAAATATCGTCCCTGATATATATGTTCCAACAATAGCTTCTTCACAGTTGTGGGGTTGTGTTACTACTTCAAGCATGAAAGGGCTAGATTCAATTCACGCTTAGCTGTGTCGATATCTTCAAACAGAAGGGCTAAGAACATGTTGGGTAATACGTAAATTGGGGAAGCATGTGTCATTGGTGTTGCATGAGTAGACGCAATGAATGCGTAAGTATTGATGTCTGTGTTACGCATGTGTATGTAATAGTTTTTTCTGTTTTTTCTGTTTTTTCTGTTTTTTCTGTTTTTTCTGTTTTTTCTGTTTTTTCTGTTTTTTCTGTTTTTTTTTTTTTTTTTTTTTTTTTTTTTTCCCTAGCTGATAGACGAGCTCACCATTTACGGCATACTGGGCATGCTTCAAACTTGTGGCAATGTCAGCTCCGTTCTGTTGCTCCATATAGGCATCTGCTAATAATTGAAAAAAAAAAAAATTGGGACAGCAGAATTGGAACAATATTTGCAAACTGCAATGATATATGTTTGTGCTCCGTTGAGGGGAACAAAATTTATGAGTCCTTCCGTTTAGCTTGGAAATTTGCTTCCATTTTTTTTTTTTTTTTTTTTTAACCCATTTCAAATTTTGGTATGCCCTGAAAATTTTCACATTTCTCTGTTTGATTTTCATATGCCGTTTGATCTTTGAACATTTCATTCCCATTGATTGCGATTTCTTCGGGGGACTCTTCTGTAAGGAGGATGAACGTTTACGTCATTGTAAGTGCAAAGGGATGTGTTCTCTTATGCGTATATGTAGGTATATGCACATGTTTCTAATTATGTGCATGCCCACGTGCTGTTGAGCCAAATAATATGCACGAGCGATAACCTGATGAAGATACATCGCCTGTGGTCTCATTACGTGGGGTCCCTGGTTCTGGTTTAACGTTATTATCAAAGCAATTTTTCAAATAAACTGTTTTGTATTTAGCATACAGATATTTTTTCTTTTCGCAAGGATCTAATTTTCTGAAGTGGCTTAAAATTTCATAAAATATTTGAGACGTGAAAAACATCTGAAGTGTTTTTTTTGTTATCTCCTCCTGTCTATCGTGCTTGTCAGCAGCTAAGAACAATTCTGTAAAAATAGACACGAAAAATGGTAAGGGGTGGGGGAAAAAAAAAAAAACAATACGAAACGGAATGAGCAAGGTAATAACGAATTATTTACCACTTTGGCTAACTCAATCACGTAAAAAAAAAAAAAAAAAAAAAAAAAATGTATACTCATTTGTTCCTTTTTTTTTTTTTTTGTGCATGGTATTGTTACTTTTGCAAAAATCGGCTAACTTCGTGTAATCTACTGAATCAAAAGATGGGCGGACTTGTTCAGCCTTGTTTAGACATTGCATTAAAATATTTTTCGCTTCTTCAAAGGGGAAATAAAATAAGAGGAAATGGACGAAAGTGAAAGAGCGAGAAAGAAAACATATACACGATGAGACGTTTTTTTTTTTTTTTCTCTCTCTGTCTCTCTTCCTTTTTTTTTTTTTTTTCTTGTTTTTACACCCCTGTGTTTGTTCCATTGCTCGATGCCCTTCCATAAACACAATTTATTTTTTTTTTATAATTATTCTTATGTACCTATATCCGCACTATTGTTTTTTATGTAATCATTCAGCTGCTCCACTATGTAAAGAGTGCACAAGAAGGAAACTGATAATTTAGAAAAAGAGTAAGGAGAAGGAGACGGTCAATATTCGTTTGGGTGTTTTACACTCGCGAAGACGCTTGCCCCTCGTCAGCGCTGATCATATGTGTAATTCCACATATTTGTGCACGCATATATATATGTGTGTATATGCATGTTTATATATTTATGCAAATGTTTATGCATACAACGTTTTGCGCCCTAGAGAGGGTACCTAACAAATGATCTCTTTCCAACTCCTGAGCTTTTTTCCATATGAACTGAATAGACTTCATGGAGACTTTTTTGTTCTTCTCTCCTGCTTCTTCCCCTGGTGTTTCCATTTGGCTGCTTTCCTTTGGAGCTTTAGGAATTATAACTACAACCTTTTCAATCTGTTGTCAGCAGGGGCTGTGTGGCCAATTCGTTGGTAATAACTATGTTTTTTCCTTAAATGTGCACAAAATAGCTATTTTTTTAATCTACACAAAATAGCTTCTTTTTTTAATCTGCACAAAATAGCTTCTTTTTTTAATCTGCACAAAATAGCTTCTTTTTTTAATCTGCACAAAATAGCTACTTTTTTTTTTTTTTTACCTGCACAAAATAGCCATTTTTTTTTTTTCCTATTTAAACTATTCTACTGAAAAAAAAAAAAAAAATTTATTTGGGAATTAAAAAATGGTACATCCACTGTTGCACGATCTTGAAAAAACTTTTATTATAACCCTTTTCCCATTGCGTCGAAGTAAAATAATTTTCCTCTTTACATAATGAATTACATACAAGTAGTTTGTAAATACGAACAATTATTATATTATTTGAAGTCCCTTTCTGAGGGGTAACAAATGCACACGCATACATATAGCATGGGAGAACAAAGACGTAGTAAAAATGTACATGTGTATACCCATTTACAAACTGCAAAATTAACAAAAGTTTGAAAGTTTTTTACAAATTGTGATCGATGAGAAGATTCAAAATGTATAAACTCTGTTTTGTGAGGGAAAAATCTTCTTATGAGGAGATGTGTGTCTCCTCTGTCTGGGTTCCTCTTGAAGCTACAAAAATGTAATTATATTTTATAGGAAACGTTCAAAAGAATTTCCTCAATCAGTGTGTACGTATATATGCGGATTATACAAAAAAAAAAAAAAAAAAAAAGAAAAAATAAGAGTTCGTGTTGTAAGTGAATGAGTGAGTACCAATGTGGAAGAGTAAAAAAAAAAAAAAAAAAAAAAAAAAAAATGTACACACCCAATTATGCCACAACGGGGGATGATATTTCTATATTTTTTAAATTGCAACATTTATTTTCCCCTGAACAAATCATATCTTGTTAAGTCGGGTCCTTGGCACATAAAAGTGTTTTCAAAAAGAACAGGAAAATCGAAGGGGAAGTGGGAATTAAAAGAAAGCTTCAATAATGTTCATGCTGAAAAGTGACACACATGTGTGTGTACATATAGATTGGTCGATAGATTGGCAGATAGATATAGGTATATACATATGTATGTGCGAGACAGTGAGCCTATGCATGCATGGGTGTCGGCGCCCTCCTTCTATGAGAACGACTATAGGAACCCCTGCGGACTAGCTCCCATTCAAATTGTTCATTATAAAATCCTTATTCGCTCTGACATCACAATCTATTTCGTTCAGCAAGTAGGTCTGATACAAAGTATTCTTCGATCCTGCAGTTGAGTGAACAACGTAATTCGTGCGATCCTTTGCATTTATTAACACTTCATTTAAAATTACAAACAAAACATTTTCATCATCCAGAGGAACAAAAACCTTTAAGCAATGAAAGAAGAAAAAAAAATCTACTCTTAATTTTTCAAAACCATGTTCATTAAAATGTAAATTTCGAACATATTCCGTATAATTCTTAAACAATATTTTTATTATGACAAGAACTATTTTTCTGCTTTCTAAATGCAAATTCTTTTTGTAGTTTTTCATTTTGCACATGTACAATTTGTACATGTACATTTCTAGGTTTTTTTCATAATTCTGAACTTTCAGCTCCCTTTTCTCAACGTATCGGCACTGCGTGCCATTGTTTTTTTCACCCCCATCTGTTTTATCACCCCTGTCAGTTTTATCACCCCTGTCAGTTTTATCATCCCTGTCAATTTTATCACCCCTGTCAGTTTTATCATCCCTGTCAGTTTTATCATCCCTGTCAATTTTATCATCCCTGTCAATTTTATCATCCCTGTCAATTTTATCACTAAGATCACTTTTCTCTGTTTTACCACCTATTCCCTCACTTTGTACTTTAACCTGATCAGGCACCATGCTTGAGGGTCTTCTCCTCATCCCCTTTGCATATTCCTTGCACACTTGCTCCAATGATTCCCCTATTTTATTCTTCATTTCATTAAAGGCATCAAATTGCATATGGTTAGACACACCAGTATTCATTTTGCTATGAAAAAAAAATATCATATAGGAATAAACGGTATTAATATTTTTCAAACAGTATATAAAATTGTTGCTCACAAACTGTGTTTTTTTCTCTTGCGTCCATTTTTCACATTCAGTGAATAATTTTGTCCTATGTGATATTTTATTTATATAATATGAAATAAACACATTCATTAATTCATTACACTTTTGGTGAAATTTATATCTCGCAAAATTGCGTATCCCAACAGCGTATCTGTTTTCAGAATCCTCTTCATCATCATCGTCATCCAAATCGTCATTTGTGTGCAATTCTTCCGATATAACCTCTTCTGAAGTGACAGCTACTGATGTGGTATCTACAAGCACAGCACCCTCGTCTACAATTAATCCTGTCGTCTTTCCTCTTTTTTTTTTTTCTTCTCCATTTTTACAGTCCCATAGAGAAGCGCAATCCATCTTCTCACGTTCATATATTTTTTTCACATTTTTGAACCCCTTATTTTTTGTTTCCCCTTTGTCTCTTTCATCTTCAAACAGGGCAGCATTCACCACTCTTTTTGAATTTCCCAAATTGGTAGCCGAATTGTGAATTTCGTTTGTCCATACCCCTTCTTGGATAATCGATACTGGGCAATAGGTTCCTTCTTTCACTTCTTTCACTTCATTTTCTTTCGCTTCATCTTCTTTCACTTCATCTTCTTTCACTTCTTCATCTTTCACTTCATCTTCTTTCGCTTCTTCATCTTTCACTTCATTTTCTTTCGCTTCATCTTCTTTCACTTCATCTTCTTTCGCTTCTTCATCTTTCACTTCATTTTCTTTCGCTTCATCTTCTTTCACTTCATCTTCTTTCGCTTCTTCATCTTTCACTTCTTCATCTTTCGCTTCTTCATCTTTCACTTCTTCATCTTTCGCTTCTTCATATTTCACTTCTTCATCTTTCGCTTCTTCTCCTATTCTACTTCCCCACATGCACATTTTATCATTCACGGAGACATTGAGATGTGGCACAGCTTCTCCTCCCTCGAATGTGCAACCTGTGGGTGCGACTGATTTCATGTAATCAGATGGGATCGCTTGAATCCCATTTGCATCTGTTGTCTCATAGGAGCAATAATCCATTTGAGGTTCCTTTTTCTTTACCTCGTTCTGATTGTTCCATTTGCAAAATGGATACGCATCTTTATACATGAGATCCAGAAAAGAGTTAGAAAGACAGATTCGTTTACGCTCATTGATTAATGCATGTGCTTGTTTATACATATCAAGGATAATTGTGCATATTTTTGAAACCCCTTCTTTTTTCATATTGTTCAGTATTGTGACTAGTGTAAGTAGAAAATATGTTTCCGCTTTTTTGGTTGCTTCAAATTTTTGATTTTCTATAATTTTATCAATAAATTGGTTAAAATCCATTTTCATTAAATTCTTTGTTTTTAATAAATCCTTTTCAAGATTTTCATTGTTAAATGTAATATTTTTGTACAAAAACTTGGATACACATTTCCATTCAGTTTTTCGTTTTTTTTTTCCTTCCAAGTTCATTATATCAGAGCTGTATGTGTGAGGGTAGATATTTCTACACTTGAAGATTTTTTCTTTATCTGATGAAAAATTTTCTCCATATGGAGTATTTTCTCCAAGCACTGATTCCTTTGCACAGTCCAGCGTGTCGTCTTTGTCATTTCTGTAACCTTCTTTTGTGCAATTTGAATTGTTTATGTGGTCATTTTCGTCCCAATGTGTCCTCTTCTCCCACACACAGACAAAGTACCTCATGAAGGAATCGACAAACCTCGTGAGAAAAACAAAATAAATAATAACAAAATTAATCAAATTCTTAAAATAAAAATCGGTGCTAACTATGGATATCTGTTGGTAGAAGACCTCCAAATCGATGAGGAGCAAACAAAGACGTAGCAAAATATTATGACAAAGTTCAGGTTTATATTCCAAAATGTAATTTACTTCCTTCTCTTTGCACATGACAAAAAAGTTCATAAGACAGCAATTGCTGTGAATACATAAACTGTAAAAGTAAAATTTTATTAATTCCACATAGGTCTTCTTAAAAAATTCATTCATAATTGGAGTTATCATTTCCTCCAAGATATTCTTTTCCTTATGAACATTCGATCCATTCTGAATCTCCTTTGTTAAATGGTTCTTTTCTCCCAACAGTATTTTCATGCAACGCACGACAAGTTTTATAGGAGGATTTAACATGTATATAAGATCCACTGTAAGGTCTTGCAAAAGACTGAAGAAGATATGCATCACAAATTTGATAACTTCCTCGTCGTTCTCTCTGCTTAACATCTTATTCAAGCAGTTTAAGCAGTTCACGCAATTCATGCAGTTTTGGTGCGAGTTACACTTTCTAAGTTCACAGTTGCAGTAGGATAGTGTTGCATCTTCCTGGTCTAAAAAACATTTCTTCATCAAGTTCACATTTTGATCTCTACACACATGGTGGGAATTGCATGGGTCAAACTCTGCTGATGTATGGAACGATCCATCAAGCGAAGACTTCCTTGCTTCAGTGCTCTTCATCTTCATGTCATTCACCACTTCTATCTCTGCAATGGCAACCTCATGCATCTTTCTTATCAATTTCCTCAAATGTGGAATACTGTGAAGAGTTCCTATTTCATCTCTCTCTGAACTGATTTCCTTCTGTTCACAATAAACATCAAGTATAAATAACTTTTCATAACTTCTTACAGTTGCGAAAAAAAAATTCAGCAAATGGGTATAGGCCAATTCTAACACACGACTAAATATTTCGTTATGAATTTCGTTATGCTTTTCGTTTTGTTTATCATCTGTTGTACTGTAATTTTTATGGTTCTTTTTTTTATCCTTGATAAATTGATTTGAAGTAAAAATGGAATTATGGCCATCTTTATTTTCATTTTTTTCATCGTGCATGTAGTTTTCCAAATTAAATATGTTGCATAGAAGATATTTTAGTGCCATAAGTCTATTCTTTATAAATATATTTCTTAATTCCTTCTTGTTTTTTCCATATGCTAATATTAAATATAATGAGGAAGTTATTTCTTCACTTGAAGTGACATGGGAACATAGGATGTTAAAAAATTCTTTTGATGAATTTCTTCCAGGACAGGTAGGATAGCCATACTTGATGCCATCGTTTATGTTCGGTTTTTTCCATTCCAGGTGTCTACTCCATACACTGCATCCATTGCAATCATTGCAACCAATGCATCCACTACAATCACTGCAACCATTGCACCCATTGATTTGTCTCCCATGAAGCTTCTCCTCATAGTAGTAACAAGCGATTCTGGCCAAATTATCGCTGTCTAAAAATAAATTCCAAAAGACACTCACTTTTCTATTCGCGTAAAAAAAAGGAGCGGCTTGAATGAACATTTCAAGTGATTGTATGTACTCACCTCGTGTTATTAAATCAAACATCCTCCTTGGAATACTCATAATGGTATGAACATGGTTTATTAACTCTTTTATTTGTAACAGATTTTTAATTTTTTTATAATTTGTGTCAATTTTGGTATTAACTAAATTACAATTGTTATCTATACAACCCAAATGATCATTTATATTTTTTATTTTTTCTTTTACATTTACAAAATTTTTTTTTAAAAATACAATTGCATCTGCTGCATCTATAAATTTATTGTAATTTTCATAAACTACTGATTGCATAAAATTATCATTTTGTTTTATTTCCTTTTCGATTTTTTTCGATTTCTGTATTAAATCATTTAAAGTAGATTTTTTTAGCAGCTTTTTAAAATAATCGTTTACGTTAAATTCGTTGCTTTTTTGGTTCAATTCGTCTGAATCGGTTACTTGGATCTTTTCATCCATCGAGTACATTTCATTGCTATTCCTTTTGGACTTTAATACACTACATGGTTCCTCTTCCTTTGTACCATTCTGTTTTACTTCATTATTTCTAATTAATTCGTTTTCCTTCCTCTGTTCGTTTGCCTGTCTCTGTTCATTTGTCTGCCGCTGTTCATTTTCCTTACTTTCATTTTTTTCATCTATGTTATAATAACTTTGTAAAATCGCTCCTATATTTTTTCTCCCCTCACTTCTATACTTCTTGTGCATGTTTGTGATTCGATGGTGGTAACAATAGCGTGTGGAGGAGATAAAAAAATGGGAAATGAACAGGTGCAAACAGAGGAAAAAAAAATTATGCTACTTGGACTTCACCTTTTTCTGTCTATGTTTTTGTATCATCTCAAGGTATGTTTTTTTTTTTTTTTTTTTTTTTTTTTTTTTTTTGGTACATTAGTAAGACTCATTTCTAGGAAAAAAAAAAAAAAAAGAGAAAGAATTTACACATCCTCTTCAAGTCAGTGTTGTAAATATACCTATAAAAAAAACACACACATGCATACACCTGTTGAGTCATAAGATCGATGTATCAACTTCTCTGATTGTCTCCCATCACTGCGTTTGTGAACCAAATAAATGGCTCATTTGTTCCTATTTACGGCTCTTTTATCTGTTCATTGGTGTACTTATTTGTGTACTCATTTGTTTATTTACTTGTTCATTTGCTTGTTTATTTATTTGTTTATTTACTTATTTATTTGTTTGTTTGTTTTTTTTTTTCTCCCCTTTTTCTAAAGCGGTATGGAAAAGTGAAAAAAAAAAAATGATCATGATACGTTCCTCCTTTTAAATGTATTTATGAAGAATCTCCAAAAATGGATTAATTTCGAAAACCTTTTTCATTTTTCAGTGAGGTGAAAAGAACATGTTCCATCACTAAATGTGTTTGCTATCGCTGGAAAGAGAAAACTATGTGTTAAATCTGGATTGCATCCCACTGTTAATCATTTCGAAAAAGAAGAACGAATCCCCTTGTGTTCACACAATCATTTATGCAATCATTCATGCAGTTATCATGTGTAGATGAGGTACCATTTAAAGCCTCCTAGAGAAATAAGATCAAAAAATGAAAAAGCCAAAAATTTCTCACATTCCATATATATCATAATGACATACAGATTAATTACATTTCGGTGAAATTCACCTCACGAAATAGTGCACATATTCATGCTCTTATTTTATTTTTTTTTATTTTATTTTTTTTTTTTTTGCGAATATGTGTTTCCCATTTATTCTGGAGTAAAAATAATATTCTACCAATTCAGTTGCTCACGCTATGGTAATCTTTCTATGCCAAAGTGAGAAAAAAAAAAAATAAAAATCAGATATGTATATATGTATGCATAAAACAAGTACGTGTGTGCTCGAGGTGTAAACATACACACAAAATTAAATGCATTTCTTTTCAACCCTTGAACTATTGTGTTGTTGAACTTAAAGAACGGCCACTCGAATAATCCTTTACACATGAGCATATGGGGAATGACCTTTCATTCGTTCATGTGATGAGGACATACTATTTTTTTTTTTACAGGTCAAGTGTTTAATTGTTTGTTTAATTGTTTGTTTAATTATTTGTATAATTGTTTGTATAATTGTTTGTATAATTGCTTGTTTAATTGTTTGTTTAATTGTTTTTTTGTATGTTCTTTTTTTTTTTTTTTTTTTTTTTTGGTACAGACTTTTCACCTGAACGTTCAGGTGAAAAAAGTTAACATTTCAGGGATGACACATATGAGATTTTGCAAAATGGATGGATATGCAAATTATTCTCCAGGGAGGTGAAAAAAAATGAGACATAGAAAAGTTAAATCCACGTCTCTGAGGAAAAATGTACTTCTTTCACTCCCGTGCTTTATATATGTATACATTTATCTGGTTATAATAATCTGAAAAAGTGTTAAGATATAACAAAATGGGAAAACTTATAAAAGAGATATGAATATTTTTTTTTTTTTTTTGTGTTTTTTTCCTCTCTGCTCTCCTCATCCTATCATCAGACATACATAATTCCACGTTCAGATGTTTGCAAATTAGATGGTTGTAAATAAGTCTAGAGAGATATCAGAGGAGATTACCCTCTCACTTGAACTACTAGCATCGTTCCTATTATTGAGACGCAGGGTCGTGAAAAATAATTCTCAACTAATCATATGTTACATAAACATTATAGGAAAAGAGGAAAAATTTGAATGAAAAAAAGAGTTAAATTAAATAAATAAAAATAAAATGAGGTTAAGATAGAACGAGATTGAAGTGTAATTTGTAAGTGGCCTCATGAGGGTGCATAGCATTTTTAGACACCACTTTCATTATTTAAAACTCTCTCCTTGAGAAGTGTCCTACGCTACAGACAGAACCTCAGCGTGATATGCAATTGCATGTTCGACTTTCTTCTTTCGAATTTGTTAACGCGTGAAGAAAAAAGGGACACACATATATTTATATGTATGCATGTATGTGTGTGTATATGTATGTATGTATATGTGTGTATATGTATGCACGCATGTGTGCGTAACTTTTCCCATGATACTCAAATGTTTCTCCTTTTAGTCGTTATCCAACTTGGTGTTTCTCCATTTTACTGATACAAGAAGGCAGAGAAGACAAGCCTACCATGTCTGTTCTATGATTCCTCGTGAAGGAATATTAACACTTGTACTTATTGATGCACCAATCCTACACAAATGGATTTAGATTTATTAAAGAGGATGGTATAATTTCAGTATCGATTAAGCATTCTCAATAGTGCTATTTTTTTTTTTTTTCCTCTTCTGCCTCATCTGATCCACTGTACCATCGTTATTATCTCCCTATTTGAGCGTCCCATCGGATAAGTTTTGTCTTTTTTATATAAAATTTCAGTTTGCATTTATGTTGAAAACAAGGAACGAAATAAATAAAGAAGGAACAAAAAGAAGGAATGAAAGAATGCATGTATGAATGAATGAAAAAATGAAAGAAAGAATGCATGCATGAATGAATGAAAAAATGAAAGAAGGAATGCATGCATGAATGAATGAAAGAATGAGGAGGTTGTTGCCTTTCATAGAAATCTGTTTCATCATGCATGTGCAAAAGTTCACGTTCATGCTGGAATGAGCTCCTTGACACATATGTGTGGCCCCAGCCCGCTCGGGAGGAAAATAAAAGTAAAAAAAAAAAAAAAAAATGGGAATAAAAAGTGGAAGCAAAAAAAAAAAAAAAAAAAAAAAAAAAAAAAAAAAAAAAATAAAAAAAAAAAGTCCACAATAAAGTAACTATTAACACCATTCCGAGGTGTGGCCATTTTGGCATTTTTTTTTTTTTTTTTTTTTTTTGTTCATCCCTAGCAAATTAATTTTTTATGGGAAAAAAAAAAGAAAAAAAAAAAAAAAAAAAAAAAAAAAAAAAAGTCCCCACTAGGGTTTCACTTAACACCGTTACGAGGTATGCACATTTTGGCATTTTTTTTTTTTTTTTTTTTTTTTTTGTGCATCCCTAGCAGTTGACTTCTTCAGGGGAAAAAAAAAAAAAAAAAAAAAAAAAGGGCATCTTTTACAAATCTATGATTGCTTTGCAGAACCACGGGGCCAAAGCAAAACTCATTAAGAGAGAGAGTGCACAGAAGGAAGAAGAAACGGCAATATTTTTTTCCTTGGTGTTTGGTTCTTCGAAACATTCATGTATTCTGGCATAGCTTATATTTATAAGAGATCCATTTGTAGAACCCAATAAAAATATAATGAGTGCTACAAATCCGTTTGAGTGCATAAAATCTCCTTCTTCTAAATTTTTTATATTGAAAGCAATTCCTAACAATATGATTCTGCTTAAACACATGACGACAACATATTTCTGTTTCAAAAAGTTGAAGGCATTCAAATGGACAGTCACCATAAGGCTGAATAACATGTCACTTAGTTGATATAAAAACATGAATAAGTAATTTATATAAACTCCTTTTCCTAATTTATTGGGAACTGCAGGGAAAAAAAAAAAAAAAAAAAAAAAAAAAGGTATGAAAAGGGTTAAATTGGATACAAATAGACTATTTTATGTTATAAGAATATTTCATATATGGGAGTATCAACACTAGTGGCACTATATACACCCATCCGCTCTACAGCAGTTACTACATTGCAGAAACGTACTCATGTGAGGGTACACGGTGGAGGATATAAAAATGGAAAAACATATGGGAATGAGACAAACATAGTAATATTTAATCAAACTATAGCCATTATAAATATTAGCGCAATTAAACATATTCTTGAAGTTTACAAATTTGTCTTTACAAACATTCAAAAAAGACAATGAAACAGTGGAATCTTTAGATTTAAGATCAGATGTAGATAAGGTACTTTTCTGCTTTTTACTTTTCCCTTTTTCAATTGCACTTAACTGTTTATCATTATTAGCATTTTTGCATATTTCTAATTCTATTTTTTGACGTTGTTGAATAAAGAAAGGGGAAGTAATTTGAACATACATAATAAAAATAATTATAAAAAATTCGATAAGGACAATTGTTCCAATAGATAAAGCTATAGCATTGTAATAGGAGCTTGTATTTCCATCTTCAATTGTAAAATAAGACATTAATAAATTAATTCCAAAAAAAAATAATGAACTAAAACTAATTCCTGTTATCATATATCCATTTACTTTTATAGCCATAAGAAGTGAATATTTTGTACAAGAAGAATATAAATAACCAATAAACAATCCAATAATTCCACATATAACATATACATAATATTTTGATGCTTTACACACACATATACATACTAGTAGTACTAACATATTAAGTGTATTTAAAGAATTAAAAATCATTATCGATTTAAAAGAAGTTCTTTCAAATGTTAACTGAAAAAATGATGATATAATCATACATCCAGATACTATCCCCATCACTGTTACAAAAATTTCCTCATCATAAATGTGGTTTATCAAGAAGGATACATTAACTATAACGTGTGAGGGTAAGCTTAGCAGTAGTCCTATGAAAAAGAAAATGGCTCGAATTTTTGCCTCTTCCCCAGGCTCCAACGTGTGTTTTTTTTCCATATTGTCGTTTCTCCCACGCGTGTTCCTTTATCGGTTTGATTGGCTTTTCCTTTATCGGTTTGATTGGCTTTTCCTTTATCGGTTTGGTTGGCTTTTCCTTTATCGGTTTGGTTGGCTTTTCCTTTATCGGTTTGGTTGGCTTTTCCTTTATCGGTTTGGTTGGCCTCCAGTTATCTCTTACCTTGGGGGTGATATATATATTCCTCTTTTTTTCTAACGTTCTTCAAAGCCTTGCGTTCACACTTATCTCATGCAAGAGGCATAAAAGCCCCGCTTAGTCACAAATGTCGGGAAAACAAAAAAAAAAAAAAAGTATAGAAAATGGTATGCAACTTGGAACATAAAAAATGGTACTTAAAAGGCTGCTTAAAATAGCACATAAAAAAAGTGTTTGTGGCAAACGTGAATATTTACTAATGACGTAGTGAAAAATAGGATACCCTTAAATAATATAAAAGAATGCCCGTTAAAAAAAGGAAAAAAAAAAAGAAAAAATGTTTAGGTAATAAATAACGAATAGTAAATAATTATATATGAAAAAAAAAAAAAAAAAAAAAAAACACAATGTTGAATGCAAAAACAGAATCCTTTTTAAAAAAGCACACTTCACGGTGAATACATCTACAACTGTAGCTGAGCGATGAAGTGGTGAAAAAAAAAAAAAACATACAACTGGAAGTGTCGTGCAAATGTAGCTTCATACAAATGTAGCTTCGCACAAATGCAGTATCAATGGAATGGAATATAAAACTTACAAAATCGAATCTGCACGACGTGGGGAGCTCCAAGTGGTAGATAATTCACGTATCTTTTAGGAGGAAATAAATCACGACAAGCAAAAAATTGCACCCCTGTTTTTATGAGAAGAAGTAGAGCACGAAAAAAAAGAATGTAAAAATAAATTCCAAACGTGATTTTCCACACTCCATCTACCTGAAGTATTGTGTATAATAATCGTCAGCTTTCATTCACGTAATGCCATATAATTCTTCTACTTTGCTCATTCAGTGAAGTCACAGGAATGGTTTGAAAAAAGAGAGAGTTTGTTGGTGAATCACACCAACTCTTTTTTTTTTTTTTTTTTTTTTTTTTTTTCCTGTTACATTGAGTGCCCATTTTATCGATAATGAAAATAGGCATATTTTTACATGCATAAAATAGAACTTATTACTTGTGTATTCCTAGCTCCAGTGTAATGAAGAAGCTCTCCATTATTCACATTTGTCAAATTGAATTAGTCAACGTATACAGGAATGAAGTGTCGTTCTTGTGTTTGTGACAAAAGGGGAGAGAAAAAAGGAAAAAAAAGAAAAAAAAGGAAAACAACAGAAAAAAAAGGGAAAAAAAAAAAACAGAAAAAAATGACGTGGAAACAAAGCAAAACAAAAGGAGGCGAAATAATGTTAAAACACAAAAAATGATAACGCAGGGATATGTGTACACGCACCGCTAAGCTCATATATGAGAGAAGAAATAAAATTCGTAGACACAGCAAATACATCCATATTGGCTGTAATTATAATATGATAATGACACAATGAGAGAACCACTGGGATGAAATAAATTCAATTTAACCATCTTTTACCATTTATGTTCGAAACTCTTCTTTCCAACACATTTGTATGAAATGTTTAGAAAGATATACACACTTATGAACATGAAAAAGGAGAAAAGGTTTTAAAAAAAAAAAAATTATGCACAAATGGGGATAGAGGGTGAGCATATTATGTCCTCTTTCACAAATACAAAACTGACAAAAATGGTAGTAACCCCTCCCACCCATATACCATGGTTATAAAACTTGTTTCTAGTTCCACCACTACAAAGTTCTACCTTCTACTACCTGGTAGTAGAAAAGAAAACCGAGTTGACAGCATTAAAAAATATATTCATATTCAGATTATTTTGCTTGACATGTCTGTATAAGTGTCGTAAATACTTTTCTTTATAGATTCTCTGAAGTTTTCTAAAAAGGAAAAAGTCCTCTTTGGTTAAAAAGGGAAGGAGGGCACAGTAATCAGCATATGGGTTGGTCACGTTGAAGCTTTTTTGAATTGTCACAGGTGGAACTTTTGTATCATATAAAATTTCCAAGATTTCTTGAAATTCACTTTGTCTTGTTAGTCCTAATTCTGTGGATACCGTTTCTGCACCTCCTTTTTCTGCTGTTTTTCCAGTTATGGCTAGAGTGGAGGAATTTCCTGATCTTTCCTTTATATCTTCATTCAGATCCCGTTTTTCCTCAACTTGGTTGTGAGCACTGTGAAGTAACACAGTTGAATCTGCTACCATATGATCACTTTCGATGGCTGTATTCTTCCCTCTCCATTCTTCTTTTTCTTCTTCTTCATCATCTTCTTCTTCTTCTTCTGTATTAGCGAAAGGAATATCAATTGGAGCCATCACTTTCTTGGACTCGTAATTATTTGGACGACTTCCATATTTAATATAATTATTAACACTGAACACAACATCTAGGAATTTTCTCAAATCCAGTGAGATTTCTATATTATTTTTTTTTTTACTTTTTTGTCGCTTATTATTGATTATATTGTATATTGGTTGTTTTCTAGCTGGGAAGAAGCAGATTTTTTCATACATATAAATACAACCTAGGGTATATATATTTCCATATTTTAATTTTTCAGATAGGTTCAAATTACCTCTTTGTTCATCCATGAACCATTTGTTCATGAATCTTTGTATAACAGCTTGTTGCGTAGTTAGATTCCCCTTCGTTTCATCATCAGCATTACTATCTGCAGTTATCTGTTTGAATGTGTCCTTCACATAGAAGATGCCAATTAGAGAGTAAGATGTTTCTCCACCAACAAACGAGATGGGGATGATGTAAGTCTTGTTTTGCTTATACACATCTTCATCAATTTTGTCTTCTGCATTGTCTGTTTCTTTTTTCTTTTGCAGATTTTCATTATTGCTATTCTGCTTGATCCCATGATTACCTTCTCTCTCAATTGCGTTTCTAGTATCATCTCCTGAACAGTTGCTCATTTTCAAATCGGTTGTTTCTGTTCCAGATTGGAATTTACCAGAAGTAAACAACTGTGGAGTACTAGTATCAGTGGGTTCGGGGCTGCTGGAAGTCATCTGATTGTATAAGGCCTTTATATTCATCTTTTGCACCGTATCAAAAATAGGATTTTCAAATTCTAAGTAAATCAAATTGAACTCTTTTATGCAATTTAATTTGTTATTGCTCATAAGGTAGAGGAAGTGGTTACACATTTTTGCTTCCTCTACAACTAGTGGGTCATTTGTTTTTTTTTTTTTTGCACTTGTGAGTATGTACTTGGCTTCAATAGCTTTGAAAATTTCGTGTTCGAAAATGTTTGAGTTTGGTTGAATGTTAGCTGCGATGACGGTGCCAGCTCCTCCTGCATCTGCAGCATCTCCAGCATCTCCAGCAGAGTTGTCAAAATTCTCAATCTTGAATTTTTCTAAAATGCGAATAAATTTGCTGTTCCTTTCCTCCACATTAAATTTGAAAGAATCGATATCATTCCGTTCTTCCAGGAGTTTTTTCAAAGTCATTTCTAATTTTTTATTCCAGATGCAATACTTGAAGAGTCCATTACAAAGGGGACACATTACTGTGGTATTCTTCAACCTAGACATATCAATAACTGGATTTGTTTTCTTCTCATTATGTATTACAAACTTATTTAATATATAGAATAATATACAACTCTTGCACACAGAATAGCCACAATTATTACTACATACAATAATGTGTGAATCGATTAAAATGCAATTGCATAATTTACACAGAAACTCATTTGGAACATTTATTTTTTGTTTTTCTTCTACATCTACACTTATTTCTTTTTTTGCTTTGTGAGTAATATCACTAACATTTGATTTTTTCTTAATATTTCTATGAATAAGGATTTTTGTTCCATTGTAAATTTTATCTTCTCCACTCAGAAAAATTATTTCCTTCTCTCCTCCACTTGTGCTTTTTTGCTGCAAGTTCTTCTCGTTCGTGTAATTTGAATCCCCATCACCATACACGCCTTCACCAACTTCATCGTGATCCTCTTTATAAACTGAAAAGTAAATATCAATTTTATTTTGATAATTTATGTTACTCTGTTTACATATGATATGTTTCAACTCGCTGGCCAAAATGTAGTTTTCGCTTTTATTAATTTCCAGCAATCTCCATACGGAGTGTTCACTGAATAGTCGATACTGAATATACATCTGTCTAGGTGCGTAGTTGGCAGTGTGACTAGCTGACAGTGTGACTAGTTCGCAGCCTGACTAGCTGACAGTGTGACTAGTTCGCAGCCTGACTAGCTGACTGAATGCAGGAATTTATCATAACGTCCTTTTTACATTTCCTCCAGGTGCATCTCCCCTATACTTTCTTTCGCTCTTCTGCTTAGATATGAAAATTGTGATAGATCTCACCAGATTAAAGAACTCAACAAAGAATGTCAAACGATTAGATTTACAATTGGTTAATAATAATATGTGTCACAGAAACAATGGTGGGTGTAATAATGTCCTCACACCACTATGCTTATATGTCATACGGGACGTAACTGTGATGTATGTAATCAAAGGATTCGTGAATTAATTAGCTAAAGAGAGTTTTTTTTTTTTTTTTTTTTTTTTTTTTTTTTTTTTTTCTCCCATTTGATTTTTTTTTTTTTTTTTTTTTTTTTTTTTTTTTTTTTTTCACCCCTCTAATTTCTCTCAGCATGTTTTCACTTCTCTCAGCACCTCTCCCCTCTCTCTTATCGATTTAAACGTCGTAAAATAATTTTACTTCCTTTGATACAAACCCTGTTATCATGCTAGTATGCAAATTATTAAGTGATCTGAAAATGCATAAATTTGACACAAAAAAAAAAAAAAAAAGGCATCAAAGTTAAGTTGCGAGAAATATGATGAGACTGCATACCGATGGCGTTTCTTCCCTCTTTTTTCATCTCTTCATCATGAAAAAAAAAAAAAAAAATCAAAAAATTAAAAAATAAAAATGCAGGATATTTTTTCCATTTAAAATTGGTTTGGAATTTGCTAGGGGGAGTAAAAAAATTGACCTCTATCACTCACAACTGTGGAAAACGCAAATCTCCGAAAAGTTATCATACTTTGCTAGACCCCCTCTACATATGTATATATAATGCATGTACATGTATATATGTATGCATAAATTGTGTGCACACTTTTTGTTACTTATATATAGGAATGTATCATGTATACTCAAAGAAAAGATCTACACAGAATACACAATTTACTCTCTCCCATTCGGGTATATCATACTATGTATATATGTATATATATATATATGTATATGTATATGTATAGGTAAAATAAGTCAAGCATTTCCTGTACCTAATTTCTCATACGCATATTTTATAATTATTCTATACATCCTCTACTCCACACAATAAACACAGTATTCATACCTACCAGACTGCTTTTTAAAATTTACCTACACTTGGGGCGTTGATTTGCTCTTAAAAAAGTATTGTAATACCAACCTGTTAAGGACTGGATGGGTCAAGAATGAAGAGTGAGGATTTTTCACTTTACTTCACTTTACTTCACTTCACTTCATTTTATTTCACTTCATTTTATTTCACTTCATTTTATTTCACTTCAGTTTAGTTTATTTTTCCATTGTGAATGAATTTACAAGGGGTTACGAAAAATTGCAACTTTTTTTTTTTTTTTTTTTTTTCCCTGCCTTTGTGTACTTTTTTGCAGCCAAGTCAAAAATGGGTTAAGAAAAAAGATACACAAAATGTGGTTTTATTTTATGGATATATCACAGGACAGACTAAAATGTGGACGGATAGGGAAAAATTCACATAACATGGCTTGACATGACAAAGCAGAGCATGACGTAACATGACATGACACTATTTCTCATCAATCTTCTGCATTTACAAGTGCATATGAAATTCCCTAATTATATAATGCGTATTCTGTGTGTTTTCCGTAGACGACAAATCTTTATGGATAAACATAAGTAACAAATTTAAAACAGTGCTAAGCAAAAAAAAAAAAAAAAAAAAAAAAAAAAAAAAAAAAAAAAAAAAAAAAAAAAAAAAAAAAAAAAAAAAAAAAAAAAAAAAAAAAAAAAATAACCAATAAAAAAAAAAAAAAAAAAAAAAAAAAAAAAAAAAAAAAAAAAAAAACAAAAAAAAAAAAAAAAAAAAAAAAAAANAAAGTTTCCCCCATTTGGTATGTAGTATCAAAAATGGCATACAAAAACAGATTGATGTTTTTTTTTTTTTTTTTTTTTTTTTTTTTCCTCTTTGCGTATAACATTTTAGTAAATTATGTTAAAATTTACCCATATATGCTAGTCTATTTCCGTTTCGTCATGTTACTGTTTACATTTCTCAATTCATTTATTTAGCAAAGTTTCGAGTGATTAAAATTTGTTTTCCCCGTTTTGCCTGTACACATCTCTCACTTTGGCACTCAATATGTGCACCATCCCAACTTTGTGCTTTTCTCTGTGTGTTATTTTTTTCCTAGTATACTTAATTGGCCCACATAAATTGATCCATTTAATCAGTCCTCTTTTTTTTTTTCACCTCTTCACCATTTTACGCAGTTTCTCTCAAAATGGCATCTATCCATCGTAATAACCCACATGACCTCCTCCCCCTACCCCTGTCCCAAGTGTATCCTGATTAGTTATGTCTTCAGTTTTTTCTTTTTTAAACTAATCAAGTACTCCTGCTTTTCTTTTTTTTTTTTTTTTTTTTTCTCCATAAAAAGGAGTAACTAAAAATAGGTCCTCTTTCCGTCTTATATGCTTCCATTAAACAAACTTGAAAACGAACCAATTTTTTCCTTTTTTTTTTTTTTTTTTTCTCCCCTTTTTCGTTTATCATCCTATTTATTTTTCTCCTCTTTACTAGATCAGTCTATCTTTTAATCACCACCAGCTTTTCCTGTTCATGTGCGTCCATATGTGTGATATTTCTTCGATTCAATATATTTCAGATTTGCATTTCCTTTCATGATTATTTTGTTCTTTTCAAACAGATGGCAATGAGTGTACAACTTCTTTGGACATGATAATCCTTCATCTAAAGTACACAGCACTTCTTGGTTTATTAAGAATCAGATATATTATCATCTCTTTATTTTTTTTGTTAAAAAAATATTCCCATTTTTATGTTGATTCATCATTTTTTTTTTTTACCATATATATATATATATATATATACTGTGCATTCTTTCGATGTACAGTCACTAGGTGTGGAACAATTTTTTTACAATTATTTTCTTAACAATTCCCTCTTCCGTGGAAGAAAGCTTTGAGTTTAATGAGTCGCAAAAAAAAAAAAAAAAAAACCTTTTTTATTTGACAGCAGTTTTTCTCAATGTTTTTTTATTCTATACTTTGTTTCATTTTTGATAAGTGAATGATTCTTCTGCATCTCTTTTTTTTTCCTCTTTCTTTCCTCTGTTTCTCATGGCTAATCATGTACACCGCTTCGTTTTCTTTCATTACCAGATGTTCACTTTTGCTGTTCCTCCCCACTTTGTTGCTTCTCCCAATTTTGTTGCTTCTCCCAATTTTGTTGCTTCTCCCCAATTTGTTGCTTCTCCCCAATTTGTTGCTTCTCCCAATTTTGTTGCTTCTTCCAATTTTGTTGCTTCTCCCCAATTTGTTGCTTCTCCCCAATTTGTTGCTTCTCCCCATTTTGCCGTTTCTCCCCAATTTGTTGCTTCTCCCCATTTTGCTGCTTCTACCTACCCCTTGATTCCCCTCGTTTTGGCTAGCATTCTTTACACCATTAGAACGGTAATTAACAGAATCAGCACAGAGTGCTTCCACTGTGCCGTGAGCTTTGGAAATATTATTTGCATAAAGAGAAATTAATTTTAATGGGAAAGCGGACTCAGTATTACCCTCTTTGGTCTGGTAAACCTTGCTATGTTTTCTAATATTTTTCAAAGGGTTCTTACATTTCTCAACATTTTCCGCTACATCAATGGGTAGAATTGAATCGCTTTGTAATTCTGTATCATTTTTTATGACCATCTTTTTTTTTACAATTGGAATTTTTTTTTTTTTTTTTTCTTTTTCTGAATTGCTCATGTTGTTTCTAAGATGTGTTAATTCTCCTTCATGCTTATGCATCTTATTCATGTCACTCGGACGTGTAGTTGGTGTCATTTCGAAGGAACGTTTCTCCATGCACAAGTTCGTGGGGGATTTTGTGCATAATGTTCCAAACCATTTCGCAGGCAATTTGGTCGGAAATTCAATGCGTAATTTTGTTGGCAATTTTGTTGGCAATTTTGTTGGCAATTTTGTGGTCAATTTTGTGGTCAATTTTGTGGTCAATTTTGTGGTCAATTTTGTGGTCAATTTTGTGGTCAATTTGGTTGGCAATTTGGTTGGCAACTTCCCTTCCAATGTCGGTGCCACTCTAGCCGGAGATTCCGTGAACTTCTGCTCACCATCCTGATGGATTTCTTCTGTGCATATAGATGCAGCATGATGTGAGAGGAAATTGAAAAATTTGAAAAGGCTTATCCCAAAGCTAATTCCTGTCAACAGTAACATATTTTCGTCATAAAAAAGAAAGTCGCTCTGCTTCTCACTTTCACACCCAGGACGTTCTTCTACTCCTGCATCTGCATCCGCTTCCGCTTCCACTTCGCTATTGTGACAATTTTTTATTTTCCTGTTTCCCGCTTTCCCATTTTCCCTGATCCATTTGACGTGCATTTTCTTGCAACACATGCACTGGCACGTCGATCCCTGTACAAAATTGTTGCAATCATCATGTGTGTTTTTTTCTCCCTTTGCAAACAATGAATTACTATTCGTAATAAATCTTCCTTTGACAGTGTTCTCTTTCACCACGTGAGCAGAAAAAGGTGTGTGATTTCTCCCATTTTTGTTACAAGAACTTGGTTCATCGCTAAAGTTGTTAATAAGACTTTTCTGAACATTGTTACTTATCTCAACTTGGCAACTTTTTTCACAAAAAATTGTTGCCAGATTAGTAGATGGTGTACAATAGAAGCCCCTTTTCAACTGAGCCCCTATGAGAGATATTTCAAATGTGTAGCTACAATCAATTTTAAAATTATTTCCTACTGTAGATCTAGCTATTCCTCTGTTCAGATTTTCATTTTTAAATTTTGTTTCTTCAAGAGAAAACCATGGAATGGATTGAGCCAAAATGAAAGGAAAAATCTCAGCCATTTTTCTACTTCTTACAAATGTTCGACTATCCGCATTTCCAAATAGAAAAGAGTTATATTTTCTTGAATGCCCATGAAAATCACAAAAGAAAATGATTTTTCCATTTTTGTTAATTCTTTTTATAAGTGATTTTGCTGTATATATTGATGGGTGCAAATAATATATCGGTCTATTCCATTGTCTATTCAAATCGAATCCATTTGAACAGAATCTGTTATGACCTATAACAACTCCATCGATATTTAACATTGGTATAATTATAAAAATATAATTTTCCCGAAGAATATCTGCATATATATTATCTGAAATTATAAATGATAAAAAACCGTGCATAACATAACTAGCGTTTGTTTCTCCTGGATGCACTCGGGCTGTAAGAAAAATTATTTTCTTTTCTTCCCTTTGTACTCCATTGGTTGATTCATTTTGTGCATTTGATGTATTTAAATTGGGTGACGTAACCATTTCTTCGTTATGAGATGGCACGGCTGATTCCATTTCATGAGTGGATTCAACCGTGCTTGATCTCTTCACTGCATCCACATTCCTTCCATTCCGTTGCTCTGGATGTGCAAAATGCCTTTCCATCATACGCTTAAACTGATTCATAAAGTGGTTGGATGATTTTGAAGAGTTATTGGGCCATTTTGAAGAATTACTCGGCCATATTACAGAGTTGTTTCGACTCGAGTTGGATTTTTCTGAATTCATATTCAACCTTTCTGCATGATTTTTTACTCTTTCCGACATGCATAACTGGTACAAACATAGTGCTTCATTATGAATATGATTCCTATCGCAAAGAATGCCACTGCACACATTGCATTCGTTCGATAAAAAATCAATTAACTTATCGTCATCTTTGTTCCTCAAATTAGTTGAAGCTGGTTCCCCATTAGATGCTCCTTCCATGCAATGTTCACTTGCATCTATTCTATCACATGGTTTGCATAGACTCTCCTTAACTAACGGTGTGTCGCTCTTGGTAATCGAAAAATTACCATTTTTTCCATTTTCACCATTTTCATCATTTTCACCATTTTCATCATTTTCACCGTTTTCACCATTTTCGTCTGAATCTTTTATCGCTTCACCACTTCTACACGAATCTGCATCTGTTTGATCCTCTTTGTCATAATTCGTGATTGCCAATATTGGGCAGTGAAACCCGAGAGTCGTTTTGCACAGAATTCGTTCTATGTAATTAATTTTGCTCCTTTTTTTCTGCCCCGTTTGATTCTGCTTCTGGTTCTGTTCCCCATTCTGATGCTGATTAGGTTGCTCCTCCCTCCTCATGTGAACATAATTTTGAATACAACGCAAGTAGTGGGTTAGGTGGGTAAAGGTATACGGGTAAGAACTAGCGAAATAAACAGTTTCATACGAATAGGTAAAGTCATAGCAAAATTCCAATGTATATGTGCAATAACTTAATTTTTCAAAGTCTTTTTTTTTTGGGTTAAAATATTTTGAACAATCATTTTTTGTATATCGAACATTATATGCTGTTCTTTGCCATTGAATATTTTCCATTACATTTTTGCATTCTGAAAATACTAAGGGTGAATGTCCATTTTTATATAAAAAATCTGGTTTAGACATATTTTCTATTTTAAACTTTACAGGAAATGCCTTTTCTAACTTCTTAACATTACGGACTAGAAATTTGTTTGTGAAATCTGTTGAAAATTTGACATTTCCATCATTTTGTAGATTTATTTCTTTATTAATCTGGTTAACAAACGGATTTATCATACATCTTTGTTCATATTTTTTTTTTTTTTTTTTTTTTTTTTTTTCCTCCCTTTCAAAATGGTTAGTATTGTAATATTCATCTGGAACATAGCTAGCACTGAAATAAAACCACTGATTTTTTTTCTCGTTCATCTTTATGTCATGATTTATAAATAATGAGTAAACCTCTTTATCCTTCTCCTTTACTGCATATTGTAAATTCCCGCTTTCAAATTTTGAATTGAATAGAATATTACTCTTTGGAATATACAGCTCTTTTGTATGATCTTCTTTATTGTTAGGTGGATACACACATTTATGCGTAATTCCAGGTTCCTCTACACATATTATTTTTTTTATTCGTTCATACATGAAGGGATAAGATGAATCTATGGATGTGGAAAGTACTTCCATAGGAATGTTCTCTTCAAGTACTTTATTCATTTCTTTTCTTTCTCTAGCAACTTTTACACATTCCATTTTATTTTCTGGGTAAGAACAACAAGGGTGAGTCTTTCTTCCATTGCTGATTTTTTCTATCTTCTTTGCCTTACACTGGCAATATGTTTTTTCAGATTGGTTGGAAGGGCTCGTCTCGTCTTTGATCCCATCACTCGTGAACCTTTCATTTCCATAGACCGTCCTGCTATATTCCTTTTTCATAATTGGTATCACATGACTAAGAAAGAGATCATGCTTGGAGAATGAAACTGGATCAAAAGTGCTTTTATTTTGACTAATGGCATTAAAATTATAATTCAAAATTTCATCAATGTTGTTCATATTTTTCAAAAATACGTTGTTATTCTTTTGATTCACGTTTTCCAAACGGTTGCTTATGAAGTTCTTTATGTTTTCAATTTTTTGCAGAACATCCTCTTCTTTCTTCATTTCAGTCATATGAATCACGCTCGCGTTGATCTTATCTGCTTCTTTTTCCAGCATTTGGTTTTCTTTCACATGCATTGAACTATCACACGGAGGAAGGTAGCGATAGTAGATTCCTCCATCTTCCTTGTTTCCACAAGGGATTATCACTGGAATTTCTACGTGTGTATTTGTGCCTTCATAAAATGATTTCATCGATTCATGATAAACCAAATTGAACTTGTTTGACATCCCTGAGTTGTCCATTATGCTGCCACTCTTAATGTTGTCTCTGCTCCTCTGGGAGTTATAATCATTCCCCTTCTGTTCAGAGCCGTTGGAATTTCTTACGAATTCATTGTCCGCATTATTTTTTTCCTTTCCTCTGGAAAATAATGACATATAATTAGGTAAGTATTGTTCTTCTTGTCGTTGTTCTTCTTGTCGTTGTTCTTCTTGCCGTTGTTCTTCTTGCCGTTGTTCTTCTTGCCGTTGTTCTTCTTGCCGTTGTTGCTCTTCTTCTTCCTCCTCCTGAGCTTCTCTTCCTTTCCGCTTTCGTTCGTCGTTTATTACCCCATTGTCAATACTTCCAATGTGGAGTTCCCTATTAGAACTTTTTTTATCCTCCCGCTTTTTTCTACTGTTCTTGGAACATACCTTTACACAATTATTTTTTCCATCTGTTCTTAAATAATGAAATAAATTAACATTGCTAAGGCTATTATAGCTAAAATGGAGAAGATAATTGCTACTGTCTTCATTTTTAATAAGCATTATATAATTTAAAAATGAAGGAAAATGGAAGAGACGAAGTTTCTTAAAAAGCTCTACTTCTTATTCATAAATGGGTCAGAAAAATAAGGGTAAAAAAAAAAACAAAAAAAAAAAAAAATATATATATACATAAATAAATACATAAATATGTATATAAATAAATACATAAATAAATACATAAATATATATATATTAAAATGCGTGCCCTCGGTAATTATGAACAAATGCGTAGGTTATACTTAACACTTTTGTGTAATTGTATAACCCCTCTCCTCTATGCGATATTTTATTACGTGTTCATTTTGTTACATGTATATATATATATTACACGGAAGAACAGTTGTATATGCAAATGAGGGAAATGAAATATAACAGATATGAAAAAAAAGGGGAAAAAGTTGGGACTGTTATATTTTGTTTAAATGTTATTTAAATATACAAGCAAATGAACGAAACTGTGTTCTTCATTTTGCATATGCAATAAAATGTTATGAACAAGTTCAGGCGTAAAACGTGATCAAAATTGTTCATCAATAAAAATGATGCAAATTGGACTGCTTTTTACGCCTCTTTGTACACTTTTCGGTTATCTATAAAATTGCAACAAAAGGGAGAAAAACTATGGAAGAAAAATAGCGTCTCAAAAAGGTATGTAAAAGCGATCGTTATATATTTATATATATATATATGTACACATATATAAATATATAATTTACCATTATTAGGTGACGTAACCTGGAAAAAAAAAACATGCAAAATAAAAAATGGGAAAAAAGGGACAAGTGAGGAGAAACAAATTTTCACTTGTACATGTGCGGTCCTTCAAGTAATTTTTTTTTTTTTTTTTTTTTTTTTTTGAGAAAATGGAAAAGAGGAAAAAAGGAAAAATTATAACCCTGGCAATGCTGCAACCTGGTAATGCTTCAAGATTGCTAAACTTTTTTTGCTTGTTCATATAAAAAAGGAGAAAAAAAAAAAAAAAAAAAAGGTATGCCAAAAAGTGCTAATTATGTGAGTTTTACATGAATTTATATTTTTATACATTCTTCCCTATATATATGCACAAAGCCCAAATGCCACACAAACGTGCCATTGTGTCACATTTTAGGAAGAAGTAATTTTACACAAAAATAGGAAATTTTCAAAAAATAAGAAAAAATAAAGCAGGTCTATTATCTACTTTTTAAAATCAAAAATTACATGAAATGTTGAAATGTTGAAAAAAGAAAAAAAAAAAAAAAAGAATTGTGTAAACACGTTATTTCTTTCACACAGGAAAAGAATTATAAGGACGTGCACACCCTTGAATTGAACACTCTTAAAATGGGGACACGGAACAAAAAAGAAGCAAAAAAAAGGCAAAAAAATACCAGAAAAAAAAAAAACACCATGTAACATGGTGTAACGTGGTGTAACATCGCGTAACATCACGTAACATCACGTAACATCACGTAACATCACGTAACATCACGTAACATCACGTAACATCACGTAACATCACGTAACATCACGTAACATCACGTAACATCACGTAACATCACGTAACGTTGCATCACAGTGTGCATTCTTGTTAAGTAGGAGTAAGCGTTTTTTTTTTTTTTTTTTTTTTTATGGCGATGAAGGAAACAGAATTGGGACAAATGTGACATATATAACACAGAGGTGTTTATCTTTATTTATTGTAATCTGAAAGAGAAAAGTCCCTTTAAAGCATTGCTTCCAATTGGCAAACCACGGGAATGTGTAAAATATATGAACTGTTCATACATTAATATGCTCCCATATGGGTAGACATGAGGAAATAATTCCTCTCCCTTTGAAATGCTGAGGCAATGATTTACTTCAGTGTAAACTCTTCAAGCAATACTCCCCGATCCCTGCACAAATGACCATCATATGAACACCCGCTGTTTCCTTTTTTTAAATAAACACCTGACAAAAGGGAGTAGATGAATAAAATGTATGCACCTTCAGCCTCCCCTTCTCCACACATGCACATGCTGAAATATATATAAAACACGAATTCTCGTGCTGAAATATATATAAAACACGAATGCACTAACTGGCAAAGACACACGAGTCCAAAGAAACAAACACAAAAGTGTACATTTACTTGCACGTTTTGCTAAATATGTCTTATGAGATTAGCTAGCACGTAACGATAAAAGTGTAACTTTAATTCCCACCAGCCCACGCATTTGTGAAAAAGTGGGCATGAATTATCTGTTAATCATTTCCATATTTCCTCGATTTAATAAGAATGTACAGTTTTACTTTGTAAAATGTTGTTTCTTCTCCCTCTATTAGTGTTCTTATGTATAAGCTGGGAAAGAAAGATAGTCATAAAATGTTGAGGCGATGCTGGTGGCAAGGGCAGTGGTGAGGAGAGAGAAATTTTCCTTCATGATATCTGTGGTATGTACATGCATTTTTGTATTTACCCAGCAACACTAGCAACACTAGCAACACCAGCAACACTAGCAACACTAGCAACAGTGGCAGCCGAAGTATCACCCAATCTGATTATCTCTTCATGAATAAGTTATACTGTTTCAGTACCCATACACAAAGGCTCCTATTCAATTGTATAGGATGTGTTATTTCCATAATTGTGCAAAACATTTTTGGAGAGTGCTGTTCAATTTTGAGCACTTGCATATGAATTACTAAGGTCCCGCAAAATTCACACTCGTAACTCCTTCGCACCTGTCACGGTAGTATTTGCTATCAAAACTATAAACCGAATGATATAAAAAAAAAAAAAAAAAAAAAAAAAAAAATTCATCAAACTGGGTCAAAATTTTGGATATGTAGATTGGTAAGAATAAAACATATGAGGGTCGAAAAAAAAGGACATTTTTTGTGCACTTTCCTGTAAGCAGAATATATATATATATAGTATTCTATTTCTTAAAATTGGAGAAGTTTATCTTTTTTCTGCAAACGACTGAGTTTGTATAGAAGCCATAGTGGTAATAGCATGATAAAAAAAAAAAAGGAAAGAAGATGAAGAAGAAGAAGAAAAAGGAGAAAAAAAAATTTTCACCGCTTCACACCTTTTAACATAAATGTAACGGTATACCTCGAGGCACACAACATTTCGAAGGACAAAAACGGAGAAAAGTGCCATGCCGGGAGGCAGTAAATGGACATTTTCCTGAATGTGTGTGGAGCTCCCTTCTCTGAGACGTAACTGGATTTTTGCACACATTCCCACCCTCCCCAACCAAAAAAAAAAAAAAAAAAAAAAAACACATAATGGAAACTCAACAAGACTATGAGACAATAAAATGCATCATTTGCTTTATAAAAAGTAAGAACATCGAGGAGGACTTGATAGGAATAAAAAGAATATATGATCTAGTTATAAAGAATAAAATATCGAGCTACCTAAATCTTTTTGATGAAAAAGAAAACATTTTTTTCAGCATATGTTGTGCCATATGCAACAAGTTGAAAATATGTATTTATCTTTTGAGAAGCAAAAAAGAAAATTCCATTTTCCAAAATTTCCTTCTCCAAAATGAAATGAATTTGGGGAGTACCTACAATGATTACTTAAAAAATTATGACATCTGTAGCATTTCCAGATGCTACTTAACTGTAGAATATTATGCCAAGGTACTGTGTGCTTGCTTAGGTAAGATAAATAAAAGAGACAAGAATATGTTCTTTTCCAATTTAAATAACATTTCTATGTTGTTCATATTTCAAGTGGAAGAAGCTTCAAAATGCAGTGAGTCTCTTCAAGTGGCCTTAATGAAATATCTGAAAAATTTGTTTCTACATATTTACCCACACAACCTTTTTAAAAACTTGGATGAAAATGATATCAAAAATGCAGAGCATGAAATAAAAAAATGGCACCATGGAAGCGACTACCACGAAAGGGACCATCATTCCGATAGGAACAGATATGACAAAAAGGATCTCGATATATTTTTCTGTCTTATAAATGTCATCAAAACAATTTTGGAAAATATAATTAACAAAAATAAAAAAATGAAATTAAAAAATTTGAAATTGCTACACCTTATTCTTACAAAGATTGAAAATAATATCCATGTTTTAAAGAAAATTTTTGGAGCCATTAGCTTAAACATTTTTGTACTTTATAAAAGTTGTGATGTAAAGAATATTCGATTATTGATTGTGAAAATTTTTTGCTTATGTCTTGACAGAATATTACTGCATTTTATGAACCATCAAGAGAAATACCCCGATATATGTTTAAAAAATGAGTGGCAGATGGGTAACGAATTCTATGATCCCCAAAGAGAACCGAATTGGAAAAATTGGCTCGTCTACAAAAATGAGAAGAAATGTTTCTCCTTGATCAGAGATGAAGAGGACTTCTCCAAGGCCCATGCGCCTTTTGCAATTCTTGAGCAAAATCAATTTGATTTGAGCAATAATGGGGGGAAAAACGAACAGTGGAGGAGATATTCCCACAGCCTAATTACCCCGTCAGAAAAGGAGGAATCGCATGAACGGACAGGTAAAAATGGTGAATCGCCTGAACGGACAGGTAAAATTGACGAATCGCATGAAGTGGCAGATAAAAATGGCGAATCACATGAAGTGGCAGATAAAAATGGAAACACCGCGTTGAGGGACATAAAGGCAGGCGCAGAACTAAGCAAAGAAAAGGAGGCAATGAGCGAAAACCAAAAAATCATCGCGAACATTTACTTCTTCTGCTATTACATACTTATAAATTACGACGACGAAATTGTAGGGGAAATTTTTTATATGTGTAAAATTATAACAAAATATTGGCATATATTACATAAGAACTTAGTGCTCATGAGTTACTTTTTTATGGTATCTGAACTGTTTCATGAAGGAAGTGACACATGTACGTCTCGGTTAGAAGTACTCTTTATCAGCAATCGGCTGATACAATTTTTGGAGACATGCAAATTAAGTGGGTTCTTACTAGGCATCGGGGAAGAAAGTAATTTCATAGGGACCCATAAGGGTAATATCTCAGATGTACCACGTCCAGAAGAGAGTCTTAAGAAGAGCAGAGAGGAAATCCAACGAAACATTAGTCATTTCAATGATGGATCGAGACACTCACAGAATAGTATGTATAAGCACATTTGTAGAGACCTGCATTCTATCTTTACAAGCCTTCTGAAATGTCTCAAAGAAGATGAAAATACCATTTTCAAATTGGAAGCGCAAGAGAATTATACCTTTGAAAATTTAAATAAAAATATAGACAAGTATTATTTTAAACATTTGTATAACATTTTTTTGTTAAAAAAACAAAAGGATGTTTTTCTCCTCCGTTTTTTAAAAGGCTATCTTTACTTCCACTTTATTCATAATCATATAAATGAAATACCAGTTATGAGAAAAACTTTTGATCTAAAATATTTTTTTTGTTTATATGAGACTTCCAACATTGTGTGTGTGCATAATGAGATCTATCCAACCATGCAAGATTCGCCTGAAATTCTGAGTGAGGACAATTCACTTTACTCACTAAATATTTTTGATCAGCTAGCTAAACATGGATCCATTTGTGCAGATGATAAGGAAAAGTATCAACAAGCAAATTTTTCAAAATTTAGGAATATCAAAGACGGATTTAAATTCCAGGATGTCGGGTGCGTATTCCGAATTAGGACAAGATGTCTGTACCCACGAGTCGGGTTCAGTGTTTTCTCCATTTCTCCATTTCTCACTTTTTCACGTGTTGCACTCTTTTACCAATTTTTGTGATGTGCTCCCTCATGTGTATGCGTGAAAATTCCCACATTTTACATCCATTCCATAAGTGTTCATATTTTTTTACCTATTTCAGCTCATTCGCTTTTTTTTTTTTTTTTTCCCCTCCTCTCCCATCACCACCGCAGCCTCATAAACCATATCAATATTTTCTTTTTTCTTTTTACTAACGAGAGTGAAGTGCAAAATTATCTGGATGAAGTAATGTTGTACATGTGGGATAATAAAAACTTAACAGAGGAAAAGGAAACATACAGTAAGGAACTTGTCTTAAGAGATAATTGGTGGAAGAATATTTGTGATTTTGATGATTCGATTTATTGGACACAATTCCATGGGGAACCAAAGGAGACGGATATATTAGGGAATGGAGAGATCCATGGAAAAGTTAAAAACACACGATTGAGAAATTATGTATCCCAGACGAATGAATCACATGAGGAATGTGATATGATATCCCATCTGAAACGAAAGTCCAAATGTCTTCACTTTCTTAATTTTTATTTGGATACTAGTATAATTATGCTGTGTATACATATGAAAAGGCAGTTCGATGAGGAGAAGCAAATAAGTATTATAAGTAAAACGGATGATGAGAAGCAAATAAGTATGATAAGTAAAACGGATGATGAGAAGCAAATAAGTATGATAAGTAAAACGGATGATGAGAAGCAAATACGTATGATAAGTAAAACGGATGATGAGAAGCAAATACGTATGATAAGTAAAACGGATGATGAGAAGCAAATACGTATGATAAGTAAAACGGATGATGAGAAGCAAATACGTATGATAAGTAAAACGGATGATGAGAAGCAAATAAGTATGATAAGTAAAACGGATGATGAGAAGCAAATACGTATGATAAGTAAAACGGATGATGAGAAGCAAATACATATGATAAGTACAACGGATGATGAGAAGCAAATAAGTATGATAAGTAAAACGGATGATGAGAGTCAGATGAAGGAAGAAATTAAAATGAAGTTATCCCAAAGCACCCTTCAACCAGAACTCTCAAACGTAACATGGAATGGGTACTTTCACAAAAGGGACATGCAGAAGGACTTGATAAAAAACATTTTAGAAGAATATTCCAACCTCTTTAATAGTTACTTTTATTTTGCAATAGGAATTAAATTATCTCATGGAATTCAAAATTTAGGGGAGATAATAGAAAAAGTAATTCTATTTCTTACATCTAAGAGGGTAAAAAAGGTACATTTGAATGTGGAATATGAACATGTCCCACATGGGAAAAATGCATGTAATGGAAAAAATGGAAATAACGAGATAAACGTTTATCACTATTATCTCTCCCTTGTATTAACATGCATGAACAAGTGCTTCTGCGCGTTGTTTTTGTGTTCATATGATGATTTAATAGAAAAATATTTTTGCAAGAACTTAGTCTTTCTTTTGCTTAACTTAAGTAGCCCCTGTCCTTGCGTAAGGAAACTGGCCGAATATACAATAAATAATGTACACACATATTTGCCTAGAGAAAAAACACAGAAACAGAACAGTCTACTCAGTACCAGTTGTATGTTCAGGGAAAAGAATAATAAGGAAATATCGTGCGATGTTGAGTTACAATGTACTAACCAATTGGGAGAATTTCATTTAAGGAATCAAGGGAGGAGAGAAGTAATTAAATTTTATGACAAAACCAATGGTTATGAAAATGCAGACGAAATGACAGACATTCTAAACTTGCATAGCGAAACTATAGCGTCATATGTGTACAAAAAAATAATTAATATGGATTCAATTAATAATTGCAAAAAGATTTTCAAATTAACACAACTTTTAGTGGTTCATAATTATTGCTATATTTATATATACAAAGACATTTGCATTAATATAATAAAATACACAAAAAATATCAATTTCTTTCTTCTGAACAGTCAGAAGAAAAAGGACATAATATTGCACATTTTGAATATATTCAACTATGTCCTTTATTTGTTCTATAAGAACATCAATCGGAGACGAGTGGATTTGTGTGTTCAAGGGAAGTACGTCTCAAACATTAAGAGGAGGATCTTGCGCGGAGATGTGCATGTAAATTTTGGTCGATTGGTCGGGGTGCATTACACGGGCTGCAGTGGTGACAGCAGTGACAGTAGTGACAGAAGTGACAGTAGTGACAGAAGTGACAGAAGTGACAGAAGTGACAGAAGTGACAAAAGCGAATGCGTGCTTGATGAGGAGACGGGGGACCTGTCCCGAACACAGAATAAACCAAAGGAACACACAAAAACACATGAAACTATAAGTTCGCCTAAGAAGAAGAAGAAAAAGAAAAACCATCATAGAATAATACTTGACGAGAACACCATGCAGGAGGGAAAAAAAAAACTGTTTTTGCAGAATTTTCTTTTATGCAAATTTTGTAGAGACCTTTTCAATATGGTATATTTAAACATAATAAAGAATCAAGTTTTTAAGGATGAATATTTTAAAAAGGTCAAAAAAGATATAAAAAATATTCTGAGAAAAGCAAGAAAAAATATTCCGTGTGAAAATCTTGTTAATGTACTAGTGGACGATGACTCTTATGATGCGCATAACAAAGAAGAATGGGAGAGAAGGAAAAGTAAACAAAGCAACTTTCCCCACGTTGCAAAAGATTTAAGGGATAATAATTTCATAAGAGAAAGGAGGTTTAACGAAGAGGTGTATTATCCAGATATCAGACACACAACAGCAAATATTTTTCATTTTTCTAAAAAATTCTTTTGTCATGAGGAGTAAGTCTAATGGGAGTCTGGAGAGAGGGGTCGTGTCTGCAGTGCCCTTCACGATTGGCCGCTATTTCTGTACACCCATCATGGCATCATTCACCATGGCATGAATCACCATGGCATCCTTCCTTTAACACCAATCTACACACACATACATACACGCATGGGCAATTTCATTTCTCCCTTTGTTGCAGCCTGCACGTTCGATTCAGTGCCCACCAGTGCGTATTGCGATGTCTGTTCATTTTTTCGACACGACTTTTGGAGCTGTATCCCAAGATATGTCAAGTAATTCATCCGGAAAATAAATGAATAAATTAACAGTGAATGTATAGCGAATGTATAGCGAATGTATAGTGAATGTATAGTGAATGTATAGTGAATGTATAGTAAATGTGTAGTGAATGTATAGTGAATGTATAGTGAATGTATAGCGAATGTATAGCGAATGTGTAGTGAATGCATAGCGAATGCATGGCGAATGCATAGGCCCACTGTTTCACATTTCATTTCCTCCCCCTCTTTTATCAGATCTGGGGATACATAAAAATAAACTTTGGAAAGAACGAGTACATGAATGATATAGTCCTTTTGAACATAATTAATTATGTGATAACCATTGATGATAAATTTTCCGTAAATCTGTAAAGTGGAAAAATGGGAAAACAAAAATGAAAAGAAAAAAAAAGAAAAAAAAAGAAAAAAAAATAAAAAAAAAATAATAAAAACAGTCTTCTTATTCGTTTCTTCTCCATACATTCGTGTCTACACAACATATGTGACACATATTTTTTTTTTTGAGGGAATAATCACCCCCCTTCCCACCGTGGGATATAACATGGATATATATTTTTTTTTTTTTTTGCATATTCATGGAAAAGGAGAGGCTTAGATAGTTCTCTTTGTTTTAGCCTTTTTTGCTTGAATTGTTCATGCGTTTATATGATGTATTACCCTTTTTTGCCTGAATTGTTCATGCGTTTATATGATGTATTACCCTTTTTTGCCTGAATTGTTGATGCGTTTATATGATGTATTACCCTTTTTTGCCTGAATTGTTCATGCGTTTATATGATGTATTACCCTTTTTTGCCTGAATTGTTCATGAGTTCATATGATGTATTATCTTTTTTCCCCCACATTATCCCCCTTATATTTATTTTTTTTTATTTTTTTTTTTTTGCTAGAATCCTTAACGATATCATACCGGAGCTTTTCTGCAAGATGAGAAAAGTGAAAATGGAAAATGAGATACCCAAGTATAGCTTCGAACACAGGTGAAACAAATCCCCAAAATGAGTTTTGGTGGGAAGACATGGAGAAATTATTTTTTTCCGAAGAGAAGGTCTAAACGTATAATGCATGTATACACATATATGCAAACTTGCAACTTTTTTAAACTGCCCGTTGTTCCCCCTTTTCAGGTTCTTACTTAGTGCATTTACACTCCTTCTAAACATTTCGAAAGAAGAAAAATGTTTCGGACATATTTACTCTTCTGCAATGTATATTTGCTTAAAATTTTTGCGGAAAAATGTAGATGAACAGATAAAGAGACTATCGCTTAACATTATTTGTAATTTATATCTTAGTGATATTCCAAAGGTTATTCTAAATTAATGTACATATCGATAATGACATGTGGCACATGAACATTTAACACATCATCCACGAGGTAGAGATGTGTGTGTATTTGTGTGTGTTTTTGTGTTTGTGTTTATGTTTGTGTTTATGTTTGTGTTTATGTTTGTGTTTATGTTTATGTTTGTGTTTGTGTTTGTGTTTGTGTTTATGTTTGTATTTTTGTTTGTGTTTATATTTGTGTGTGATGTGTATCCGGTTCTTTTACCCATCCTGCTGTTAATTTTTTTTTTATTTTTTTTTTTTATCCCTTTGTACACACATAATTCTTTCTCTGCAGATAAGCAAAGGAATACAAAATGTACTTCTCATAAAAGAAAGAATTCATATGATATATGAAAGAAAGAAAAGTAACAACGGAATGTTAAATTCAATTTTTATAAACAATTTTGTTAAAGACGTGTGTATAGAACAAGCACTACTGTTCCTTTCATGTTTTTTTCAAATGGAAGATTTGAGGGAAATAATCTCCCTTATATTTCACACAGATTACAATATGGTAATTTTTTTGTTAATTTATTTTGAATATCTTCAAATGGAATATAAACATAAATGTCGATTGAATCAACTCTGTCTTATCGTCTCAAGTCACTTTTTCAAGAAAGAGGATCTTCAGTTGATTAGTTACGATGTAGAAGAAGGATCCACAAAGGAGAGTAAATAACGTTCATCTAGAACTTGTGTAGCTCGAATCCGTGCGTGCAAAAAAAAAAAAAAAAAAAAAAAAAAAAACATCGATATAATGTGGGAAAGGAAGTCCATAAGTGTTATATATACGTCTTCATGTGCAAATTTGGCATTCCACATCATCCTTGGAGTTGTCATTATTATATAGTTTCACTGCATCAAGTTGCTGTTACATTACTGTTGCATCACCTTCTTCATACTAACAGTGTATTTTTTTTTTTGTTTTTTTTTTCTGCCAACCTAATACCTTCCCCTGAGTTTTATATAAAATTAGTGCGGGAAATACAGGAAGGGAGAAGTTGGTTTTATATATATATATATTTATTTATTTATTTATTTATGCTTATGTGCTGATGACACCTGTTGGACTATGTACTGATTTCTTGTACCCAGCTGTTAATTCTTATTCGCAGCAACATGTAGCACCTTTCAAAACATTCGAAACTTCTCCCCCACTTTGTGTCCTTGGGTTTTTCTTTTTCAACGTTACAATTGTGGAGTTTTTCTTTTTTTTCTTCACAAAAATTGGTGCTTCTTTTTTTTTCCCACAAAATTTGTTCTTTTTTTTTTTTTTTTTTTTTTTTTTTTTTTTTTTTTTATGCATATCATTCTCTACATGTGCGAATTGTCCTCACCAACATTTTCCCTTTTTGAAACACAAATTCCACAAATGATCCAAACCATATATATATATATGTATTCATTTATTTATTTTTAAGCGTAGTTGAAACATATTTACACCTCACATGTGAAAAATCTTCCATGGTCACGTAAAAGATACGTGCAGTTTACTATTCCTTAGTTCTTATGTAAATTTGTTTTCAAAGCATATGCATATTATATATGGGTACATCTTCATTTTTCTTTTTTATGCTTTACACTTGGAATGAGCCAAGTTCAAGTTTTTACCATTTCTAAATCACCATGCTATGGAACTAGCTATAAACGTTTGAATTTGTCAAGAGAGCATCCCTCACATGCATAAGTGGATGTGGATGTAAAAACGTAGGAACGGGCAAGTACCTTCAGGTGTGTGGTAGCAGCTGTGTGGTAGCAGATAAGTGGTTGTACGGAGTGGTTGCACGCGTGGAGAAATTTGTGTATGGCCAAAGGGAAATGTCCAGAAGGCGTAAATGGCCCCTGTTCATATTTTTATTGGTTGCATTTTTTTTTCATTTTTTGACAAGTCCGTACTGCAAAGTAACTTGTGTAAAAGGCAAATGTGAGCCTACCTTTTTAAGAACCTTTGAATTTGAAATTTCAAGAAATAAAACTCAAGTTGAGAGAAAAAGGAAGAATTACAGAATTAGCGAAAAGAAGTTTCACCATGTTTATTCCAATCGAAAATGTCTTCTTCATAGAAGTAAATATAAAAATGAAAGTAGGATTCCTCCTAATAGGGTAGACACACAACACAAAGGGGATCCTTTGTCAATTGAAGGGCATAACAGACACCAATTTTCCAATGTGTCAAATCACAACAGAAGAAAAAAAATAATCATAAAAAAAAAAAAAAAAAAATACACAAAAGCAGAAGTAAAAGCAGTGAAGGAAAAAGAGTTTGTGCACAAATTGAGAAAGAGAAAATCATCTCAAGGTGTTGTAAAAAATGTGAAAAAGCAGGTGAGACGTCGAATTAGTCAGGGTGACAGTGAAAAAGTGCACAGGAAAGCACCCCAGGGAAGCGACCCAGATAGTGCAGCTAAGGGAAGCGGTCGAGATAGTGCACCTGGCAAAGTGGACGAAACAGAGTGGAAGGATGAACTTAGGGAAGGAGATCTAAAAAGTGGAAACATTTCCAAATCAGGAAAAAGGTTTCGAAAAGGAAAAGCAAAGCACATATCGCGAAAGGAGAAAAAAATCCTGGATATGTTTGAAAACAACCTGAACGAGTCCATCGAAAAGTTAAATAAAAAAACGAGGAAATATGAATTATGCAGACAAAATGAGAGTTTAAAAAGTGGAATTATGCAGAACGAAATTCTTCGCAAAGTGTTAGCTATCGATAGATCAGAAAAAGCAGAAAAGGCAGAAAAAGCAGAAAAAGCAGAAAAGGCAGAAAAGGCAGAAAAGGCAGAAAAAGCAGAAAAAGCAGAAAAGGCAGAAAAGGCAGAAAAAGCAGAAAAAGCAGAAAAGGCAGAAAAGGCAGAAAAAAGAGGAAAAACAATTGGAAGGAGACCCTTCACTCAAGATAACCTGGTGCAATCAAAGAAACCTGTCGTCCATTATGTTGATGATATTAGCGATGATGTAGAAATTGACCAAAGACAACCAACTGAGGCGATGGAAAAAAATAGAGGTGCTTCTATCCGAGAAAAGGTTAAATTTGATTTGCAATTGCATAGAAAGGGAAACGAAGAATCATTCAAGCGAAGGAGTTCCAACCGAAATGAAGAAAAAAGGGAGAATATAAACATGACAAGTCATGAGAAACGGGAGAAGGGGTGTACTCGTTTTAGAGAAGTGGAGGAAGGTGAAGAAGTGGAGGAAGGTGAAGAAGTGGAGGAAGGTGAAGAAGTGGAGGAAGGTAGAAAAATGGAGGAAGGTAGAAAAATGGAGAAAGGTAGAAAAATGGAGGAAGGTAGAAAAATGGAGAAAGGTAGAAAAATGGAGGAAGGTAGAAAAATGGAGGAAGGTAGAAAAATGGAGAAAGGTAGAAAAATGGAGGAAGATAGAAAAATGGAGGAAGGTAGAAAAATGGAGGAAGGTAGAAAAATGGAGGAAGGTAGAAAAATGGAGGAAGACCAATTCAAAGAAGTGAAAAGCGTTATAAAAATTAAAAACTGCATTGATAATTTCAGAAAAAATATCCATATAAATTGTGACAAATCTGAGCTCAGTGAACGCGCGTATAACCGATTAACCAAGTTTAGCAGCATCATTGACTTGAATTCAAACAAGGGGACGAATAAAAAACCTCCCATGGTAGAAACAAAGGAGGGACGCAAAACATTTGCAGATATAGGTATTTATGATCATTTTCTCAAGGTATACTTGAAATATAACGAGATTGAAAAACCTACAGAGTATCAAGCCAAGTTTATCCCTCTTCTTATATTCTTTATGAACAATGGATTTAATGATTTAAAGAACTGTATCATGCAAGGCGATGATAGATCCGAGAAAAAAGTCTCTTCGGGAGGAGATTCTCCAGGAGGGCATTCTTCTGATGGTATCACATCTCAAGAAAAAGCCTTCAAACGAGATAATTCTTGCCACCCCGATAATCATTCCAAACCAGATAATCCTTGCCACCCCGATAACCATTTCAACCACCCAGTGGAAAGAATACTCTATGTAAACAATTACAACAACAAGACGAGGAAATTCATACGAACCTTCTTCCTTCACTGCCCAACTGGAACAGGGAAAACTCTCATTTACGTGCTTCCCATTTTCCAACATATCACCAATGTGGGGAGAGAAGTGAAAGAAGTGGAAGAAGTGAATGGAGCAGACTTGTCAGAACATGCTGGAACATGTGTGAAGAGCGCAGAAATTTTTTATAAAAGAAAAAAAATTAACGATAAAATTACCTCTTTCCTATGCTCGAGCATGAAACAAGAAGAGGAGTTTTTTACCTTGCACAACAGATGTAAACTGAGTTATGCGTTGAAGTGTCTAGCCAAGAAGGAAAGAAAAGAGGATATAAAAAAATCCATACAGGAGAATCCTAGTGCACTAAGGGAAAGTTTAAAACTGAAAAGAGGAGAGAAATTTCTCCACGCAGAAAAAAAAGGAAAAAAAGACATCCTGATTGTAACCTACAATAAAGAATTAGCAGTTCAGATATACCAACTTTATAAAGATCTTATTGATTCATATTACAAATCTTTGAAATCTAACTTTTTCCATTTTAATAATTCCATTTTGTGGAACTATTTTAGCGACATAGAAGCAGAAAAACAAGCATTCATTGAACACCTAAATGTAAATTTAAAAAAAAAAATCAACATAAACGTGAATTTGATAATTGGTGGAAACAACATCAAATATCAATTGAAAAGTTTGAAGCGACCAAAGATGAACATAATAAAAGATGAAGCGAGTGAAGCGGGCAGAAATGGAAACAATGTCAAGAGTGATAGTGAGAGGAACGCTTCTGAGAAATGCAAAGCATCAGCAGAGGAAATTGAGAATGTTAATATTTATATAGGAACTCCAGGTAGACTGGAAAGGTTAATTCACGAAAGGAAAATTATCAATATGGAGAATATTTCAACAATAATCTTTGATGAGTATGATTTTTTTTTCAACAAATATGACAAAGGGGGAAAGAAAAATGGGGAAAAAAAGGGGGAAAAAAAGGGGGGAAAAAAAGGGGAAAAAAAGGGGGGAAAAAAAGGGGAAAAAAAGGGGGGAAAAAAAGGGGAAAAAAAGGGGGGAAAAAAAGGGGAAAAAAAGAAGAAAAAAACGGAAGTAGAAGCAGGATCAGAAAAAGAAGCAGAATCAGGATCAGAAGCAGAATCAGGATCAGAAGCAGAATCAGGATCAGAAGCAGAATCAGGATCAGAAGCAGAAACCAAAGCAGAAACCAAAGCAGAAACCGAAACCGAAACCGAAACCGAAACCGAAGCAGGGGTGGAAAAGCCAGTGGTGGAGAATGAATTTTTTTCCAAAATTTTAAAAAGCATATATAATAACAAAAAGGATAGACATAACGACAAGAAACTAGGGAGCCCAACAGGTGTATCATGCACGAACGTCATATGCTGCAGTGCAACCTCATCTGTGTACTCGTACCTAACATACACGAAACATATCATTACAACAAACTTCCTCCGTTCCTTGCACAGTTGCAAATACACAGGGGAGGAAGGATTCCCTCATCCCGCCTTCACCTCTGAGTCATGTTCTAAGAGTTACTTCAGTGAAAATGGGGAGAAGAAATTGCCAGATGGGGAGAAGAAATTGCCAGATGGGGAGAAGAAATTGCCAGATGGGGAGAAGAAATTGCCAGATGGGGAGAAGAAATTGCCAGATGGGGAGAAGAAATTGCCAGATGGGGAGAAGAAATTGCCAGATGGGGAGAAGAAATCGCCAGATGGGGAGAAGAAATCACCAGGTGGGGAGAAGAAATCACCAGGTGGGGAGAGCCAATACGTGATTAATTACGAAATAGAAGAGGCTATGCTGAACAAGTTGTTCAATTTGAAGGAATTCGCAAAAATACCGGAAAACTTGATCCATTTAAATTATTCGTATGATAGAAAAAATAGAGAGAGGAATAATAGCGCAACGATGAACTTTTTAAATGTATTATTTTCCAACCCCTTGCATAAAAATGTGTTGGTTTTTTGCAACACTAAGGTAAGGAGATCACACGCTTGCTTGCTTGTTCGTTCGTTTGTTCATTTTTTTGGGAGAGTAATAAATGGTTAGGAGTTGCACGTCAGTTTTGTTTCCACGCTGAAGTGTTTTTTCTCCTCTTTCTTCTTTTCACATGCATACGTATTCCTCACCCCGCTGAACCCCTTTATAAACCCATTCGCAGAAAAAAGTCATGGACTTGTGGAGCCTTTTTCGAAACAGATTCGACGTGGATATCCAAACAATCTTCGCTGAGAATAAGAATACCAAAAGAAAAAAAAAAAAAAAAAAAATTTTCAAAGACATAAACTACGCAAACTTTTTTAAAAATGATTTGGTTGACTATAAGAATTTGAAAAAGTACGTCAACTTTTTATTCCTTTCAACCAATATACTCTACAGGGGAATTAACTGCATGGGATTCACAACCATTGTTAACTTCGACATGCCTTCAAGTGAGAAACTACGCCCTTTGTCGCTCCACGGAAACTCTGTTTTTTTTTCACACGATCCATTGCACCTGTGTTTTTTTTCACACGATCCATTGCACCTGTGTTTTTTTTCACACCATCCAATGCACCTCTGTTTTTTTTCACACCATCCAATGCACCTCTGTTTTTTTTCACACCATCCAATGCACCTCTGTTTGTTCACATCATCCATTACACCGTGTATTTTTTTTCACACCATCCAATGCACCTCTGTTTTTTTTCACATGCTAATTCCATTTCATGCATGCGTTCCACCCGACACGTGCAGGCCCGACCGAATACATTCACAGGTGCGGACGAATTGGCAGAATCAACAACAAGGGAGTTATTATTAACATCTTTGAAAAAAGAGAAAAGGGAATATACAAGAGGAAAATATTTACAAAGTTGGGCTTGAAGGTTTACGATATTGATTGTTACATGAACAATTTGTTTACACTCAAGGATGGAACACAGTGATCGAAACCAAGTTGCCTCTCAGGTTTGACAGATCCTAAAATTTTGGGAGGAGGTGTAGGGGTAGGAGGTTGGGAAAACTGTAACATTTTTCTTCCTCCAGTAGAATTCTCCCCTCTCCCCAAAATGCTCAAAGCATTTTATATCTCACAAGAGTATTCTCTATACTTAGCAGATGGTGGATGGATACATCAATAAATTGGCCAAGGATCAAAATTGGAGTATTTCCAACGAACATGATATGGCCAAAACGTGGGAGCTTTGTATTTATCTTGTTTTACTTTGCTTTATTTTGTTTTACTTTGCTTTATTTTGTTTTACTTTGCTTTATTTTGTTTTACTTTGCTTTATTTTGTTTTACTTTGCTTTATTTTATTTTATTTTTTTTTTTTTTTGTATTTCTTATCCCAAGTATTCACTCGAATCTATGCAAGCTATTCCTCCTTTTCTTCCTCCGCACTCCATCTTTTACGTCCATTTTGACCTCTTTTTTTTTTTTTTTTTTTTTTTTTTTTTTTTTTTTTTTTTTTTTTTTTTTTTTTTTTTTTTTTTTTTTTTTTTTTTTTTTTTTTTTTTTTTTTTTTTTTTTTTTTTTTTTTTTTTTTTTTTTTTTTTTTTTTTTTTTTTTTTTTTTTTTTTTTTTTTTTTTTTTTTTTTTTTTTTTTTTTTTTTGTATATTACGAGATATGCGGCCCGTTTAACCCATGTTCGGAAATTTCGCTAAAATTTGGCTGAAATTCCACTCTACACAAATAGCTAAAATAATAAGCCTCAAGTTTTTGGTACCAAACGAGTTGCTATACAGATGTCCCTCCCGGATTTTTAACCAATATTGTGCTTCATACTGAAGGTGTAGATGGGAGGAGGGGGATTTTTCTTCTATATATTACCACTTATGCTATCACTTATGTCACCACTTATGCTATCACTTATGCTATCACTTATGTTGCCCGTTTTTTTTTTCAACCCTTCTGCATCTTTCGTCAATTTAACACATACACTTAAACATAACTACGTCTAGGAGTTCACCTGCAGGTGTGAATTTTTCCTTCTTTATTAAAATATTTCCCACGACACGGATTTATAATACACCCATCTCTTACGTGTACAAATATGCATGCGTACAGTGTGACATGAAGCACTCCGTGCAAATTCCTCCAATGAATTGTATCTTCTTGTTTTATGGAAAACCCTGTAGCGGGAAAGATACATTAATAAATTCACTTTTAAAAAAAAAAAGACACTTGCAACTGTTTTTATACCTGTTACACAACTTGATAACCAAAAATGAGTCACGAAAAAATGAGTCACGAAAAAATGAGTCACGAAAAAATGAACCACGAAAAAATGAATGGCAGGAAAATTTAAAAGAAAAGCTATTCTTTATCGAATTAATTAAGCACTACTACAAAATTAAAAATTTAGGACAAAAAAAAGTATCACCACTGTCAGGGAACCATGGAAAAGAAGCAGACTTGAAAAAAATATCTTGCCACTTTTTAATTTACCTGACGAGACACCTCCTTATCATCTTGAGAAGATCCTTTTTTAGTACACACTCATGCATGAAAAAAATAAAAAAATTATCAAAAGAGGAAAAACTTTCAGGAAAAACGAATACCAAATGGGTTATTTTTACACAAGGTTATATAAAAACAAGTGGAAAAATAAAAAACGAGATCTCCCATTGGGAAGAAGCACATTTGTGGAAATTTTCCAATTCCAAAATAAGGAGACTACAACTAGTTACAAAGTCAAGAAAAATTAACCTAATTTATCACCTTTACAAGACAATAACAGAATGGATATGCCATTTTCTTACATATTTAGGTAAAAATAAAATAAAAATTTATAACATTTCAACAGATTTTATAGAAAAACAACTATATCATGGTTATTCAAGAAAAATAGCAACCTTAGAAGCATTCAAAAAGGAAAAAAGAAAACAATACCGTCTCATTATGAATAAAAAGTATATTGTTTATGAAAGGAAAAAATTTAATTATGGTGCTTTCTATCCAATTGTAAGAAGAAAGAAAATGAAAAATGAACATATTATTCTGAGAAAAATGGGAAAAGGGGAAAAAAGGAAAAAACCAACCCATATAAATCAAATCAAATACTGGAAAATAGCTAGACATATTGCTTACTCATACTGCTCTTCGTTAATGCATGAACAAAATCAGAAAAAAAATATTTCTCATGGAACAATTAATAATCATACCTTTATCATACTTAACGATACATTTCATTTGCCCTCAATGCGGAAGAAGTATTATCTTCTTAGTAGGAGATGTAAAGATTTTTTTTTTTTTTTTTTTTTTTTTTTTATGTCACCTCTCCTTCGGGAGCTGTATATATCTACATATAAAAGATAAGCACTTAGTTGTTCCACTGTGCATTTGTGAAAGTAGGAACCACTATCCCCCACACCCCTCTCATCCCCTTTGCGTATTTACTACGTCCATTCATTCATATAATACCGATGTGAATCACTCGATTTCTTCCAATTTCAGACCATTTTAAGTATGCACAGATTTACCTAAACGCCCCTCTCAAAATGTGTTTAGAACGAAACAGACGTAGGAAGAAATTCAAACCAGTTGCAGATAAAACAATTGTGAGGAATCATTTTTATCATCAAAAATATGCATTATGGATGAGAAGGGGAGGTCAAACGATATCACCAAACATGATTAGTGTAATTCGGGGTGGTACAAAGTGGCAAAAAGGAGTCCTCTCAATTCAAGTGGATTCTTCAGTCCCACAAAAGGTTAGCTGTGTATATATATATATATATATATATATATATATATATATATCTGTACATCAGCAGATTATACATATATCTGTACTTCAGCAGATGTGCATGCATGTCTGTGTGAATAAGGAAATGCACAATTGCTTCCTTTCATTTACCTACGTACTTATGCCTCTCCCCCCCACCCACAAAAAAAAAAAAAAAAAGCTTACAGAGATAATGCAACTGATTTACAACCATCTGGATGAATTTAAAAACGAAGGGAAGGATAAAAAGGTTCATGAAGAGGAACAACAAAAGAGGAAAAATCTCCCAAACCGTTTAGACGTAAGCACTTTTTTACATCCTTTTTTTGTGTTTACGTTTTTTTTTTTTTTTTTTTTTTTTAATGGTTGGATGAACGAAATGTACCGTGAAATAAATGTCTGTTTATAAAAAGTTCCACCGAGAGAATAACACTGATTCCCTAATTTATTCCTTTTTTTTTTTTTTTTTTTTTGTAGGTTCTAAACATAACGATTAACAAAATTATTCATAAGAATTTGAAGATCCTTCCAAATGGTAACCTGGAGGGAACAAGCACAAAGTGCACAGTGGAGACACAAATATGCAAGTGCACATGTGCAGGAGTGTGGACAGAAGTACAACGATTCGTTTCATCAAATCGTAAATATATACATATATGTACATATATATGTATGGAAGTCCAGACAAAACAAGGACAAAGGTTAAGTTTATTTCTTTCCATTTTTTTTTTTTTTTTTTTTTTTTTTTTTTTTTTTGTTCAGAAAAAAAGAACGAATATGCAAAAAAGTTTCGCTTAATTAAATTGAAGCTATTAAAAGGTACAATTATAAAAATCGGTGCTAAATTCACTTTCTAGGGTATCCACCTAAATTTGATATTTCTTTTTTACTTATTTCTTTTTTACTTATTTTTTACTTATTTCTTTTTTACCTATTTTTTACTTATTTATTTTTTACCTATTTCTTTTTTACTTATTTCTTTTTTAATTTTTTCCTACTTTTGTTACTTCTCCATAATTTATAGAATGTAGGAGTGATAAAATGTATTCGAGAGAAGATCTGGGCAATATTTTTTCCGTAAGGTAAGCAATATGACGTATAGTCGTTGTTGACATGGAACCATGTCACCCCACATATAAACTTTTCACAAATGTGCCTCTCGCAGTAGTGAAAGGAAAAACATTTCATTTAGTGACGATACTAAGTATAATAAATTACAAAAAAAAAAAAAAAAAAAAAAAAAACATTATGAAAATGTAAACTGAAACAAAAAAATTTTATTCTGTCTGTTCATAAATAACAGGTTTTTTTTTTTTTTTTTTTTTTTTTTTTTTCGAATGATTTATTATTGTGTGTGTAAATAGCTAGCTATGTTCAGATTAGAGATGAAAAAAAAAAAAAAAAAAAATTCTCGTATTTTGAAATCTCTCCTTAGATGAAAAATTCATGAACAACACTCCTAAACGTGTTAGATGAAATGTCTCCAAAAATGTATAAATTTCTCAAAAAGTTTTCTTGTGCAATATCACAGAGCCATATTCATCGAATTCCTGAAAAGGGGAAAAATGACATTCGTACATAATATACATATAAATGTGTGAGTGTCTCTACATGTGGTATGTTTTCTTATTGTTGTCAAAATGTTTATGCTTTCGAGGACACATATAATATATATATTCCCTACAATTGTCACCTGTCACGTGATTTTTTTTTTTTTTTTTTTTTTTTTTTTTACCTGTTTCGAAATCCATATTTTTTTAAAAGTAGCTAAAGATGCCAAAATCGATCCCCCAATGAACGTGCTAAATTTCCTTTCAGGTGGGGCACTAATTCGAATCTTTTCAAAGAGGAGGAAGAAGAGACGTGCATATTGAGTAAAGATTTGGCAATGCAACAAAAAAAAAAAAAAAAAAAAGATGCTTGTATGGACGTGTGAACATATCAACACACATGCACAATTTGCTAACGTTCTTGTTTAAGCACAAGCATGTACTTATTTATTTGCATAAGAACAAATGCATTTTTAACAAAAAAAAAAAAAAAAAAAAGATTACGCAACAAATTGTTATGGGCACTTTTTTTTTTTTTTTTTTTTTTTTTTTTTTTGGTGAAATTACTGTAATATCCTTTGGCGCGAATTTCCTTATTTCGTTTAATAATCGATCTCCAAATCCTGTAAAACAGATAAAACCTCGTTCATATTTGAAAAAAAAAAAAAAAAAACATCACACAGATGGAATTTCATCACACAGGTAGAATTTCATCACAGCGTGAAGGTGGGAAAGAGTAATTGAAGAATGCATGGATGTCATAATTACTGTTTAACTTGACATAGGTATAATGGATGAATGTTGAGGGGACTCAGTGCAAAAAACAGCAATCTAACAAATGCACACAAAATGGTAACACATCAAAAACATGAAAAATAAAAATTTTAAAAGAAAAAGGTGACAATTCCACTTTTTACCATGAAACATCGTTGTGCCACCAGACAGCACAATGTGGGAGTACAAGGTCCTTCGTAAGTCCATATCCGCTCGCGTTATTGATGTAACAATAAGTTCGGACAGTCCTGTATGGGAGGGTGGCGCATGTACATTTAGAAGCACACGAAAATACATACACATACGTAAACACATACGCTCTCACGTAAACAAATACACTCACACGTAAGCATATCCATGCTCGTGCACGAACCTAAATATTCCAACCCAAGGATAGATGGGTTGAAAAGAACTTCAGGGGCTCTGTACCTCTCCGAACCAATCTGCCATTTATTAACAAAAGAAGAAGAAAGAATGCAAACATTTTCTCATCAAATAATTGAACAAGTGAACAAAATGGTGAGTTCCAGTATAAATTTACACTCATTTCTTCATTTTTGTGTGCATTTCACGAACCAGTATTTGAGATCCATCGGGAAGTATGTAAGGTAAAGTTGTGAGGGCCTTCTCAGATGAATTTTTTTCCTTGCTCATGTTGAAAGATACGTAACAACAATTTTCCTTCATGCTTTTTACAACTTCCATTTCAGCTGAGGTATTAAATAAATGTCCATTTTTTCTCAAAAGGTATCCCAAATAAGTTGTAATATCTCGACCTGCGACATCAGTTCTGGTGATTGTGTTCGTTATGCTATATCCTGTCGTAAAAAAAAAAAAAAAAAAAAAAAAGTGAGTCCAAACAAATATCTTAAAAAATTATCATAAAAAATTTTGTTTCATATATTTAACTCCTTATCCCCCTTACCCTCGTAAATGGACACACAGTGACATACCCCATCCCCACAATCGAGGACTGTACCATTGGTTTTCCCGCAGGAATATAAAGATAAAATGGCTTGAATAGAGATAAACAGTGCAGGAACATTAAAAGACTCGAAAAAAACTTCTGCGATTTTTTCCTTATTCTTCTGAGGATTTAGTGGGGCTTCGGTTAGAAGTACGGGGTGCTAAGGAAAGAAAAGAGACGGGTAGTGAGAGTTTAAATAAAAAAAAAAAAAAAAAAAAATTCTGAATATGCATACATGAAACGTATGCCTGTGTTCAGGTTATTAAGATGCACCTCCTCTGAGTTTATTTTCATCGAGTTGTAAATATGAATCCAAATATTTTCCATATCATTCCAGTTTTCAATAATGCCGTGATTTATAGGGTACGTTACTTTTAGAAGGCCTCTGTACTCCTCCTATGAATGGAAACATGTGCACACACATATACATATATACATACAAAAAAAAAAAAAAAAAAAAAGTGGAAGCAAAAAATATTTTCTGATCTATGTGTATTAATGCAAGATGCAACAGTTCCCAGTAAGACTATTCCAAAGTATACACAATTGCATTAGGTTGATAAATTTGTTTCTTTTTTCACTTATTATAGCATTTTCAACACTTTTTTGTCAATTTTTTTTTTTTTTTTTTTTTTTTATTCCACTCTTGGTATCACTCCATTTCGCAAAAATTACCGCCTTATTCCCTACGAATATATTTCCCTCCACTGCTCCTGCCATGACTCGTTTATATTTTGGCCTCCCCACACTTAGGTACAAAAAAAAAAAAAAAAAAAAAAAAAAAAAAAAAAGGGAATCGCATATATTGGGGAAACAAAATAAATAAAAAATAAATGACAACTTAACTAGGTCACATTAAGCAAAATCCACAGCAGCAAAGCAAAGGTGAATGAAAAGGAAAAAAAAAAAAAAAAAACTCACACATACAAATACACACACAGACAGACAAACAGACATACACGAATATGTATGAACAAACTTGCGATGATCAATTAGTGTGTTTCTCTCTCTCTGTATGTGTATGGGGTCATCATCATGTATTAGTGTTCCTGCGCTAGGGTTTGTATGATTTACTTCATGTTTGTCTCTTACTATGATGGAAATACAAGGTTAGGAATATCATCCCCAGCAAATCCAGACTTTATATATCCACTTCCATTGTCAATTATGATAGGCTGATTTGAGATAAGTTGTTTACCATATTCGTTCATTCTGTCCATAAGATTAAACAAGTGTATGAAAATTAGGGATTTTTAAAAAAGTAAAAAAAAAAAAAAGTGGAAGCAAAGTTGTTAAAGGGGAAGGTGATACACTTGGTAGATTTTTCAAGTGAAGAGAATATAAATCATTCGTGTTCATGAAAATGTAGACCTTCTCGAAGTATGTATATAAAATTTACAAATGTATTTTTGTATGTCCATACTATGAAGGGATATATTAGGTATATCCCCACAAAGCATAGATTATAAAAGATTAGAAAAGCAAAAGTTCACTTGTTTTGACTCACCTTTTCGTGTTTATATTTGAAAAAAAAGGAGTATTCACAGAGACATTCGACTTTATTTCCGTTTTGTCGTTTTTCACTTCCCTTTCGTCGCTTTTATTTTTTTACTTGTAATGGGAAACTGTAAGTGTATATGGATCTTACAAACATTCCCCCACCCCAAAAAAAAAAAAAAAAAAAAAAAAAAAAAAAAATAAGAACGAAATGTTACACTTCTTCCCCACACTCCTTTTATATGTGTGCATGCAATATGTAAGCACACGATAGGAAAAAAGTTAGATTTCGAAAAAAAAAAAATGAGTAGTGCAGAGTTGGGATTTTCACAACTTTTAAAAATTTGCAACTTTTTTTTATTTATCTTTGCAACTATGGTTAGATTAAAAAAAAAAAAAAATACAAAATTGTGATTTCATTGTGTGCTGGTAGAAGTTTCTTCTGTCTGTGTCACTTCCATACCAAAGTTTTACATGAACAAAAAAAAAAAAAAAAAAAAAAAAAAAAAAAAAAAAAAAAAAATTCCACTTAATGTGTATACACATATTCAAGGACGTAGAGGTGGTGCATTTGTTTTGTCTTTTTGTAATACATATAAATGTAAAAGTTTTAAAAAATCTTAGAGTGAAGAAACATCAAATTGTGAAAATGGAATACAACATATAAAAGTTTCTTAAAAAGGAAATTTTCAAACAGTAATATACTATTACACATAAAATTAATATGATCTCTAAAATGACAATAACTGCAATTTTTTTTTTTTTTTTTTTTTTTTTTTTAAAAAAAATATGGGCTTTCCCGTCCTACTGCAGCTAGACATAGCAACATATATTGTAACATATTATTTTGAGTAATAAAAATGTGTAGGTTTTACCTCTTTTTTTTAAGAATTTTTAATATAATAATACTATTTCATTCTATTTGTACTAAAGAACATTGACCAATAGTACCTATCATGCATGTATGAATTGCACTTTTTGTTTCTTAAGCTACCCTATTGAATTGTTGTGTTTCCACTTATAGTGTCTCGAAATATGGTTGATTTTGATATGTTATCACTTTGAACGGTATGCATATCAGAAATATAGGAGTACCGGTTTCCCTCCTTTGTTAGGGAGATATCACATTCTGGTTTGGTTATTGGTGCACGCAAAATGTGGTGTCGAATAGGATAAAAAAAAAAAAAAAAAAAGTGACATTAAGTGAAACGTTTTGCTAGTTCAAGGAGTCTAGTAAAAAAGAATGTCTCAAAAGGGGATTCCATAAGGGTGTGGTGTGTAATTACATCAATACAATGCTGTCTAACGGTGGAATGGAAGTAAAAGAAGGAAAGTGACGCGCAAAAGGAACGAGATAATTTTGTGCGACAAATAAACAAAGGACGTTTTGGTTTTTCCTTTTTCCAATTAACGTCTTTTTTTTCTTGAAATTTCAACAGACGGAGGAATGGATACCAACAATACGTTTAGCATCCAAGGATAAGCACAAATAGAGGTAGGTACAAAAAATGTATCTTCACGATACACTGTTTTGATTATTTCGATGGATGAAAAAAAGGAAAAACGAATGTTACACACCTCTGGTCGAAAGAAATGAAAAAAGACTCGTATGTTTTCTCTCCCACTGTACTTCCCATCCTTTGGGGCTGTATTCAAAACGACTATGTATTATGTTCTTCAGGCTTCCTCCATTGAGGTGTGGAGAAAATAATGTTTTCATCCTTTTCTTGAAAATATGCAAAACGGAAATTCTTTTTCCACAATTTACATTGTCCCAACTTGGGGAGTTTTTGAAATTTTTCGACAATTTTCGGAAATTGGCAAAGGCACAATCTGAGAGGTACTTTCAAAGAGAAAAAGGGAAAAAGTAAAAAAAAAAAAAAATTCTTTCTTCGCCCTCACCGGCACCAGCAGGCCGCACTCAATTTTGCAACAGCGGAGGGAACTCTACGAATGCTGTGTGATTGTAATCCCGGGAGAGTACCTTCCAGCTTATTGCATAAAACACATGCACCTATGTGTTTACGTAAGTGTTTATGAATATACGCAAGCATGAATTCATTTACGCAAGCATGAATTCATTTACGAAAGCATGTATGCATTTACGTGAGCATGTATGTACGGATTTTTTTTTTTTTTTTTTTTTTTTTTCCCCCTCCATTTTAGCTTAACGAATTTAAGTGTAACTCATTGCTCTCACCGATATCTACTCCTTATATTTCCTCAGACCCACCAAAGCCAATTTTTTACTTCCTTTTTTTTTTTTTTTTTTTAAACCCATCGAAATGATCAAAACAGAACTGATTTATGTGAATAATTGTAAAACATCCCATAACTTATGAAGAAAGAAAAATACGAGTTTATATCACACACGTGAAATGTGATGTTTTTTTTTTTTTTTTTTTTTTTTATCTATGGAAAGAGGATATTAACACTATCTTGAAAATACATATATTATTTTTTGTTCTATATGTCACCTTAGGGGATTGTTTCGCTTGGCTTACTTGGGCGGAAAGGGAGATGGGGAATTTCCGTATGTTTCCATTTTAGTGCTCTTCCAAGAATTGACAGTGTGTTGAAAAATCACACTGTTGTCAAGTTGCAGTACCGTTTCGATATGACAAGAGTGTAGGAGTATCCCTACGGAACAACGTGCGTGTGTTTACTATCCACATATGTAAAAACTCAAAATTTGTGTAACTCTTCGTGAATCACTTGTCTGCTCAATGTTACATTGCAGACGACATAGAAAAACAATGGAACGAAGCACGCATATCATGATGAAGCTCTTTTTTTCTGTCCTCATTGTGTTATGTTTGTTTTCAAAGGAATGTATGTGCGAATCTAGAATTAGCAACAGTGGCAGTGGCAGTGGAATTGGAGGAGGAACAGATGATGGGTTGTACATGTCATCTGTGCATTCATTTAAATCTCCCTTCACAGTAAATGATTTGGAGAAAGGATGGGTATTGAACTATTCAACTGCAAGCACAAATAAATACCTAGTTCTTATCCCAAATGTTTATAATAGAAGAGGATTCTTGCATCATAGTAAACCCATTGCATCTGATAATCTGAGTATTGAATTTACGTTTCACATTAGAAGGAAATATTATAAAGAAAATATAGATGCAAGTTATTACCAAAAAGATAGAGCAAAAGAAATTACATATAAAAGTACAATTGATGAAAAAAACAAAATTAACGGATTTGCCTTTTGGCTTATGACTAATGATTTTTCCATAACAAAGATAAGTAATGAAGAAGATATACAATTGGATGAAGAAGAGTTTGGGTTATTTGGATATAAAAAATCTTTTAATGGAATAGGTGTTGGTTTTCAGTTACGTGGAAACGATTTGCTAGTATCAGGAATAATTAACAATGGAGAAAAAGTGATAAACATAAATGAATATATAACAAAGAGGCACAATCTACATATGCTAAGTGTGAATGAACTGATAAATGTAAAAATAACTACACAGAAAAATGAAATGCGTATTTATTTATATAATGCAAAAAATAATACTTATATCCAAAGTCTAACAGTAAAAAAACAAATTCCAAAAGAAAATTATATCGGATTCAGTGCATTTAATTACAAAGAAAATGAAAAAATATCAAATACCAATCCGGAGAAATATATACCAACATTTGTAGGAATAACACAAGTTACCATTTCCAGTAGTGATTTTTCCTCTAATAATGAATCAAGCAATTATTCCTTTAGCAACAATGACATAATAGATTATGAAAAAGAACTAAACAATAACATGATCGAATCAGATGATTTTAACAACAGCACTAATGATACAATAAACGAAGTAAATCTAAACTTGAAACAATCGAATAAAATCCAAGGGGAAGCATATATAACTGCTATGTTGCAGAAATTGATGGCTTACCAAATAAATAATGAGAGAAAAATTCTACAAAATATAAATATGTTAAAAGAAAGTGTACAATTTTTGCATACAGAATTGAAACAAATGAAGAAATATATGATGAACAAGGCAGAAGATCCAAAATATTTTCAAAAAGTATTTACCACAGAACTTAGTGGTCTCAAAAGTCTTTTCCATTCACATGCTCAGCATCATAAAAAAAATATAGAAGACATAACAGATAAGTTGACGAAAAGGATAAATGAAAACCAAGAATTAAAATTCCTTGCAGAGAAAGCACAGAAACTAGAAACCATCATCAGCAAGGGAAATAATACGTCTTACATTTTTTCCTTATCTTTTGCTCTTCTCATTATTTTAACCTTAATTTTGATATACAAGAAAATTAGGGATGTTGAGAAGAAGCATATTCTGTGAGCTCATAAAAGTGCACAACGCAGGATTGTGCAATTTCCCCCACACACATGTGCACTCATTGGTTTGCGTTTTCAATCACATGTCAGCGGTTATTTTGTGGTAATTCTGTGGTAATTCTTTGATAATTTTGTGGTAATTTTTTGGCAATTCTATGATAATTTTGTGGCAACTCTATGATAATTTTGTGGCAACTCTATGATAATTTTGTGGCAACTCTATGATAATTTTATCATTATTTTATGGTTTTTTTATTTTATTTTTTTTTGAGCCTACCCTATAACGTAGCTCTGTATGTACGAACCACATTTTCTGGTATGTCTAATTATTCATTCTTACATAATAACAACACTGTGTATGCTGCATCAACTCCCAATAATGAGTCCTACTCGAAAATTTTTTTTTTTTTTTTTTCCTTCTTAGGGACCCTTGTTTATGATACATCCGTTTTTCGAAGTAGCACCATTTTTCTTTTCTGACCCTAACCGCATGATAAAAAGTGTAAAACGTGTAAAACGTGTAAAAGCTGTAAATGCTGAAAATGCTGAAAATGCTGAAAATGATGAAAATTCTGAAAATGATGAAAATTCTGAAAATTCAAAATGATTCCTTCACGAGTAGTAAGTAGTGATCGGTGTACTAGTTAGTGTAATTATGCATATCGCTCGAGCGAGTGGCTTCCTTCTTACTTGGGGAAGAAAGACACTTAGAGCCCGTTCCCAAAATGTGAACCTCCATTTTTCACGAGAATATTAGAAACGGGTAAAAAGGAGGATATTGAAAATTTCGTTCCATTCAATGGAGAAATATAAAACGGTTTCTAACTTGTCTGCATGGAATTAACAGAAAAGGGCATCTATCGGTGTTGTTACTCCCACCCAAATGAGAAGTGTAGTATGATAACTGAATTTTGACATGCAAAGATGTGTGAACATGTCCAAACGTTTTATCTCCTTGTCAACATATCATATATTGTTCGTTCTGTGTATATCCTTTGTTTGCAAAAAGCTCAAGTGCGTGGACAGGGAAAAAATGTCCTCGTTATTTGGGTCAGAATTAATCTTAAAGTTTTATGCAGTTCGCAAATAAAAGCTCCACAATTACAACTTATGCTGATTTTTCTTTTTTTCATTAAATTTGACCGCTTCAGATACTTGAGACAATTTCCCAAAAAAAAGGAAAAAAAAAAATAAGAAGATGTAGGGCATGAGAAAAGCCATGTCATAAGGGAACAGTTCCATGCTTGAAGCATAACTTTGCATGCATAAATTAAAAAAAAAAAAAAAAAAAAAATGAACAACATGTTCTGAACGGATGAACCCTTCCCTCATTCTGCGACTTTGCAAGTCTACACATATGAATAGGTACACATATATGTAATCCCATTTACATATTTATAAAAATGAGTATAAACATGCGATAGTTACTTTCCTGTTGTCAATTTCGATAATTAGTGACCCAGAAAGAATTCACTCAATCTGAATATTCTTAAGAATGAAATTTAAAAAAAGAGAAGACATGCATAAATTACACATGTATATGCTTTTACAAAAAATATTTTTTATGTTTACAAATATTTACACATTTATACCACTTTTTTTTTTTTTTTTTTTTCCCACATTTTAACTAAAAATTAATTAAGACATGAAAGTTGTATATCATTTGTAGGTGGTACACTGCCTTCTTCTCCATTCATTTTTTTCCTATTTTTTTTTTTTTTTTTTTTTTTACGAATTTGTTAAATTTTCTCCTTCATAATCAGTTGTCAAAATGTTGATAAATATCTGCAGATCCCTTTTCTTGTTTTGTTTAATAAACACACACCTGAGTAATTTTAAATTTCATAATGTGAAAATGATGGTTGAGGAAAACTCCCATTTCGACAAGAGACAAACTGAGATGATGATATGCTGGATCCATTAATTTTGTCCACATGTGTCTTTAACTTTTGTCTCCTTCAAGGAGGTTAATTCACGTGTCCATTGTTGTACTCCTATATTTACACTTCTCCATTCTCATTTTTGTATTCCTCTCTCTCTTTCCCCCAAATGCCGATACACAACCTCCAGATTTGTTCTTGGGACAAGACAAAGACTCCCTTGAATTAAGCCACGCAACATATAGGTAAATGAAATCCTTTACACAAAAAAAAAAAAAAAAAAAAAAAAAACAGGAAAAAAAAAAAAAAATCCAATTGAGATCGAAAAAGAAGGAAGTACTATTTACGTATAGTAGAAGAAATAAAAAAAATGTTTCTTCAACTTTAGTGGTTTTTTTGCTGGTGTTGAATTCATTTTTGAACGATTCTGGTGTAGCGCACTACATCCTTAGAGATATGCTCTTAAAATTTGCATACCATTCCACATACATGTTCTTTTTCTATTCATGTATCCCCATGAAATTTTCAGAGCGAAGAATAATGATTACGTTTTAAGAAATCGGATGCTACAAGAAGTAAAGGCTGAGTGCGACCAGTGGTCAGAATGGTCCGAATGCTCAAAATCCTGTGGAGTTGGAGTTAAAATGAGGGTTCGAACAAGCAGCAGAAAGGAACATTCCAATGAATGCTCCAAAATTGCAGAAACCACAATTTGTTTTTTAAAAGATTGTGAAGAGTCAAAGGAATCAAGAGAACGTGATGCAAATGAGGAAAAAGAAAATAAAAAAAAAAAAGTCCTGCAAAAGTATATACTAATTTTTAGCATTTTCTCAGGAATAAACATAGTGATATTGCTAGTATGTTTAGTTATATCTATCAAGAAAAAAATTCTATAATTTTATTTTACCCAATTGGAGAACACAGAAAAAAAAAAAAAAAAAACTCAAACTATATTTTTTCTCCCTTATGGGGGGTACGCTTTTTCATTTCATTTTTTAAGTAAAATATTTTTACATTTTTTTTACTGTACCTAGCGTTTATGTCTAATGGACATATTCACCCAGTTTTTATGCTTTTTTTTTTTTTTTTTTTTTTTTTTTTTCCCCTATTCTTAAGGATTATTTTTTGAATATTTGTAAGAACCCCATTTAGAAATCTTTTTAAGCTTATATGAAATCATATGACTCTCCATACATTATACAATCCTTTCTTTTTCTTTTTATTTAAAAAAAGTGGGAAATATTTCTCCCAAGAAAGTTAAGATCATTTCTCTCAGTTCTTTTCACGTTCCACAGTAGTGATCTCATGTTTGTCTTTTCGTCATTCCTTCTTACAATTATAGTCATTGCTTTTGCACACACAAGTATGTGCGCCTATAACGTCTGTTCGATCAATATGAGAATGGGTTAAAACTGTGAAAAAGTTGCCCACACGGTTGGGTGTGGCCCACGAGTTGCCTTAATTTAGCTTGTTTTTACCTTGCTTAAATGGTACTATGTCTTTAAGGTAATATTTCGCTTATTTGTAAAAGAACTTTTTTTTTTTTTTTTTTTTTTTCTCCCACGATATTGCAATATTTTTTTTCTGAACAATTCAGGTAAATTTTTCTCATTACAAAGGTAGTTTTTTTTTTTTTTTTTTTTTTCTTTTAAATGCACAGTTATTATTGTGTACAGTAAAGTATATGCACACAAATAGGTGAGTGTGTATTTGGGGAATGTGCCTGATAACGTAGAAATAATATTTACTCTGCTTTTTTAAAAAGAGAGAAAAATGATCACCACAGAAAATAATTTCTCGTAGCTTTTTGTTTCCCCTACCCTTTTTGGTATGTCCAAATCAGACATCTCATACCATTGTTATGATGCAGTTTCTTGTTTCTTATTATGCAAAAAAAAAGGGGGATATGCTATATTATGTGCATATTTTTTTTTTTTTTTTTTTTCTCCCACCCCCCTGATTTGGCTGTCTTGTATAGATCATTTTATTCCCTGTTCAGGTAAAATACACTTATCGTAAATTAAAATAAAATTTCTTAAATAGCATACTTTACAAAAAAAAAAAAAAAATTTGGGATATTTTTCTAAGGGTGTTCTGTAAGATATTTGCAACTTCTTGCAATAAAAATGGTGTGTGAAAAGGCATGATTTTTATGTGTCTTGGTTGCCTTGTTTCAACAAATTAGACTTCTGCATATAGTTACAGGTAAATATATAAGTAAGAAGTTAATGTATTGTTCAGTTCGCATTAGTATAACATGTTCTATGTCATCCATTTTATACAAAATTTTGGAGAAGGAGCAGAATAAATATTATGTGTATATATATTTACCTTACAAAAGGTGTGAGTTTTTGTCTGCTTTGAATTTTTTTTTTTTGCCATTTTAATGAAGTTGGGAAGAGAATTTTTGCAGTACTCGTCAGCATTTTTCTTTTCGTCTTATCCAGGAAATGTTTTGTGCAAAATTCATTCCCCTTGTATTCACTTATTTGTCACTTTGTTAGTCCCTATACTTATTCATTCATACATTCAATCATACATTCATTTCTTTTTTTTTTTTTTTTTTTTTTTTTTTTTTTTTCATGTGCTTGAGATCATACACATATTGGTGCATGAAAAATATTTCCATTTTAAGGGAGATATTGGCCTGAGCCATTTTTTTTTTTTTTTTAAAAACATTCCTTAAAAGGTAGGAGGAAATTTTAACGAGAAAATCCTCCACTTGCCAATTGTTACATAGGTCTTTTCTAATCGAAACGATTGGAAGCTTCCTTTATGTTCAGATTATTCATGTCATTTGATTTTCCTTTTTTTCCTTTTTTTTTTTTTTTGGCGCTTCGTGAATTATGCTTTTTGTTTATTTCAATTTTTTTTTTTTTTTTTTTTTTTACTCTGTTGGTATGTTTTTTTTTTCTCGTATTCGTGCCTTTTTTCGCGCTTTCATACCTTTTTGGTCATTTGGCACTTTTTTTCATTCACACAAAAAAAGGACAATATAGTAAATAGCACAAATCTGGATGAACTTTGAGAAAAAAAATTTTAGTAAATATCTGTACATGCGCTTACACGCACACACATGTAAGAACAGTAAGAACATATGTATACTTTACAGGTTTAAATACATAGTTCCATACTTGTGTGCATGTTTACATACATATATATGCGAATGTGCCCTTAATTTTTCTCAAGCTTGAGTAATTTGTTACGCATCCAGAGTACATGCATAAACAGGAAAATCTCTCGATCAATTTTATGTTTGCATGGAATGTGTTAAAGTCTTTTTTGTAGTATGCTCTTGGTTGTTTTGTTTGTTTATGTGCGTGTTCATTTTTGCTCTAATTTTGAGTTCATTTTTTTTTTTTTTTTTTGTGATCATATATTTTGAGGTAATTTTTTTTTTTTCTTTTTTTGGCTTCATTTTTTTGTCCACATTACAGCATCCTTATCCTTTCATAGAGAAGACAAGAGGAAGTTTCAAATTAATGTTTTTACATCTTTGCTGGATTTTTTTTTTTTTTTTTTTTTTCTTTTTTATCATCTGAATATCAATACACTGTGCAAAATGTTAAAAACATGGGGAGCCTTCTTCGAGATATGCACAATTTCGTATTTTTTTTATTTTTTCATTCCTCATGAATTGTTCATGTTTTCCCGTTAAATTTTCAGATTTTTTCTGTTAACTAGTTTTGCACATGCCTACATGCAAGCGTGATTACATATGTATGTGATATAATAAAATTTCATCTTTCTGTGCTAAAAAGGCACAAAAACGAATCCAGCTATATCCATCATAAAGCAAACATGGGATTATACAATTTTAAGACATCACTATAGCATTTTTTTTTTTTTTTTTTTTTTAGCACATCTTTGCCTTTATTATATAAATATTTTTTGTACATGTATATTTAATTGCTCATTTTTAATTCTTTTGTTTGTTTTTACGTTGGGTCTCCTCTCCTTGTGCGTTTGACCTCCCTGTAACATTTGTACTAATTTGTCTTAAACTATCATTCCCACTTTTTCCCCATTTGTCCGCTTGATCCATTTTCCCATTTTGCTGCGTCCTCTCAAAATGAGTAACGAGTACAACCTCAGCATAGATTTGAAAAGGGCAGACTTCATAAAAGAAAATTTGAAAATAATAAGGAAAGCAATATACAATGAATTTCATTATTTCTGTTCAAGCGATAGTGTAAAATCTGCGGAAATACACACAGATGAATTGTCAAAGAGTAGGTGGAATAACCTATATGCCTCATGGAGGATGGAAGATTTCACAAGAATGGATATTGGAAAAATATTAAATATATTAAGAAGAAACCAATATGTAATGGTGTGTATATATTTTCTCCTCATCTTTACATTTGTTTATTTGTTAACATTAATTTTATATACGAAATGTTTTAGGAGGCTGATTAAAGCTATACGATGCAAGACATGTAAAAGAAAAAAAAAGAGACAAGATGAAAAGGAGAGTGAAAATAAAGATGTAATTGAAAATGTGAAAAAGAGACTTTTTAACATTATAACGTATATATTTTTGAGTTCACTTCTATGTGTTCTCATTAGTGTAGGCATCTGGTACATTAATAATTTTCTCAAAACAAAAAATGGAATTTATTTAAGCATTTGTAATGCTTCTATTTCTATTGAAAATTTCCTGACGAATCAATGTCCCAATAACGGTGTTGTAGATTCTTCCTGTTATTCCCTGGAACATATTATGACAGATGTGTCTTCCATAGTGGAAGAGTATCAAGATATAAAGTTACAGATAAAGAAGGATTTGTTAATAGAAAATGGGAATAACCAGTTACCGATTCTCACAGGTATGCATGGATTTTTTTTTTTTTTTTTTTTTTTTGTGTGTGCATCTATTTTATAATGTTGTAGTGTGCATATCGATGGGAGATATAGTGTGTGAATCTGTTATGTAGCATAAAAAGAGAATATTTTCTATATTCATACATATATTTTTTTTTCATTTTTTTTCATTTTTTTTCATTTTTTTCCATTTTTTTCCATTTTTTCTCATTTTTTTCATTTTTTTTCATTTTTTTTCATTTTTTTTTCATTTTTTTTCATTTTTTTTTCATTTTTTTTTGACCTTCTTCACCCGTTTTACCCCTTTCTGCAGGTTTCGTAACCATATTCGAAAACTTGAAAAAGCTGCAAAGAAATATCAGGGAAAACAATAAAATATTGGAAGACGAATATTTCCACACATACCCAGTGCTGACTAGATTAGGAAATGAGTTAGATTCTGTAATCCAAGAAGGAGAAGCAAATTTTAAAGACTTGGAAGAAAGTTTAGGTGTGGCAAAAGATATAGTAAAAGAAGGTTTTGAAGGAATTGATAATGCTTTAGAAAACAAAATTCAAGAAAATATAGGAAATATAAATGATAAAATTGTCAATTTTAATGAAGCAATTAGTCATTCTATAAATAAATATAAAATTAAAAGGAGCTTAAAAAAGTACATCACAGCAATATTGATAATGAAATTGGTTTTGTTAATTCCTCCATTCCTTGTTTTAGTCGGGTTAATAGTATTTATTTATTTTCTGATAAAAGGAGATGTAGGAAATGCACGTAACTTCTTTTTAGATCTATTTGGGGCATTTAGTGCATACTTTGGATTCTTAACAATTGTTATTTTGTCAATAGGAATAATAACTTTAAGTTTGTCTGTTCTTGGAGGAGCAACCTGTACCATTGCAGATAGGGTCCTGAAGAATGAATTAACTTTTGACGTTTTAAATGATACGCTAGTTGATTACTGTTTGAAGAATGAAAATGCTCCTCTGATTTCTGAAGACATATCCAAAGGAATTATAGATAATTTTAATTCTTTTCATACTGAAGAGATGGAAAAAAAATTAATTGAATATGATTCCAATTTTAATGAAATGAAAAAAATATTTAATGAAAGGACACGTAATTTTGTAAATTACATATGGGTTGTCATTACAAAACAGAATCAAAATAGATTCGTTGACAATGTTGTATTGGGTTCTTTGAGGAAGTCTTTACTCGCAGTAGGTATAACGAGAGACAATATTAAATTTGGAAAATACAACCTTTGGGGAACGGATGAATATTTCGAACATTTGAATAGGTTTTTTTTTAGCCGAACAAATTTAGCCCTTTGTTTTGAAAATTCGGATTGTGAAAATCAGAATGGAAAATTTAACATAAATTTTAAATCTTCCATTAACGACGACAGATATCGTGCGCTACGAAATCAATTGGGAAATGATAGACTTAAGCAAGACTTAGATAATGTTGTTCAGTTGTTTATTCATAAATCCAGAGTAAAAAATGAAAAAATGTTCACTGTTAGTGATTTGGACAGTAATATAACTGAAAAGATTGGATGGAATGAATACACACCTAGGTTTTCGAAAGAGGGGGAGAGTAAAAACTTCATTATTCGAAAGTACTTAGTAGAAGATATTAACAATTTAAATTTTAATAATATTTTTGATTTTTTTGAAAAATTTAAAAATAAATTAAACACATTAAAAGATATGATACTCAGCAAAATGGATCATCTTATAAGATATACAAACTGTAGTAGACTCGTCACAGAATTGAAAAAAGCTAAGCATCACTACTGTGATGATGTCATTTTGAATATGATAACATTGTCCGTTTCGCTCATTGTCTTTTCGATTATTTCTTTTTTCCTGTGGTACTTTTTCTTATTTTTCTGGCTTTATTATCACATGAAGATGAGATAGAGATAAAAGAATGTATTCCAAGGTATACAAATGAGATCTTGCTTTTAGGACCACAAATGGGAGAAGTTAGACCTTGTATATGAACCATGAGCTTTTTTTTTTCATATCATTTGTGTCGTGAGAAGGTGGTGTTATTATGTATATGTGTTTGAGAGAGTTGAAGAACTTTCATCAAGCATGTCAGATCTGAGAAGTGAATGGGAATCCACCATGTCTCAATTTTACAAGTGATTCTGGAAGTACCTTGGAGGAGTGAAATGAAGATGGTGTATGTATGGAGAGAGGTTTCATGATATTTTTTTTTTTTTTTTTTTTTTTTTTTTTGTTCCTTATTTGGAAGTAAGAAATTATTTCCTAAACATGATTTTATAATTGGCGCAGAAAATACTAAACTTGTGCCTATATATTTCCTTTTTTTCTCATTTGGCTTATCATCGCACTATTGTTTGTACCTTGACACATTTACTCAGGTGAGTACAGAACGAAAACTGCCATGGGCAATTGTGTCTATTTTTTTTTTGCCTTTTTCTTCTACCAACATATTAACATGAATATTGACCATCTTTTTTTGCCTGAGCAAAACATAGATATGGTCAGCTATTTTTTTTTTTTTTTTTTTTTAAATAAAAACACGTGTTTTATGTCCATTTGTTTTGTTTCTTTCCCAAAAAAAAAAATTATCCATCATTTTTTGTCTGAACAGTTCAGGTTATTATTACCTTTTTTTTTTTTTTTTTTGAAATGAAAAAAAAAAAAAAAAAAAAAAAAAAAATTCTAATATTTTTGTTTTAAAAAATTATAGTTTTTTTTTTCTTTTTTTTTTTTTTTTTTTTGAAATGAAAAAAAAAAAAAAAAAAAAAAAAAAAAGTGTCAGAACAAATGTATAACTGCCTTATTAGCAGTGGGGATGATAAATACTTTTTGTCAATTCGTTTATTTTTATTTCTTTTATTTTAATTTTATTTTTTTACATTTTTCCTAAACGATGGACAGGACAACATGTGGAGCGGAGGGGGAGGAGGAATACGGTTATGATGTATGAATAATGGGATTTAAAACTTTTTTTTTTTTTTTTTTTTTGCATGGAGTTAAAAGAAAAAAAAATAATAATTAATAAGTAAATAAAATTGGGACAAATTAAAATAAATTGGGAACAAATTAAAATAAACTAGGAATAAATTAAAATAAACTGGGAACAAATTAAAATCAAGTGGGAAAACATATTAAAATCAAGTGGGGATGAAGAATAAGTTGGTGTAATGTGCGAGGAGTGAAGTTGAGGGATTCATAATTAAATTCGTGCAACCTGCTCAGCCATGTACGTGTGCATATTTATATATATATATATATATATATATATATATATATATATATACATGTACATGAGCATATATTCATATATGTTGCGCTCACTTCCGTGTGTATGTATGTCTGTTTTTAAAATAAAATAAAAAATGGCTTCCATAGAGGTGATAGAGAAGAAAATTATAAAAAATTAAAAGCGGTTCATGAGACATGTACTTGTTAAAATGTATAGTGGGTTTCAATGTAGTTCTCAATGGAATTTTCAATGGAAATTTCAATGGAATATATATTGTGTCTACAGTTCACGGTTGGGGTGTGTATGTATGTGCGTTTGGCAGGACAGGGGCGATGTTGCAAGGTGGTCTTCATCAAATGAGGCCTATATAACTCTGTTTCCCATGCGTGAAGGTTCTCATGTTTCTACAGGTGCTGTATGATGTCTGTCACTGTATTGCTCAAATTGGGCAGGTTCAAAAAATGCTCGTAATAATTACATATATTTTTTTAAAAAAGTTAACGTTGGCTGTCCATATGAAATAAAATGGGTCTATGAATATAACACGAATAACCTTGAATCCAAAGGAAGGAGAGTCTTCTTCTTGAAGATCCTTTGAATTCTGTGTTTCAATTGATGTATCAGAGGAGTTATTTTCTTTCAATTCAAAGGGTAACTCATTTTTTTTCATTTCTTCAGAGGTCATTGATAAGCCTTCTTCCGTAATTTTTTTAGAAGATTCATGTAAATTAAAAATGAGACTGGGGAAAATTTGACTGAGTATATTATTTCTAATAAACGTTGGAATATTTACATCATAATAAACAGAAATAACATAGTCTAATCCTTTTTCATACGGATTGGAGCTTTTGGGATATAAACAGAAAAAATTTTCATAATTTTGTATACGAGTATAGCTATAATTGTCTTTAAATGTACCACTAATAGATCTATTTGCAACTAAAAGCATATTTTGATCTTCAATATATTTTTGATAAAATTCGTACACAGTATCATGACTTCTAAAAGGCCATGGTAATCCATTGACAAGATAAATGTATCTTCTATTTCCACGTGGATTATCATTCTCATTTTTTATAATAAATTTTGTAGGATCAATTTTTTCATCATTTTGATATTTTTCAATAATGGATTCTTTATTTAACTTTAAATAATTAATTGTATATATATTTTTATTCCATTTTTTTATTATATCGATGTTATTAAGAGCTCGACTTAACCCATATAAAGAAACATCTTGAAGAGTTCCATACCCAATAAGATCGTACCTTGTTTCTCGTTTGTCTTCTAATAAATTTTTATATAATGTTACTTCTGTTGAATTATGAAATATTTGACAATTATTATATGGAAATGTTTTTGTACGTATTTCTGTACATACATTTAAATAATGTTTCACAGTTTCATCTTCAATTAGTGGGCTAGGCTTAACTATTACAGTTTTTTGTTTTATAGGATCATCTATATTTGATTTTGCATTTTGCAAAATGGTTTCAGATTCACTTTGACCATTTACATATTTCGATTCTTCTGATTCTTCATTGTTCACACCAGAATCTGAATTTCCTGTTATGTTTGTATCTTCCATGGGATTTTCTTTTACATTACTTTCAACATTTACTTCCCCTTCTTGTAAATTTCTTCCTAACATTCTAAACTTAAATGTTTGCATTGGTTGGCTGTCAACAACATTGGATATGTCATTCTTTTCACCATTTTGTTTTCTTCTGACGTTTTCATAAATTTGTGTAAATTGTACAAAATGTGAAAAATGTGAAAAATATTTTTCGATAAAACTTTCAGCAATTTGTTCATTCATATATTGTGTCTTTCCTGCGTTTCTGTTCTGACCACTCATAAAATTTGTCCATTTGTTTATACCTCCTGTGCAAATGTATTCCACAATGGCCAACACGAAGGAGAACACAAGAATTCTGTTTTTTTTCAAAATCATTTTGGAATGAAAAACGTTGTAACTCTCGGGAGTGCTAATGGGATGGGGAGGGGAAGGGTCATGCCTTTTTTTTTTTTTCGTCTTCTTCTTCGTCTCTTGTGTTCGTTCGAGTGTAACGTGAAAGAGCGAATGAGATGTTGGTATTTGAAAGAAAGCGATAAAAAGACTTGCAATATCGTCCCTTCCTGTTTGATTAGTTCCCGGTTTGTTGTAATTCACCCCGTGATCATAATATCATTCAGATTTGTGTCGTTTGCAAGAAAAAAAAAAAAAAAAGAAGGAACACCGAAATGGAATGTAAATCTGTGTGTTATGCACACAACTTCTGCAAGTGGGCTAAACTGGACGTATGCATGAAACATGCAGTAATAATTTTGTATAAAATTGGATGCTCATTTATAATCGTCTGAAATTGCCTCTCTCTTTTGTAGAGGGACGAACGTGGTGAAGTATATATACATGTACATATACATGTACATGTATATATATATGTATTTTTTTTCCTATTCCCGTTTCTTCCTTTTCTCTCTCAAACTGCAAAAAGTGTTTCCTTGAAAATGCTTATTTGGAAATTGTTAAAAATATGGAGATGGAGTCTGGGGTGGTGGTGTGTAAGCGTGTTTTCATATCTAAATATGTTTGAGTGTAGTTTCAATGGTCTGTGCATAACTTTTTATACAGGGCTATACAAGTAATATGGTAAATCAGAAAATGTGTAATGTATTTGCATTATACGGTATAAAATGCAAGTATTCAAATTATATACATATAACTGATAAAAAAAAAGTTCTCTCCTTTGTTCTGTTACGCTTATAGTATGAAATGCAACAGCATAAATGTATGCACATAAACGCATGAGTGCATACAGGGTGTTTATACATGTGCAGTTTACTCGTAGTTATATATATATGTATATATATGCACATAATAATACGATATCGTGAAGTGGAGAAAAAAAAGTACTTCCCTTTACAACACAGTATAAGAAATAAAAAAGTGGGATATAGTACTCATTTACTTATGTTTAATTAAACGGTGGTCATAAAACAAATCGAAAGCGATCTGTTGCATATGTGTTATATATACATACACAATGTTGAAAAAAAAAAAAAAATTCGAAGGCACAAATATGCAAATAAATGGAAAAATAAATTAAAAAATTAATCAAATGAGGAAAAAAATAAAAATAATAACAGTAACGGTAATAGTAACAATAACAAAACAGTAATAGTAATAGAAAAAAATAAAGTAACCAGAAAGGAAATTAATTCGAGAGTGAATCGAAAATTTGACGAGAAAAAAAAAAAAAAAAAAAAAAAGACCACTAAAAGAACGTGGTAGAATTGATCAAAATTAGTTTCAGCACCTGTGACGACGCGCAATGTGGTTGTGGGTCAGTGTGGCAAAATGTGGAAGTTATGATCCGAGTGAAAAGTCGAAATTTTGTGAATTTCAAATTTGTCAAATCAATATTTGAGAATTTCAAATTTGTCAAATCAATATTTGCGAATTTCAAATTTGTCAAGTCAAAAATTGCGAATTTCAAATTTGCCAAGTTAAAAATTTCAATGTCAAAAATCACCGCATGCTGAAGTTGTGGTTAAGTCGCGGGAAAACTCTTTGCATAAATATTTTATCAACGAGGAAGTATTGTAGAACGAGCGACCGAAGCTGCGACCGAAGTTGTCACCAAAGTTGCAACGTCAGTTAAATAAAATTTTCAGTGCGCACTCAGGTGAGGCAAAGGTAATCTTTATGCGCAAAAAAAAAGGTTGTCATTTTTTTTAGGCGCAAAATTAGGGGTATTTTTTTAGCACACAAAATTAGGGGTATTTTTTTTAACTTGCACACTTATTTTCAGCTCTCCTTTTTTCTTCTCCATTTCTCTTTGAAAGAATGGAACATTAAGCTGCTGCAATGAATTTATTTAAAAATGTTTTTATTTCAACTGTGACATTTAGCAGAATTGACATTCCAGGAATTCCTCTGTACAATTGCATACGAGCAGGCAAAATTGGAGAGTGAAAATGAACAAACAAAATGAACAAACCGTGGCCCATCTCACCCTTTCGCTGGGTCCACATTTTTTTTTACTGAAATGTTCACCAAAAGAGGGAACTCAAAAACACAGCTGAACAAATTACAATTCACGCGCGCACATATGAACATGTGCACACACACATAACCACACACGAACATAACCACACACACACACATACCCCAACACAAACAGTTGCGCATAAGCCTACTGTCCACACACATATACATATGCGTATGGAAGTATACATGATTATACACCCCGTTCGCACACTGACAAGGAACAGTACGTCGAACCAATGAACACCATTTTTTGTACACGAAAAAAAATATGTACGCGTTCATACAAATATGTGAAATTGGAAATACACACCCTCAGACATCCCACTCTGTTGAAATGGCAAGCATAATCAATGTTTGTAACTGTTAATGATTTAATATACAATCCCACGGAATAACATTCTCGATTGCAAAAATAAGGATAAAAAAAAAAAACATATCCCATTGTTTTTGTTTGTGGATATAATTATCATCCACATTCGAGGAATGTGAAGAACTTATCAAATTATCCTTTAATTTCAACTCCATTTTATATTATTTAATTTTTTTTTTTTTTTTTTTTTACTTTTCATTATGAATATATATAAAAAAAAAAAAAAAAAAAAAAAAAAGCTATCCAGTTTAGGGGAAATTTTCCATCTCCATTGCATTACGAAAGGAACATATTTTGTTAAAATTTTTGAGACGAGAAAAGAAAAAAATAAAATAAACAGAATAAGCAGAATAAGCAGAATAAAATAAAGAGTTAGGTACTTATGATAAAGCCAATTGCTTCTTCACGCTCCTTTTCCTGATAACACAAGGTTGATCAATGTTCGATAAGTGTGATGTGCGCTATAACGCGTTTATATGAACGTGTGCATGTAAAGTGTTACACATGTGTAATGCGTGTGTAAGAATAACTGGTGGAAATTACAAAAAGGGAAAATCTCGTGACTTGTAGAAGTGTCCATTCCTTTCACTTAAGGAGAGGCATACAAAATGGCAAAAGAAAGGAAAAGAAAGGAAAAGAAAGGAAAAAAAAGCCAAAAAAAAAATAATAAAATAAAATGAAAACAAAAGAAAGCACAACAGAAGAGTAATTCTTATAAACACCCATTTTCATTCTCAGGAAATGTGGAAAAAAAATAGTGTACCTTTTTTTTTTTTTTTTTTTTTTTTTTTTCTTATTCCAATTCAAATTTCTTGTCCCTTATTCTCAAGAATGCATAAATCATCTTTTGATTGTTCATTGATTATAATAAATTCCAAGGTATCTTTGAAGGGAATCACAAGGGGGTGTATGTAGGACTTTGGCTTAGGAAATACATTTACGTGTCTCTGCGTGCATGTCAAACAGGAAAAAAAGTCTTTGTACAATGTGTATATGTAGTAATACACATCTCACTATTCACATTGTTCCATTCGCATCGCTCCACTCGTGTTTCCCCATTCATGTTGCAATACGAATCTCCACTCCCCCACATCCACCTGTCTATATTCAAACTCTCCATCGCACGGGGCTATAAAAGCGAAAAAAATGTATGAACACATACCCTGATTACATGGTTCATTGCGGGAAAGATAGCGAAGTTGTATATATACTTATGACCTCGAAACGAGAACGTATTTATAGAAAGAAAAGAAAAAAGGAAAAAAGATTAATTGAAAAAAGTACGGAGAAAGGTTACAAAGGGAGCTTCTAAAATGTGTGATAAGAAAGGTGTGCTTAAAAGAACTCAAAAGTTCATCACGAAGGATTACGTGACATCTGCTAAAGCGATTTCTGATAAGTGACTTCTGACAAGCCATTTCTGCTAACTGACAATTTGTTCAAATCTGTACAGATCAGCCATTTCGAACGCGAAAAGAAACCGAAATTTTGAAACGACATGTTCCACACTGGAATATAATAATTAAGGTACGTTACGTCATTCGTACATTTTCGGCTATAATCTTAGTGAAGATGAAATGTTACAAATATATAAATGGTCCTGAAATATTTGCTATATATCAATGAATATACTACCTTTTAAGTGCTCATTATTCACAATTTAAAAAGAAAAATAATTGAAATAGTTCGATGCGTAGATAAAAGTGTAACAGACAGAAATGGGGAAAAAAAAAAAAAAAAAAAAAAGACATGAGACAAAAGAAAGTGATGACCTGTTCATCTTTACACAGTTGGATGAAATTGACGAATTTTCATTTTGGAGAAAAACAGAAGAACAATAACCACCAAATTACACACACTGTTAAAGAACTTGTACATTTATCAAGATATCGAACAAAGTGGTCTTCAAAAAGTGGTAGCAAATAATAATTCAAGGTCCCAAACTAGGAATGTGTATTAAACGGGATGGTAAGTGGAGTTCAAGGGGATGTGATGGGGGTATAACATTCTACGGTACAAACGTGACTATAGGTTGGTACCATTTGATCAATTAGAAGAATCAAAAAAAAAAAAAAAAAAAAAAAAAAAACTATAAACGGTATAAATTCACAGGAAAAGGGCAAGAATCAGATAACCGTAATGAAATAAAGATTACCATAAAAAAAGGGAGATAAATAATGTGGACGGAGATGGTGCTTTGAATGCAACAAATATGATGAATGTGGTGTGCCCGTAGTAATGTTAGGAAAAATAAAGTAACAAAAAAAAAAGTAAATATCTTAGCAACAGGAGAAAGTGGGAAACAATAATGAGTCCAACCCTCGCTAAATATGGTCATTTCCATGGGATGAAAAAAAAAAAAAAAAAAAAAAAAAAAAAAAATTTATCAAAACTTTAAAAAAAAAAAAAAAAATACCAGGATGAACAATTTGAGAAAAATAAAAAATAAAATCCTTTTGATTCTATTCTTTTGAAACATGTACAGTTTATGCACAAAAAAAAAAAAAAAAAAAATTGGCAATAACGGATGATGTCATTTTGAAATATTTTACAATTATCTGCTACAAAAGATAATATATATGTATGTATATATATATATATATATATATAATGGAACGCGCGGGTAGGTGGGGGTAATATCGGAAAAAGGGCACAAGTGGAACTATTAACAAAAATATCAAAAAAATAAAAAAATATCACCGAAAATATTGGCAAAAGTGTTAGAAAAAATAATAGGGCAAATAATAACGAAGAAGGCAATCGCACAAGTAATAGCAAAAACAATCGCGAAAAAGAACAGGAAGGACAAAAAAAAAAAAAAAAATAAAATAAAATAATAAAATAAAAAAAAAAAAAAATCAGGAAAAGGACAGCGAGGGGAAAATAATAAGTAAGGGGTGGAGGAAAGGAGCAGTTTCCACAAAAACATTCATAACAAAAATTACCTTCAGGGTGGAAGGAAACGCTGAATGATGATTCACAAGTCCAGGTGCCCTCGTGGCAATGCATAAAGGAAGAAATCGGAAGAAATCGGAAAAAACTGGAAGGACAACATCTCAGGTGGATGCAGCTGAATCAACGGTGAGAGATAGCCATTTGAGGAAAGGGAAAAAAAAAAAAAAAAGAAAAACGAAAAATCATAATTCATTAAACTGGGAACACCGAAAAGTACAGAAGGAGAGAGAAAGGCAGTAGAAAAAGAAGGAGCAACTGTCTGGATTACTGCCGAATCGACAAAAGGAACGCATGGGTAGGAAAAAAACATGCTTGTGTTAAATGGACGCAGCCCAAGCAAGACGAATCTAAAGGATAAGCATAGTAGAGGTAGTAGTAATAGCGGTAGTAGAAGTGGTAGTAATAACAGTACTAGAAGTGGTAGTAATAACAGTACTAGAAGTGGTAGTAATAACAGTACTAGAAGTAGTAGTAATAACGATAGTGCTAACCATACATCGATTGAAAAGAACTCGGAGGAGAGAAAAAATTGGAATTGAAAGAAGATGAGTTATAACAATCGCTATGACGCCCTCAATGGCGTGGAAGATTTTGTTGACACGCATGAAGATAGGTATGAGGAAAAATATGAAGATGAAAATAATAACCCTCAAAAAAGAAATGAACAAAGGGAAAAAAAAAAAAAAAAAAAAGATTTAAAAGGATACAACGCGGACGTTAACCTGACAGAAAAAGGAAGTTTCGAAGAAGAAGAAGAAGAAGACAGGGAATCGGGACAGCAAAATCTCAAAGGAAGCATCGATAGGAACAGCCACAAAAAAGAGAGCAAAGAAAATATTTTAAGAAATAGCTCACGCATTCTAACGAATGAAAAAAAAAAAAAAAAAAAAAATTCGAATGAAATTTTTGAAGACGAAAAAATGAATGACGAAAAAAAAGCATCCATCAAGGATAATGTGTATGAAAATTTTATAAGGGAGTATCAGAATTTACAATCCTTGTTCTCTTTCAACAAAGACCAAAATACAGAGCTGAGAGCAGATGTGAAGGGGAAAAAAACAGAAGGAGAGATGATGAGAGCTGCTGAGAAGGGGAAAAAAACAGAAGGAGAGATGATGAGAGCTGCCGAGAAGGGACGAGAAACGGAAGGAGAAAAGCAGAGGAAGTGTTCATTTGATGAATCTTTGAGCAAAGTAGTGGATAGAAATTTGGCTGAAGGGATCACTCGAAAAAGTACACATGAAGATGTGGTAGATGTCAAAAAAAAGAAACAAGAGAATCAGATTCCTACGCATCATCAGTATAGGAGAAACTCAAAGAAGGGATCCTCAAATGATGCAAATCGAGATAGACCCCATGAACTAAACGAGAGTGAAGACAGATGCGTTGATCCTATGGAACATTTGTCTCCTGATTTTAAGAATTATGATAATATTGGTTCTATTGAAAAAGAGAAGGAAGAAGGAATAAAGCGAATAGAAAGCATAAAGAATTCGATGGAATGTTATTCTAAGAGGTCTGATATAAATGACGAAAGTGGTGATAGTAATGATATAGCTTTTTTCAGTAGTGATAATCGGGATGTAAATTTTGGTTTTAGTGGAACCCATGATGCATCTAACAAAGAAGTGATTGACAGGATTAACTTAAGAGAAACGTATGTCCATTCAGAAGAAAAAAGTAAAAGCAGAAAAAAATCAGATGAAGGAATCTTAGCAGAATGTCAAGTTAAAAAAAAAAAAACAGAAGGAAAAAGTAAATATATGAAAAGAGAATCAAGTAGTGGAAACATGAAAAAGATGATGAATCAAATAGAAATATATCAAAGTAGAATAAAGGGAAATTTCATAAATGAAGAGAAATATATGAATATGGATTCATTAAAACGATTATCAATTAATAGAAATAAAATGGAAATAGATGATAGTAGCTACTTTCAATATGAAATCAATAATTCCAAAAAGTTACTTCACAAAAACATGAGTAATTTATATAGTATGAATGGATCTAATTTAACATTCCATCAGGATTTTTTTAAAGACATTTTACCATTAAGTGATGAGAAAAAAAAAGAAAAAAAAAAAAAAAAATCTAGTAAACAACACAATTTTGATAATTTTGACCATCTATCTTACTTTTCAGAAATGAAAATTGCAAAAATGTTAAAGAATAATCGTAACTCCTCCATTCACCAAGAAACCACATTTAGTAAGAAGTTAATCTCAAAAAGAGAAAAATCCAATCATAAGAAGAGTACCATTGTTGGGGTTATGAGTGCAGACGGAAGACCTCCTTTGGATGTTGAAGATGACAATGATGGGATGAAAACGAGAGAGGAAATGCAGGTGCATAGAGGGAAGGATAGAGGAATGTGCACGAAGTATGATGATACTCTGAATGAGATTGAAAATGATTCTGGTGATAACAACACCCATAGTGGAAACAATCGGAATAATGACATTCCCAGTGATGTCATTCCAAGTGATGGCATTCCAAGTGATGGCATTCCAAGTGGTGACATTCCAAGTGGTGACATACGAAATGATAGTGGGAATTTCAATCTATCTGAAGGAAGCTACAAGGAAAAGAAGAAGAAGAAAAAGAAAAAAAAAAAGAAAAAATCACAAGGAGATGTAATTAAAAAAATCCTGAATGGACAAATGGAGGGAGAACAAAACATGAAGGAGAATAACAAGTTTTATAAAAATACAAAAGTAGGAGAAAAGAGAAATTCAAATGAAACACAAAATAATTTGATGAGCTACTCCCTAGGGGAGGCAGGGGAGATCAATTTGCACAGCTCTTCAAAGAAAATGGAATTATATGATGATACACAAAAAGAACTTTACAATGCCATGCTTAATGATTATCTGGATAATAACAAATCCATCCATCATAGGAATATTTATGACAATGATTCACGTGTATGTGAAATTGATGATTACAGAAGTGATGTTTTACACAAGGATTCCCGTGGACACACAAATGAAATACAGAATCACAAATGGTTGAGAAGGAGAAGAGGGAAGAACTGTGGGGTATATGGAAATATAGAAAGATCCAAGAGAAAGGAAAAAGGAAATAAAAAAAGAAATGAAGAACATATTAATGAGGATATGAACGAGTTTGTGAGTTCTTTATTGGATAATAAAATTTTAAGAAAAACGATGAGCAATATGGATTTTAATCACAATATTGTGCACAAGAAGGAGATAGAAAATGGGGAAGATGGAGGAGAGGTAGAAAATGGGGAAGATGGAGGAGAGGTAGAAAATGGGGAAGATGGAGGAGAGGTAGAAAATGGGGAAGATGGAGAAGAGGTAGAAAATGGAGAAGCAGAAAATGGAGAAGAGGTAGAAAATGGAGAAGCAGAAAATGGAGAAGAGGTAGAAAATGGAGAAGCAGAAAATGGAGAAGAATTAAATCAAGAGAAAAGAAAAAAACTAATCATGCGCAGATTATCAAAAGTTATCCGAACGCAAGACATCAACTCGGAGATAGAAATGTTACATAGCGAAATTTTAAAAAAAAAAGTTTCAAAAGATTGCGTAAGCATTTTTGAGAAGAAAAAAAAAAGTTTTCATAAATTTGACAAATACTTAGAAATGATGAATGTAAAAAAAAAGTTGCACGAGAAGGATCAAGAGAGAAGGAAAAGTCTAAAGACTAATAACAAGGATTTGAATTATGAAAATGCATTTGCTCCTAGTAGCGTGATGCATGAAGATGATTATGATGTGTTATGCCATGAAAAGAAAAAAAAAACATCGTACGTAAAATCAGGAGCCATGAACTATGAAGGAGATAATGACCATAACTTTAAAAAATCCAAGGATCAAAATGGACATGTAGAAATGGATATTATTAATTCGGTTGACGGAGAAGAAGTGGGAGAAGAAGCGATTGGAGCAAGAGCAGAAAGAGAAAACGCAGAAGCAGAAGAATCCGCACGAGGGTCCCCACTGCAACGGGTTAATAGTGGAAGTGGGCTACATCTAAACAAAAGCTTGGAATTTTTTTCAAATAATTTTTTAAGTTTAAAACGATTAATTGAAAGAAAAAGTGGAGACACAAATGTAGTTACAAAAAGGGAAGATTCGTTAGACAAAGGGGAAGAAAAAATTGACATAGATATGAAAAAAAAAAAAAAAAAAAATTCTTATGAAGATTACAATAGCTGTTCCCAGGTGAGCAAAGCCAACCAGAAAAGTAGTAAAAGCCACAAGTTTGATATTTTTTTTGGAATCAACAAGAAAAATAGTGAGGGGTTACATTTTGATCGCAATTTTATGAAGCACGATGGAAGTGGTGCAAATATTGGAAGTGGTGCAAATATTGGAAGTGGTGCAAATGTTGGAATTGCCTCCAAAATTGACAATCGTAAGAAGGGCCATGGGAGAAAAGAAAGCGATGGTGAATGCTTCGATTCTAAGTTTGATTCTAGATTCGGCTTGGGCTTCGCTTTGGGATTTGACGCTGGGTTTGCATCCGATTCTGGTGAAGATTGTGATGTATCAGCAGGTGTTAAGACTGGAAAGCAGAACCAAGGTGTGAAGGTTGCTAGAGGTGCCAAAAACTTGAACAATGTGAAAGACATGAAAAATGTAAAAGGCGTAGAAAATTGTGCTATTCGGGAGGAAGGGGAAGAATCAGATGAATATATGGAGAACCGAATAAAAGATAAGATGAAATTTGATAGAGAATCAAAGAGTGGAAGTTGTCAACCATCGACGAATCACAGAAATAGGGAAATATCCAAGCGAATATGCAGCGTGCGGAAGAGTGAGCAGAGCGAGAGTATAAACTGTTTTGAGATGAAAAGAGATACATCATATGAGCAGGAAACCTGTGAATATATGCAAAATGTGAAAGGAAAAAATTTTAAGAATGTAAAGAATATTTTACTATCCCTTGAATTAAGTAATGAAGAAAAAATCGATAAAATTCGAAAGATATTATATTATTCGTCAAGTGAAGAAAAGAAACTTATTATTAACGAGATTCTGAACACATTATATGTGTACCCACAGTTATATGTATCATGTATCATATGTTTATTTTATTTGTTCATTCTTGATAATGAATTATTTGAAAGAAATTTCAATTCAGATGATTTGGTTTATTTATTTAATGAGAAAATAGACTTTCGGTATGCTGAATGGTTTTTAAAAACTTATATTTTTTACAAATTCAAATTTTCTACTGGATCTCATTCCAGTGAGTACTACAAAAATTGCGTTCGAAACGGACCTCTCAATCATGGGAAGCGGGTCCGAGGTGAGGTGCATGATGGGGAACAGACTGATGAGAGTGAAGTTGGTGGAGAGTTGGGGAAGAAGCAGGAAAAAGAATCAAAGGAGAAGCGAGAAAAAGAAACGGAAAAGAGGCAAGAAAAAGAAACGGAAAAGAGGCAAGAAAAAGAAACGGAGAAGAGGCAAGAAAAAGAAACGGAGGAGAAGCGAGAAAAAGAAACGGAGGAGAGCCAAGAAAAAGAAACGGAGAAATCTGAGGCACGAAGAATGAGCCAGGGAGGATGGAGCGACATGAGAAAAACAGATATAGGAGGAGGAAGCATCATAGGAGAAAGGTTTGAAGTGGATATAAAGAACAAAATGTTTGATAACTTTTTCGAGGGTTACAATTCTAGTGTAGATTCAGCCGATAACTATTTCTGTGAAAGAAAGAAACATCTGAAGGATGGTGTAAAGGATGCGAAGATTGTGTGGAAAAATATAGAGAGATTGAAATGTGTTGGATATAAAGAATGTAAGACATTACTAAAAATATGTTTAAAAAATGAAAATGAGAAAAATGTGAATTGTATATGCTCAAGCAAGATACGGAGTTTAGTTATTTCTATATGGTCACATATATATACTTCTAGACCTAAGAAATCTCTGATAAAATTACTTTTTAATTGGATAAATAATAAAAAAGATAATTTAAATAAAAAGAAGAATTTATTTTATTTATTACAAGCAGAAAAAAAAAGGAATCCAAATTTGCAGAAAATTTGTTTTACTTATTTTTTAAAATATATAATTAAATATAAAGATGATTGCTCGAATGACATTATTTACACATTATATTTAATTGAAGAAAAAGAATTAAAAAAATATTCCCAGAATTTTTTCGAAATAAATAAAATTGATGTTAACCAGTTTATTTCTATGTGGAATATTATGTGTGTTTTATTTTGGGACACGAAAAAAATTAATGATTTTACATTTTTGCATAAGAATAAATTTTACTACTATGATTTTATGCTTATTTTTTTAAAAACCTTTTATGAATATATACGTATAAATAAAGGTATCCAAAGGGAACACATGATTCACTTCAATAATAGATCTTTTCACACTGATGTATCTGTTGATGTAGAACCTAATGCTGCTTCAGGTGGAACTCGTACCTCTCATAGGAGAAGTGCTTCTATTTCCAATTGTTCTTCTAATAAGGATGAAACAGTAGAGGACGAAGGGGATGATGGATATTTGAATTTGTTTGACGTGGAAAACATTATTAACAACTTCAACTTTGAAGAATTCGTCAGTAGTGAGATGCGTAACAATAGCTGTTTAGGTACCTTCCTCTCAGGTACCTCAGGAAGGGTAGAAGGTATGTTTGTATGAGCAACATATCTAGTTCAAAATCCGATTCAGGATTAACATATTCAATCGAGTAACCATGATGGTCTCACCTCTTCTCGCTTGTGGCACTTATGAGATATCCACTATTCATATATTGATATTATAGTCTGGATATGAGCTGACCAGAACCAATTCTAAGGACACCACTGGAGTGTTAAACCTCAAACAATAAACTTCACACAGATACACCTGTTCATATAAGCACACTTTTGTAGATATTTTTATTCATCCCTACATTTTTACCAATTCTCTACTCTCCCTTTTTTTGCAGAATCTGTCATGATGGACAAGCTAAGCGAATCAGAGAACCAGCGAGAATTGGAACCTGGTCTCATGCAGAAAATCCAAAAGAACCACGGAACGAAAAACATTCATACGAACGATAGCGTGGAAATAGAAAACTTGCTTCTTCTTGGAATATGTATAAAAATTGTAGTTTGTAGAATTTCAAACCTGTTAAATGCAAAATGCTGTTTAGAACAATTTCATTATTTTTTAAATAATCAAAAACTGGGATTTAAGACATTTAAAAATGTTCATATGGTTCTTGTGTATTTTATTCCATTTTTCAAAAAATATTTTTTCTTGTGGAAATTTATAGAACATGAAATTGATGCAGAAATTATCAAGTTGATTAAGGACATCATGAAAGACTTGGAGATTATTCAAGAAACATCTGGAATGACCTTATCCAATATTTCCAACACAAATTCTGTTCATAATAAACCTAGCTCTATTCATCAGATTAGTCAAATGAATAAAATATTCAATGTAAATCATGAGATGCAACAAAAAAATGAAGAAAATTGGAATTATTCTTTTGAATCTCCCAACTTATGCTATGTAAGAGGGCAATCCAATTTAGAAAGTGAAAAATATGGAAGGTCCAGTCCGCGCAACTTTCAAAACGGAGACGATATTATCTCAATAGGAGAGGGAAAAAAGACAAAAAATTTGGAACATTTTTACCTGAACGGCAAGGTGAATTTTTCTGCAGATGGGAAAAATGCCCCAAAGGAAGAAGCACAGAAGGAAGTATTAACTGATGACATATACTTTGCTACCTCTAGGTTGAGAAAAGAGATGCTAGTAATACAGAATAGTGGGAATAGTGGGAATAGTGGGAATAGCGGGAATAGCGGGAATAACAGTAACCATGATAGAAATACAAATGTTAGACGTTTCAATGGAAATGATAGAAAAGAAACGAACTATGAATTGCATTCCCCAAATAAGAAACAAACAAATGTGGAAAAAAAAAGCCAACAGCATAATGATAACATTATGATGGACATGGTTATATGCAGAAGTGAAGAAGACACAGAAGAGAATTGCGTCACCTATGATGATATGTTCAGGACATATGAAAGTGAAAGTAACTCTGTAGGGAAAGACACAGTGCACAATTACAACGTAAAAGAGTACATAACAAACTTACACTTTAAAAATTCGATGGATGACAATATCATTTCGAGGAAAAATAATAATACCTCTGCAGAGGCACAAGGTGAGAGACAGAAAGGGAAAAATGTCGATAATAATGATGGGGGAGAGGACAACAATGGGGACAGCACCGATGGCAACTACAACAGTGGCAACTACAACAGTGGTGACGATTATCATGTTCACTATGAAGGGACTAACGCGAAGGAAGCAGCAGCATCCATGAAAGAAGCAAAAAGGAAGATGGGTGAAACGAACAGTTTGACATTCCCAAGTAAGTTAGACGATGACCTATTTAATGCGAATTCCACATTCTTTGGAAAATTTTCAATGGATTCTGTACCTCCCCTGAAGAATAGCTCATCAAAAGAAAAACATATATTGAACGAAGCGAATCAGAATTATCACAACAGCAGTAATGTTTGTAAAATGGTTGTGGCACAGGATGGTATGGTAAATGAAAATAAAGGAATAGGAAGTAGAGGAGTAGGAGTAGTAAACGTGACAGGAATATCATCGGACCCTTTTAGTAATAAAAATGATATGGTTAATAAATTTTTATCAGTTAGTTTGACAAGAGAGGAAAATGGTGAAAAGGAGGAGGGGGTGATAGGAAGAATGGGAAGAAACGGATCCATTAATATAATGAGTTTTAATAGTGTTACTTCAAAAAGAGAAAAAGAAAAGAAGGAATTGCAAAAAAGTAGCAATAGTACAATCAATCGAAATGATGAAGATGATGATCCAAGTGGTATTTCCAGAGAAGGAGAAAAGGGTAAGAATGTTACTAATGTACAAGTAAAGGAATTTCCATTTGATAATGCAGTACGAGGAAGTAAGAATTCTCCCAGCAGTGGAATTATGAAAACAATATGTATAAAAAAAAATCACATGAATGAAAATTATCAAGAAGTTGATTTTACAACAGATATTTTGGATGAAGAAAAAAAAAAAAAAAAAAAAAATTCTGAAAAAAATAAATTAAAAAAGAGGGGGGGAACTGGGGCAGGAGTAGGAGGAGCAGCACCTAAATATCTGATGCTCAAAATTGACATGTGTGAATTAAAAAAAATGACGAAAAGTAAATTAAAACATCCACCAGTTGGTTTAGTTAACTTAGGGAATACATGCTATTTGAACAGCTTTCTCCAAGCATTATACAGCACTGTTTCTTTCGTTGTGAATTTGTATCTCTTTAAGGTTCGAAATGACACGAAGGAATTGACCACATCAAACCCTTTCATGGAGGAGAAGGATAAGAACTGTTTGCAAAATGGAATCAACAGAATTCAAAATCAAAATGAGATATTCATTCAAAACAGGATGAATAATACACTTAGCCGTTTGAACAGCTGCAATATTATTACAACTAATGAAAATGAAAATGAAAATTTCATTCAGGAATTAAAAAAATTTTTCATTACAATGACCACGACCACCAAGCCGTACATATCCCCAGATTGTATCTTAGGGCTACTTCCTCATGAACTGAACAATAGAAATCAGCAAGATGTGACAGAACTTTTAAGATATATATTTGATAAGTTAGGTGGTTCTGGTAAAGAATTTCTACGACTCATATTTTCAGGTGTTCTTGTTCAGAAAATTCAATGTCAAAAATGTTTTCTTATATCAAAAAGGGAAGAAGTAATACATGACTTATCATTTCCCGTTCCGTTGAAAACTTCAGAACGTTTATCAATTCAAAAATTTTTTGACACATTTGTGCAGAAGGAGAAAATTCATGGATCCAACAAGTACCGCTGCTCCAAGTGCAACAAAAAGAGGAACGCTCTTAAATGGAATGAAATTATTTCACCTCCTTGCCACCTCATTTTGATTCTGAATAGGTGAGATATGGGAAGGGAGAGAGTAGTACTACTAAGTAGTAGCAGTAGTAGTAGTATCATTAATAGTAGTAGGAGAGTACCCCTACTACATACCAGTTAAACAAAGTACCTACTAGTTATTGATTAAAAAATTCAGTTAGCACACTTTTCTCGTGATCCGCACACACATCCCACTGTGAATTCTCTCCCACAGATTCTTAGTACATTTTGCTACTCTGTCTTAACGACATTTTATTTTATTTCATTTTTTTTTTAAAAAATTTTTTTTTTTTTTTTTTTTTTTACTTCATTTCATTTCATTCCATTTTGTGCAGAATCCCTTGTGGCACAATCACTCTTATAATACACGTTTCGCTTTTTCTTATGCATCTGCCTTCCACCCTTGCAGGTATAACTGGTCGTTCAGTTCAAATGATAAGAAGAAAATCAAGACACATGTAAAAGTAAATTCAAAAATAGTTGTAAACAATTTTGACTATAAATTGTATGGTGGAATTATCCATGGGGGTACATCAGCTTCATCAGGTCATTATTACTTTATTGGAAAAAAATCTGAATGTCATTCTCAGGATGATCGAACTAACCGATGGTATAAGATGGACGATTCTGTTGTTACCAAAATCAGTTCTAAATCCATAAACAGAATATCGAAGGATACTTCAAATGACCACACACCTTACGTTCTCTTTTACCGTTGCAAACAGGCCCCTCCTTCTCCTGCCTTGCACTTCTAGGGAGACTTCATCTGCACTACTCGGCCCTTGTACATATTCTTCTTTTCTCCAACTGTTTCTTCCTCGTCGAAGGGAGTACTAGCATATCAGCAAAAAACAAAAGAACATACATATGTTTTTTTTTTTTTTTTTTTTTTTTTTTGCACGCATGTAAAAGTGGTAAATATATAAGCATACATGGGCTGTGTGTGGGGTTGTATTATCACATGCCTTATGAATTCTTCACACAGCATGTGTTGTGTATGTGTATATGTCTGTAGCTTCAATCACACTAATCGAACGTGTCATCTGTAGTATAGCTTGTAACACTGGTTCCCCTTGATTTTATATATTTTTACATTTTTTTATATATTTTTTTTTTTATTTTTAATTCCACGAGTAAGTCCGTGCATACACGTGGGTACCATTGCTTCAAAGCATGGGCATGCCTTGCGAAACAGACTTGGCAGAATCTCCACCTTTTGTAAAGTACTTGATGTATTCATTCGTTTTATTTATTTATCTATCGTTGATCCATACATCCATCTATTCAATCGCTTATTAATTCATTCATTTTTTTTTTTTTTTTTTTTTTTGTTATGATATGATTTGAGTCCCCTCACCCCCTGAGCTGTGTGGCATGCCATATTTTGTACCCATATTTTTACGTCACCTTTTTTTAATTTAATTTTTTCTTTTTTTTTTTTTTTTTTTTTTTTTTTTTGCTTCTCACTCAATGCAACTTCACAAGGGCTTGTCAACTTTTTTTGAGAGCTTCTCGTTGGCCGATAATAAGAACAACTTCGATAAATCTTATTTTTATGAAAAATATGAATCTACTAAAGGAGCAAAGGCGCATGGCTGTGAAAAGTGTCATGAAGCCAAAATGTTAGAAACGTTAGAAATGTTAGAAAAGTTAGAAATATTAGAAATGTTAGAAATGTAACACTCAAAAATTTATACAGCAGAACAGTTTAAGTGTAATCCATTATCCCCAACAAGTGTTACACATCCACGTGTGTGTCCATAAGTATAGGTTTTTTTTTTTTTTTTTTTTTTACCTGTTCTCTCCTTACCACAATAGAATAAGAACATATGGGAAACATTTTTACTTTCTCTTTCCTTCCTATGTTATGCTTACTTTTTTAAATGGAAAAATTAAAAAATTATTTCACTAGTTACAAAATAGCATAAACTATTATTCTGTATACAAAGAGTAGAATGATAAAAGGAATTTTCAGTTTCGTCTTTAAAAGATTCGGAAGAGGTAGTATAAAAAAAAAAAAAAAAAAAAAAAATTTCCATGAAATGGCTAGTCGAAGGAGAAAAAAAAAAAAAAAAAAAAAAAAATTTGTACGTATTTTCCTAAATCCTGGTATTCTTAAACATGCGTCTGTAATATGCAAATTTTTTACCATCTCATCGGAATGGTCAAAATTATGAGAAGAACCCGCATCTCTGTCGAATATTATTTGTTGAGTATATTGATTATTCTATTCATTGTTGTACCATCAAAATGGAAAGTGTATGGAGTGAGGAAAAATCAGTTGAATGCATTTGAATTAATTTCTGAAAAGCAACCAAGGCTAATTCTCAAGGGTCCAAACATTTACATTAACAATTTTTCTCTGCATAGTAAGCGAAAAATTAAAGAAAGAAAAAATGGAAAAGGTGCAAAAAGTGTGGGAACGAGAAAAAAGAGGAAACAACGAAGAAAACCAAATGAAGTGTATTCTCAAAATTTTCATTTTCTTAATTCTAACATAAGGTGGAATTCTAGAGGAAAGGTCCAAAACAATGGAATGGGGAAGAAGTATGTCACGGAATGTAGTTTCAAGAAAAATCGACTATGTCAAACAGAGTTATGGCATGAAAAAAAGGACTATAGCGGGACCACAGGGCGGAGAGAATCTTCTCTGTGTGGATCTTCAACCGGGTGTGGATCTCCAACAGGGTGTGGATCTTCAACCGGATGTGGATCTTCAACCGGATGTGGATCTCCAACCGGATACACTACTACTCCCACTGAAAATTTTCAAGAGATGCAGAGAACAGGGGAGGAATCTTTACCTGAAGGTATAGAGAAAATCTTATATCTTGTTAGCCCTAGAGGATTTTGTAAGGGTGTGAGCAGAGCCATCGAAACGGTGGAAGAATGTTTGAGTATGTTTAAACCACCAATATATGTAAAGCACAAAATTGTTCATAATGACATTGTGTGTAAAGAATTGGAGAATAAAGGTGCGATTTTTATCGAAGATTTGGATCAAGTACCAGATGGGAGTATATTAATTTATTCAGCCCATGGTATAAGTCCACAAATTCGAGAAATTGCAAAAAAGAAAAACTTAATTGAAATTGATGCAACATGTCCCCTAGTCAGTAAAGTGCACGTATATGTTAATATGAAAGCAAAAGAAGGTTATAAAATTATATTAATTGGTTATAAGGATCATGTAGAAGTAGTTGGTACATTTAATGAAGCACCTAACTGTACATACATAGTTGAAAATATAAATGATGTTCATAAATTATCATTTTCTGAAAATGATAAATTATTTTATGTAACTCAAACAACATTAAGTATGGATGATTGTTCATTAATCGTGAAGGAATTAAAAAATAAATATCCACATATTCAAACCATACCTAGTGGTTCTATATGCTATGCAACAACTAATAGACAAAAAGCACTCAATCAAATTTGTGAAAAATGTGATTTGACAATTGTTATTGGTAGCCAGTCATCATCAAATGCCAAAAAATTAGTCTATTCTTCTCAGATAAGGAACACTCCAGCTATATTGGTTAACACTATAAATGATTTTGATTTCTCCATCCTACACAATGTTAAAAAAATAGTTTTAACTTCCGCTGCATCTACCCCTGAACAATTGACACAGAAGTTTGTCCATGTACTCACGAACTATCCATTCTTTTATAAATTACACATTTGGGATTCTATTCAGGAAATTGTACCCAAGTGGAAATTACCAAAAAATTTGTTATCACTCATTGAAGATAGGAAACGTCAGACCCAAGAAGGAGGAAGATCGCTAGAAGAATAGCTGTTTAACTATGTAGCTTGTGTAGCGGTATGCCACACATCGATACTTAAAACTCCGTGGGGCCATGAATGCATATCTGTGTGTATCTTTCTGCATCCAACTATTTTTTCATTCCAAATGAACACGTAAAAAGAGGTGAAGTTGACATGCATGAGGGGTTGCAGAAATTGACCACGCTCCCATGCATGCATACAAACATGCAAACGCAAACGCAAACGCAAACGCATATGTGTATGTATCCGCATTGATTCGGAGCAGCTAAATAAACGTTAGATGTTCCTTTTACATTCTTTCTTCCTCACCCCTCTAATACACATCATTCAGCGGATATATCGGTGTACATGTCTCTTCACACATGTGGAAAACATACATGAAGGAAAAAAAAAAAAAAAAAAAAAAAAAAGGACAAGCAAATTAATAATTGACCTTCTCATCTGAGTTCTGCCTATTATATTTTGGTATATATTAAAATTATGTTGCGTTTTTTTTTTTTTTTTTTTTTTTTTTTTTTTTTGTAAAAATACGAAACTGGAAAAAAAAATATAATAAAAAAATAATAAGAAAGAGAGAAAAAAAAAAAAAAAATTACTTTAACATTTCCATGTGAAAGGGACTTCTATGGGGTTAGACTAAACCACTGCTATGAGATTACTGGGCTGAATCAGGAGTGCACATCAGGGGTGGGTAGGTGGCAGAATTGGCATGGGCCTACTTTTATGCATGCGATGCGAGCGAAAAGCGGTGCATGCACCCCGAGATTGGGTATTTCCCCGACTGACATACATTTGGGAGAGGTATAAAATGGAATCCATTATTTTTTTCCACATATATATGTTCCTATTTGTTTGCTCTATGGTTTTCCCAGCTGTTCGCTCATTTGTTTGCTTCTTCATTTGTACGCCTTTATTTAGTCACACATTTTAGAAACTTTTTCGGGCATCGCTGCTCTACTTTTGGCTTATTTGCCTGACTGGCATCTATGGGTTCCTAAAATTTAGTTATCAATGATGGACACGTGGTGTCTCCAGTATTTGACAGACTCTAAGTACTTGTCACGATTTAAGTTAATTCCACTTCCACCCTCACTGATAAGTGTGTTCCTCAACATGGTAATAGGTGTCATAGGTAATTCATAATCTTCATTTTGTGGCTTTATGCAAATGATAGAATATAAGCAATCTGATCTCTTATTGGGTATAGTTTTTGTTTCTTTATTTTCTCTTTCTATTTGTTCTCTGGAATATAATATTAAGTCTAAATATTTGGCCTTAAGTAAATCTTTTACATCTTTTTTGGATATCCATCTGATTAGAACAGGTAATTCATTATCTCTCCTGGATATATAATCTGTTTTTATTAAATCTCTATTTTTGTTGTTAATTTCTACTGTTTCAACTGTGGCATCTGTAAAATTTTCAACAAAAATATGTTTACAAAATTCAGCATATCCTGGTACTACTTTTATTTTCTTCTGCTTAATTAGTTCATTAACTTTAAGTATAAAATCATTTTTGTCATATGGAATGTATGAACATGATTTTTTCGTCCTATCAAATTGTTTATAGCAGAATTCATCTAAATCTACCTTACAGAAATTCATTTTTTCTTTTTTTAAGGTTTTGTTTACTTTTCCCTTCTCTTTAAACGAATACATGCTATTTTTTAAATGTAGAAAAAGTAAGTTTTTCCTTGTTCCACCGAGCTGGAAAAGTCTTTCGTTCATGTAGTTCTTGCTTCGTTCGCACAGTGCTACTCTCTCACCACGGCTCGTCAAGGGGTAACTTGTCAGCAGTAGTAGAAGCGGCAGGATCAGCAGCAATGTCAAATGCATTCATATGGGAATTCACACGGGCATTCACACGGGCATTCACACGGGCATTCATAAATGCAAAAGATGTCCAGCTGCTTCAGGTGTTCCAAATGTGATACTATCCAAGATGTTTGTATAACCTACTTAAGAACCCTGCTGTCGCAGCATTCAACAATCGCTCAACTGGTACGTACATATAAGTAAATATATATACATATATTTACATATATATATATATACTTGTGCATACATGTGTTGTACACATTATACGACCGTAATTGTGTTAACGGGAACTTGCATGGAAAACTCTGTGGGGAAGAAAAAAAAAAAAAAAAAAAATAGTGGGAAAATACGTCCCCCTTTCACCCACAACATTTCTCATTTTTTTGCCAATTTAAATTACATAATAGATTGATAAAATATGTAAGGAACACAAAAATGCGTTCCTTTTTTTTTTTTTTTTTTTTCTCTCATTGGTTTTTGTATCCTTTATAGCAGGAAAAAAAAAAAAAAAAAAAAAAGCACTTCACTCCACGCATTGGTTAAAAACATGGCTTTTTTTTTTAAGTAATATATATTTTGCATATGTTATATATACTCATAGCCTATGAGGTGTGAAATCGATATACCTAGTGCTAACAGGCGTGAGGTGAGGACGATAATTAGTAGCCTTCTCCCAGTTCTGCAAAGTACGTGTATATAATACACATAGTTTGCACGTATACACACTGTTCATATATTTGCAACTATACATTTGAAGAATGTTTGCAATCGCTTATCCTGAAAGTCTTGGTATCGTAGGTGTATACTTTTATTTTTCCCAGACCGTACCTATTCTTCCCTCGACCACCCACCAGCAGGAGCAGCATAAGCAACAGCAGCAACAGCAACAGAACCGCCCCCGCTTCCCAAACTATGAAACACTTGACCGCTCTTGTTAATGTTGCTAAACATTCGAAACCATATCACCACTATCCAAGGGAGGAAAAAATAAAATACAAGTTAATTGCGAGGAAATGGCTTTACCACCTGAGGGTGAACAAATCAAATATATCAAAATATGTGCAAAAATACTCACATCTTAAGTACAGTTCTATAGGTGTAACTGTTAGAAGTGTTTCTCATTCTGATCCAACAAAGAGAAAAAATAAAAAGTTGGAATCAACAACATATGAGACTACATTTTCTATAAAAAGTAACATCATAAATCTTATAAATGGTGTTAAATCAATGAACGACCAAAATGGGAAAATAAATTACAAAGTCGTGAAACAGCTAGCGGACACAATTCTCGCTATGAGAAATGTTGTTGATGGTGGTCTCACCAGATTGAAGAAAAAATACGTAATCGGTTTCATTTGGACATTGGCCAAAATTATAAACCATATAGAAAAAAACAAAATAATGAATGAACAAATTGTACTAAATTGGAAATGCATTTTTATTTATTTTGCATACATGTGTATACATCAACATGTCCCTTTGGTAGAAACAGAAGGAAAAGACATCGACACACGACAATATGTTTTTTCATTTCTTTCTGTCCATTTAAGTGAAGAACATTTGGAAAAAATATCTAAATCCATGTTTTGTGATGAAAAGGGATTCGTAAGTTACTTGCTTAACTGGTGGAAGAAGAAGCATGGAAGTGAGGGAAGTCTTCTACCCACTCTACGTAGGGTGGATGGAAGTACCTCAAGTGGTGCAAATTTTCAAAAGACAAAAAAAAATCCATATCCGAAGAATGATATTTCCATTCCTCATCCGCATAGGACGTCCATGTCGAATGACCTGTTAAAAATATTCAACAAAAACACATTTAGTGAAATGCTGAAATCAGTGAAGAATCACGTACTTGAAAAATTGAAACAGGAAAATCTTGACATAAAGACGTTGATAAATTTTTTAGAAATGGTTAACAAAAATGGAAGTGATAGATTTAAAAAAACAGCGAATGATATATTATTAAGTAAGCTAAAGTACAGCGAAAATTACATTTCCAATTTCTCAATTTTTGAGTTATGTCGATTTGTAAATATAATGGTTAATCATGGGATACAAAACATTTACACTGAAGATGTAATTCTACCATTAATTATCAACATATTGCTTCATAAACAAGTGTATATAGATAATGGAAAAGTTCACGTGTTTAATAATATCCTTCCAAATTGTTATGATTTTACACAAAATGATAACTGCTGCGTTGCACACTCTTTAATGAAAGTGGAAAATATAAAAAAGTGCAACACTTGGTTATTTGAAGCAAACACAAGAGATATATCTTCCCTCATAAGAGACTTTTCAAGAATGTCAATTCAGAATAGACAATTGTATAGAACTCTAATTATGTGCTTTTTTTTTTTTTTTTTCAAAATGGATTATAAACATATGATCTCGTTAAATAACAAATATAACAAATGCAAAGATGGCCATGAGAATCTTCTTGAGTCTGAAAAAAAAATTTACGACTATTCAAGCGTGTATAAACATTTGAAGTACATTCAAAAGGGGAGAAGTGAAACAAAGTGTGAAAATAATTTCAATAGACTATGCGAAGATCCCTTTTTTGATTCATCCAAAATTGGTGAAAAAATAGAACAAGTGGATATGCCTCTCATTTTTGAGCATCCGCTTAATGACATTCCTCATTCTGGAGAAAAAATCGAAAGCGTAAGTGGAGGTGGAACCCAAGTTGAAAAAGAAAATGGAATCTCGACAGATACAGGAAAAGACAGGAATGGCAATAGCAGAAGTGACAATAGCAGAAGTGACAATAGCAGAAGTGGCAGCACCAGCAATAGTAATGTACCCAAACTGGAGAAACAAAAAAAGCACGATAAACACATGGAAAAAGGTGTAAACATAGAAAATATGTTAGATGCAAGAAACTGTGTGGATATTTTGGTTGGTTTATCCAATGTGAATTATTACTACGATCCATATATTCAATTTTTTATCCAAAATCTTGTGCATAAAAAGGGACATATATTTTTTAATTTGAAAAATATAACTAATGTTGTACTAACCCTGAGGAGTTTGCTAACATTATGTTATGACAATATGCCCATCTTAGAACTTTTTTTTAATTTCCTATCTCTCAATTTAAAGCATGTTCAATTGAAGCAACTTATCATGATTTATTACTCAACATATTTCCACATTCTCAGAAGGTACAACATGAACAATGTAAAATACTACCCCAATGGGAATAGGCTCTTTTGTGCCATGTCATTGGGGCTTAAGAGAAATGCACACGGTTTGGAGAACATTCATGGAAGAGAAGTTGGTTCGGGTTCCAATTCGGGTTCCAATTCGGGTTCCAATTCGGGTGCCAATTCGGGTGCCAATTCGGGTTCCCATTCGGGTGCCAATTCGGGTGCCAATTCGGGTTCCAATTCGGGTGCCAATTCGGGTTCCCATTCGAGTATTGGTTCACAGGTTTTGGCAGATGCTTGGCCGAGACCCCTCTGTGCAATACAACCCCCTAGGGACGTGAGTCATAAGCGGGAACCAGACAGATGGAGAAGCATCAAGACATGTAAAAGCTCCATACATGAAGAACTCGAATCAGCAAAGAGGGACCTATTCAAATATATGCATAAATTAGAAGATGCAATATTATGCAGAAAGAACGAAATAGAGTCCATGCAAGGTTTGGTGAATTTTTTTTATGCCATGACAAACACGACAAATACTTTATCAATTGAAAAGTATCAATTTTTTTACAAATCATTTTGGAGTATATTAAAAAGAGAAGGAAAAGACAAGATAAAAATGGAAACTATTGTTCAAATTTTTTTGTTACATTATAAAAACAGTGTAGTACATAAAACATTACTTTTGTCGTACTTAATTCCTGTTTTACAGACTTACCCACATGTAGATATACATAGTTTATATCTAATCACTTTTATATGTTTCCATTTTAACTTAATAAACAAGTCCTTCTTGAATTTTTCATTGCATATACTTCTATATGAAGCTGCCGAAGGAGAATTGCGAACACATATTCCTCTCACAGAATTGAAAATACGTCACTATTGCATAAAGGAAGAAGGAGAAAAAAAAAAGGAGAAAAATAAATATTATAGCATGAGTGATTATATGGAGAGAACCAATTTGGGGGATTTTTCTTGGGACGAATTAATGGAAAAACAAAATTTGGTTAATGGAAGGCAAAAAATGGAACCAAACAGAAACGAAACAATCGATATTAACTACTTGCATAATAATGAACAACGAGATGTACAATACAAGATCATCAAGTGTGCGTGGTCCCTACTTTTAAGTAATGCGTTCTTGGAAAGCTCATTAAGGACCTTTTTCAAAATGTGCATTTTGTTAAAAAGAGTATTTTATAAAAAAAATATTTTGAAAGAGGACGATTACAATATGGTATATCAAATATTGGTATGTTTAAATATGTATTACAAGAAAAATAAAATAATTTTTTTAAAAAAAATGGGAAATTTTAACATTCCCATTACATTTTATATACCTTACTACATAGTTAAAGAAACCGTGAGAAGGAACATAATTTTTTTGTCACATCAAAAAGTAAACATGTCCAGTTTTCAGTACAAAATTTCTGACTATTTTAATAAAAAAAAAATTATGTACAAGTCAGAACATTCTTTGAAACGTGGCATCGTAGTCGATTTTTTGATCCAAAAAAAAAAAAAAGGGGGGGGGGAATCCTACCTTGTCTTAGAGATTGATGGGATATATCATTACAACCTCTCTAATGATGATAGAAATTATGAGATTCAACATAATGGTATGTACTTAGCTATAAACGGAAGAACACAGTTTCGCAACAATATTCTACGAATTCTATACAATTTGGAGTTTGTGTGCGTCCCATGGTTTTTCTTTTTGCAACCCAGATCGTTCAAACGGTTGGGCATGATACTATCTGGGGTAAAAGATTAAAAATAAATACGTACAGTGGTAAAGGACATATATGAGAATTCATGATTTGTAAAAAAGGCGATATAAATAGGTTATTTTTCTAAAGCAGTAATGAAGCCTTGATAGAACAACACATACACTTTTATCAAATGAAAATTATTTTTGTCTAACCAATTCGTATTTTTTTTTTTTTTTTTTTTTTTTTTTTCATCTTTCCCACCTTACGTTTCATTTCATCGTTCATTGACTACACCGCTGAGGAATGAACATTTCCGTATGAATACACACATCTTACATGTCACAAATTTTTATTTCTTTGCATTGTTCAAGATGCGCATGCTCGAAAATGCTGTATTGTATTTTTTTTATATGTCCCGTTTGTGTTCCCTATGTGTCGCGCTTCTGCTTTTTTTTTTTTTTTTGTTTTTTTGTGCACAGACAGACCATTAAAAATGTGGGTCTTAACGTGGAACTCCATTTTTGAGTTAAAATGCCTGTGGTGTACGTCCCACAATTATAAAATGAAAAATTGTCCCATTATAGGATCTTCAATTTGTTCCACCTAGTTAGCTATTAAATTAGCATTCTGAGCATGCATAATTTTTTTTTTTTTTTTTTTTTATGTGATATCCACAGTGGAGGAAAAAAAAAAAAAAAAAAAAGAAAAAAGCACCTTTTTACCTGAACAAGTCAGAAAAGTACACTATTTTTTTTTTTTTTTTTTTTTTTCCTCCACTGTGGATATACATACTGATGTGCACAAAAAAAGCATAAGCATGTGTGTGTTCTTTTTTGCCTAATAATTTTTTGGTGCATTCAGAAAATAGAGAGGTGGAACCTTAGAGGGGATTTGGGGTATCTCGTCGAGGAGCGCTACATAGTGGTCTCCAAAAAAGACGTACACAAAAAGGGAACGTAAAGTAGACCAAAAAGTGGTCCGCAAGGTCATCCGCAAAGTCGAACTTAAGATGGACGAGTCCGAAAGGGAAGAGAAAAGGAACATGCTGGGGTTGGGAAAACTGGTACCGAAGGGGGTAGATATTGCTAAATTTTCCTTGAGGAAAAAATATGCACTGTTCATGCTATTTTGCGTGTACATAATAACGTGCGTGGGTATATTTTTTAATTGGATATCTTTGTCAGATTTTTTTTATCACGGAAATGTATACATAGACGATTGCAAAAATGTGAATTTAGAAGAGATATTATATGAGGAAGGAAAATCCTACAGTTGTGCAGAACAAGACAAAAGGGTACAAGCATTATACCCAATTATCCTATGTTCAAATTTCATCATGTCAGCTATATCAGGTGTCTCTTTTGATTATTTCGGTCCCAAAATTACAGCTTTAATTGGTCATACATTTAACATAATTTCTTGGGTTTTAATTGGACTACAAAAAGACGGGACAAATAATACCATAATTTGGGGTGCAATATTTTTAGGCTTATCTGGTGACTCATCTTATATACCTATCCTTAGTTTAATATATCTATTTGAAAAAAATCATACCATGTATACCGTTATTTTCGGTTGTTGTGCTTCTCTAAGTTTCAGTATCCCAATATTTTTGGATATTTTCACCAAAAAAAATGATACAAAGTCTTTTCAGTTAACATGCATGTCATATTGCACTATCATATTAATTCCCTTTTTTTTTGTCTTACTAATATTTTTGCCCTTTAACCATATCAGTAGTGATAAATCAACTCCGGTTGAATTCGAGTCGAGCAACCAGACGTTGCAAGAGCTAAAGGGGTACATTGTTTCGGGTGCAGAAAGTCATGACTCGGACGAGACGCACCTGGGAAGGCCAATTGGAGAGTCAATCGATGAGCCAGTTGGAGAGGCAATCGATGAGCCAATTGGAGAGTTAATCGATGAGCCAGTTGGAGAGTTAATTGATGAGCCAGTTGGAGAGGCCATCAACGAGCCAACGATAGAAAGGAAAGGTGAAAATGATCCATTGAGGTATTACACAAATGAGGTTAATGAGCTGAATTTGCAAAGCGAAGGGAATAGTAAAAAAAAAAAGGATTTTGAGAATATAGTACCTTTTCCTCTATGTAGAGAGGAGGCAGATACATCAGAAAAGGATAGTAATACATTGAGAGAGTTGATGATCGAACGTGATTTCAGCTCATCATCCTTTAGCATATCCCCAGCAAATGGGTGTGTTTTGCGAAAGGTGTGCAGCCAACACACGTGCAGTAATTTACCACCACGGGATAAGGGGTGGGGAGTAAGTTTATTTTCAAAAAAGGGAATTTTTTCATTGGATTCTGAAGATTATGCAAGAAGTTCATCTGTTAGAGGAGGAGGAGGAGAAGCAAGAGCTGGAGCAGCAGCAGTAACAGCAGCAGGGAGGAGAGGAACTCCAACTGAACGTGGATCTCTAAAGATTAATACGTTTGAACAAGATGATGATATCATTAATTTAGACCTTTTCTCTAAAGAAAAGAAGAAACACGTTTTCTATAATGAGACGATTGAAACATTTTTTTCCATCAAATATCTTAGTATCTGTTACTATTTCACGATATACAATTTATCTCTAGTGAACTACAACGAATGCGCAAAATTATTTTTTCAAGATTATACAGATGTTCAGAATGTTTTGAAAATATTCGGACCTTTATCTGTGATATCATGTGGATTATTTGGTTTCCTAATTCATAAATTTCACATACTTGTGATGATATTTATCTTACTAACAAGTAGCTTGTTCATGTATATATTTGCAGTATTGAAAAGTAAAATATTTGCTTATTTAAGCACTGTTTGTTATTTAATAGTTACAGGATGTTATACAACTCAGTTATACTGTTATATCCAAATTATGTTTCCAAAACATCATTTTGGAAAAATTGCAGGTACCACTAGCATGATTAGTGGTTTGCTATCTCTTCTCAATATACCCATTTATAATTATTTCATTGTCGATTATAACCGGAATGATCCACATCCATTTGCTTACGTTGTTATAGCTCTCTTGGTGTCTGCATTTCCATTGCTCTTTCTCACGTACATGCGAGAAAAAAAAGGAAATGTATAAATCAATCTGCATTTACAATTCTCTTTGGATTCCTCTAGGAGTGCATGTGTGTCGACAGCGCCACATTAGTTTCACCATTTTGTCATTCGTTCATTTTGCATTCGATCATTTTTCACTCGTTCATTCGTATATTTATCTATTAGTTTTTTTTTTATTTTTTTTTTATTTTTTTTTTTTATTTTTTTTATTTATTTATTTTTTTTTTTTTATTTTATTTTTTTTTTTTTTTATCTTATTTTTTTTTTTTTTTTATTTTATTTTATTTTTTTCCTTTTCCACTTGAAAGTTATTTTAACGCATCCTTGTGGAATGTGCGGTAAGCGCTTGTCTCGAATGAGAGAATGTTGTGCTTTCGAATTATTGTAGTGTAAATATGACCATAAAAATAAGTGTGTAAATATATTTACACATATGTGTGTACGCGTGTACTTTTGAGAGGCACGAGAACCTTTTGGGCTCAGGTGACTCAAGTGTGTAGGCCGTGGGATTGGATTCACATTAAAAAAAAAAAAAAAAAAAATGTTACAATGAAAAGTGGCTTAGGCAGAGGTGAATATCAAAATGGAGAAAATAGAAAAATAAAATTCTCACATAGGCTGTACAATACGTGATGCAAGCAAGTCGAAAAAAATGAACTCTCATAAACTGTTTGAAGCCACGTAAACCACAGAACACATTTATAATTTTTAAAACCTACAGGAAATAAAAAAAAAAAAAAAAAAAAAAAAAAAAAAAAGAACAAATGTCAGAAGTTTAACAAACCAGCTTTGAAAATTCATTTTAACACAATATATTGTAATACATTCCAATTCATCCCAATTCATCCCAATTCAGCCCAATTCAGCCCAATTCATCCCAATTCAGCCCAATTCAGCCCAATTCAGCCCAATTCAGCCCAATTTAATCCAATCCATTTCAATTCAATTTTTTTTTTTTTTTTTTTTTTTTTTTTCCCAATGTTGTTACAAGCTATTCATTATTATTACTCCTTTTTTGATTCACAATATAACATACCCACTCTTTTCGTTGCACAGTTTTAATCTCTTTTTCGAAATTGCCCTGTGTGGCTAAATGTTAACTGAGAAAACACATACTTTACATATAGAAATTGAGCCATATCTATAATAACGTAAAATTAAAAAAAATCACTAGCACAGTGATAGAAACGTGAGTTTTTTAATATAGTGACAAAAGAAGAGAAGGTTGTATGGGATAGAGGGTTAACACAGAACCAAGTGAAAAAAAAAAAAAAAAAAAAAAAAAAAAAAAAAAAAAAAAAAAAAAAAAAAAAAAAAAAAACAGTATGAATAATAGTTGGGGGATTAATTTCTTCTCCTTCTTGAAACGGTTTTGGTTGAAGACGGACCCGAATTTACCTGGAGCGAAACAAAAAACTCCATTTAATATAAGCAGATTGGCACTTCTAGTAATATGTGTAATATATACAGCATCGTCAGCAAGCATCTATTTCGATTGGAGTGCAATTAGAAAATTGCTATTAAATGTGGGAAAATATAAACATCTGAATATAGAGGATTATGCAGACATAACATTATCACCTCAGTACAAGCGAATAAATAGTTTATATCCACTAACATTAGCTATACATTTTACCACATCTGTTTTTTGTGGGTTCTTATATGATCATCTTGGTCCCAAATTTACAGCTATGATAGGACAGATATGTAATATAATAGCTTGGATCTTTTTCTCAATCGATTCAACAACAGTAGACACAACCCTTATAGGTTTTGTATTCCTTGGATTAGGAGCAGATACAGCTTTTATCCCAGTTTTAACTATTTCAAATTTATATCCAGATGCATCAACATTTATACTTACCATTGTAGGAGCAGCAGCATCTTTAAGTTATGCTGTACCAGCAACATTGAATCTAATTTGTGAGAAATATTCAAATACACCATTTTCCTACATTTGCTATGGATACATTTTAATAATATTAGTTCCTTGCTTACTAACTGCTATTTTTTTATTACCTTTAAAACCGTTTAAGGGATTAGATTATTACATGAATAGAGAAAAAGGGAAGACATTGGATCAAATGGAAAAAAGTAGTCGAGAAGATTGTAATAATGATATGAAAAATTCTAAATTGCAAATGAGTCGAATGAATCATGAAGGGGACATTGATTCTGAAAATGTTCATGCTCATGTATATGTTGAGATGCAAAGAATAAATAATTTGAAATCAGATTCTAAGGGAAAAAATGGAAAAAAAGGTAATAATTCATCAACCCGGGGAAACACGCCTGATCCTAATATTTCCGACCAAGGAAGTAAAAATAAAAAGAGTTCTTTCGCTAGTAGTGGTAATAATAACTGTTATAATAAGAAGAATGTTATAAATGTTCAGAATAATGCAGATGTGGATAGTGACCAGGTGACACTTGCGTCTAAAGAATTAATAGAAGAAGATTTTGTTTTTCATAAAAATAGTATAACTTTGTTTTTTAAAATCTTAGTTAGCTATCCAAGTATTTGTGTTATCACATATTTTATCTTGTTCAATATATCTACAGTATTTTATGGTATGGTTACAGACACTTATTTTAGTTATGATAGATCTATCATTAATATAATTAACATTATGATGCCAATTTCATGTATCCCATGTATCATATTTGGAAGATTCATAAACAAATATGGAGCTGCAATTATAATTATTCTTATGAATGCTGTTTCAGCACTTATGCATCTAACAGCACTAATTAAACATAGAACAGCTGGACTCATTTCAGCTTTTCTTTATATGTGTGTAACCAGTATATACACAAGTCAGATTTATTGCTTCATTCAGAACGCTTTCCCATCTTCTGTTTTTGGAAAGTTACTTGGTTTCGCTAGCTTATGTGGTGGTCTTTTTTCGCTTCTGTGCGAAAAACTTTATGACAATATTATCAGCAAAGATGGTACATCTATAGATCCCACGAATGTCGTTTTACTTATTGTAATTTGTTTCATCCTTATGTTTCTCCCACTCTCTATTTTGTATTTTAGAAAATATGAACGGTCAATTGAGGGCATTAAACACGATGAGCTTGTGTCACAAAATTGATGCAATCCATTTGGGTGTTTTTGTTCCCCAAACCATCACCACGCCCTTCCTATACATGTTCAGTTGCAAAGTTTCCTGTTCATTTTCCTATGTTTTTGTTTTTATATATTATGTGTCTATATTTTTGTTTGTTGTTATTCAGTATAGACGCACACAAACAAATGTGTGTATATATGTATCCATGAAAATATATGCATAAATATTTGTTCCTATGTTTTTATATGAACGGGAGAAAAAAAACACATCTTATGTATATACAACTTTTATATAAACTTCTGTATTATGTTGTATATATTTAACACTTAATTTTTTTTTTTTTTTTTTTTTGGTATTTACCTATATGCCACACAAGAGTGCAATGTTTTAACATTTCACATTTCATTAGAGGGGAAATTCATTCATGGGCTATGCTACCCATATTTAGAGGTCTTTTCCTCACCCCATCTTTAACACAACGTGTCGATTTTAATTTTAGAATTTTATTTTTTTCTCCTAAAATTCTCTACATTTTGAATCTTTTGCTTCGTTGTTGTGTTATTTTATTTATTATTTTTTTTTTTTTTTTTTATTTTTGTAAAATTTTAAAAATTGTAATTTTATTCATTTCCCCTTTATCAACTGAAACGTAGTTTTTATTTTCTTGTTTTATTATAAACACATTATAATTTCGAAAATAAAATAAAATAAAAAATGTAGCAAGACACAACGGAGCGAAGAGGTTTGTGCTGCAATCACTTATTGTGCCTCATTTCACATAATAACTTTTTTGTTTTTGTGAATTTAGATTAGAAACATGGCTATCCTGAGAGAACAAAAATTGACGAAATATCTTATTACACATCGGTAATATGATAAAAAGTAAAAAAAAAAAAAAAAAAAAACAATGTGATGAAGGAACATGTACATAACACAATTGAGTGTGTCGCACATATCTACTTGCGGAACTTAAAAATATGCTAGACCTTTTTTTTTTTTTTTTTTTTTTTTTTTTATACACATAAGAGAAAACTACTCACCTAAAACTTACAAAAAAGTTGGAAAATCATTTTCTTTTTCTTATAAAATCATGTGATATAAAATTTAATGGAACAACTTTTTATACTATGAAACCTTTTTCATACATTTTTATATTTTCAACTATTTAATTTCTTAATTTTTTAATTATTTAATTTCTTAATTTTTTAATTTGTTTATGAGTTTACATTTTTTCCATAATTTCTTAAAATTCAATGTATCAGAAACTAAGGTTTATTTGAAAGATTCTTATTCTGTTGGTTCTTTTTTGTGTGTACGTATAAAATAAATTCAAAAATAAAACACAAAAAAAAAAAAAAAAAAAAAAAAAAAAAAAAAAAAAAAAAAAAAAAAAAAAAAAAAAAAAAAGGGTACTTGCGCACATGTGTGGTGTTGTTGGGAAAGTTATCCAAAAATAAGTTACAAAAAATGAAAAAAAAAAAATTTTATGGGAAAAAAGCCCGTTGGGCACAGCGCAATAACACAGATGGGCTGGAGAACAACCGTATGGGTTAATGCAAACTTGTTTCATCAACTCTTGAAATACACATTTTGTCTTTAAAAACACACAAATATACAATTCAATACACGAGGTGTAGAGGGGGTGGTGGTGTGGTGGGGACAATACAAAAAGCTTATATGCGTAGTATTTATCAGGGACATCACCACATACACACACATTGAAAGGGGTGAATTTAACATATGTATAAGCCCCATTCAGTGATGTTATAAAAAAGATATAACACATGTTACATTTAACTCGCTATTTCACATACAACCTTGACTATGCGTGTGCGCGTGCACGTGAGCAGAGGGGTTATGTCTTCAAGGGTAATATAAGATTCATAACTTATCAGGTTACTAGCTTTCCTAAAAAAGGAAATCTCAAAATAATGAGAATTCCTTATCTCGGGGACTTTCCCTGCAGATGAAATGAAAATTCATATAAATTTTCTGTATATTTTCTGCACGTAACATTATTATGTTAAATTCACCCCACATTCTTAAATACTTCCCCTTCACACACACACACACACACACCCTCTTCTACTCCTACACTTGTATCAGTAGGCGCACATATAAAAAAAGTGTGTTTTCACTACATTTGTACATGGTTCTTCATGGCTTGGATTTTCTAAAACGTGAAAAGGCCTTTTTTTTTTTTTTTTTTTTTTTTTTTTTTTCTTTCCTATTTCTCCTCATTTCTTCTTAAAAGCATGCTATATTTATTTCTTCATTTTATTCTCTCTAATATCTTCTCTAAACCAATCATAAAATGGAAATGTTTAATCCTCAGAAAATAATATATCACAGTACTTGATGTTATATGATTACTTCATCTTCCAAAGTGGTGTTTTCTGTGCACACCTTTTTCCTGTGTAACTGGTTTCAAAATTCCTCTCTTCGTTTGAGTTCCATATAATTCAGTTTAAAAGGTGTGGTGGAAACAACATCTAACACAGAATATATTTTTTTTATGCTCTTTTCTTCCTTTATGTTCTCCTTTTCAATTGTTCAAAGTTGCTAATAAAAGCATCCATTAATTTTAAGATGACGTCAGTCAATGACTATAGAAAAAAAGCCCTCTTATCAACGTTGACCGTGTCATGGTTGCCACTCATTTTTAATAAAAAAAAAAAAAAAAAACTAAAATGAACAATTCATTTTTTTCAAAAAAATATAAAATATTTACAAAAAAGAAAAAAAAATTAAAATGAACAATTCATTTTTTTTAAAAAAATATTATAAATTATTTACAAAAAAAAAAAAAAAAATTTAATATAAACAGTTCGTAATTTTTTTCAAAGTGGAAAAATTATGTATGAAAAAAAAAAAATAAATAAATAAATGTCAGAGTTCCAAAATTTTCAAAAACATAATATCAGTTAGCTAAACAGAAAAAAAAAAAAAATAATAAATTATGATTGCGAAGTACTACACATTTAAAAAAAAAGTATGCAAAATGGCTACCCAGAATAAAAAAAAAAAAAAAATTATGAATGCGAAGTACCACACATTTCAAAAAAAGTATACAAAATGGCTACCCAAAAAAAAAAAAAAAAAAAACATGGGTACTGCTCATATTATCCAAAAAATTCCCCAAAATGGCTACACAAAAAAAAAAAAAAAAAAAAAAAAAAATTAGCATAACAAAATAGCTACATCCGTGCAGTACAACTTGAAAGAATATGTACAACTTTAATATTTTTTTAATTTGCTATATCACCCGCTTTCTTCACATTACATAACTGTTATATCAAAGGTGAATAAATTTTTATGTTCTAAAAGGTTTTTTAAAACGTATCCTTAGATTTTCACCCATCCCCAAAAAAGAACATATATGTACATATACGTATAAATAAATAACAATATGGTACAAGGCGTAGACTAGGTTCAGGAAATTTTGTAGTCTGGAAAAAAGTGTTCGTGGCATAAACAAAACATTACTAAACTCGTGCAAAAAAGAAAAAATAAAAGAACATACAACGTGCTGTGTAAATTTCGTGTAAATAAGTTATGCACCTTTTTATACATAATTAAATGCGTACTACGTCAAATAAAAAGGTAAAAATTGTCGCAAAACGAGTTTGTGAAATAGTATGGAAAAAATTAAAATGCGCTTAATGTGTAGCTAATTTTTATGATGTCACATGTATATGCACATATATATATGTGTCACCGTTTTCTTTCCCACCTTTAAAAATAAAAATAAAAGCGAAGCCATTATCGAATAGTGACTTATATGTTACTGCGTATTATAGAACCATTTGTCATGTTTTTCAAAATTGAGGTTGGAATGGGAAACGACAAAGCCCAAAATAGTAGAGAAAAAACGTGCGTCAATTGGAAAAGATGAATACTCAGTAGGTATACATGAATTCATTTTCTCCCCTGAGCTGTGAAAAGGGATTGAAATTGACCAAACTGTCATAAGTATAATTTAACTAGTCCCTTGTTAAAGAGAACAGAGTTCACACATCCTACACTTGAAAATATCGTTACGTATGATCATGTAGAAAGAGAACGATTGAAATTTAGCCACAGGAATAAGTAACAACAGAAAAAGTGGGTCAAATTGGACTACCAAAAATTTTACACATTAGCAGTGGATATATGTGCATATATAAGCTGATGCATGACGAAATGGATTTGGCTGTTTGTTCATATTGTTCTCAATGGTTTTTTCTGAACAGTTTGTAAAAACCATTAAAGTTATTGTAACTAATATCACATTACTTTGCATATCCCCCCATTCACCCTTCCTGAAATTGAAATCACCATTTCGTTCGCCAAATAAATGGGCTGGAGCAAAAAAAGAAATAACGAGCTGTTATTCCCAGTTGCGAAGCTGCAAAAGCATTTTCCCCCAATTGAGTGGTGGCAAGGAAAGGAAATTTTGCACAAAATTCAGAAAAAAAATCAAAGAAAATTCGAGAAAAATCCATGTGATAGTTTATGGGGGAAATTCATCAACTGCTTGAGAAAGTATCCACATACTTTTTCGAAGTGTAGAATAGAAGGCACCAGATATCTGCAATGTTTGTCATCCATAAATCAGACAGAAGAAATAGATAAGCCCACGAATTACATAAAGGTATTGGAATATTTTAAAATTTTTAATGAAACTAGCAGATTTAAGTACAAGCAGCCCGAGTTGAAGGATTATTCCTTTTCCCAAAGTTGGCGCGTTGGTGGAGAAAAAGATGACACGGGGTGAAAGATGGAACAGGTCGGAGAGGGGAGGTGTTATTTAGTTTTACCATTTTGCATGCTTCATTTTTGCAATGCATAATCAAGATAATAGTTTCTTTTACGCCGATTTTATCCCCATTTGGTGAATTTTTTTACTACATTTCTACGTAAATTCATTCGTTGTATATACACCACCAACTCCTTTTTCGTGTACAGACAGAAAGAAATGTGTCACATTGATTGTTTTCGAGTGAATATTAATTAAGCATCGGAAAGGAAAGTTTTAATGCGCATGTATACTATCACATGTATAATGGTATTTTTTTTTTTTTTTTTTTTTTTTTTTTTTTTTTTTGTTTTTTTTTTTTTTTTTTTTTTTTTTTTTTTTTTTTCTTGTGTGTGTGTGTAGAGGGAACAGCTAAAATGTTATGAACAATTCATGTAATTAGAAAATAAAGAATTAAAAAAAATATTAAAAAAAAATATACCTACCTGGAAAGTGGCAAGGTATAATGTTTTTACCTTAACATGCATATTATTTCTTTTTTTTTCTCTTTTTAAAGTGCATTGACCAAACTGAATATTTTTTGATGACTATAAAATACTCTCATTTCGAATGTAATATGAATGCGATTATATGTTTTTGTTCGTCTCTCTTGGACACTTTTTTCTGTTAACCTTTGGATAGGAAGAAAAAAAGTGCTTAGCTGTGTGAGTCAAACAAAAAATTGGCTAGTCCATATTATCCCTGGGAAATACTAATATTTTTTCCTTCCCCACTTTGCCCCATATCATCCTTCTGGTTATTTTTGGTCCTGTCGGTAACTGAGTATATGATATCTGACAAGTAATTTTGTTGCTCCTTTTCTGATCTGCATTTTCTCCATTTCCAGAAATGTATTTTTGCAGTTTTGTAGCCCAAATTTTCAAAATGTTTATGCTTCATTTGGAATGATGTGTGTCTTACAATGGTATCCAGATCAATAATTATTTTTTTTTCATTTTCAATAAAATCAACTGAATAGGAATTGACAATTTGTAAGGGAACAAAATTTAATTTAAAATTTGGTGCAATTGAATTTAAAACATTTTGTACTTCATGAAAGGTTTTTAAAGCTTGTAATTTTTCATGGTCTATTCGTAGAAAGTCATTCATTGCATTTAACCATGAAGGAGAGATGTTGTTCAAATCGAATAAAAATTTTTCATCTCCAGCTAAATAATAAATTGGTTCTCTTATCTTAGCAATAAGAGTTAATGATTTAGGAACATTTCGTTTGAATAACAAATCAATTAAATTTATTAAATTTTCTTTTTTTATATGATTCTTATAATAAGTAGCTGCATGAATAAAATCGATAATAACAGCAGTTTTTGTTGTATTAAAATGTTCATAGTGGATATTTTCCAAAATTTTGTTAATTTTACTTTCTTCATTTATTTCATTCATGTAAAATGTGTATAACAATTCACACAAAGTACTAACATTACAATTTTCTAAATGTTCCTCTACACTTTTATAAATAACATCAATATGATTTGTTGTTGTAAATTTCAATTTCGTTAAATTATATATAATATTTATTAAACCAGAATAATGAAAATGGGAAATGTTATCAAATACGAGGTTGCACAAACGTCTGATTAAAAATCCTCTAGGAATTCCAGCCATGGATAAAGTCTTCAAAGCTAATGTGACATCTTTAGTTGTAAATCGATCAATTTCTTCACACATTTTTTCAACAATTAAATTGGTTAATTCGATATCTAAATTCTGTGACAATCTCATACTTTCAAGTAATTGTGTTAGCAAGGTCGGAGTATAAGCATCAATATTTGAAATTGTTTCTTTTTTTACATGTTCAAAAAAATATTCATTCATATTGTTACACAAACTTAGAGCATAACATATACCAACTAAATCACGAGGGTTTACATTCATTTTTTTTAATAAATGTTCGCTTATCTTTGTTAATATTTTTTTAATATCGTCATTATTTATGGATATGCTAACTAATCGTAAGGAGAAATTGCATAGATATCTTGTATTCATTATACTTATCCGATTTTCTATTTCTTCAATTATGTTTAAAAATTTCTCATTTTCTACAATTTTCTTTCGTTCATCCATTTTCTTTCTGCTTAAATTTTTAATCAAATTGTACAATTTGTCTATATTCATATTTTTATTTTCTTCAAAAAATCTTATTATTTCATCGTTACTCATATGCTCATCATCCATGATGTTTTCTTTTTTTTCATACAATGTATTCGTTACATTAACCCCATTTGCTACGTTTCTTTTTGCCACAAGTGCCTTCTCCTCATTCCTCATAGTGTTCATCGGATCTCTAAACATTCCATTGCTAGTGATAGTACTACCTACATTGTTCGTCTTAAATGACTTGTTCATCATTTGGGAGAGTGAACAAACATTTCTACTTCCAACTGGAGCTACAAAACCCCATCGATTAATCGCCTTCTTCAAGATTCTCATTTCGTCAGAGGGGAGCAAAGAAAAAGTTGGAGCGTTCTGTTCAATGGGGACCACTTGGAGTGCCAATTTGTGAGAACTTCACAGAAGTTGAGAGAAGTTGTGCGAAGTTATGCTGCGCTGTAAAAAGTTGTATAAAGTTATGCTAAGCTATACGACATTATATGCCGAGACTTGTGGAATTTTTTTTTTTTTTCTTTTTTTTTTTTTTTTTTTTTTTAGCTCTTATTTCTCAAAAAAAACCTCTACGACTAATTCAAGCGAATTCACAGTGGGTGTATATATTTGAATATATGTATACCACATCTATTGGCTATTTTTTTCTTTGCTTTCCTGTTTTAAACTATTCAAAAAAAAAAGAATCCCTTTTTGCATGAAAATCAAATGTAACATATATTCTCCCTCGTGTTCATCAAAAAGTGTTAATTTTTTTTTTTTTTTTGTGGGGAATAGAAAAACGGAGACGTGATCAAATAAAAAAAAAAAAAAAAAAAAAAACAATGGTTCACTTTTTCATTGTGGATATTTTTCAAATGAAGAGTTACTGTTACTTTGAAAAAGCCTGAACACACATCCTTCTTGCTTTTCCAAGCATTTTTATGATACAAGAAAAAGGGGATAGGGTTTAACATTTTTCCACCAGCACTACGTCATTTATACATGCCTACGTCAAATATATATATATATATATATATTATACATATGTGCAACATCCCAGGAGATTTTTCTAAATGCAGAATTTCATGCATTCCTAATTGTTTGCGAAAAAAAAAAGAAAAGCACTTGGCAAGTGCAGGAAACATGTAACAAAAGGCTAACGCACATTCTTCCTTAATGTAACCTTAAAAATTATTTTCAATTTTGTAGAGATGTATGACAGTCTTGCATATAAAATGGGTACTTAAGTAATAAAAAAAAAATGACAATATGGAGTGTTTTGAAAATTGCTAATGTTGATTTTAGATAAGTAAAATGTAAACGAAAAAAAAGAAAGAAAAAATCTACACACGTAATGAAAGAAAAAAAAACAAAAAAAAAAAAATAAAGTAATCAAAATGTTAATGACACTTCGCTCCAATGGAATGGTGTCATGTACCCTTTTGAGAAAATGAAGAAACCAGGGGAGAAGTTTCTCTACCTAACACACATGCATACATTACATGAATATACATAAATGCCTGGGACATTTTCAAAAAGTATACAAATCAGATACTCGTGTTAGAAGCTTTCCACAGGTCAATGTATGTTGATACTGTTCAGGTATAGTAATTTCCTTCCATTCTTGTTTATCATTTTCTATATGAACATTCATTTCTGATGAGAGAGCAGTTGTAAATTCGGATTCAGTATTGTCTTTAGAAAGGTAAATTTCCACACCAGCAGATTTATCAATTGAAATAGAAGAGCATTTTCCTAATACTTGAATTTTCAGTTTCTTAGAATCAATTATTTCTATGGATGATATTAAGTTCTTAAGAACCACATTACATTTAGTGCACTTTTGAATCGTTAACGATTTGAATTTCTCATTTTCGATTAAAATTGTGCTTCCTTCACAGTTGTATATATTCACAGCATTGTTCAGTTCTACTTTATTCAATGTCACTAGTTTCTCATTCTTGTAGTTGGAAACATTCCATTGGTTATCTTTCAGTTCACTTCCTGTATTTTTTAATTATTATTATTATTTTTTTTTTTTTTTTTAAGGGGGTTAGGGGTGGGATTGTAAAACGTACAAGTGTGTGCAGGTAGAGATACTGGACTCTTAGCGATGTACTATCTCTCTGTGAGCAGACGTACGAATTTACACACACGTGTGAAAATATACGTGTGAAAATACGGGTGTGCAAACACACGTATGCAAACACACGTATGCACACACATTTGTGTAACGATTCATGGATATTTCTTTTTTCTTTTTTTTTTAAATTCTGCCTCAGCAACAAATTTTGTACCTCCTCCGCTGGTCATCGTGTATAAGAATTTGGGAATATATAGAAGTCCAAAAAAATAAATAAAAGGATATTTAAAAAGAATGGTTTATCTATGTAGGGAAGGAAAATTGCATGTAGAGAGATTCCGAAATATAGGATTACTGAAAATTTGGAATTTTCTTTTGCACTATCTTTAAGTGTTGGTGCAATTTTGAATTTTCGCATGAATTTGGAGATTGTAAAATTATTGTTTTCCCTCCCCCATTATTTTCTTCGCATTATTTTTTCTTCGCGTTATTTTTTCTTTGCGCTATTTTTTCTTTGCGCTATTTTTTCCTCGCGTTATCTTATTTTCCCCTCTTTTTATTTTCCTCTATTTTATTTAAAAATTTTTCCGCCCATTTTTTTCCTCTTTTTCATCCCCTTTTTCGCTTCCCCCTTCTTTTTTTATGGCGAACTTTCATCGACAAAACGTGAAAATGACATGTATGGGTTGAGAGAGAAAAAGACTAAGTTTTGCAACTTGCGCAAAAGGTATATTTCTTTTCCTCCCTCCGTTTTGTCATGTTCTGATGTTTTAATACAAATGGAAAAATGAGAAATGTGGTGAAACCACGTAGGCCAAATAAATTTACTCACATGGTAAACGGTAATGTTTTTACACACTGGAAAATGTGCTAAATGGATGCTGGAAAAAAAAGAAAAACAGGAAAAAAAAAGAACCGATTTAGTGTCGCACACACACACCAAATGATTAATCCTGTGTATGAACTTTAAAAAGGATAAAAAAGGGAAAAAAAAAAAAAAAAAAAAAAAAAAAAATGTTCCCCATGCCGAATGCACAAATTTTTCTGTGCAAGTTGATCTAACCATTTTGATATCATCTATTTGAGGAGTCTATCAAATGGACATTTTTTTTTTTTTTTTTTTTTTTCGTTTTTTTCAATGTTGAATTACAAGTAAAAACTATTTCAAATGTAGTCATTACCTCTCTTGAGAAAAGGAAAAAAAAAAAAAAAAAAAAAAAAAAAAAATTAAAATGTTCACAAAAGGGACCAGTTAAAATGGCAAATTTTCTAAACCTTTAAAAATTTTTTTTTTTTTTTTTTTCTCTTTCTCTCCCTTCTCAAGAGAGGCAATGGCTGTATTTGAATCCATTTCAACATGTATTCATGTGTAAGCATTTTCTTCAGACGAAAAGTTAAACAGGTATAGAAAACAGGAAGAGATAAGTTACAAATCCTCAAGACAACGCTAACACATTCCTGCTGCTCCTCTTACATATATGATAAACGAATTATGCATAAGGAATGGTAGGATTAATAACATAATAATTTGTTGGATTTTTGACATGTCTTTTTTTCCGTACACCATTTTCCAGATTGTTTACGTACAAATATATTCCAATGCTGCTAACTAATATAAACATGATTAGAAAAATAACGGCTCCCCACATTAGTCGGTTGTAATAAATTGTAGATGTCCCCATTGCATTGTTGTCGAAAAAATCTGCGAAGAAAAAATGTGTGCATTGGTGTGGTTGTGATATAGAGATCCATATGTATTTCTACACGAATGTGTGTTTTTCCTTTTCTCTTTCTCAGTCGCAATCTTTTGCTTGCCAATTCCGTTATATGTAATAAAAATTTTGGAGAAAATTTAACATTAAAAAAAAGCAAAAAGGCAAAAAAGCAAAAAAGCAAAAAAGCAAAAAAGCAAAAAAGCAAAAAAGCAAAAAAGCAAAAAAGCAAAAAAGCAAAAAAGCAAAAAAGCAAAAAAGCAAAAAAGCAAAAAAGCAAAACAGACAAAACAGACAAAACAGACAAAACAGACAAAACAGACAAAACAGACAAAACAGACAAAACAGACAAAACAGACAAAACAGACAAAACAACTGTCTTAACCAAATGGAAGAGGGTGATAATGGAACGCAATGCATACATCAAGTTCCACCAAAGTGCAAACACTTAATAAAGTATTCATAAAATTTGTTCCCTCTTTTAGTAGTGTTTTTCCATACTTATACTGTAACATTTTTTTTGTGAAATACACAAAAAATGACAGTAATTCAGTTAACCTCTGTATGATATCGAGGGGTTGTAAATGTGAGCCGATTTTATTTGTAGAAAATTTTTTCCCGGTTCATTATTTAACGTGGATATTTTTCCAGATTTACGGAATTTATTTCTGTACTGTTTTTTTTTTTTTTTTTCTTGCGGTCTGTTAATGTCATCATTTCCATATGTCAACACTAGGAGAAGAAAAAGAAAAATGACAATTCGGAATAATAGTTTCATCCTTTTTCAGTGGGAAATTCTATATGGTGAGACATATGAAAATGACCCTACGGGGGAGGGGGAGAAAAAAAAAAAAAAAAAAAGAAGAGACGAGACGAGAAGAAAAGGCGGTTGGAGGGAAGAGAGAAAAAAAAAAGAAAAAAAAAAAATATTCACGTATACACACACACAAACATATATAAATGTATACGTACAATATTCCAAACACACGTATAGATTGTGATCCATTGAAAAATGCCCCCTTTAGCAGGGTAACAAATTATGTAACGTTTCCCCTCAAAAGGAGGGGTCGATTTCTTGTGTCTCCATCAATTTGCACTAGGTGGACGAACAAAAATGTTACACAAACACAAAAGAGGAGAAGAGTAAACGATACGAATGGTTGCATACCACGAGGATGTTCCAAAATTGGAATTAAAAAAAATAAATATATATAAATAAATAAAATAAAATAATAACACTGTCTATGTTTATTCTTCAACAAAATTGTAATACTTCCTTTTTTTTTTTATCATTCACACTTATATAGATATACAAGTGAAAAAATGGGTCATATGCTCCATCTTACACTTTGAGAAAATTTTCCACGCAGAATTGGTAGAAGTGAAAAAAGTTTACGTTAAATTTTTATGTCTTTCATTTTTTTCTTTTTGGGGGTGGGGATACAAAAAAGAAAAAAAAAAGAAAAAAAAAAAAAAAAAGAAAAAAAAAAAGAAAAAAAAAAAAGAAAAAAAAAAAAGAAAAAAAAAGTTAGCTTTCTTTCTTAATTTCTTTCTTAATTTTTTCCTTCCTTTCTTCCTTTCTTCCTTTCTTCCTTTCTTCCTTTCTTCCTTTCTTCCTTTCTTCCTTTCTTCCTTTCTTCCTTTCTTCCTTTCTTCCTTTCTTCCTTTCTTCCTTTCTTCCTTTCTTCCTTTCTTCCTTCCTTTCTTACTTTCTTTTTTTTTTTTTTTTTTTTTTTTTTTTTTTGTCTTTGTTCGGTAAATAAAAATGTGTATATTCCTTTTTATACACATGAAAAAATGTGGGGATGGGATGAATAAGCACCCACGTGCTGAATAAATGTGTGTTTTTAAACATACACATGTATGTGCACGCGAGAGGGAAAAAAAAAAAAAAAAAAAAAAAAAAAAAGAACAAGTCTGCTAGTCGGTGGGGTGGCGTGAAAATGAAAAGTAACAGTTTCTCATCAAGAGACAGGAAATGTGTTAGTCTGAAAAATTGTATATTGTGTTTCTTTTTGCATTTCGGTTTGTGCCATGTAGAGGAGAAGAAGTACCTTCTTTTCGGATACGACTATTGGGTGCGTGTACACAAAAATGACAAGTAAAAGTGGATACAAAATAGGTTAATAAAAATTGGAAGAAAAAAAAAAAAATGACATTTTACCTGCAGACATCCAAATTGAAGGACTACTTTGTGGGCCCATGTAGTGCTCATTGATTTGTGCTGAATGATTGGTGCTGGTTTGTAAAAAGACCACAGGTGATAGGAGAAAAGAAAGATGCACGTTTTTGATAGCATGTTTGGAGGATCAAAATATTACTTTGTCGTTTGGATTAACCCAATTCATAATTTTCACATTAGCAGAATTGTAAACTGGAATATCAACATCCACTCTCTTCGGTACAGGGTCCCTCCTATCAGGAAGAGGAAAAGAAGAGATAGATTCAACTTGAATAACTTGTCTGTTTATAACATCAAATGTATTTTTATGTCCTTGGAATTGGTCATCTTCATTTTGGATATTTTCAAAATCTCCAATATCTTTGTATCCCAATTTCTTGGCATAAATTAATTCTTTAATTTTTAAAACTGCTTCCTTTTTTGAAATTCGTTTCATTTTATCATCACATAATTGATTATCTCTAAGAAATCTTTTAACACATTCTTCTTTGTAAATGCATTGAATACAATTCTGTGAAAGGAAATATCTTTCACTCAGTTTCTTAAACGTAAATCTAAATGGATCCAACGAATGTAAGAAGTATATGTATTCTCTTAATAACGGATTCACTTTTTTATGGTCAGGTAATTTTATTGGAAATATTCGATGTAAAAATTTTTTGAATCCACTATCTTGCCAATATCTGTAATTATCCAATGTTTCTAAAGTTGGATTTCTAAATCCAGTAAAATCGGTGTAACTAAATTTATTACTTACATTGCGACTGTATTCTTCTTTTATATTTTCCACACTTTGATTAATTTCATTTTGTGTAATAATTTGTTCATTTTCTGAAGTCTCCTTTCTTTCCTTTTCACTACTGACATTTGATTTTTTCACCTTTTTATTTTTACTTGGAATGACAATTTTATAATTGTATGGAACATTATATGCATAGTTATCTGAAAATGGATAAGAAACAGAATAACTTTTTTTATTATTTTTTTGGTCTTCTCTTCCACTTGAATTTCTATTTACAAATAATTCAGACCAATATGTGCTATTCTTCTCCTCATTTGGTTGTACATAAGATGGGTAATCATCCTTTTCTCCTAGAGGTGGATCTATCATGTTATTTCGATCCATCCCTTCAACATTTTCTACCGGGTCGAATGTGGATCCGCTATTCCCTCTTCCTCTTCCTCCTCCTCCTCTTCCCTGTGATATCCACCTTCTGTTGCTTCTCAGCAAAAATTTACCCAATCTCACCGACATCTGTCATATCTCACCTTTGATATGTGAGGGCGATATTCATTACCAATTAGTGTTTACAATCTCACCACTAGAGCTGAACAAGCAGTTGTGACATTTTGGAAAATTCCTCAAAATGGAAGCTACATGCGTCTAGATTATATAGTTGATGCTTTGTGTGTGCTTTTGCAATAATGGGAAAAAAATCGAGAGGAGGGAAAAAATAGAGGAGAGGAAAAAAATAGGGAGGAAAAAAATAGGGAGGAAAAAAACAGAGGATAGGAAAAAAAATCGAGAATGGCAGAAATATATGATTTTTTTTTTTTTTTTTCACATGTGCAGAAAGAAATATAAAAACAGGGTTACGCAGAAGTTACCCATGCTAGTGCTATAAAAATTATTCAGCCTGAAAATACATAAAAAACTTGCAGAATCAAAGTATAAAAACGACAGATTTTATTCATACATCGGGATGGGTGTAGCATGGGGGTATATAAAATATAGCATAAAGTGTTCTTTGCCCTTACACGTGAATTTTTTTTTTTTTTAATATCTGTGACATTTAACATTTCAGCTATTAATTTAACGAGATAATTGTTCATATTTGTGTGCATGTATACTATGACAATGAAGGCATGCCCTTATACTTATATGTGTAACCCCATATAAGATGTGTAGGTAAATCCTTCAATACGTAGTTTTTTATATGTGAATAAAATGTGACCTTTCCAACAACATGCATTCTAAGGCACATGTAAAATATATACAGTGGAGTATAAACACATAATGCACAAAAGTTGTCATTCACCTATGTGTCTCTATTTTAGAGATTGTGTAGGTTTTTTTTTTTTTTTTTTTTTTTTTTTTCTTTTGTTCTTGTACCTTTGAAGAAGTACCATTTATGTCGAATCGATAAGCAATGTAGAAAAAAAATATATATATACTCATTCGAGGTATCCCACACCCTTCCTCTGGATCCGCACTTCTCTTATTGCATATAAATGATCCTCAACAAATAGATAGTTTTATAAGATGAATTATTTTTCAAAAATTTAAAGGAGAAAAAAATAAGGTCCCAAAAAAAAAAAAAAAAAAAAAAAAAAAAAATGTCCATTTTCGTTATATCTGTAAAACGGATTAGGCAATGTGAACTCGGCCAGATCTGGCACGGGACGTGTGAACAAAATAAAATGCATGCACAAGAGGAAACCAGATGTGCACCCCACACACACACGCACACATATACACACAAACAGTGCATTGTTCATAGTTCATATTCCATTAGCGAGAAAAGGGGTATTTTTATGGGTCACTAAAATTTTTGCACCAAAAAATGAACGTACACATCAGTACAATACATCCTTAGATGCATATACAAATAAAAACCTTTTCACCACATGGAGCAAATTCTTTTTCCGTGGGTTCAAACATATTTGTCATCTCTCAAATTCATGCAAAAATTTTTTTTTTTTTTTTTTTTTTTTTTTTATTACGAACTATCGCCCCATGCAGTCTCAGACACGGACACTTCGCTGGGCACATTTTGGTATTCAAAGGTTAAGGAGTAATTCGATTCACTGGAAGAATAACAGAAATTATTGCTATCGTTTGATTTATTTCTTTTCAAATCGAATTTACTTTTAAAACTGTCATCGTTCGTGCGTCCACTCTGCACGAAACCGCTCATATTATCCTGATTCCTCATATTCTTCTTCCTTTTCTTCTGCCCTTCAAAAGGTACGTGTTTTTTTTGCGCTTCTTCCTCACCACTCATTTCATCGCCCCTCATTTCATCACTACTCATTTTATCACTACTCATTTTATCACTACTCATTTTATCACTACTCATTTCATCGCTACTCATTTCATCGCTACTCATTTCATCGCTACTCATTTCATCGCTACTCATTTCACTCCCACTACCACCACCACCACCTTCGCATCGAATTGCCAAGGACTTAAATATTCTGGTGAAGGATCTTCCCACTGAATGTGAGACGATGTAAGCTCTAATAAAATGAGTTACTAAGCACTTCATCAATGTTCTGTTGTGATAGAAATATTTCGGCTCCTTCATAAAGTTCATACATACATTCAAATGATGTCCGAAATAAAATGAATTAAACTTTTTCAATAAATGGACAAAATGTTTATTCATTAGAAAGTACAGGGGCACGGAATGATATATTTCGCTTTTCTTTTTGTTTGAATTCACTACGTCTTTTTTCCCCTCATTTTGTTTAGAGTTACTACTAGAAGTAACATTATTCATCATACTTGTATTGATACTCACATTGGTGACATTCTCATCCATGTATTGATTGCATATAACAGTTTCCCAGAGAAACTGAATATAATGTCGATATATATAGTTCTCACTAAAACCTTCACAATAAATGTAGAAACTTAAATCTATATCATCACAAGATGGTGGTAAAAAGAATTGCATCTTTTCAAAGGCACACATTATCACATATAACAATCCAGCTGTGAAAAATGTAATAGCACTACTTAAATGAATTATCATATTTCCTCCTTTCTTCAAGTAGTTAAAAGAGATTATCAAACTGCATAGAAAATATTTTTTCACTTTCATCTCTTTTTCCACTATATGTACATAATTAGGGAACAGGATATTATTCAGATCTATATAAACCAATGAACAGCTATTCTTTTGGTCTACTTTACCTTTTAACAATTCGCTCAAAATTCTGTATGATTTTCTATTTCTGTACAGGTCTTCCACATTTAGGGCCGTGGTCTCACGGGGTTCTACAGGGTTGGAAATGCGCAGGTGCCAAAAGTGTGTAAAAATTAGTAGCAGATGTAAAGTGGAAAAGCTAGAGGCAGATGCAAAGTGGAAAAACTAGAGGCAGATGCAAAGTGGAAAAACTAGAGGCAGATGTAACGATGATAAAGTAACGGGTAACCCGTGCTGCATCGAGCCTTGGCACGTATCCCCTTTTTATTTTGGGTCACTCAATTTGGAAAGCTAATTCATTAGCACTTCTGCCTCAATATATATATATATATTCATGTATATGCATGTACATGCCTATGCAGGCACAAGGGCGCACACACGTGAACGGATGAAAAGGAGGGACACCCTACCTTCTATGGTGCCCTGTAGCGAGTTGCTCATTCCAGATATGGTGTCACTGTACAGCAGAATGTGGAATCCAGACTGAAATCTGGAAAAGAAATTATAGAGAGTTTGGCCCAAGTCCCCATTTATTACTAAAAATTTTTGCAAAAAAGATGAATCTTGGAACACGTCTAGATGTGCACAATTCTTCAAAACAAAGAGACAATCAATAACGATGGAACATAATTCATTATTTGTAATGTACGATGAAGATATGGGTTCATAACGCTTTAGAACCTGCTTTAGACTATTAATATACGAATCACAATTATTATAGTAGATGTGCTGTCTAAAGAGTAAAATATTCTTGTACATTTCTTTGCTTAAATAAAATGAATTATCAAAATGGGATGTGGAATTTTTAAGGTAAGGTCTGAACCAATGTTTGTTTGTAAAGTAAATCTGTTTCTTTAGTAGTCCTTCAAATTCCATTTTTTGATTTTCCAATAAACTTTTATCTATCGAGAAGATTCTTTTTTCAATCAAGTCTTGATCCAACTGAAAGAGGTTATCCCTTTCCCCACTACCAAGTGCTACTTTTCTCCTCTTCCCAGAACGAATTTTGTCATTTTTAAATTCTATTTTTTTCATTAACGCCTTTATTTGCTTTCTATATTTTTTCATATTATTACCATTGTTGGAAATGTTAATAATGTTACTACAGTCAGGAGTAAAATTGTTATGTGAATCTTTGAAAAATATTCCCTCTTCGTGAATCGCATGATTTGGAAGCAAGATGGTGTCCCTGATTTTGCACAATTCCTTTTTTGAAAAAGGTAAAATCGAATTGGGATACTTGTGTAACTTGTCTTCCTTAAGAGGGTACTCATCATTATCTACTTCGTTTACATAATGTTCTTTCATTTCATATTTGTGATTCATTCGCTCATATGAGAAATTTCTTTGGGTAGATATAAGCTTCTCCTCATCAATGTATAAATGGGCAAGTGGCTTATACAGCAATTTGTCCTTTTTTCTGAGGTCCACTATTTTATGTTGTTCAAAAAACTGAGAAATGTAGGTATACTTTGCATTTTCAATATTTTTTTTTATCAAATTTGTATTGGATACATTTATACATTTTTTTAAATAATAAATTAAATAATCCACAAAATGGTGAATACAATTTTTGTATTCTTGAAAAAAGCTAGATTTTATCCATTTTCTTGGTATTAAATTATGTGTCACAAACTTTGTTTCTTTTTTATCTAGTGAAATTGATCCCAAGAGTAGAGGCAAAACTTCCTTCTGTGCTGACTGAACCCAATTATTCAAACTTGATAAAAATATAGATGTAATTCCATTAAAATGAATACCTATTATGAAAACTACATTTCTAAGGTAGCAACAAGAAGGTCTATATACTTCTACTTTTTTGAAACATATAGCTAAGATTGAAAAAATAGATAAAAGAAAATTATCAAAACATAGTTTCATTTTCATAATGAAACACCCCCCAATATCAACCATGCCTAAGGCACAAACCAATTGGCTTATACATATAATTCTTCCTATTTGTATATTTTTTTCTGCTACATCTATATTAGTTCTACTATCCTTTGTCATATAATCATCTACCACGCTGTTACTTCTAACACTATTTGCAGTTATTAATTGAAATAATTTCACTTTATTATTACATTCTCTTACTGTTCTGTTCCACACATAATCTATATTTTCAAAATGCACGATATTCCCAGAATTGTTCTGGCCAGATAACCATCTTTCATTTTCTTGTAAGTAAAGATAATAATATAAAGAATGAAATTTTTTACATCTATCTAACCACAATGCTGCATCATCTGCAGCATTTTCTTCCTTTTCTTTTTCTTCTATCTGTTTCGGGAAAATCTGGGAAGCCGTAGTTTCTTTTTTTTTCTGCTCCTGTCTCTGATTTTCCTTTTCGATATTATATAAGCAGAATGATGAATCGTTACTATTACACTGGAATGATAAATATTCATCGAATGGATTCAAACTCATACCCATCCAATTGTGATTGACATTATGAAACTTATTCACCTTAAGGTAGTAATTCAGACAGCTTATAAAATTTGCTTCTTCATCAAAATGAAAACTGTTCAATGTTAAGGCTTCTTTGTTTTTTTTAGTTTCAATACATCTTTCTAATATTTTCCTTTCCTTCAGTAATTCGTAAAAATATAACCAATCTTCACATTCTATTTCATCATTTATTTTTTTTTCTTTTATATAAATAACTATATCTTTATCATATTCAAATTTGTTTACAATATCTTTGTATTTATCTACAATTTTATCGCATATTTCATCGTATTGTCTTTTCTTTTCACACAATTCTTCTATGTCATTTACTTCTTCACTGCAAAAAAAAAAAAAAAAAAAAAAAAGGGGGGTTGGGAGGTTTGAGAAGTATGAGAAGTATGAGAAGTATGCGAAGTATGAGAAGTATTCGAAGTATGAGAAGACGCCAAAAATTGAAAACCAAACTGTATGCACATTTTGGGGTCCATATGAACTTGTTCAGGTGGAATGGGTATGAGAGAAGGGGGTTATGGGGAATGCTTCCATTTGTGTATGCATACAAACACAGGTGTGTGCATATACGTGTATGAACGAGGAGAGTCCCCATGTAGTCTCTAAGTATATACGGATATATTTTACATCAAATTTTTATAGGAATACATTTCTTTTCTGCTGCTTTACCTGCCAAGTTCCCTTCTTATAGTTTCACATCTGCATACTCGCTTCCGCTTTATGCAATAATCACAACTTTTTTCCGATTTTTCAATGTTATCTCCAGAGAATATATCATTCAGATTTGTCTCAAAGGTAAATATATGGTTCATTGTTTGGCTTCCTTACACTAGCGATCAGATGTATCGATTCTAGAAAATTCCTTAAGTCATATTTCGTGTTTGTTCTTAATGAGCTCAGTTTCTTAGGGTACCATATTTTTTTTTTTTTTCTTTTTTTTTTCTTTTTTTTTTCTATGTTTTTCTAACATACACATAAATCACAAAGTCTTGAAGCACGTTTGAATAACGGTGTATACGCTTATGCATATGCCTTTGTATATTCCTATGTATATGCCTATATGTATATACCATGAGGAAGCCTTATTATGTTCCTTTTGATATTTATTTCATATATTCATTCGTCTTCTTTTACATAATTGGTACTTGTTCGTTTCTGGCAAGGCTCAGAAAACACATTTTTTTTTTTTTTTTTTTTTTTCTATCTTTTTGTTATGCTTGGCTTCTTCTACTCTGAGAAATGAGGAATTTTTTGTTCTGCTTCATCTTTTTTTTCTACTTTATGGCATTTTGGGGACCTAAATATTTTTCCTTGTTACATGTACATATGTAAACATACAAACAGAAATACATATATGTATATATATATATATATATATATATACTTGTGCCGTTTCGCTCCAGCCTAATTATATCTCTGTTTTTCCCTCGCTATACCCCACTAACAGCGCATACGACACTTTTTTTATTTTGGAAACTTATATTTTTTATAATTTCATAGCTTTCTTTTTAAGTAAAGGCATATATATGTACATGCATATAATATGTATACACATATATATTTATTTGAATCTATATGTTATAATTTTTTTATTTATATTTATTGTTTTTTTATTTTATTTTTCTTCACCTGTTAAACGCCCTGCACCGTTCTATTTTGAATGTTGACTCTGAACAAAAATTTATTTAGTTCAATATGTACACATATAAATGCACGCTCATAAGCATTCACATGAAAATGGAGTTTTTCTATACTTGTAAACTTCAGGTTGTTACTCTTTAAATTCGTGTGCAATTGGAAGGAATTTTCCTTGCACTCCGATGACACTAAATAATTCAAGCACAGCTTTCTGACTGAAAAGGAGCAGCGAATACAAACATACGTGGGTACATACTTGTATATGGACATAGCTCCATATGAACATGCATTCATATGAACATGCATTCATATGAACATGCATGCATATGAACATGCATGCATATGAACATACCTGCATTAATATCTTACTTTCACATTAGAACTTTTTCCAGCAGTAACATTACACATTAGTCGTTCAGTTTAAATGAACTATTTTCCTCAGCACATTTATATAGGTACGTCACAAACTCATGGTTAAAAATATGTACATTAGAAAGATAAGGTATACTCTATGTAATTATATAATTACCTCTTTTTGGTGTAACACACACCCTTTGCGTGATACTTTTTAATCATTTCCCTTTTGACTTTCATCAAAAATGATTAAAATGTTGCTATGTTAGAAAGTACCCTTTTGGATATTTATGTAGTAATTAATAATCTATATCTTAATTCCATCTGGTACATGTTCTCTCCTTCATCCTCCTTGCCCCCCTTGGTGTAGTTTACATATTCTCTGATTTGTTCTTATCAAAAAAAATAGCCCTTTTTTTTTGCCAAAAGAGGTTTTTTTTTTTTTTTTTTTTTTTTTTAACTTACTTTAGGCACTTATATATGCATTTATTTATTATGTAAAACAATAATTGTGAAAAAATGGAAGAAAAATTTTTCTCACTCCGGTTACGGATGCTAAATTGGGAAAAAGTAATTTCACGTTGAGTTGTACCTTCCCAGCGCACTTGTGTCATTTGACCCAAAATGCACAAATCTAGAAATAAACATGGAAATAATATATATATATATATATATATATATATATATATATATATATGTGTGTGTGTGTGTGTGTATTTCTTTTTTTTTTTTTTTTTTTTGATGTTCTTTTTGGAGGAGTGCAAACTTGCAGAATAGTACTTTGCACATGTGGCTCACCCTTTACAGTGTGACTGTTGCATATGGGAGCAATATTTATTCTCTGCCTTTCCTTTTGCAGCCTCTACAAATATATTTTTACGCATGTTGCACGAAAACTGCATATATTCTTGGGTAACTAAAGTTTTCATGCGCGCTTTTTTCAAAATGTGTTTTATGAATAAATGGACACATAATAAAAAAATTAAAATAAAATAATCCAAAATGATAGTGCGAAATGCTTATATTCCACGTGAACAAATCGTGAGTAAAAAGTAACACAAACGCTGAACAAGGATGCTGTAAAGATGGAAAATTTGTCAAGCAGTAACCCCCATGTGTGAAAATATATAAAAGTATGAATTTGATCCAATAAAACACATAAAAAAGATGAAGCAAAACGGATGGAAAAAAAGAGGAAAAAAAAAAATAGCAAAGGTATCTACAACCGGTTTTACTTTATTTTGTCTCACCCTTTGTGTTTTATTTATTTATTTATTTTATTTTGAGACTTTACACAAGGATAAAAAAAAAAAAAAAAAAAAAAAAAAAAAAAAAAACTTGTTCAGGCATAACTCTAACAAAGGCCATTCATGTATGTACATTCTTTTTTTTGCCTTCCAAAATATGAACATGGTGGCTAGATATATGAAAACCCCCTGAAAACTTTCTGAACAGTGCAGAAAATTTTGTCACATATAGCGAGGGAAAAAAAAAAAAAAATACAATTTGAAATGCGTAAAATGAAACATTAAAGATGAGAGAGCATAAAAGGCAATTTCTATTGCAGAAATGTGCGAAAAGAAGAGTGCCTCATTTGAGAAATAACGTTAGAGATAGCATTAACCAATTTTTCCTCATTTCCGTTGCTTACTTTTGCCATGCATTTGTGCAATGATAAAAAAAAAAAAAAAAAAAAAAAAAAGAAAACATATATATGTTTGCACTTTTACCCCTTTTGAATGAAAGTTTATTCCTTTTTTAAGCATTTATGAAAAAACATTCGCCATTTATTCATATGTATCACGAAAGCACCGTCAATAATGTAGCACACTCATGTGGAAGCATATATATGTACATATATAAGCATACGCACATACATGAATACACATGTTACACTTATGTATTTATTCTTATAGGCACATGCATGCTTAGCCACAGATGTATCTGCTTCATTAGACCTGTGCCCTTTTATCCCACCTCCTCTCCTCTCTGTCTTAATTATTTTTACTTCTAAGACTTATGCAAAATCACAGTGACCTTATATTTCAAGAATATGTTGTGTTCATTGCGTACGTTTACACGAATCGCATAGGGAAAAAAAAAAAAAAAAAAAAAATATATTTATACACATATATCTACATAAATGTATAACTACGAGCATATGAACAAAATTTATGTGGCAATACAGATTTTTTTTTTTTTTTTTTTTTTTTTCCTTTTTGTCACATGAACAAATTTCTTTGTGAATTATATGCGCAAAATTGTCCCTTTCGATATTGTAGAATGTTCCAAAGTGTGATATAATGAGAAAGGGGAAGCTCAAAGAAAATGGTGCTATATAATTCCATTGGGACATATCTGCCCATGGCACAAACTCTTCATGTTTTTTCAACTTTATTTTCATCACCTTTTTAACGTTTTTTTTCAAGTTTTTTTTTTTTTTTTTTTTTTTTTTTCTTCTTTTTTAATATAGAATTTTTCATCACTGGATTTTATTTACTGACAACCTTGAGCAATTTCTCCTCCAGTTATTTTATTTATTTATTTTTTTACAATTCAGCGTGTTATCTACCGAGAGAATACATTACACTTATTTTCCATTTTGAATTTTGTGGATAATTCCTGCTGGCATTTAAAATGCGTGTACACAAAATATTTATGTATATTTATGTATATTTATGTATATATATATATATATATATATATATACATATACATGGCTGCATATAAATGTAAACGTGTATGAAGTACCTAAGGGAGGTATGAAAATTTAGTGGACGCTTAGGGAACATTTAACGAAAATTTTCCAAAAAAAAATAACGAACAATTGTGCAAAAAATTATCGAACAATTCGCAAATATTTAAGTCGCAGTTCGCAAATAATTAAGTGACAATTCGCAAAAAATTATCGAACAATTCGCAAAAAATCAACGAACTGTTGGCGAAACTTAACAGAAATTAATTCTTGTGAAGTTTTATTAAATTTGCATGCTTATTTCGTTTTCTCTATTTATTTACGCATCCCCTGCACAAGCTCCTTTTCTTGTAGCATGTCCAACATACGTAGGTGTAAATTGTGAAAAAATTGGCACACATGTATAGCATAATGCATATTCTACAGAGAAGGAAAAGGAAAAAAAAAAAAAATACATAAAATAAAAAAATTCATAACAATCTTTTTTACATGTACGTGTATATATATACCATCTCACCTTTTCTTCCTTTTCTCCACTTTTTTTTTTTTTTTTTTGGTAAAATCAATAAAACAAATTTTAGCATAAGCTTAACACTGCATTACAATACCCTATGCACTTAAACACTTTTTTGGATCTCAAAACATTTTGATCCCTTTGCATTTTACACACGTCGCATTCATGTATCATAACACGTGTGTACAGGTGAATGTGTCAACGTTTACACATTAAGTGTATGAGGTGTGAATGAAATATATATAAACGTATATATTTATATAAAGGTTGCATATTAACAAATATATATAGGCATACATGCATGTATTTATTTTATCCTGTAGAGTGTGTTTCATTTATGAATACATGTTATCATTTAAATCTTATTAAAATAAGAAAAAAAAAAAAAAAAAAAAAAAAAGAAAAAAGTAATAATTCTTAATTTGCGTGTAATTGTTTGAATTAAAAATAGTTCAACAGCTTGTTTTTTTTTTTTTTTTTTTTTTCCCCCCCATTACAAAACGTGAACGTGTACTTGTGTATATATATGTTTGAACATGGCTTATGAAAGATAATAGGAAATATAACATTTTTTTTTTTTCCGTTCTTGTAAGGAAACAAAGAAAAAAAAAAGTACATACATATATATATATATATATATATAGTACATGTAGGACACTATTCCTTATGTGAAAGTCCCATCTACATCACTAGTTAATACACATACGTGTGAAAGAAAATTAACCACGGTGTAGGATGTGTTGTAAACTTGTTTAATTTATACATGCACATATTTATATAATTTCTCTTGCCTGGAACGTATATAAACATATTTCACGCATATATGCACATTCGCACGTATGTGCATATGCACTTGTATAAATTTCCCTAGACCAAATCAAATTAAAAAACAATGGATTCACCCAAAGAAAAGGAAATTATTAAGAGTTGCGAAGACAAGGAAGAACCTAGTGACCTGTCCAGTACTCTGAATGTAGAAAAAAATACTAAAATAAATAAAGGAAAAAATAATAACAGTGGAAAATACAATTATAAACAGGTAAGAGAAAATCAAACGAATTCAAATGATTATTTAAGTAATAATAATTATCAGTATATATTTAATAATAACAATGAATATCACAACCAAAATAAAATGTATCATAATTATGGTACGAACACTAGGAATCATAAAATCGGATACACCAATGGAAGTAACTCGCATTTATCAAGGGGAAAAAATTATAGAAATAACAACGTGGAATATAGCATCGTTGGTAGTGAAGGTTTTGTTAACGAGATAGTGCATACGCAAGAGAAGAAAAGAAACAAGAGTAATCGATACCAAATCGATATGCCGAACATTTGTAATGGGCCCAAGGGGGAACAAAATGATGCATCTAGTAGTAGAAAGCAAAGCGGAACAAGCAAAATGAACGATGTGTATCAAGTGAACGGAACGAGCAAAATGGACAAAGTGATTGAAGTAAACGGAATGATAGAAAATGGAATCAATGATGAAAGAGTGAATAATAAAGATATTTCCCGAAATGGAAAATATCAAAATTTGACAAGGAGAGCGAATAATCGAATGGGTAAAAATTACTTGTCGAAATTAATGACATCAAGAAACAATATCAATGATTACAATGGAAGAGATGAAACGCTAATAAACGAAAATGAAAACGCTTTTATAAACAAGGGAAGGAGAAAAAACAATAGTAGATACCATAATGCCTATAAAAACAATTCAAATTATTTCTACAATTCTGGGAATAATCAATCTACGAATTATTTTGATACAGGCTGTAATAACTACGGCAATCATTACTCAAGTGGTAGTGCACCCTATCGAAGCGACAACAGTGTCTGTAGTAGCGTCCCTGGTTCTAATGCCTACGGACACACCTATGGATATGGTAATAACTATGAAAATGAGAGCTATAACCTAAGTGGAAATTACATCAATGGGTTATACAATCAGGGAGGTAACTACATCCAGAATGGAAAATACATCCACAGTGGGTTATACAATCACAATGGGAATTACAATCACGGTGGGAATTACAATCACGGTGGGAATTACAATCACGGTGGGAATTACAATCACGGTGGAAATTACAATCACGGTGGAAATTACAAACAGTGGGGTAACCACGCTCGTGCAGCGTCCAGAGACAATATGGATATCGGAAAAAATGTCAACTCTGAGGTAAAAGAAATTGTGAAGGATAACCAGAATGGTCAAGATTCTCTAACCTGCATAATTGAAAATTATACTGTAGAGAAAGAAAATTTAGAGAATGATAGAAGCGACAAGAAGAACAACTCCTTTGCTATTAGCATTTCTAACTATCAGTTGGGAAGTGAGGGAAAGGAGGATTTAGGGCATTCGAGTAATAGCATAAAAAGGAATTGTAATGAAATGGGTGATATGAATGACATTACTAGCACCTTTGAAATGGATCCACAAATATGCATAAATATGAGCATGAGCATGAACATGAGCATGAACATAAACACACAAAAAAATGTGAATCCATACGATGAAAACAGATGTGATAAAGGAGACATTATATTGAGTAAGGAAAAAAATAATAATTCTATTAACGCAAGTAGGAACAGTACCGAGGAAAATAGCATTGAAATGAAATTAGATGATAATGGTAAAAAGTATAGAAGTAGAAATATAGACAGCAACAAGATGAATGAAAATTCTCCTGAAATGGATAATTGTAAATATGACAAATCTGACACTGTAGACATTTTAAGGAAAGAGAAATATAATCATGCAGTGGAATCATGTTATAATTTAAAAAATAATTTTATGAACAACTGTCACTATGATAAAGCAAATAATAGTGTAAAAACCAAAGGTCAAAACGTAAACCATCCCTCATATTCGTTTAACAGCACATGTGCATATAAGAAAAAAGGGTTCAACAAAACTTACCCCTCTGTGTATAGTTCTAATTATGAAATGAATGTAAATAGAAATTTGTGGAGAGGAAAAAACGTCCAATATAATGGAAGTAGCGGCAGGAAAGAACAAAATGGGCCAAATAGACTAAATAGACCAAATGAACAAAATGCAAGGGAGCCATTCCATGGAGACGACACACACAAGGATTATAAAATTAGGGAAAGTGCAAATGAATGTATAAATTCTGGGGTGGAAAATGAACTTGTGATGAACATCAATGCAAATTATACAGAAAATTTGAACAAGACAGAAAAAACGATTTTCTGTAATGATAAAGATAATCTCATAACAAAGGAGTATGGTGTGATGGTAAGTAATGACTTTCAGATAGGGAACAATATTGACAGAAAAAAAAGTGAAGATGTGAATTGTGAAAGGTTTAAGAATCAGGAACAGATGCAAGGGGAAGAGGGAGAACAACAACGTGGAGAATGTTATAAAAATAGAAATTGTGCTAATGAAAAGATAAGTACAGGAGAAGATATTCAAAGGGATAATAACACACCGGGAGTTATATCCATGGATGCACCAGAAACACCACATGTAGTTAGTGAAGAAGGGGAACGATTCGATTACGAATCAGACAAAGAGAATTGCAACCTAGTTGTTAAGGAAATGTCTATACTTGTAGATAATCATAGTGGGGATAGACAGATAAATCTGGTCAATAAAGTGGGGGAGAATCATGTCACAAATGAGGGAAAATCTTTTAATGAGCCCGGAGAATCCAGCGCTGTTGGATTAGGAAAAAATGGAAAATATAGAAAATATGAAAATGTATTTTCACAGAATTCGGGTAAGAGATATGTGGAAAGTGCAAGAGGAAAATCACAATTCCCAAGTATGCATGAATGTTTTTTTGCTTCAAGTAAGAGCAAAACGAGTATGAATCGGAAGGTTGAAAATGTTGGCAATGTTGGCAATGTTGGCAATGTTGACAATGTTGACAATGTTAGAAATGCAGATGAACCAGTTCTGAATTTTTATGTATGCGACTCTATGTGTGGATTTACCAGCAAGGAAACAGAACTTGCAGAAAGTTTTCGTTGTGTAAACGATTCCCCATTTGATGTTAATAAGAAAATAATAACATCTAGAAATGTTCAAGGGGAAAACATGAACTATTACACTGAAGATGCGAATTACAAAGATGATATTATGCAAAATGGATCCAGTAGTAACAATCAGAATCTAAAAGATGACCATAAGGAGGAGTTGGTTTTTACGACAGACAGTACCATGAACTGTTATAGAGCGGAGTTCAAGCATGTTAAGGATAATCAAACGTGGAATAGAAATTTCGTGCACAATGGTTGGGATGGAGGTAATAACGATGCAGATAACGGTGCAGGTAACGGTGGGAATAACAATTTCTCATACGAGGAGAACCACATGTTAGGAGAAGTGAGGAGAAACGTAAATCTAAATGTGGACATTCCGATGAATAATTGGAAAAAAGAATCCATTTTTAAAAGGGAAAAGGAGGGAAAGGGTGTGTCTAAATTTAAAAACATGAACATGATGAAAGAGATTGGGTCAGGTAAAAAGGTGAAAAACGGAGTAAAGGCTACTGAAGAAACATATTTATATGATAATACACTACATCAAGATGAAGAAATAATTTCTGAAAAGGGGGAAAAGATGAATATGAAAAAAAAAAATTTTAATCATGTTAGGTCGAGATCAGAAAATATTCAATGCTGCAAAAATGAAATGTTAAAAAGTTTAGAAATATCTATGATTAAACCTCACATGGATAAATTTAACTATACAGTGAATATCCAGGGGTTTAGAAGCATATTGGAAAGGGCTCTATTTGTTTACAACGATGATATAGGAGAAAGGAACGATTCCAGGATAGACAACAATTTGTATTCAACAAGTGAAGAATCAAATTGTGATGAAAGAAAGAAAATGGATTATGTATTCAATGAACATTCAAAAGATGCAAATTTTGTTGAAGAAAACAATTTTGAGAATATTATACAAGTGGATGAAAAGCAAAAAAACGCGTGTGAACAGAATAGGGAAGAATGTTCCTTGAATAAAAAAATGAATAACACACAAAGGGATGTTCTAAAAAAGAATAATAATGAAAAAAAAATTCCATTTTATAATCCTGATACCTATGTGAGTTATGACAAATATATGAAAACGAAAGGAACATTTATTTGCATTCTTAATGAGAAGCACAATGTGATAGGAAAGAACTGCAACACAGATACGGATGGTATCTATTCAGAACATAAACATATGGATTTTACCAATGCAGAATTAACTACTGACAGAAAAGTCAACGCTGCAATTGTCATGAAAAGGAATAATTACCCAGCTAAAACTACCTATGATTCAATAGCTAGCAAAGGGTGTATGTTGAATGGCATCGGCAGTGCACATGGATTGGGTGGATATGGCAACGATGGAAGAGGCTCTTATAAAAGAAACAACAATTACGATCGGAGTGGTAATTACAATCGGAGTGGCAATTACAATCGGAGTGGCAATTACAATCGGAGCGGCAATTACAATCGGAGCGGCAATTACAATCGGAGCGGCAATTACAATCGGAGCGGCAATTACAATCGGAGCGGCAATTACAATCGGAGCGGCAATTACAATCGGAGCGGCAATTACAATCGGAGCGGCAATTACAATCAGAGTGACAACCACAATCAGAGTGGCAACCACAATCAGAGTGGCAACCACAATCGAGGTGTCACTTCTAGCCAAAATGTGGATCAACAAAACAATGTGCAGGTCGAAGTGACCGCTAGTGAGGGCCTGGGTAATCTTGACCTTCAAGACATTGTACACATGCACAGCAATGAGGAAGACAGAAAAATTTTCAACGACAATTATAGAAAGAATGGAGCAATACAAAATAATTATGGAGAAAGAAATATGATGAAAAGTGAATTTCCATTAAGTCAAATTTCTCACACAGCTACAGGCACTACTACCATGACTGGAACTATAATGACGGTCGACACAGTCTCGTCGAGTTATATTAATTCCAAGTTTCCTATGAACAGTAACAGTGACAGAATGGATAACCATAAAATTGATAACAAAAGTTTCTTTGCTCATTTCCCAGATAAACGTAAAAGAAATGTCAACACGTCAAATTGGGGTTACATGGATGAACCAAATTATGCCATCTCCAAAAATAATCACAACAGAGAGAACAGCACCAATCAGAAAGGAGGTCACATGATCGAATATTCGAATGGGAACCAAAGGAGGAGGAATCTTAACGGAGGTTCAAATTCTGGTTATTCCGATATAGAGCATACTTATAATTTTCCCACGGGACAGGTAGGACATGTCAAAGAAGAAAGAGAGATAAGAAGATTCGCAGATGTGAACGCAATAGATGATAACTCGAATCATGCTGACGTCTTTTCCTTCAGTGAAGGGAAGGACTTCCAAAATTGGGGCAGTAATAACCAGGTGCAAAATCGGGGCAGTAATAACCAGGTGCAAAATCGGGGCAGTAATAACCAGGTGCAAAATCGGGGCAGTAATAACCAGGTGCAAAATCGGGGCAGTAATAACCAGGTGCACAATCGGGGCAGTAATAACCAGTTGCACAATCGGGGCAGTAATAACCAGTTGCACAACCGGGGCAATCATAATCATCTGAACAGTCAGGTCCAGGACACCCAGCGAAGGAACCAAAAGAACGCGAACATTGTCAATTACTGCAATAACCAATTCACGATGAACCTGGTGAATAATAACAAAAAGAATTTTAAAAATTTCATGAAAAAAAATGGGATCATGTCGAGTAGTAGTAGATACAACACTGTGGGGAAGAACAGTGTGAATGACGACTCTTATGAATGTATTGAAGAAGGAAATACTTGCTTATACAACAACGTAGATTCTAATTTTAACAATGGTGTTACAACAACGAGATCGTGTACAGAAGTTACTAGCAGTAATGCTATTATCATTCCTTTTCATAAGGGTGATAATACAAATGGGTATCATTACAAAAATAGTTGTAGTACAACTGTTAAAGATCCATCTGTGAATTCAAATGGAAGAAGAAAAAATAAAAAAGTACAATATACAAATAATTGCACGCAAAATTATGATACCAATTATGTGGCAAATTTTAGTCCTAATTATGATACACATTATTCTCCATCATATGATATGAATTCTTCTTTCCTTATGAATCCTGTTTTATCACAAAAATTGTGCATAAATTCATCAAGTATGCAGAAAAGTACATATGGAAATGGACACCATTACCAACATGTTAATACTGGTCGAGATTCTTCAACTTTCAATGAATATAATAACTTTTCAGAATCACAAGTAGGAAATGAGTACACCAATGGGGAGTGCAAACATCAGTATGTAATAACGAATACAAAAGAACAACCATATAGAAGCACTAACTTTGATGCAAATTTGACGACTGGGAGAATGGACGAGAAAAATGAAACAATTATGACTTACAGTAATCAATTCAATCATGCAAGACAATGGAAGCAAGGGAAGCGGTCGAAAAGATCGAAGCTGTCGAAGCAGACGAAGCAAACGAAGCAAGCGAACGAGGTGAGAGATGCAAAAGGAGCTGACCAATCGAACCGCACAGAATTTAATCATTCCAATGAGCATATGAACCAAATGTATAAGACACGAAAAAACAGGACTGGAATGGATGAATATGGTTGTCGCACAGAAATGAAGGAAGATCGAAATAGAGAAAATGGTGATAATAGCAGAATTGAAAAAGCAGAAAAAAAGGAGGATTTTATTTATAAAAATACAAATAAAAGTTCAGAAAATAATGAGCGAAAAAGTAAATCCAAATGTAGTAGATGGACAGAGGAGGAAGTAATAGAAGAGCATGCGAAAGTAATAGAAGAGCATGTGGAAGTAATAGAGGAGCATGTGGAAGTAAAAAATGCACTTCCAGAAAGACACACACTAATCGAGAAAGAGAAACAAAAGAAAGACAATGATAATATATTCCAGGAGGGACATGATGATGAGGGGGTGGATAAGAAAGAACGACACAAAGAGGGAGGAAAAGCAAAATCAGTAAGTCATTCAGACACATCTAAACAGAAAAAGGATCTGCATCTGCATGTAGATAAGGATAAGGAGGAAAAAGCATTTAAAAAGAAAAATACTCTCCATGATGAATGTGCAAGTAGTGGAAGAGGTGAACTTCTGAGAAATACAGAAAGCCTGTCATATAAAAGTGGGCATGGTGAAACATGCAGGATGGTTGAGGTGGAAAGAAATCCGGAGAAGATGTTTACGATCGAAAAGAATGTAGCAGAAGAAAGTTGTGACAAACTTGAGATAAAAATGAATGAAGAAAATGGTATTACGCAAAATGAAACGGTGCAGAATGGTACTTTCCAAGGGAATGGGGGAAAAAAAGAGAAAAATTATCAGACAGAATTAAATAAGAAAAAGTTTAATCAATTATGGACAAACAAAGGAGAGGTAAAAGAGACCAAGCCTCTTGTTGCACCATATGAACAAATGGCAAAGAGGATGAATGTGGAAGAAAAACGTAGGGATAAGAGAAGCGATAAGAAAAATGAGAACGCATGCAAGAATTATGTTTCACACGATGAAAGATTTGCGTGCAAAGGTAACCATGAGAATCGGAGTGATAGTGTGAATAGAATATGTAAAAGCTCGAAGCATGAATCCATAATGTGTAGCACTGTAGATGGCAATGATATTAAGTTGAATAACACAAAAAAAAAACATGAAAATGGAAAGTTTGATCAAAATATATGTATTTTGAAAAAAAATGGATTTTATGATAATACAAGTAGCGATAAAATGGATAGTGTACAAATCAATCACATTGTGTATCCCCATACATCCAGTATGGCTAATGAAGAAGAACCAGTTTTTAATGAAAATCTCAATGATAATGTTAAAAAGGCTAGCTATGGAAAAAAAAATCTGAATGATGGTAACGGCAGGGTCGAATTAAATGGAGAAAAACGCGAATACAATAACAAGATAAATTATGGAAAGAAAAATAGTAGTAGTAATAATAATAATAATAAAAAAAAAAAAAGTTATGAAAAAAATGGAAATGACACAAGTGGCTGTAACGGGAAAATAAGCAGACCTGCAAAAGGCAATAAAAAGTGATCTCCCCCCCCCGTCATTCACTCTACAAATGAGAAAAAACGAAACAAAAAAAGGAAAAAAAAAAAAAAAAAAAAAAAAAAAAAAAAAAAAAAAAAAAAAAAAAAAAAAAAAAAAAAAAAAAAAAAAAAAAGAAAAAAAAAAAAAAGAAACAAAAGTGTAAGGATAAATATCTGGATTAACACATTGGTCTTTTTCACCATTATGGTGTGCTTTCTCTCCCTGTGAGATGTTCTATTACATATGTGTAAAACATTAAATAAAAAAAAAAAAAAAAGGAAAAAAAAAAAAAATAAAAAAAAAAAAAAAAAAAAAAAAAAAAAAAGTTAAGAAAAAAAGGAAATACACAAGTGGCTGTAACGGGAAAAAAAGCAGACCTGCAAAAGGCAAAAAAAAGTGATCCCCCCCCCCGTCATTCACTCTACAAATGAGAAAAAACGAAACAAAAAAAGGAAAAAAAAAAAAAAAAAAAAAAAAGAAATAAAAACGGCCCATTGAATATATAGGATAATAAGAAGAAAGAAAAGAGCCTATGAAAAATAGTTGTAGGTTATTCTCTCCCCATTCCACACTTAAGAATGAGAGACACAGTAGAGAAAATATGTTTAATTCACCATGCAACCTTAACGAAGATGATTATTTAAAAATGAAGTACATAACAGATGATCATGTAAGGAAAAAAAATGAGGTTAACTGATTTCAACATACATATGACATATGGATTTATGTATAATCTAGAATTTTGATGTAGCTATATGAACTCGTTTTGATATGTGTGTATATGAATAAATAAGTGAACCTTTGAGAATGTACATATCTGTGGAAGATATAAAACGTAATTATATCCTATTAGTAAAAGTTTGGCATGGTTAAGAATTTTTTTTTTTTTTTTTTTTTCTTTACATATATGTTATATCCCTGTCTCAGCATGATTTATTTATAGAAGTACATATGGCACAAATTTCATATCCTTCATTACGCGTTCATTTGTCACAACATTGTATCGTGTGGAAGTGTTATTTTGTTTTGTTTTGTTTTGTTTTATTTTATTTTAATTTATTTTTTTTATTTTATTTTTTTATTATAAATCAAAGAAGAAGAATTAACATATCCCTTCGCCATTCGGCAAGATAAAAAAGACTTTGCTTTCGCCTTGACGCCCTATGGTTGGGAAAACAGAAAATTCCGTATGCACACTTAGGTGTATACATACATATGTATATATACATAGGTATGCATTTCACTGTTGGCAAATTCTAGTGCATCCAATTTTGGTTACTCGAAAGCATGGACCATCGTAAATTATTCAAAATATAAAAAAAAAAAAATTATACGTGTATCAGTTAGATGCGTGAAAAGGTATCCACATGTATACAAACACGCATGAACACATGTGTGCATGGATAAAAGCAGATGTAAGTAACAGGTTTGGTAAATAATTTTTAAAAAAATTGCTGGGGCGGCATAGCCATTTGAATATGAAATAGATGTATGTACGCATGTATGTATGTATGCACATACACGAATTCGCATGTCCCTTTTTTTGAAAATGTACTTGAAGAGATAGAACCAGGAGGATTGAAAAGGATGTTATTAATTTCTGTGTAATGACAAGTCTAACACATGTGGAACACTTTCCTCGCCTCGTCGGACATGATGATAAGGTGAAATGGCAGAAGGTGACATAGTGTCTAAATTTCTTAAGCTTACACACACACACACACACCTCTGGAAAATTAGACAGAGAAAAAAAAAAAAAAAAAAATGAATGCACTCAATCCAGGGCTCCTAATTCGGGTATGTGAGTGCTGGTTCATGCATACATCCATAGGTGGTAAGAATACGTACACCTTAAGTGTTCTTTCGTCTTCTGAAAAAGAGAACATTATTTTGATTTTTCAAATAACCAAAGTGGTTCCATCCCGTGCTCATGGGTATGCGTAGGTAATATTTTACATCTAGCTCATGTAGGAATGGAAATTTTTCATTCGAGAACTCGTCATAACAATCGTTCCTATCCTTAGAATTTGCATTTGCTTTTTGATTGTCAAGAATAGATTTGACCTTTTCCTCAAATAGTCTACTAACTTCAATTGCTCTATACACATAATTTTCATCTTCCGTTTTTATAAGATACACGACAGGTCCTAACTGTGCTGCATATTGAACATTAAATAACTGATGTGATAGAAGAAAACTTTCATTTAGCGAAAAAACAGGTTCTAATATTTTTGAAAAATCTGGTGCATCTAAAATTTGTTCGAAAAAGGATTCCTTTTCTCTCTTTATTTTATTCATGAGGAAGATTAATTTATCCCTCTTTTCAGAGTCAGATAAATATTCATTAAAATTTCTTTCATTAAAGGGTATGTTTCTCTTTGATAAGATTAATCTGTTTTCGATTCTCATCTCATTATCTGTCGGTATGTCATCACTATTGCGTTTATCTTGTTTCTGTTTTTCCTCGCCACATTCTTCTATGCCATTTATTGTTTCATCCTTTTGTTTTCTTTCCTCTACGATTGATTTTCCTCCTTTGTCCATTCTGTTTTTTTTCTCGTCTATTTCTTCTATGCCTTTTTCTTTCTCGTCAATTTCTCCCTCGTCTATTTCTTCCTTTCTCTTTTTCGTTATGTTTGACTCTTCCTTCTCCTTATTCGTCTTATTCTTCTTCTTTTCCTTCTGTTGTTGCGGATGCTGCATCTGCTCTCTGTCATGGTTTTGTAGCCCCTCTGCTTCTTGCTGTTTACTGGATTTGTAATAATACCTTTCAAGTAGCTTCACTTCGGCATGGTAGAATTCATCTGTATCATCAATTTCATCAAAAACACCAACAGATTTTAGATTCATAATTTCAGCTAAATTTGGATAAGGGACATCTAAGTATTTATACTGAGCTCTGCATTTACTCTTGTAAGTTTCATAATCTGCATCATCTATTACATTTTTTGCATGTCTATACAAAAACATTCTATCAATGTAATGATATTTCATTTCCTTGTTTTTTGCATTTTCAATTATTTTATTTAATTTACTTTTGCTAATGTAGTATTCATCATCTGCTTCTAACAGTTCGTCTATAAAATTCAGTTCTCCCTTTCTTTGTATGTTTGAATATATGTCTTTAAAAAATCCTTTGCTGAATAGATACTCTGCGTCGTTCTTCAGGACAGAATCGTCTTCTTCCTCTGGGTTCAGCGGTTCGATTTTATCTGGAAATTCAGGTGTGCACATGTATATATCGATGTGGTGCCGATGCAGTACCGATGCAGTACCGATGCACGTGCATACTTCTTCACACGGGTAAACGTGCGAAAGGGCTCTCTCAAAATGAGAAAAATAATGGACACGTCCCTCACTCTCCAAACATACGCATCCAAGTGATCTCAGTCTAGCAAACATACCTTTACGCTTTATATCGCCATTCTCAAATTCTTCTGAATTTTTTAAAAAACATGTGTGAAAAAGAGGATTGACAGAATCCTTTTCTGAAAGGGATTCATTCATGTCTGTATTGTGTGATTCTTCCAAACCTGGAGTGTTATAATCACACAGGAGTGATTGGTTTTTATGAGAATATGCATTTAACTTATTTGTAACAACACTACTGTAATAAGGTCCATTTAATGGCTTACATCTAATGGCATCACTATGTCTACGCGTACTGCCTTTTTGATTTTTATCTTCCTCTTTAAATTTTTTATTGAAAAAATACGAGTCGGAATAATTGTGCTTTTCATATTCCTTCGAAAACTGAGTGCTGTGTCTTCTTTTAAGAGGATGGCTACTGATTTCTTTTTTTGATTCATAATCATTTTTTCCTGTGTGATGAATAGAAGATGGGTCGTAATAACGAGGTCCGTGGTGATCTTTGTAATACAATGCGTGATGCTGATGGTGGTCGTGGTGTGTCGTCTCTTCATCTATCGTGCTGCTGTTCGATTTATGCATGTATGTATTTTTTAACATATCCGACTCGAGATGCGTACGTAGTGCACCTGATGCTGTATTTCCGGCTTGAGCAATACCTGCTGTGTACATTTTATTATCCAATTCACGTTCTAAATTGAAGCTTGAAATTGTTGACTCAGAATTTACATATAATGGAAGTGTATCTCTGAAAGCATTTTTTCCTTCTTCATTTTTCTTCAAGCAGGATGATTCCTTTTTTTTTCCATCTCCATTATAATTTTCGCTTTGCATTGTGTTACTCATGATATATGTTTCATTGAGGTTTTGATGTTGGTTATGCAATTGGTTCGCTTCGACTAACTCGTCAAGGGTGTCTGTACCTTGAGGTTTGTTAAGATAATACGTCTTATGCATATTTAAATAATTTTTTTCATCATGTTCATAAATTTCGGATCTTTTTTTTTTAATAGTTTTATTTACAATCGATCTTAAAGCAACGCTCTTTTTAATGGTTTCATCTACACTGTTTCGAAGTTGCGTTCTACTTTTAAGTGGTGTAAATTTTTTATGCTTATAGGATAAAGCATATGGAGAAGAATATTTCCTTCGCTTTGTAAATGCATTATTAAAATTATAATTTAAATAATCTATATGATTCCTCTGATATGTGTTATTTTCACTTCCATGTGCAATAGTGCACCTTCTTTTTTTGAACACGGGTTTGCATTCATCATTGCCTTTGCTTGGGGCGCTATATCTTGCATTTATGATTTTATGAATACTAAGATTCATGTTATGTGAGATCCTCTCGAAGGACATCTTGCTTGGGGTCTCCTTCTAGTGTTCTTTCTTTTTTTTTTGGGACTTTGACGGGCTATCGTCACCTGGAAGTTTTACCACCTCGCAGTTTTACCACTTTGATGTTTTGTTTCTTCTGATGCGTGGCCTCACTAAGCACGTCCTTGATGGGAAATCACGTCTGTACGTGCACACGCACACAAAATGGAAGAGATTCAATGAAAAAATCCAATAACATAACTGTACCTTTTGTTTGTTCTCTTCTTCAATTGCTCGGCTTGAGTCGCTATGACAACAGGTACCACTTAAACTGTTTAATTTGGTCGTTCCAGTTCTATTCCTTTCGAGATTTCCTTCTTGTGTGTTCACCAAGGTGGACAAGTGCAGTGGAGAAAAGATGATTTTACAAAAACTGAATTGGTAAGAGTGTCACAGTTACAGTGGAAAAGTTAAAAATGCTTTTGATGGAAAAATAACCCGATAGGGAATTTCTGAAACATTGTTGTTTGTCACGCGGGACGGGATGCACCTACACCTGCATGTGCAACTTACGTTGGTAGGGATAAAAACACAGTTCAATATATACGTGGGTGCTACATGTAAGCACCTGTAAGCACACATAAGCATGCATACACATGTATGCACTTACGATATTGTTACACCTTGGAAGGTGAGAATCGTTGGAAGAGTAAATCAAAACATGCAAATGAATGGAAGCAAAAAAGTGTGTGTGTGTGGGTGTGGTGGTGGGGGAGGATAACTCAACTTATTCACAAATAAATATACGCATACTTAAATATACACATGATTGAACATTACAAAAACTCTTCACATGTGTTCTTAAAATTCCAAATGGAAAAGAAACAAAAGGAAACTAAATACACAAATGAAAGCAAGAGGCTCAAAAAACTGGTCCAGCAGAGGATGGGGGGGAAAAAAAAAAAAAAAAAATAAATATATAATATAAAAATAATATAAATATATAATATAAAAATAATATAAAAATAATATAAATATATAATATAAAAATAAAATAAAAAAAAAATAAGAAAGTATGAACAAATAACATATCTTCTGTAAAAGTACTGAACAAATGCAATATAAAAAATACTTCGCAAAAATAACACGAACGCATGGACAAATGGACTCACATGCGGACAAGCAAATGATTGAAATACGAGATTACATATTGCTAATATATAACCGCCAAAAGATAAAATAAAAAAAAAAAAAAAAAAAAAAAAAGCATATTCAATTTTATGCATACATTCATTCAGTCGTGTGTATAATTTCTGGTGCATGCACTGGGCATTTTGGGCGCCCCTTCTGTGCCTCTCTTTCGGTTTGTAACTGAACACAGGAATAAGTTGCATTGCTTGGTTTGGAGTCGATTGAGAAAATTGTTACTACTTATTGAACCTGAATCAAAGGCGAAAAGCATAATACTATAAGATATCGTGACATACACACACACACACATACATAAATACATAGAAGGGCACTCTTTTTCTTTCGTTCTCATACCTTTTCATTCCTATTGGCATACCTAATTTCTTAGAAAAGTACAAGAATCTCCCTTTTTTTACGTTGTGTAATAAGCAGATGAGCTTGTCGCGTGGAGGGCGATCGTCATACTGAATCAGCGAAGTCGATCTGTTTTTTTTTTTTTTTTTTTTTTTTTTTTTTTTTTTTTTTTTATATATTTTGGGGTATGCGAGAAAAAAAAATTAAGAACAAAACAGGGTGAAGAGAACTTGCTCAAACATGTGTTAAATGTAAACGCATCGAGCAGAAAGTGTTTATTCTTTTTAATTTTTGCTTTAATTTCTTCAGTTCTGCTTTAATATATCTTCCGTAGGATTTCATGAATCCTTGAACATATATTAAATTCACCACGCTGGAGTGCGGGCTTTCGTTCCCGTGGGAAAGGGTTTTTGTTTTTGCAAGAAGGAGCATATTTGAGGCTAGCATTTCTTTTTTCTTAAATGCATGTGCATAAACATATGTATATATATACGTATGCATGTATGCATGTATGTGTTATTTTTTCCATTTGACGCCCTTCTCTACGCGGTTGCATTGGCATTCTCTCGCGACATGATAAACAAGCATACACATACAGGTGCACGCCCTGTCCCCACCTGCAGGTTTGAAAAAATCAACCATTTTGACATACGTGTAGCAGTATGACAAGCATTTTCATCTTTCAGACGTTCCACATACTCTCTCTACTTTTCTCTCCACTTGGTTGTATGATTCTTTTGTGATCCACACATATAGTACGCACATTCAGAATGCATAAGGATGCAACAAATTTTTAAAAACCTATGTGCAAGGTTCTCGACAATACATACGTACCATGGAGATGCTTTCCATTTAAGTCCTCTAAAATTTGGTGGTATTGTTATATATGTACATGATGAGAATATTTGTAAGTATGAAAAGAGTATAATTCAATACTTGAAAAATGACATAATTGGTTTTGATACTGAATTTGTTTTGGATGTAAATGAAAGATGCATTGATCATTTCGAACGTTGGAATGTTTTTACTAATATCAAACCCTTCAGTGTTACAAGTGATGTAAATAACACCAGCAATGTAAGAGGTAACCAACGTTGGATAAAGAAGTTTACTCAAGGAACATACCAAATGGAAGGAACAGATACAAATATTGCAAAGATTGATTCTACATCAGGAGAAGAAGGAGGCACTATTTTAAAAAAGGTAGAGAAAAATGGTATGCATAGAAATAATAATAGCTCAAGTGTAAACATTGGTACCTTGGGGAAGATTGAATTAGGATCGAATAAAACTTTATGCCTTATCCAATTGAGCACTAAAGATCTATGTTTTGTGTTTAATATTAACAGATTGAAAGGGAGAATTCCGTTGTGTGTAAAGGAAATTTTGGAAAATGAAAAAATAACGAAAGTGTGTCATGATGTTCGAAATGATAAAGATATGTTCCTTTCACAACATATTGAAATGAGAAATGTTTTTGATTTATATGAATATTGCATGCAAAATTATTTATATCCACCATCATTACAATTCTTAGTTAAAGTATACATGAAAAAACATTTACAAAAACATTTTCGATTATCAAACTGGTTGAATGATAACCTGAACGAAGATCAAATTCTTTATGCTGCTATTGATGCATATGCATCGAGAGAAGTCTACATGATTTTAAAGGAACAGGATAAGGCCACCCAATCATGCATCCTGAATGTTACACGAGTTGCAAATTCAACAACTTATGATAATCTCCTCCCTCAAGGGAAAGAATTTTGTGTTGCCAAGAAGAAGCAACATGACATAGGACTTTCTCATATGAGCCACCACGTGATGCATCCACTTTCCGCTTATCAGAGAAGAAAAAATCAAAGTGAAAGTAAAAAAAGTGATCAACAATCTTCTCAAAAGAGGGAAAATTCACCGAATGTTTTTATAAACGAGGAACAGGAGAGGTGTAATATTCAAATCAGGCATGAGAAAAAAAAACAACTTGTTCTGGAGACTCCAACTTTTGTGACAAATAATATTCAGCAAAATGATAATTTATGGAAAGCACACACCAAAGAAACAGAAAAAAATACGTATGAATACTTTAAAAAAAATCAATTAAACATAATTAATGATTTAAAAAATCAAATTAATGTCAAATGTGCTAAAATGTGTATCATATCATTTACAGAAGAAATGGTATTTTCAAATAATGTCTATAAAAATCGTATGTATTTAAAGAATGTGGAAAATGACGAATGTCTAATTATGCTCCATTCGCAAAACTACGACGAAGAAGTTAAGTGCTGTCATAAAATATTGAGTTATATAGACAGCCTATCGTAGTAACTTTTTTTGTCTACCATCATTCGTCCCTTTTCTATGTTTGCGGGTGTGCATTTCCTATGGTAGCACCAACCAGGTGGTCACATGGGTGGTGTACAGGTATCCATGGATACATACCTAGATACTCACATATGCATGTACGTACATAATTTTCTGCTTGTATGTGTGCGTTTTTTTTTTTTTTTTTTTTTCTTCTTTTGCATGAACAGTCATAGCGAGGCATATATCTTGCCATTTTGCCAACGTAATATTGTAACTAGCTATTTTGATTTTTTTTTTTTTTTTTTTTTTTTTTTTAAATGTGAATCTTCTACTTAGAAGTTTTTTTTGTGGGATGAGCAAGCTTCGTGTAAGAGAACTGGTAAACACAAACTCGAATTAACACTGTGGCTAGTGTACTCCTTTTGGACCTCTCTACCCCTTCTTCCATATCAGTCACGGTCAGAAGAAAGAAAAGTGATATTTGTTTTTCGATGGATACGAGACAGAGTAGTTTAAAATGCAATCGTATATAAATGTTGGTGTAACGAATAAGGGTAATTTTTTTTTCTTCTTTTGTGTACCTTGCAAAGAATTATAAAAATCGATAGCATTTGGATCGTTGCAATTTGAAACAATAATATATTCTGCATCGAGCGGATTGTTTACAATTTTTCCATCCCCAAGTGTGATCAAAGCTTTACATAAAAATAAGGCATCATAATAATTAGATTGTTTCACACTTTCAATGTTAAATATGTAAAAAAATTGTTTATTGAAAAGTCTGTCGTGTGCTAATTTTTGTCTAGTATTAAAATTTTTGTTGTGCACAATGAATTCATTTTCTCTGCATATATTATTCCAATATACATCAGTATATTCTGGCCATCTTTGGAATTTTTTTAAAATAAGATCAATTGCTTTTTCTTTAAGGATGTAAACATCACTAACAAGACTACATAAAATTTTAGGGTCATATAAATCTACATGTTTTTTCTCATCTGGGACTATACAAAAACTTATCTTATTCCATTCATTGATGTCACTTGGCATGTCATAAATTTCGATTCCTTTAGTCCCTGCACCATTCTTAGTTATAAACCCTTTCGGATCATAAGTAAAATTTGGTGGTTTCAAATGTTTAAGTTTATTTAATTTGTTATAAATAATATCTCTATAATAGTTATTGGCTGCCCCGATTAATTTTATTTTATTTACTTGTTCTCTTCCTTCATAATAGCTAGAATCTACATTGTGTGACAATTCGTCTGAATATGACGAATCTGTGCTTTCATAACACATTTTATGTTTACAATTCTTTTTCATCTCTTTTATTTCGTTAGATACAACTTTTCTTTTTCTTTTTACATTAAGTGATTGTATACCGCTTTTTCTGGAACTAGTCAAAATTACACCACCGGTACTACCTCCCTTCGTGTCTGTATCTATTAATAATTGTTGCTTTCCAAATTTGTAGCAATCATAGTACGAACACAATTTGTACTCGAATCCTTTTATTACATTTGTGTAAAATGTTTTAAAATTATTCTTTCTCCCTATCCATATATTTTCTGTTTTATCCCACTGGAACAGGTTAAGTTCTTTCATCTTTTTAACTACTTCTTCGTTATATGGCACGATTTTTATTTGTATCGAATCACTTCGAACTGTGCTGTTTACAATTATGTGTTCCATTCCGAACATTCCACTTTTTGCTATGTATTCGATGAACCCTGACTTGTCTTTCCTGATGAATAGGTCCGAGTTGTAGGGAGACCGGGACAGGCTATTGGTCTTAGTTACTTGCTTGCTCTCCTCGGGGGAAGTAGTCGGGGCAACAGTCGGGGCAGTTATTAGATCACCGGTCTTGTCATGCATATTAACGCCTCGTGGAAAAACCTGCTTCGTACTCGTGACGCCCTTTATAGATGAAAAGTGATTGAACAATTTGCATAAGTAATAGAGGACACTGTCACTAACTGTTCCTCCCAAGAAAATAGTAAGTTTTGTGACCTCGTAAATGTAAAATAAGGGAATATGCCATACTTTTTTTTCGGTATCCCACTTCACATTTCGACAGTTAACTTTAAAATAAGAAGTTATTGTTTGATTTTCATTGGTATATTTGAGTTTCAGTATTAGGTACCCTTTCTTATCATTCAAAACATCGGTACATGATTTATTATCATAGAGGATATAGTTATATATGTTACTTACCTCTATGTGTGTCCAACTTTTTAAAAAATTACTTGTTCTTATTCTTTCATCAATTATATTGTTGAGATAAAAATCGAAATTATTTTTTTCTTTTTCATTTATGTATACATCTAAAAAGATTTCATCTGAGAGGAACATTTTTTCTAGACTTATCAAATTTTTGTTAATTTTTTTTTCATCAATTTTTTTGAAGTAGTGTGTTCTGACAAACCCATTGTTTTCCTCTCCCTTGTGATACTTTGCAAGCATGTCATCGTGTTCCTCCATTTTGTAAACTTTTCTCTCTAATATGCATACTTATGAAAGAAAAATGGTCTTGGGAAATGTGACTGCTTAAGTGCAAGAACGGTGTGTATCTTTCCCCCCAGCTGCCCCGTGCGTTTGTCGATTTGTCACTTGTGGGAACCAGGGCAGAAAAGAAGTGAAACAAAAAAAAAGGGAAAAACAAGAGAAAAAAATGATAAAAAAAAGGAGCGAAAAAAGGAGCGAAAAAAGGAGCGAAAAAAGGAGCGAAAAAAGGAGCGAAAAAAGGAGCGAAAAAAGGAGCGAAAAAAGGAGTGAAAAAAGGAGCAAAAAAAAAGAGTGAAAAAAAGAACAAAAAATGTAGTAAACAAAAGTAGTGAAAATAAAATTGAGAAAAAATAAAAAGGGTTCAGCGGGTGCAAACTCGGGGGTGCCAATCTGCGCGTGATAATACATCGGTTGACAATGACTTGTGGTGTTGTGTGACTTTTGAGGTTCATGCGTGGGTATTAGTCCCTTCCTAATTGGTGAGGTGTATACCAATGGATATACACATGTGTGCGTATACATGTTTGTTTTCCGATTTGTTTGCTACTGATATGTGTATGTTCTTCTAATTGGCTGTGACATAGTTGCTCCCTCAGCAGGTAACTTTTTTCACAACAAATTTGCTACCACCAGTTTGATCTCACCCTTAACTCTCGCTAGGAACGGGAAAAAAAAAAAAAAAAAAAAAAAAAAAAAAAACACACACACACAAATATATATATAAATATGTGCATGTACAAATATATGTATACATAAATGTGCACATATATAAATACATAAGTATATGTACCAACATATGTGCATTTTTTTTCTGACTGTTGGGACTTTTCTGCAAAAGGCAATTTCTTACAACGCTAGGAAAGATTCGTGAAAGTTTACATACCTTTCTGAATTTCCGTGCATTCTGCTAGAGTGAGACAAGGGTGTGTTAAACCGTTCATACAAAATCTATGAGTCACTTATCCATTTGTGTGTGACACGTGAAAAATATTCAAAACTGTTTTATGAGAAATATATATATATAAATATATGTATATACATAGAACGGCTAAGTATATCCCTAGTAAATTTGCAGAAGTAGCTTCATGTTCCCTTTATTTCGTTTTATTTGTGTTTGGCTATTCATCGGGAAAAACACAACTAAAAGGACACTTTCAAAAAAAAAAAAAAAAAAAAAATTAGAAACAAAGCGTACAGCAGTTATATTTCAAATAGTTCTACAAGAACAATGTATAAATAAGTTGGAGATATAAAAACGAAAGAGAAATCGGGTATTCACAATTGTGTCGTAGTAATAGTCAGTTCCGAATGAAAAGAATTATAAAAAAAAAAAAAAAAAAAAAAAAAAATTATGAATTGTGTAAGGTAAAAAAGTATGTAAATGTAACACTTTTATTTTTGTCCTCTTTTTTTTTTTTTTTTTTTTTTTTCTTCTTTTTTACAACGTTTCGCACGTTGCAAACGAGGGGATGGGGTAAAATGTATAGCAGCGTGTGTGTGAAGATAAAGGAATTATAAATATACCATCTCTTCTCCTAGGGACATACGAATTCGTGATTATATTCTCTTCACTTTCCCTTGTTTTGCATTCTTCTGAATCCAACCCTGAACCTTATACATTTACTAAATTCTCGAAGGATAACAAACGTCAGTAGTCTCATAAACCTTTCCTACGAGTCTCCGACAATATCTGCCCATATTTGGTAGTTACTCAGTTTGTAATGGAAATGTTTGTCTGCACACGATTAAGGTAAAGCTCGATCAATACCATCTCCCCCACACCCCCATGGAGCATAAAATAACAAAACATGACAAAAAAGTGGACATAAAATTACTATAAAAAAAAAAAAAAAAAAAAAAGTGGGGGAGGGTTACGACACCAGCATTTAGAGTTCACAGATTCCATGCACGAGATTCTTGGTGTAAGGGGCAGTGAGCGGTGCAAATATGTTACACTTTCCTTTTCTTCTTTTCCTTTCTTCTTTTACTTCTTTTCCTTTCTTCTTTTACTTTTTAATTTTACTTTCTCCTTTTACTTTCTTCTTTTACTTTCTTCTTTTACTTTCTTTTTTCCTTTTCTTCTTTCCCTTTCTCCTTCTTTCATATCTTGAACGAAACTGAAACATAGGGATATATATCCTCGTCATTTTCATTGGATTTCTTGATGTAATTCTTACCAATAGAATCTGTTGTGGAAAAAATGTCATGCAACTTTTTGCGAACCTTTTTTTCCTTGCTTTCTCCACTGATTCGAATGCTAAAGGAGGCAAAATTCGGAGGAACTCCAAATCTAAGAACCGATTCACAGAAAACCCTAAGTATGTTAATATGAATGAAGGCAATAAAAATATCTGAAAAAGCGGCCAAGCACATTCTACGTAGAAATGTTTCCTGTCGTATAATTTCTGCTTCTACTTTGGTTCTTGATTCCATAATATCATTATACTTTTTCTCATCATACTTAAAAGATTTAACAACAAATTTTTTCAATTTTGCTGCTTCTTTAAAATTTTCTGCAAATTTTTTAAACACAAAAACTTTCCATAAGGTAGTACCATCTCGGTCTACTAACCCATTAAATTGTTTTGACGACCTCGGTACAACATATTCTGAGAATTTTTCATAACTCATTAACCAGTCTTCAACTGAATTTTTTGGAATATAAGCAATTAATGTTGTCAAATATTCTGTTTCGATAAAATCTGATTGACTAACAGTTTGTGGAGTTAATATTTCATTTAAATTTCTTAAAAAGAAATTATTCGTATCATTTTTTGGCAAATCTTTTTTTTTTTTTTCTTTTAAGTCATTAAGCATACTAGATTTTATTTGAATTTCATCTGTTAATTTAGTTATGTTATTAACCATTACATCTATAGTATCTGTTAAGGATCTATTCCTTGGATATTTTGCATCATCCCAACTGAACCGTCTAATATATTGATCAATATTTATATGTTGACGTTGGTATATAATTTTTAATTCGATATTTTCATCATACTCCTTTGCAGTCTTTTCAATTTTTTTTAAACATCCGTATGCATAACTCTCATATTTTTGCAAATCATCTGCACATTTTAGAAGATCATCAAATGAGCAAAATTTTAAATTTGTTGGTACATCCAGGATGTTTGTATCAATACAAGCATGGCTTCCTAACAATCGGTTCTTCAATATTGTGTAGATGTATTCTCGGCTCGTGTTATCTCTCGTTGAGCAGGCAATAAAAAGGCACATAGGAATTTCACTCATTATGCACCTACCACGTTTCCTGCCTTCCCCCCCTCAATGGGTACGCGTACGGGTATGTATATATATGTATATGTATATATATGTATATGTATATATATGTATATGTATATATATGTATATATATATATATATGTATATATATATATATATGTATATATGTGCAACCTGGGTGTATCTGCAAGTATGATGTCCCTTCATAAGGGTTGCACTTGAGCTCTTCTTAAGGGTCAACTTGCAAAAATATGTGCACGGGGGGGGGACTGGTGTGCCAAATTGAGTCGAAATGTATACACACTCTAGAAGGAAAGTAGCAATTACGTCAACAATAAGTTCCAGACATGTTACAGATATATCTCAGTGTATGTCTTTGTTTGTCACGTATAGTTTTCATGTCTTCTTATATTGCTTGTATCCCCATAAAAATGCGCATAACTGTATGCAATTCTATGTCCATTGATGCTCCAGTAGAATGTAAGGGGGGGGAGAGTTCTTTTTTTTTTTTTTTTTTTTAAAAATACTTTATATACTATTTCTGTAGGGATCCTTATAGATTAACAGCAAAATGGAGAAAGTATGACCCTCAGAGCATTTCGCTGTTTGAGTAGTAGAGGGAAAAAGAACTCTGTCGCTCATCTCAACATGGAGGCATTTGTGTGATACTGTTCTTGTAATTAATCATATGACCCAAGCGCTTTGCAACATGTGCACATATATTGTATACATATATATGTACATATGGATGCACATATCCATACGTGGCGAAGCGCGGGAGAAGAAATCATTTCAGAAAAATGGAATTAAAGTTCTTCTCCCCTTTTACGAATGGGGATGAGAAAGCGTGGCTCATATTATGGTTTGATTGTTTTTTTTTTTTTTTTTTTTTTTTTTTTGTGTGTGTATTTTAACGTTAATACATATGTATATATGTATGTATGTATATATGTATGTATATATGTATGTATATATGTATGTATATATGTATGTATATATGTATGTATATATGTATGTATGTATATATGTATGTATGTAATATATATGTACATATGTATATACATATAATAGACGTTTTACGTGGCTCCTTTGCGTATTGTACATAAGAATTGATGGGCGCGGCAATTTCTCATAAAACGAGAATTCTGCAGATACATAGTGAAAGCACATAAACAAATTCGTGCAGTGTCATATATGCAACTTTATGGCATTATACATTTTGAAAAATCACAAGATGGAGGGAAAATACCCAAACTTTATTTAGAGTGAAAGAAAGGTAGCTTAAAAAGGTTACACCAATAGTAGGGCGAGCATACATAAAAATGATGGGGAACGACATAAATTGGAGAAAGCGCGAAACGATCCAAGCGCGCGGGGAGCACCGGAATGAGGTTAAAGTGTGGGACTACTGAACGGTCGAATTTTATGCAGTCTTATCTATTCACAATTATGTATACATTTCAGTATACAAAAAAAATGTTTTTTTTTTTTTTTTTTTTTTTTTTTATCACTTTTACATGACTTGTTCAGGTTTTTGTGAAATTTTTTCACATTTCACCTGAACACGTTAGGCAATTAATTTTTCCCCCATATCTTCGCCTTCCTAAAAGCAATGAAAAACACAACGAAAATGAATAGGAAGCAGGGAAAAGGGAATTTAAAGAATGGGTAAGCGAATGGGTAAGCGAATGGGTAAGCGAATGGGTAAGCGAATGGGTAAGCGAATGGGTAAGCGAATGGGTAAGCGAATGGGTAAGCGAATGGGTAAGCGAATGGGTGAGCGAATGGGTGAGCAAATGGGTAAGCGAATGGGTAAGCGAATGGGTGAGCGAATGGGTGAGCGAATGGGTGAGCAAATGGGTGACAGCGTGAATCAGAGTTTTTGCGGAATATATATATGTACATATATATACACACCTGTGTATGTGTATATAAAATTTTCACCGATGAGATCAGCACGCTCACACGGCATAAGCATTCATAAGGCACTTATAACAGACTATTCTTATTTTACATTACCTATAAATGTTTTATCCGTCGCCGTAATTTTGTGAAAGCTATATTATCATTAATTCAGCATGTATAACTAAACCGTTTCATCTTTTGGATTTGTGCATATGTAAAAGGGATGAACCATATATATATGTACACGTTTATATGCATGTCTGTTTCATAGCGCTCGTTTGAGTGTGCCCCCTTGAGTGCGAGTTTGTTTATACGTGTTTGTTTATACGTGTTTGCTTATACGTGTTTGTTTATACGTGTTTGTTTACCTTTCCCCGTACCCAGTTGTAACCCATTAGAGATGAGTTTCGAGTTTACGCAAAATTTTAGCTAGATAAAGACGAGCATATGCACACAAACCATAAAAAAATAATCGATATTTTTGGAGGAAGTTCGTTCAAGGATCTTTAAATTAGAGATATTGCTCTTATGGGTGTGATAAGCCTAGGCGTTGCATTAAAAGAAAAAAATAAAATAAGGCAAAATAAGGCGAAATAACGCAAAATAAGGCGAAATAAGGCGAAATAAGGCAAAATAAGGCGAAATAAGGCAAAATAAGGCGAAATAAAATAAAAATAGAGGCAGACAAAACCGGATCCACTGCCGACGTCGACACAGCGGCCATTATCTCACGCGTACATGGGCCAAACGCAAGCGCAACTTCAAATGTAGCGATAGCACGTGAGCATGTCTCTATACTGATCTGCATTGATTTCAAGTGTTGGGTCCAAGTTTTCATCAAATGAAGTGCTGCCTCCCTCCGATTTGGCACTCATAACACTTCCGTCTTTGTTGAATTTTATAAAAAAATCAAAATCTTCGGGACTAACCTTATCGCCAACCAACCCCAAATATGTTTTTAATACATTAAGGTCAAGTGCATTTTTTTTATGCACATCCAAAACGTTAAAATGTTTATCAAATGTTTGATCATCGTCGATGGCCTGGAATAGTTTGCGCTTCAGTAAGGTCAAGAACATGGCTAAATTCATTTTGTACAATTTCTTAATATTCATTTCTTTTTCGAATTTCTGCACATCACGCGCGTCATAAATTTGCTTCAGCTGTCTAGCCATTTTGGGAAATAGTTTTATGTCGATTTCGCCTGACTTGGCAATGTCGTACTGTGTAAATAGGGACTCTGCTTCGAAGAAATAGTCCACAATTTTTTTTCTGCGCGTTTTGGCAAGAGGAGTGGGAGGGGGAAAAACCACAAAAAAGGAAAGGCAGTTGAAATGTTATTATCTTAATGTGATTACATATCGACGTGTGAACATGTCAACGTGTGAACATGTCAACGTGTGAACATGTCAACGTGTGAACATGTCAACGTGTGAACATGTCAACGTGTGAACATGTCAATGTGTGAACATGTCAATGTGTGAACATGTCAATGTGTGAACATGTCAATGTGTTAGCATGCCAATATGTTAGGAGACGTAAAAGGGGAAAATTGTGAAATAATGATATCATTTAATCAAAACACACCGCTTCAACAAGTGCAATTCCACATTTACATCCCCCTTTTATCCCTTGCAAGAACTGTTCAATTATTTTATTTTATTTTTTTTTATTAACATAAAAATGATCCGAAATGAATCACACGCAGTGGACACTACTACAGAAGAATAATATATGTACATAATTCTATGTTTATACACGCATATACTCTACACACATGAACAGAGCTAAGCGGTTGTAAGGGTGTATAAAATATGTTTTTTCCTCACACACTTATTACCTAACGATACAAAAAAAAAAAAAAAAAAAATTCTAACCTGCTATAATTGTACGTGTTAGTTGATTGACCCTGTTTGTTTTCCTCAAAACTGCTTAATATTTTCCGTACAATTTTGTTGGTAACTTCATTTTCGTAATTAAGTTTATATTTATCATTATTATAAAATGCTAAATCCATCGCTTTTACTTTCTGTTCTTCAAGTTGAATGCAAAAAAAAAAAAAAAAAAAAAAAAAAAAAAAAAAAAAAAAAAAAAAAAAAAAAAAAAAAAAAAAAAAAAAAAAAAAAAAAAAAAAAAAAAAAAAAAAAAAAATTTTGTTCAGGTGATAAATTATGCTATTCATATAATTATGTAAAAAACTTTATATATTTCAAAATGAGCTTTGATAAAAAGATGCAGAAAAGGAGGGGGAAAATAAGAACGTGAGAAGGAAACGAGGTGAAAAAAAAAAAAAAAAAAAAAAAAAGTACATAAGCAGGTAACCTCGAAAAAACAGTGAAATGAAAATAAAAAAAAAAAAAAAAATAATAAAATAAAGAAAAAAGTCACATGATAGTTATAACACCTTGAAACGTTTAAAAGAAAAATGAACATAAAAGTTAATTAAAATACGTGTGCGAAAAATGTAATAAATATGAATTTGTCGGCGCACGCAAAAATGGAAGAAAAAAAAAAAAAGGAAATTCATTTAACAACTTTTCTTAAATGTTAGAATAACAGTCACATTAAAAAAAAAAAAAAAAAAAAGAATTTGAAAAGGTATATAAAATGTTACACCTTTAAATAATTTGCATGAGCATAACACGATGATGGGGTGTGTATGTATATGTGTTCCACTTTGCCAAATTGTGTACACATTTGTAAAATAGGGGAAAAAAAAAAAAAAAAAAAAAAAAAACAATAAAAGTAGTAAACAATTGACGAGTAACATAAGAAGGTACGCCATATATAATTGCAGTTCTGCATACATGGCTGCAGTAGTACTGCACACGTAGCTGTGATCTGTTCCTTAGTCAAGCTTCTGCTTAGTGGATGACGACAACCCCTTGTTTAATTGTCTCTTCGCATAAAACTTGATAATTTCATCAATGACAATAACAGGAAAGGACCACAAAAAAACTAGAAACCAATCGTATGATGTCAGTGCAACTACTCCAAATATTTTAGCCAAGGGAGGAATGTATAAAATCATAAAATGTAGGAGCAGTGATCCTATCGTAGCTAAAACAAGATACATGTTTCTCCATGGAGGAATTTTAAACAATGAGTTATATTCGCTCAGAGCGTTTAGGGCGTTAAACATTTCTATTACGACTAGGACTGATAGAGATAGGGTGCTTGCCTGAGGGGGAGGAGGGGTGCAGGAAACAATGAGACAAATTGGAGATGCATTCAATGGAGAAGTGCAAAATGGAGATGTCCCCATGGGAGCAGTTCACCATGGAAAGGTCCGAAATGCAAGCAAAAACATGCTAATCCTTCGAGAGAAGAAGCAAGTTAAATATTGATTATCTGAAACGGATGCATAGAAGATGCTTAAAAAAAAAAAAAAAAAAAAAATGATCCCGCCAAGTTTGTGCAAACATTGGGAAGGGGGGGGGGGGATATAAATTGCTTCCTAAATTTACCTTGACTTTTCCTGAGGAAAAATATGAACAAGGATCTTCTGACATTCCATAAACTCTGTTGACATTAAAAGTACTCCAAGCCTTGCATTGATTGTAATGGGATAACTGGTAAAAGTTTATAAGCGTGTGATTGTCTGAGTCCGGGTAGAACACATACCAGTATACAAATATCGAAACGGTTGCTATTCCTACATAAGTTCCTATCACAATATATCTTAGGAGTGTCAATCCGTTTATCAAATTGTCGTTCTTGTGTCTGGGTTTGCATTTCATGACGTCATGTTCTGGGGGATTGAATCCTGTGCACGGGAGTGGTGGTGGTGGTGGATATGCAAATATTCGTGTATAAGCATAAATGGGCAGAGAAGATGCGTGTGTAGAAGCATATATGTGTGTAGAAGCATATATATGTGCAGAAGCATATATGTGTGCAGAAGCATATATGTGTGCAGAAGCATATATGTGTGCAGAAGCATATATGTGTGTAGAAGCATATATGTGTGCAGAAGCATATATGTGTGCAGAAGCATATATGTGTGCAGAAGCATATATGTGTGCAGAAGCATATATGTGTGCAGAAGCATATATGTGTGCAGAAGCATATATGTGTGCAGAAGCATATATGTGTGTAGAAGCATATATGTGTGTAGAAGCATATATGTGTGCAGAAGCATATATGTGTGCAGAAGCATATATGTGTGCAGAAGCATATATGTGTGCAGAAGCATATATGTGTGTAGAAGCATATATGTGTGTAGAAGCATATATGTGTGTAGAAGCATATATGTGTGTAGAAGCATATATATGCGCAGATGGCTAGCTGGGTAACCGGCTGGATTGGCATATACCGACACGCAGATGAACTTACCAAGAGCAGTGGCTGGGAGCCCATCAGTCACTAAGTTGACCCATAGCAATTGCACGGGGGCTAGGCTGTCGGGAATTCCCAAAAGGGCAGTGATAAAAATGGACGCTACTTCTCCAATATTGCTACTTATGAGGTAGCGAATGAATGCCTTCATGTTGTTGTAAATACATCTTCCCTCTTTAATTGCCTCGACAATAGTGTTGAAGTTATCATCAGCTAGAACAATATCAGATGCTTCTTTAGCTACCTCTGTACCGTTGATTCCCATGGCTATTCCTATATCAGCTGACTTGAGTGCAGGAGCATCGTTAACACCATCACCTGTCATAGCTACAGTTTCTCCAAGATCTTTCAGAATTTTAACAATTTGTTTCTTATGTTTTGGTTCTGTTCTACAGAAAACAATACGTTGTTTATTTTTCAAAATGTCTTTTTGAATTTCTATTGGTAGATCTTCAAACTCTCTTCCACTGTAACAGCATTTATTACTTTTACTTTTTTTCTCTCCTCCACTAATTCCTCCTTTAGACAAGTCCATCTTCCGATTTGATTTTTCCCGCTGATACTGTTCACTCTCATCATCTGTGTCATCATTACTTAGTATGTTAATTTCCTTTGCTATAGCTTTAGCAGTATCCATATTATCACCCGTTATCATAAAAACTCGAATTCCAGCATAATGGCATAAGCTAATAGCTCTTCCTACATACTTCCTTGGTGGGTCGATTATTCCCAGTCCTCCAAGGTAAACCATATCTTTTTCTAATTTAAAATAACCATCTACATTAGTCATATTTAAATCTGCTTTTTTCAACTTTTTGTATGCAAAGCTTAAGGTTCTAAGTGCTCTTTTACCCATTCCTTTGATTCTGTCACAGATCATATTTTTGAGTTCTTCTGTTAAAGGTTTCGTTTCATTTTTCGAAAGGTACCAATTACAATTTCTGATGATATTTTCAGGTGCACCTTTGCAATAAAGAATTGGATCTTTTTTTTTATTTTCAACAATTACACTCATTAGCTTTCTTTCTCTCGTAAACTCGATAATTTTGACAAGTTGACATTCATTTCGCCATGCAGCTATACATTCACTTGGGTAGCTTTTACTCTCTTCCTCGTCTTCTTCTTCTTCATTTTCTGCAGTACTTCCAACCTTTCCGTTTGCTACTCCTTTTCCGTTTTTGCTTTTCAATGAATCGTATTGATTATAGGAAGAGTTATTATTCCCCATTGTTCCTCCTGTGGAGGACGTAGATGTAGAACATTTTTCACTATCTTTCTTATGGGTTCTATTTTTGTCAGAAACCCTTTTTTCATATTCAGCTGCCATAGAATTATTTTTTGTTGAATTTGGTCTAATGTCAAAATTGTGCACAAAGTGAAGAAGAGCTAATTCAGTGCTATCCCCAAAAATCTTCACAATTTCGTTTTCATCATTACAAAAAATATTTGCTTCATTGCAATTTATCATACACATGTAAAAATTGTAATCAAATTCTGAATAGGAATATTTCTTAATCTTATCTTCTAAAATTTTACTACCTCTGCTTATAATTGTATTTACATTAGTATGCATATGCTTCAATGGCATATCTGTTTCGTTATTCATCAGGTATTCATCAAAATCGCCAACTTCTTCTTCCTCTTCTTCTTCTTCCTCCCTTTCTCCATATTCATAGGTCACATTTGTATTTGATAATTTTTTATTCTTAGAAGACGTGGAAGATTCTTCATATAGAACTTTGTCGTTATTTCCTCCATCCGCTTTGAGATTGTTAAAAAATGATTCATTTTCAACATCATCATTCGCAAGACAGGATTCATAAAAAAAGAAGATTTCCCCCTTTTGACACAACTGATATTCTTTCAGTGTGTTGGGTTCTCGAAACAAATGAAATACAGTAGTAGTCATTTGGTTAGTTGTCAAAGTTCCAGTTTTATCTGAACATATAACTGTTGTACAACCTAAAGTTTCAACACTTTGCAATTTTCTAACAATAGCATTTTTCTTAACCATTCTCCTAGTCCCTAAGGCAAGACAGGTTGTTATAACGGCAGGTAATCCTTCTGGAATTGCTGCGACAGCCAAAGCAACGCTAATTTTAAAGTAGTATAAACAGCCATATAAAAAGGAACCATGGACAGGATCAGAAAAATGTTTAAAATTGATTATCCATACAGTTACACAGATGATAAAAATAATTTTAGATAACTGTCTTCCAAATGAATCTATTTTGATTTGCAAAGGTGTGTCAGTATCTTCATTTGTTGATTCGATAACTGCATGTTGTATTTTCCCTATTTCTGTATTCATACCAATATTTATTACAACAGCTATACATCTACCAGCTACAATAGCCGTAGAAGAAAATAAAATGTTTCTTTTCAATTGTATTTCACAATTTTTAAAACTTGCATCTAACTGTTCACAATATTTATCAACTGAACATGACTCACCAGTTAACATACTTTGTTCCACTTTAATACTTGTTGAAAATATTTTAATAATTCTTACATCTGCTGGAGTTTTATTTCCTACACTCAATTCAACAATATCTCCAATAGTTAAATATTTACTGTCAATGATTTCCCATTTTCCATCTCTTAAAACTTTTGCTTTTGTTGGTTGTAATTGCTTCAGTGCTTCTAAAGATTTTTCTGCATTACATTCTTGCCATACCCCCACCACTGCATTTAGAATCAATATCATTACTATGACTAGCGGTTCTATAAAGTCACAAATAGCAACTTCATTATTCTGAACATCTAGTAATGTTAATGCGAAACTTATGAACGCTGCAAGCAGAAGGATCTTCACTAACAGGTCGTCAAATTGATTTAGAATCAATTCCATAATTCCTTTCTTCTTCTCTACTTCTAGCTCATTCAATCCATACCTTTCTCTCCTCTTTACCAGTTGGCTCTTCACCAATCCTTTGTTGGCATCCACGTCCAATGCCCTTAGCACATCTTCCACGTTATGCACGTGCGCATACTTCACAACATTCTTCATTTCGATTACACTTCACGTGTTTGGAGGTTGTCTCTCAACTTTTTAAGAAGATTTTTGTGACGTTCTTTTTGGATTTATTCCTGTACCGTTTCTCCTTTACCGCTTCTTCTGTTTGTTCTTTTTTTTTATTTTTTTTTCTCTCCCTTGAAGGGCCGATCTCGTCAAAAATTTATGCACCTTTTCAATAGTGCACCAATTCGGATTCACGTAATTTTGTCTATGTCGTGTTTATATTCTGGATACAATGTCCTCATAGAGAGTAGACCAAAAAAAAAAAAAAATAAAAAAAAAAAAAAAAAACTAATGGGTAAATTCTCATACCAAATTGAGAAAACGATTTCTGAGATGTGGCGGAAACAGACGAAGTAGTAGTAGACGCAGGCGAAAAAACGAAAAAAAAAAAAAAAAAAAAAAGGGAAAAAACTAAACAAGTAAATTCTCGCTTCGCATTTTGCTCGAAATATAAATAAATGTGCTTCCACACATTATAAGCAAAAGGTACATATATATATATATGTATATATATATAATACTACGCAGCTATATATACTATACACATTTGTATACAAGTCCACATGAATCTTTCCCTCTTATTCTATTATTAATTTTTTTTTTTTTTTTTTTTCATGAATTTGTGTTAATTCTTTAGTTATATCTTCTCTCCCACTCGTAGTGCCTTTTTTTTTTTTTTTTTTTTTTTTGTTTTCCTCTCTTTTCTTCAATCACAAAGATATATAAATAAACACAGGAAAACGGAAATTTGTTTATGTTACCGATTCGTGCGTACCTGTGTGTCACGAGATATAAATCCATTTAATTACAAATGGGTATTCATAATTATGCATACACATGTTAAGATAAAAATGTAGCACATTATTATGTATTGAAATAGGTACTTTTCATTTTTAGCGAGTTTGAAAAAAATATGCACAAAAAGGGGTGTATCTGAATGTGTGTATATATGAATAAGTGTATGCAGATGAATAAATATATTCATAAGAGTATGTATATGCGTAAGAGTATGTATATTCGTAGGAATATGTACATGAGTAGGAATATGTTCATGCGTAAGAGTATGTATATGGTTAGGAATATGTACATGCGTAGGAATATGTATGTTAAGATATGTATAATTATGTGTATGAATATATATATGTCAATATGTGCATATATATGTATAAGAATATATGTACATATACATGCGAATACACAATAATTTACGTATGATGCATGGGGACAAAAAAAAAGCAAAATAAAAATGAAACAAAAGGAAACAAAGTGAAACAAAATAAAACGCGAAATAAAGGCAATGAGATAAGGGAAAAAATGAAATAAAAAATGAAAAAAAAAAAAAAAAAAAAAAAAAGGGAAAAATAAAAAAGAAGTTAATTTAAAAATAGGCAGGAAAAAAGGGCCAGAAGAAAGGTGAGTGTGGCGAGGGGAACAGGGAAAAAAAAAAAACCAAATAAAATCAAACCGAATCAAACCAAAAAATCATTCAATTCATATTCTCAAGCACCTGTTCACACTTTTGTGTGCCGAATGATGGATAATGGCGAAGGGGGCTTGCGTGTAAAGGTTTAATATATTTTGTAAGTGCAGTAACTGATTTTTGAAACCCTTAGCCTTTCTTTCAAGTACTAGTGCAAATGTGCACACAAAAATTTTTAAGCACAAGTGTGAGAAACAAGCCTATAGAACATATTCGTGGAGAAGAAGAAAAAAAAAAAAAAAAAAAAAAAAAAAAAGGGCTTTGGAGGGAGAGCGGTTTGTTTATGGGGATACTCTGTTTTTTCGCTTTTTTTTTATTTTTTTCTCTCTTTTTTTTTTTTTTTTTTGTTTCTCCTTTTGGTTTTTCTTTTTTGCTTCTTAATTATGTGCAGAGTACTGCCTCTTAGTCCCTCACAAGAAAAATTACTTCCCACTTATGCAAAAACTGTTCAACATGAACCCTTGGAGGTATTCCTGGAAATGTGCTTTTTTGAATTATGTAAATTTTAATCTAAGAGAAAAAAGAAAAACTCGGAAATACTGTTCATGTAAAAAAAAAAAAAAAAAAAAAAAAGTAAAGGAAAAAAATTTCATGACCTTGATTGGGAAAAATAAAATGATAAGAAAAAAATAAAATACAGCACAAGCTGACATAAAATATAACATAACATAAAATATGAAATAACACAATAGAAAGAATTGAAATTTCCCGAAAAGCATGAAATAAACCCAGTATATGAAACTGCACATCAAACAGAAATTAGAAAAGGAAACACAAGTAAATATATATGTAGAGAGTGGAAGCGATGGCATGCAATAAAATAAGGGTGAATAATATAACCCCAAACGGTTCTTACATTACGTGTCAAGTAAAATAATGTATACATATATCATATGCATATTTCTCCTACTAATGCATAATTTTTCTAACACCAAGTTTTGGAAAAAAAGAAAAGAACAGCAAAGCCAAAATTATTCGCATACATCCACAACCACTTCCCCTAAAAAAAAAAAAAAAAAAAAAAAAATACCTTACACATGAAATCTTATACACTCATTCACTAATGGACATAATCAAAATAAAAACGAATGTTCAATGAATGTTCACGCGAGCACACTTTTGAGGAATGTGTAACGTCAGCCAACTGTATGGGATTATGCAAACATGTTTAATGTACCTGTTATTAAATCGAAATTGAAATCGCACACTTGCTTAGTGTTCTACACACATTGGTTATAATTATCACAAATTTGTGTTAATTTATGAGGAAATAGATATCTAATATACATAGATTTGATCATCTGGCATGCATGTTTTTAAAAGATATAAATGGTACTTATATATCTTTAGGTATAGAGGATGCAGATATAGACACATAGAACTTTCTTTTTTTTCCGTTATTTTTCATGAACCATGAATAAGTATAAAAATTCCCTACATTTTTTGAAAACAACAAATCAATACAATTTTAAATTCCAATTTTTTTTTTTTTTTTTTTTTTTCCATTAATGTTTATTTTGAAACGGAGTATGAGATGTATACACGTGAATATATGGCAGATATGGTGGTGCGTTATCTCATTCCCTCATTATGTTAAGAAGGACACAAGAGAAAGATGCTTTTCTGGGATATGGATATATCGCGCATTCCTAAATTCATAATTTTTAAAGTGGATAATAGGAATATATTATCATACATGGTATACATATAATACATATTTTGAGGAAGACATTATAATAATATACTATCCAATACCCAGATTGAGTATTTCAAATAGTTTAATCCTTTGAAAATATTCATATGTAATATATATTCCCGTTCGAAACAAGAAAAAAGAAAAAAGAAAAAAAAAAAAAAAAAAGCATCACTGAATGTTTGCTTTCCTATTCCAATGTATGCATTTTTTACTAAAATGGATAGAAATAAATTGTGAAAAGTGATTTTAGGTATATATATTGGAATCTCTACTTTTCTAACGTGAGAAAAATTAAATTTACTCATTCATTTATGTATATATATATATATACATATATGTGTATTATCCGTTCCGTTTGTACACTCTCTTTAGTCAATTGGCTACCGACACATTGTTATGGCCACTTTATACATTCGATATAAACAAGCACTAAGATCAAGCGTTTGAAACATAGTTAAAAGAAAATTTATTTCTCCCTTTAAATTTTAATCGAATTTTCCTCTTCCCCCATTCCAACCCAATCTTAAGATGTTATATAAACCTTCAAAAAAATAATCTACCTTTTTTTTTCCGATAATTTGTAAGCAATTTCTCCAATCATGCATGCGGTTTCTTCCTACAACAATGTTGGACCTATCAAAATTTCATTAATTGCCCCGCTTTGTTTTTTCAGCAAAGTAATATGGGTTGTTGGGACTATATATAAAAAACATAAGCTTTCCTAAAAAGAAAGAAAAAAAAAAAAAAAAAAAAAAAAAAAAAAAAAAACTACGCTTAAGTAGTAATACATGTTAACAACAAAAATGCTAACTTGACCTCCTATTCCAATTTGATAAGCTATTTTTCATACCTTCTTCATGCAAAAGAGACACATTTATAAATAATTAAGAGTCCCATAACAAACGTCTCCCTATAAGAAATCAATTTGAGGTTTTTTTTTTTTTTTTTATTTGCAACACCTCCGTTTTATTCTACCAAGTTGTCGTTTTTTTTTTTTTTTTTTTTTTTTTTCCCCCCCTTTGCTCAATATATTTGTTGTGTTACTTTGTAAGGATGAAATATAAGAGAAGAAATATATAGAAATACCCAATTTTGTTGTGTTACTTTGTAAGGATGAAATATAAGAGAAGAAATATATAGAAATACCCAATTTTGAAAAAGAAAAAAAAAAACGAACTACTTACATTTTTGCATTTTTTTTCTGTCCCGTTTTTTGAAAAAGGCTGAGAGGAAAATTGATCATCTGCCGTAGGGTGAATTATTGATGCAGGGGAGTTGATTTTTAGTTTCCCAAATTTGCATAAAAAGAATTGCGCACACTATTGTCACAACTTAACATAACAGAAGCCAAACAAAATGAACGATGATGGATCAAAGTTACTGTATGAAGGAATTAACTTGATTTTTGAAAAGTGGTAAAATTGAACATCCACCCTTTGTTTCTTGTGAAAGAGTGGAACAAAAAAAAAAAAAAAAAAAAAAAAAAAAAAAAAATATGAAGAGGAACATTTTATCCCGTTTCTCCCCTACCTCCCAAATCATTTAAACGTTTTTTCATTTTATTTTGTTCTCGTGTGCCATTCATCACAAACGTACTAAAAATAGGAACCATCCCCCTTTCTACTTTTTAATTGTTTAATAAAACGTTAAACAAATGTGATTAAATATTTACACAGACATATATGTATATATATATATATATTGCCCCCCTTGAGGATATGGGGAGAGTGTACATACAGACACACCGTTTTTAATCAGCATTCTTCTTTTATCAAATTTACAAAATTTTCTCTCTCATCCCACTTTGCACCACGCTGTTTTCTTTTAACTCCATCAGGACAGTTCTCAGACTGGCTGTGACGCACAATTGGGGAGGACCAAACTCAGAAGAAAAAAAAAAAAAATTAATCGAATATGTGCATAGTTATATATTATCAAGTAAGAACTAAAAGGAAAAAGAAGTGAAAGAGTTGAAATAGGGGAAAACACAATATGATAAAAAAAACATTATGAACGTGTTCATATGCATAATTGTGTAATAACTATTATTGGGAATATATCGCTCTATTAGCTAGCTACAATATTGCTTTATGTTTTTTTTTTTTTTTTTTTTTTTTTTTTTTTTTCGTTCCACTTGGTCCATTTTAGCTAGTAGCCCAAAACATGAGTTGTGTAACTATTTAAGGGACGAAATGAACACCCTTTTTAATGTAGATATTGAGGATGACAGTGATGTAATAATACAAAAGAGTAAAAAAAAAGGAATTAAAAAAATAGAAAAAAAAAGAAAAAATGGCACAAGCTTGCATGTCTTTTCACGAATATGTGCAAATATATACATGTATAAACAAAGAAATGCACATTTGCCCCCTCTTTTCACATGTAACTCCCCCTTTAGATTGAAGTTTCCGAATTGATATTGGACCTTTACAGTAACTTGAAAAAGAACAACTTGGAAATTATAGAAAAAATAAAGCAAATAAAGGAATCAGACTTGACACATTGTAGGGAAAATAACTTAATACAGGAAGGTTCCGGTTTGGAGGAAGGTGAATCAGATAGCGATTATTCGGAGGAAGATCAGTTAGAAAGTTCTTATTCGGACGAGGAACATTCCGTGGGTAATCATTCTGATGGGACGCAATCAAAAAGTGAATAAATAAAAAAGGAAACCACGTGAAAATAAATGATATAAGACATCGAACTTTATCATTTGTAGCTGCATATGAGTAAGAAGTATCATAGGTGCGCTCGGAAATAATGGGACCTCATTCGTATAATTACCTGTTTAAAATGTAAGCATGTATACATACACAAATGTATAAATATACATATATATATATACATACATATGTGCGTATTAAAGCACCTCTAACATTATGCATTCCGTCTTTTAATGAATCATTTTTACATAAAATAAGTGCACGAAAAATAACGTATCCCTCCTGTTAGCAATCCCAAATGGGAGAAATTTTTGAATAAAGGGAAAAGGAAGAAATGGCTTAATGGCTATGCTAGAAGAATGTTTAAATAACTTTTACTTTTCTTGTTCCTTATTTGTATATTTTCGATCACATATATAGTGAGAAATCAGCCCTTTTTCATACACATCCTTATATGGCAAACGTATAAATGATCAATATATGAGAAAAAAAAAAAAAAAGACATGAACAGAGTTATACATTATGAACAGAACCTCTCTGTTGGATAGTTTATTCTTTTTAAGATTTTTTTTTAATTTTTTCCATTTGATATTTATTTTGAAATAAAAATGTTTCTTTGCATAAGTTCTTTCTATTTTTTCTCCAAAAAAAAAAGACTTTACATTTTTTTACTCGAACTTTTTTAAAAGATTTATTCTTCGTATAATGAGAATAGATGGGGAGGAATCGGTAGGCGAACTTACGCATGTGGCTCTATTTTTAGCTTTGAAAAATAGTTGCCTTTTTGCTCCCTGAAAAAAAAAAAAAAAAAAAAAAAAAAAAAAAAAACACAACACAACACAACACAGTAGCAATACACAATAATACAATACAACATGGTACAATACAACATAGTGCAATGCACAATAATACAATACCACATAATGTAATATAACACCACATGGTGCGGGTGAGATTAAAGCTAGAGCACTATGTATAGATACACGTTCAAGCTTATGTCAGACGACATTTTTTACACTTATGACTTTTGCCTTTTAGTTTTTGTGCCATTTTGGAATATGTACAATCTTATGGAACAGGTACAATTTATCCATGCTACATACAGTTGTGTTTATATGTGTTAAAAAAAATGTTTTTTTTATTTTTGTTTAAAATTTTAAACTTTCCCCATTTTGCCGGTTAATGGGTATGTTTGTGTGTACATGTCATTTGTGTGTATGTGTACACGCAAAAAGGAGAAAATTAAAAGAAATTATGACATAGGAATGTAGTGCCTTTCGAACAGTGTATCCATATTATTAAGGGTAAATTATACATGTTGTATTTTATTTTTTTTTCTTTTTTTAGAATTTAATATTTGACGATTTCGTTTCAAATTTGTTGAGGAGGGGGAATATGAAGGGTTAGGAACATTTTTGCGCATTTGGCAGTTTTTGTAATGTCTGCCTTTTTCATATGCGCATACACATGAATGAGAAAAGAAAAATATACATACATACATATATATATATATATATATATATATATATATATATATATAAAACATCCTTTTGCTTTAATAGGAGGGAGGATTTTTTTTTTTTTATTTTCTCGTCCGCTCTCCCCCCATGTGCATGCATGTATGTGTATAAATGGAAATATATGCCTACTTTCTCAATGTCACTTTTTTTAACAGTTTTGGAATTTTATTTTATCATTCCCAAATTGAATGTTAATTTTAAATATAACTTGATATTTTTAAGAATGATCCTCCTTTCTAGGTACACCTTTTTTTACGTACTTAAGGGGAGGTATTTCTTCTTATTTTTATTCATTTATTTATTTTTTATGTTTAGACCTTTTTGATTATTCAAGATTGTGGCAGATTATTACTTTTTTGTAATCTCACATGGAATACTTCAAGAAAAACCATTGTTCCAAGTCATGGAAATTGACTTTGTGAATTTGAAAAGTCAGAACCCATGTGATGTTCTGTTTAGTGATAAGGGAGAAGCAGTGACTGATGGGGTGGGAGAAGCAGTGACTGATGTGAGAGACTCAAGTGAAATCGACCAAAAAGACTTGGACTCATGTAAGAGAGAGGCGTGCAAAAATTGGCATAAAAAAAGGAACAACAACAGTGAGATCGGAGAAAGTATTGCAAATTTACACCATGTGGATTGTTCAAGAAATGTAGAAATTTACAAAAAAGAGGAAGCTCAACAAGTCCAAAAAGACAATGAGCTGTATCAAGCAGGAATAAAAAAAGGAGATAACGAGATGGTAAATAGAGAGCCAGAATGCAGAGAGAAAGGGATTCATGAAAGAAAAATAGAAAATGAACAAAATGAATTGTCTCAGATGCGTGAACATGTTCAATGGAGGACTGCCTACCTCGAGTTGAATCAAGAGGAAATTCCACGGTTATGTGAAGTCAATTCTGGGGACACTCAGGATGAAAATAGTGAATCTCAGGTGAGAAGAAGCACGGATGTGAATAGAAGCACGGATGTGAATAGAAGCACGGATGTGAATAGAAGCTCGAATCTGAACAGAAGCACGGATGTGAATAGAAGCACGGATGTGAACAGAAGCACAGATGTGAATAGAAGCACGGATGTGAATAGAAGCTTGAATCTGAACCATTACAAAGACAGAGAAACAATAATCGAATTGCACAGAAACAGCAAAGGCACCAATATAAACATATACAAACGCATGTACCAGTCGTACATGTACTTGAAAAAGGAGCAGAGTGAACTATTGGTTGAAAATCGAAAAATGCAGGAAAGAAATAAAAAATTAAAGTATGAATTAGACAGTTTAAAAGGTAACAACTATTATTCCAATTTTTTTTTGAAAAACGAGTCAGAGAATCTCTTTGATGAATTGGCATCAGGAATAAGCAGCATTTTTAAATGGATGGATATTGAAAATAAAATTTCTCAAAATAAAGCTTCTCAAAATAAAGCTTCTCAAAATAAAGCTTCTCAAAATAGAGCCTCTCAAAATTATTCCCATGAGGAGAGGAGGATACCTTCCTCTTCATTTGAAACTAGGACAGAAGCTCCACAGAATGGTCATATGAAGGGGAATGAAATTTGTACACATTTCTCTTTTCAGAAAAATGAAATGCATAACGATACAAAAAACAAATTGAAACATAATGAAGAGGATGCAAATGAGAAGAGAGTTCAATTTTTAGAAGTAAAAACTACAGACAGAGATGGTGATCATCATGCGACATCACCACATGTGAATTGCGAGGAAAGAACCCACCAGAGAAAACTTACATCTAACAGTATGCTGAACGAGAAGCAGTCATGTCTAGGAAATAATGTCCAAACAGAATCATCCATATATGAACATTCTCTTGTAAAAAATGATGATGCAATAAAGAAAAGTAATTGGTTCAATATGAATTTATGCAAAAAGGGTTCCCTAAGCAGTAATCATAACTCAGGTGAAAATTACTCTGTGGCATGTGCGCAACAAAATTGTGAGACGGAAAAGAATCACACATCTATTGGAGCAGAATATAATGGAGCAGCATATAATGGAGTAGAATACAATGGAGTAGAATACAATGGAGTAGAATACAATGGAGCAAAATACAATGGAGCAGAATACAATGGAGCAGAATACAATGGAGCAAAATTTAATGAAGCAGAGTCTAATGCAAATGAATCCGCTATTGAAAATATTAACAGGACAATCATAACTAATAGTGCTATAAGGGGAAATGAATTTGACATAAGTAAAAATAATTCATTATGCATATCAGAGGAGTACAAAGGAAGCGACAAAAAAGGTATCGATTCTGTGATAAGAGAGAAAGATTTATGTAAAAAGATAAAGGACGAGCTAGACATGCAAAAATATGAAGAAGCTGAAAATGATGCGAATCAGAGGAAAGGGAAAAAAATGCAGTTTCAAAATGAGGGTTATATATATTTGCAACAAAATGGAAGGGAAAAATTGACCATGACTTTATCTCAAAGGTTTAATACTCAGGATGAAAAAATAAAAAAAAAAAAAAAAAAAAATTCCTTTCTATGGCAGAAGGAAAGTCCAATGAAACGATGGGGTGTAAAACATAACTACTTGAACGCAAGTTTAGAAAATAGAGAATCCAAATTTGCAGAAGTGGATCATGAATTAAGAACATTTCAAAATAGAAACTATGTAAAGGATAATATTATCGATTACATCAAGGGAAGACTTCAATTAGATGGTAGATGGTGCACTGACGAACGAAAAGAAGAAATAGAAATTACTTACAATGTTGCAAGAGCAGATATGAGTCAACTGAAAACAGTGACACAATCAGATGTTAAAAAAACATCAAGCTATACTTCATGTAGCAAAAGGGGTGAAATTTCTCGTTCAAATGAGGATGATAAAGATAAAAATCATTTAATCTTTCACATTTGCAATTACAAAGAAAATAAGTATGTTCCCATAAATTTGGATCAGTTTTTTTTGTCTAAAGAAAAGAGGGCAACATTGGATGAGGACTTTAGCTTGAGTTGCTTGAAGAAGAGTATGGAATTTATATTAGACATGAAGAGACATGGAAATTCTCGTGATGGAAGCAGCAATAGAAGTAGCAACAGAAGCAGCAACAGAAGTAGCAACAGAAGCAGCAATAGAAGCAGCAATTGTAGCAGAATGAAAAACATCCGTGACTTGAGTGACATTCAGAGAAATAATGCACGAATAGCTGAAGAACAGAACGATTTTCCTGCAACATACATTGAGAACCGTGGTACATGGAATGATAAGAAGACATATAAGAAAATTACAATAACATCTGCACAAAGGAGCAAGGATGAGAACAATACAGCATGTGAAGACAGAAAGAACAGAAGAACAGATATTAACAAAGAAGAATTGAGAAAAGAGGGAATATGTTCCAAGATGAATGAACTTCCGGGAGACGATAATTTCGAACATAAGGATGAGAAAAACAGAGGTAGTAAAAAAACAGAAAGGATTCTAAAAAATGAGGGAAATGAAGAAATATATTTTTTCAAATCGAATCCAAGAAGAGCGAGCAATAGAAGTGGTAGATGTAACACAAAGAAGATGTTCCAATTTTGCAAAATGAAACGATTGAAAGGAAAGAAAAATAGAATGGTACAGAAAGTAGACAGAAATCATGGCAACAAAATCGGAGATATAATTACGTACATAAATTTAAAGAGAAAAAAAAAACAGCCAGGAGGATGCAAAACATTTCAAGTTGCTGTAAAGAAAGAGAGAGAAGACGAGCATCAAATTTATATATTTATGATAAAAATGAACAAAGCTAATTTGTCATCTCGTGCAAAGGTTGGTTTTCCTGATGAGGAGCATTTCAAGAGAGTTCATAAGAAAAGAAATACATTTCTCGTTCGGGAAAAAAAGAAGAAATTGACAAAGTTGAAGAAGCGAGAGGGAGACTATTTCAGCTGGAAGGTGAAAAGTCCTTTAAAAGAAGCAGCGGTGGGAGAGGAAGAAGAAGTGGAAGTGATGGAAGAAGAAGAAGAAGTGGAAGTGATGGAAGAAGAAGAAGAAGTGGAAGTGATGGAAGAAGAAGAAGAAGTGGAAGTGATGGAAGAAGAAGAAGAAGTGGAAGTGATGGAAGAACAAAGGAGAAAAGACGTACCCCTTGAAGTGGCTACAATGGGCAGTAGTGGCACTTGTGCTGATAAAATTTGGAACTCAATTGTTAAAGCAACGGATGAGGGCCATGATGACATATTAAAAAAGGTCCTCCATAAGAATGATGAAGTCACAGGGAATGAAAATGTAAATATTGTAACACAAGAATATATGAAACTTGAGAAAAATGTAGAAGAAAATTATGACGTGCTCATGGAATGGAAGAAAGAAATGGAAAAACATATACAATCTCTTAACATTTCTGAAAGACAAATCGAAAAGTTAATGTCAGAAAAAAAGGATCAAGTAATAATAATAGGGATAAAAATTATTTTGGGTGATAATCACATATGCTTACTTGTGGATGCATTAACCAGCATTGAAGATATAGTAAATACATGGATGAGAAAAAATGGAAATTTTCTGAACAGTTATGTAAAGAATAATGATAAGATTTCTACATTTTTTGAATATTACTCAATTGACTTGTTTACCTTTTTGTCCACTTTTTTAAATATTCTTGAAAATTACGTGGATGAATTTCCATTTTATTTTTCCATAGCACTTGAAGAAATGTTTAGTTTTTGTTCTGAGAATTCGACACATGCGAATGGGCGTTTATCGAGAAGGAAGTTTTCAAACGTTTGAGATTTCTTCCATTTGTTAATGGGTACTTGAAAGGTTAGATGGTATGGAATGTCTTGAAATATTTTATGCTGTGCTTATGCGTGCACTCTTCTAAGAGGGTTGCGAGTCTTTTTTTGCAGGAACCATATTAATACGGAATTTTCTAAACCCTTGGTATCATTCCATCTATTCACTGTCTTGTTTACTTTCTTAAAGTTCATAAAAGATGGTGAAAAAAAAAAAAAAAAAAAAAAAAAAAGTCTGCCAATCGAGGGAATCCTCTTTATTACCTCATCATTAGACATTATTATCAGCTAAGGTTATATTGAAAAAAAGAATTTTTTTTTTTTTTTTTTTTTTTTTCTACTGTTGTTATACACTCATATTGGCACTTGTATGCACAAAAGGGAAGAAGAAGTGTGGCCAAGTGATGAAGTGGTGAAATGTGGTGTCCTGCCTTACTGGCATACTGACGAAATGCTTAAATATTTTTAGAATTGGGAAAGTGACGAAATGCTTAAATATTTTTAGAATTGGGAAAGATGCAAATATTTCATTGTAGCAGAAATGGGAATGTGAATGGGAAGGGGGGCCATTGCTGTCCTTACTCCCTCTATGTCTGGGCTTGTCATAGAAACGGATCACAAGTAGAAGTACCGTAAAAAAAAAAAAAAAAAAAAAAAAAAAACGCTTGAATATTAGGATTAATCAGATTTATCTCTCTAAAATAATGTACATATCTATGTAGCATTTTAAATTCTGCATATATTTTTTTCTTAAAAAAAATATCAATACCAAACTGGGAAACCATACGAATAAAGATGTCTAGGCGGATGCTTTTTTTTTTTTTTATTTCATAGTACATAAATTGGCACCATTTATTACACTACACACGATATCGCACCTGTTCCTGTAAGCACATAAAAAAAAAAAAAAAAAAAAAAAAGTCATTACTTCTGTGTATGCAATAGATATAGACACATAGATACATGTGTATATATCCATATGAGCATGCTTTTCTCATCACCCGATTTGTGGTGAATTCGTGTAAAACATTTGACATGTGCATGTATAAAAGAGGGGAAAGAAGGAATAATTTTATATTCACTTGGGAGAGTGTGTATATGTGTGTGGCTGTTTTTTTTTTTTTTTTTTTTTTTTTTTTTTCTTTTTTTGTAACCCATGTGGGAACAGTTAATAATATAACTTATACAAAAAAATGAAATACTTGATCCTGTTGCATATCCTTATTTTGTACATTTACAAATATTATGAAAAGAAGAACACTAATGGTGATGTCTTACACTTAAGTCTTACAACAGGTGGAGATGGTAAAGTTTTGGCATTGGATGGAAATGTGTCCTATAGGAGAATGTTGTATCAACGAAAAGGACGAAGAAGAAGAAGAGGAAGGGGTAGGGGAACTCGTGGTAGACGTGCAAAGAAACTTGAACGGAGAAGAAAAGCACAGCGCAGGAAAGCTAGAAGGGAAGAAAAAAAAAGAAAAAGACAAAGAAAACGAGCTGAACGAAAGAGAAAAAGAAAAGAACGTAAAAAAAGAAGACAGGAAAAAAAGGAAAGGAAGAAGGAAAAAAAAAGGAGAAAAAAGGAAGAAAAGGCGTTACAGAAAGAGAGGGAAAGAAAACAAAATAATGAACAAGAGATAGATTCGAATCTCAATTCTAAACAAAATGAACATGATGAAGTAGGTCAAGATGGATCCGAATATCTATCTAAAGATGGCAATAATTATGTGCATCACCAGAATGGCCCTAACACCGCATCACCAGGAGGAGCTGGAGGCATTCTGTCCCCAAGAAATAATGCAGAGAAAATTGGTCAGAATAATAATTTGTATGGAAGAAATGGCGAACCTATTGATACAGACAAACTGCACCCAGCGTTGTATGAAGAAGGGAACCATGAGGAAATCTCAGACGAGTATGACAATTCAGGACAGACAGGTACAAGCACAGCTGATGGGGATAACAATTTGGGAAGTCCACACGAATCCCAATTGGGTGGTAATGTCAAGGTTATTCATTTTGATAAACTCAAAAGGAAACCAAAAAATATAATTATAAACAAAATTAAGGGCATTCTGAATATGCTCGAGTGAGGAAGCGGCGAAAAAAAGGGAAAAAAATATATCTCAGCAATGAGAATTGCATAGAGCTCTCGGTTTTTTTTTTTTTTTTTTTCTTTTTTTCAAGTTTATATCTGCCGCTGTTTTTTTCCATTTTTCCCCTCGGAACATTGTTACATGAATTAATATCTTCTTATTCCAAAATAATTTTGTTATTCCACAAGCATGCTCTTTTTTTTCTTTTTTTTTTTTTTTCCCGCTCTATTTTTCATTTTTTTTTTTATTTTTGTCCCCTTTTGTGAGAAACAATAAAAGGGGAACTTTTTTACAGACACTTTTTGGTTAACACCTTTTTTTCACAGCTACTGATTTAATTTTTTTAAAACGACGTAATGTGCCACGGGATATGTGTGCATATTGGTATACCTGCATATATTACACATGTAAAGTATGTGTTTATGCATGTGCATGTTGAGTACCTTTGGTGAAGAGGTAGCTCTGGTTAAGGCAGCTTTGGTGAAACATCTCTTCTTTTTCTAATCCTTTTTCTAATCCATTTTCTAATCCATTTTCTAATCCATTTTCTAATCCATTTTCTAATCCATTTTCTAATCCATTTTCTAATCCTTTTTCTAATCCTTTTTCTCCCCCTTTTATGGAGCACCGGTTTGTCCATGTGCATTTTTTTGGGTCCCCTGTTTTTTTTGCAAAAAAATATACAGCACAATATGGCAAACAACTACATGTACATATATGAAGCTTAGGTGGGAAGGAGGAGAAATGTATGGATTTATATTTGTAACGAAACCTGTGATGCGTAGTTCTTGCGAAAAAAAAAAAAAAAAAAAAAAAAAATAGAACAAAATAAAACAGAGAACACAGATAAAATAGATAAAAGAGAAAAAACAATTCAAAATAGTAAAAATAGTTGCATATACGAAAAATCTATTCGGGGGTGGACTGGGGCTTGGCTGATATCTCTTCCCCATCCACCCAGCTTCTCAATTGTTGGAAAGGAGAATGACATTTTGCCTGAAGCAAATTACGGATAGAAAAACTCTCAGAGATAATGTTAACAAAAAAATATAGATATTTTTTTTTTTTTTTTTTTTTTTTTTATTCAAATATTGAACTACCAAAAAAATGCACAATATTTATTTTATTTTTCTTTAACCAGTTGCTTTTCTTTTTTTTTCCTTGACACGTTTACAGTCGCTTATTTTTTTCCATAGCGTATTTTTTTTTTTTTTTTTTTTTTTTTTTTTTTCTCGAAACGGATATTTTTTCCCCACCCTCTAACTTGTCGAAGTTGTTATTTTATTCTTTTAGTTTATTTCATTTTTACCTATTTTGTTTTCTTTAAAAATATATACATATATATATATATATATATACAATGTACATTACTTTCCCTGTGGTATAGGAAGTTGTAAGGTTGCGCGGTTTCATTACGAGGTTGCAAAATAAGAGAGAGAGATAGAGAAAGGTAGAGAAAGGAAGAAAAAGATAGAGCAAGAAAAAAAAACATATATTGTAGGTTAATAAATTTGACATATTGGAGAATTCAGTAAATGGGTGGGTAGTGGTGAAATTTTAGCCCAAGTAACAAAAAAAAAAAAAATAAAATAAAATAATAAATAATAAAGCATACCTAGATATGCATACATGCTTGTGCGCAAAATTTATACATGTTTACAAAAAAGAAAATTGTGGAGAATTTAACATATATTTGACGACAGGACATGTAAACATATGTATGTATATATATATATATATATGTATATGTATGGGAAGGTATGTACATGTATTGGCATGTATTTATATGTCTGAGCATGTATGTATATATAAGAAGGTTAAATTTTTTTTGCGTACTTTACTCTCGTCTGTGGGCTTGAAAGCCATCATATTATGCCAGACATTATTTTTCCCTTCGAAGAGAGGAGACATATGGAAGAGTAGAAAAGTCCTTAAACTTTTTTTTTTTTTTCCAAAGTTTATATATACCTCTGTTATTACACGTTTATGACGAGAGTGATTCAGATTGAGAGAGATGAAAGCGATAATTTTTTCCTATATGTAAAGTTGCTTAGCTCATATGTTTCTTATCAAGGTTTATGTATACCAATTCAGAAAACTTGTGTATGAACAAGTCAACCTGATTAAAGTCCTATATATAGGTAATTCTCATGTTACTCCAAAAACTTCGAATCGGATAAGGACATTTTCTTTGTGAGAGCAGACACTTGTACAGGTTCTTCCACACACGGGAGAGGCACGTACATATATATATATATATATATATATATATATATATATATATATATATATGCACAATGGACGAGAAGCGAAAACATCACAAGAAAAAAAAAGTAGGGAAAAAGGCAAAGAAGAAAAAAATAAGCAAAGGTGGTGGTGGGGGCGCGAATCATTTTGGGAAAAGTAGTGTATCGAAAAGATTCCACAAAGCCTTTGCCTTCAGTGGAGGAATCAGAAGTGCCCATCGGAGGAAACAACATCAATTTGAATTGGAAGAAAAGAAGTTAAGGGCTCCCAAGCATTTTAAAGAATGTAATAAGAATGGCCCCTTAATTGTAGCAATACAAGGAGCGAAAGGAGTGGGTAAAACTACTTTATTGAAAAGCGTAATTAAGCATTATGTAGGAATAACGATTAATGAGGATGTACAGGGTCCAATTTCTATCATAACCAAAACATTAAAGAGATACACATTTATAGAAGTGAATGAAGATATTTTAAACATGATAGATATTGCAAAGGTTGCAGATTTATGTTTACTGGTAATTGATGGGAGCTATGGATTAGAATTGGAAACGTTGGAATTTGTTAGTATTTTAAATACCCACGGTATGCCAAAAGTGATAGGCGTAGTTACCCATTTAGACAAATTTAAAGATAGTAAGAGCATTCGAAAAAGGAAAAAAAAATTAAATAAAAGATTCACTGAAGAAATGGTTGAAGGAGCTAAAATTTTTTTTTTCAGTGGTATACAAAATAGTAGATACAACAAGACTGAGGTCAGAAATTTATGCAAATTTATTTCTGTTATTAAGAAGCCTCACATATCGTGGAGGGATAATCATGGCTACATCTTGGGATTGCGGCTGGATGTGGATGAGTTGGAAATTGATGGAGCTATTCAAAACAGGAAAGAATGGACTAGCCATAATAGCAGTGGGGACACGAAGGAATGGACTAGCCATAATAGCAGTGGGGATACGAAGGAATGGACTAGCCATAATAGCAGTGGGGATACGAAGGAATGGACTAGCCATAATAGCAGTGGGGATACGAAGGAATGGATGCATGGGGGGGAGGGTAGCATGACCGGTCTCGCTCGCACAAATGAGGAAGGCAACATGAGTAGAGAGGACGAGGAATCAGAAAAACAACTGAGTACATTCCTCAGCACCTGTAACGAATACGTGTGTGTGCATATAGAAGGATTTGTTTACGGGTCCAAGATTTTCAAAAATCAAATGGTTCACATCCCAAATATAGGAGATGTGCAAATAAAGAATATACACATTCTTCAGGATCCTTTTAAAACTGATGAACAGAAGAAGAATCCAAATGTTTATGCACCCATGGCTGACATAGGAAACGTTGCCTTCGATTTTGATAACATGTATATTCATATTCCAAAGAGTAAGGTGAATTTCACGAGGAAAGAGATGCTCCTGGATGGGTTCAAGTCGGAGGAGAGGAGGAGGAGAAAGGGCACCGAAGATAGAAGTAATCCAGATGGAGAAGAAGATGGCGAAGAAGATGGCGAAGAAGATGGCGAAGAAGATGGCGAAGAAGATGGCGAAGAAGATGGCGAAGAAGATGGCGAAGAAGATGACAAAGAAGATGACAAAGAAGATGGCGAAGAAGATGAAAAGTACATGACGGAAGGAATACGAATGATAAGAGCTCTTCAGAATTCCAAATACGCCTTTTGCAAAAACATTGAAAAGGACACTAAGCCAATTCTGTTTGATGTTCAAAATGAAAGTAATCAGAGGAGGAAAGTTCCCTCCAATGTGTTTATCAGTGAGAGGCAGAAGAAAAAGAAGAATGCAAAGAACTATGTCAACGAGAAAGTCGAAGAATACAAGGAGTTGGAACCCATTCTCTTTGACAAGAGGGAGGGAAAGAAGGGAGGCATAGGTGAGGAGGACTATCACTATGTCGATGGGATTAGCCTTTCTGCCACTGAGTGGAGCGGTGAGGAGGGAGAAGTAGTGAGGGTGGAAGATAGTGACTCAGATCGGGATGAAGTGAATGGGGAAGAGAGTGATTCAGATCGGGGTGAGTTGAGTGGGGAAGAGAGTGATTCAGATAGGGATGAAGTGAATGGGGAAGATAGTGATTCAGATAGGGATGAAGTGAATGGTGAAGAGAATGATTCAGGTCGGGATGAAGTGAGTGGGGAAGAGAGTGATTCAGATCGGGATGAAAAAAATGGAGAAATGAGTCAGAATAGTATTCACAGATGCAAAGAACGTGGGATAAAGCAGAGTGAGGCGGAAAACAGAATGTTGCATATTGGCCGGTTCATCGAACCTGGGAAGAAGGAAACGGAGGAACAGTCACTTGGTAGACACATTGTGGAGGAGAAGCACTCACTGACGAACCACACTTTAGCGGAGACCCTATCATTTGACAACAAAGTAAGCTTAGACACATTCCTATACGATCGTCGCTACATCAACAGAAAGAATAGCCACTTATATTGCAAGGGGGAAATTATGGTGATTATAAAAAGGGAGAAGGAGAAGTTAAGACGTACAGTTGTGGTAAACAGAGCTGAGGAGAAGAAGAAGGAGGAGGAGGAACAACTAAGCTATGACTCCTACATTCAAGATCTTCTAAGCATTGACATAGTGAACACAGAGAAAGAAAAACAAATTTACAGTTACATGAACGAAGATAACTACTATCTAGATGAGGTAGATTCATTCAAATGTGTAAATGATGAAGTTTTTATTTTTAACAATTTTTCAGTATCCTTGTCTGACACGCGGGATAACGCACTCGTGGGAAATTTCTCTTCACGGTATGGAAGTTTATATGAGCCATATTTTGAATCTCATTCTGGATCTCATTTAGATATACATACCGATGACCATCTGTCCATCGATAATGAAAAAGATGCACAGAGTGACACGAACCGAGGTTTTGATTCGAACATCTCACCAGTGGAACATACAGAGGATGATAAAGAAAATGAAGGACAACAAAATGGTGATGTGGTTCAAAATGGTTTGTTGAAAAAGAGGGGGAAAGCTGCACTAACAGAAGAAAGAATAAACAACTTAAAAAGAATAAAAGCAGAAAAAGAAGAAGAGAAAAAAAGGTTCCTTGAAACGGAAGAAATCGGAGCATTGAATGTAAACACATATGGGTCATCTGTGAACATAGGTGAATATGTAAAACTGGAAATAGAAATTGAGAGAAAAAAATTAACAGTATTAAAAAATTGTACAATTATTTGTGGAGGATTACAAAGTTATGAAGAAAAAGATTCTTTTATTCATTGTCGTGTAAAAAAACATAGATGGTATCCGAAAGTGTTAAGGTCAAATGATCCACTAATTTTTTCAATAGGTTGGAGGAGGTATGAAAGTATTCCAATTTATTCAATAAACGAAAGAAATAATGTTAGAATAAGATATTTAAAATATACCACAGAACATATGCACTGTAATTGTACATTTTATGGTCCTGTAGTAGGTCCCAATAATGGAATACTAGCCTTGTATAATTATAAAAAAGTACCGTTTTACCGCATATGTATAAATGGTGTAACTTTAGAAACAAACAACAATATCCATATTATGAAAAAATTAAAATTAATTGGAGAACCATATAAAATATTTAAAAATACAGCATTTGTAAAAAATATGTTCAATTCTGATTTAGAAGTATGTAAATTTATCAACTGCCCAGTCATAACTCCCAGTGGTATTAAAGGTTTAATTAAAAATAAAATAGATGAAAATGGAAATTTTCGATGTACTTTTGCAGACAAAATTCGAATGAGTGATATTGTTATCTTAAAATTATATGTTAATGTGAAAATAAAAAAATTCTTTAATTATGATATTGAAAATAAATTAAAATCCATAAATGAGTTAAGATATATATATAACATTTACGTAAATCATAAAAATAATTACAGGGCTGTTCCCTTTCGACATTTTTATCATTCAAAAATTCATATCAATTCAAAATTGTTGAAAGAACTACCATATAAATCTAAACCGAAATTATTTAAAAAAACAGAAGACACTAATCAGATCAAAAAGAAACAACAACAGAAGGACGATCAAATTAATTTCAAATCTCTTGAAAATCCAAAGTTAGCTGCTCGATGGTACCAAATGTTGCACACAATTAAGAAAAATATCATAGACAAGAAAAAAGAAAAAGCAAAAGTGTCATATCATCTCAAGTTGAAAAAAAATATCATGGTTGAGGAGGCCAAGCAGAAAGTACTAAAGCAGAGGAAGAAGTTGTCTTACCGCAAGGGACGGGGGTGAAAATGTGTGCGACCTACACGCGATCCAAACACATACACAAAAAAAAAAAAAAAAAAAAAAAAAAAACTCAGGTGTTGATAAGCAAGCGTTTGTGAGAGGAAAGTTTTTGATGCTTACAGTTATGCCCAAGTGTCCAGGGCATTCGAAAGTAGGACTCATTTAAGGACAACACCTACTCCTGAATTTGTTCTAACCTTTTTTTGACTCATTTTATTTGCACTTTAGCCTTTTTTTGTTTTTATCTGAACTGTGCATGCGCCAAAACTCCAACCTTTTAAATTTGTTAATATTCCTAGGGGAACGTGCATACGTGTTAAGACACACCTAGCATTTTCCACATGATTCATTTCTAAATAAAAACATGCGTATAAGGACGTTTCAGTAGTGACGTGAATTGTCATTGCTAGCATTTTAACTAATGTACTCATGAAAAATTAAGTGTTGTATAAAAGTTCTATCATACTAATTATGTCGCAACAATTGTGCGCGTGGGGTAACGTATCAGCTGGTATATTTTATTTACCTGACCATGTCAGGCAAAAAGGGGATATCTATATATAGTTATGGAAAATAATAGCAAGGATATATGACACATTTCAACTTACATTACTCTGTAAATTCAAAAGGAGACATTGAAAAAGAAAAAAAAAAAATTGTTGTGTATACATGTCTTACAAAGGTGCAATGTAGAATGGGAAGTTCTGAAAATCTCTAAGACACACCCACTTGTGTATGTTTTTGTGTTTTGTAAGTTTGTGTTCCACATAAGACACACACGTGGCTGACTTTTTTTTTTTTTTTTTTTTTTCTCAATGTGGGAATGCAATTTTTGTGGTAAATTTTTTCCTTCTAAACAGGTTGTGGCTTGTGCACACTTGACACATTTTTTGTTAGACGAAATTAAAGTATTCTAGCATGCTATACACTTCTTTTCCATTTTATTGTTATTTCTTTTTTCTTCTTCTTCTTCTTCTTCTTCTTCTTCTTTTTTTTTTTTTTTTTTTTTTCGTTATATTTTTCCTCCACAATAGTTGAGAAGTTATATTTATACAGCTAAAATTATGGTCATTATTTTTATTTTATTTTTTTTTTTTATTTTATTTATGAACGGCAATGTGACAAATGTACCAGCCGCTTAAAGCGCAAACAAAATTAATTTAACCGATATTTTTTATACGCATGTATGAACACCGCACTTTTACATATGCATATGGATCATAGCTATTCCTATGCAGACAAATATTATCGTCAGAAGAAAAAAAAAAAAAATAAGAAAAATAATTTTACATATAAACAGGTATGTCATTTATTTGGGAATAAATTGTAGTTACTATTTAACTATTATAAATTGCATTTTCTCTGAGGTGACATACAAATTTGCACGTTGTGCACTGAAAAAGAAATGAATGATGATGTGTATGCAAATGAAAAAATGACATGGCTGTAATGAGTGAATCGAGAGTTGAGAATAATTGTCGTTAAATGATAAGATTAATTCCAACATAAAATTTATGCACAGGTAGGTGCAAAAAGTACACTCCTTTTTATTTCCTTTTTATTTCCTTTTTATTTCCTTTTTATTTCCTTTTTATTTCCTTTTTATTTCCTTTTCTTTTCCTTTTCTTTTCCTTTTCTTTTCCTTTTGTTTCGTTTCTTTTCGTTTCTTTTCGTTTCGCTTCATTTTTTTTTTTTTCCCTGTCTCCCCCCTTCCTTTCGCATTGTTTATTTTTTTTTGCAGGGTTTTATAACCGCCTTGCGTTTGTACGCATGCAGAAATGCAGAGAGTTGGTGGTGGGGGGGCACTGATCACGCTAATTATACTGCACACGCAAGGTGTACGAAAAGGATACTTGCATATACATATATGTACTTCTTTGAAATTCTTGCAGCCATTCTTAAGGACACACATAAAAATAAAAACAAACATGCTGAGGAGCGAGTGTATGGTCTTTATGCTACTCGCTTTATTTTCTTATCGATCAGTACGAAGTTTGACACATTCAGTGCCTTTTACACCGTTAGTACCTTTGCGTGCTTTCCAGACTACCCGCCAATCCGTGTGCATATACCATTAGCTCAAGTACAGTGGACTGCATCGAACGCGGACATATTGGTAGTAGACTGGAAGTAGACTAGTAGCAGACTAGTAGCAGACTAGTAGTAGACTGGAAGTAGACTAGTAGTAGACTGAGAGCAGACTGGAAGTAGACTAGTAGCAGACTAGTAGAGGACTAGTAGCAGACTGGTAGCAGACTGGTAGCAGACTGGTGGCAGACTGGTAGCAGACTGAGAGCAGACTGGTAGCAGACTGAGAGCAGACTGAGAGCAGACTGACAGACAGATTGGCACCCTGATTGAGGCCTCGGCAGAGCAACAATGGCACACTACTTATCAAATTTAAATAACAGTGACAGATATGACGGCAGCCAGAATTACCACTCCAACAAAGTTTTTAATTCAAAATTGGTTCTATTAGGTGCTCATCGAATAGACAATAATGCTTTCGACCAGGCTTGTGGTCACGTGTGCATAAAAATGTTCACACGAAAGTATATGCATAGATATGCGGGACCACACAAAGGGGGAATCTCCATAAAGATAAAGAAAGAGAGAGGAGGAGACAATGCATCCTCATTTAATAAGCGTCACTCGAAATATAAATGATTTAAATGAACTACCATTCCGACTCACACCCCCGTTACTGCAGGAGACACATCCGTAGGAAAATCATGTATCGTCGTAAGATTTGCCAAGAATGAGTTTTATGAATACCAGGAATCTACTATTGGTGGTAAGTTGCATAAGATGTTCTCGAAAAGGAATTCTAAAAAGTGCGAATCTTGTGAAAGACAATCATCATTAGTTACTCCAAGGGAAAAAAAAAAAAAAAAAAAAAAAAAAAAGGAGAATAACTTTTTCACTTGAACACATAAATTTCTCGTGCAACACGTAACATGATACATATTATATTAATCTTTTTTTTTTTTTTTTTTTTTTTTTTTTTTTTCTTATTCATTTGATATACAAACATATGTCCAACATTTGCTTCTCTCCAAGCCGCATTTATGACACAGCTGATTGACATAGGAGAATGCACAATAAAGTTTGAAATTTGGGACACTGCGGGGTAAAAAAAAAAATGAAAAAATGGAAAAAACAGACATAAACTCTGGTATTAGAACAAATAAGCAAAAAAGTAAGATAATATATAATGTCCCACATCACCATTTCCCGTACCATTTCAATAGGCAAGAAAGATACAGAAGTTTGGCCCCCATGTATTATCGGTAAGACACACAAAGTGTAAGAGTAGCTGTTCATGCATTTTTGAAAAAGTATATGATTATTTTGTACGATTTGGCTAACGATATCTTTCTTTTTTTTTTTTTTTTTTTTTTTTTTTTTTTTTCTTTGGTGTGTATGCGTGTGTGACTGTGAATTGGAAGAGCTAAATAAACGAATATCTGTTACGTTAGATTATCCTAATTTATCCTTTTTTTTTTATTTTTTTATTTTTTTTTTTTTTGTTTCATTTTTGGAAAATATAGAGGTGCATCAGCAGCGGTCATTGTATATGACATAACAAACAAGAAGTCCTTCGAAGGTGCAAAGGGATGGATTCATGAGCTAAAATCTGTGCACTCAAATGACATTATCATAGGTAGGTCTATCTCACAGTTGTGCACGTAGATAAAATAACCAATTTGTTCCATGTGGTGTATTATGTTGGGATGTTGCTATGCCGGTGTGATATATATACATTTTCTTTTTTTTTTTTTTTTTTTTAATTCCATTTTTTATATCCACTGTTCATTCCATTTTTCACCTCATTTCCTCCTTTGGTTTACACACCTCCAACTGCCCTGCGTAATTCCTTCGCTCCCCTACCCGATTGCAGCCCTGGCCGGAAACAAAAATGATTTGGAAAAAAACCGAGTGGTGGATCGAGAAGTAACAATGAAATGTGTAAACTTTTACGCATTTGCATGAACAGTACATGCAAAATGGACATTTTTCGCCAAATTTTTATGCGTCGAGCGTTTGTTGGCAGAAATTACATGATCAGGAATGTCCGATGAATTAGCACAACATGAGGCAATTTATAGTGCCTTTATTTTACTTTATTTATTTATTTTTTTATTTATTTATTTTTTTATTTATTTATTTTTTTATTTATTTATTTATTTATTTATTTATTTTATTTTTATTTATTTTATTTATTTTTTTGTAGCTTGCTGAATCTTTCGCTAACAGCAATAACATTTTGTTCATCGAGACGTCTGCGAAAACGGGACAAAACGTGAACGAGTTGTTTTTAAGGATAGGTTATATTCCAAAAGCACAAGGGGGTGTGCACATGAGAAAAAGTGCTACTTGTTGTAAAATATATAATTTTTTTTTTTTTTTTTTTTTTTTTCTCTTCATCTTCATTCGGCAAATGTGTTTCATTTCCCCATAGCTAAAAAGTTGCCACTACAGAAGAAGGAACAGGACAAATTTTCTGGAATTCAGGTTTCGCAAGAGTGAAAAATAAATACCCACATATATACAGACATATATGTGTATACACCTTTGCAACCTTTTGCAATTTTGCCGTGTTCCAAATAATAGTAAGAACGAGTACCCATTTGGATCATCGATTCACACACACTTATATGACAAATTCCTTTTTAGATTAACAACACTGAAGAAACCAAGAAAAAATGCTGCTAATGAGATGGGGTGCGATGGGAAGATAATTATATATTTTTCTTTGTCTATTTTATTTTTTACCTTTTCGAAATATTCACAAAACCTCCACAGGCATTAAACGAATAAAAGAAAAGAAAAAGAAAAAAAAAATTAGCAGGTTTACATAGGATTATTTTCAGTCAAGTTGTTAAAAAAAAATTCCGTTTGGTATTTTATTTTATTTTATTTTTTTTTTTTTTTGTGCAATTTATTTTATGCAGCATTTTGATCAGTTCCGCTAGAATATACATGTTTTAGAAGAGTATGTATGAATGCTGTAATTGTATCAACGAATTTTATATGGAACAGACTCTTATATCACATACTTTAATGTGTAACTACTACCAAAGGTATGCTGTCACGTTATTCTTCAACGTCTTCTAGCATGCATACGACTTGTTTCAGAGGAGTGAATTTCTTTTTTAAACACATTTTCATTTTCATTTTCAATTCTTAATAATTAATTTAAGTTATGCCTCTGCTGCGCCTTTCTCTAATGTTTGCCATTAATTCGACCTTTATTTGTATATTATACATCCTTCTCGTGGATCTTTACCCTTTTCTACATAAATAAACTTTTTTTCTTTTTTTTTTTTTCATAACACTTTATCCGAAGCGTTTTTTTTTTTTTTTTTTTTTTTTTTTTTTCCATTTTTTTTTTTTTTTTTTTTTTTTTTTTTTTTCGCACCATTGTTTTGTTTATCTATTTGTTTATTCGATGAATTTCTTCCTTTTTCCTTCCATTTTTTTTTTTCACTCCTGTTGTACCACTTCTTTTGACCCTTTTCTGTGTTCATTTTTACTGCACAAAAGAAAACCTCCCTCCCAAGGTTTTATACACAGACCTATGCCCACAAAAAATTGGGAAACATAATTTTGTTGTTTTGCCATTCTGCTATTTTGCCATTTTGCTCTTCTGCCATTTTGCCATTCTGCCATTTTGCCATTCTGCCATTTTGCCATTCTGCCATTTGCCGTTCTACTTTTTGGCCACTTAGCAATTTTGTAATTTTTCGCTTTAACGTTACTTCGAATCATGGACTCACAAAGTTCTGACATTAATTAAGGTGCACATTTTATTTTTTTTTTTTTTAACGAAGGAAAAATACAACACATGCATGCATGTGATCTGCACGATCATTGATCTGTGCGCCACACGTGATTATTAGGTTTTGTACTTCCATTTTATAATTCAGTTATGCTATATACTATGTCATATTGTATCACATTACACTGTATTATATTATACTATATTGTGTTATATTGTATTATATTTTCTTTTCCATTCCTTTTTTCTTGCCTTTTTTTTCCATTTTTACCACGCACATGTGGTAAAAGAATATCTCTTTTTAAAAATAAACTGTTGATTATATCACGTCAAAATGATGCTTCAGGAAATACTAGTTCAAGTCATTATGCAGAGTAGATTCAACAGAATAAGAGTAAGGAACGGATAGTATGGGAGAGAAAAGGTCTTACGTGCTGATTTAAAATGAGGTGTAAAAAATCTTTTTTTTTTTTTTTTTTTTTTTTTTACCCAATTATTCAAAATTTTTTTTTTAGACAGGATTATTATTAGTGAGTTATAGGTGTATTAAAAGTGGTAGCTGGGATATGGAACATTTTTTTTTTTATATGAAAACTGTTGCAATCGAACTGAATTTCTAAAAATGAACACCGTTCCATTGATTATTCAATGTATTTTAATTATTTACTTGATTAAATTGAATGGATATTACTTATGTATATTGAGAAGGCAAGGTATAAGCACATTCAGTAATGTGAAAAGGACGCATTGTGCAAGGTGTTTTAATGTGATTAATGTGCTTAGTCGGATGGACGTCAGTTTCTCTTCATATAGATTCAGACACAGAAGAAATGTACCTGTTGTGAAACGGAAGAAAGTAAATTTTATGTATTTTATTTTCACAAATTTTGGAGACAACAAACGAGGGTATTCTGCTTACACGCATGGTGCTACTTGTAAAGTGTGTTATTTTTCACCTGAACATGTGCAGGTTAAACTTTTCGAGAAAATAGGGAAAAAAATAAAAAATAAAAGGCAAAGGAGTAGCATATTTTCGTCCTCTTCAAGCAATGATAATATTGGAGGTAAAAATCTTAGAGGTGCAGATATAAATTGCCCAGATGTAACTGCAGAGTATAACCCCCAGTTGGAAGAGAGTGAAAAGAGACTAGGGTACAATACGAAGGAAGGAAAGAAATATAAGAAATTGTTAAATAGACTAAATATCCACGCGGTTTTACTTTGTGGAGGTATAGGGAAAAGAACCGAATTAGCTAGTGGAAAACAATTTTTAATGCTAAATGATATACCAGTTTTTATTTATTCATTTAATTTATTTGTGAAATGCAATTTTGTAAAATCTATTAGTATTGTATGTGATTCGAATTTTTTTAATAATATAATTGGAAGTATTAATATGTACAATATTTCCCTTTTGAAAAAAAAACATCAGATGGGATTTTTGCACAAAGGACATTCTAAACAAGTGAAGAACATGTTGAATTTAGAACAGCAAAAAAAGGATATAATAATACACAAAGATAACACAGATAGAGATGTTTTCACATGTTTACAATTTTTAAAAATAAATAAATACATAATATATGATAATGAGAAGGGGAAATGCATCACCCATTTGGATGAGTTACTGAACGATGTTATGAAAAAAAAAAAATTACAATATGAATCAGAGCTGGAAAAGGAAATGTCCAATTATGTAGTTAAGAAGAAAGATAGTACTGAATTGACAAAAAGAGAAGCAATTTTTGATTTAATAAAAACAAGTGATATAGATGCAAACAGATATAAACTTATAAGACTGTTGGATAGAGGTAAAGAACGGGTAGATTCCCTTTTGAATGCGTTAGAATCACTGGATTTGGGGATCAACAACCAGGATTACATTTTCCAGCTTTTACAAGATTATTGGGGAAAAGTGAGAAAAATGGGACATATAGAAAAATCGGACGATGCAGAAGAAGTGAGCCATGGGGGTGAAGTGGAAAAAGAGACAGAGCAACTGAATCCAACGAAGAACCGTTACATATCGCATATCATGGTGCATGACGGAGCTCGACCATTTCTATCAGAGTTCGATTTCTTCAACTTAATTTACATGTCAAGCATTGGAAAGAATATGATACTAGGGGCTGGGGCAACGGACACCATTAAGCTTATAGACAATTCAGTTGGCATTGGAAGTTGTCATCGGCTGAAGAAGAATATTGACAGGAAATTGATTTTTCTAGCTCATACTCCACAAATATTTAAGAGTCAAGAGTTGCTACGTATTCGCTTGCATTTGGTGCAACCATCTAATGTAAATGAAGAAATAATGGGAGAGGAGGAGGAAGAGGGGCTGAACAGCAGCAGCAGGTGCTCATATAGAGATAAAATGCATGATAGAGAAATATCAAGAGGAGTGTTAAGTTTTACCGATACTTCTTCCCTCTATCAGTACTTTACAAAGAAAAAAGTATACACCTTACAGGAAAAATTTCCAAACTTCAAAATAACCACACCGACAGATGTATTTTTGGCTTTTCTTTTGATGGAACACATTTTTACAAATTCATATGGTGACATGGATACACGGATATTCAAACAGGATTTCATTAATTCACATTCCTCTTACGTTCTAACAAATCAGTATAATGACTTTTTTTTTTACAGCTTGTTGGATGAGAAGCAAAAGATTCTATATCGGCACTTTTACTACCAGTAGGACAGTACGTGGTGTTTACACATGGTTCGATCAAGTGTACATGAGGGTTCGATATATATATATATATATATATATATATATATTACGCCTTTGTACATGCCTTTCCTTTTTTCTTTTTTTTTTTTTAAATCTCTAGGTTCCGAAATAAATGAACCACCAAAAATACCAGCACACGGGAGATATATTTACTTCTTCCAATGGTATGTTACACAGGGATAACTTGAGATGCACACACTGCTGACAAGTCTCATCTATTTCTCCATTCTTTTTTTTTTTTTTTTTTTTTTGTTACTCCTGTTTGGGATATCCCATTTTTTCGGATTTCCCAGATGAATGTACTTTTTCAGGTTTTTCTAAATTTCCAAATAGAACTTTTCTTTTACGACAATATGTATGCAGTATGCGTGCACATGTGTATTCAATTGTACGTTAGGAAAAAAGGGGAAAAAAAAAAAAAAAAAAAAAAAAAGTAAAAAAATCATATGCATGAAATAAAAAAAAGCAAAGAAATGATATATGAACGAAATAAAAAAAAAGCAAAGAAATGATATATGAACGAAATAAAAAAAAAAAGCAAAGAAATATCATATGAAACAAAATAAAAAGAACCCCCTTTTTTATTAGTTTATTTTATCCCATTTTTGTTCCTGTATTATTATGCACTCTTCTTTTTTTTCTTTTTTTTTTTTTTTTCGCCCGAATAAACATCAATCAAAAATCCAACTAAGCCCACGTACCTGTCGCATTTCTGTTAAACCATGATACACACACACATATGTTCAATCTCTTACGGATTAAATGTCGTGAGCATTATTTGCAAGAAAAAAGAGGAGAAAACAGAGAATGAAAAATAACTGGGATTTGATTTGCCGATTTATAGTGCGACAAGTATAGTAGCGCTAAAATAAGTGAAATAAATTTAAGTGCACATTTTAGGGGAGGTCCAAATTAAGAATACACGCACACACATACATACACATACACACTCTGCCGTTCATCTCTTATCACTCATCGTTCATCTCTTATCTCTCATCGCTCATCTCTTATCTCTCATCGCTCATCTTTCATCTCTCATTGCTCTTTACTAATCACACATCGTTCATCTCTCGTTCTCGTGGAGGGGATCAAGCAGTCATTGTATATCGCTTCTCTGTTTGTCACCTATACATCTGAAAGCACAGCATCTCATCTTTATAAAAATTATCGACACACACACACACAAAGCATTTGCTTAACGCGTAAAGAGAACACAGGCACGAAAACTTTTTAAAAGAAATTTAGTCGACTAGTCTATCATTTTTCTCTTGTGACGAGACCCTTAAGTAGGGAATTGCATGGGGAAAATAAAAAAAAAAAAAAAAAGGAAAAAGAAGAATTACCTGCATCTTCTTAACAGTTTTGAAAAAATAGAATACATGTAAGTGTTGAAAGTTGCAGTTGAGTTGAGTGATATACATTGTTGTGGTTTTTTTTATGGCTGTCTTATTGCTTATCCAGTGTAGCATATTCTGATTCAATCAACTACCCATTTGATATGCCCTCCCATGATACCTTTTCTCAGACTAAAATGAATAGGAAAACCCCCAATATGATTAGAAACACCAATGCGAGAAGCAAAAGGAATGAATTGAATGAGGAACAGAAACTGGAAATAAAAGAAGCGTTTGATCTTTTTGACACCAATGGGACAGGTTAGTGGTTACATGAAAGTGTTTTTTTTTTTTTTTTTTTTTTTGAATGGGACAGGGGATAAGGGTTCACGACAGATGGGTGCCATATCTCAGCTTCAAGCGAAACCAATGCATGGGACACATGAAAAGGGTTATTTGGCAAGAATTACATGCATTTGCACTGACCCCTAAAGTCATTCCCACAACTGTGCACATGCACAAGTAAACGTGCGCAGAGATGCACATAGGGACGTATTTATTTATTTGTTTTTATTTTTACTTCTTTTTAATATGTGAACACACCAACCAGCCAACTTCTTCCCCTATTCATTCGATGTTCTAATAACTGATTTGTCAATTATGCACAGGTAGAATCGACGCGAAGGAGCTGAAGGTTGCCATGCGAGCATTAGGATTTGAGCCCAAGAAAGAGGACGTAATTTGAAAATAAATAAATAATAAGAGAAAATAAAAAAAAAATTAAAATAAAATAAAACCTCATTTACACACGTGTGTGTATTTTTCCACTTTAGTCGTTGTTCTACAGTTTAGCAGAGAAAAAGGAAAATAAATTTCATACACATATAAGTGCCACACACACGTACATAATAGTGCCATTTTAAAAAAAAAAAAAAAAAATGCACGTTTCCACACCTGAATTTTACCATTTCTGTCTCCCACTTTCCTCTCTTATTGCATGCTTTTCAGATTCGAAAAATAATTTCTGATGTTGACCAAGACGGATCCGGAACAATTGACTTTAACGACTTTTTGGATATCATGACAATAAAGATGGTTCGACACGAATCGAGGAGTTGTGTGTACATATACATACACACATACGTACACATTTACATATATGTATGCATATAAATACACATGTACACCGTGTAGGAAGTCGTTATCTCTCTTGTTCTGTCACACCTCTAAGCATGTTTGCTAATTTTCCACACTCATCATCCGCACAATCCCAATGCTGCTACAGAGTGAACGAGATCCAAAGGAGGAAATACTCAAGGCCTTTCGCCTCTTCGACGATGACGAAACTGGAAAAATATCTTTCAAGGTATTGCACCTTAATAAAATTTCCTTTTGCACACAATAGGGACACTTTTTTGTTAACCCAGCTAGCTTTTTCGTCATATTATTTTTTTTTTTTTTTTTTTCTTACGTTAAACCAGCTAGCTTTTTCGTCTTTTTATTTATTTTATTATTTTTTTTTTTCTTTCGTTAACCAAGCTAGCTATTTTATCTTCTTTTTTTTTTTTTTTTTTTTTTTTTTTTTTCTCTTTTCAGAATTTAAAACGAGTTGCGAAAGAGCTTGGGGAAAATATAACTGACGAAGAAATACAGGAGGTAATAAAAAACACAAAAATGGAAGGAGCAGAAAGTATTCTTAATCGTACCCGTATCTGCATATTTAATGTGTGAGGGCTAAGTTGGCAACTATGAATCCGGCGAATAGGACTAGCTTTGCTGTGGCCCTTGTGCACATACCCATAACGCATCTTGTTTTCTTCCCCTTTTCTTCACGTCTTATTTTTTTTGATTCTTGCATGTTTTTTTTTTTTTTTTCCTTTTCTTTCCCATGTTCCTTTGGGTTCCTCAGATGATAGATGAAGCTGATCGAGACGGAGATGGCGAAATAAACGAAGAAGAATTCATGCGGATTATGAAAAAAACCAACTTGTTCTAGAGTGCCTTGTATTCTGTATCCGCACAATGCTTGTACATGTATATGCACGAAAATGTATCGATATATATACACCGTATTGGACGTTGGTCAAACGTGGATTATGTGAACGTATTTGTGAACGTGAAACCATCACCATCACTTTATGCATGAGATCCCTTGAATTTGAACCTAATTTCGTCTGTCATTTCAAGCCTTTTTTTTTTCTTCTTAAAAGGTTTTTTCCTCGGTTGTGAAAACTGCTGTGGGGAATTATTTTCGATGTGATTTATACGTTCGTCTAATTTATCAAGTAGGGATTCATCAAAAATGAGTAAATTTTCATAAATTTTTTTTACAATTTTGAGATGCTCCAATTTCAATTCATCTATAACCATCTGAATGCACAGAGAGAAATCAATAAACAGATTTATATGTCGTTCTTGTAGATATGCATAAGACCACACAATTTTTACAATTATATCACTTCTCTCGCGCGAGAATATGTAATTTTTATTTTGAATTTGAAATCGAATGTATGGTATTAGCAGAACCAACATCTCTTTGACTTGTTCTTTCCTTTGGTTCATTTTTGTGAGGCCATAAATTAGCTTGTACAGCATAACATTAGAAAGGGATTTCACACTGAATTGAGCATCTTCCTCTTTGATTGGATCTCTGTTGAGGGGCCATTTCTGTCGAAATTCCTGCACATGTTGTCTATATTCAGTTTTAGTAGTTCGTCCGGTAAGGCTTCGTATGTATACAGCTTTTGGCTCGCTAGTAGCGTCTGCATTTGTATTAGAATGGTTGATTACTTTTTTCTGTAACTTTTTGATATTTTGATTTTTCTGAATAACATTTGTGAGGAAATAATCGAGAAATGTGTTCAATATCTGTTCATTATTCCCTAATGTACAGTTAAGCATAGACAAATTGTATATAATTTCAGTGAGGTGATAAATGGAAAACAATTGAAGGATATGGTTTGTATACATATGTATGAAGAGATATTTCAGGGTATTTATATCTCTGAGTTCTGAAAATTTGTTAAAAAAAAAAAAAATATATTTTGGTTCATATGTTAATATACTTTTAATAATTTTCTCATTAGCTTCTTTATACAATGTTGAAGTTAACTTCACCTTATTCAAATTTTTGGTTTCTTTATCAAGTTGACTATTTTTTTTATTTCTAATGATATAATTCATAAATAAAATACAGTCATTCACACTAAAATTTTTAATTTTACTATTTCTTATGATGTTCAATATGTTTTTATTATTTTCCACATTTATTTTATCTGTAACTTCGTCATAGAAAATCGACGTTTGATAAATGTTCTTCCGTTTTTTTTTTTCTATTTTTCCTCTACATGCTAATGGATAGGAGTATTCTTCAGTTACATTTCTATCCACATCACTCCTCCTGTGATGTCCCTTTTTTTCTTTCCCCACAATTTGTGTCAAGTATTTTTTTAATATCAGATATCTCGATCGTGGTAACGCAATTTGATGGTAAGAGCAACAACTGAGGATGGTGCTTATGCCAAGTGCTGGTCTTATTCTTCTGTTCATTTAGAATGGAAAGGCATGAGTTCATGAGTTTGTCCCTGTGCATACCACTTTGGTTCTGTTTTCCCACTCCCGTTTACGTGTGTGTGTGTGTTTTTTGGGGTGGGGATATGATTGAGGTAAATACAGGTCTTCGCATGGAATAAGTAGTGGGTTGTGTGATCCCTCAAGAGTATAAGTTATGGGAGAACCTATGAGGCCTTGTCCTGTAAAGAAGGGTTGCAAGATGGTTATATACATGTGCGTATATGTATATGTACATGTATTTACATGTGTGTATATGTATATCTATGTATATTTATATGTGTGTATATGTACATGCATTTACATGTTTGTACAGTAATCCTCGTTTGGACGTGGCTAGACTAGGTTGCAAAATATCTTCCAAAGGGATCTACGTGAAGAGTCAAAGTGGAACAAAATGAGGTGCTATCCCCTCATCATTAGATAATCAAAACATCCTGTATGTAATTGCATACAGTTGGGTTTTCTACTGATAAAAAAAAAAAAAAAAAAAAAAAAAAAAAAAAAAAAAAACGCATTCCAAACATATCGCAATTTCATTTTTGCAAAAATGGGAATGGCAAAAAATTGGCACAGTGTAAACAAGTAACAGTACGGGGTGGGTCAATACCTTGGGCCGTCTCCGCGAGGGAAAAAAAAAAAAAAGTAAATAAACAAATCGTTTGACACTTATGCAATTTGTAGAAATGCAAACACATGAATATATCTCTCCAACGTTTCACACCATTTCTGCTGCTCTTGAAATAGAAAAAATCCTTGTGGAAAATTTCTCTCATGTTCGTTATTTATCTCTCACAACTGAGGCATTATGGAGAAAAAAATCTCCCTTTTTGGTCGTGGTCTTTTTTTTTTTTTTTTTACTCTCCAGAGTGAGAAATAATCAATAGGTACACATGATGGCAGGTGCTAAAATTCGAGTTTGTTCATGGAACATATATAACGATATTTGGCATTCTGTTAATGATAAGGTAGAAAATAAAACTCACGCATATTTTAGAAGTATTTCCAGGTTGAATTTTATTCAGGAAATGTTGCTGGATGGACGTTTTGATATCATGTGTCTCCAGGTATGAATAGGAAAATTATTTCATACATGGACGAGTATTATATTTCTATTGGGAGGGAAAATCTATATATTTGGAGAAATCTATGTACCTGTTGTTGTGTACACATGATGAACTTCTACCTGATCTCTGAAAATGCAATTTTGTAACAAATTTTGGAAAATAGAATTGGAAGAAGCTTTACCCTTTTTTTTTTTTTTTTTTTTTTTTTTTACTTTATTTTATTATATTTTTATATTATTTTTTTATTTTCTCCAATTTTACAACCTTAGGAGGTAGACCACATTACAATTACAGGATTGAAAAAACAGAGCGTTAACCACAAAATGACATTAGTAACCTCACAACAAAATTTCCTAGAATCTAGAAGAAACAATTGTTGTATTATGTTCAGGTAAATTTACACTGAAAGAAGCAGTAATTGCTTCAACATGTTATGAGACCTCCCCCTCCCAAAAAAAAAAAAAAAAAAAAAAAAATCTACAGGAGAATTTAGCACCACGATTGAAATGTACATGTTTGACAAAACATGGATATTTATTCTGCTTTATTATTTTTTTTTTTTTTTCCTCCACCACGTCTTATTTCCCTTTTTAGGGATAATTTCAAATTAGTTGCAAAAAAAGATTTTAACCTGAATAATTCTGTGTCGACTCATTTGACGAATTATGCTTATGAGAACTTGTATCATGTAAGGCACTTGTGCATAACCCCTTAACGAAGGAAAGAAAAGAAGTAGCTGTTTCTCCTTTTTTACTCTTTTTTTTTTTCTTATATACATATTTATTTATTTACGTATTTATTTATTTTATTTTTCACACTAGATCGAAGATGCATTCATTAAAGAGCTGAGGGCGAGGAATAGTACAGCCACGATGATTCTCCTCGAGTTGACAAGTGTAAGAATAGATAAAGTATAGAGGCACAGATTTCTATTTTGCATTCTCTTGTTTTGCGTGTACTTTTTCTGCATGTACATATCTCATTCTACACCTACCCATTCGCAATCACATTGCATGGACAGATTTAGTGAGAAAAGAAAAAAAAAAAAAAAAAAAATCTGTACTACGCTTGAACGTGCATTAATTATTTTAGCTATCACAAATATGTCTGCATTTCTGCATTTCTGCATTTCTGTCTTTTTTTTTTTTTTTTTTTATTCTACATGGAAGAGAAAAGCCTTCTTAGGAATTTGCAACTGCCACATTCATTGGAACCCATCGTATGCAGATGTGAAGTTGTTTCATACCTATTTCATTGTAAAGGAGTTTTGTCAATTTGTCCATACCACTCTCGTGGGGTGGTATTCTTTCATCCCATTGCTATTAATAGGAGACTTCAACTCAACTCCACTTTTGGTAACTTGATATTTTATACCCATACAGATCATACACATTATATTTATTTCACAGTACACTATTATATATAAGTGAAAAAAAAGAACTTTTTTTTTTTTTTTTTCTTTTTTTGCATTGTGAACTAAGATTGTCTACATTTTTTTCTCATTCAATGAACGATATCTCTTTTTAGAAAATTCAAGGAGGCCCAGAGAACACCACGTTAAGTGGTGTATACGAGTAATTCCTTTCCCCCCCCCCAAAAAAAAAAAAAAAAATTAAAAAAAATAATAGCAATGATGCAAAAATAATTGCAAAATAATTGCAATATAACTGCAATATAGTGAGAAAATGAGATCAGAAATCATCACAATTGATGGCGTAATATCCAAATGATATGTTCGTACCACTTGTTACCAACCTGCAGGCTAATAACAACCGGGAATTTGTCGAAAAAGCACCCTCACCATCCGGTAAAAATTCCCTAAATTCGAACAAAAACGTGTATAAACGTGTACATGTATAATTACTATAACCCATAGGAAATGTTTATTTCGTCAGGCCCAGTTAAGGAAAAATAAAGACTTCCAAAATTACCCAGATCTAAATATAGATCCATTTAAAAGTGTCTTTAAAGAGGTAAAGCTAAAACAGAACAGTAATGTTCGAAAAATGCGTTTTTTTTTTTTTTCTTTTTTTTTTATTTTAATTTTATTTTTTTTTCTTATATTCATTTTCTTTCCCGTGCTACACTGCTCCCAAGCATAAAACGAGAGGAAGAAAATGAATATGGAAAAAAAAAAAAAAAAAAAAAAAAAAAAATATGAATGAATTCTTTAACTAGGAGATAGATTTTACCACTTTGTGCATAGGTTAACGGATCCGAACCAATGTTTACTAACAAAACATCAAAGTTCAGCGGGTGCATCGATTTTATTTTTTACAAGGAGCTCATTCCAATTTCAGCCGAGAGTATTCCTCGTAACTTGGGGTTCGGAAAATTTACATTCAACATTGCATGCTTGCGCGTGTGTGTGTATGTATGTATGTATGTGATGAAGGAATATCCTACCAATTTGCATACAATTTTGTAATTTTATATGAGCAACATTACAGCGTTACGTTTCAGTACCCCTTCACTTCTCTCCTTTAATGTATCAATTGGACATTGAGAAAACCTCATAAAAATCCTTTTCTTTCACCTTTACAATAGAAAAAATGAAATTTTACCCAACTCGAATTTTCCCTCGGATCACGTAATACTGATGTCTGAATTTTTTCTTGTTTAATAAAGGTTTTCATACATGACAAAAAAAACATCATTGTGTTAGTGCCATTTCACATTAATTTTTTGTCAGCAGAAATGTGCTTACATAGAAGTTTGTAGGTTAACCAAATGGGGGGGGGAGGAGTGTAAAAAATTTTTTTTTTCTCATTTTTTTTATTGGATAAATATGAACAAGTCATGTGTTCATACGAAATGCAGTAGCTAAATCGCTTTGTTGCATAACACAGATGAAGTATATTTTTCTGACGGTTCATGCGAATTGTGAAAATGGTATATATGCGTTTGCATATGTGTGTTGCATGTGTTTGCATATGTATGCATATGTATGCGTATGTGTGCGTATGTATGCTTATTTTATTTATTTTTTTTTTTTTATGTACACTCCCAGCCGTGCCGGAAAGGGAAAGCTTAACCGATTTGCACACACGCGAATATATCCTGTTTTTTTTTTTTTTCCTTTTTGTTCTGAACGGCAAGGTGGAAAAGATGAATAGGGAATTGTTAAATATTATTTTACGTCCTCATTTTTTAATCTTTTATTTGCTGAAAATGTGAATAATACATTATGATGGTGAAGAACTGTTAAGCAATGGGGTCACATATAGGGGATTCTTCATATTTTTTGTTGCAGTGGTATATGGTGGTTATACAATCTATACTCGTTCACCCTGATTAAGTATCTCATGTTCATGTTATTTCTTGTGGTGTATGTTCTTTTTTGCCTTTTTTTCTTTCCTTTTGGACCTTCTTAATTTTGTAAAATCAGGCTGATAAAAATAACTAGCCCCAAGGGTTACATTTTGGAGAACAAGCTGATATGTTGTAAATGTGGGAGAAACGTTAACAGACGTGGTTGAGACTGAGACGGAGACTGAGGTTTGATGTTAAAGTTGAAGAGATAGAGAGCGAGTTAACAAAATGTGATCTTAACTAAAGAATTCCTTCTCTTTGTAAACCTTAGGCTGAGACAATCAAAAAGTGAACAAAATAAAAAATAAAAAAAAGGAAGTGTGTATATTGTGTGTGTTTAGTTAGTTTATTTATTTTTTTAATTCCTTGTTTCTTTGTTTTTATTTTTATTTATTATTTTATTTTTTTTTTTTTCTTCTGTTTCTCTTCCTTTTTTGGAGATACAAAGGGAAAAGCGCCTCTTCTCCTTTTACTTATTTTATAGATATATTTTGCAAAATGGAAAAAATGGAGGAGTTTTTTTCTGAACATTTTTCTCAGGTCAGTGCGCCTACACACTCTTTTGCATTTTCCCTTTATTAAATTTTTCCAAAGTGTAAGAAGCTGTTGAAGGCATTTAAAAAAAAAAAAAAAAAAAAAAAAAAAAAAAAAACATGCACGTAATAAATAATTTTAGAATGCGTGCCATGTTTGTTCCCGCATTGTGCAGGTACACATGGGGTTATTTTCGCGAGCAAAGAAATAAAATAAAAACTGAAGAGGCAAAACTTAAGAGGCAAAACCCGGAGGTGCAAAACGCGAATTCCAATTACCAATCGTAAAAGGCTAGAAATCGGGCTGATAGTCAAAATTGCAGTTGTTCAAGGGCACTGAATTTTGTATCTACCATTTCCATTTCTTGTTGTGACAAAACTTTTAAATTGTTAGGAACACAATGAAATCCATGTGAATGAAAGGGGATAATAATAAAATAATAAAATAAAAAAATAAATATATAAGAAGATAAAAAGATAGGAAGATAAAAGAAATAAAAAAAAAAAAAAAAAAGTGCCATTTTAAGCTCGTGCAGAATAATTGATTTAAGATTTATTACTGGCAGTCCCCATAATTCACATGCTTACACTTGTATTACTGCATATGAAATGCAGATATGTGCATATGAACAATGTCGTCATTGAATCTTTTCCATAGAGTAAGACGAGACTAATAGTATACACGAATTGTTTAGGGGAAGGTATGAACTGGTAAACCCACACGTACATATGCCTCTGTGAATTTAGTATCCCCTTTTGCATAGGGAATCTCCACTCTCGAAACAGAAACGTGTTTTTTCATGCGCTTCTTCTCGTGTCCGTTTCTGTGGTGAGGAGAGGAGTAATCCATCAGATGAGCCACTTAACGAGGCGAAAAAAAAAAAAAAAAAAAAAAGTGATACAAAACCAGATCCTTACGACCAAGGCACCTTAACTCCTTACCCATCACACAACTGTGTGTGAAGATCTCAAAGAAGGTAGATGTGAAAATGTACAGAAGGTACATCTGGAACAGCATTTTTCGCGATATAAACTATCGCTTAAAAAAACTGTATCACTCGTTTTATTATGCACAAAGTCATATAAAATATGTGATGCTTATATTATTCCCGGGAGTTATATGGACTACCCGATACCGTGCCGACACAAAACTTGGCTATTATTTCTATATTAATGATGAAAAGTTATATCCAAATAATTCTGACAACACAGCTATTTCTGGGATGGGAAGCTTGAATCTGAACAATTCTTTTTTTTCAAAGTATTTTCAATATTACAATAAATTGACGAAAGGAAAATGGAAAAACGGAACGAAGCTATACCTTGATGATGATCTAACCGTTGGTGATGTCAAAAAAATTCTGTACGCAGATAATGAAAACATTCCTAGAAATTTAAAATTCGGGTGCAAAGGAAGGATGATGGATAATAATGACAATCTTGCCATGGCAGTTCGAGCATTTTGCAAAAGAGACCCCAAGATTTTCATATGGGAAGATGAGCATGCAGCCTACGTGTGACGGTTAGATTGTGATTTGGGAAGTGATTTGGGAAGTGATTGGGAAATGATTGGGAAGTGATTGGGAAATGATTGGGAAGTGATTGGGAAGTGATTGGGAAGTGATTGGGAAGTGATTGGGAAGTGATTGGGAAATGATTGGGAAGTGATTGGAAAATGATTGGAAAATGATTGGAAAATGATTGGGGAATGATTGGGAAATGATTGGGAAGCAGTTATAGATCCGTTTTGCTGCATCCATGGGGGATACGAGTCACACTGAAAAACTTTTGAACCGGCACTTCACAGCATGACCAATTCGGATTTCACAGTATCTATGTACACATACATCGCATGGTGGTGCAATTTTGAGAAAAAGGAATGATTATGTCATATGGAAAAAAATCTCATATACATGAGCGAGACGCACGCATTTGCTAGTCCACAAAAGTCACAACACATACATGAGTTGTAACAAAACCTATGCTTGGAATATACCCTTCGGTTAAATACACTTGTGTGAAGATGCAACCTTTTTCTTACACCCTTTTTTATGCATTAAAAAAAAAAAAAAAAAAAAAAAAAGACATATTTTGGGCTATTTCGTTCCATTTTGTGCTATTTTGGGCTACGTTGTGCTACTTTACACGATTTTGCTCCACTTTGTGCTATTTATACTTTTTATTTATTTTTTTTTTTTTTTTTTTGCTAAAATTTTCAAAAGGCAAGTTTTTAAAATAATTCAAGTATAAACACTAAATAAATGTAACTTGAAAAAAAAAAAAAAAAAAAAAAAATTAATAAATTATGTCAATAGCTCTATTTTTCTCGTATTGATGATATGCATGTCCAAATATAGATGCAGTTGTTCATGGGATTAAATAGGAATGTATGGCATACGTTCATAAAATTATGTATTTATCTAGGGGGAGTAATATGTGCATATATATATATATATATATATATACATATGCTGCATACTTAAGTATATAAGTCAGTCGTAAAAAACAAAACGGGGGGGGGGGGGGGGGGGGGAGATGAAAGAGAAAAAAAAAAAAAAAAATAATAATAAAAGGTATTAGTGGATATAGGTCGGAAAATGAATAGGTATTATCTTGATACGTATAGAAAGAGCCCATCATATAAATGCTATACACATTCAGCATAGGAATATGTGTGCTTAACATATTACACAAATATGTGAGTAAAATAAATGGATTTATACATACATGTCGTGTATATATAAACGTGTGTATATATAGAAATGTGCGAATATAGAAATGTGCGAATATAGAAATGTGCGAATATAGAAATGTGCGAATATATAAACGTGTGCATATAGAAATGTGCGAATATAGAAATGTGCGAATATAGAAATGTGCGAATATATAAACGTGTGCATATATAATCGTGTGCATATATAATCGTGCACCTACATAAGCATACATGCGTTTTCACATATACGTAATTTAAAAAAAAGGAAAGAAAAAAACTTACGGGCGGAATTTAAAATATTGAATTCAAAAGCGGAAATAAAAACTAACATATAAAAATTAATTCTTCATATAAATGTATAAACTGGAAATTTAAAAGCTAAGATATGGTTAAAAAGAAAAGTAAAAGGAAAGAAGAAAAGGAAAGAAAAGGAAAGAAAACGCTAGAAACAGAGGACACTGATTTGATGATGTCTTTTTTTAAGTATTTACGTACTTAATTATGTACTCATATTTATGTGCTTAATTATTTTTTCATTTTTACTTAATCATTTTTACTTATTCATTTTTACTTATTCATTTTTATTTTATTTTTTTTTAATTCAAATTTTTTATAGGGGTCCAAAGCTTGAGAGAAGTACGGGTAAAAACATGGAAGAAAATGCTATCGAAAAGAGTAAAACCTGTTAAGGGATGGGTGGGGGAAGAACAAAAAAAAAAAAAAAAAAAAAGGACATATAAAGGGTGATATAGCGAGAGATATAAGTGGACATATAAGGGGACATATAAGGGGACGTATAAGGGGACGTATAAGGGGACGTATAAGGGGACGTATAAGGGAACATATAAACGGAGACATGGCCTTGTCATCCCTGTAACATATACAAATAAATTGTTCCATGCAAAGGTGCATTACAAAGCCCCGATATGAGGGAAGCGATACAAAGGGAGTGGATTTCAAGACATGGCACACGCACTGATGTGTAATACTTACCAAAGTTAACGTTTGGAAGAAAATGACAGTGAAATCTTTGTTCGAGAAAAAGAGGGTGCTTATGACGAACCACGTGGAGAGACCACTATGTATGACGGGCCCTATCATGAGGTGCAAGCTTTCCTTCATCCTGTATGGGGGTTGGGAAGTGGTTTACGCAATTGTGTTTTTATTTTCAATGTTAGGTTTACAAAGTATATTGTGGATGAGCTATTGTTTGGACTCAAGAAGTTTAGACAGATTGGGGGTGGTGAGAACACCTTGCAATTTTTTCTCCGCCTGTATGGGTGTAGAGATCTTGCATAAAAAGATGTCATTCAAACATCCCCTTTTTTTCTCATTCTCTGTTGAATAAACGTTTTCCACAAACAAATGGAAAGGTAGTAGATGGGGATTGGGACACTTACTTTTCATCTCTCGTTCTTCCAATACTGTGGGTAAAGGCATGGACGATGTGCGATGTGTGATCGATGGAAAAGCCTATGCAAGGGTGGAGAGGAAAAAAAAAAAAAAAAAAAAATACGTAACAAATGTGTTACAAATGTGTGACGAATGTGTTACAAATGCGTGACGAATGTGTTACAAATGCGTGACAAATGCGTGACAAATGCGTGACAAATGCGTGACAAATGCGTGACAAATGCGTGACAAATGCGTGACAAATGCGCGACAAATGCGTGACAAATGCGTGACAAATGCGCGACAAATGCGTGACAAATGCGCGACAAATGCGTGACAAATGCGCGACAAATGCGTGACAAATGCGCGACAAATGTGAATCGCGTTGCAAAATTTTCAGAGCTTTCTCAGCTTCGTCAGTTTCTCAATCTGACCCAGTTGAGATGCACTACCATGAACTCACAAACAAGGTGGTGCATTGAGCTAGTGAAACGAAGAACTAACCAACTGAGAGAACCAAGATAACCATCGAAATGATGTTGACAGTGATGCCACAAAGACACATAAAACCAAAGATACATAAATCAATGAGGAAGATTATGACAGCAATGATAAGGCACGAGTTGAATCCTTTGATAATATAAGCAGTAACAATAAGAATTGTAATTATAGTAATGCCAAGATTGATCAAGGTAACTTCAATAATAGCTTCATCTGTCTCGTTAAATATGGAACTAATGTGAAAGCATAGCATTTGTACATTATGATTCTCCAAGTGTGTAATATTTTTACATATTTTTAACCATTTTGAGGATATTTCAGAATCGTCTACATTATTTTGAAAATAATAATATCTCCATGCAATTAATTTTTTGTTTAAAAATATAAAGTCATTTTTAAAAAGATTTCCCATATAATCATTTTCAATCCAATCAACAAATGTGTTATAAAATTGTTCATAATTCTGATCCTTTATTTTTTTAGCATTACTGTTTAGAAAAAGTGTAAATCCATTTGCAACTCCTGATACAAAATCTTGTTCTTCCAGCTGGTCATGCATTTCGATTAATTCATCTTGTAAATCTTTCATTTCCCAATGAATATTTTTATTCAATTTTGGATTCTTCATCATTTCTCTATCAGTTCTATCCTTGTACAGGAACGATGATGATTTCAATGCATCATCATTATCACCAGAATCATCATCCACCTTCTTGTTTAACTTGCGATACTTTTTAATAAAGTCTTTATCAAAATAGTACACCTCGATTAAGTCTCCAAGTTGTGGAAAATATTTCATTTTTGCTTCTGTAAATAAGCGAACGTATGAATCTACAGGAAATGCTTTATCATATTTTATTCCTTTTTTCATTAACGTGCATCCATAAATGGATAGCATCAAAATGATGGTGAAAATTATGTATACAATTGCTTTCCCCCTTTTCGATGAAAGAAATGGAACATAATAATTCTTTACAATTGATCTGAAATACTTTCCAATGTTTCCTTTTGGTTCTTCATATATATATTTATAGAATAATGCATTGTCATGTGAGCTAAGTAGGTAGATATTTTTCTTATCTGTTTCATTTAAATTTATAAGTTGAATTGTATCCTTTGTGGCTAACTCTATCGAATTATTATTGTTATTGCTATTGTTGTAATAATGGTGTGACCCTATCACATGACTGAAATTTTCCTTTCCATGATGATCCTGCATCTGATTATTTCTATCTCTTTGTAACGTGTGAGGTCCCGGTGCAATATTTCCACCACTGTGTGTTAAAATTGTTATATCATTTCCATTCAATGAGGAGGAAATGTTCGGACTTACACTACTACCATTTGGTAATATATCATTTTCCATGATTATCTTCTTTTTACCATGCCTCTTGATACCTGATGAATCTAATTCTTCTTTTTCTATCATTTCTGATGTGATTTTTGGTTGTTCTTCATCTTCCATGGGTACAGGAGGAGTGGGAGTATCCACAGGAGATTCATTATTTATTATTTTTTCATTCTTGTTATTATTGCTTGTTGTTGTTTGTGTTGTTTTTCCTTTTGTCATTTTCATGTCTTTCCTTCTTAGGGAAGTATTTTCCAACGTGAGTTCATCATGGGGTTGTTGTTCATGTCCATTCGTGTGGATTTGAATTCCATTTTCATTGTTGCAGCCTTTACTGCTTATTTCGTTAGATGAATATACAGTAGCGTTTTTTTTCTTCTTATTAAATGATTCTTCAAAAAGGTAGAGATTGTGAATCCATTCATAAATGGAGATATTTTCATATTCGATGGAAGTTCTTCTAGACTCATCTTCATTTGGTGGCATTTCTAAAGAAAGGTTATTATCGCTGCTGCCACCTTGGCATCCTCCCGCTGCCCCTCCTCCCGCTGCCCCTCCTCCCGTTGCTCCTCCACTTAGTACATCAGAAGATGCAGCTTGAACCTTCTTCTTTCTCTTGAAGACAGAACAAAAAAGCAAGGCAGTACCAGAAAAGATATTCTTCTTATTATTCTCCAATTTTCCCTCAATGCAGAGAAAGCTTAAAAGTAATGTCAAAACCATGAGATATCCAAAGAAGAGAGAACTTGCAGTAAACAAGGAGAAACTACATATAGAATAGAATGGTGAAACGGAACTAATCAAAAATGCAATTATATTTGTCAAAGTTGTAACTGTTATTGCTAATGCACTATCCTTGAGACATAACTGAATTCTTTTCTTGTTGTCTTTAATCATGAAAAGTAATGAATAAGAATTTAAAATTACAAAAACATCATCTACACCAACCCCGATAACCAGAAAGGGTACCGTTTCTGCTGGAGGAACTGATTTGACACCTAAGAAAAATAAAAATCCTGATCCTGCAAGATAGCCTAAGAAACCACACAATATCCCCATGACAGCACATAATGGTTTACTTCGATAAAGAACAGATGTTACATTATTAAATAAGGCATACATAAATATTAAACATACACCAATGATGAAGAGAAGCCTTGTTAAATTATCAATTTTTGAAATCCTATCTACTTCATCTTCCAAACTTCTTTCAGTAAACACATGGAATTTAACATAAGGATCGTTTCCATCATTTGTTTCTTCATCTTGTATAACATCATCAATGTTATAATATCGTACATAATCGATAAGTTTTTTTTCATATGATAATACATATGGTTCATACATGTACGAGTTTAACAAAGGGATTATTGTCATTAATGCATTAGCAGATGTGATAGTATAACTGAATGGACTTTCTTTATATTGTATATTTCCAAGAATTCCTTTGAGCATCATTTCTTTAAAAGTTTTCCTATTAACATAAAAATCTAGGTTATCAACTTTTATGGGATTTTCATACTTTGCATTACCATTTTCATAATACAAAAAGATAGAGCTAAAATTGCAATCGTTGTACTTCTTTTCACATATGTCTTCCAAACTGAATGTTATTTGTTTCTTCAAAGCATCACTTGTGTCTCTCAAATTGATGTTCAGATTTTTTTCCTTAAATACATTTTGTAAAATACATCTATCTCCTTTTTTCAATATTGGTGGAACATAATATGGAGGATAAAAATGATCATCCTTAAAATTTGTTAGATTTATTTTTGACACTTTATTTTCCTCTGAAGATTTCTTTTTTCCAAATAACAGTTTTGTCATCTTTTGGTTTATCCATTTTATTCTATCTACAATTAAACTATTTATTTTTTCTTGAAGTCCTGCCCCACTACCACCATTTTTCTTTTTCACGCTCTCCTTGTCTTTATCTTCTTCGCTATTACTTTTATTTTTATCATCATCATCATCATCGTCATCGTCGTCATCATCGTCCTCGTCATCATCATCGTCTTCATCATCATTATCTTCATCATCATTATCTTCATCGTCATTGTTTTCATCTCCATCCTGTTCATCACTCTTATGGTTAGGTGAATTTTCTGCTTTTGATTTTTTTCCTTTTTTCTTCTTACCTTTTCCTCCTTTCCCTGTAGTGGCATTTTTTGTGGTGTCTCCACTTTTTGACTCTGTCAATTTATTCTTCAGCCCTAGTAACTTATTAAGTGCAAAATTGAAGTTGAATCTTTTATAGTTAGGTTTCCAATCCAAATTCGCATTAATGTCTTGATTCTTCAAAAGCATTTCATACACCTCCTTAGCTGCTTCTGTCTGAACAACGGGAACTTCTGAATCCTTTTTACATTCATTAATTTCTGTAAGATCTATTTTTATTTGTTTCGTACCATCTTCAAATTCTTTTAACTTTTTAAGAATATGTGGTTTTAATAAATTACAATTAGATTCTACAAGTATGATGGCTTTTCTACTTTTTTGAAAAAAATCGTTTATCATTTCATTTGTTTCGCAAGCATAAGAATTGGATATCGAATATAATTTGTAAATATCTTTTTCATGTTCTCTATAACAAAATCCAAGACTAAGCAATAAACATCCCAATAAACTAAAAAAAATTATTTTACATGGTCGTTCATACACAAATCCAGCATAATCATATAGTATGTTAGCAAACCAATCTAATGATGTTTTCTTCAGATCCTTTATTATTTTCACTATTTTAGAAAATGACATTTTTTTTTTTTTTTTTTTTTAATTTACACTGTTTTTATGCTATTGATAGGATTGGTAATACAAGTGTGTGGCATTACAACGTGCAAAAATAAGAAAAGACTAAAGTGTTGATGTTGATTATACATGAATGGTTCTATGTGTGTTTTCATAAAAAGATGTGTACGACATAATTTTATGCAAATTTGTTATTTCGGAAAATTCAAAACATTCAGAAAATTCATTCGGTTTCTCCTCGATATGCATTTATCTGCCCTTCTTGTGTTGACAAAAAAAAAAAAAAAAAATCACACGAACAAAAGTAAGAATAATATACACATTCACACACACAGTGCCAACACAACATGTACGCTTGTGCATACGCGCATACAATCGTACAGGTATGAGATATACTTACAACTCCACTTTGATTTACACAAATAAAAAAAAAAAATAAAAAAAACCTCTCACTACTCCAGATGCTTACACATGGTTGAGGTATGTTATCAGATCAAAGAACGGGCGAACGAGATGGAGATCTCTAGTTCGCCTTTATACTCACGAGAAAGGGAAAAAGACAAATGGAGTAGAGGTGAAATGTCGTTCACAAACATGAGCTCTGTGTGCAAACTGTCAAATTGTCAGAAATTAAACTGTCACACTGAAATTATATACATATATATATATATATATATATATATATACTGCACAAATTTGAAAATTTTTTTAATATTCACTACTAAAACTTTGGTTAAAAGGGCTATGCACAAGTATTGTCATCATTCGTTACAAACGATGAGGTAGGCTATAGAATAGATAAAAAAAAAAAAATTACATGCACATTGAAAATTCGTATATATTACATCAATATAAAGAGAATAATTCGGACAGGAGTAAAACCCCCTCGTCAAAAAAAAAAAAAAAAAAAAAAAAAAAAAATTGACTAATCTTACTTATAATGGAATGAAATGAACTTGAAAAAAAAAAAAAAAAAAAAAATACTGTGTAACAAAGCAGCAACACCGTTATGTTATGTACATATAAGAAACAAACATGTATGCATCAGCATGTACTTGTATATTTTTATGCATGCACTTGCATATGCACTGCATATATATATATATATATATATATATATATATATATATATATATATATAATTCGAGCCTTGATGTCACCCTACTCAAGAAAAAAGATTTTTTTTCTCTCTCTCTCTCCCTATATATGCAGATTTGCACTAAGGACGAAGAAAAGATTAAAGCATAATAATGACTCTTGGATAAGCATTTTATATACATGTACACTTTTTAAAAGTAGTTATTATTATTGTTCCTTTTTTTTTTTTTTTTTTTTTTTTTTAAAGTAGAAAGTATTCAAATAAAGACGTGTACTTGTGTTTTTGCAAATCAAACATACGCTTTCCTCTCCTTATGTCATTTGGCCAATTATCACTTTATGGAATTCTTTCCTTTGCTTGGACATTGGGAGTACAGTGTGTGTTGGAAAAAAAAAAAAAAAAAGAACCTTCATGACGAGCCTGGTGCAGATGCGTTTGAGGGGATTGGGAGATTAGAGAGAAAGAGAGAGAGATGTTCTACATACACATGTTGATCATACGTACGTAAAAATGTGAGTATACAAGTATATATGTATGTAAGTATATATGTATGTAAGTATATATGTATGTAAGTATATAAGTATATGTGTATATATGTAAGTATATATGTATGTAAGTATATAAGTATATGTGTATATAAGTATATGTGTATATAAGTATATGTTTGTACACATGTATATGCACATGTGTACTCAAAACGGACATGAACAGAACCGACACCGAAGCGTGCCTTACTCTCGAACTGAATAAACTAAATAAATGAATGGTTACAGGGTCGGAGAGCGAAAAGGTTAGGGAAAGTGCTGGAGAAATGGTTGGAGAAGGGATTAGCAAAAAAGAGTTACTGATCGGATGGGGTAGGTATGTAAAATATAAGGGAAAGATGGGTAGTTGTAAGAGAAAAAAAAAAAAGAAAAAAAAAAGGTTATAATTTAAAAAGAGAGAAAAACCAAATAATTTTTCAAATAATAACAAAAATTAAATTGTTCAATATGTAAACTTCACAGTGAAACATCCTCTCACTTCTCAGTTCACGTGGAACGGAGCTGTTGCAAAGAGAGCGAGAGAGAGAGAGAGAAAAGCACTTTTCATCAAAAAGGAGAAAAGTGAACTATGCATATGGCATGCTGGTGTGACACTTTCAAATGTACATATATGTATGCAAAAGCATATGTTTATGTACTGTACATATATATGTTTAGTTGTGCATTCATGTATAAAACTGTTTCCATTAAGGAATGAGCATTCCCGCATGTGTTTTCATGCACTTTCTCACCTATGACTAACATGTCATCTTCATTTTTATTTGCGAAAAAAGAGAAAAAAAAAAAAAAATAATAAAATAAAAAAACAGAGTAATATAATAAAATAAAAAAACAGAGTAACATAATAAATTAAAAAAAACAGAGTAAATATAATAAAATAAAAAAACAGAGTAAATATAATGAAATAAAAAAACAGAGTAATAAAACACGGATTAATAAAACGGATTAATAAAACGGAGTAATAAAATGGAGTAATAAAATGGAGTAATAAAATGGAGTAATAAAATGGAGTAATAAAATGGAGTAATATAACAGAGTAATAAAACAGATAATAAAACAGAGTAATAAAATAAAAAAATTAAAATTTCAGAATGTACAGAACAGCAAAAATTGCATAATGGTATATATAATACTGTACAGTTGCGTAAATCGGATACTTGTGTTCATGCGTGTATACAAGGGATCTTATTTATATATACATAAACTATGTACATAAAACATGTATATATATATATATATTGCGTATATATATGTGTATATACGTATATGTATATGTACATGTACATGTACACGTGCTTAAGGCGTACTCCTTATCACGCGTAGGTTAATATTCAGGATGCACAAAAATGTTTTTGGAAAGAAGGAAAAAAACAAAAAAGTAAAAAATATAAAAATTTCAAGCAAAAAAAAAAAAAAAAAAAATAGCAAAAGCACTGATTTTCCAAGAGTAATAAAATAAAAATTACTCCGCGAGGGGTCGTCTTTCACTTGGAGAGAGTATATATAACGTAAAAATAATATTATATATATTATATATATATATATATATTATATATGGATATGTATACTGTATTGTATTATATATCGACATGTATACTATATTGTATATATATGTATACTGTACTGTATATATTTTATATATGGATATCATGTGCGCGCGAAGGTATAAACAAAAGGCACTGTTACATGCAATATGTATATAAGTATGTATGTGCATAGATGTATATGCCACATATCGCATACATAGCCCTCTGTATCATACGCACCTTGTGAAAATGCATTTTCTACGTTACGTGTCAGAAATTGCTGACATGCATTGGGATAAAAAGAAAAAAAAAAAAAAAAAAAAAATGAAAATATGGCATTTTAGGTACATCATCAGGTAGTTAAACTGTTTACCCATTTTCAATCGGCTCGAAATCAGCTAGAAATCAGCTCGAAATCAACTCGCAATCTTCTTACAATCCTTCATACAACCCTTTACCAACCATGCTGCAATTCGGACGACCCAGCACTGTGGCTGAGGGGTAATGCAGAATTATATCTTTCATCACAGAGTTGTATACATGGAGAGAAAAAAAGAACTCACAGAGGTCTTTACATATACACATATATAGATATATTATGGTTCACTGTTACTGGGAAATTACTACTGGAGAGGAGACGTTTATCTCTTCCACGTTTCATCTTTTTCTACTACGGTTAGTGCATCTCCCCCTTTCCCTATGTACATATAAACATGTGTACATATACATTTACTCCGCAGGATAATTTAAGCACACAAAAAAAAAGAAAAATATATACATGTCGACAGATTATTTATATGAGAAAGTATATATATATATATATATATATATATATATATATATATATATATGTACGTACCATGTTGTATATTCCACATGTTGACGTCACGTGTACATTTAATGGAGAGAGTGTTTTATGAGTAAATATCCACCTTTCTTCAAAAACCCTATGGAATTATACTAATTTTCGTATAATTTGTACATATACACATATAACACACAAACGGGTAAAGACTATATAAGTGCCCTGTGCTCAATGCACTTTTACATGCAAATATCGCTACAGTTTTCCCATATCTCTTATTCTTCACTCCCTCGTTTCCCAAAAAAAGAAAAAAAAAAAAAAAAAAAAAAAAAACCTAACATATTAGTAACACTGTTCGATATGAGCAATGTAGATCTGCACGCAAAAAGGGGAAGTAAATAAAAAAAAAAAAAAAAATGCACTCACTGGTAAAATGGGTAAAGGAAAATTTCTCTGTTGATCCCAATTCTTTTGTTTCATCATGTTGAAGTTAAGCGATTAGAAAAACAGAACAAAAAAACCTGGCAGCTTCTCTTCCAGAGTTCAAAACATTGCTCTACGTGAAAAAAATAGCCGAGGGGATATTATTCTTATCTCCCATCGTAACCTCAATAAAAGTATAGACAATCCTCACAAACAAGTACGCGCACCTAAGCTGGAGAATTACGTTTCATTTTATATTCAACAAAATAATCAGTGATCCTTCTGCACAACCTTTCATTTTTTTTTTTTTTTTTCTTTTCTTAGGAATGACAGAACATTCACTGAACTGTTGTATTATATATACTGCAACGTAGATTTGTATAGGGGGAAAACACATTGTTATAGATTCCCTTTTGGTAAAATTTGAGTAGGAAAAACTTATCAACAAAATATAACATTATGTACTGTTTTTAAGAATTATACGCTTTTTTTCCTACTTGTTTTTGTAGAGAAGAAAACACACAACTGTTCTTTATCCATTTTGCCACCGGTTCATCCGCTCGTGACCTATGATATTTTCTTCGCACACGCGAGCGTGGGACTTAACC